AGAAGATCCATCGGCGGCCGTAGAGCTCGCTCAGGGGCGCGAAGATGAGAGGGCCGGCGCAGTATCCGAGCAGGAAGACGGTGATGGTGAGACCGGCAGCCTCCATGGATACGTGGAAGGACTCGGCGATGGACTCGAAGCAGCCGCTGGGGGCGCTGGACGCAAAGGTGGCGTTCATGACGAGGAAGACGGTCGCGATGGTGATGAAGAAGCGGCGGGTCATGGACCAGTTTCGGGGGTTCTCGACGTCACCGGGAGCGAAGTCGACGTAGCCATGTTCGTTGAGGTAGGGGGGCTCATTGTGCTGAAGGTCCTTTGTGCGGTACGGCTTGTTGACCGGCCGCGAGAGGATGCGGGTGAGGGCACCCATGGTGAGTGAGCGCTGGCGGAAGTGTGATGGAGTTTTCGCTCAGACTTTTGCTCTTCTTTGGGATGTGTTTTTATGAGAAGCAATGTTGATTATAAGATTTGGTATCGGATTATCGAAGTCGTATTTTGAACCAATGTATCATATCGACGTCAAAACTGTGCTCTGGGAGGTTGAATCACAGAGAGTGATATCCTTCTCCTTCCTTGCTCCTCCTATATCTTTGAATCAAGATCCTAGAGCTCAATATGCTCAGTCTGAAGATTCTATGCGTCACTGCTGGTTCCAGAAAGCCGTCCTCAAGCTCATCAAAATGGGAGGGGACCGGGAGAGATGATGTCCAGTTTATACGAAGAGGCGGGTGAGAAGCCACGGGGAATGGGCATGGGACGAGCGCCACAACCGTATTTAACAAAAGGAAAAACCGCGAATGACTTGAGGATTCATCACTCCTTTTTGATTAGTTTTCCACCTTCTCTCTCGGCCACGTCGTTGGCTGCTCCATCCTTCGCGCGTCGGGTTTAAAGGAGGCCGGCCCGCGGCCTAACGAGTGTGCTAGATGGTGCAAGTTTCGTCCCAGTTCGGAAATAACAGCAAGATGGCGGCACTGGGTCCCCGGGGCTCCGGTTTTTTTCTCTTCCTTTTCTTTTTTTTTCCTCGCCTTTTGTTTGTTTAATGGAGCCGATCGCTGAATTATGGGACGCGGAAAGAGAGGGCTGGATCGATGGCGTATTCGTGCGGTTGTCTTGCCCTTTTCCCGGTGGGAATGACCAGGGTCAAAAGCCCGGAGGAGGAGGAGGAGGAGGAGGAGGTATGTCGTAGTAGTCTGTATCGTGCCGTCGAACTGTTGCGTTGCTTCGATGTCGAACTTCAAAATCGGTGAATCAGCTCGAAATCGGTGAATTCGCCGTACTCAATCCTGTACAGTATGTATAGGCGGGCCCATTGTCGAATGTCGCGCCCTATCTCTCGGAGAACAGATTTGGTTTCTATTACCAGCCATCACATGTCGCCACCAGACAATCCCACACTGTAGTAGCACCACCCACCACCACCCACCCACAGGGGACCCAGCAGGCCGAAGAGCCGGGCTGGGCTGTCGTCAAGATGCATGGTGGAACTGGCAAACGCTGGGACTGGCTGCTCTGTGCGCAGCCTGGTCGATAGTAGCCCACAGGTCCCATGCTGCTCCATCCAGGATGTGGTGGGACCTTGACGCTCTGATTGATTCATTCTCTGTGCCCAACGATCCTGCGGCTCCGAGCTGTCGGACGTAGGAACATTCGCCTTATGCCGTTGGAGCGTTGCGTTGCGTTGCCTGCTGCGTGTTGGTCGCTGGCCCGAGATCCTACCCAAATCTGCGAGCCGAGGAGATAACGTCCAGTGTGGTGGTATGGGTGATGAGATCCCTGAGAGATCGTCCCAAGCGCTTGGCACAAGTAGTCGTAGTAGTACATATCTGCAAACACGGCATATACACCCCTGGCAGCGGTCTCGCTTCGTTCGCCTCTCTTCTCTCCTCTTCCTCGCCTCGCCATCTTCTTGTGCGTCCGCCCTGTCTTGCCCGTCATTGGATTGCGTTATCGAAGCAAATCTTGGGTCTCCGTAGCATTAATTCCGTGCTCCACCCCCCTCTTTGCTTTGCTAGTAGTAGGTACTCGTAGCAGCGCTCCAACAAAATCGCTTCTCCAATTCTCCATCCGATCGCTTCCCAAGGCATTGCTCCATACTCGTACACGAGGGATCGCTCTCCCACATCCTCCGATTACTCAGCTTCGTCACTGATTTCAAATACGCCCGTCCATTGGGCCAATTCCCCGGATCGTGGTGTTTCTCGCTGTCCGAAGGGCACAGGATCGCAGCGACTGAGAGGGGGCGCAGCAGTCGGATGGGCAAGCATCGAAAGGCCTTCGGTTCATGAATAGGCGCCGCGCCGAATGGCGGAACTAGACGGTTCTTCTGGCTCGTATGTAATACGTTTATCGTTGGTTCGGCGTATTGATCAGAGAGATTCAGGCGGTGTTTTGGGTGATGCCGTGGGTGGCGCCTTTGTTTTCGCTGCGACAAGCCTGCTTGGGGTAAAGTGTCTACGGGGTCCGTCAATGTAACCCGGCTGGGCAGTTGTTCCGGTTCGTTCGTGGGACCAGGGTATCATTACCTGTACATAAGGTAGAAACGGTGATTTCAGCTCACTGTGATAATAACTGACAGAATAACAACTGACGATACCCTCGGACATACGAGAAGATATGCCAGGTGGACACCACCATTAATAATGCATCGTGCATACCTCATGGCCTTACTGCTCGTACAGAAAGGACAGGATCCATGCCATCCTACGATACCTATGGAACATTGACCGTGGTGTTTATTGCGTCATCAATTCAAGCTACCACGGGAGTGAATGCGCAACAAGTTCAATTGTCTTGATACTCAAACCACTTCTCTCTGGGAGATCATGGGTACTCCATGGCGCCATTTGAAGGCTTCGCCCTCCATATTTATCCAGTTTGTCAGGCTGCCAGGGTATAAGCGACATTCGTCTCTAGCTATTCAGATCCGCGTATATTCGTCTCGAGTCAGGTGTTGTTAGTGACAGCTCTGCTAGTGAACAGAATTCGCCTCGCCCATCTTAGATCCTGATTAGCCACCTCTGCCACCAACGTCCTCTTTTTTTATATTTTAATTTGCCCACTCAGATAGGTGGTAGTGAAAGATGAGTTTCCACACGTTGGTGCAAATGGGCTAATTAGCCCTTGATGCCGCTGACGTGCATGACTTTTCCGGACAAAGACCATAGGGTAGCATCACCGACCTGAACGGATGACGAATATTCCTCTCGTGTTGCGAGGCAACATCTCTTCAAAAAGAAAAAGAAAAAAAAAGAGAGAGAGAGAGAGGATAGAATGAATGCGTTGAACAGCTGTGTGGATGGGAGTAAATTCGCAGGCACCACTTGGCATTGTCTCTAATACCGAAAGATACCTCTGTCGTCAGTCAAGGTTCACCCAGAGCACATCCGGCCTTCCCGCAAACTTTACGGCAATACACTCCATATATGAACAGCTGCTGTTCTCCGTGACGAATATATAATCTTCAGAAGAAGCTTCACTTGCAATGACAAATGGGTAATATATATGGCAGCTATATGATCTTGCATTTGCTGCAAGAGAGTGGTGATTATGCAACAAGAACTTCCGGCTGCTTTCGTAAAGGCACAATCGAATAACCACAGAGTAACAAAGCTGGATTGCAATCTCATAGCAGCACGTTACTTGTAGCCATGGTACTATAGTAATCGAACTGACCATACAATAGAATGTTCGAAATACAGCCACGCAGTATTACAAGTGCAGCCACGCTTATCCAGCCACAGTACTGCCGGCCGCCATTGCCGAGATTCCATTTGGAATCTTTAAGGCCTGTTATTTTGCAGCAAATCTAGATGTAAGACGACTGTCGTTCAGCAAGTATGGAGTGCCTGTGTAATCATACCTTACTCTAGGTGACTTGGCTTCAACATTGCTAAACCTTGTTAGACACTGGCTTTACAGCTCCTAAGGCTCGCCGTACTGGTTGTTTGTTTTTTCATCTAGGTATCCTAGTGTTTCGGTTCGGTTCTGAAGGATGAGTATAGTCTTTTGTGAAGCTATCGATTGGGAGGTCGTTATATCGTATGTCTGAAATGAGAGAGATGTGTTGCGGCCCTTTTGTTGATATCGTATTTCCTATACAAGTTCCATTGACTCAGAGCGCTGCTACCTCCATTCTTGATCAATCGCTTTTGGTACAAAAGACTTGAGGCTGTAGCTTTCAATCCGAGTCACTCAACTCACAAGGAATGTATCTGAACCCTATCCAGAAATATATATCTGGAGCAACATGAATTGTCAGATTCGAGTTGTCTGTTTGGTAGCGTCCGCAGCTTGGCTTCTGCCTCCCCCCTCTATCGGGTTGCTTACCACATCACAGCCGTAAGCACGCACACAAAGGGTGAAAGTGGAAAGGAAACCCTCAAAAGACCATACTTCTGTGTAATCAAGCAGTTGGGGCCTCTTGACGAGTAGGGCAGGTACCAGCGACATACCTAATCTAGAAGCAACATAACCTTTCGCAAACTGCTGCAAGACCAATCAAAGAGGAGGTATTTGGAATCGTTCGAAATGTTGGCAAGCCTGCCTACCATGAAGTCGAATCAAACTCTGGCCTGTGCTCGAATAGCTTCTCCCCGCGTTACTGCTTTGACCAATGCTGTTGCTCCCATTGTCTTTCTGCCAAGGATATCATAACGTCAGCCTTTCTCGTGAGCAGAAGCCATCAATATGCGCCAGTAAGCGCTTAGGTCTTGGGCGAGCGAAGGAATGCATGTAGCGCGGCCTCCTTTTGCTTCCAGTCGCTGCACTTCTCCTCGGAAAAGCTTAAAATTAGCCTATCGAAAGGCGCACCCTTTTGTGTTGTTTCCTAACCGATAGAAGCGACAAGATTCAGAAACCCAAAGACGTGGCTCAACGTTACTCGTCAGCAAGAAGGCGTCAGCAGCAGTCGTCGAGGTATAAATATCATGATCCAGCTGCCAAGTTCTCGGGCGTAGAATGCTTCTGTAAGTGCAGTTGTCTGGAAATCATTGCACCTCATTGACGCGAATCATACAATGGCAGAGAAGCCGCTTCACCTCGATCTCATTGACACCCTCAAGGACGTCTCTGTCCGAGTTGACCATGTCCGACCCTGTATGTTGGCACATATAACAAGAGCAGCACACGATGCTAACAAGAAGTCTTTCTTGCGACAGCCCATGCCAAGGGCGTCTTCGTCATAGGTTCCTTTACCCCAACCAAGGAAGCCGGGCAACTCTCCACGGCGCCTCATTTTAACTCTCCCTCAACTCCAGTCGTTGCCAGATTCTCTCTCTTTACAGGTTTCCCTGACTTACCTTCCAACGACCCTCAAGCAGTTCCCCACGGTCTGGCTGTGAGATTTCTCATCGGAGACGGCGTAAAGAGCGACATTGTCTGTCATTCTACGCCCTTGTTTCCAGCAAATACCGGAGAGGGAGTCCTTGCCGTCTTCAAGGCTTTACGCGACAACATCGTGGAAGAGTACCTCAGCACTCATCCCGAAGCCATTCCCTTCTTCACAGAGGACAGGAAGACGCCAGAGCACTGGGGCACCCAGACATTCTACTCCATCAACGCCTTCAAGTTCGTCAACGCTGAGGGAAAAAGCGTGTTTGTCCGTTATCGCTGGGTTCCGGTAGCGGGGAGACACTTTTTGACTGAGAAGGAGCTGGAGGCCAAGGGGCCGAACTTCCTCTTCAATGAGCTACCGGAGGTCTTTGCTAAAGGACCAATTATCTTCAAGCTTGTAGCTCAGGTGGCGGAGGAGGGAGACGTCACCGGTGATTGCATGCAAAGATGGCCTGAAGACCGCAAGCTTGTGGAGCTCGGTGAGCTCAAGCTGACCAGGGTTGCGGACAAGCAGGATCTGCCCCCCCAGAAGGAGGCGATCTCATATAATGTCATTCCTGGGGTGCCAGGCATTGAGCCTTCGGATGATCCTATCATTGCGACTCGTGGGAAGGTGTATGCGACAAGTGGGCAGACTCGCCGGGCAGCTGAGATAGAAGCTGAAGCTTAGTAACTGGATCTGAATCGTATTGGAAGGAGAACAACTCACGATAGAGAAGGGTGAAAGTATGGAGGTGAGGGCATCGATATGGGTCTCTGTGCTTAATCCACGGAGCAAGAGAGTCCGATTACAGATATTATCTTGACACATTGTAATGATGGCATCTTCTCGAGAACAATCTTTGAGCAACTGTATATGATCTTCAAGTCCCCTTGAAAAAGCTCTTGTACTTCCCCTTCCATTATCCCAGTATATAGTATCCTCAAATGATATCTTTCATCGTTCGATTTCGTGGATATGCCTCGTCGCGGTCGGATTTGACTTGGACTTCATAAGTTAGTCCGGAATAGGACACAAGAAGAGAAAGAGGGGAGAATGTCATACTTTTGTTTGCTCAACCCCTGTCGGCATCCGTCAGCCACCCCATGCCTTTAGCTCCTTGGCAAGACTAGAAAGGGGTGATCATTATAGTATCACAATTGTCGAGGCAGACTGTGTTCACTCGCTTTTGACCTGGTTCATCTGCGTTAGGAAAACTGGTTAATTTGCGTGGGAAATAGCTCAACCTGACCTAGAATCAAGCGTTTTCATATCTTGTTACAAATGGTACTCTGAAGAAGTATGTAAAGATGTAGTAAATGTTGGTGGATGTACGCATTCATACGAAGGGAAGGGAGGCTGCAGATGCTAAGTAGCAAACGGACCTTGCCCTACGCTCCGTCCTTGCTTCGATCGCAGGAACTTCTCCATACATATATACTTATTCTTTGCGAAACCGAATTGTTGCATGTAAGAAAGAAGAACTGGCCAGGATTGACAGATCAATAGGTTCAGGGGTGAACATAGGGGGGGGGGGGGGGGGACTTACAAGTTTGTATCCCCGTGGGCGCCACCACCCACCACTCCTGATCCTGTTGGTCTCAATACTAAGGCTCTAAAAAAGGAGATAAACCCCAAGAAAATAAAACTTTGTATACCTCGGTCAGTGTCAGATAGAAGAATAGACTGTGCCTTACTTGGTAAGGATATTGAGTGAAAAAGTATTTTAGGAGACTGTGCGTGTCTGGTTACCCTTTGATTCCAGAAATTCACTCATACTGCCCTACCAAAAGATTGTGAGTAGATTCCCGTTCATGACAGGGGCGAGAGATCTGCCCAGTGAATAGCTCAAGGACATTGCCATCCTCAATCACAAGCTCAGGGGGAGTAACAGCTCAGAGAACCCTTTTGCAGCATCCATGAATGGGAATAGCAGTCAAATCTCATCACAGCTGTCTTGATGTAGAAGATGTAGAAAGCAAGAGAAGAAAGGACTTGCCAGATATGTGCTCGTAGGCACCACCATCCTCCACTTCCGCGCCAAAGTTCGAAGTGTTGCCAATCCCCAAAGATCCCTATTGGCTTCCATCCTTTATATATCGTATTCTTAGCAACCAGCTATGCCGAAATATGTGTGGGTATCAACTCTTTCTTATAATATCCGACTCATCGATCGGTCGGTCGGTCGGTCGGGTGATGTGCCGTTTCTCGATTCGCGGACGGGGACTGTGTCGGAAAATGTTTTGTCGGTTCGGAAGGGGGGATGGTCTGTTAAGTGAAAACGTTAGCATAGCGTTCGAAATGTCTATGAAGAGTCTATCAAAAGTTAGCACATGTTCAGGATAGACAAGTCAAGCATGGCATCTATAAGGAGATTCAACAATTGGCATCAAAGAAACTGAGGGGCGACTTAGCTGGTTGCTCTATAGTCGGCCGGCGTAAGGGTGGTCTATGGGACAACAGAAAGTTAGCATGGTGATTTCCGTTAAAGGCAGACGGGGAAGACTTAGCGGAATGATGGCTGGCAAAAAGTAAGCCGGGTGGGAGAGGGACGGCCTGATGAGGAACTAGAAGTTAGCATATATTCCGGACAAAAGATAAGTTCTGTCTATGTAATGTCAGTGTCATGTCTATCCAGGTGAAAGAGAGATGACTTAGCGAGAAACAACATGGTAAGAGTCCCAGTTAAGGGGAAGTGGTCTGGTAGAAAAAGAGAAGTTAGCATATGCTCTGCAAGTCAAATGTAAACATCTGTAGGGTCAGCATGTTATGTCTACAATAAGGAGCAGACTCCATGAACGTAGCTGAGTATTGCCTGGTGAGAGAGGTATGGCAGACACGCGAGTGAGGGAGGATGATCTGCAGGGCATAAGAAAGTTAGACAAAACTTGCATTACAAAGTTGGCTGTTTATAAAGAGTCTGCATGCTCTGTTGGATCAATAGCAGGGATAGGGTGGACTTAGCTGAATATAATGCGCCAGAGACAGGGGAAGACAAGGACGGAAGAGCCTGTGAGAAAGAGAAGGGTTAGCGAGGGTTTGTCAGGATGCACATACGAGTCTGTAAACAATTAGCATGTTAATCTCGCGTTAGTAGGATCACTGGGTTTACTTAGCTGGTCATAAGAGAGAGTAGATGGAATGGCTAGATAGGCGTTGGGCGGCGGACAGGAGGGGAGGAGGAGAGGAAGCCTGCAAGAGAAGGAAAGTTAGCATATAGTCATTAAAGAGCGTCATAAGCATCTATGTGTTGTCAGCAATATGTTATAGGCAGATCAAGTGGTATGACTTAGCTGATCTGATATAGCCAAAGCGAAACTGTGCCTACCACAAGTTAGTAAAGTTTGAATATTATAGGAGAGGGGGGAGACTTAGTCTTGTTTGAACAGCTACGACACATGGACGAAGGTGGGAAGGGGGATCTATGGAAGAATCAGTGTCAGCATGGGCTCGAGAAGAGGAAGGTAATTCTATAGAGGTCAGCAAGAGGTCCAAAAAAATAAGGGGAAGCGAATTTCAACTTAGCTTATCATAGTATGGCCAGAGCGAGAGGGAACCTACTATAAGTCAGTAACAGTTCTGTAAAATTGTGTTGGCAGGGAGACTTAGTCTTGAAGAAATACCGTGGAGGAAGTGGACGAGGGTGGGATAGAAACCTGTAATTAGAGAAATGTTAGCATGGGCTCGGAAAGAGATCAAGAATACCTATAGAAAGTCAGTATGATGAGTAAAGTGAAGAGGAGTGGCCCGACTTAGCTAATAGTTCGACCGAAATATAAAATCACCTGCTACCAGTTAGTTACGAAATCAGGTCAATGGACTAGGAGACTTAGTTTTGTATAAGGCAAACGGAGGAGAGAATCGAGACCTGTAAGAGAGATATAAGTTAGCATGTGTTTATTAAACTCGCGGTGATCCTAGTGAATGTCAGCAGGAAGTCCTCAAAGAAGGGAGGAATAACTTAGCTAATCTTGATATAACTGAACGAGACAGAATCTTCGCGAAGTTAGTAACTGCGTGCGTAAATTCCAAGGTAGGGAGACTTAGTCTTGCGGAAGCATGCGAAGCAGGGGATAGGAGGCTGGCGAAGGAACCTGTAGAAAAGAAACGTCAGCATGTTCTCGATAAAGAGAAATCTATGATATATCAGCATAATCATTCACTAATAACGATTGGTTTGACTTAGCTGATTTGGTATAGTCCAACTGCCATAACGACCTATATGAAGTCAGCAAGTGCTTGTCGAGTTATAGAAGGAAGGAGACTTAGTTCTGAGTAGGAAGATTCTGTAGGTGCTAGGGCATCAAGTCGAAGAAACTGAAATGTCGAGGATGGGGGTCGAGTATGGGATCGGGCGTCGAGTTCGGGGTAGGAGATCGGGTGGAAAGGACGAGGGAGAAAGGGAGATCTGCGCAAAGGACAAACGTTAGCATAAATCAGAACGAAAGAGAAGCCTATGAGAAGTCAGCAGATTGTCTTCCAGCAAGGCTAGGGTTCACTTAGCTAAAAGTTGTAGAAGAGAGCGAGAACTGAGTCTATGCAATGTCAGTGATGTTCGCTAAACTATTGGGATGGGACGACTTAGTTCTGGACCGAGTGACTGGGCAAGGAGGTACGTAGTCGGCAGTGTCGGAGGAGGCGGCGGAAGAGGGCGAAAGAGGAGATCTGGTAAAACATAGAAGTCAGCGTAGCTCCGCTAGATCAAATGTTAGAAAACGTCAGCAGATCATCTTCACACAATCATATAAGTAGGAGGTGACTTAGCTAGATACAATACCGCCAGAAAGAAAATGGTCTGTCTAAGTCAGTGAGTGCTACTAAGAGTTAACTGTAAAGAATGACTTAGTTCTAAGCGAGATTCTAGGCGAGGGTGGACGAGGTGGACGGAATGGGAGACCTGTGCAGAGATACAAATCAGCATAGGCTCAAATTGGAACAAGAATCTATAGAAGAGTCAGCATATGGTCTAAGGGAAAGATTAAAGAGAATTGGGAAGACTTAGCGAAAGGCAATAGGACCCGAATAATATGAGAGGCTTCTAGAGTCAGTGACCATTCGCGACAGTTCATAAAAAGGGGAGACTTAGTTTAATATAATGGCTTGCGAATGGAAAATCGACTGGTCGAAACGGCGAGGTGGAAGAAACCCGAAACCTGTTATCGAAATATAAGTCAGCGTGGATTCACAAGCAACGGGAAACTGTGAAGAGTCAGCATGAGATTAGAAATCGAGGGAGAGGTCGACTTAGCAGAGACCACCGGAGCTAGGATGAAAGGAGTATCTATTTAGAATCAGTGACAGTCAGCTAATGGAGATGGGCAGGGAAGACTTAGTTCTGTAGAAGGAGACAGGGGAGGATTGGCGAGGTCGGCGGAGTGGAATCTGCTGGAGAATACGAATCAGGATCGATAATCGACACGAAGTCATCTGTAAAGAGTCAACATGTGGTCTAAGATGCAGCGAGGGGAGACTTAGCAAAGGTGACAAAACTGGGATAACACAAGATCGAAGTAAAGCCAGTAGAAGCTCGTTAGTAGATATGGGTAGAATAACTTAGATCTGTAGAAGTAGATGCTGGTAACCTCTGCGTATAATCTACTACCTGTGACTTGTCGATTCTGCGAGAAACGGAAAAGAAAACCATTGAGATGGGGGAAGAAGGCATAGAACTTAGCAGTACTGGGTTGGCATGATCTGGGAAGGCCGATACTCTTGTCTAGGGGATATCAGAGAGTATCTCAACCAAAGCAATGAGTGTGGTGCTTACTGAAGGTCCAATGGAATGACTGGAGCATTGCAAGGATCTCTGATGCGACATCTTCAATTCTCGACCGAGCCATCGTGCGGCTTCTTTTGTATAGTTAGCCATTATTTAGGATAGGATGAGGGACGTTATGTAGACCATGTTTTGGAGAAGGCGTTGTCGGATCGTACGAGTGCTGATAACAAGCAGATGCCTCCTTGATACTAGCTCAAGTATGTCAAAAGCGAGTTGAAGATGTGAAATTGGAATGGAAGATGCAGGTCATGGCTGAATTGCTGTCAGTACCACAAATAGTCAGCAAAGCACAAATCGAAAAGAATAGCGGCCTATTAAGCAGTTATCTGCTGGAGCTAGAGATGAAAGGAGCAGCCGCTGGCTGCGCCAAAGCCTAGTGGCAAAGGTAAGAGAAAAGTAAGCAAAAGTTTGCAGCTTTCTTCTAGTGATAGACAGCAAGGTTAGGTCCAGGTCACAGAGCGATAGTAACAGGAGACACTTAGCAGCAACGGAAGAAGTGGCAAGAGGAAACAGCGACGGACTGGCTAATAGTAAGAGTCTGTAAAGAGTTATCATTGTTCTATGCCAGAGAAGTAAGAGTACTTAGCCGTGGAGGAGTCCGTAGAGGAAGATAGGGCGTAAGCGAAGGAGAGAAGACTGACGAGCACCTGGTGAGCGTTATCTATAGAGAGAAGGGAAGGGAAACACCTAGCCACTTGAAATGATGATGGCTATTATGCGTCAATACTGCGTTAATGGTAGGAGAACATCGCCTCTGGGATGATAACAGGGCATCGTGTGCTCGCCTCAAGCTACAACAAAGAGGAGATAGCTGATGACCGAGACTGGAGGATAGTGTTCCTATGAAGCTATCGAAGACAAAGGGACGGAGAGGCAAGGGACTTAGCAGAGAAGACAATCTTTGGGCAGTCCATCCAGACGAGGAGATGGTCGATTCTTTTCTGGTAAGGAACATGAAAGTCGATAGCAGGAAGCCTAAACCATCAGCAGCAGCATCAGACTCTCCAGAGGAGAATACAAATCAAAGTAGTAGAGGAGGAGGAAGGTAAGGAGGGAAACGTAGCTGTAACAGTGCTTGGGGCTCAAAAAGGTGTGCGCAGATGCAGGAGGACCAGAAGTGCTTTGTTTTTGTTTTGGAGTGAGGAGGAAACTCGACGTGTGCGAGAAAGAGAAGATGTGGGAACAGGGAAAACGTGCTCAGTGACCTCATAGGCCAGCTGCCTGGGACCAATGGCTTTTCATTGAGTCAGAATGTGAAGTGCTCGCCAAATGACAAAAACTTCAGGAGGAAACTGGGTAGAAAGGGCTGTAAAGGGGGCAAAAGGGGGCCAAATTGCATGCATTTAATGTCTAAAGGATCTATATTAACTTACAATAGAATCTGCATCTTTTTCTGCAATTCTCTACATTTAATAATGCCTATACGGAAGTGTTTTTATGATAGCTCTTCAGGAGGAGTCTGTCTCGAGGCGAGCGGGAGAAGTTGTTCCGCTTGCCGGTCCCCCTGAGTGGGAGCACGCAAGCCATTGTTTACCTACATTCACTGTGCTCACACCCATTGCTCACTTTGTTCCAAATATCAGTTTCCACTACCTTCTGAGAAAGTCAGTGCCTTCTCTATCCTCTTCACCAAGATTCTGGACCACATCTTCCTTTCCTCACATCCTCAGCACCCTTCCTCTGCACCTCGTACCACATTCGATTTCATCGCAGGCATCCTCAAACCAAAGTCACAAACTACCTTGGTATGTTTACGTCAAGTGAAATGGTGAAGAAGATTTATTAATATCGGTTCATTACAGTTCGCCTCGCCAAACCAACGATCGCCCAGGAACTGGCTCGAGGTTATTCTCGTTGTCCTATTCTCATCACAAAGCATAAAGTACCCACCTCACAATCATCGACAAGGCGTATCATCAAAAGATACCAGTTTATCTGTCTCGAACCTCTCTTCTTCGTCTCCGCAAACATTCATCTGTTCTGAGAAAGTGTTCCGTCTTCAGGAGCATCTCCAATCATCACCGATTTCTGTCATTGTCAAGAAGCAAACTTCCCTCACTCCCAAGATGTCTGGTCATCAAGAGAAGGAGATGCCCATCTTCATTCCGACTTCCAATCCCCATATTCAAGAAGAAGTGGCGCCTACTGTTGCAGAGATGTACAATCGCCAAGACGACGAGATGTCGGTCGACTCTGTACCTCATGAGGAGAAAGCGTCCGTCACCGCCAGCAGCCCTCTCGATGGCAATATGGATATTGAAGAAGAGGCTGTTCCTTTCGATCAGATGGTTTTGGACGAAGACGAAGTGACTTCTGTCATTACTTCGACATCTCCCAGCTTTGACCTTGCGTCTTTACTCCAATCCATCAGCTCTGTAGCAGAGACTGCTCTCGTTAACAACACTCAACACCATGAGATTGACTTCTCGGATGATGAGACTGATTTCATGAAAGAGCTTCGGGAGCAACTGGCTACTGCTGGAGCTGGACCTGCTCAGCAGATTCATATCAACCATGAAGAAGTTGAAACCGAGCAGCAACTCACAGTCGCTGAGGCTCTCCTTCTCTCCGAGCTAGAGATTTCGACCAGCAACGGATTCCAAATGCTATCGATCATCGAGCATCTCATACAGTCTGTAACCGCTATTGAGCAAGGTGCTCCTCTCCTCCTGGAGATTGAGCACAACGTTGACACCTACGCTTTTGTCAAGCTGCGCAATGGCAAGAAGCAATCCGACACTGATAACGATGACACTCCCGAGAAGATCACCCCTCACACGGCATGTGCCCGTTGTGGTTGCCAGCATGATCCCGCCGCCAACGAGCCAGCCTTGACTCTCCTCACCTGTGATAACTGCAAAGCTGTCCAATACTGCAGTATCATGTGCCAGCACCGAGACTGGAAGGCTCACAGGAACCTGTACTGCGTGAATCCCATCAACATCCCGGTGGACATCCTCGCAAAGCCTCACAAGGCACCCTTCCTCATGACGACCATCGCCAACCCCTTCGCTCGCCTCTCCGAGGGCACCTGGCTGCACGACCGCCACCAGCAGGACGTGTACGTCCTCCTCATCGACTCCTTCCGGCTCCGAGAGTACGATGACTTCACCTTTGGGGGCACGAGCAACGCCGACAGCGTCTACAGCGGTCGGCCGAGCTCGTGCCCTGCGTTCCGCCGCTTCCTCTGCCAAGCGGAAGCCAAGGGCCTGATGCCCCCTTGGTGGACGGACCACACGCGTGTCGAGTGTCTGACCAAGGGCGCCGACCGGAGTGCCGACAACTGGCACGACCTGCACGCCATGGCCCGGGACATCGAGGTTGTGGTGGTGTACGAAGCTGCCATCATGGCGATGCAGCTTCGTATGTTTGCCGAGACGGTGCTGGGAAGCGGAGCCGCGGGGACGGATGGGCGGCTGATGCTTCAGCACATGGTGGTGATTGAGGAGGCGGCCCGAGACATTGCGGCCAAGGAGAAGGCGGCCCAGGAGGGGGGGAAGATGGAGGAGGAGTAGATTTTTGGCACTCTTTTATTTTTTATTTTTTATTTTCTTTTTTTCTTTTCTTTTTTTCTTTTCTTCTTCTTCTTCTTCTTCTTCTTTATCACTAGCTACAATTATCTCCTTTTCTTTACTCACTTCTTTGGATAGACACCTCTTTAGTGACGTGAAATGATTATGCTTAGAGAATCGCCCATCTGCAAGCTTACCTAACTTACAGGAACGACTTTACTTCTTTTTCCAAGAAAACTTTTACAACCGCGACGCTCAATGTTCATACTTGTCAACAAGGCAAAGCGACTGCCACATTCATCAAGAACCAGTCCTACAATAGCATCAATAGTCCTGTTAACGACCTGGGCTGACAACTCTCCAACTTTGGCCGGACGAGCCTGGATCGCAGTCTTTCGTGAGCTAGTTTTCCTTGATTTCTTTCGACCTCACTCGTGAAACTGCACAGTTGTAACTGTTCGCCTGACTACTTGGAGCTATACTTGCGATCGTCTCTTTCTCGAGCAAAAGAAGATTGATTCGAAGATCTAGAACTGCCTTCAATGCCCTGCGCACAGGTAAACCACGCCCTGGAGCACTGCAAGATCGACCATTATAGGAAGAGCAACTTCCAGACCTTGAGACCTGGAGAGAGTGCTGTCCGCGAGAGTCTCTGAGACGAACAAAGAAATAGACTGCTGCTTCACACATTGATAACAATACTGACAGGCAGATCGTCAATTCGAGTCCTCAACCTTTGCTCCAACTATGGCCACACATCACCACCCGTTGCCTAGGCCCACGTCTTGACTTGATATCCTCGAGAAAGGTACGTCCTCGATATGTGCTCAAGCATTTTGACAAGACTCTAACTCCTGCTGGATAGTTTTATTTAATCTCGACCTCCTGGACATTGCTACGATCGAGTCCCCATTCAACTACCAGTACTTCGAACGATCCGTGTTGTCTCCAGACTCAATCACAGGAGAATCCTGACCAGAGCGAGAGACCATATGCTCAACGACCGAGGCAAAAGCCAGGTCAGGGACAAATGTCAAGGCAGCAGAGACCTACCTAGCTCAATATCAAATACGAGAATGCGAGCAAGATTCGAGGAAAGCCTACCATACGTGGACCCTAAGTAAAGCAAGAGCGGTATTTAAGCAAAGGGAGAAGTTCTTCTTCTGCTTCCCCAGCAAGTCGTCAAGCATTATGAAGATGCTTATCAGGATTCTAAACGCAGTGTGTTCAGAAACTTTACTCTAACGATTATCATAATGCAGTTTTTCGTCTGCTTACTGTCACTGTTAACAGTCTGTTCTCTAGTGCATCCTTTGCGAGGATCAACTTATCCTCAACGAGAAGTGTGCCGGGCCTTGGGGCTTCTGGAGGAGCCAAGTATCTCTATGCTATGACTACTTGCCACGATTAGTGCAGGCTCTGACAACAGTTCCCAGTAATAGACAAGCATATGTGGCATATATACATGTGAGCATAAGGAAGACACATCATATACAGTCCTTCTATTGCTGAGGGATCAAGCAGACAGAGGCCAACACTAAAATGCAGAACATTGGTCTCCTACGCTACGGAGCCATACATTGAAAGGTTCAGCATGACACACTTCCCGAAATTACCCAATCATGGACCGTTAATACACCAATCTTGTAAGTCAATATCAGCATATCTATTCAAAGCCACATGTATTACCCGACAGATAATAAGTACAAGTATCATGGCTCCCCACAGATGCCTCTCAAGGAAGATCCCATCTCTTCCGATGTGTGAGGTGGGCTGTGGACCGCGACTGAAAGAGATTGGCGCTGGTTATTATAGAAAATTTGCTGGATGAGACTCAGGTTCGCGCCTTGCTACAGGGAGTACAATCAAAGACTCCCGGTATGCTCTTAGACATACTCTTTCGCATGTTACCTCATCAGGTGCATGGCTCTCACATGCCCGCTCTGCAGAACATGAGGCCTTACATCCCGCTTCACAAGGCTCAGATCTTGCCATCTGGCCTCCCCAATGTGTATCTTTGTGGCACTCCTAGCTACGGCAGGATGGACCACCGCAGGAAGACTATCAGGCAATGGATGCGCATCCCCCGTCACTTGAAGCGAACCTGTTTCTATGGCCGGGCGCCACTCCTCTAACTGACGCTAAGTGGAACATTGAACAACTTCTGGACCCTTATTCCAACATGCCCTTGGTCTGTGCCATCAAACGCGGCATTATTGCTTCTGCCTTTAAATTTTGATGTACGAAAGAGTCGCTAACAATTTGATGTAGCCATTTTTTCTATCAAATTGGACAATCGAGGTCGAACTATCCCACTGCCGAATCCCCATCGAGAAAAAGGGAGAATAAGCCAGCATCCGGGAGATCGAGCCCACAAGCAATACGCTAAGGGACTTGATCTCATGGATGAGCTGGGAGATGTTAGTGCCCAGTGATGCCCTTGCAGCAGATGGGGCAACTAGGAAGCCAGAGTAGAAGGGACTCCCTCATAAGTGCGAGTCGTACATGGACTAAACTTCAAATGATCCTTGTCAAGATGATGAGCATACGCACAGCTATAATGCTGGGGCATTTGTAGGAAATGATGACACCAATCTGGTTGCAAAACCCGTGACATGAGTCGATCTCTCGGGGGACATATACATTAGGTATGTTCTCGCCGAAGCGTAGGCTGCCATAATCGAAGGCTGAACGACCAACAGGAACCGGCTGAGGTGGACAGATCGAATGTGTCCGTCTTTGTCTCAAGATTTGGTGAGGAAACATATCATCCCAAAGAATCAACTCGGGATCCCGCATTTACCACCACCGTCTAGCAGTACTCCCGCCACATTCCCGAGAGACCTGCTCATGTTACGTCGCCCGCGATATTCCGAAGTCAGCAACCGAAGACACATAGTAATTGTAAGAAGTAAGCTCACTTCGGCTAGCCTTAAGGAACGAAGGATGAGCGAGTGGATCAATGGACTTTGCGGCAACAGTGCGCCATTTGCTTAGAAATAATTAACAAGACGAATGTTTCTTTTGAGGTACGGGTGCGGAGAAATCCTTTTCTCGAATTGGCCGAGAACGGGGGATGTACCCGTGGTTTTCAACTCTCGATAAACACGTCAAACGATGTCACTTGATCATACCAACGTCTACGGCTGCTGTGAGACGATCATCCGGGTGCCGAGAGTCAATGAAGCTGTACAGCAAGAAGCAGCTTCGCAATAGATGTTTAAGAGCTACCTGGCCGCCAGACGTTGAGTTGCCTGGCCATGCTGTACGTTTCAAGAATATACCAGGCGCAAATCTAAAAACATGGCTGTACCGATGACCCCTGTCAGGGCTTCCGTACGCGTGTGTCCGTATTGTCCTTATACGCCTTATACGCGGGCTGCAAACCGACTTTCGGTCTTACTGCCCCTCCCACTTCGGACGCAGTTCTCCCATCCAGAGAGACATCGCAAGTACCGTTGCAGTGATGGACCCCTATATGCACAGCCGCGTTATCGTAGTGCCCCTTTGCCCTGGCTCTCGGAGCTTAACCGGCTGATGCTGTCGGAGCATTTCTTAGTTCGATCGGTGATTATTTCAGGTACATATTCGCCGCATCAGGTCACATCTGGACGGAAGAGTCAGTGTCGGCGCATATCATCTTTTGCCGCTAAGCGAAGACCCGAATTATATAAAGTGGCCTAAAGCATCGCTCTCCTACTGTGCTTCTTTTGCACGCGGATGGACCCGTGCTCATGAACGAGTCGCCACAAAACCTGTCAGTTGGAGGAAGCCAACGGGAGACTTTTTAAGCATCTTGAACCTTCTCGATCTTTATGGTATCCGAGGGCTGGGCACTTGAGGTGCCAATTCTTATAAGATGGCTGAAAATGAACGTTGTGCCCTTCTTCAACACCTGGTATGGCAACGCCGTATTGTTTGTTATTATCCTCCATCTCGGAATGCTCCGGTTTGAACGGGCAACACGGGTCGAAGATCATAGCACCGCAGCAACCGAGAATCTGCAGCACCACAGAAGCGACTCCCCTCATGGTTGTAAGAGGTGTCTTGGAGACATTGCCTTCTCAAGGATAGACAATGCTCTAGATTCGACAGAGAGGCATCCCTTGTTTCAGCCAGCGTTCATGCGCACATACGTACAACTCACGGAGCTGTATGTGGATATGCGCGACTCGAGGTCGACATTCTTCTCGGATATCGATGCATGCCGCGCCAAGTTGATGAGACAAATTGTCGAGCCAGCGTGGCCGATGGACGACATAGAGATCGAGTTCACAGACCAGAATGGGAAAGACAGGAGAGAAAAGGTCGTCGGCCGGCCTGCTGTCATTCTAGGGGCGACGCATACCTCTTTCAGACACGAGCTAAGGTCTCATACTACCTATACGATCAAAACACGCATTTTGGGCTGGGACTCTAGCTGGGTTTTCGTGGGGTCTTGGATCATTAGCAACAATGAGCCTAGGGGGAACATTTACGCAACCAACCTGGCAAAGTACATTATCAAGAAGGGAAGCATTACTGTCCGCCCTGAGCAGTACTTTGAAGAATGCGGATGGATCTCCTCCCGACAGAAACAAGACCATAAGGAAGAACATCTCACAAGCAACGCCAGAGTCTGGTCATGGCTGGAAACCGAGAGGGTAAAGAACAAGGGTATAAAAAGCATCCATAGTTGGAGAGAAGCGACTTTACTTATGGAACAAGACTATGAAGACTGAATACACAATAATTGGCAAGAAACTGGGCAACGCAGGTGGCAACACAACAATAATTTGAACCTTGGAACATGAAGAAAGACGAAGAGTTATCTCAATCACCATATACCATCAATTCATGCGAAATACCATGATCTCCTTTGATGCCATACTCGATATTGACAAAGAAACTGTAGAAGCACCATAAATGTCCCTCTTGTAGTCCTTGACTTCTGATGCTGGTAGCATATGTCACTCGTAGATCAGAACTGGGTTCATGACAGAGTTATACAACTGGGCTTCTGAGACTTGCAAGAACCAGCGGCGTGGAATTCTCAAGACTTTCGATAGAGATTGTCTTTGTGCTCATCCAAGCCATATCTACTTCTGGGCCTGGCGTTAAGCTCGAACGCTTGCTTTGCAAACAGCCATGTGGAGCTTGCTGTGGTCCCAGGATGTCTGAAGATTCCGTCGTAGACTAGGTATTTAAGCAAAATGTAACCGGGAGAGGCTGCCTCTCAGGAGATTCGGCCATGTTCAGGAAGTTGGCATCCGAAGGTGATGGCATTGAGGTGGATTGGAGATACTTGATAACTACATGTAAATGAACGCGACAAATCTGTGGACGACATCATCTCTCGTTCATATAAATCAGCGTTCGTCTGTCCTATCCAGGCCGTGAGCGTACACGTCATATCAGTAGGTACCGTAGGTACGACAGCAAACGGGCTCAGCAGAAAACGGCGGCTATTGGCATATGCAGCGTAGTGGACGAGGAGTCGTGCATATAGAAGGCAAGCTGGTGAATCCCAGTATATCTCATATTGTAATGTGAGAATAATTTTGTTGTTACTTGTTAGCTTTATCCAAGGTATTCGATGAGCGTACCTATGAAAGGTTTGTGGAGGCGCTTTGAAGTTTGGATACTTGTGCCGGTGTTCTCTAAAGTGCAGGACTGAAGGCACTTTGACCTTGCCTTATGCCGGTGAGCCCGAATCATTAGTTTGAACCCAGGTGCGGGCATTGCGAAAAGCATTTTTCCCTGGCTTCGTGGTTCAGCGGCTCACTTTCGTAAGGTACGTGCATGTCATTTCCTATCCAAATCTCTCTCTCCCTTTAGGGAGACGAGCTCAGCTCGTTCCACAGCCAGACATTGCACAATTAGGTACTCAACTACGACATAGCAGCACAATCCTTGTGCGAATACTCTCTTTCTTTTGTTTCTTCCACTTGAAGCTGTCTCGTTCAAAGTGTTCCAATACGAGGAAAAACAGAGTGCGTCGTTAAGCGTCTTACCCACGGGAACAGCCGCACAAATCAGAGCGCCTCCTCCGCCCTTGTTCATCAGCCACTCCAAAACGCCTGGACGAGTGCCGCAATTTCCAGGAGACGATACATACAAACCTAGCTACATGTAATAAGTCGACAGCCAGTATGAGTTTGTCGGGATGGCAAGCCGATTCCGCTAGATGGTGGCGCTGGTCCCCGCCAATGGTCTGGCACCTTTATCCGTTCAACCTACGGGAATAATAGTGGATGGGCCAAAAGCACGTTAAAAGGACCCGTCATTGCGAGATAACAGATTGGAGTCACCCTTGTCAACGGGACAGAGAGCGGGATAGTACATAGTACCGTTATCTCTGTGGTCAACGGAGACGATGTGATACAAGGCGGCTGAGCAGATCCATCACACGATGTTGGTGAGATGTAACTCCATCAAGAGCGGTATTCAACTGAGTTGTATTGTCTGCCTAAACAATCGAGAAGATGAGAGGTCGCACGGCTTCAGTCTCCCAGCGGTTTGGGTATCGCCCAGCTCACAGTCCACAAAACAGACCAGGGACTTTTTCTTCGAGCGCATCTCCGTCCCGATTCGCTCTACACTAAGACGTAATTCTGCAAGGGCCTGCCTGATTGTAGTGGCGGGGATCTTGAAGCTCCAGCTCTCGTCGGCAACTGATAAAGCGAGCTCCCATCCTCTTCCGCATCCGCTTCATTCTTCCTCCGCTTTTGCTTTCGCTCAGTGTGAAAAGCCGGGAGAGAGGAAATAGAAAACTGGCTCCAGGATCGTTACCGATTACCTTTTGAATCTTCACAATGGCAGTCTCCAAGTTGTCTCTGCTGCTGGCCGGCGTCGCTGGAGCTTCCGCCTATATCGCCGCTCCCGCACGAGGCTATGGTCAAGAGCTGCTGAGCTCCCTCACGCACTCCATCGCACACCCCGTTACACATCCCGAGCTCCAGTGCGAGTTGCCACCCGTTCTCGATCCGAGCGGCGATGGTCTCCCCTCTGCTGACGAGCTCTTCTCGTCCAAGTCGGTGCGAGAGCTGCAGGTCCAGCGCCTTCAAGCCATTGTGCAGGTCCCCTCCGTCTCGTACGACGACCTGGGCCCCGTCGGCCAAGATGAGCGCTGGGCGCCCTTTTTCGACCTCCACGATGTCATCAAGGAGACTTTCCCCAACTTGTGAGAGCAGGATGTCTTTGTCACACGGCCGTCATCACCAGGTTTTTTCTGACATTGAAACAGACACAAGAAGGCCAAGCTTGAAAAGGTCAACACTCTCGGCCTCCTCTACACCATCCAGGGCTCCGACGAGTCGCTCAAGCCGGTGCTGCTGATGGCTCACCAGGATGTCGTCCCGGTTGCTGACGAGTCGACATGGACATACCCGCCATTCGACGCCGTATACGACGGCAAGCTGATCTGGGGCCGCGGAACATCAGACGACAAGAACAGTCTCACCGCCGTTCTATCGGCATTCGAGGCGCTGCTGTCCAACGACGACTGGGCGCCGAAGCGCACCTTTGTGCTGGCCTTTGGATTCGACGAGGAGTGCTCGGGCTACCGTGGCGCCGGCAAGATCTCCGAGGTCCTCAAGAAGCGGTACGGCAAGGACAGCTTTGCCGCCATCCTGGATGAAGGCGGCCTCGGCCTGCTGGAAGTCGGCAACGCCCTCTATGTGCTCCCAGCTGTGACGGAAAAGGGCCACATTGACATCTTCTTTGAGCTGGACGTTGTCGGCGGCCACAGCTCGATTCCCTTCCCTCACACGGGCATCGGCATCATTGCCGAGATCATCACCGAGCTTGAGTCCCACCCCTTCAAGGCCCAGCTGGTGGAGGATGGCCCGGTGCACAACCACCTGCAGTGCCAGGCGCGCTACTCGCCTGACGCGCGTCCGGAGCTTACCGAGCTGGTTCGCCAGGGTGACCTGGATGGTCTCACGCAGTGGCTGGTCAGAGACGGCCGGTCCACGCAGTACGTTGTCCAGACGTCGCAGGCCGTCGACGTGGTCAACGGAGGCCAGAAGATGAACGCCATGCCGGAGAAGACCATCCTGGGCGTCAACTACCGAGTTGCCCACCACAACAGCCTTGCCGAGGTGCAGCACAACGCCGTCCGAAGAGTCGCCAACATTGTCAAGAAGTACGGCCTGACGCTCAAGCCATTCGAGGGCGACGATGACTACGAGAAATACGTCGCCGACCTGAAAACCGAGGAGGAGGAGGACGTCGAGCTGAAAGAGGTCATTGACTACAAGGGCACGCTGATTCTATCGACCAACGGCAAATCCCACCCCAGTCCCATTTCTCCCACGCGCGGTGCCGCTTGGGACGTCTTTGCCGGCACTGTTCGACACACCTTCCGGTTTGACAATGGAACTGTTGTTCCAACGGGAGAGATTATGACGGGCAACACGGATACCCGCCACTACATTGGTAAGCCAGTTCTTGTTGTAATAGAAAAGAGAGGCCATGCTGATGGATCATGACAGGCCTTTCGGAAAACATTTGGCGCTTCACCCCCGACCGATTCCATGCCGAGAACAACATCCACACGATCGATGAGCACTCGCGGGTGGATGGCCACATTGAGATGCTCAAGTTTTACTACGACTTTGTTCGCAACTTTGACGCCGCCAAGTTTTAGGGTTTGGGGACGATGCTTGTACAAGGCTATATATATCCTATGAATTGGATACGTGATAAAGAGAGAAAGAAAGAAACCAAAGAGGCCTCTGTGTCTTTCAGTAGCTATTCCTTCCAAGGCCCAGACGCAACGGGCAGTGGATGTGAATCTTATCATCCACATCCCATCATCAACCGGTCCCAGATCCATATCAATGACATTTCTTCATAAACTCAGACGCCTTCTCCAAAACAAGGCTAAGGCGTATTAACATTACCCCGTCTCTCCCCGATTCTGTAGCTTCTTCCACTTCTGCTACCCCAAATTCCCCCACAAAGATCGAGGCACCAGGTTACCCCATAACCCCCTATCCGGCTCATCGAAATAAGCCGAGGGTAAATCGGACGGTTCTGATTCGCTGCAAAAGCTGGGGAGCGATTCGGTTCCCCCACATGTTGCCGAAAAACGCCCTTCTGGGGTCGTGTCTGAGCCGAAGCTGACTGAAGACGGATCCGATCCAAAGGAGAAAGAAGTGATGAGCATTTCTTTTTTTGACATCTGCAAAGCCGACTCTTGACGGCGTCCCTGCATATGCTGAGTTTTCATCAACCCGGATCCTCTTTCTATCTTGTGCTATAGTAGTGCCTATACCTGGGGCTTTACAGTATTGATTGAATCACAGATCTTGATCCATTTTCCCCAGATCACAAGCCTCCACACTCCGCATCATCAGCAGCCGCGGTGAACCAACACTTCCCCAAGCCACCAAACTTCTACTGCACACATCCTTTCCCCCCTCTCAATCACAACAACATACCATCACTCGCAGCCAAACTGGGAGGCAGGCAGTCATGGGCTCTTCCAAATCCGAAGAAGAAACATCAGGCTCCGGCTCCCCACTCTCGCGCACGCGGCTGCGCGCAAGCCACGCCTGCACCGTCTGCCGCATCCGCAAAGTGCGCTGCGATGTCGTCGTCACCGGCTTCCCGTGCACAAACTGCCGGCTGGACTCGGCCAATTGCAAGGTCATGCCGCGGAAGCGCAAGTGGTATGTTGCCATCGATGAATGTGGAGCGGGTGCTTGTCATTGTCATTGTACCCGGCTGATTCTGTTGGTGACAGGGAGCAAAGGGTGAAGAGAGTGCTCGAGCAGGAGGAAAAGGAGCGCAGAGACCAGTCACGACAGCTCGTTGAAGAGAGAGCCAAGGCTTCCGTTCGAATTCACTCGGATGTGAAAGCGCACGCAGAGGTGAAGCCTGACCCTGCACGGCTTGCCTCTTCCCTCTCGCCACCCATGGCCGGCGCTTCGACAATCCCCGTCTTCCAGCAGGACAGCTCAGACTCTCCATTCAAGACACCAAAACCCAACTTCATGTTCAGTGATGGCACCGTTGACCCAAGCAAGATCGAGGGGCATGCCGGCCATGACACCAGCGGCAATCTTTCTTGGGCGCCCGAATTCAACAGCCATTTCGTACCATACTCCAGCTACAACTTCATCGATGCCGGCTTTCTCAATCAGCTTAGCCATACTGATGTCTCGTACCTGGCAGAAAAGGGCTGCCTGACACTCCCTCCAGAGAAAGTCCTGGAAGAGTTCTTCCATCAGTATTTTGCACATATTCACCCCATCATCCCGCTCCTCGGCGAGGCGGAGTTCTGGGCGGTCGACGCTCGCATTCCCTTGCTCTTGGTCCGGGCAATATTGTTCATTGCATCTCCTGTAGGTCCATGGCAGCAGATGTTGCACCAAATCACTTATAGTTAACATGGTCTCAGTACGTATCAACATCAACTGTACTCAGCCTTGGGTATAGCAGTGTACAAGCAGCTCACTCTGAGCTATACACCATAGCAAAGGTCCGGCAGCTCATGAGTATCCCCTCACATGTCAGCTTCTAACAGATTCTGGGATAGACTCTGATGCAATTCGACATCCACCGAAACAACGTCGTCAACGCGCAAGTAGCCGTCATGCTAACCTACCACTCCCCCACAACAAGCGACACGACAAACACATACTGGATGGTCAACGCAATCCATTACGCTCGATGCGCCCGAGCAGACCAGTACCATACCCTCAGCGATGATAATCCACGAAAACCACACCTCAAACGGCTCTGGTGGGGCTGCATTCTGCGAGACAGGATATTGTCCCTCAGCTTACGCCGCCCCCTGAACATTGGATGCGATGAGTTTGACTTTAGTCTCCCTGGCCTCAGTCTCGCAGACTTTGCGGACGAGATTGAAGTCTCTACGGTGTACGACCGGCCAACGAAGCAGATCCTGGCACACATGATGGCGGCGTTCTGCGAGCTCATCATTCCACTCAACAAGGCCCTCACCATACTCCATCCCGCAGCCGGGCCCAAGACGGTCACATTGGAAACAGACATACAGAAGGAAACAGATGCCTGCGTCGAGACTCTGCGGCTCTTGGATGTCTGGTATCAGAAGACGAGGGAGCGATTTGAGATTTCCACGCCGTCGATTGGCGTCCACAAGTCGTTGACAATGTTCACCAAGATGACTTTCATCTACTATTAGTAAGTTTGCCCTCGGTGTTCAAGTTACAGACAAACCGTACGCTGACAACTATTGCAGCTCTGCGAGGGCGAGCTTGTGCTACCACATGATGCTCCTCTCCGTATCACACCCCAGCCACGCCTCCGATCAAAAGCACGATCTCCAAATACAAGCAGAAATGGACTCTGCCCTCAAAGGCATCACCGGAATCTTCATGCACCTAGCCCGTCTAGGTGTTGTCCAATACTTGCCAAACACATTGTAAGCCCCCCCCCCTTCTAAGCATCTTCCCTCATCTCCTTTCTCATTATCGCTGACATATACCAATCATCAGTGTCGCCCTCTCGGCCATTCCGCTCATCTGGCAAGTCCTCGACGCAAAGATCCTCAACACGGGCACCCTCGCCGCAGACAACAAGCGCGACCTCATGGTCTACACAAACGTCATGAACAAGTTCCGCAGCCTCCATGAAAACGCCGACAACGTCCTCAAGTTCATCAAGCAAATCATCGCACACATCCAAACCACCGAATCCGTCGACATGACGCAGCCAGACTCTCTCTCAGCGCCGCCATCAGAAACATACTTTCCACCAGAACTATTGTCGAATTTTGCTCAGGGAGGTAAACCGCAGCAGCAGCAGCAGCAGCAAGAGACGGACAGCAAGAAGAGAAATATAGGCGGCATTGATGGTCTCACTGGAAGTAGTGGGCCGCAAAGCAAGTGGGCAAAGCTCTTCGCGGGGAATCCAAGGACATATCTGAGGATTGCATTGACGATCCAGCATTCGCTCTCGAGTGGTCATTTCCCGTCCGAGGAAGACTTTCCCAAGGCGTTGCAGATGGTCAAGTTTGCTGAGGAGACGATGGATAACGGGATTGACCTTGGGTTGTACAAGTATTTGCAGCACATGGAGGACTTCTTGCTGTCCGCCTAGCATAACTGAGAGAACCAGAAAATCGCCAGACTAAGGTTTTCGCAGAGTAACTTTTCAGATATACCTGCTCGTATATATCTAACGCCAAGCCGTATCCAAATACCTTATCTTGTGACGTCCGTCTTCTACGCTGATTTCTATTCGCCTTTCGAATAAGAACTCTATAGGGGAACCCCCTCACAAATCACAATAGCGCCAGCAATACCCCATTCAATTCTTTCTAGTTTGACTGACCCCCAGACTCGATATCCTTCTTGGAGTATCCCACAGCCGTCAATGACTGTCCGTTGACCTCGACTGGTTTGGCAGCTATGTGGTCGTAAGCATGTCTTACCATTCTCATTGCCCATTCCTCAAGTAAGAATGACTTACCGGAAAGGATGAAATAAATTCGCGCAGGCTTATCTGTGTTGTTCGTCCACCCGTGTATTGTGCCGCGCTGAACGCAGACGTCGCCTGGCTTCATGTGAATCTCCACATCGTCATCAAGGTGACTACAAGACAATGTCAGACGAACCACGGTTCATCCACGTCCAGAACCCAATGCCAGCAGCGGACATGGACTGCTTTCAGACGTGCAACATACCAAATCACTTCTCCACTGAACAAGATTCCAAAATCCAACGACTCCGTTCGATGAAACAGCATCTATCAAAACATCGTCAGCACCAGCACCAGCACCAGCACCATAAACTCTTGGAAAGATACACACCCCTCACATCGACCCCGCCTCAAGAAAGGGACTCGATGCAGAAGGGCCATAGGTAAAGAAAAAGAAACTCCATAAAACGTACCCCTGCCTTCTCCACATTCGGCGGAATGTCAACAACCCGGAGGACGACGCCCTTGCCATTCGCCAGGTCCTTGGTCCGGACCTTTGTCGGGTCGACCCATTCGTCATTGGACGCCGGGAACTCGTGCGTCTCGTACAGCACGGCGAAGTTGGCGCCCAGCGGAGTCGGCACGCAGGGCACCGTGCCATCAGCCACGACGACGGCCTTGCCTTGCTCGTTGTGGCCGGTGACGATTCGTCTGGGGTCGGGGAACCAGGCAGTCATGGTGAGGTGCGTTTGTTGTCGAATTTGGATGAGCTGTGGGACTTGGTGAAAGGCTGCGTAGTAGTATAATTGGCTTCAAAAGAAAAGGAGGTTCACCGGAGAAATGGACAGGTGAAGTAGGTAAACAAGGACAGGAACAAGAAAACACAGCTCAAGGAGAAGCTTTTGGTTGATTGACGATGATACCTACGCATCAATGGCTGAGATCGAGTGTCGCTGCATCCGGTGAAATAGTTATACTGCAAATCACATGACGTCCAAGACAGCCAACGTGTCACTTCCACTACCCTTTCCATCATGCGGTGTAGCTGCAGAAAACAAAACTGATGGCATGCCGGCGCTGCCAATCGCCCGTCATGCGCAAAATGGTGGTACTACTAGTAGAGGGACGACGCATAGTAGCAGAAAGGAGCCCAACAAGACCACAAAGGGAAGGGGGCAAATGCAGGGCTTGGAATTGAGCATGTAATATGTACGAGCATGTATGTATGTGCCTGATGAAGAATGCAAAAGACGTCCATTCAGATTCGACATGCAGCCCTCAATCCCACGCTCCCATTTGTTGAGATTTTCCAGAGTGGCCTTCCAGCTAAGAGGCCTTCATGCACGCTTCTATCATGCGGGGGGACATGTTGGGAGCGGCAAACGTGGATGAGAAGGGATTGACGGCATGGACTAGCACAAAAGAAGATGAAACTTGCGCCTATCTAAATGATGTAACGCAACGATAGGGTAGAGCCAATGGATGCGAGATATCAATCGCTGTCGCGTTACATCTTGACGTTGCAATACATGATGGTGCTGAAGCAGCTGGGCGTTCTGTTTCGAGGCACTTGTAACGCGATCCGCCCCAACAAACTCGTGCGATGCAGGCGTTGGCTGTGAAATGGTTATAGCTTAGGTATGTATATGATTAGAAGCATCTGTCAAGTTCGGCGACAATTAAAGGGCAATCGCCTTGAGGCGACGAAATGCAGCACCGAGTTGTTCATGTTGGCTGCCTTGACTTCCTTCTGTCCCGCGTCAGCATTTGTCACTCCTACACTCATGAGCTACGAAATCCGCCAGTCTTCTACCCAGGGCATCAGATGAAGAAGAGGAAAAAAAATTGCAAAGGATCATAAAGCTCTTCAAAGGCCGTGGAGAGCGTCCGACTTGCTGTACAAGTAAGCAGCACCACCAAGCTTCAAAGCACACTATTCTTTATGCTTATTTCCTCGAATCAGCCACGCCCTTCCAAGAAGCCACATGCAACATCCGTCATCACGAAGCCTCGCCTGTGATGTCTATGTGAGATGCATGCATGTAAATTCATCTCGACTCTATGTTCCTCTCTTCATACTTCAAGTGCACCTCTGCCAGGGTCCTTTGCATCCGCGGTAGAGCACAAACCAAGGGCACTTCCCAAGCAGATTGGATTAAGCCTAAACGCCTCCAACATCATGCCGGCCATTGTCAAGCCGACGGAATCAATTATAGCCGCACGACCAGAGAACCCATCAGTGCATGTAATATTCTCTTCTATTGTTGTCCGCCCCTATCTCGCACTTGGTGTCTAATTCTGTGTTGGAATTGATCTTGGACACTTTAGGTAGTCAAAGCTGTCAGCATCATCCGCCGATTCCAAAGACGGTAATCAAGGCTGTCATCAACACCCTCCATGTCCAACACCCATGTCCAACTATCGTCATGCAATCACCGCAAAAGCAAAGGCGCAGTTTGATGGCTTTGAAAGAAGTTGCAGGTCATACGCTTCCAAAAGATTGATACGGTCAAATAGACACTTGTATCTGTAACTGCTCTGAGGCTCGTAGGCTAGCTGACAGCAACATACAACATGCAACATCGTGCCGTTTGTCTTGGAGATTCCGTCAAAATGTATACAGCATCTTCCTTACAACAGCTCCCCACGCCCATGAAACTCAAAGATGTAGACCAAGAGATATAGTCCAGATGTCCTGCCGCCTCACAACCGGAGACTATTCATCCGCCAGCTTGGAGTATTCGGTCTTTATTGCCGATCAGGTGGGGGTTAGCCAGCACCCCGGAGATGCCTCACGGTCCGCAACAGCAGCCTTGCAAGTCCTTCAAGTCCGCAGACAGTTAACCCCGGGGCAGCTAAACAGTATCATCCAGAGTTATTTGGCATCAGAAGTGACCCTACCTACACAGACGTTGCGACAACCGCCTGAGAGACAAATCATGACCAAGAGTCAAAAACGCATTAGGAACTACTATCACGATGCCAGACAGACTGAGCCCTCAATTACACCACCTCGGACAAGCTGAGCTTCAGAACCAACTTGTTATCAGGCGATGAGAGTCGTCCCGGATAATTCAAATCACATGTCACCGCTGTATTGCGTTGCATGGGTGCCATCCATGCACTTCCTAGTTCAAGAAGCTGTCAAGAAATCCGCCGCGAAAACGACGAGTGGAGTTTTCTGTTGCAACACTTCATTAAAAAAAAACCACCTAAACCGGTCGATAGCGCAGTTGTGAGGTCGCATATAAAGTCCATGCTCACAGCCGCCTTCACCTCTTCTCCAATTCATCACCAAATCTACAACAGTGAAGCATCGACTGTCTTGCTGAGCATCTTCCGCCACCACCGACCACACACACAGCATCGCCATACAGTATCATTGACCTCATCCATCATGGGCCAGTACATGAGCAACGTCATAACCCAAAACTGGCCTCCAAAGCCTACCTTTACCGAAAAGGAACTGGGCGACATCTCCGGAAAGGTCAGTTCATCCCACAGCAGCAAATAGCAAACATCTCGGATCTTCATACTGACTGACACATCTGTCCCAAAAACCAGGTCGTCATTGTCACCGGCGGATACTCAGGCGTAGGCTACCAGCTCTCCAAGATCCTCTACGCCGCAAACGCAACCGTGTACATTGCCGGCCGCCGCGAGCAAGTCGGGCTGGACGCGATCAAGGCCATCAAGGCGGCTCATCCCGACTCCAAGGGACGGCTCGAGTTCCTGCAGCTCGACCTGGCCGACTTGTCCACCATCAAAGCCAGCGCAGAGGCGTTCCTCGCCAAGGAGAGCAGACTCGATGTCCTTTGGAACAATGCAGGAGTCATGAGTGTGCCCAAGGGCGACTCTGGTCTCACGAAGCAGGTTGGTCTCCTCTGCGCGCGCCACTCATTGAGGTGATGTCGAGATGGTCTAATATTCTATCGTCTAGGGCCACGAATCGATGGTCGGAGTCAATTGTCTCGGCCCCTTCCTCTTCACAAAGCTCCTCCACCCTCTGCTTGAATCAACAGCCAAGTCTTCACCGCCGGGAAGTGTCCGCGTCGTCTGGCTGGGATCCATCATGATCCAGCTGATGGCGCCCAAATATGGCATGGACGTTGACAACTTCGACTTCAAGAAGAGCAAGCCCATGCTCACTACCCGATACTCAATCAGCAAGGCTGGCAACCTCTTTATCGGTAGCGAGTGGGCCAAGAAGGATGCCAAGAACGGCATCTTGCATCTGGTACGTTGAGCACCCAGTCATCCCCATTTGCAAGCATCCTACCTAGGCTTGCTGACCTGTCTCTCGCTGCACAGACTGTGAATCCCGGCAACCTCAGGACGCCTCTCCAGCGCGGCATGTCCGTGTTCGAGAAATATGCAATCGTAAGTCATTTCACATCACAAAGGGACTCAACATAACTATGGCTTGGCATGCTCACTCCGACCCCAGACTTGGCTTCTCCACGAACCCATCTACGGTGCCTACTCAGAACTATTCGCGGGCCTGTCGCCCGACGTCAGACCCGAGGACAGCGGGCGGTTCATCATTCCCTGGGGCCGGTTCGGCACGACACGCCCAGACATTGACGCAGGAGGCTTGGTTTCCCAGAATGGAGAGCCTTCGAGGGCGGCCAAGTTCTTCGAGTACTGCGAGGAGCAGACAAAGGCTTACGCGTAATTGTTTGGCTCCCATCTCGATCAGAGATGGTGTGATGTCGTGTCCTTGTGGCTTGGTATTCTTTGAGAAAAGGGAGGTTTGCAATTGGCAGGTCAGTGTTGTTGTAATGTTATATTCTTTGAAGATCACTTAGCGTCATCATCTTTCTTTGCAGCACAAATAGAAACATTCTGATACTATATGACGTTGAAGGGCGTGAAGCATCCGAGACCGTGACTTATCATGAAACCAAAACGTTTCCACAGCTTTGCGCAATCCGTATCGAAAATGCCCAACTGCCATCTATCGATAGCAGCCCAATTGCCTGTCAAAGCAAGGGAGCAGGAATAAAAAAAAAAGGAATCCTTGCCCCTGACGATCATTTGCGTCCACCAAATTGATTCAGTGCAACAATTGCATCGGCAGATCCTGATCTCGCTACATGATTGATATGTCGTGGGACTGGCTGAGCCATGAGGGGGGGTGGTTACGCATGCGAGAAGGACGACTGAGACAAGAAAGCTTGACTGCGGAAGCACATTGTCAAAGGAGGGCGACACAGGCAAACAGGGTTGCGAACGACGAGCGGGTCAAATTAGACAAGATCGCCGGCGGCTCCCACAGTCAGACAGGTTTCAGCAACTGTTGCAGATGTTGTATCAAACCAAGGTTCACATATTCTCCTCGATAGATTCAAGACAAAGATCTGAAGTTTGGTGAATGGAGGCGAGCAGATGGGATCTGTGCTGTGTAACGTGTGTGTCGCGGCATTGGCTCAGCAGGGCTGAGGACGGTTGGACGGCCGTTGATACCGCGTTCGTCCAAGGTCCTTGGCATGCAGGCACGGTAGATGCAGATGCAGAGTCATGCAATCGCCGATTCGCCACAGGAGTCATCTCGGATCAGGCAATTCAGGAACACACGGAGAAGGTTTGTGCCAGACAGCGTTTCCAGGCCTGCCGGCGACTGCCACCGGGCCCTGACATGAATCGTACAGCTGCGCGCCGTTGGGGGAGCATTCTCAGGTCCGCGAGTTCCTCACCACCTCTTGCGTGTAGTAGTATCAATACGAGCTTCCAGTAGCTCTAGCTCTTGGTAGTGGAGGGACGGGCAAATCATGGAGATATCTATTAATATCAACGATTGGATCCGCAGCCGTTCAGGAGCGTGACAGACAAGATTTTCATGGTGTGCCTTGGAAGTGGACTGGCCAGCCGCCAACGTACGTGGGCCTCGTTGGTGGTGGGTTCCGTGATGTGCTTCGTGCTTGGGGCTAAGCTTTCCGGGCTCGGTCCGTCCAGGGCCCCCCTGAAGAGAGCTCGGACAGGGATGGAGCGGGCCAAGGAGCCGGGAGCTGTTTTATCTGAGCTTGCTTGCTTGTTTTCGGACTCATGCAAGAAGCCGTTTGTTGGGCATCAATCAAGATACGACGGCTGAGTGGTGGTGTTTCGAATCGGCGGAAGCCATCTCAACTGCCGGCGTAGCCAGTCGTATATAGTACCTTGGGCTGACCGGTCGGTCGTCCAGTGCCAGGGATCGGTGAGAGCGACGCATAATGTTGCATGATGTATGTACGAAGCAGCAAGCTCCTGATAATGTACGATACGAGTGTTAGTCTAGTATCATCTGAGCTGACAGGCACAGATAAGCTCCTGGGCACCATCCGATAGGTTCGGCCACGACTCAAGATGCCCGGCAGAAGCATTCGAGAAGCTATCTGGACAGCGCGAAGCTTGATTGGCGTATTCGTCCAAGGCAGATGCTGGCGTTCCATGTGGCGACCCTTGCTGGATCCCTAGCAGCCTCTTATCGAGGCTAATGATAGTACGTGGCGAGCACTAGAGCGGACGAGACGGAATCTTCAAGTCAAGCCGGTCAAATGTACTCGTAGGTGCCTGACAGGGCGGCTTGCATTATCATCCAGAGGGGAAAAACGAAGGGAAAAAAAGTGGTGCAGATGGCGCAAACAGGAGATACGATAGTTGCAGTGCAGCAGTACTATGCAGTATCATCGCCACCGAGCCGAGCGGGCGTTTGCCGTGCCATGCCGCCAGATACACCGACCGTATAAGCCGGCCGTATGGACGCCGATGGAAAAACACGCAACTGGTGACTGAATCCTCGGCGGACAAACACATCAGAACAGACGAGAAGAAACGACGTGACGTGTAGATCGAGCCCGATGGAAGCCCGCCTGGTGTCAAGATGACATATGTGGTTCACCGATAGATGTAAGAGGCTGGTGAAGTGAAGCGATTCGCGGCTAGCAAGCACCGTCTCAAGCCCCGGAGCATTGCTGGAGAAATGCGATTCGTCGGGCGAATCTGCACGTGCGATAAGCCCACGCGGCCAAGCCCAAACAGGCAAGCCGAGCCCTGCCTGGCCAGCCGCATCTTGGCCAGCAGAACCGCTTTTCCGCTCCACCTGCAAAACTTCTCTCCATCACGCCCGTCCTGTCGACCCGCCCTTGGTGTCCTGTTCGCTTCGTGTTATTGCTGCTATTTGCCATCTTATGCCCTTCTATGCGCTCGAATCGCCGGCCATGCCGCCCAGACTACCGATTGCACTAACGCTCGGCTCGTTGGCTGCCAAAAAGTGTTACTACGACCTTCCAAGGCAAGGCGAGCCGGGATGGGCTGGGCCTGGCTGACCGAGACCGAGAGACTATCAAGTCATGGCAAGTCATGGCCAGCAAACGGTGGCAAGCATACCTGGTACAGTACTGTACTTGTACCTACCGAGGCGGGACTCAGTTGACAAAGAGGCCGATCAGCAGATGCACTTGTCACCGTTGTTGTTGATCACGGAAGCCAACTGGATCTTGCCGTAGACCAGCCGATCACGTCAAAGGCAAACGATGGCGGGCAGGCTGGATGGAGCAGAATCGATGGCGAGCATATGTAGCTCGTACATACAGCAAAGCAAAGCAAAGCACACGGCATGGAGACGGAGACGATGGAGCTCGGCGGAAGGGTCAAGGAAGGGCCAAGGGGGAAGCGAAAACCGGGGATGGAGGAGAAGTGGCTTCCGCCCATGTTCCTGACTCTGCAAGCCGCTTTGCTCATTTTTTCACACACCCCCTCGCCTCGCCTGCCATTCTTTTCACCTCCGGCATGCTGCTCGACGTTGGATTCCTCCTCCTCGGCAATCCCCCCACCCTCCGTCTCGCCATCGTGGCTGTAATTGCAAATCTAACTGGGTCCGGGACCCAGACAAGCTTTTTCTGCTGGCTGACACGATACCCAACCGGTATCAAGGATCACCACGCCTAAGGGGGGGGGGAGACACACATTCCAGACCTGCCAGAGATCCGGACGCTCATTACTCATCTTCCATTTTCTTCTATCGTTTATTATCTACGCGTGCTCATGCATCCGCGGTAGCCTGTCTCTTTTTTTTCCAAGACTACTATGCTCCCTCGTCTCCCTTCTTCTGGCTCGAAAGCCCCTCCGTAAACCCTGAGACAGGTCTCAGAGCCGACCGCACTGGCAGTTCGGCACCCCACAACAATGTCAACAGATCCCAAAGGATACGCAGATGTCTACGATATTCCTACGCCGCTCCGCAAGGGTAAGAAGAGGGTCGGATGGAGAGAAGATGGATCGGGGCCGCTGTCGGAGAGGTCATCAGCAAACCTCTCAGCTGGCCCGGCCGGCAGAGCGGCTGCCTCTCCCAGCAGCGGCGACTTGCTCATGACGGATGCGCCTTCATATTTTGAACACTCACCTCTGGCATCGCCCATCCCCATCCCGCGAGACACTCCCCCCGGAGCCCCAGATGCCCAGGAATTGAGACTCGCCTTAAACAAGGTGCTGCTGACCGAGGAGGAGCAGCAGCCGCTCCAGCGTTCGCACACGTCACCGGCAGCCACGCCGAGCACTGGAGAAGCTTCTTCTACGGCCCCTACCGCCCCAAGGTTGCCCAGGCCCGTCCTGAGGCGCAACACCAGCTACAACGCCCAGGAACAGGAGGAAGCCGACCAGGCAGAGAAGCTCGCCACGGAGCGGCAGCTTCGATCCATGACCGACGCACGGCAGCGCGCCAATCTGTTGGCCGTGTCGGTGGGCGCCCTCTACTCGCAGTCTGCCCCAGGCTCGAGACGCAACTCGTTTGAGCGTGAGCGGTCATTCCAGCAAGTCTCAGACGATCGTGATCCAGACCTGGATGACGCTGTAGTGCTCTCTCCCAGTACGAGCACTACCCCTATTATCAGGGAACCTACCACGACCAGCGCGCACACCACCACTCATCGCACCCCCCATAGCTCCCGTCTGTACCAGCCGTACCGGCCATCTGAAAAGCATGAGGAACGTGAGGAGCATGAGGAGCAGCACGACGGAGCGCAGAGGCTCAGCAACTCCCATGCTAAAAACCACCTGTTCCACCCGCATCACTCGCCGACGTCCGGACGCACAACTCCCGTGACAATGCAAAACTACGTCCAAGACTACGTTCCCAGGCCCGTCTCGTATCGTGGAGGTATCCTCTCTCAGCTGCTCAAGCTTCATATGCGCGATGAGAACGGCGCCCACCACGGCCCAAATAGCAGCGGCTTCACCACTCCGACCACTGCGCCCTCGACGCCCATGATGTCCCCGAATCCCTCGCCTCCGTCCTCGAGACGCCCTTCCACCGTCAGCACCGTCCGCTCGCGCTCATCTAGCCGGCTGCGAGGCTACCACAAGTCTCACGGCTCCACCTCGTCGATTGCCCTGTCCGAGCTGCTCAAGTCGTCGTCCATGTTTGCCGCCCCAGGATCCACGGAAATTTCTGACCGTCTGGTGGAGAAGATGAAGAAGTCCAAGTCGTCAAGGCCCAAGAAGGAAGATGTCCGCATCAAGGTTCACATTGCCGGCATCATCTCACGCCACAGGTACCTGCTGAAGCTATGCCGTGCCCTCATGATGTATGGCGCCCCGACCCACCGCCTCGAGGAGTACATGACAATGTCGTCCCGAGTTCTCGAGATCGAGGGCCAGTTTCTGTACATTCCCTCCTGCATGATTATCAGCTTCGATGACAGCACGACCCATACGGCGGAAGTCAAGATTGTCCGAGAACCCCAGGGGATTGACCTCGGCCGCTTGCGAGACGTCCACAATGTCTACAAGGATGTAGTCCATGACAAGATTGGCGTGGAGGAAGCGACCCGCCGTCTCGACGAGGTCATGAAACGAGGTCCCAAGTTCAAGACCTGGTTCCGTGTCTTCATGTACGGCCTTGCGTCCGTCTGCGTTGCGCCTTTTGCCTTTGAGGGCCGCTTCATCGATCTACCCATTGCCTTTATCCTGGGCTGCCTGGTTGGCCTCCTCCAGCTGGTCCTCGCTCCGAGCAATCCGCTTTACTCTCACGTCTTTGAGGTTTCCGCCGCCGTGGTCACCACCTTTTTGGCTCGCGCCTTTGGATCCATTCAGGGCGGGAAGTTGTTTTGCTTTAGCGCTTTGGCCCAGAGCAGCATTGCCCTGATCCTCCCCGGTTACATGGTGCTCTGTGGATCTCTCGAGCTTCAAAGCCACAACATCGTCGCCGGTAGCGTCCGCATGGTGCATGCGGTCATCTACACCCTCTTCCTGGGCTACGGCATCACCATTGGAGCTTCCTTGTACGGCATGCTGGACGCGAACGCGGCGAGTGCGACGCACTGCGAAAACCCGCTCAGCGACAACCGCGGATGGAATTTCCTCTTCGTTCCGGGCTTCACGCTGTGCCTCTGCATTATCAATCAGGCCAAGTGGAAGCAAACGCCGGTCATGACCCTCATGTCCATTGCGGGCTTTTGCGTCAACAGCTACTCGAGCACATTCTTCGAGAGCAATAGCCAGATCTCTAACATGCTGGGCGCCCTCACTATTGGTCTCCTGGCCAATCTATACTCAAGACTTGGCCGACATGTGCAGAACGCCTGCCTGGACCTTGTCGAGTGGTGGCAAGCGCGAGTTCAGACGAGGTTCTCTAAGAAAAAGTCGCCGATGCCTCCGTTGCCCGACGTGGAGTCCAGCGCAGGGCCTCCTCCGGAAGAGCCAGAGCGAAAGCCCAGGAAAGTGGGCTACAGCCTTGCCGCCGCCGCCATGCTCCCGGCCATCTTTGTCCAAGTGCCCTCTGGTTTGGCAGCCAGCGGTTCGCTGCTGGCTGGTGTCAACTCGGCCAATCTGCTCAACAACAGTACGGGACACTCCTCCAATAACCAGGTCGACGGCACCGCCTTTACGGTCTTGTTGAGCGTCATCCAGGTGGCAATCGGCATCAGCGTAGGCCTGTTCATGAGCGCCCTGATTGTGTATCCTGTGGGCAAGAGGAGGAGTGGCTTGTTCAGCTTCTGATGCAGCATGCGAGGATTAGAAGTTACCTCGATTCTTTGCTTCCTTTCTATTTCTTCTCCCTTTTCTCTTTACTTTCTTTAGCGTTGGCGCGCAGTATCCTCGTCACTTTTTTTTTCTCTTTTGTCTTCATGGAGTTGTCTTGATCAGGGGTTCACACAACGCTCATGCTATAGAGGCCAGGGATTTCGGGGGGGAGTGCTACGAATACTCTTCACAACATGCGGCTTCCCATACAGCGATGCGGGCATCCATACAACAGAGCAAGCGGTCCTTATTTCACTTTGTTTTTTACTTTTATTGGCTTTTGACAAGTTATTTAGCGTGTTTGGTTCTTTTCCTTGATGGGAGTTGTCGGGGTTTTCTTTGTCGCATACGAGCAGGTGTTTCGGGCCATTACAGCAGATTTTGACAGAAGAACATACATAGAATAGATACGGAGTAGCTTTTTCTACATTGACATACTTTATTCGTCATTACCACATGAGTATGCTGCCACAAGTTGGCAGACGATTAACAAGACCACTGAAACCTGAGACTGTGCCATGATAAACTGCAGGTCACTCTCCTCTCACGAGATTACGTAGGGTCTTGACTTGATTGTCATTCACTCTTGTGCGATCCCTGATTGTTCCCGCCACCACGGCTTATCGTACGCCCCCCCTTACCGGCGTAGTACTACATAAGTCCCAAGGGAGGGCGGTTGGAATGAAGGGACTGAAACGGTCCTCACAGCCACGTGTTTCCGAAGGTCAGCTGGGTCTGGAGCAGACATCCTTTGAGTTGCGAGTGTGAAATGACGCCTGGGGAGGGAATGTGTGAGGTTGGGATGTGGAATATGCGGGGGAGAGACATGTGACGGCCCCGGGGAGGGAGAGAGGGTATAAATGCCTTGAGGAGAAAGGGGTTTTGTGTTTCTCTGGTCTATAAGCAGAACGAGAACATGATGGAGTGTATCCATAGATGTGAGGATATGGGTATATATGTTCAGACGGTTACTTATTGTTAGGTATACGGACTGTTAAAGGAGTATTATCATCATGTAGAGAGCATAGAGCACATTGGGCTTGAACAACATGTACTGAAAGTATCATCAGACATTTCGAAGCACCATATCTGAAACAGTCGAAACATCACACCGACTGGTATGTGTCAGTTAGTCCTTTTTCATCATCTCTTTTTTTTTTCCAAACTTTCACCAAAAACTCAAATCATCAGGGTCCCCTCCACCGCGTCAAGGGGTGTGTTTGCTGTCTTACTTCACGGGGAAGCAAGGGATCATCATACTATCTCATGTATGTATGTCTGTACCCAAGAAGGTGTGATGCGGTGGAGATGGCAAAAGCAAGACCTAGCACGAATTACGTTTATGTTTGTGTCTTGTTGGTATGAGGGGGGCAAAGTGAATATGTGATCGTGTGACGTTTGGGGTGTTGGAAAAGTGTGTGTGTTTGGTATACGAGGCGTTGTGGCTTTTGGATGTCATAGGGGCTTGATTGTGATGGATGGATGGATGGATGGTAGCTAAGATGACTTTGTGATTGAGGGGAACATGTGTTGTGAATATCAAGGTACTAGTAGGGGATTATCATGGAAGTGAGGGTGCTTCAAGTGCTGGGCGTGGAAGAGAGGTGTGGTCAGCACGGATCTGTCTCTCCTGGCGTCTCTCGTGAAAGCGTCTTTCTGGTCATTCTTTTCGTCTTGACTGTGTCACAATACACATCACAGTATCGATCCATTGACTCTATGCATCCTTATCGCTATGATGTCAGTCTGAGGCTCATCTGATGTCGATAGTTGATTGAGACACTCAGTGCTGTCATCCGGTTAATTGTTCGCGAGTTGCGGCTGGGGTTTTATGCATTTACCTACATCTTGGACATGCCTAGGCAAGTTCTTCAGCGTTGTAGTTCGTCGTGCAAAATGATCAGTGAATGCTGCTGAACAGATTACCACCACTCGAAGTCACGACAACACAAATCGCCTATCTTATACTACATTTCGAAAAATAAAAGAGGTGAATGGTATTCTTGAACTTATTCTCTTGATTCTGCTTTTCATGGGGTTCGTGATTCTTATCGGTTCTGATGGTTCTGCCTTACCCTGCAAAAAGACGTCCAAACGCCGCCTGGAGGACCAAGCGACTCCCCCCGACTACCGCATACATAGCTCAGGGCTTCAGCCCACATCAAAACAAGACATTATTCTCATAGCCCCATGCCCAACAATAATCAATATTGATCAAATTCGGCTTCAATCTGCTCTTTTCATGCCGCAGTGTGGCCTTGATGCAGTCTAAAGTGGTTGAGGTTGATAAGGCACTCTTCTGGATCTTATTCCCGTCAAAGTCATCGGCCAAATGGTCTAGTGGTATGATTCTTGCTTTGGGTTCCCAACTCAACTGCAAGAGGTCCCGTGTTCAATCCACGGTTTGGCCCAAGCATTGTCTTTTTGCCTTTCACGTCCCTCATCTCACGATGCTCTTCTCTTTTTGCTCAAGTGATGTACTGAATCATCGTGCATCATGGAATTGCTTCTTCAACTAGCTACCGTCTGCAAGGTATCGAGTATTTGATTATCGTCTATAGATTGCTGTTTTAGTTCTTGTTGGCGTGGTGCAGGCATGCCCACGTTCGTGCATCCAAAACTGCAAATATCATCTAGAATTCATCATCAAGCAGTCCAACTGATCTAATCCAACACTCGCAACATATCATACGCTTTATGCGAGACCGCCTTCTTGAGCACAGCCAACGGATCCGTCTTGCCCTTCTTTGCCTCCCCAGGCGCAGCAACCTCCACCATATCCCCCTCCACAACCTCGCCCCCATCACCATCCTCCTCCTCCTCGGCCTCGTCAAACATGCCATTGTCCATAAACACCTTCAGCATCCCCTGCGAATACCCGCTCACCAGCGCCGTTCCCTTCTCCCCCGCAAGCACCGGCTTCGGAGCAACCTCATCCCCCTGCCCTCCTCCGCCACCACCGCCATAGCCCGCCCTGCCACCGGCCAGGTTCCAAAACACCAGCTCTGGCATCTCGTACCCGTGCTCCTCGTACTTCGCCTTGATCCTCTCGTACGAAGAAGCCCACGTTATCTTGTCTTTGTCCCCATGATGCCCATAATAGCCCCGCTCCGCGGCATCAAACTGCATATCGCTAAACACAAACACCCGCTTCAGCATCTCCTCCCTCTTGAGCCCCTTTTCCACCGCCGTCGGAAGAATCAAGTCCTCAAAGACGGCCACGAAATTCGTATTCATGGCCCAGTCCGCACCCATCATGTTCCGAATCTTGTCGCCCAGCGACAGCCTCGCATCAATGGCCTGCAACTGCGGCCGCGAAGAAAACGTGATGAAGTGCCCCCCAAACGGCGGCTCCGTCACCTCCGCCACGAGGAGCGACAACCCGACCGCAGAATGCATCGGCGTCGTGCCATCCTTGAAGACGGGGCCCGTCATGCTGGCCGAGACGTCGCAGACCGCGATGCATGATGACAGGGTGCCCGAGTCCTTGATCCGCTGGACGAGAGTCTTCCACTGGCTGTCGACGACCTTGGCCTCAAGCTCCATGATCTTGGCGTCGATGATCTGCTGCGGGCGGAGGCTTGCCAGGATTGATGCCGAAGGGATGTGCTCCGATGCGCTGCGCACCATGGTTGAGGGCATGAGGACGGCGCCCGAGATGTTGGCCTTTCCTTCGGCGACTTTGCCGAGATACTCTTCAAAACGATCGAGATCCTTCTGGACGAAGAGTTTGGTGTAGTTCCTCATCGCAATGGACGGCACGCGGTCGTACTTGATCTTGTCAAACGTCTGAGCACTGATATCCCGCTCGACAACCTCGAGGTACTTCCTCAGCGCGGACACGTCCTTGCGGTACTGCTCCCGCGCATACCGGAGATAGACCTCCCTGCTGACATCCGGTGCAGAAGAGACGACGACGACGCTGCCGAGGGACTCCCTGGGGTACATGATTTCGGCAATGGAGCTGATGATGGAGGTATGTCTGTCGTGAAAGTTGCCGTGCGAGGGAGCCCACTTTGCGCAGAGCGAGATGTTCTTCCTCGCCCTGGGGTCGGCATGTCCAAGGGCTGCCAGGTCGGACTGGAGCTGCTCGGCGAAGAGACGTGCAACGGTGACATGCAGAGCGCGATACACGGGGTCGGAGTTGAACCTCTCCATGGCGGCCTCATGACGACTGTCCCGCTCGCGATGTCTTTCCAGCTTGGCCTTTTCAACCCTTGCCGCCTCCTCCTCTCGTTTCTGCTCCTCCGTCTTGGCCGCCCTTTTGGCCCTCTTCTCCTCTCGCAGGCGGTACGCCTCAAAGCCCTCCCTCTGCTGAGCAAATTCCGGGTTCCCAATGCGTACAGTCTCTTCCTCGAGGGCATGTCTGGGTGGCGCCACAGTCTTCTTCTGCACGCGCGCCTTGTTCTTGATAGGCTTCCCAGCCCTCCTCTTAGCAATACTCTTCCTCCCTCCTCCTCCCTGCCGCCTCGCAATCACCGCATTCTTGATGATCTCGTTTTCCACATTCAACACACTCCTCGGATCCTCAAGCACATCCAACTTCTTCTCCATCCCCAAAACAAGAATATTCAGCAAATCCTTCCAATACCCATGCGAAACGCCATACCGCACATCAAACCGATCCACCGCATCCTCATCCCCCTCCCGCTTCTCAATCTTGACAAACCCTTCGTCCGCCTCGTCCTCCTTACTGCGTACCACCTTCTTCTTCTTCTCGATCACGGGCCGACTCAGCCATCGCAGGTTGCCAATCAGTGTGAGCGGGTGATTCTTCGCCAACCACCCTGCAGCTCGATAAAACACATGCTTCGAGCTCTTGCCCAGATGAATCGACCGCGCGTTGAATATCGTCTTCAACGTGATGAGCGGATGGACCGCCCACGCCGCATCGAGCAGCTCCTTCAAACGCTCCCCGGAAACAACCTCCTCCATCTCGTAGAACAAGTCGACCAGCGCATTCTCTGTAGATCGGAACGCAACGTCTGCGTTTTCCGTCAACATTCGGTTCGCAAACTCCTCGTCGTCTTTCTTTGCGTCGCTTGTTGATGGCGCTTCTGCTTCGCCGGTCAATGTGATGCCGTCCATCGAGTCTCCCACTTCCAGGCTCTCCAAGGACAGCACCCCGTAGTCACCCCGCAGCTCGTCGGAGAGATGCTTGTCAAAAGCGGCTGGCGACTTGAACAGGTCTTCGTGAGAGGGGAAAAGGACGGGATAAGATGTCTTGAGGAACCAAGGCACCTCTTGGGCCTGATCCTCTGCTGCGGCCATGGTGTGAGTAGCCGAATAAAGCGAGTGGTGGCCTGTAAGACGAAGAGCGAAACAAAGATTGAGACAGGAGAGGGCAGATCCACTCGTTCTATAGCTATATATATTAGATTGAATCCCCCTCATTCCGCGATTATATGCACATCTTGTCAAGCGGGTAGTCATGTCGGCGACGTTTGCCTCGTCCAAAAGAAGCTCGCCGGAGTGACTCAGACGGCATGCAGGCAGAAGCCGCACAGATCGGAAAGGGAATAAGCGTTGGGCTCAGCTCACACAACCAAGCTCAGTGATTGGACAGACAGCGACGGACATCACACAAAGCGAAGACACAACAACACTGTTGCACATGTGGCTTTTGATGCGTCTGCTGGAGTGATGGTTAGGTTAGTATGGGAAATGAAATTGCGAGGCCGATTGGGGGCTCACGCCGATTCTAGCGTGCAAAATGGGCGGAATCTTGAGGCTCATCCCAGGCGCAAAGAAGAACAGTAACGACAAGGTATCAATATCAAGAATTCATCGACTGTATTGTGTGTTGGTGAGAAGAAGAAGAAGAAGAAGAAAAAGACTATAGATGGTATCTCATAAGGTAGACATCATTGATTAGTGTAAACATTGTAGAAAAAAATGCCATGCAAGCTTGGTGATGGATGCATCCGCTGGCTAATGGTAGAAACACATGAGAAATCATCGAAATCCGTCGAAAATCAGCAGACCTCCTCCACAACATGACGCTGATAATGCATGTGATTGTACATGTGCCTTGTAACATGAGGACATATGCGTGCTGTGTGCTAATGCTGTGTGTGTACGTGCTCAGAGACGCTTGGAGATCATCTCCAGATACTGCTGCTCCTCCTGGGTCAGATAGATGTGCTCCGGCACAATGACATGTCCCGGCTTGATAATGATATCGGCGGCGTAGATTCGGTCTTCCCTCTCCTCTTCATTTTCCTCTTCATTCTTGGCGGCGGAGGTGGCTTCCACGTCCGACACATATCTGTCTTCTCCGCTGCTCGCATCTGCGGGCTTGACTTCTTCGGCCTTGACTTCAGCAGCCTTCTTGTTGGACAACCGCCGGCGGAACATGGAGTTGGGCTGTCTCAAGTCTTCCGGAGCCCACCAGTAGACGGGGAACTGGCGCTCAATGTTGTTAATCACAAGCGCCGCACCGAGCATCAGGCTGCATCCCAGCAGCATGACTGGAATCAGAAACCACCCGACTTGGATTAGAGTAGGGTCGACCACGGCCAACAGAGCCGTCGCACCGGCCGGCGGGTGAACCGTCTTGGTCAGTGCCATGAGGGCGGTGGCTGAAGCGCAGGCCAGGGCACCGCCCAGCCACTTGATATCTTCAAAGTTGTCGCTGAGAAGGAAGAGCTTGCCTACGGCACAGCCGACAATGGCGGAGATGACTTGTCCACCGATGGCATTTCGCGGCTGTGCGAGAGGTGATTCAATAACGTAGAATTCAAGGACAGCAGCAGCGCCCTACACGCGGTCCTAGTCAGTTGTGAAGGCTACGAATATGTGTGCACATGCTCGTGCCCTTACACAAGTTTACATTCCGGGGGGCTGACTTACAAAACTGCCCACGATCAAAGGCACGTGGTGAGGAGGAAAGGAGGCAACGTGTTTCCCAACGGCTTCAATCATGGCAATAGCACCAAAGACGCCGATGAATGCCCAGAACACGGGCATCAGGTTGCCCGTGCTCTGGGGCTTGGTCTTGCGATAACCAAACCAGTAGGCGATGGGATACGGGATGTGGTTCCATGGCGGAGGAGGTATGAAGGGGTTGAGGAACCGGTCAATGTTGAAGTTCCAAGAGTGGTGGCGGGCCGGCATGATGGCGCCTGTTTCTATGCGTTACGGGCGATGCTGGTATCAGTCGAGAGGGTAGAATATGACTTGGGAGGCAGATATAGACAGAGTCTCTAGTGGTGCTTGGCGGAATAAGCGAGGCTGGTGGTGAGACAGTGCTGAAGAAGCGAAGGGAGCTGTTTGGCGGTTGAAGAGAGCTGAGGCTCCTCTGTCATCAAGTATTGCCGGGGGGGTTATGAGGGCGTTGGTCGCATAATATACAGATGCCTTCGTCTCAAAGGAAATAGCGGGAAGTACAAAGAGACAGTCGAGAAGAAGCCGAGATGATGACAAAGTAGGAGAAGAGAGAAAATTTGAAATGCAAAACAGGCACAAGGAGATGCTGTCCCGCGGAGATTTGTTGGCGAGCTGCGTCCAGAGATGGGGAGCAGCAGAGCGGCCAGGCTTGAACAGGCGTCGAGGTCGCAAGTACACGTCGCGTACCCCTGGAATGGGCGGGACTGGCGGTGCGCAGGGACACAGGAACAGGCGGGAGGTATCCGGTACGCAGCGAGTACAGGGAGCAAAGACAGCGTTGACAAGACTGCCGGAAGTGAAGAAGCAAAGAGACGCTTGGCTCGCCGTTGCCCTCAGGAAGGAAACAAGAAAAGCAGCCACTCAGAGGCAAAACTGGTACGTAAGAAAAGCCAATCTGCTGTGCGAGTACGTCTTTGGGAAGCTGCAGCCCTGCAGACGCTTGTTGCGGGAGAGGAGGTGCTAGCGAGTGGAGAGGGACAAGTAGGTACTTTTGCGTACTGGGGACTTTATTGCTTGCGATTCAGGCATTGATGGCTGTTGGTGATGGGGGTTTGTCGGGTGCGTTTGAAGGCAATGCAACCCAAAGATCACCTCAGGTATCCGTATAGGTTTGCATTGCATTTCCCCCTCAAATTGTATCACTGCCTAAATGGATGTTTCTCGGTTCAGATACCGCTGCTCTCTGTGCTTCTCACCGTCTTCAATAATGCATTGTCAGTATTACGGCTTCTATTATCGTCGGTGTGACGAGAGTCAATAGAGAGTCATGTGTCATACAGCCACAGCTTGCCTAGCAACTACCTTAGGTACTCATATACCTTGCCTACCTACTATGTATTGTGCCACCGTCAACCAATTCACATTCGTACAGCACAGGGGTCAAGCAGCATTTCCTAGACAAGTCGCGGTACTTGTTCGATACTCACCCGCCTTCGGCTTTGGCTCGGCATGAGATCTCCGGGCTACTCCCGCTCCAGCAAATCCCTGCCCCAAGACGCCAAACGAAGCAGCAAATCGGAATAATATAGAGGCGAATCGTGAGGGAAACGGCATCTCTCCGCGGGATCGTGAATCTCGTCGCTCATACTAGGCACTACTGCTAGTAGCACTGCAGATGAGGTTCGTCATCTGAGCCAAGACGCCTGAATTCTCCGAATCGCCATCACCGGCCCCCCTGCTTCCGGATCTCTCGCCCTTTGGTCATCATCTTCTTTCTTCTCCCTTGTCTCGATTCTTCTTCGTCCCCTTCTTGGTCCAACCCCAGCAGTTGTGACGTGCCGAGGTCCACCTAGCCGAGATCAAATCGACACCCGATTCTCCTGATCCTAGCCTCGACGCTTTTCTTTTTTTCTTCTTTTCTTCTTTTAGCTCGCTGACGGGCCACTCGCAGAAACCTTCTGCAAGGGGAAACGCCATGTTCTAGAAGAAAAGCCGTCGACACTGCCGAACAGTGGTACTAGTCAGCTCAGGTGCTATGACCATCACGACTACCCATTCTTTCATCTGCCACTTACATTGTCGCCATGTTCCTTGACCGCTGCTCTCCTCTCTCTTGACCTGATATACGAAGAGTCATTTCTCAGCTGTTCCTTTCTGTCAAAATTCAATAGCTATTCCTGGTTTGAAGCGGCTCTTTGTCAACGGGATCCCACCAGTGACACTCGGCTGATCATACAAACAGCCCACTGCCCCGTTTGCCTGTGTAAACATTGTATATCTTCTGAGGAAAAGGATACGATTCCGGTATGTATTGCCAGGTAGGTGCTACGTAGTAGGTAAGGGAGATAGTAGCACCAAAAGCAATTCAATATCTCGGCAATACCAGAGTCCCATCCCATTCTACAAGCCGTCACTCGCTCTCGTCAAATTCCATCACGACAAACTTTCATGTTTGCATGTTCCAAACAGCATTGCTGGATGTACCTATTCAATTGTAGTCCCGTTTGTCAATCATACATACTTACATATTGCCCATTCACGCAGTCACTTTTGCTCCGTGCTTCATCTGCACAGAGAGCATCTGTCCAACATGACTTCTACTGTGATTCACTCTCAACTGGACTGCTGCTGTATTCAGGCACCTGGATGGCATAGCAGAGATTCTGCCAGCCTGAAGAAGGCAACTGCTGCACGCAATCAACTCCAACACTGCAAAGAGCGACTCACCGCCCGCGGCCTCTGCACTCCTTCTGCCTTAACTTTGCCTCCCGTCTTGCAGCTGCACTCTTTTTCCATCTCTTCCACATCTATCCCGCTTCTATTCAGAGTTCAAACTGAATCGAGTTCCTCGAATCTTGGTGCAAATGGATCCTCGAGTCGCAGACCGGCTCATCGACCTGACGCCTCCTGCGTCCAAGGCCGCATCGCCCACCGCTGATTCTGCCTTGGCAGGCCACAAACAGGATGGAAGAAATGCCCTCTTGATTCAGTTGGAAGACGAACCCGCAACCCCCAGTGGCACTGGTCATCCAGTTGTTCCCTCTGGTCTACCGTTGGTTGCTGCTCCTGAACAAGACCCGGCAGCCGAGACACCCACTCCCAACAACGCCAACAAGATCAAGAGCGAAGAAAACAAGGTCCATGAACAGCCAATGAGAGGAGCCAGACATCTCAATAAAGTGCAAGAGATTCAGAATGCACTATGGCAAGGGCTCCATCAGCTGCAGTATATCGTATTTGAGGCAGTAAGTAGACACCCCCTTAGTGACCATTCCTCAATTCACATGGGAGACGCATCGGCTAACATAAGCATCTTGATAGAATGAACTTGAGGAGACCATCGAGGGCGCACCCCAAGATGGATTAGAGGCTTGCCTCCTTCTTGCTATTCGGACCGTGAGCAAGTCGCTCACTGGCGTTCGTCACATCGTCAAGTCAAACATTGCAATGCTGGAGGAAGCAAGCGGTACCTCGACTTCTTCCAGAGCTGTGGATGTAAGATGAGCATGTACCTATCCCAGGTCGAGCGATGTACTGACTGGATTCTGTGATAGACACCCGACAGAACGTCTGTGGAATTTGCCACACCAGAAATCCCGGATAGAGTTATGCAGTCACAAGAGACACGAGATGACGATACTGAGGTGGATCTTTTGCTTGATTATGTCTCTTCCGATGCGGAAGCTTCTGGGAATACTCTTGTCGACTCTTCTGGCGACCAAACTCCTGTAGCCTGGAACATGGCTCCGCCTGGAGCAGCCGATCCCTTTATCGACAAACCTCACAGAGGTAGTTTCCTGAGCCTGGACTTCCATCCTGCCGTCACAAGTATCGAGGGATACCTGAGCCCAAGGCTCTGGGTTCATGGGTTGCCCAGTCGTCGCGTCATACTCAAGAATCTCCCTCCCGACATAACGTTAGCCCACATCTCCAGAGGCATTCGATCTCAAGGAGGACTCATCAGCATCCAGGTGCTCAATACTGCCACAATCTTCAATAACCAGACCAAGACTGTAATGCTGGAGTTTGCTAACCACAAATCGGCTGCCGACTTCACCACGGCTGCCGCTTCATCTGCTGTCATATACGAGAACAAAGACGGCCACCAGTATCGTGCAGAGGCATGGCTCATTCCCACATCCTCTTACCATATCAGCAGATTCAACAAGTCATGCACCTTTGGCAAATACACGCGTGCCATGATGTTCAAGGGATTTCCCAAGGAGTGCATCTGGTATTTCATCAGCACCCTTGGATTGACAAAGGTCGTCCGCGCAGACTATGATCCAATCAACGACTCATTGACTGTCGAGTTCACGGCCATTTACGAAGCCACCAAGGTTAATCAACTTATATGGGGTGGTGCATTTTCCGACTTCTACCACTACGATGAGGCAAATGGCCAGTTTCGAGTGTCCCTAGATGACTCGACCGACGTATATGAGTCCAGAAACAGCCCTCGAGCACGGGAGAATCCGGTGAAGCATCACCCAGATGATGATCTAGAGGCCAAATGGAACTGTCATCCCTACAACGACTATATTCCGCTCCATCTTCGCACTGCTCCTACAGGTCCCACGCTACTCCCTCTCCGAACTCGCATCGCCCTGCAGCACGACCTTGACGAGACCCAAGTCGACGGTTATCTCGATGATCTCGAGAAGCACAAAGATATCGAGTACCGCATTGTAGGCAGCAATGCCACAGTGAAGCGCCGTAAACATGGCTGGAGCATCACAGACGAGGACGAGACTAAGCTCCTCATGGCAAACACCCTACAGGACCCGGAGTGGGCAGACTACTGGGATGATCACTACAGGTGCAAAGGCGAGATCAACCGACGCAAGTACGAGCACTACGGCATGGTAGCCCAGCATAGGCGAGAGGTGGCCGCGGAGCAGGGACTCGGTATGGAGGCGGTGCCAGATTGCCCTAAGGGATGTGAGATGGGATGTCGCGACATGAAGAAGACGCCCGCGGCCCCCGTCGTCAAGGAGTTTCTCACTGCTTCGAACAATTTGGTTTTCAAAAGGGGGCGCAGAAACTGAGCTGACGAGGGTAATAATGGACGAAGTTGGGGGAAAAGGATCACATTTGCTTATCAGGATCTCGACATGGACTGAGGTTTGAAATGTTTACCGGCCAGGACTTTTCAGGTATCGGATATTTCTATGCTTATTTTCGACGGACCTCATCAGGGCTACTCAGTGTTGCCCACACTCATAGCCTTATGAAACATTGACAGAGCAGCCACGGTGAATAGGTATGGCGTGGTATTCAGGTAGCCACCTGTATATCGGACATGAAGATGGCCACGAGGTCAATGGATCACATGAGGATACTGAAACACTTATAAAAGATAGGAATATACTCTGCTATTCGATTCACATTTGCACACACGGCCGTGAAACCAGAGTCTGACGTTGTACAAGTCCCAGTCTATCTCGAAAGTCGTAGGTGCAGGAAAGGTCAGATGCCATCTCTTAAACCCCAAGGTAGATTCAAGAGGCATATTTAGGTAGGCATGAAGAACACGTCTTGTATGAGAGGTTTGTCTTGTATGATCCAAGGTACTGTGTACGTTCATGAATAAGCGTGCAACTGGCATATCGAACGTCAGATGATGTCAAACGAGCTCAAAAACTCCAGGCAACGATACATGAGATTCTCCCATTGCAGCTTTGTCACGACATGGTAAGAGAGGGAGAAAAGGTAGATAAAGGCTGCTGAAAGCCTCAGCTTGAATTATACTGCAAAAGACGAACGGCTATGAGCTTCCGTTCCCTGAACCCAAAACGCACACCATCGCCGCAAAAAGAAACACCAAACTCGCAAATGCGCCGGAAACCCTTCTCCCACTCCCGTCAAGAAGACTTGGGAAAAAGGAGAGTGACATAAAAGATGAGGCTCAATTCGAGTGTTGTCCAGATAACGTCATAACATCCGTTTCGCATCGCCGTCTCCTTTGTAGAAGCAAAAAAAAAAAAAAAAACCCCAATATGTAAATCGCTAATTTCGATCCGATCGTCAAGGGAACCCCCGATATACGCCAAATGCATTCGATAGAGCGCCGGCACTCGGCCACAGGCTCTGGCTGGAAATTTCGCCCTCGCCCCCTTCCGTCACGACGAAGAACTCGTCCTGCCCGTCGCCGATGAGCTCGTCCTCCTCGCCGTCGTAGGCCTCGTCCATTGTCTCGAGAGTGTCCTGGTCCCCCGCAAAGGCCTCACTAACGCTGCTGTATTTCCTGCGGACTCCGGGCCAGGACAGTCTCGACTGCTTCATGACGGGGCCCTGCTTGTGGGAGCTGCTCTGTCTGGATGCGCCGTTCTTGGCTTCTGTTGTCTGTTTGGCGCTGCTCTGTTTGCCCGGGCCCGATTTGGCCATGCTTTTCCGCTTGTTCCTGGACGTCTTGAAGAAGTTCCGCACCAGGTTCGGCGGGATGTTCTCCTCGGGCTCCCACGTCTTCTTTTGGTCCGGCGGCCAGTCGCCCTCCCAACTGACCTTGAAGTATCGCACGACGCCGCGGCCTTCCACCTCGTAGTATTCGACGTCCTCTATCCTCTCTACTACCCAGTCTGTTTCCCCCTCAGCCTGCGTCGGCGGGCTATCCTCTTCAGGCCTGGGCCTCTTTTTGGACTTCTTTGGCTTGGCCGTTGCTGGGGCACTTTTCTTTATGTCGCCTGCTTCGCTGGCTGGCGCATTCTCGGGGTATATCGTCTCACTCTGTGTCGCGGATGGGATTGTCAGAGCCTGCTGATTGTGGCCATTCTGTTGGACGGATGACATCGGTATTGGTAAGCTGTTGGCTGGCGTCTGGCTCCCACTACTTGACTCTGCCGATGATTCGGATCGGGTAAAGGAGGACGGTTGTACAGGTGCTGCAGTCGGACGTCCGGATTTCGCGGGTATAGAGTCTGCTTGCAGATGGTTCTGCGCAGCTGCGGATGTTCCGCTGGGTGGCAGACTCTCCGAGCCTTCAGACATGTCGTCGTCGGTAGGCAAAAAGCCATGCACGCTCTGAAACTGCTCCTGCGCAATCTGCCTCGACGGGCTCCCCTCCTCGTCCGACAGCCACTCAAACTCCTCCAGCCGTGGCTTCTTGGGCGTCGAGAGGCTCATGACTCCCTTCTTGTGCCGTGCTTTCGCCTGGGCCACTGTTTCTGGCTCGGCCACAACAGCAGTCTCTATCTGGCTGTGCGCCGGCGGCCGTCCCCTCTTCTTCTTCTTCTTTGCTTGTGGCGCCGCCAGATCTGACTTGAGTTCCGCCTCCAGTCTGCCCTTTTCGTCGTCCAGCTCCTGCTCCAGCCGTGCTTCAAAGTCCTCGAGGGTCCGGGGGGAGACGTAGTCCAGCACCTGCATGGCCGGGACGAGCTTGCTCGCAGCGGGGAGATCGCGCCAGCCAATCAGGTAGGCCATTCGCTTGGGCAGAGGCCGGCCGTTGGGCGCAAGGCCTGGAGACGGAAGCAGGACGCGCTCGATGATGTACGCCGTGGAGTCGCCGGGGGGCAGCAGAGAGATGGGCTGCAGGGGCGGGCCGCTGCCGGGCACGTAGTCGGCGGGCTTGGAGGCGAGGGGAATGACGATGCGCGATCTTGTCGAGGAGCTGCCGGGAGCTGGTTTGCGCTTGGTATCGCCTGGCCGAGACAGAGGAAGCATGCCGCGGCCGGCCAGGCGGCGGTCCCAGAACTCGGGGTCGAAGAGCATCATGACAGGATGCAGCGGGGGAGTCGGAGGGCTAGCGAGCAGCCGGCGGGTGTGTTCATGGCTTTCGGCGAGGGGCCGCAATGGCGCGAATGGGGAGAGGCGGGATGTCGCGTGTGAAGTGCTGGAGGAGAGGCGATTGGGGATGAGCATCGTTTGTTATCAGACGCGAAGAGTAGAAGGATGGACGAGGTGATGACTAAGCGGTCATTCCGGGGTGTAAATGCAGGTGAGCTTCTAATATCACGTTGATTCTATACGCCTCATATCCATGAGTACCTTTACCTAGTTTCCATGTAGATGGATGGAACAATTGTTGAGAAGAGTGGTTTGATGGTAGCCTATACAATTGGAATCATGGAGCATCACATCATCAATAAAGAGTCACTGTACTTTTTATCAAACCTGCCATCAAACCAAGAGCTTCAAGCTTCTTCCTCCCTTCTGCCCTCTTCCACTCGCCCGCTGGAGCTCGGCGCAATCAGGTGGGGAACCCTGGCCTTGCTAAAGCACCCGACCTTACCTTAGGTATGTAATAACTGAGCATCTGCAACCGCTCGGCATTCATCTCTCAGCCCTGCAAAAAAACTTCAAGAAAGGCCTCCTCGACAACAGCAACAACAACAACAATCCACGACACGCACCCAGAGGCTCCCCAGCCATTGCTCTCACAAACCGCTCGTCACTTTTCTCCTTGCCAAAGACTCTCAGCCACCTCTTTGAATTGGCGACGCCTCTTCCCCAGCATCGCCATGTCGCTCAAAACGCTGTGCCTGCGCATCCCCGCATCGCCGTCCCTCACGCGATGCTGTCCCCGGACCTCGTTGCCGCCGTCCAACGTCGCCGCGCGCGCTCAGCCCTCGGCCCTCGCGCTGTCCCGACCCTTTGCGCGAGCAAACCACAGCCTGTCCAGCTCTAGACAAGGCGCCCTCTCCGCCTCGAGCCCCCGGCCGTCCATCGCCAGCCTCGTCGCAAGCCGAACCTCCTCCTCCTCCTCTTCGTCATCCTCCTCCTCCTCCTCCTCCTCCCTCCGCGCCCGCCCCTACTCCAGCAGCAGCACCAACGCCAAGTCCAGCAGCGATCCGGCCTCGGCAAAGCTCGACTGGAACTCCTTCTTCAAGCTGCGCCTCCGCCGCCGGCGCATCCAGCTGCTCTTCTCCGTCATCACCGGCCTCGCGGGCGGCGCCGCCGGCACCGTCGTCCTGGCCGAGGGCTTCGCCGAGCCGCTCATCGCCCAGGTCCCGCTCGACCCCTTCTTTACCCTCGGCATCATGACCATGGCCTGCGCGGGGCTGGGCTGGCTCATCGGGCCCACGATCGGCAACCAGGTCTTCTATCTTGTCAACCACCGCTTCAAGACGCAGATGCTGCAGAAGGAGGCCGAGTTCTTTGCGCGCATCAAGAGGCACCGCGCCGACCCTACAAACTCGAGCGCGGGCAACCCAGGTTTGTTATATTCCAATTTTTCCCCCCCCTCGGATGGTGCGTATAACGGCTGCTTTTTGTACTGACGGTTCTTTTGTTCGCAGTGCCCGACTTCTACGGCGAAAAGATCCAGAGCGTGGCCGGATACCGGAGGTGGCTCAAGGACCAGCGGGCGTTCAACAAGAAGAAGTCTGCGTCCTTTGTCTGAAGCCGCAGCCGGGAAGGGCGTCGAAGCGATGATGGAACACTCGCGTGGGCTAGCAATTGTATTTTGTAAGACGAAAATCTCTCCCTCTGTCTCCCGGCTCTGCCTCTGTCGAAAGCATGCTGCGTTGACGCTGCGCGGGTGGATGACGAAGGCAAGACACACAAAATGGTACCCCGTTTCCTCAGACAGGGGTGTCTTGGAATCGCGGGTGTGTAGTATGTATTGTATCACTTATAATGAGAAAAATCTCTTGTTCGCATTGCAACCCAGTTCGTTCCATCAATCTCTGTTTTCCGGTCCTCGACGTTCGTGATGCCATCTATATAAAAGGCAAACTCGGGTCAACCCCATCCTTCCACGCCCTCAACCCCCCAAACACATCCCCAATGAACCGCTCCCCATCCCGATCGAGCCCCCAATCCTTCAACTTCCTCGCCGCAATCTGCGAATCGTTGCCCACCCGGCAAACGACGTAGATCGGCGCATCAGGAGGCAGCACCGCAACACCCCCCGGTATCAAATCCTCCAACTCCGCACCCTCTCGCCGAGCCGTGAACCGACTGATGGGGACATTGACCGACCCCGGAATGCTGCAGAGCTCGAAATGCTCCTTTTCTCGCACATCCAGCAGCACATGCGCTCGTTTCTCCCGCGCTATCCTCTCGTACTCGGCCACGGAAATGCGTTCCTCTGGCCGAAGCAGCTTGACAGGTGTATTGACGCCGCAAAATTGGACGTAGTCCAACGACGTCTTCAACTCCGTAAGCGTCAACGCAGAACCATCCCCGCCACCACACGCAAAGCAGCCCTTCCTCTTGCCCCTCATCCTGACCGTCCGAAACGGCACATCCGCCATGGCACTAAACAGCAGCATCCCGACCTGCTTCACATCCTTCTCCTCCTCCTCCTCCGTCGTCGTCCCATCCGCACGCGTCTTTTTCAAGCGGCGATGATCCCCCCGTACAAGAAGTTTCATCGCCTCCAACGCCTGCAAAACGCCCATGACGCCCACCACGGGCCCCACGATGCCGCCCTCGCCGCATCCAATCACGCTTTCGGGAGGAGGAGGCTTCGGGAACACGCAACGGTAGCAGGGGCCCTTTCCGGGGGGACTGTTGAGCACAATGAGCTGGCCCGAGGTTTGGAATGCGGAAGCCGAGACGAGTGGTTTCGACAGGAGGACGCAGATGTCGGAGATGAGGTAGCGCGAGGTGGGATGGTCGGTGCAGTCCAGGACGAGGTCGTACTGGGAGACGATTTCCTCTGCGTTTTGCGGCGTGAGATGAGTTGCGTGGGCACGATATGTGATGGTAGGATTCAGTCTGTCAAGCCCGTATCATTAAGCACGGAGGGTCATTCTCCATTCCCATTGCAAAACCATAAGACTCACTCACCCCTGGAGATAGGCCACGGCGGAATCAACCTTCATCATGCCCACCCTCGCCGTCGAATGCGCAACCTGCCGATGCAGATTCGACACCTCGACCGCATCGCCGTCCACGAGCCCCAGCGTCCCGACGCCCGCGCCGGCGAGATACGCCGCTGCCGGACATCCCAGCCCGCCTGCGCCGACGAGGAGCACCTTGGCATTTTTGATATTCAGCTGGCCTTTTGTTTTTATTTTTTCCCCCCCTTATGTTCAGCATGTGGACTCATATTCGTAAAAGACAAAAGTGTAAAGAGGAAGAGGTAGTACCTTGGAGTCCGAAATCGGGGACAATCATCTGTCTGCTATATCTCTCGTACTCGTGCTCTTCCAAAGGCCACTTCCAGCCCTCACCACCACCACCATCACTCTGGCTCGTCGTCGTATTATCCCTGCCATTTTCAACGCTTGGCTTTTCTGCTTCCGCTTCGGCAAGTTGTTTGCGTAGATCCTGCAGCTCAGCCTCCCGCTGCGCAATCTCTCTTTTCAGGTGCTCAATCTTATCCATGACTGTTAGCCGTGGACAACCACTTACACTCTCCTCCTCTCATGCAAAAAAAAATCATGTAAGGAAAGCAAAAGTGAGTGCACGCCGAGTCTGGCTTACAAGGCAAGCTCAATACCAAATCCTTCTTTACCCCACCCACACCTCGGTCAACCATCCCGCCCTCACCGAGCCAATTCCCCACCAAAAAGTCCATCCATCACCAACTTTTTTTTCCCATCCTCCAACTCCCAACCAAACCTCGCATGTGACAAACCACCACCACCACCGCCGCCGAACAATCAAACACCCAACCTCCAACAATCTTACAAAATGGTACATCCCCCTCCCCCCCCCCCCTCAATCTCATCCCATCAAAACCCAGAATCACGCAGCTAATCTCAGTTCCAACACCTTTCAAATAAAAAAAAGGCCCCCCAAAAACCATCCGCAACCGCCCTCCGCCACGCCCGCATCACAAACGCAATCCATCCCCTCGCTCCCCCAAAAACATTCCGCCCCAACGCCTCAACAACAGACTCCTTCCTCTCCACCAAGCGCGACAAGCGCACCATCAAGCACTCCGCCTTCATCTCCCGCGTCGCCTCATCCTCCAACCGCATCTCAAAATCATCAAAGACCCGCCGACGGTCCTCAAAGTCAACAACAAAAAACCAGCTCAGCTCGCTGGATAGTCTAGCCGATGCCCTCCCCGAACTCGCAGACGGCGAAGGCGCAGCAGAGGTCCTGGACGGCAAGATCAAGCACCAGAGCTTGAGGAGTAAAAGGGGCGCGCTGAAGAGGAAGGAGAGGTTGTTGAGGGGCGAGATGGCGAGGTTTGGCGTTAGCATGGCGCAGTTGTCGACTGTTTCTGCGGCGGCGCAGACACAACAACAACAGGGTGCTGCTGCTGGTTCCTTCAACAACAACAACAAACCCGTGGCCGAGACGAAGAAGGCGGCGGAGGAGACGAAGCAGCCGGCTCCGGCGCCGGCGGTGTCGAATCGATGGGCTGCGTTGAGGGGATACATTTCTGCGACTATGGAGCAGAACCCGGCGTTTGTGAACAAGCCTTGATCCGCCATCTCCTCGTACAACGCAAATAGCAACCTGGTGGGCTTCAAAGGGGTGGTGGACCATTACAATGGCAGCAACAGTCAATATAGGGAAGGCAAAGTGGAATACCCGCGGGTTCAAGATGGGTCATTCTTGATCACGACATATATACATGTACCATAGAAATGGTAGACTAGGAGTTTGGCGCATAGGGTCATATCAAATCATCAGTTTATTGGTCAGTACTCGAATCGATGCTCAGAATGCTATGCCGAAAGCAATGCCCGCTCTCTCGGGGACTCAAATCCAACAAAGGGAAGAGAAGAATCCTCGTCTGCCACGACGATTGCGTCAATGGCCATGTCCTGTAGCGCCATGCCTCCCTTGCTTCCCTGAAGCCGTCATGCTCATATCTCGTCGTGGGTAAAGAGAAAGTTGAAAGTACAGAAAAATCAAAGAGACAGAAATATTTGGTATCTCAAACCTCGTTCATTCTCCCTAGACGTTCATCAAGCGCAGTGCATCTTCATGTCCGTGGTATGCTCTCCACCTCCGCAATTACCATACCTATCCAACGCCAAACATGCAAGAATAGAGTGCATCAAAGACTCGGGGTCAGAAGTGGGGGAAAAAAAGTGAGACAGAAAAGACAAAGACAAAGAAGCAAAGACACAACTAAACTGGATGACTTGGTGAGCTCTCGCTCGGTGGCACGGCCTTGCGTAGGCACCAGCCGAAAACCTATTCCAAGGCTGCTCGGAGACCACGGTCCTTGATGGGCGCGGCGGCGGGCTTCTTCGGCGCCGGCGTCGGCGTCTTCTTTGGGAGCCCCTTGTTGGAGGCAAACTTGATCTCGAGCATCGTCGGCTTATTGGGATCGCGAGGCGGCGGTTGGATCCGCACCATGCGCACAATGGGAGTGGATGTGCTGCGCGCGCGCTGAGGGGGTTTGCTGATGGGAGAGACGGTCTTCGAAGCGGTGGTCTTTGTGACCTTGGTGACCTTGGGCGAGCTGCTCCTGGATGGGGTGGCCTTGGCCGGGCGCTTTGCTGTTGCTGGAGTTTGAATCTGTCCCTTGCCGGGAGCCTTGGCTGATGCGCGTCGTTCGGGCTGTGCAACTGTCTTCGACGTGGCGGTCTTTGAGGTATTCGTCCTTGAGACACCGGCCTTGTAAGTCACAGGCTTGGGCATATCCGTCTTGGAAGCGACAGGCTTTGAGGCAGTCTTCAAGGCAACAGACTTGGAGGCAGCATTCTTTGTTGAATTGGCAGTCGCGGAAGCAGCAGCCTTGGTGGAGGCAACAGCCTTGGATGCGCGCGTCTTAGAATCTGTCGTCGCCTTCGCAGCGCCCGTCTTGGGCTGGGCCGTCTTTGCATCGCCGGCAACGACAGCCGCCTTCTTGGAATCAGGAGGCGTGGAGGCGGGCGTGAGCAGCTGCTCGGTGGACCCGTCACCTCCCTGCTGGCCAGGCTCGTGCAAGAGTTTCTGGAAATCTTCCCAAGAGCCGTAGCGAGCAGCTTTCTATTCAATTCGCGGGGGAGTCTTGGTAGAGGCAAAGGGGCTCGCACTTCTCCTTGACGCCGCGGTTAGCCATCGCATGTCAGACACAGATTCAAGGGTGAAACAGCAGACACTCACGATCGGCGACGCTCTCCCTCCTTGCGCAGGTTCTCAATGATGCGGAGCATCTCCTTCCGGCCACCGTTGCTATCGACCATCTTGCCGGCCATGCTCATGGACACCTTCTCCCTGGCGTTGGCGACGAGCAGCCGCTTGACGAGCAGGTGGCGCATCAGCAGGCAGACAAAGACGCCGCAGTCGCTGCCGTTCTCCTGCTGGGGGGAGTCGTCGAGGTTGACGAAGCGGATGGGGCGCTTGACGATTTCGCTGAGTTTCCTAGTGGCCAGGTTGGCCTCGCCGTAATTGGCGCCGCCGAGCGAGTCGTAGTGAAAGGCGATGCCGTCGAGGACGGAGACGAGCAGCAGCGACCAGTGGCTGCCGCCCTCGGCCATGGCGACGTTGCGGTTGTCGTTGATGGGCAGGAAGACGTGGGTGACCTTGCTGAAGTCGGGCAGCGCGGAGCGAACATGAGCCATGTCGGGTTCCTTCATCAACAGAAAGGTCATGCTCGGGCGCAGCAGGATGATGCGGGCCTGGGGGTAGCGCGGCAGCGTCTCGCGCTCGAGATACTCCTCCCAGAAGGCGATGTTGTTGTCCGTCAGCCAGTCGTTCTTGAGCGACTTGATGTCCTCGACGGTGAGCAGCACATCGTAGTAGCTGAGGTACGCCTTTTCGGGGGCCAGCTGCCGATCCAATGACGTTAGCATGCACGAGTCGCGGAGGAGCGAGTGGCAGAAGCGTGTGAATGGACGGAGGAGGGTCAGCTTGTAAGTCAAGCGCTGGAGACGGCATACAGAGTCGCCAAAGTGGCGGGCCATGCGCTGGCGGAACGGCATCCTGTGGTGCTTGCGCCTCCTTCGCTTGCCGTGATGCGAATCGTCGCGCGACGTCGACGCTCGGCGCGAGGAGCTGGAGCTGGAGCCGGAGCTGGTGATGCTGCCCCAGGGACGGATGGCCTCGGACGAGCTGGTGCTGCTGCCGGAGCTCGAGGCGCGGCTGCGGTAAATGAAGGAGAAGCCGGTGAAGTGGCTGCTGTAGCGCGACAAACAGGAAAAACAACGACGACGACTGGTCAGAACTGACAACCCTTGAAGAATCTAGAGGAGATGAAAGGAAGAGGAGCCGGGCAACAGGGAGGGGAGAGACGAAGAAGCCTTTGAAGTAGAAAAAGTCAAAGGGTAAAAGTGAAAAAAAAGTGAGGTGAGGGCAGATTAGATGGGGAAAAAAATAAATTGCGGGGCTTTTGGGGTCTGTTCAGCTCTTTTAAGTTGGTGGCCGGCAGCTGAAGCGAAGCTGAGGAAGAGGCTCGCAGATGGAGATGACAAAGGTGAGAAGAAGGAGGAGGAGGAGGAGAAAGAAAAGAAGTAGTAGTGATGGAAGATGGTTGTGTATGATGGCAAGTATGATGGTGAGTGTGAGTGTGAGTGTGAGTGTGTGTGTGTGTGTCACTCGTGTGCTTGGAGGGATCAGGTAGTAGAGCGCTGCAGTAATACCTACATATACCGAGGTAGGTCATGGGCATATATAAGGTAAGGTATGATGCGTGTGTGTGTGTGTGTGTGTGTGTGTGTGTGTGTGTGCAAAGTACAAGCCAAGCAGAAAACAGGATTGCCGGTACTTTGAAGTTGGCGTAAACAAGGCAAATGGATGGAAACAAGCAAGCAATCTGGATGAAACAGGCCGCAACCCGGACACGGGCACCGACACAGGCGGTCTCGTTCGTTGCACCCTCAGGAGCAACTCAAAGCCCGACAAAAGGCGTATAAAGAGTCTAGAACCCTCCTCGAAAAGTCAAGGCACTTGACCAAGCTTTCGGATATCAATGGTTGGATCCAATCTGACTGGAGGCAGCCCGGAGGCACCGGCACCCAAAAACAGAGAGTCGGGTGAAAAGCATCACTCCCAGAGCCAAAGGTGGGCTGTGCTGCTTGGTGCCTTGGATTGCCGGGGGAATAAAAAAGAAAAGTTGAGGCGCTTGCGTCACTCCCCCATGGCGGCGCCCATTCTTAGCTGAGCCTAGCAGCAGCAAGAAGAAAAGAGAACAACATTCGATCTGAGTGAGCAGATGACTTGACTTCTTTGACGCTTTTAGGCCAGAACTGGGTAGCCTCAGCCGGGCAGTGACAACACCAGCTTCCATCAAATGCCGGAGTCGTAGATGATGCAAGCAATCGATCATCAGAGACAATAGAAAAAGCAATGCTCACCTCCAGTTGCTCGTAGGCGAAGACGACGCCGACGACGACCTCGACGACCGCATCTTGTAGTAAGGAATATCCAATCGTTTCAAATCCCAAAACCAACGTATCGCAAAATCCGTAAGGTAGGTAACTCTCGTCTCGCACTCGATTCGGCTCGAACCTCGTTATGACTTGTAGTTGTTGTTGTTTCAATGATGGCCCTCTCGTCCTGAGCAAGCACTCCGCGCGTCCCTTTTTATTCCTCTCCTCTTTTCCCCAGGTTAGGCACCAAAAAACAAAATAGAGGCCGGCAGATCAGATGTGTGTCTGCTGTCACTGCACACAAACCGCCAATGGATGAACCCCTTCTCGCCAATCCCAAGCTCGCTCGCGTCCCGTCTTTTTTTTCTCCCCCCTTCGAATGCGGGCAGCCAATAGCCAACCAACAGCCCGGTGCAACAAGAGGAGAAGCGAATCGAATGTCAACAACACAGCATTTGGCAGAAGACAAGAAACAGCAACAAGTCCTAGACCCCACGATATATATAAGGTACATAGGCATATATACATACATGTGCTACGACCTAGTAGTACTTATACCTAACCACTTACAAACGACATGTCCGTACTCTCCCCTTTCCTCTCCTCCCTTCTCTTCTCGCCGCCTTTTCGGCTCTTCAACAAGGTAATCAGGCACCTGCATCTGTCAAAAAAAACCCCCGTCCAAGTGTCTCGTTTCAGAGCCTCCCCCATCCTCAATCCGTCCAGGCCCGCTCTCTCTTCTCCTCCCTCCCACCTCATCCTTCATGCCCAGTTTCAGCTACCCAAAGCTCCCTCTCGTACCTCATTGTGGACATGTATTACCCGCTGGCATGCACGTCACGTCACCTCTGGGTCGCCATCCCGGGCGGACTTTCTTTTCTGTTCACAATCTCTCTCTCTCGCTGCTGTAACCATCGTCCCCCCCACAGGGGACCCCTTTTCCTTCCATCCCGCTTCTATTCCGAACCTCTTCTTGTATTTTCCCTTTCTTCCGCTTGTCATGTTTGGCCCATTTTGCTCCTCCTCCGACGTATCATTCATTCCATCTACACCATCAATTTCCATCGTGTAAGCATCAGGACTTCGCTGTCCTCCTACTCCTCCCCACCTTGCATTACGTAGTTGTCCTCCGTAACAGCAAACATCGTACACCCAATTGCACTGCACTGCACTGCACGCATGCATACATCCCCCCTCCTCCTCCAAAGATGGCACTTCTCACAAAGTACACACTTCTCCCGCGCCGCACATGCCAACCAATCCCAATGATATTTCTCCGTCAAAAAAACACCCCCCACAACAGCCAGCTTGCTTCTTCCCTCCCGTCTTACAATTTGAAACCCCCCCATCGCTGGCAACTTGGCATGTGCCAATCCCACCTCGACATCCTACCTATCCCTCACCCAAACACCACCTAACATATCTTAGCCTTTGCCTTGCAGTCGCTTACTACTGTATTAGTCTCCATGTATCGTGGTCCCTACCAGCAGCCGCAACTGACATCAGTCCACGACAAGCCCGACTTTTTGCGACCTGCGTCAATGCCGAGAATACCATCACCATTACTACCTACCTACCTAGTAGTGCATAACAACTCACCGAGTACCACTTCGACTCTCCATATACGGTAGACGCCCCCATTCTCCCTGCCGTAGGAAGCGCAACAACTCCATTTCCTCCAGCGAGCTACTGTAGGTACATGTAACCATGGGGATTGAAGCCCCCCCGTATCGCCGTGACAGCTCCTCTCACCGCCGGCTCTCCCTGTCATCCTCCCACGCTTGTTCCAGAGCCTCCAATTGTCCGGGGGTAGTATAAGCTAAGGCACTTGCTTCGTGGCAGCTCAATGAGCGGTTCATGATTCATCGACATGCCCGCTTTGAGACAGCAAACACCTCGTCTCAGACCAAAGCATGCATCATGATTCCGCACCTCCAGTATACACACGGACGCTGCTTCTCCTGATTGGCCGTCTGCACACTTGTCACTCACATCCCACACCACATCATGCAGCTCTACGCACTGCCACCACTCAGACCCGACTCAGACCCTGGGACAAATCACGACCCGTCTGCCACATACGGACTCAAGATTCACGAGCTTGACCAGTTGCAAAAGCCATACATCATTACAATCATGCGATATTTGCATTAGACATTAGGTTCCAATTACCCAGGCACAGCCGGTGATCAACAACAACTAACACCACTGTCACCGACCAATCAACACACAATGCCCTGCGGTATCACCAGCTTCACGACGGGCCAGTCCCAGCTTTCTTGTCACGAAGACACTCATCACGTAAAGCCCTCAGTCCCTGACGTACACGGACGCGGGCTTGACGTCGTGCTGCTAGAACCCCGTCCAGCTCCAATGCCGATTCTGCACGAGCAAAGCTCCTCGTTTGAACAGTTTCTGTTACCCTTTGGATGTTTTTGTGGAAAGCTTCTCCTTGACCAGAAAGAGACCCTGCCAGGCTGTCGCGATCTTGTAGCAAGCGTTGCCGGACGGCTGAGAGAGATTCTTTCCCGCCGCTGCGGTACACGTTTGCGACATTGTATGTCGCTGCCTTCTTGTCGTCCAGGCGGGCAATCAGTTGCTATGGAGCGGTCAACACGTCATGTCTGCAAGCGATTTGTCGGGCACTACTCACCTCGATTGTCAGACGGATCTGCTTGTTGACATGGGTGATGTCGATTCCTCCCACAGCAGGTGCCAGTGTCGCTTCTGGGGCCTCGTGTGCTGAATTGGCTTCTCCCAAGAAACTCTTCATGATTTTATCACGAAGTTTTCTCCCGATACGGGAGTTGTGCTTCTTGGTCGGATTTTTGTCGCTGAGACGTCGCAACCACTGAGAAGAGGATCTGCCTTGGATGTCTCCAAAAGCGCTGTTATGTTGTTGTTCGATTTGCTTGTCTGTTGACGTACTTCTTAGGAAGGAAGGGTGATGCGGTGCTGGTTGTCGCTCTGGTAGGGTTTCCAAGGCCGGATCTGCACGAGGCACATGCTCAACTCTTCTACTAGGCGCAGTATCCTTGACAACGACGGGGCTTCCCCGTTCAGAAACGCTGAATTGTCTTGAGATTCTCCTTCTCTTGGACTTGTGTTGCTCACTAGGCTCCGGCTCAGGTTCGTTGTCTCTCTCGATAATGGCTACCGGCGACGGCGGAGGGCGACGACGACACTGCTTCGGCTCCGGCACCGCAGCAGTTACTTCAATGGTCCTGGCAGGGAGATTGGCAGTCCTGGTAGGGACATGCGTGCTGGTAGGGACATGCGTGCTGGTAGGGACATGCGTGCTGGTAGGGACATGCGTGCTGGTAGGGACTTTTGTGTCGACTGGCCCGCGCTGTTCGGTGCATGGCGGATCAAGGCTGCCTGAGGAGCTTCGTATCACAACCGCTGCGGGAGAGCTGCTATGCGCAAGGAGTACGTTCTGTGGAGGAGCCAAATTTACCTTGACCGGGTCGGCTTTTGCTTTGGTCTTTCTTGAAGGCCGACTTTCCGCGGACTTCCTCGGCCTCTTTCTTTTACTACCAGCCTCAGCCGGAGAACTTGCTGCCACTGCCGCATCTTGCAAGGCACGAACAATGGGCAGTCGAGGAGCGGTGGTCTTCTTCTTCGTAGCAGGTACGTCGAGAATTTCTTGGGTTTGTGAGTCGAAACGAATGGGCTCTTTGGCCCTCTGCCTCTTCTTCGCTTTTTGTCCAGTTTGCGAGGGGCCCTTTGGCTCATGCACATTTCGCTTGGCAAGTGCTGGCGCGGGCGGTGCAGGCTCTCTTGGAGTCACGTCGCAGACGTCATCGATAGGTACTCGTGTCGACTCGAGGATACCATTGGTGGTGTCAGGGGAAGAATCAGCGGCGTTGGGACTGTCCTGGAAGTCCCAAATGTCTTTGACGGCGTCGCTGGTTCCGACAGGTGAGCTTCGCCTCGCCGTGGATGCCGTTTCCGAGAAGTCGATGTGTCGTCTTGGCGTACCCGCCACTTTGGCTTCATTCTCGCCAACGGCTTCGTTCTCGCGGATAGGGATTGTACTTGGTAGGTAGCTATCGGCCACCACCGGACTGGAAAATGGATCCAAAGACTCGAGATCATCGAATTGCCATACATCGTCTGCGGGAACTTCACTCACATTGGCCGGCGAACTTCGACGAGTATTTGACGTCGAACCCGCGTCGGACCAGGAAAAGGGGTTACTTGGTCGGGCAGCTGGATCCGTCACTCCGAGTGTCTCCGTGTGATTGACTTCGAGCAGTTAGTTGTCTGTGTTGCTCTGGGGGTGGAACGACTTCTCACCTTCAATAGTTGTATCCACAACCATGACTTGTTCCTCGTGTCTGCTCGGGGTGACCTCCAGCTCGCTAAACTGTGTAGCAGTTCGCTGCATGCGAGCGTGCGTAGCTGGCTTGTTACGTAGTCTCGGAGCCATCGTCGATTGTAGTCAGAGACAACAAGTGGTTCCAAGAGACGGTGACGTGAGGGCTTGATTGCAACTAAGGTGATAGATGGAGAGGGTGGATGAAGACGAGATCAGGAGAAGAATCTCAGCCGGCGTTAATAAAGAAGTTTGTCCGTCACTGAGGTTGAAGAAAATAGAAAGTCCGACGAACCGGAGAAAGGAACGAGATGATCCTCAAGCGTCAACGCAGAAGAGACTGAGCTTTGACGCACAGAAGAAGAAAGCAGGGGAATCTCAAAACATCAATCATGAAAAGCCTTGATGGGCGAGAGCAAAGAAGAAGAAAGACGAAGAGGTGAAGAGGATAAGAAGAAAGAGGGGAAATGGATGGGAAAATTCTGTTTTGTAGGCGGGCGATCAAGAGGGAAGGAGTGCCTGATGCTTCGTTGTGAAGAAGGAGCGAAGAGGTGAGCCTGAGAATCGAGGTGCCGGGGAAGGTACAATGGTCACCCCCCGATGTCGCAATGAATCACAGAAGAGTGACCTGCGAGTAAAAATACCCTGAGCAGGAGTTATTTTATCTGGCAAATTCATTGAAACAAAAGAGTACCAGCGTCTGAACAACTTGCGTAGATGTGCATCAACTCTGGCAATCGCCACCAAGAAGCCGCAAGGCTACAGCTAAATCTACCACCCAAACACAAAACACACCAAACAACAAACAAAAGGTATCTTCGCAGCAGCAAATCAGAGCAAATTCTTCCATCCAGCCTCGCGGCATTTCTTCACCAGCGACTTGACCTCCTGCGAACGGGCCCTCGTGGTCACCATGAGCGCATCGGGGGCATCGACAATGACAATGTCGTCGACACCAAGACACGTAATCAGGCGGCCAGACACGGGCACCACAATTCCTCCAGCGGTTTGCTCAGAGACGACTGACAACAGAAACATGTTAGCGAACATTGCTTGAGATGCATAGTGTAGATAGTGATGGCTTACCCAGTCTTTGGTCACCGAGAACGCGAGGCTTGTTGGACTCGGCGGGAAGCATCTCAGCCAAGGACGAAAAGTCACCAACATCATCCCAACCTAGGTACAACAGTCAGATACAAGACATTCCAATGTTACGTGACGCAAGTTCAAAGACTCACCGAATGTGGCCGGAATCACCGCCACCTTTCCTTGAGCAGCCGCAGGCTCAGCAACCGCGTTGTCAATAGGAATCTTCTCCAGCGTAGGCCACACTTCTTCCAGCGCAACCTTGCGCGCGGCTTCATCATCCCACACTTCAGAAATGTTCGTCAAGCCATCGTAGAGAGCCGGGCAGTGCTCCTTGAGCAACTCCATCAGCAAAGAGGCCTTGGTGACGAACATGCCGGCGTTCCATCGGTACTGCCCCGTAGCCAGGTATTTGGCAGCAGTGTGCGCATCAGGCTTCTCCTTGAAGGAGCTCACCAGACGCGCATGCGGCGCCGTCTTCAGGCCCAGCCGATCACCGAGTCGGATGTAGCCGAAGCCAGTAGCAGGATGAGAGGGTGCGATGCCAATAGTAACTAGGTAGCCCTCCCGAGCCACTTCCACCGCCTCGGTGACGGCAGCGAGGAAGGCATCCTCTCCAGATATCATGTGGTCCGCCGCAAAGGATCCAATGACTGCATCTGGGTCCCGTCGAAGGAGAATCGCCGCAGCCAGGCCGATGGCAGCCATGGAATCTTTGGGTCCAGGCTCAGTGAACAAATTGGAAGAGTCCAGGTTGGGCAGCTGGCCGAGGATGCCCTCCGAGTGGGCAGGCCCCGCCACAACAGTCATCCGCGAAGGCCCAGCCAGGGGAAGAAGTCGATCCCAGGTCGACTGTAGCAGACTGTTGCCGCAAAGGTTGACGTCAAGGAGGAATTTGGGGTGGTTCTCGCGGGAAAGAGGCCAGAGGCGGGTACCAGCACCGCCTGCGGGGATCACAACGTAGAAGCCGGGGATCTCGCGCTGCGTAAAAGAGAGCGAGTGGATGGGAATCTCGCGAGACGGCGATGTGATGAGGGCCTGCGAAGGCACGGACGGGGCAGTTGAAGGGTGGCGAGGCAGGAAAGGTGATCGGGCTCTCTCGCGGCCGAGGCTGGGAGACATGCCGGCGGAAAGGCCTGTAGGGCTGTGATTGCGTCCTTGCTGTTGCGGTCATGGTAAGGATCAGGCAACTTTCAAGAAAGAGAGTGAATTGGAGTTGTTTGCGCAGAGGAAAAGGGGGCAAAACAACATACTGCCATGCTCTGGAGCATAATCTCCATGCTCTTGTTGGACGATCGAAGTTCTGCGCATTCCCTTCGCAGCTCGGCCATCTCTTGGTTCTAATCTCGGTGTTAGCCTCACTGCTATCACGACAGATGCATCTCACTGAGGGCCCGCGATTGCCGCTGGCAAGTCGAGCCGCAATTCCAACCATCAGCCGACAATGAAACTCCCTTACCTGCTTCTCCATCGCACCCATGATGCGCTCCAGCATCATCTCAATGCCCATCTTGGGCACCTCTGAGACAGTCGCCGCCATGATTCTGGCTTGAAACGATTGATTGGTTGGTCGATTGATGAAAACGAAAGTAGGTTGCCGGTAAAAGAGCGGATGACAGAATTAAAGGTTGCCAGGAAATGAAGTCTCTGGGAGAAAATAACGACGAAGCTAGAGGTAAGCCAACAAACAGTCCAAGGCGCAGCAGCAGACACGACGCAAGACTCACGTCTAACTCAATTTCCGCCTCATTCAAAAAGTCAGCATCACAAGACCTGCACACATACAGACACGCACACCAGGTGAGATGTTCAAGTATGAAATGAGATGAGATGAGATGGCTAAAGTTCTTATGCAGTTGATAACGTCGATGACTGCCAGAAAAGGACACGCAACGTTGCCCATTTTTTTCTCTCATATCCCCCTTCAACGGCTTCCCCCATCCGTCTCCAGTGTTTTTTTCCCTTGCCATCGCAACGGCTTTTCCTAAAATGAAGCTAGCATAGCCTAACAATCAAAACACACCGAGACACAACGTGGACGCCTGAAACCAAGCCGCCGGCGTCACAATACTACTACTCGTATAGGTAGTAGGGGGTAAAACCAAGTGCTACTACTAGAATGCTAGAAGGCTTCGATGGGGGACCCGTTGGTCCAAGTCCAGCGCCCAGGTGAGGCTGACAGAAGACATTGCCTGCCCATTTGGGAGGCGTTGACTCGTCTCATTCGCCTCTGCGGGAGCAGAAGAGGGTCAATTGGCGAAAAGAGTTGGTTCCGTGTGGTCTTTCATTGGACCTGGATTCTCTTCGGCTCTTTTTGACTCGAGTCGGTTTAAATAGGGGCGGGTCGACTTGTGGACTCGAGAGTCGGTAGTGTCGCGGGTCGGAGTTTTGACTTGTTAGCTGGTGGATCAAGAGGCTGGCTGGGCTTGGCTTGACAGATGGCTCAGTTGTCTGGTCTACGTACGTATTCCTGTCAGCATCCAAAGCACCAAGCGATGATCACTGTTTTGGTGGTGTGGAAGATTTCCAAAGACTAGATGTAGTATCATTTAGTATGTATGCTGCGGTTGCACTATCTTTGCTATATAGACGACAACTGGTACTGTTGAGCAGGCTCGCGGCAAATACCAAGTGTTCTGAGAAGCTCGCCGAATCTACTCGCGTTTTCCTACTACTACCTACCTATAGCAATTGCTCTCGAATACGAGGTATACTCCGCTCCGTATCCTCTTGAGACGGGCACCACTGATTCCGAATCTGCGTCTTCATATTACATGAACTCATCGCAATGGTCTTCTTATTCAGCAAGAGTAGATTCAGGGGATCAGGCACACAGCACATCAGGCGTCGTCCACTTTCACCCGCCTTGTCACTTGAGTGCGGCCATTGTTCCAAAAATACCACATGGCATCAACCAGTAACACATACTACTAGTCGTAACTCCGGCCAGCGAATCAATTCCAGGCTCGAGTGCGGAGTTTCGCCTTGACCCCAGGCATCCTAGGTGCCCAGTTGGACCTCGCCAAGTTTGATGTCACGACGTGATTATTCATCCGCTTGCAGCGCTGCCATAGGTCGGGCCATCGGTCTTCGCAGCCAGGCTCAGGTCCGACGCTCCGCACGACTCGAATTCCGCTTCTCCCTAACCGTTAGTCACAACCTGGAGAGAAGAGCAATGGCGGCGAATCTGCAGGTCGGGCAGGATTCGATGGAAAGCCGAGCAGGGCTTCTTCAATGGGTGGTCGATCGTTGTAGCGTTAGTGATAAATAGGAAGCCCCCTAGCCGCGTTTCATGCGTCGTGAGTTGTCGTTTCCAATAGGTATATGCTCCGCTGCCTTCAAGAGTCTCCTGTGAATATTTTCCTCAACCTCTCATCGCCTCGTCCTCGTGCGCAAACCGCTTTGACTCTCGTACACCACATTGTGTCCACCGCAGCTCGCCATGAAGGAACAAGACACCGTCTCCACTGCCGTGGCAGCCTTGGAGAAGGCCGAGACAGCAGAGGAGCAACCATCGAACTCGTATCCGCCGATCTCCTCGATTCCCAGCACCTCGTTCGAGCGCCTCGCACAAGCGGCCGAGGACGCCCCCAAGGATGTCGCGACCATTGCCGAAACAGTCCTCTATCTCGCCTACGGCTCCAACATGTCGGCCGAGACATTCTTGGGAAAGCGGAGGATACGGCCCCTTTCTCAGATGAACGTGTCTGTCCCCCTCCTGCGACTGACATTCGACCTTCCTGGATTGCCGTACCGAGAACCGTGCTTCGCGAATGTCGGATACCGAAAAGTTCCTGACCCAAAGCTGCCCGACCCTCTTCATCCACCCATTGTTCCGCCGCTGGACCCTCGAAAGCCGGGGCTCGAATGGGACGGCAGCCTTCTGGGAGTCGTGTACGAGGTGACGAAGGAAGACTATCGAAACATTATGAGATCCGAGGGCGGCGGCTCGGGCTACCAGGAAATCGCGGTGCCTTGCATTCCCCTACCGGCGGATGTTGGCCTTCCAGAGAAGCCAACGCTGCCGCCCTTGCCCAAGCCTTTCCTTGCGCAAACGCTCTATGCGCCGTACATCCCGCTGGATGCAGGCGCAGGCAAGAAGAGTTGGTGGGCCAGGTTCGTCACTGGTCCCCATAGGCCCAAACCCGACTATGCTCAGCCGAGCGCCCGATACCTGAAGCTCTTGGTAGATGGTGCTCGAGAGCACAATCTCCCCCAAGTCTACCAGGACTATCTGGCGTCCATGCAGCCCTACACACCCACGACGCTCCGGCAGAAGATTGGCCAGAACGTGTTCCTCCTCGTCTGGGCGCCGATGCTGATGTACTTCTTCACCATCACGACCTTCCTGGCCGACGAGAGGGGCAAGGTGCCGCGGTGGTGCGCGAACACGATCTCGGGGCTGTTTGGCATCATGTGGTACAGCTACGACAAGGTGTTTGTCCACATCTTTGGCGACGGCGAGCGAACGCAGGAGCCGAAGAAGGATTTGACGAGACGCGAGTCGGTTTCCGGCGGGACGGACGAGGAGAAGGCAGCGTTGTTGCAGGACGTTGAAGATGAATGAAGAGAGGGAGGTTCTCTTTTTCTCGGTTTTGTCTTGATGGGTTATTACATGTACATGTATTTGGGTTTGGCGTGTCAGACGCTGGTGCTGACGTTACCCGGCCATTGTATTGCTGCACCTACACTTTTAGCGACGAGCGGGCTTCAAGCCATCAACTCAGCCTTGCACGGCGATTGGCTTCTTCTTTGTTCATGCACATTCAGTTTACTTAGATACAACCAATAGAGCGAATCAGGAGGCGTCAACTTGCCGTCTTGTCCATTGAGTTCTGCATTGTCTCGCACAAGCTAAACGGCCCTTTGATCTGGTAGCCCGAAATGCCGCTATTCCACCACCTCCTCGGCTCCTTGTCTTTGATCGTGATGCTCCCGAGCAACAGCGGCATTCAATCAATTTCGTCGCGGAAAATAAACACAGCACCAGCATCCTCATTGCAGCAGAATCAACCTCTGGCATGTGAAAGGCCAGGGGTGACGGGATTGCATGCTGCACGCCAGCGTTGCATGTGATTCTGACGGGGTTCCCTCGCATCTCGGCGAAAAAAAAGGCACCAGCCAGGATCCCAGCAGTTCGGTTGGGGCCGTGGCCCGATGCAGCAGGCGGTGAGCGCTACCTCACACAGACATGCCATGCGTCATTGGCGGCACAGACGAGCTGGACACAAGAGCCGCAGGTTCTTCTCCCTCTTCTCCCTCCTGCTTGCATACTGGGTATATAATACACAGACCAGGCACCCGGCTGCTCGAATTGCATGCTTCGACTCTCCATCTTCCGCTTCAGTTCCAGACTCGGGACAGGCCCTTTTCCGTACCGACACAGCCTTCGATTCGGCTGCGCCTACAGCTACTCGTCCAACTACTCCTACAGCTGCTACTCCACCACCAGCCCAACAACCGGCAAGATGGCTCTCTTGGGCGGACACGAGAAGAAGCACAAGGTCACCATTGTGGGATCTGGCAACTGGTACGAAGGGATCACCGCGTGATATCTTCTGGGCACATGCTAATTCAGCCGTCACAGGGGCTCTACCATTGCCAAGATCATTGCTGAAAACACGCGAGCCAACAAGGAGCTCTTTGAAGAGGAGGTGCAGATGTGGGTGTACGAGGAAGACGTCAGCATCCCCAAGACGTCACCGCACTACGACGAGGCCGTCGGCGACGCTCCCCAGAAGCTCACCCACATCATCAACAAATACCACGAAAACGTCAAGTACCTGCCGGGCATCGCCCTGCCCAGCAACATCGTCGCCAACCCCTCACTTGTCGACGCCGTCCAAGACTCCACCATTCTCATCTTCAACCTCCCCCACCAGTTCATCCGCAACGTCTGCGACCAGATCCGCGGCAAGATTGTGCCCTTTGCGCGCGGCATCAGCTGCATCAAGGGCGTCAACGTGTCCGACGAGGGCGTCAGCCTGTTCAGCGAGTGGATCGGCGACGGCCTCAACATCTACGTCGGTGCGCTGAGCGGGGCCAACATCGCCAGCGAGATTGCGGCCGAGAAGTGGTCCGAGACGACGATTGCCTACGACCCGCCGCCGATGGACAACAGCAGAGCGCCCACGCCTCGCTCCCAGAGCCCCAACGTGACCATGACGGTCACTGAGCCGCCTGCCGACATGCAGCATCGCGATGCCCGCGGCCGCAAGTCCAAGGCGAAGCTGACGCCCGTGCCGGCCGAGTACCCGCCGCTCGACCACGAGTGCTTCCGCACCCTGTTCCACCGCCCTTACTTCCACGTCCAGATGGTCTCTGACGTCGCCGGCGTGTCGCTGGGCGGCGCGCTGAAGAACATTGTGGCCCTGGCTGCCGGTTTCGTGGACGGTCGTGGCTGGGGCGACAATGCCAAGGCTGCCGTGATGCGAATTGGCCTCATGGAAATGGTCAAGTTTGGCAAGGAGTTCTTTGGCGAGACGGTGCGCACCGGCACCTTTACCGAGTCGTCGGCCGGTGTCGCCGATCTCATCACGTCGTGCTCGGGCGGCCGCAACTTTCGATGCGCCAAAAAGGCCGTTGAGAAGGGCATCACCGTGGACGAGGTGGAGAAGCAGGACCTCAACGGACAGAAGCTGCAGGGTACCAGCACCGCCTTTGAGGTGAACAGCTTCCTCAAGGCCCGCGGCCTGGAGATGGACTATCCTCTGTTCACTGCCGTCAACTCCATTCTGCTGGGCAAGGCGAGCGTTGACGACATTCCCAATCTGGTTTCTGAGACGGAGAAGAAGCCGCTATCTATTTTGTAGAGCATGAGCAAGCATAAGAAAGAAAAATGAGTTATTATACTATGTATACAGCGGCTACGTGGTGAGGAGTGGCGTTTGGGATACATGTCATGAAACGGTAGATCCGGCTGGGAAAATGTCATATCTTGTTTACGGCATGTGCTTTGTTAACATGATATTGTTTGGTCTAGTAATTCTCGTCTCAATGCATTCATATGCAGAGGTGAATGGCCTCCAAAAGCAAAGTGCCTCCATGTACGATAATCTTCATCTTCTTTCATCCAGCATGATCAGCTACCACGACGTCAACCCATGCGAATCCCATAATCTTACATATGATGTAATTAAACCTGCAAAATTCCCATCCAACTTATGATGCAATTGGGATTTTCCCATATGAAGCGTAGACCCTCCATCCCCTGAACAACAGCAACAAGGGTCCCGGACGATCTCTCCGGCAATGCTGGAGCTGTGTTATCCATAGCCGTATCCTTACCTATCCAGCAGCATCACGATCTTTCCAAACCCGAACCCACAACTTCTGTATTTTGTTCCTTGGAATTAACCACCTAGTCACGGATAGCATGACCAGTACATAGGAATACATCGTTTAACTCGGTTGGATTGGTAATAAAGGCTTTTAGGCGAGCACGGAAGACTGACAGTATATGTCATTTATTCCTTGTCGATCTGGTTTCTCGGCTTTCGTATTGCTGGGTCCGGGAGGAGCAAGTCGGTCATGTCGATCGGTGGGTGGGTGGACGAATTCAGGTTAAGATACAGTATACTGTGCAGTGCATCATACATACAATTCCCCCGATCAACTCATATTTCCATTTACACACCACCATCATCGTCATCTGCCATTGACTGTGTAACTACCTTATATCGAAAATGGATGAGAACATTGGTAGAACAGGCTATTACCCGGGGCTTCTCGCTTCCACAAGGATCTTACACCACCATCACCACATTCTCCCTGAATTCTCCCCCATAACCTTGTAACGCACATACATGCACACATGCACCAAAGCATCACACACCCTCCACTCAAGGCAAGCCCCAAACAATATATACAACTCCTTCCTCTCACCTGCAGGAGAACAAAAACGCCCAGCCCTATCAGGAAAGTTAGTACATAGTATAATACTCGTATGTACGGTATATATTTGTATGGCAGCTGTATGTATGTATATACACCCCCGTAGTCATAGCCGTCAAGCTTCTCCACCCCTTGTACGCAAGTCATGGTACCGATCTCGATCTTTTTCGTATACATACAGAATTGGACGTGCCCCCCCCCCCCCCCTTGGAGACGGATCTGCGAGAAAAGAAGAAAAAGGCTGTGTCTTGTGAGCGGCTAGGGATGCGGGATGACGAACGTGGATTTTGTAATGGTAGTTGAGTTTTTGTACATGTTCGACGACAATGGCTTTTTGGTGGTGAGAAGCTCCAAGGGTGCTCGGATATGGCTCGGGGAGTCAGAAGGCCTTTTTTTTTCTTATGGAAAGCGGATGTTGAATGAGGGAGGATAGTAAAGGATGTTTGAAAGGTGTTTGAGATGGTGTTTTGGTTGAGTCATCAGGGTAGGGGTTGGTGGTTTATTGGAGATTTTGGAGTGGTGATGAGGCTAAAGCTGAGTATCAAGGTCTCGACTTATATGCCAATGCCAGGCTCAATTCTTAATGCAAGCAAGAGTGTCTCGCGCTGCTTATGGTATGTTAGAGGATAAGACATCCAGAAAGAAGTCATTCGATAAATATATATCAACTTACAATGAGAAAATGGAATGTCAAAGCCGGTATGCACTGCGTACGTACACTATCCAAGACTACAGTAAGATTGGTGTAAGCTGCGAATAGCGTCAACACCAAGAATCTACTAGTTGTCCGTCTACAGAACCACAAAGACGAATGGCAATAACAAAGGTGCGAGAAATTACTTTCATTATACGATCATTAAGTAGTCGTCAGGCCGCTTCTACATTAACCGCTTGCGATTCTACCTGCTTCACCCACCGCACGGCGCTCTCCCTCAGATAATTCTCAATCAGCTCCGACCCGCAGTTGCCATGCTCCAGCAGCATGTTCTTGAGCACGATGCGCTCGGCAATGAGGTCCTTGAGGATCTGCGACAGCTGCCGGTTCTCCTCCTCCAGGGCGTCGTGCTTGGCGCTCAGCTTCTCGACGGCGATGCGCTGCCGGCCGCGGCACTTGTCCGCCGCGACCCGGTTCTTCTCCCGGATGCGCGCCCGGCTGGCTTCCTGCTCTTGCGCCGTCTTGGTCCGGCGAGGCCTTTTGGAGATGCCTCCATCCGCGACGGGTGATGCTCTAGGGGATGTCCTTGGTGATGATGTCTTTGATGATGAGGAGGATGAGGATGAGGATGATGATGATGATGATGATGACTGCTTTGCGGATGAGGATGATGTCTTTGGTGATGATGATGATGACGATGCTGTCTTGGTGGATGGTTTTCGGGCCTTGGTCTGCTTCTTTGGGGCTGCCAAAGGCTCCTCCTGCTTGACTGCTTGTAATGATGAGGGGGATATTGACATGAACTGATCAAAGGAGCAGTGGTCAGATGGAGAGGTGGCGGTGGTGGAAGGGCTGAGCTCGCGGCCGTGTGAGAGCTGGTCGTTCTGGTAGTCCCAGATGGGGGTGCCGGCGCCGACCGAGCTGTCGGCCCCGGAGATGACGCTCTCCGCCGTCGCAGGGCTGTGGAAGGTCTGGTCGGGATACTTGAGGAAGCCGTCTGCCATGTCCCATTCGGCGGCCTGCCAGGGGGGAAGGGTAGGCAAGAAGGCATCTGGGTGTTCTAGACCTGACGAGCTGTGGCACACGTCGGGCCATTTCGGTGGCAAGGCGCCGTCCCGGTCCGCCGGTGCAAAGGGCATGGCAATGTGACCTGCATGGGCGTAGTCTGGACCGCAGGCGATGAATGGGGGAGCTGCGGCAAGGCCTGCCATGATGCCAGTGCGTGAGAGGCTTTTGGTTGGGGCCGGTGGACGATGATATCTTTGTGATGGTGTTATGAGATGTAAAAGAAGCAGCCGGCCCTGGGACGATACAGGTCCTAAGCAGGATTGGGCAGTCCGAAAAGAGCCAAAGTTGTTTTTTTTTTCCAGTAGCTAGATCGACAAGGCAAAAGGAGGAGAGCTGCTGCACCGACCATGAGGAGGAAACGTCATTGTTAAATATATACTCGGCCGGATTCCCGCCTGGTCGGGGCCTTGAGCAGGACCTACTTGTCCAAGCAAATTCCGGCGACCTCGAGCTCCTCTCCAGGTGAGATTGTTACCCCTGGCACCCGTTGGATTTGGCACAGCCGGATTAGCGCACTGGAGCCATGCCTCAGACCGTTGGAAACGAGGGCTTCGTTTCGTGGTCAAGGCCGCCGGGGAGGGCACACAAGGTTCCAACTAGGCAATTGATCTGAGCACGTCTCGCTGGCCGCTGTACGAGTACAGTGCATACAGACTTGCAGCACAACCCGGGCTGTGGAGAGGTGCGTCACGAAGGGGTGGTCCGGCGGGTCGCGCACACGTACTAAATACATTCGTACATGCGGCCGGCGGAGTGTGATGGCTTCGTGCAATGAATGGCACAGGCTGGAGCTCGTCCTCGTCCGTAGGCTGTAGGTACAGCAGGCAAGGTCGGTGCTCCGGGTCCAAGAAGCAGGGAGGCCACACACCACCACCACGAAGCCGGTCCCCGTTCCGGATGGGACCCAATCCGTCCCCTTTGCCAGGCTAATAAGGCTTGTTTCTGCTGTCCCAAAAAGCCAGCAGCTCCACGGAGGGGGAGATTCTGAGGTTGAGCACAATCCTGCGCTTCCAAGTGTGCCATCTCAAGCAGACCTGGGCGAGACAAGGCGACTGGAGCAGCGGCCCCCATCACCGTGGCCCGGCCTCCTGGACGTGACCAAGGAAACAGCCGTTGTTGCCCAAAAGTCCCAGCATGCATCTGTATGTAACGAGCACTGTACTGTATGCGCGCCTCAACGCCGAACAAGCGGTCATGCTCGTCCTCTCGAGCTTCCACGCCCGCTTGCATGTATGCATGTCCTTTGGCATGTCCCAGGGCCAACACCCACACCGAAGCAGAGCCAGGAGATCCCCGGTTCCCCTCGCAGCGTCCCCCGACAGACCCGTGGCCCATCGACAGGAAGCGAGGCCCGCCGTCCAATTGACGAAGCCATCGGCGCTTCCCTCGACCAGCGCTACTACTGTACTGTACTGTAGCGTATGAGTATGGATGTCCTCGTAGAGGCTCCGGCCGGATGGCGTGGGTGGAGTCTTGCAGAGGGGAGACCGGGGGGGTCCGCCAGCTCTGAAGCTCGATCGCCGCCATCTATCTCGATCGCGATAACCTCTGTCGGGCTCGCAGCGCCGATGCGTCTCGATGGCAGTCGATGCCTTGGCTTTTTTGCGTCCTGTCGAACATGAGCGACGGAGGAAATGCTCCGGAGAGAAAGCTCCGGGCCGCCCTGACACGCGCCTTGTTGCAGCCAGTTCTGTGCAATATCACCGACCCACGCCAAAACAGGGACGGCAGCAAGGTTGGAATAGCCTCAACGTTCATGCTCGGCGCAAAAACGTGGCGGTTCGGGCCCCAGATGGCTCCAGTCAGGGCTCAACAGGTGTAATATTATGGCCCAAGCGAGCTCGCGCAATCTCGATGACCGTCCGCGCAAGGGGGAGAACAGGATGGAAGCACGCAAAAAGCACAAAGAGCACCAGTCACGTGTGCTGGCACGTGGCATTCCAAGGCCGCCTTCTTGGGATCTTGGTTGCTTGGCCCGGCTAAAGCCAAGCAACCAAGCTTGGGAGCCATCTGCCCAGTTTCCAGGCTTCAACGTTCCGTCTTCTCCACAGCCGCGCAGCCATCCGGTTTCCTGCAAGCCACTGCATGCTCCGGGCTGTTTCCTTGGCACCGGCCTGGATGCCGCGGCGATGCGCGACCCTTTGTGAGCGGCCGTTTTGGCGACGCTGATATAATACAGGCGATGCTTCCCTGGGAAGGTGTTCGACTCGGCATCTTTGGGCCCTCATACGAGTTACCCCAAGCTCAAGCCAACATGCCACCAGACCGACACGTCGTCGTCCTATCGTCTTACGAGTGGTCACGCCGGGCACGTACGAGGCATGGACAGGTAAGACGGGGTGACTTTGACTAGACTGCCAATGGCGTCGGGCACTTTGAACAAGTCCTTCCGCTGACCATCGACCGCCGTGAGAGGAGGAATGCAATACCGAGCTCCAAAGGCGTCAACATCGTATCCCAACTGCTATAGCTGCCATCGCTATTACTTCTAGTCCCACGACTACCTCCCTTGAGTTGCGTTACTTGACCTATGGAATTGGGATCCGGAGACACCAGGTCTTGGACCTACACGACAAAAAAGTCCGCCTAATGCATGTTACCACCTAGCGGCCACAGGGTCGGATGGGGACCAATTTACGCGAGCTCTTAGCTTCCTCGACAAGCACTTTGAAGCCATCCCTGGATCCCCAATTCCCAGCGCCAGAGGGGAAGAAGCGAAGGAAGAAGCGGAGGAAGAAGCGAAGCACCACCACCCTTGGCTCGCGGCATCCCATCTTATCACCTACCCATTAGCGCACGTCATCGCCTAAACCCAGGACATATTTCTCCTACCAAAGATGCTAATACCTGCAAAGTACTGATACCTCCGAGTCATCGATCGATGAGATGCAGATGCTCCACGAAGATGACCACACGAATCTCACTGTGCTCCGGTCGCATTTCAAGCTTCAAGCTGCCGTTGTGCTATTATCTGCAGCAACTGGAAGGGGGGAACTACACCATAGGTTCAGTCCTGCGCGGCCGTCTCCAGCAAATTAGCAAACGGGGCTGACAGGCGTTCCACCAAGCTTGTAATCCTTGATCCTTGCCCCCCATCATGTCTCCAAACAGCCCATGTCGTCACTAGCTTTTCCGCTTGTGCCAAAGGCACCGCAGCAGCAGAAAAAAATAAACAAGAAGAAAAAAATGCAGATCCAAGAGAGGAAACCTGCGCGGCGTCCTGATACTTGTAAGCTGGCTGTGGCAGGTTGCGAAAGAGCTTCAGCATAGAGCCATGCCATGGCGAGTTTTGACATGATGAGCAGGCCTAAAGAGAATCTCTTTGTCGAGCTTTGCGAAGCTGTTGATCAGAGAATGGGGGGCGCCTTGTCAATCTATCAGTACTCCGCCCTTCGTATATCTCTCGCAGATAAGGTACGATCTCGATGTTGAAAAAAAAGGCCTGCCCACTTCAGCACGAAGTGGCAATTCGGTTTCCTTTTCTGGCCTCCCGGCACGCCTGGTATCACCAGTATCACGATGCAGTGTCTCGGAAATCTCCGACTGATAGCTTGGAGGAACGTCAATGGTGCGATGGAGACGGGGAGCCTCGGAGTGACGGTAGCAGCAGGTTTTGTCGTAGGTCTCTGTGAAGTACAGATGCTGTGAATGCAATCTAGATAGCTGAGTCGACCTATCCCAAGCAACGGAGCATTCTCTCGGGCTTTGGGACGGTTCAAATGCTGCCATGGACGGAGAGGAAGATTGGATGCCTTTTTGCAACTTTACGATTGAGATTGCACCCAAAGGCAGCAAGCAATTGTGACCTTACATTTTCCGATGTCATACAGGACCTCGTGGTCGTTCTGGGAATGGCTGCGATTATACCTTAGCATCATCCCTCGCCTCATGGGAGAGTGTAACAATGCTGTGATTCTTCCCGACATAGCGCTGAAGATTCAGTTGGATAGCCAGACATGGTCAAGCAGCATCTCCCCGCGTCGCCGATTGAAGCTATAATTGCTGCGAAGGCACGATAGGCAATCGACCTATCTTTTGTAAATGTTGTGATGCTTCTGCGACCTGGCCGGTGCAGTAGTTACTTGTGGGCGTGCCTCCGTAGGGATAATTAGTAAAAGAAGGGGCATGTAAGTCGGCGACCCCAGTGTCTGAGTACCTACCTATTGTGCAATCTCTCGGCACGCGTGTCCGGTTCGACTAATAGAACAAGAGAATGGAGAATTTTTTTCCAGGCACCATTTCTCAGATGTATGGTCTTTGCGAGGCAAAACAGCATCCTAGACATCTCGTGGGAGTGAACCATCGGATAGCAGCACGGCGACGTTTGCTGCACGAAGAGATACCCGAGAGTGGTGCTAGTAGATATTACACCTGCGCATTCACTGTCATGACAATTTTTCTTGAACAAAACATCGCATTTGTTGGATAAGAAGGAGGGGGAGAGAAAGCCAAAGCCCCGGACTTGGAGTTTTTCTCAAGAAAGTCCAGGCAAAGTTGTGCCGCCAAAGTTGATGCATGTTGTGCAGGGTAGGGATGTTCCAGCTTCGCCATGCTGAATATGTCTGGTAACCTGGCACTGCCCGCCAAAACAGTAATACTAGAGCGGTGCGAAAGATCGAAAACGTATTCTTGGTCAGTCTGAACTGTATTGAAAGAAGATCAAAAGAGCTGGATCGCCGATGATGCTCGGTGTGCGAGCAAGATGACATGCACGAAGGAAAGGCTCAGCAGCCACTCGTTGTAAGTTGAACCATCCGCCTAGCTGGACTTGTGTCATCAACGCCCGCGCGCCACCGGGCTACTTCACCACCTACATGTATCCATCCTCGGAGAACCGAGTCCTACAGGATGTCTTATCCCTGGACAAACGAAGAGAGCAATAGAGCAATGAGTACGAGGACACAACAGTACTATTCCATCATGTCGTTGGCGAATGATTCTCAATCCCAGCCCTTGCGTCATCCAAGTCTGCCAGCCGTCACTTTACAATCCTCCTCAACACCCCCCCTATCGGCAACAAAACACACAAAATAAGCCCCAACGCCACGGCAATTTGGAAATCCGAGCAAGACCGAGCTGCACTCCCAACGGCGAAACAACATCTGCGAAGACCGGCCATTGAAAGACGGCATTCGTAATCTATATTGTCATGCGATGGATGGAATGGCGAAACTCAACAAAGAGTGAAGGGATTATCTAAGCGAGTAATAGGCTCGGAGATTACTAGACAATTGTTTTCGCCGGGGGGCTCGTCAAGCAATGAGGATCTACTAACCTCGTTTCGTATTTGGACGGCCCGTGATTCGAGGCTGGCCGGCAGCTAATCGATCAGTGGATGCCGATAGCGCGATCCTGTTGCTGTTTTGGGTAATGGAAAAGTCCGCCCTTGGGGAGATCTGGATCTGCGTGGGCCGGGGATAGGGACATAGGAGCGAAGGGGGAAGGATGAGGCTGTGGGTATTGGATGATGATGAAGAAGAAGAAGAAGGAGGAGGGAGAAGAGGAGAAGGTGTTGGATGCAGAGGATTCTAGAGGCGTTGAGAAAAATGTATATAAAGATGGGGAGAATCGTTCATCTCGAGGAGAAAGAAGAGAGCAGAGCAACACAGCAAAGACACTTCTTCACACACTTATATCAAGATCCACCCAACAAAGATTCCAAGAATTCACCATGTCCATCAAGTACGCTAAAGACCAGCCTGCAGGCTTCACCAACCGCATCGAGCGTGTGGCTATTGTCGGTGTAAGTCTTGAAGCCTCAAGCATCACCATCACCAACCAACTCTCCTTCCTACATACCTACTCTGCTGAATGTAATGCTAATGTGTTTCTCATCAGGCCGGAGGACAAGTGGGCAAACACATTGCCGAAGAGCTTCTCAAGACTGGCAAGCACACCGTCACTGCCATCACCCGCATCAACAGCGCCAGCGAGCTTCCCAAGGGAGTCAAGGTCGCTCAGGTAGACTACGATGACGAGGACACCATCGTCGACGCCCTCAAGGGACAGCAATTCCTCTTCATCTCCCTTGCCGTGACGGCTCCCAAGGATGCCCAGGCCAAGCTCATCGACGCCGCGGGCAAGGCTGGCGTGCCGTGGGTCATGCCCAACTCGTATGGCGCCGACTACGCCAACAAGGCGCTGCAGGCGGACATCATGACCCAGGCGGGCACCGAGGCTGGCGTCGCCGCGGCGGAGAAGGCCGGCTTGTCGTGGATCTACATGTCGTGCAGCTTCTGGTACGAGTACTCGCTTTCCATGGGCAACGCGTGGTACGGCTTCGACATCCCGGAGAGAAAGGTCACCTTCTACGACGACGGCAAGACGCGCATCAACACGTCGACCTGGCGTCAATGTGGCCGGGCTGCGGCACAGCTGCTCAGTCTCAAGGAGCTGCCCGAAGACGAGAATGACCAGTCGGTTACCATCTCTCACTGGCGCAACAAGGCTCTTTACATCTCTAGCTTCCTCATTTCACAGCGAGACATGCTCGACAGCCTCAACAGGGTGCTGGGCACCACCGACGCCGACTGGCAGATTGAGTACGAGCCAAGTGATGTTCGGTACAAGCGAGGCCTGGAGCTGTTCAAGGGTGGCAACATGCTGGGCTTTGGAATGGCCATGTACTCGCGGGCCTTTTATCCCAACGGCGACGGCAACTATGAGGCCAAGTATGGCCTGGCTAACAAGGCGCTGGGACTGCCGGAGGAGGACCTTGATGAAGCCACCAAGCTGGCGGTTGAGATGGCCGAGGCGGGCTTTGCTGCTAAGCGGTTCCAGGAAATCGCCAAGCGTCACTAAGTGGACGATATGCGATGGAGGAGAGGCGCGGAAAGGCCATCAGTTGGATGCAATGCATTGATGGGGTATTACTGGTCAGGCATCAAGAGACGTGGTAACTGTGAGATGTGATGTCGAGTTGAGTGGCTGATCGGATGATGTCGTTCTTTGATAGTGTCGTGAATTTGATTCGACATGTCGTTCTCTTGCAAGTGCCTCAGAGTGTCTCATTGCGTGCGAACGCTTCGTGAATGGTGTTGGAGTGTCGTAGGGAGTCCTGTCTCATGGTGGATGACTTATCGTGAACAATTCTAGTTAGGCTACCCGAGGATTAAGTAAGGAGAAAAAGCTCACTAGCAATGGCCAACCAAGGCGGATGATGACAACCTAATCGTGACGTCACCGCCCCTGGCCAGCGGGGTTGCGAATGGGAGAGCTTCACCAGACTTTGGATCTGAGTGGGAGGTGTAGCATTTCCAGATCCTGTCGGAGCAATCCTAAAATCGGAAAATGAAGAAATTCGATATGGATTGGACCGAGATGCCGTCAATTTGCCACGGGATTTACGCCTGGTTGCCAGGTGTTCATCACAAGGCCGATCCCGAGGGCGTGGGAGGGCGGAAGCTTGTTAGCTCTGAGCTTCTCGAGCTACCAACCGGATTCCGCTGGCTGTGTCTTTGCAAGCCACCGCGTGGGAACCGTGGCTCTTATTTTATCTAGGAGGCAATGGGGCATTTAATGGCATTGAGGCGTGTTTGCCTTGCTGCTAGAGGCAGAGCTAGCGGATGTAGCTTCATCTGGGGTTGCGGCCCTCGATGCATCGCGATGGGCATCGGCGTGATGTCGTTGGTACAGCTTTTAAGCCGATGTTTGTCACCCTGCTGCTGTTGAGCTACCTTTGGTAGGCATTGAAATATTTGGGCAGATTCCCTCGCGTCTTACCAGATGATGGCCTGGAATAAAATCACTGTAATAAATCACAGGGAAACATCAACAGCAACAAGACTGCCCAAGCATGGAAGCCGTCAGCACACAACTGGCGCCAGAGCCCTGGCAGCGTTTCCTTGATTTGCCCGGTGGTTCCTGGTGCCTTGGAACAGGGCGCAACAAGCAGCGGCCCCCCCTCCAGCAGCAGCAGCAGCGCCTGCACATGACAGTGACATGACACCAAGAGCCTGCCGGCCAACCAGCAGCAGCCGCTCGCTCGCTTGCGGGAAAAAGCAGCAGAATCCCTCGTGTGTGCCCAAAAGGGGGAACCTGACTTTCGGTCTGGACGTGAACCAGGACATTTCGTCTCTTGATCTGTCTGCTCCAGCTCCAGCTCCAGCTCCTTTTCTCTCGCACTCGCTCGGAGCCCTTCTGACCGCACGACGTTACAGCCTCTGCTAGCCCTCTGGCACAGCGGATCACACGGAGCCGATCCCTGCTAAGCCCGCTGAGCGTCGTCCAGCCCACCACAAGGCCCAGCTACAAAACCAGGGCAGACCGCGGGGCAGCTGTTGGGCCCCTCTCCTTTCCCACCATGAGCCCAAGAATCATGACGACCACGGAGGTTTATCTGCTGCCGCTCAACGACGACGGCTCGCCTCAGGTGGCCGGAGAGTACATCTATCTCGAGCCCAAGAGCGACGACCCGGTCACGGTCCGGTTCGCCATTGAGGGCACGTCGTCGGTGTGCCGCAATGGCAGCCTTTGGGTCAACATCCCGGAGCAGGGCCGCGAGTTTCGGCGGGACAAGTTTCGAGAGTACAAGTAAGCCAGAGTTTGATGCCTGAGCTCTTTCACAGAAGCTCAATGACTGCTATGAGGAGGCCAGACGAGGCTGACAAGTGATCCCCCAGACTGACTCCCGACTTCAATCGCACGCTCGAAATCTCCATCCCCATCTACGAGTCCGGCGTCTTCGCCTTCTACACCACCTATGCTGAGCTGCCCAAGCTCGATGACGACGACGTCCCCAAGCCCTCCGACCGCCACGAGGCTCTGAAGAAGACGCCCGTGTACTACATTGATGTTGCCCCTCGCCTCAAGCTCGATGGCCGGCCATTGCCGCTGCCGGCGCTGTCGCTCTTCTCCATCATCAGCAAGCTCATGGGCCGCTTCCCCGGCGATTGGGAGCGCCACCTGCGGGGCATCAGCGAGAGGGGATACAACATGATACACTTTACGCCTCTGCAGGTCCGAGGTGCTTCAAACTCGCCCTACAGTCTGTACGACCAATTGGGCTGGGACCCCGCCTGCTTTCCTCGAGGCGAAAAGGACATTGAGGACCTGGTCGAGAGTCTCGAGCAGAAGTACTCCCTGCTGAGCTTGACCGACATTGTCCTCAACCACACTGCACACAACACAAAGTGGCTACAGGAGCACCCCGAGGCCGGATACAACTTGGTCACGGCCCCATGGCTGCAGTCGGCGTACGAGCTCGATACGAAGCTGCTGGAGCTTGGCGGCCAGTTGGAGAAGCTGGGGCTGCCCGTCGACATCAAGACCACAGAGGATCTTCTGCAGCTCATGGAGGGCATCAAAGAGCACGTTATTCTTCCGCTTCAGCTGTGGGAGTACTACGCCATCAACGTCGAGCGAGATGCCGACAGGATCGTCGAGGCGTGGGTTGGTGGCAAGGCCATCCCGCCCCAAGACGGCTCTGCTACTTTGAACGACTTTGAGCACCTCAAGACGGCAGAGCTCCCGCAACAAGTCGAGTTTGTTAAGAAGTACGCGCTCCAGGGCACTGACCGGCTAGGAGAACGATTCCGCCGGCGCGTGGAGCCCAATGTTGCTGCTAATTTGCTCTCGTTTGCCTTTGGACGATACGAGGGCGAAAGCGCGGACACCGTCAACACAACGGCCGCCAAGGCCAAGCTTGTCGAGATTCTCGATGCCATCAATGTTCCGTTCTATGAGGAATACGACAAGGATCTCAACCAAATTCTGGAACAGCTCTTCAACCGCATCAAGTATGTTCGCATGGACGACCATGGGCCCAAGCTGGGCCCGATCAATGCGGCCAACCCCATCATTGAGACGTACTTTTCCCGGCTGCCCGAGAACGAAACAACAGCGAAGCTCTCTCCGGGAGAGAGGGCGCTGGCAAACAATGGCTGGGTATGGGGCGGTAACGCCTTGGTGGACAATGCCGGGCCCGACTCCCGCGTGTATCTGAGACGAGAGGTGATTGTCTGGGGAGACTGCGTCAAGCTGCGATATGGCTCCCGCCGGGAGGACAGCCCATGGCTGTGGGACCATATGACAGAGTACGCCCGGATGCTGGCCAAGCACTTTGCCGGCTTCCGCATCGACAACTGCCACTCCACCCCGATTCATGTTGCGGAGCACATTCTGGATGAGGCCCGAAGAGTTCGACCCAACCTGTACGTTGTCGCCGAGCTCTTCACGGGATCTGAAGAGATGGACTATGTCTTTGTCAAGCGACTTGGAATCAGCTCTCTCATCCGCGAAGCCATGCAGGCATGGAGCACGGGAGAGTTGAGCAGACTCGTTCACAGACACGGTGGCCGCCCCATTGGCAGCTTCGAGGTCGATGACATCTCCAAGTCGGATGTCAATACACCATCAGGCTCCAAGGGCAAGTCAGACCTCACAAGGGAGATTATCCGAACGATACGACCATCGCCGGTCCACGCCCTGTTCATGGACTGCACTCACGACAACGAGCCTCCTGCCCAGAAGCGTGACGCACGAGACACGCTGCCAAACGCCGCTCTGGTCAACATGTGCTCCAGCGCCACTGGAAGCGTCATGGGCTACGACGAGATTTACCCCAAGCTGGTGGATCTCGTGAATGAGAAGCGCCTCTACACGTCTGAGTCGTCGAGGACTCCGACGATCAAGATTGGCAGGGGCAAAGGCGGCATTGGTAGCATCAAGAAGCTCTTGAACCAGATCCACACCCTCATGGGCAAGGACGGCTACAACGAGACTCACATCCATCACGAGGGAGAGTACATTACCGTGCACAGAGTGCATCCCGAGTCTCGAAAGGGCTACTTCCTCATCGCTCACACCGCATTCCCCGGATACGGCAATGGAAGGGGAGAGTTCAATCCCGTACTGCTAACGGGCACCCGAGCCAACCATCTGGGCAGTTGGATGCTCGAGGTCGATGACCGGGAAGAGACTGTCAAGACTGTGCAAAGCGATACCAAGTTCCTCCGGGGCCTCCCCAGCCAGGTTGTAGATGTTCCTGGAATCAAGATGGAGTACCATGGCCAAGACACCACAATCTCCGTCCGGGATAAGTTCCCTCCCGGCAGCATCGCTCTGTTTGAGACCTGGATCCCCACGGCAGAACACTCGACCGGCTTGGACAACTACGTGACCTCGGGCGCCAAGGCAGCCTGGGCCAATCTCAACCTCATCGACCTCAACTTCTTGCTGTACCGGTGCGAGGCCGAGGAGAGAGACGCCACCGATGGGCAGGACGGGGTATATGATATTCCCGGCCATGGAAAGCTCGTCTATGCTGGCCTGCAGGGCTGGTGGAGCGTCCTCGAAGGCGTTATTCGCGACAACAATCTTGGGCACCCAGTTTGCCAGAACCTGCGAGACGGCCATTGGGCACTGGACTACATCGTCGGTCGTATTCAGAAGCAGAGCCATGTCTTTGGTAGTGAGGGCCTCTCTGGACCAGCGGCCTGGCTGCGGGAGCGGTTCGAGGCCATCAGGGCCATCCCTAGCTTCCTGCTGCCGAGATACTTTGCACTGGCCATTCGAACTGCGTACCGAGCCAGCTGCGATCGTGCCTTTGAGCTGATGAATGAGCATGTCGCCAAGGGCCAATGGTTCCTTGGAAGCCTGGCCCTGGTCAGCATCCAGCAGACTGGACTGGTCAAGTCGGCCTCTTTGTGGCCAGACAAGCAGGTGCCCTCGATTGCCGCCGGCCTGCCGCACTTTGCGGTGCAGTGGGCGAGATGCTGGGGCCGCGACGTCTTCATCTCCATTCGCGGACTCTATCTCGGCACCAGCCGATTTGCCGAGGCGAAGGAGCACATTCTTGCCTTTGCAAGCGTGTTGAAGCATGGCATGATTCCCAACCTCTTGAGCAGCGGCGCTGCACCGCGCTACAACTCGCGAGACTCGGTGTGGTTCTTCCTCCAGGCGATTCAGGACTATACCCGCTTCGCACCAGAGGGCCTCGACTTGCTCAAGGTCAAAGTGAGGCGTCGCTTCCTCCCTTATGACGATACTTGGTTCCCGGTAGATGATGAGCGCACATACTCTGTCGAGAGCAGCATCGAAGAGATCATACAGGAGGCTCTTCAGCGACACGCGTCCGGAATGAAGTTCCGCGAGGCGAATGCTGGACCCCAGATCGACTCGCAGATGAGAGATGAAGGCTTCAACCAAGAGATCAAGGTCGACTGGAGCAACGGCATTGTCTTTGGAGGCAACCAGTTCAACTGCGGCACTTGGATGGACAAGATGGGCGAGAGCGAAAAGGCCGGCTCAAAGGGCATCCCCGGCACTCCTCGCGATGGCGCCGCCATTGAGATCACCGGTCTACTCTACAGCACCCTGAGATGGGTAGAACAGCTCAGCAAGCAAGGCAAGTTTGCTTACCCGGGCGTTAAGACGGCAGAGGACAAGACCGTCTCATGGACGCAGTGGGCCGATCTCATCAAGGCCAACTTCGAAAGGTGCTACTACGTGCCGCTGTCTCCCGAAGACGATGCCAAGTACGACGTGAACCCCAGCGTCGTCGCTCGCCGAGGCATCTACAAGGATCTCTACAAGTCTGGCAAGGAGTACGAGGACTACCAGCTGCGACCCAACTTTGCCATCGCCATGACGGTGGCCTCTGATCTCTTTGACCCCAAGCATGCCTGGCACGCGCTATGTCTTGCAGACTCGACGATCCGCGGGCCCACTGGCATGGCGACTCTGGACCCTGCCGACAAGGATTACCGGCCGTACTACCGCAACAGCGAGGACAGCCACGACTTTGCGACGAGCAAAGGCCGCAACTATCACCAGGGGCCGGAATGGCTGTGGCCGACGGGCTTCTTCCTTCGCGCGCTGCTCAAGTTTGACCTCCAGCGGAGGAAGACGGCCGAGGGCAGGACGGAGGCCTTCCAGCAGGTGACGAGACGGCTGGCGGGGTGCAAGCGGGCGATACGCGAGAGCCCCTGGGCGGGTCTGACGGAGCTTACCCAGAAGAATGGAGAATTCTGTCCCGATTCTGTGAGTTTTTTTCTTCTTCTTTCTCTTGCTTTGCTTCCAGTGTACGTCAGACTGTCGATCAACGAATTTGCTAACACCCGGTTGCAGAGCCCGACGCAGGCGTGGTCCGCCGGCTGTCTCATTGATCTGTACATGGACGCCATGGAAGTGCAGGATGGTTTCAGAAATTGAGAGCTCATTTCCTTTCTTGAGCGTATGCGACACGAGTGTTTATGAGTAAACGATATCAGCATGATGTAGAAAAAAATGGAAGCATTCTGGAGGGCGTGGGCTTATCAAGGGATACAGGTATACATATGTGGATTGCTTGAAGCTGTGAGAATTGAAACAAGACAGAATGTGGTTATTCCATCGCTCTCCTAAGTACAACTAGCACATGCATGGAGGACCGAAAACCACGTACACCGCAGAATGATGCGTTGTGATATAAATGCGACGTGCTATGATTCGATGACATGACATGTCTTCCCGAGCCTCGTCTCGCATTTCCATGCCCCGATACCATCCAGTTCCCACAACAGAAAAAGAAACTGGGTACGAAGTCACCCAAATTCTCTACTTTCCTTTTCTTCCAAATCCACTTTCCCCCAGCCCTCTTTTGAACAGAGCACACCAAAGTTGTAAAAAAGCCCATCAGCTGGAACAACAAAAACGCAGAGCCAACGCCGTGAAAATCCAACAAGTAATTGTAACAGCAATGACTTTGTAAAATGAAAGTGTAATGGGAATAGGAGTATGATGGTTCGATGAGGAGCGCGCCTATTGAGCCGGTCGATGAGACAGGTATGCACAGAGAGCGAAGGCGGCGGGACTTGTTGACGTTTTTTTTTTCGATCAACATGTTTCTTCGAAAGGCCGGCATCTGTCCGGGGTGAAATGGTAATAAAGGATAGTATAGAAAGGTTGAAAATGTCGTAGTGCTCGTCTTAATTAGGCTGCTGTATAAATTGTCCTGTCATCCCATCTCTTTCTTCAATTCTTTTCCCTTGAAACTCCTTTTTCGTCCTTGTCTCATGATGAGGAAAACGGCCACAGCTTCGTTGTTGTGCCGCGCTTCTCGGAGGTCGAAGTAAAGTTCGGCAGGGTGGCAGCGGTATGCGTCTTGTCCTGGTAGGTCATGGGGATGCCTGCGCCGGCTTCCGCGGCGGGCATGCCGGAGCCCCAGGAGTTGGTGTTGCCGGCGGCTTGTCGTCGGAGCTCGCGGTTGCGAAGGTAGCGGCGGCGCCAGATGCAGGCGCCAATCCAGATGCCGGCAATACCGACTACAAGAATGACGAGCATGACGACCCATTGCCAATGGTTAGAGATCCTGCGCGAGAAGACAACACAGTCAGTGTCTGAGCGATGCTGGCAAGTAAGGCTGCTTGGGGGGAAATTGTCCTACCAGTCGCCGCTTGGGGCGCCGTCTGTCCGCTGGGGAGCGGAAGCACCGCCGCTGGTGGTAGTCGTTGATGTGGAGGTCGTCGGCGCAGCTACGTTCTTGACGTTGCAGACGCTGTGGTACCACTTGGTGATGGAGGCGAGGCCGTTGGGGTCGCCGGTACAGGCATTGTCGCAGACGCCGGCAGTGGTGGTGGAAAAGGGCGCAAGGCGAGGGTCGAAGCAGAAGCACGACGTGTAGGCGGCGGGCGTGTTGGTGGGAATGGCGGGCGGCACACAGGCGCCGTTGGCATCGTAGAGGTGGCCGCAGGCGGCTGCGCAGGCGGGCAGCTGGGCGCGATCGGCAAAGGGCACGAGGGTGGTGATGGGCGCTTGAGCAGCTGCGGGCTGGTTAGACGGCGGATTGCTCGGAAGCGGGAGAGCAGGGAGGCTTAGCATTACCCATTGTGACGTGTTGGAGCGGGCGGCGAAGGCGAGAGGAGGAGTCAAGAGAATATGTACGACGAAGTTTGCCAAAGAAAGAAGAGCGAGGTTGAGGTCGCTTGAGAGAAGATTGACGCCTGCGTCAAACCCTAAGCAAAGAATAAAGAAGGAAATCCGAGAGTGAGGTCGACAAATTTGTTGTTTGTTTCAGAAAAAAAAGCGCCGTGCGTGGGCCGAGATGCGCCGACCAAGAGGAGAGAAAAAGAAAAGATGGAGGTTGAATTCTCTTTGTAAAGTCGTGTCGTCCAGGAGGGGCAAGCGCGTCGTTATGAAATGCCGTCTTCAAGACCAGACTCTTTTTTTTTCCTCTTCACAAGACCGTGCCGTTGTTTCCGTCTTCGTCGTTCAAATCCCGAGTCGTTGGCTTAGGTGAGTGGAGAGATCAGAGAGAGATCGGTGTCGATCGTGACCGGCAGCGGCGGAAACGGAAGAGACGGCGCGTGTCTGGCGAGCACAAGGGAAAACGAAGCGACAAGGTAGCGAGAGGAAGTCCGACGCGGCAGAGGCTGGCGATGGACGCGGGTTTGGTGTTTTGGCGGCGAGAGTCGAGGTTGAGGAATGGCGAGGTCGAGGCGAAGGGGAGGAAGAGGGAACCAAAGGGCTGGAAAAATGAATGCTGTAGAGTGGCAGCGCAGGGGACTGGAATGATGGGCGCAGGTGGACAAAGTTCAGTGGAGGCATTCCCTTCGGATCAGTGGCCGCTCCAGCACTTGGCGCAGGGCCGTATTGGCTGTGGCGCCCTGGTTGGGCTTCCGTTTCCAGCTGACACAGCCCGCGAGCGCTAAGACGGGCCCCGTCAGGAGCCAACGAGGGCCTGTAGAGGCCCGTATTCAGAGCCCTGGGGAGGGTGTGTGCGTCAGCGGGAAATGCGGTCCTCGGCTGGGCTGGGGGGGTTTGAGGGTCTGACGGGGGGTGGAGCAGCAGGAGGAAGAGGAGGAGGAGGAGCAGGAGGGTTTTGGTGATGGACGACGGCGACGAGTTGGAGACATGTTGAGACGGGAGATGGAGTTGGATCATGAAGCGATTGGTTAGAAGTAGAAGAATGCACTGCACAAGGCGCTGAATCTCTCCAGGTGAGGCCTCAGCCATTACCTAACAAAGCCCGGAGCTATCGCTGATTTCACAGTCGAGACGCTGCTAGTGAGGTTCTTCAGGTCGTATTCCGTCGCTAGCGGGATGCGGAGAGGGCGGGTAAATGCAAACAGCTGTCACTGTTAGGGGCGCAAGTATCCGTACAAAGTGCATACAGCCGCGAGCAATCAAACAGTCACTGGACCTGAATCAAGAGAAGCAACACCACAACGGTTTGATCATCACAGCAAACGCAAGTCCAGGATGCCAATAAGACTTGTAGCAAATTCACATCTGCCTACCGTCTCCCGTCGATATGCACGTCCCCCAGACAAGCGTTTCGTCCCTTGGCCCCTAAGGCCCCATACGTCATTTCTGCGCGCAGTCGGTACCGGTACCTGCACCCTCAACAGCTTGTGCCTTACCTTATCGATTACTCCGCGGATCATGTGCCGAGAGTGGAAGGTACCAACCAGCTATACCTTAGAAAAAGCACACTCTAAGAAAGATGGATCTCTCCTCAACCTGCCCTTCTTTGTCTGATCAACAACTCCAAGGCTGGAGCCGTGCGCGACAATTTCCCCGAGGCTGACCAGCTGCTACCGTCTCTTGTGCCCAGTACGTTCTAAACACTTGGTATGGACAGGTACCTAGCCGTTGGCAGGTGGCAGCCGCAACGTTTCTCACCCCTGTTCACCCATCTATGATCTCCGAAACAGGGGCTCAGCAGTGATTGGATCCCTCATCTCAAATCTCGTTCTAGCCTCGTGATCGTGTTCGCGCCGCCTGGACCCTGCTCGCGAGCTGAGAGAAACAAAATTACCACCGGGAACCGTCTTCGATGTTGCTTCTACCGCTAACTTCTACGCTCCAAGTACCGTGGCTCGTCACCTAGCCATCTACTATATGGCCTACCCTTCTGCCTCATATCTCGACTATCTGAAGCACGCCTGGCAATAGTGCGGGGAATCAGAAGCCATCACCGCCATGGCCCGATTCCCTCCCGTCTCGGGGCAATCCTCGGCCTTGTGCTGGCGGGAGAAGACTCGATGCTGCTTACATACCTGCAGACTACAGACCGACACGAGGCTCGAGGGATCGTTACCCCTGACCAACCACTGCCTACAGGCTCCTCCAGCACAAAGTACGAGTATGCAGACCTGAGGCTGTGCCGAGCAGGACGACACACTCGACAGCTACTCGTTCAGGCGCATACAAGTCACTACATGCAAAGCACGGGACGCACCATGAATCCGAGAATCCCATCAAGAACATGTTTTAGATCTCCTAATCTTGTTTTGACGATGCTCAGCCTCAGCCTCGGCATCTGCTTCAAGAGCCATTCTTAGTTCTCAAACTTGTCCCCCACTCGACTCGCCCTATCATATCACACCCAAAGATGGTGCCTGGTTCAGGAACAATCCAACAATCCAACAAGACGCAAGTCAAGAAAAGAATCGGCATTTTCATATCATTTACGGCCAGTGGTTCGGTAAACCTCCTGGGGTTCACCCACTCCCTCCGAGCCCCTATGGGTCAATGTGCACAACAGCCACAGACATCACAAGGCTATTTGCTGGAGCCTTGAGTGGCCACTGTCGACCTGTCATCGTCGTTCTTGGCTTTTGCATTCTGCCGCCCGCCCTGGTTGCTCGTTGCAATGCCAATGAGCGTCCCACGAGCAAGCCAGGGATCACACTCGGTCGTGAATCTCTGGATCCCATATGGCACCTGCACCTGCGAGATGGCTGTGCCCGATGTCCTTAGCACTCTTCGCTCAAGCACCCGGAGATTGCATATCTGGCTGGTCTCGGGAAGGGACCCACTGGGTTTATTCTTTGCCTGTGGCTTTGCTTGCGCAGTGGTTGCGTTATCTTGGGGCATCTTGTACAGATGGAGGTGGCTCTCTGATCAGATGGTCTATATCAGTTGCAAGGAGATGCCTTCTTAATTCATTTGGCAAATTGTTGGGATCTGACCTCCGAAAACAAAAGACCTCTCCCACCGGGACTCCCTCTCCTTTTATACCTGTCGATTCTGCATCTCCGGTCCCCGGTCGATTAAAGACACCAACACGCGGCCGACCTTCTACAGTCAACTCCTCTCGGCCAATCCCAACATGTCACATTTGCCTCAGCCCACTGCACGGTCCATTCTGTACATGTGTGTATAGAACACGCCTTCATATGGCCGTCTATTGGCGGCATGTCTGCAGTCATGAAGCTGACGTGCGCTTCGGTCCTTATCATACAACGTTCGGAAGCACAACATGGATGATTGTGCCTAGGCTATGCTGCTCGACCGGGATCATGCGGGATCGGAACTTCAGCGTGTCTTGGGCATGCATCGCATCGGTTAGGCAGAACAGACTTTTCGTTTGTGTAATGGACCTGGCACAGAAGACTCTTGGGAGTCAACCTTTGACGTGTGTTGATGAGAGCTTGTGCTCATGTCTCAGGATCTGGGCTCCACCAACTACCCTTTCCAGGTCTTCAGCTCCTAGAGGAAGCCCTCGGTCCTCCTGTCAAACACTCAGCCATTGCTACACGCCCCCTTCCCTCGATATCTCCTCACCTGTCGACCTTACGCTAAGGACATTGTCCACGCCCCCAGGCGTTCCGTACTGCTACGCCGTTGGAACAACGAGACGGAGATGGCTCGCCGAGATGTCCCATATGTTACCTTTGTGCCAGGTGCTTCTCAGTGACGTGTTCGGTTGAGCATAATCTTGAGACATGCTGCAACGGGCGGCTGCAGTGTGCGACAGAAGCAGCGAATCTACATGGGAGAGCATGCCATCTCGAGGTGTCTACCTTCCTCTGCTTTCACCGCTCCTTACTCTCTATCAAAGCAGGAGAAGCTTCGCCTCGCCTCTTTCGTCGACATGAGCGACAAAGGGCCAGTGAAGCATCCTGACGGTATGATATTATTTACTATTCGAAGCCTGGAGCGCTGTAGAGACCTTCGAAACACACGCTGTGAGGTCTCAAGCGTTTCTGGAGGTAGAGACAACTTTTACCACCTCGTGTCATGCTTCTACCCCACAACCTTATTTCCTCCTCTGGCACTTCGGAGGCATAGGCCCTATGAGTGTCGACATCTTGGACGCTAGGCAGCTATCCTTGTCCCTCAGGACAGTGGGAAAATCAGCAAAGATTCAGCCCATGAAACATTCTGGTTCACGGTAACCCTGCTTTGGACAAAGCCATCCGTCCACTCAGCATTCGCCATGCCGAGGCAGGGCTCATATGGGGCACAGCATCTGACAACGATCCTTCATCTGTCGCAACGGATACTCTCGAGACTCTTTTGCAGAATCTTGAACTTTTGGTCGGTCGTACTACACTAACGCAGGGGCACTCGACGCCAAGCCGCGGTACGCAAGTCAGGCCATAATCTTCAGGTATGCTTCTGGATTTCCAGCGATCTGGTGAGCGATGCGTTGTTTGTATCAGGCTGTCGCCCAGCAACAAGGCTTGGCAAACCCAAGACTGGCGTTCCTATGCATGCGCATTGCAGACGACATCATGCTTTCATGTCGTGATATTGTCGTGATATGGCTATCCTGTGCGTCTGCGAGGCTCTACAACGTTCGCCTACGTCTTCTACCTGCAAACTCATGCAGCTCGACACAAGCGGGTCATGTCCATGCCACTTGAATCCTCTCAGCGGCACCACTTGCGGCCTTCTGTTGAGGTCCGGCTCCCAGAAGGGCAGCCCTAAACGAAAACTCATCCAACATGGCAAGGATTACGTGGCTATCATGGCACCTCTAGGTAGACCATGATGGCTGAAAGTTCACGCTTATGAAGAAGCCCAGCTGGCCGTTGCTCGACTTCCTGTGGAACAATACAGCGCCGCGGAAGTTGTTTCCGGTCTCACACAGTCTCAGAACGTCAAACATATCATCAAGGCTGCTCCTGCGAACAACGACCGACTTCCCCTTCGGTGAAATCTTGAGGCCCTGTGCCACACCCGCTGATGGTTCTATGGTCGATACTGCGCCTTTCCAACGTCTTACAAGCTCTTCAGAAGCACCCACATCTCGTACAGTGATCCAATGGCAGGCACTGAAAGCTTAGAAGCTTGTTTACCCTCTGCTTCTCACGAACAGAAACACCTGGGAATGCCAAACTTCCTCGAAGGTCTCTCCAACGGTTTTTCATATGCTGTGATACCCCAGGCACATGCTTTTCACATGGGAACTGACCAATTGCCGGATGATATGAACCGCCGAACCATGGTTGGTAGGCAGCCAAGTCGCCAATCTCCCTGGTGTAGGACTCTTGGAAGAGGAAGTCGGTTTCTGCTATGATGACACGGCGGCCTCTTTGAAAATTTTTTACTCGGCGACATCAGAGCAATCCGAAGGTTTAATCGGAATGTGCCACGGGCTGGATTTTGTGTCGCAATGTGTTGTTTCAACTCGTCGGGCCCGAATCTCGCTGGCTGTGCGTTATCGACGCTGCGCTTCGGCCTTGGAGGCAGGTACGATTTTGCGCAAGCCTTTTTGTGACGATCTGTGGGCTGAGCATGAGATGTTGTGAGCAAAGAATTGAGGATGACTGTGAAACTCGAGGTGTTGGGTTGAGCCTATTCAGTTATGCGTTCGTTGACTCGACGTAAGGACCTGCTCTAGGACTTCAGGACTCGCTGGCCCCATACGGCGTGCTTTGACAGGTCTCGTCAAGGGCATTTGTATGCAATGTAGAGACTGATCATGCAGCTAGTAGTAGTTGCCATTTTATCACGAGAAAATATGATGGGAGCCATGGATTGGTTGATAAAGAGCCATGATATGTCTGGCCCCGGCTCTTAACTACCAATCGCTGCATGGTTCGTCACGAGGACCCCCCACGATGCTCCGGATAATTGGACATGTAGGGACTGCTTCTACCCCATACATTCCAGGTGATTGGAACGGTATCCATTGCTACTTGCCTAGCTGGGACGTTGGGTTGCGGTGTTTGCCGTTTAGGCAGAGCGATGGGAGCCCAACGCGAGACCAATGGAGGTCTGATCGGACCACTTTGGGGGAGGAGAGTCATGGTATATGGGGGGCGGGATTGAACCACGTGGATTGGACAATGATGTATTGCTTGCGGTTTTGGATCTGAGCCTCTCTCAACCAAAGAAGGGGAATATATTGGTAGAGGAATTCGATCTATGTACCTAGATAGTCGACCTCGCCATGTAAGTGCAGTCTCCAGGTTAAGTATCTGGTCTGATGGCGTCCGAATTTGTGGCTTCAAGCTGTCAACTTGAAGTTGTGGCTGTGGTGGCGGTGTACATCATCATGCAACCATCAATCACATTCAATCATGCAGTAGGAATGTCCGCCACACCAGCACTGCAGTTCGCTTAGAAAAGGGAGCTCGAGGTGCTGTAGTGCTTGAGTGCTTGAGTGCTGTAGCAGCAGCAGATTAGCGCATGAATCGCGGCGTGCATCAAGCTAAACCGCTCCATACGTCACAAGACTTTTCCCCTAACAACGTCGAAACCCACCTTTCAATACCTCGACCTACCTACCTATGCAACCTGAACCTCTCCTTGTCCTCGTTCGCGGCGCTTCTGCTTCTGCATTCACTCCTCGACTCTCGTCTCTTCTGCCAGCCCAGACACGCGGGAGGAGAATGAAGCATCATGTTCGGGGACACCGTTAAACCAGACAAGTGCGATGGCGACGACTACGTCCGGCCGGCGTCCAAGACGGTGCGCGATCTCGAGGTGCAGCTGGTGCTGTCGCTGATTCTCGGCGTTGGCGCCCTGATTGCCTTTTGCGTGAGCTGCCCATTCGCCCCCCAAACATGTCGCATATCCGTCGACAAGCGCTGCTGAATGCTAATTGAATCCTGTCGAACGCTTCTAGATATTGCGCCCGCGATGGCCGACGCTCTATGCCGCGCGCAAGAGGCGCCTCGATCCCAACATTGGCCTGCCCCCGCTGACCGACTCTTTCTTCGGATGGATCCCCCGGCTGTACAAGGTGTCTGAGCAGCAGATTCTGGCGTCGGCCGGACTCGATGCGTTTGTTGTGCGTATTGCCAATGGCTCCAGGGTCGAATTCATAGGGCAACCGCGGCTAACGTGTGGTGACAACAGTTTCTGACCTTTTTCAAAATGTCTACCCGCATCTTCGCCATTATGGCCTTTTTCGCCGTCGTCGTCCTGTGGCCGATTAACTACAGCTATCGCAACTTCTCGCCGCTTCTCGGAGGCAATAACACGGCCGGCGACGATGGCGACAACTGGGACGACCTGTATAAGCCGCTGAACTTGCCCCTGGGCTCGGTATCGATGGGCATGGCGGGGGATGGAGTGCCAAAGGATAAGAGCGCGGAGAGGACGTTCCTATGGGCCTACGTCTTCTTTACCTACTTCTTTGTCGGATTGACGATTTACTTCATCAACAAGGAGACCTTCCGCATAATTGGGTACAGGCAAGATTATTTGGGATCGCAGTCGACCCTGACGGACCGGACGTTTCGCCTCACTGGCGTGCCGTCGTCGTTCAGAACCGAAGCACGGATCCGAGCCGTCATCGAGGGGCTTGGCATTGGCAAGGTCGAGGCCGTGTCAATTTGTCGAGACTGGAAGGCGTTGGACGAGATCATGGAGGAGAGGAACAAGATCCTCCGTAAGCTGGAGGTCTCTTGGGCGCGCTATCGCAAGCAGCAGCGGTACTCGGCCGCCAATGGTCGCAACGACCGAAATGGCCATACGGAGTCTTCCCAGAACGACTCGCACATTACTGAAGGCGATGAGGAGACGGGCGAGAACTGGCGGCTCTTGGGAGACGATTCTGACCAAGCCCACGTGCACGTCAGCGAAGGTGACCGACCGCAGATTTCGCTACGATATGGCTTCCTCGGGCTCCGAAGCCGAAGGGTCGATGCCATTGATTATTACGAAGAGAAGCTCCGGAGACTCGACGACAAGGTCCATGATGCGCGGAAGAAAGAGTACAACACCACAGATATGGTGCTCGTGACCATGGACTCCGTCATGGCTTGCCAGTTGGTTGTCCAGGCCCGAATTGATCCCCGACCTGGCCGGTTCCTGACCAAGGCTGCGCCGTCGCCGTCGGATATTGTGTGGAAGAACACGTATGAGCCTCGGGCGGTGCGACGGATCAAGGGTTGGACAATTACTCTCTTCATCACGATCCTCACTCTTGTCTGGATCTTCCCCACAGCCTTCCTTGCTTCTTGGCTCAGCATATGCACTATCCAAAAGATCTTGCCCTCCTTCTCCAACTGGCTTGAGTATCATCCCATCATCCACTCCCTGCTCCAGAACGGCGTCCCTACCTTGGTGGTGTCGCTGCTCAACGTTGCTGTTCCCTACCTCTATGACTTCTTGTCCAACCGACAGGGAATGATCTCTCACGGCGACGTCGAGCTGTCGCTCATCTCCAAGAATTTCTTCTTCACCTTCTTCAACACCTTCTTTGTCTTTGCTGTTTCGAAGACAGGAGTCGACTTCTGGAGCGTGCTTCAAGACTTTCTCAGAGATACAAGCAAGATTCCCAGAGCCATCGCGGCTGATGTGGAAGAATTGTCCGTCTTTTACATCAGTTTCATCATCCTGCAAGGCATTGGCCTGATGCCCTTCCGCATCCTGGAAGTCGGGAGCGTCTTCCTCTTCCCCATCAACCGCTTCTTGGCTCGGACCCCGCGAGACTATGCGGAGCTCAAGAAGCCGCCCGTATTCCAGTACGGCTTCTATCTGCCAACCTCGCTGCTCGTTTTCAACCTGTGCGTCATATACAGCGTGCTGAGGTGGGGATTCGCCATTCTGATCTTTGGAACAATCTACTTCGCGATCGGGTATTTCACTTTCAAGCACATGCTCTTGTATGCGATGGACCAGCCGCAGCATGCGACAGGGAACGCGTGGCCGATCATCTGCCACCGCATCGTCGTCGGGCTCGTTGTGTTTGAGGTCGTCATGGTTGGCCAGATTGCATCCCTCTCAGCGTTTGTGCAGTCGGTGGCTGTCTTCCCTCTCATCCCCTTTTCGATCTGGTACAGCTACTACTTCAAGAGGCGATATGTGCCGCTGATGAAGTACATTGCCCTGCGAGCCATCAAGCCCGCGCCCGGCTCTGGCGCAGAAGAGGCTGTCGTGGATGAGGAGGAGTCTGATGACGTGAGCCCGGACCGCTCTCAATCACGAGAGATGCTACGTAGGGGCAGCACGTTGGACGAACTCAAGGAGAAGGGCTTGACCTTTGTCAATCCGAGTCTCGTTGTGCCGTGAGTACCACTCTTACTTGTCTATTACAGAATCTCCATGCTAATATGCACAATTTTAGTCTCGAGCGGCCGTGGGTCTACACTGATCCGCCCCCGATTGTAATGACTGACGAGGAGTCAGAAGACGGGTCTGCGGACGGGTCTGAGGAAGACCAGCCCAGACTGGTGCTGCCCAATGCAGACAGCTCTTTGGGCATCGGGGAAGATAACGTGTGGCTTAACGCAGCACAACGTGATCGAAATTCAAGATGAGCCAATACTACCTAGATTGACTTGAGATGGGGAGCGTTCGTACATGGAACATATTCTGATATGCAGATACGGCGGCCACTCTGTTTCGGGATGCTGAAGCTGCCCTTTTCTGTTCACTCCCCTTTTCCGATTCCTCATACCAAGGCGTTACTGATTCACGGCTGCAATTTACCACCTGTCCGCAACATACCCTTACAATATCCCTTTCTTTCCACGTTGGTTGCAATTCCCTCTATGCCCTTTGCCGCTCTACATATGGCAAGAACGATACCACTGAAATAGTTAGATAGCGCCTTTCTTTGCATGATTTGTATACCTGTGTTTGTTTGTTTGGAGGAGGAGCGATAAAAATGACGAAGGCGAGCTTGATAAGGACTTAATTTATGTCAACAAGAATGTCTACATGGCCGTATCGCCGTTTCCTGCTGAATCCAAAACATTGCTTATCTACATCCACCTACTACTAAGGTACCTAAGTACCTGTTCTTTGTCTCCCCACGACCAACCTAAGTTACCTCTCACAACATACATCATTCTATCGAGTATTGACCCTGACCTCAGAGCATCACGGAGAAAGCATACCTTACATATACTACAGAACCGGAATCAGCGAGAAGCCTCCTGTCCTGGAGGCCAGCCTGCAAGACGTCCTCGCAAATCTTTGTCTCGAGAGGCGTTGCCGGAGCTCGGTCGACGCGGTCGAGAGGGACTTGGCAGCGACCCGCGAGCATGAGCACGCCTGGCGAGACAATGGCCGTTGTCGCGATGGTGACGAGCGGCGACAGGAGGATCTATGCGCTTCCTGGGCAGTTGGCGGAGGTGGAGAACATCTTTGGCGGAGAGTATGGGAGCGAAGAGGAAGATGGTGAGTTTTATTCTCGGCATGTTGGCCTTTGTGATGGCATGAGGGAAGGTACTGATATGTGACTTGGGAGAAGATGATCCTAGCTCAATGAGACTACCCACCGAGCTGCTGCAGCAGATCTACCATCATCTGTCTCCTGCGGACTTCGATGCGGCGAGGCACACGTGTCGAGTCTGGTATTACGCGTCGCTGAACCGCGAGCTGCTTACGAGCATGCTGAAGCAGGGAGGATGGTGGAGCAGCATGTTGAGCATCCTATCGCCTATGAGAAGAACGCCGGCGGTGTCGAGCCTAAGCCGCGAGGCCATCATGAGCAAGTGGTTAGCGCGGGAGTGTAGCCTACTGGGCGAGCAGCAACACCGGCAGCAGCAGAGGCCTGCTTTTGTGGAAGTTGGACATACGGATTTCAGTGCCGCGGTGCCTGGGTGTATGCCTGGGGATTTGCACGGGGCCATGAGCTTTACCGTGAGCCTGTACGGCAGGTTCCTGATGGCAGTGCATGGCCGCGTCGTCTACATATACGAACTGAACCATGTGTGCTTTCCGGAGAGGCTGAGGTGGGCGTTGCCGATTCGGCGGAGGCAGGGGATGCCGCTGGGGCTTTTGAGGCCTGTGACGAGAATCTTGTGTCCGAGGAGGGTGATTTCGTGCAGCATGGATGCGTCGGCGGAACGATACTCTGTGGCTTTTCTGATGGAGGGACGCGTTGGCATGGTGTGCGATATCATGGGAGAGAGAACGGGCACGTCGAACCCTTCGACGCCTCAGACGGATGAGGGGGCTGCTGCTGCTGCTGCGGATGATGGGGCAGATACATCTTTGGCATTCCCTTCTGATGTCGCATCTCCGTCTGCTTCTGCTTCAGCATCTGCTTCTGCTTCCGCATCTTCCTCTGGATCAGCGGTGTCGTCATCGACCTCCTGTATATGCCAGGATCGGCTGCCTTGCCTACCGCTGCCACTAGAGGAGGGCCCGAGGTCGGTTTATCGCAACATCTGCCATCCAGACGACCCTCCTCGATCGGTGGCCATCTGTCCTCAGAGGAAATGCGTGGCGTTTGGATGCTCCGCCGGGATTGAATTGCATTGGGTTGATGCCATGACGGGTCAGGATCTCAGTAGATGGTTCCCGCTCACATCTCCGAGCGACTTTCTCTACTTTCTGCCGCCACGAAGGGGAGTTGATACTCCGAGAAAGCTGAGGCTGATCAGCTCCGCTGCTGGCATGGGTGGCCCTATGGATCTACTGGAGGGCATCGTCCACGGCTTCAGCACTTCGCTTCTGGGAACAGGCAGCTCGGCCGTCATGTCCTGCCTCGATGCTGACTCCTGGTACTTGAGGCACGGCCGCGATATCTACCTAGAGGCAAGCGGATCCAACACTCGTGCTAATGGGAACGACGATGAGCGTCTCCTGAGCCGCAATGTGCCGCGGGACAGCCCCCTTCGACGCCTTGTTGCTGCTAGTGCAGATCACTTCCGGGCAGTGCCGCTGAGTGACGGCTACCATATCCTGTTTACCGATCCTCGCACGGGAAGTCTGTGCCTGGGGACTGATGCTCCCGTGGGATCTCTTACCCGTCTCCTTCGGAAGCTGTGGTTCCGCCCTCCTCCACAGGCACATTCACCCGTGCCGCTTTTGTATACTGCGGGGGCTGACACACGACATGGGGTCCGAGTCGTTGCGACATTCGCTGCTGCACGACAGAGCGATGGAGCCTCAGACCAACAGCTTGTTGTGATTTACACAGTGCCCCCCGACATCTTTCATGACATTCGCCGAACTGAGGGTGAAGCCCGGTCTACCGGATATCGCCCCCGTGACGACCGCGGACTTGACCGTCCGGAGCCGAGATATAGCGCCATTGACTTGCTCAACGATCCATTTGGAGACGATTGTCCTTATCCAGTCGAGATACACGGACATGTGGTGGCGGTCTGCGGCAATCTTACCGAGATCGCGCTCAACTCGTCCCCGGACTTGATTATCTGGGCATTTGCTGCCGAGGGATGGGCCAAGGCCTGGGCGTTGAACACCGGGAGACGTGACCGACCGTTTCGGTCTGCTGCACAGCGAGATGGCAGCATTCGACAAGTCGATGCGGATGGCGATGTGCTCATGGCCGGACGTGCTCACCCTGGGGCGCAGTCTTCGGGACTGAGTTCTCTGGATTTCAACCTCTTTGACGGGGCTCACGTGGGTGATTTTGAAGAGGAAGATCCGCCCATGGCACAGGGACCGTATTGCTGGGGCAAGAGATGCCATGTCCGAGGGCAGATTTGGGAGATGCAGGACGATGTGGCGGATGCTCTGAGCATTGACATGATTGAGGAGGTGGGCAGCATTACGCGGGTCAATGTCGAGCTCTTGTCCTAGTGTCTAAGGCAAGGTCGTGATTATAACAGTATACCTAGTATAGTATACTTTAATATATATTCTATTCTATTGAAGCTGGATTAATAGTGTATTCATGTTATGAGGTGGGTACCTAGTATGGATGAGGTTGTCAGTAGCAGAAGCTACCTTATGTTACCTAGGTAGTCACACGAAGCCTGGGGCGGGGTTAAAATTGCTGTGAAAGCACTTCAACTTCGAGTTTTGCCACCCGATGCCGCCTTACATCCCCTCACTAGAGTGCCTAGGCTGAGGATTGAGGCAGTGGCATTACTAGAGGGCTTTCACAGCAAATTTTAACCCCGCCCCAGGCTTCGTGTGAGTGACTAACATATGGAAGGCAGGTAGCTTAACCTCCAGGTCTGCTATGGCAGCAAAAGTGTTGAACAGGTGACTGGAGGTTATTACATGTAAGAATGCTGTGGAGGTCCAGCGGCAATGCATGCTGATGCCTAGTCAGGCGGCCACTGAGGCTAATTAATGCACCTTCCAACAGGGGCGCTCGATCCAATCGTGATGGATTCAATTGCAACTTGGTCTTGACGAACCTGTTGCCTTGTCACTTGTTGCGAGCCTCGCACCCTCCCACAATTACGTGAGTGTAATTAGACGTGATACGGTTGAGAAGCTTTTGCAAATTATTATACCAGCCTTTGAAGGATATGAGCAGCACAGGGCATCACAGGGCATAATGTATGTTAAATGTAGCTCTTTGCTGTTTGGTCCTTGATGGACGTTGTACATATGTGATGGTAGACCGGCTTGATGATCATACCTTTTGATTGCATTGACCCCTTTTCGTATGGCTTTGTGACTTCAGCTAGAATTTGTCACAACGTCAAGCAGCTCTTTCGAGTGCATAGCTGCATTTTCCATGAAGCGCTTCAGCGTTAAGACTCAACTTGGAGCCTGAGACATCGAGCAAAGAAGTGCTGTAATCCTGATGAGGAAGAATCCTTTGCCCGACCAAGCTTGGGCGTGTATCTGGGTGAGGCTTGACGCGCATCGGTTAGGCAGCCGCTGAGCATGTGCAGAAACTGCTTTACAACTTACACGCCGACATCACCGCATGTGTCTTTGCCTTGTCTTAGAGTGAAAGGATGAACAATATGGTTGGGATGTGATCATTATTTACGGTGTCACAGTTGAAAGGGCACTTGCAAAGCGGCATTGTGACTCGAAGGAGAGCTGCCAATGCTAATGATCTTACAACGGTAACGGGCGATCTCTCATCGTGCGTAGTCTTCTGATTTTAGGACACTGATGGAAACCCCCCCATCCGTGTGTGCTGTGAACCAACGGAGCATCTGTAGCTATCTATATTGGTGCCCTGCGGCTTGTGCTATCTACATGAAAGTTTGAGTTCCTTCGAGGAAAATGGAGAAGGTGGCTTTGCAGCTGTCTCGGAAAGATTAAGGCTGACCTTCGGTGATTGGCTTGTGACGAAAAAGACTGTACGAATGTAAGGAAAAGATCAACAAGAGCAGGGAATTGGATGAAGAGGTTAGAGATTGTGGAGGGTCTGTGAGAGGGAGCGGGTAGCGTTTGCCCTTGATTGATTACATGTACTCTTGTTGCGAAAGTGTAACCTCTTTGTACCTTCTCAGTTGCTGTGCTTTCTTCTTCCAGGCATCCCTGTTACGTCGAATACGGGCTTTCTGTTGCGAGCTTAACAGGCTGCGACATCCTTCGTTCAGTGTTCTGATCGACTTCATCATTCGAATCCACTTGTTGGACTTCTTTGATAGCTTTGCGGCCCATGGAAGTCGACTTTTGGATAGATGACACGCAGCGCGGACCTGATACTCTATTATGAATGAGTATAGGTTGCTTAAAGGAGACTTGAGTTCCTTGTGCTGTGGAATCCTGGAAAGATCGGTGTATAACTTTTCGAAGGCGATCCAGAACATTTGCATGTCGGCGAGGGAACTGAACCCTTGTAGTATGGTTTCATCGCAGGGATACCTGTGCTGAAGGAGCTGATCCACATGAGCACGGCGTTCGTCATCGCTTGCTATTGGTGATCCTGTAATATGACAACCTACAGAAAGAAACAAGGGGATGCTAGACCAGGCTAATGCTTTGTGTGGCTGAGTGCTCATGATGGGTTTGACAACAGGCTCGGACCATCTAAGGAGCTTTGTCAACTTGTCGACGTGTGGCTGCATATCCGCAAAACGAGCTGAGGCGGTGGGCGGGTTCTTTCCATTCTTTTGCTCCAAGGATTCCAGTAGTCGCTTTGTGATGAAGATCACATAGTTAGGGTCCAAGAGATCCGCGTTGATCGGAGGACGGCCGTTGATGAAACTGTTGAGGCACTTCTTGTAGTTCCTCATGAGTTCTTCCTCGCGTTGAATGGCGAGCTCGTAGGCCTGGCTCCACAAATCGAGACTTGTCTTTGATGCGGGAGACAGGGAAGGTCGCATGACGATTTGGTAAACGTTTCGCTGGTAAAGAGAAAACTGAAAAGTGATATTTCGTTGTTGGGCGCCGCCCTGGGCAACGTTCCCTATGGCCATTTCCCCCCGGCCGGCCACCTCGTCCTCTGGTTATGGGGGCTGCTTGCATGCATGTTGACTGCGCTATTACTGGAGTGCATTTTGTTATATAGTGCTGTGCAGCTTGACGTAACTGCATGTAATATGCGTGAGTGCCTGATGCGGAGGACGGACGGGCCCCTTCGACCCAGACTTTCTTGCCTTGATGCTTCGGTATGCATATCGATGGCATTATGTCACTCAGCCGCACCATAGATTCATTGCCTTACACGGCGCTGGCTATGCTGCGTTTTCTGCCTGAGCACCTGAGGAGTAAGCCCAGAGTGGCATGCTCCGTATTGATCCAATGAAGACTGATCATGGATGGCGTCTCTCTGCCATTGGAGCCACGGATGCAGACTAGATGTTGCATGTGGACGAAGTGCTGAGATTTCGGTATGGCGTCGGTTGACGTGGCTCGGATGCAGCATCCTGAGTGACGTCTCAGTGCCCCTGCGTACCACCACTGGAACATATCTCTGCTTTTAGATTGACCATTCTGGTGAAAAACAAGCCTCAAAAGCCTGATGAAGTTTGCATATTTCGGGTCTATATATCATGTGAGCCATCCTTTGTTGGTTGATGTGCCACAATCTCCAGGACAGTGTGACTGGCATATAGTTTCAAGATAAAATTTGGCAGAGAGGTAGAATGACGAACCCTGCCAAGTAGAGTACTGATGGAAATCGGGGAAAGTCGAGGAATCGCACGCTGTCCCCTTGCAGCTAATGGCTGAAGATGTACAAACCCAACCGATCTTTTTACAGGTCCTTCTGGGGGATATCTGGAGAAAAGCAAAAGTCTCCGTCCTTCGTAGCACAAACTGAGATGCATGTCTCAGCTGGCGGGCGGATGGCTTGTTTTTCAAACGCCGTAGTGAGCTGTTGCTGTCAGTCAGAACCTGATCAAACTACATGATCAGACGTTGACATGCATCAGCGGAGCAGGTGCCTAGTCTTTGTATGCATGTTGTTATCTGTCTTATAGCCTTGCCCTGCGGGCTGGAGGCTGACGGGCGTCCGTACCTTACGTGTAAACAATGGGTTTTTACAAGCAGTATCCGCACAGCATTGACGCATTTTGGGCAGAAACAATTATCCATTCTTCCAGCTGCTATATTTTGAATTCGGGATTGTAAGGGCTCGGGTAGTAGCGTATGCGCAAAGTCGAAGACCGCAACACTTCCTTGTTCACTCAGTGAGGCCAGAACCAAGGTGTCTCCGTCCACACAAGCCGTCCGCGCTGAAAACACAAATTACTCACACTTCCAGAGAATGACATTCCGACGTCCGTCACGGCGCAATGATTTCGAAATCGCCTTCATATGTGCCCTCGATGTCGAATTCGAAGCACTGTGTCTCGTTGTCGAAGAGTTCTGGGACGAAGGAGAGAACGTGTACGGCAAAGCAGAAGGAGATGCCAACAACTACCGCACTGGGCGCATTGGCAAACACAACGTCGTCCTGTTGCTGTTGTCAAGTATCGGAAAAGTCTCCGCGGCCAATGCGGCATCCAGCCTTCGCGCAAGCTTCCCCAGGCTACGGCTGGTCGCTCTGGTGGGAGGTTGTGCGGCGGCTCCTCGAAGCAACGGTGCCGATATTCTGCTTGGCGATGTCATCATCAGCACTGGGGTAATTCAATATGACCTGGGCACCAAGCATCCAGGACAATTCGTTCGCAAGAACAGCGTCAAGACCAGCCTGAGCAAGCCGCATAAGGAGGTCGCAAACATCTTGGCTGCCCTCCAAGTGTCCACGATGAAAAACAACATCACTGGAAGAACATCAAATTTGCTCGTGAACTTGCAGGCCAGTACCGCCATGCTTGGATACGGCATTAAATATCAGTATCCGGGTATCCGGGAGGACCAACTTTTTGAAGCGACTTATCCTCATAAACATCACAACACCGACTGCAGTATATGCAATAAGTCTGCTGATGCCGTGTGCGACACTGCGCTACACACGTCCTGTGAAGAATTGAGATGCCAAAACCATCAGTTGGTGCACCGCAAGAGACTTGATGAGAAATTGTCATCATGCCAAACAGGTGCTATGTCGCATCAAAATCCAGCGATATGGTTCGGCACATTCGGCTCGGGCGATACGGTGATGAGATCCGCTCGTGACCGGGACAGGATCGCTTCCCAAGAAAACATCATTGCCTTTGAAATGGAGGCTGCTGGGATATGGGACGAAGTCCCCAGCATTGTGATCAAAGGAGCCTTCGATTATGGGGACTCGCACAAGAATAAACGATGGCAGGCGTTTGCTTCAGCAACGGCTGCCTGCACCGCGAGGGCAATTATAGAGCAACTTGCCTGGACGGATAGGGGTGAAGTGATGATGTTTACTCAAGGTAAATTCAAACCATGCCTGGCCAGCGCGAGAAGCCCTTTAGCCCCTTGGCTGACATAAAATGCAGTCATTGAGGAGAACCATGCCAGTTACGGCTCCCAACAAACAAACGTGATTAACAACGCACGTGAGGATATACATGCACGCATCAAGCGTAATGACTGCGTCGGGCAAAGTGAGCAACTGAACATCGTTGCATCTTTGGATCAGATTCAGATTGAGAGCTTGTTCCGGTTGCATCAAGCAAAGGCAAAGGGTCGGAAGAAGCCGGGAATCAAAGCATCCAGGGGTCGGCCACTACCATGCTCTTGGAGAGCTTGCAACGCCAAAACTCAGCTTCAGAGGTACCGTTCAAACTTTCCAAGAATGTAGCTTTATTCACGAAGAGATAATAGGAACAAAAACAGCTGCCAAAGGCCAGTAGTTGTGAATCTCCTCAGGCAAGGGGACTATTTGGAAAACAGCGAGATTGATACAAGTCTCAAGTCAATATGAATAACAATGAAAGATCTTTCCGAAATGCAAAACATTCTCCAAGAATATCGGCGGATGAAAGTAAGGGGCGTTCCAATGCCCGTGCCTAACAACCGCTCACATGAAAACGCAAGACTTATTCGTTTGCTTGGTCCCGTAGTCGAACGCCCCATTCCATGTCACAGTAGCTCCGTCTCCAATAGCCGTATTTCTTTGTTTGGCGCCGCTGCGAGCCATGTTGTACGCAACGGTGGCTTGCTTCTTTGAAGTCCCTTGCGAATGACCAGAAACACCCTCCATTTTCATACCCATATCCATATCCATATCCAAGCCCCGCCTCGCAGCAAGAGGGGCGGTATTCGTCGGTGTCGTAAGAGCATTGGTTGGTGGTGGCCTATGCTGGACCACGGCGTTTGCAGATAGGCGGGAGATTGTAGTCGGGCGGGAGCAGTTTCTATTACCATGTCTCTTTCTGGCATCTGTTGGCAACGGCATTGTGTGGTGTGATATTTGCAACTGCAAGAGTGTTAGCCAGTGGCTGCTATCATAAGCTATGCACATGCTTTATCGTACGGTAAGGGGATGACGCAGGAGACTGCTTGGTAGTATCTTTTATCAAATAAACGTCTTGAGGAGATATTCACAACGACGAGATACTGGCTGTAGCGTGGTGAGCACAGCCCTGCCCATGTATGCTACCACCTACCTACTTATAGTTTCTCTTCTTCTTCCTTTCCTGTACCAAAGGTGCTCAGCCATAGATTCGCCATGACATACCCCAAGTGATGTGTATCCACAGACTGAGCTTTGGGTATGATGATGTCTTGAGCATTGAGTATACACTACACTACACCACACCACAATACGTGACCTAATACTTGAGCCTCATTCTGCGGCTGAAACTAATCATGCAAGAGGGGCCAATGTGGTTGGCACAAGGGCCACGTAGTCTCACCTGGCACACTTGAGTGAGTGGGCAATCCTGCATTCGACCACATATTGCGTTTACAAGATACGGTTCTGCGGGAGCTGTACAGCTTGTCACAAGTGACCGATCTGTTGAGCGTAAGATAGGCCATTAGGGGACGAGGTGGTTGCACGAAAGTCTGCAGGTACATATTAAGCGGCAAACACTACATACGTGCAATTGGACTCTCACGAACAAAGGAGACTCAAAGTTCATGAAAAACTGTAAAGGCCAAGACAATTGACTGTAAAGGCGTTGTATCAATGTTTAGCGTAGACGAGGCAAACAATCAGGCGTCAAGGCAAATAGGCAGCAATGCCCGAGTACACGGTCCAAAACACCATACCTTACCTTGAGCCTTTTTCTTGCCTTCTCTCTCTAGCCTTTGATTCATTCCTTTTTTTCCCGAGAAATGACTCAAGCAGGAGACTGATTGGTTTTGCACGCACAAGGCGAGTGGTCACGTACACACTTGGTATGTGATTGATGAGTTGTCAGTCACTCTACTAGCGAGTATTAGCTTCTGGATGGATGAGCTGTCTCAACTGCTGGCACCTTGAAGAGCCTGATTGTTGTGTCAAGCGCTGTTCTTGGATCACTTGAGTTTCACTTACATCGTGAGGCATGGTAATGGTGGGGCGGGCTGTCGTAGCTCATGCAGTTATAGAGGATGCATGCTGCGTGTATATACATGTAGGTACTGATGAAGGCTATCAGGGGGTCTTGGGACCGCATCAAGACGTACCCGACAAGGTAGGCGATTTCCGAGGGCATTTGCAGTTACTCTCCTGAAGGTTGGGCACAGAACATCAGTAGCGAAGAGACACCGGGTCGGATGTGGCACACTTTTCGGGCGAGGATTTGTCAAAATAGGTAACGATACGTCAGCTGAGGCTCCTCGGGACCATGTACGCATGTTACATGCCGCCGACACACACGCCAGGAACACTTACGCTTATCCATACATAGGTAGGTATGCGTACGTCATATTTGGCAGGGAGATGGAGAGTCCCACGACGTAGGTTCTATCCCCAGACACAATGTGCCTGTAAGCTCAGTAGGTGTGATGCCCGAAAATGGGGTGTTGGTCCCTTACTTTGGGTTGTTTTCCACTCGGGGATTCATCTCAATATTCATTTGGCACCCAAGACGTCTGTCTATAGGGGACGCACACATAGCATCATCGCCATATCGAGAATTATATAGTGCTATCGCCGCAATTGCTGTCAACGGCTAAATCACTCAACGCTATGTACCTCCATATCGTTTGATTGCGGAACGGCCCGAGTTCCTGTCCTAAGTCTCCATCAGTATTCAAAACTATCAGAGGGATTTGACGCTGGTGTTTGATCAGGGGGTCTATTGAAGCTATATGCACTAATTAATGGACACAGTTGAATCATTGCGTATGTGGCGCAAGGCAACAGGCACGAATGGTAGTTCTCACAACACGCCGGGTGTGAGCCTATGTCCCAAGCTGCACTGGCTTTCTACCTACCCCGGTTATTGGGATGATTTGGGGGAGCACTGAAGTATAAAATTACTGTGAAGGGTGGAGAGGCCATGGGAAACGGTGGGCCGATTCTCAAATGGAGATCCTGCCATTAATTCGTGGATGCTTCCCTGCTGGCTTGAGGCTTTGATTATGTACGGGCCAGCTCTTGGACGAACCAATAGCCCCAAAAACCTAAGTATGAGCTATGGGAAAGTGAATGGGGCATCTGTCACAGTTTGCGAAGCTCAGGCAATCTCAACTCTCTATATGAGCTGCCGGAACTGAGTCTCGAATCACAGCAACCTCGAGCATATGAACAGAACATGCCTCTCAGAGTAATCTCATATGCAGGTTTCTCTAGGTTACGACGTCAGATTTGTCCGGGAAATTGGTAACCTTGCGTTTGTGCCAGCATTTGATGTTGGTAGGCAGCAGGCGCATAAGAGCTGCCTCATGCTAGGTACATGTAAGTTACTCGTCTGCCAGAGGACCCTAACTCTCGCTCAGAGTTGAGGCTCGAGCCTCCTCCCCTTCCGGAATGGGCGCAGATAGCTGTTGCATGGGTAAATTGAGAAGATGCAGAAAGAAGTAGGAAACATTCATGGGTGGCGATGCTATATGTGTGAACAAAGATGATGGCGATCAGGTACCTTATGTGAAGATTCATGCGCCACACGTGATTGACAGATACTCATGTTCAAGAAGACTGTCTAAACTCGCATTCAATACTTTCATATAATATCGTATCTTCTAGACGCGCCTTCACTACAATGGAGCACAATTCCCTTTATCTTCCGAGATTCCTTAGCCACCACCGCTCTCTCCGTTTGAGATGACCAAGCGAAGAACCCCATCAGTCGAAATCAGGAGCGGACTGCCAAACCCCCCAGAGGTAGCAAGACACTCCGATATGAAATCGGGAAAGGCGTCCTGCACAGACTGCTCGTCAAACGTAACCGCGTTTCCGTTTGCAAATGCGCCGATGAAGACCTCACACTGTCCGACCGTGACAGAAATGGCGGACTCTTGGGCGCCCTGAGTCGCAGGAGGGATGCTGCAGACGCCGTCGGTGCAGTGGGCGGACAGCAGCTGGGGCACGGCGGTGTTGCAGTCCGCGGCGTTGATGTGGTTATTCTTGCCGCCGCCGCATTGGGGGGCGTTGAAGCTGACGGAGCCAAGGGGGGTGGTTTGCTGGGCGATGGTTGTGCCGAGGAGGCTGGCGAGCAGCGAGAGGGCTGCTGGGGCCTTCATTATGGCAGATGAAGCTCTCACGAGGCGAGGCGGAGAGCTACTTGTTGTTGAGGGGTGGTGGCAGTAAGAATATTGTTCGATTTGGAGGAGAGACGTCTCTACTTATATCTGGGCAATGTAGCATCAGGCATGATTTTATCCGCAAATTATATATGCCTCGATGTTCTCATCGGGACATCTCCACCTGTTTTGATAACTCTCTGCGATTTTTCTCCGCCAGGAGTACTCTCTCATGTAAAACAATTGACTGATTCCACGTTGCCTCTGCAGTTGCTGACGTCCCCACAAACATCATGCCCAGCCCCTGCTAACATCGGGACAACTTCACTCCCCTGGTCCGTCCCCGGATTTTGCTGCCGAGGGACCCCTACTACGCCCGCTCAGACGTAGATACCTAAGCGGTGAAACCATAATCCCGTCAGCAACACGTTAGAGACAGGAGACAGTCAGCAGTGAGATGACAAAGTAATCGGGTGAATTCTTGTCTCCTTGTTAAGTCGGGAGTTGGTGAGTTGGTGGATGAAATAGGCCTCAATCAGCGGGGACTGATTGGACCCTGGGCCGGAAGCTGTCCATGATTCTATTCAAGGCTGTTGGGTGACCTCGCGTGGGTCTTGCGAGTCGACATATTACTCTGTTCATCCGGGTATTCAGCCGTGATTGTCAAAAGGCAAGCTTGCCTATATATAACGTGCCATTATGCAATCAGGACGTGGTACGAGGTCTGCTGTCTTTGATCTATCATATCTTGTACTTCAGAATGGCAACTCTAGTAGTAGAGCAGCTCAAAGAAGAACTACTAGGATATAGAAACAGTGTTGCACCTGTAACAAGTTGGTTGGGCCTGAGGACGGGTCGAATCAAGTGCATGTTCATATCTGTACTACCATCTTCCACCAAGTTGCATCGGCAATATATCGCTGGACCTCTTATTACCCCCCTCTGGAGTAAGCTTGAAGTCAGCCAATTTGTGCAGGGCCGTCATCGCCCTACGCCCAAGACCCAAACCACTATAGCCGCTCCCGTCGCAACCACCGCAGCAAGGAGAGACGCAGCAGGCATCAAAGTGCCCAGCATCGCCATGCTCGTCAACGTCGCAAATATTCCGCCGGCGGGAGTAAAAGCTCCATACATCCATGATTGGAAAGCCGCAGCAAGCGTTCCTTTACGTCCATTAGCTGATTTCACATCGCAATTTCTGTGATTCCTTTTTCGTATATGGGGTATGCGACGGATATGTGACGACGTACCAGCTCCGATGCCAATGGGTCCAAAACCCAAGCAGAGTATCAAGGTGCAGACCGCGGTAAAGGTAATCGCCCAGGCCAGGATTACGGCAAGAATGTCTGTTTGGGCCCCTCTTTGTTAGAATAGTAGGCTATTGGGAGGCATTCGTTGTAACTCACGAGGCTGGGAGATCCATTCGAGTATGGTCTTGTATAGGTGGATGAGGCCATCTAGGCTATCGCCTGAGTAAAGGAGAATAGGTGCCATTGCGGGTGTGGTGAACGTGGGTTGCTCTCAGTATAGACTGGCGTTGGCGGTTTGAGAATAAATTCCTGATCCAAGATGCAAACGGTGTTTGTGGTCAATTGCTGCCCAAGTGAGGAGATAAATGGCAAAAGGCCCCAGGAAAAGATGTAAGGTCGCAATTAATGCATATATACGAACCAATCAGTGTCTCTATGGTGTATCTGTATTTCCGATGCAAGGGAGAGCCTTGTGCTACAGCGAAGTACCTTAGTCTTAGGCTTCCAGGGTAATAAGAGCGCAACAATCTTGTATTAGCACATGCGATGTCATGTCACAGATTGTTCAGAAGTAGTGATTGCTCAGCAAAATGTCTTCTCTTTCCGAGCTATATTTCTGATCTGTGTCCTGTGAAGAGCCTGCAAGGCACGATCGCTTCCTACTGTCAACTTGTCTAAATTGGAAGCTCTATGGACTCACTCATAGAATTCGCTATGGTCTGCAAACGGCGATGAACAAACTGCTTATTCTGGGCTTGATTTGATGCTTGATGATCTACATCGACCGTGATAACATTCTCCATCTTATAGGCATCACTTAAGCGAAGCAAAGTTGTTCCACCAACCCTCCAAAGTGAGATGTAACAACCCCGGGTTCGCCTCAATCTTGTCCTTTGCAGCAACCAGCTCTTCGACATCCCAATTCGCCCACAGGAAACGCCCACTGAGAAAGTCCGACTCAGGGCCCGCAAGCCAAACCGCAAAGTTGGCCATGAGCTCCGGGGAATCTTGAGGCGGCAAGTGCGGCATATTGGCCTTGTCAGCCATGTCGCTCTTCACGATTCCAGGACTCACGTTGAAGGCCTTGATGTTTGGATTCTCAGCCTGCAGAAACTCCACCACGGAAGCAGCCGCCAGCTTGGAGGAGACGTAGCCGCTCATGGGACCGGCGGCCGGACCCATGTGAGCTGCGCCGGTGTTGACGCCGACAAAGACGGGCTTTCCTCGCACGGGCTGAGACTGGTTGAGGAAATATTTTCCCAGAAGATAAGTACCCAGCACGTTGATCTCATGTCCCTTCCACCACTCGCTCGTTTCGCTGGAAGCTAGTGGTCCGGGTTCCGGGAGGTATCCTGCGTTGGCTACCAGGATGTCGAGGAAGCTGACTTTGTTGATCTGCTGGAAGAGATCCTTGACCTGGTCTTCCTTGGACAGGTCGGTCTGTATGGGGTGAAAGTTTGTGTTCGGATATTGTTTCACGAGCTCTAATGTGTCAGGCCCAGGAGTCCTAGTTGTCGAAGTTCAGACGCTGACCTTTTGTTCAACCTCCTTGAGGAGACTTAGACGTCTTCCGATGAGAAAGATGTGGTCCGCTTTGGCCTTTGCAAAGGCTTCGACAGTGGCTGCTCCAATTGCAGTTCCGCCACCGGTGACGAGGACGGTTTTGCCTGCTGCTGAGAGACGCTCCTGTGTTGGGTCGACTGCCGACGTGGGTTCATGGTGGTACCTTGCCGTAGGTGTTGGGAAGCTCATCGTGATTAGTTCTATTCCGTATCTATTCTGATGGTGAGGAAGCCTTATGGGAGGAGCCTTGCTATAGGTATCTGTTGGGTTGTGGAACTCAACACTATGTCCAAGGTGGACTGGGTATCACTTTTATATCGTTGAGGGTGTCTCCATCTACCCATCTTGTTGATGACTGAACCCCATATACCGAACGTCAACGTCAATTCCCGTCCTTCGTCCTCCGAGTACAGTACAGATTCGACCCATTTGTCAGCCCCCTTTTCCGATCTATGGCTCATCCGCGACTCAAGTTGACATCAACCGATACCCCCCAGCTGCTCCACATTGTCAACGACCTGATCACCAACATGTTGTGCACAGCTGATTTCAAATCTTGAGCATTCCCCACTTGCGAAGTAAATTGGAACATTCGTCTGTGCGAAATAAGGAATTCGGTTAGTGAAACCCCCGTATGAAGTCTTCGGATGACTTTATGAGGCCAGCCTCATCCCGCGAGTGTGTGGGAGAACTTACCGTTTTCTGGGCTAATATGATTGGCCGGCTTCAACCGACGGTAACAATCCGCGAACTTATTAGCAAGCATCAAGATAGCTTCGGAAAAAGAAACCAGACTATTACCGATGGCATTGCTGGAGTCGTACCGATTGGATCCCTCGAGAATGTATTGCATCATCCTTCCATCTCGAAAACGCCCCTTTGACTCCTATCTTCGTCACCGTCTATTATTGCTACGGAGGTAAGTACCATTCTGCCTCAAAAACCGACTGCGTCCTGGAGGTAGTCTCGACGGCGGAAACCCCAGAATCATGCCATTACACGGAACGATACGAATGTATATAGGACGAGAAGTTGCCGATGAAAGGTTATATAAAGATCCTGAATACTCGAGAAGAAAGGCACTCAGATATTTGATGTTCCCTCCCTAGACACCACGCGATACATACGGTGAGACACAGCACCGTTAACCGCCGGGTTCCATACAAAGCATATTACACTTGTGTATATAGCGCAATACTACTGTAAAACTAAAGAAGCGGCGGAAGTTTTCTGATATTTCATGTATGCGACGTCTATAACCACAACTTCCCTCTCCTCTTTTAGCCAATAAACATGTCTTCATCACCCGTGTCTGCGACCTCCTTGAACCCTAGAGCGGCGAGCTGCTTCTTCCACCGCTGCTGAGACCTCATATCCTAATCTGCCGTTAGAGAACCGTGCTAATAGAATACCGCAGATATAACAGACCTCTTCAATTGTATCTTGAATCATGTAGCGCGTTACTTCTACATTGTTCTTCTGCCCGAGTCGGATTGCACGTGCGATCGCTTGACTCTCAACCCCTGGGTTCCACTGTGGCTCGACAATGAAAATGCGATTCGCGCAGGTTAGATTCAGGCTTGAAGTACTGTAATTAGCATATCTGTATGGACTCGAGCCAGGAAGGAAGCCGGCTGGCTGTTGACGTACCCAACGCCACCAGTGCCCGTCGTCATGATAAGTACCGGTGTATCTTCTGACTCGAACTCCACGAGCTTTTTCTGCCGCTCTTTAAGAGAGCAGTTGCCATCAATCCCAACATACGGGACTTGAGCTTCAGTCAGATACCTTGATAACAGCTGTAGCGTTCGAGTCCAGCTCGAAAATATGATACTGTGCATGTCAGAACCCCATTCACTCGTCAGCGTCACAGGTATTCTCACCTCTTAGTCTTCCGCAAATCAACTTTGACGTCCTCAATCAACGCCTTCATCTTTGTCGCATGGCCATTGTTGCTGAAGTACGTAGCTTCATCGCCACTGTACGTCGTCCAGCCATCCTCGGTCGTTGCCTGCCTCACTCTGGTACATAGGGGACAATGCCGTGCCTCACCTCTTTCACCCCTACTATTCGACTGCTCCATGCATTCGAAACATAGAATATGAGAACACTGCTCGTGAAATCCATCACTTAATTGACTAGAGCCAAGGACGGGCATTCGTTGCTTGCATCCATCGCAGGAGATCTCGCTACTTTGGCCCAATTCGGAGACGACGGCTTTGCATTGCGCCCGGTAATTGCGACGATGCCAGGAGAAAGGCTGCTGAAACGTTCCGTGGTTGCACAGGAGACGCATTTGTAGATGGGCCTGGAAGAGGCCGAACTTGGAGCTCTTTTCGACCTCGCCAACTTGATAGCGTATCATTCGGTACAAGATGTTCTTCGTATTCTCGTACTGCTCACGTTCTTCTGGTGAAAACTCCAGCTTACGTAGCCGCTCTTGTAGCTGCGGCAGATGAACGATGTCTTTTGTTCGGCGCAGGCAGAGCGCTTCAATGAGCATGATGAGTCGGTTCTTGACCACAGTCGAATCTTCCATGTTCTGCTCGAAAGGCAACTCGATCCATCTCCGAAAGGTGGCTGGGTCAGAAAAAGGATGGACACGGATGAATGTGAAGAGTGTGCCAATGTCGGCGAGCTTGTTTTGGATAGGTGTCCCCGTCAGACACCATCGCGAATTGGCAGCAAGTTTGTCACAGGCGCGATAGTTTGATGTACCTCGACGGCGAATTATGTGTGCTGTATGGCTGTTATCATGATGCGAAACCAAACGTGGTTGTCGACGGCTTACCTTCGTCGAGCACAACTCTGTACCAGTCTATAGAGTGAAGGAGAGATGGCCTTGACTTGTTCAAAAACTCGACAGTGAGGGTGTCGTAGGTGGTTACGACAATATCGGCGTTTGCGACTCTCTCAAGACTTCTTGGCCGGTCGGAACCGTGATATTTGATGACGTCCAGCCCCTCTCTCAAGTAGCTGTGGAGGAGTTTAGCAGAGAGGTCAGGGATTGGGAGAGCATGCCTACTTTTGTATCTCTTTGATCCAGTTGAGTACGAGGACTAAGTCAAGTCAGTGTTCTTAGTCTCAGTCCACAACCAGGGCAAACCGGAACAACGAACGCGCAGATGGAACGATAATAAGGGTAGCTCGCGACCGCTTGACTGGTCCCTCAGACTTTGGGCTGATTTCCTGTAGAGCCCATGTGCTTCCATCTTCGAGCATCTTCATGATGAGTGCAAGTATCGATAGGGACTTGCCCATGCCCATTTCATCGGCCAGAATCCCACCACCGCTTTCGTCTGGCTGGATATTGTTCGTGACCTCTTCCCTGGTGATTCGATGACGATATCTATCATATTTCAGTCAGTCACTGCATTAGCATCTTGTTGTAGAGAGCATACACTTTGCCACCGTCTTCCGGCTCGATCGCCTCCCACAGCCGAAATTTGTCATTGATGTGGCCGGTCTCTCTCTCCATCATGAAGCCTAGCGCTTCTTCTTGATGCCTATCTACAAGTCAGCATGTGTGGAATGGACACTTGGTCAAAGAATATCAGGGGACCTACTTCAAAAGCTTTTGAGTAACCCCATCTCCTCCGGCCACTGCCTCGAGGTGTCGTGAACGGTCAAGCGACCTGTATACCTCTTCGACCATCTTTCGCAGCCGTTCCTCCCGGTTCCTTCTACTGATTAACCCGTCGCCAGCCGAGTGGTTCAATGGTTGTATAAGCTGAGGCTCAACACCACCTATCCTGAGCTGAAGGAAATGCGGATTGTCGTATACAGTGCCGTTTCTCACATAGTTTGGCTTCTGCAACCACAGCTTGCCGTCGGACAAAGTGTCGCCAACTTCGGTTGCAGCCCGCTGTGGACCGTAGACATATATCTCAACCTGGATTATGGCGTCTGCGGCCTTGCTGGCGCGGGCAACGATGTCTAAAAGCTCGGAAGTAGTTGCCCTAGGCTCAAATTCGAGATATGGCTTGTCCAACAACAAAGAAAGCACCTTTGCTTCCGCGGATCGCAGATATCCAAACTCTTTATCAGTACCCGGGAAGCGCAGAACGACGTGGTTGTCTAGTCTCTCAATGCTGAAGCGTTCATATGCAACCTCACTGTCTTTGAGCTTGGCGTGAACAGCTTGCATATCGCCAATGAGTTTGACGTCGATGCGATGTAGCTGATGCCAACGTGTCAGACATCAGACCTAAGCAAAGGACACAGAGAACGCGGTTACCCACCATTCCAAAGCAAACGGTATCATTTTCGCCTACAGGAGGAGTCGTTTCAGGTCCCGAGCTGGATCCCGGTGTAAGGGACGATGAATGCGAAACTTCTTGAGCTGATGACGGCATCAACTGGGAAAAGTCAGAATCGGACACGAACAAGCCCTCTTCGAAGTCAAGAGAAGTGCCGGTCAAGTCGTAATTCAGCTCAGTCGCATTTAGCGATGTCATCGGGCCAGCAGCACTCATATCCGACAGGATGTTTGCAAAAGGGTCATGGAAAGGGTCGGTATGCTGCATGAAAGGGACATCACTGGAGGCAATTCAGTAAGTATCTCGTGTAATTACGCTGAATCTTCGTACCTGAGCGGATTGATGTGATTTGGCCCAAGGTATTGACTCTGCCTCGGGCCGTACATTCCCTCGTAGTCCTGCATTAGCCCGGGGTCGTAGACCTGCTCATTTTCCACGCTGAAGGAGCTGCTGCTGGGGGTGACGCTCCACGATTCATCTTCCAGCTCCCTGACCGGATCAAAGCGTCGCTTCAAAGGGTTGGCCATTGAACTACGGGGGTAGGAATGGTTTAAGGACTCCCAAAACGACAACTAGGTAGTGTTGTATTTGGACCACCCACTTGTTCGCCGGTGCAAAAGATATAACATTATCTTTACCTATATTATCATGTTTTACAGGCTCAAACGGCGTTGTTATGGATCATAAATCTTGCACCAGGGCCTTGCGAGGCGGAAAGACCATGTAACTACATGTAGGCGGACGCATTCCTCACCGAAGAATGAGGCTGAAGCGAATTGACGTGACTTGACTGGCGGAATGCCCTGGTAAGGCAATCAATAAACACACGCTCGCTTACCTACTTTCTGACAAAGGGCAACTGTGAACTCTCTTCTTCTATGGAAGACTAGCTAAAGAGAAAGAGAAGGAAAACAAACAAACGGCTACAAACGCATCACGGGCCTAAGGCCTGTGGTGTTGTGGGGTGGTCCTGAGTCATCAAGGTGGGGACCACTCAACACTTTCTACCACCATTTTCTCTTGCAACGACGAATCGCATTCGCCCAGCTTGCTGCGGGTGGCTTAGATGCCCCTTGCGTACACGTAACCTGCAAGATTGATGCCAACTGGCATCAAAACCGCCACTCGGATCCCCGCCGTGAAGCAGGCAGACACTGTTTGGGCCGCAAGGTTGATTTGATATTGGGAATATTTGCCTTGCGTTGAGGTTATTTGTACGGTAAAAGTACGCGCAATGAGATAGTAAAGGCGGAAGGGCTGATGCTTGCTGCAGCTGACACAAAATCCTTGTACGACGGCGGTGGCTTATTCGGTTGCGGCTGCAGGCGTTGTTGACATGAGCCACGGAGCAAACGGCCCTTTCTGGGGGGTCGAAGATAATAGAGTAGGCTTCATCTTCTTCATGGCCAAGAAAAGCCATTTGATATCATTCAGTCCCAATACGACCATGAGTGCGCGAGCCGGGCCAAAACGACGGCGATCTGATGCCGACCAAAAGAAGAAGAGGCCTAAGCGGTTGCACAAAAGGTCTCACCATGGCTCACAAGGGCCGTGTTGTCAAGTATGCACACTCATGCTGTCTTATGAGGGGCTGCGGCACCTGAATTCGCCAAAAGGTTTTCTCCATCAGACTCGGACAGACTGCGTGACTTCTGCGGATGAAGGCTGCAGAATGTGCAGATTGCTCGTATTCGCTGTTTGCAAAGAGCATAACAATGATTGGGTCGACGAAGACCGTCTCTTACTTCGGAATTTCAGAGACTTTCATTCCATATCTCCGGCTAAAAGGGACCTGCCTGGAATCTACAATCTTGAAGGTTGTTTCGAGTCCAAGCCAACAACAACAATTGTCACAGTACAATTGTTCGCTGATACAAGTCAGTGTCCTCCCAGCCACCTGTATCTTGCTCTACCGGCTAACGAGATGTAGATGATCCTATAGCCGATATTGTATGTCAGCGACCACTTCGTAGAGATGTCCAAAGCGACGAGGTGTTTGCTGCGGCGAAAGGCCTCATCAACGAATGCATGCACCCAACAAATCCCCACAAACACTGCCAATTTTCTCGTGACACCGTCCTTCCCCTTCGAATTCTCGACCTCGGGAAACCAGAAGATTCTTGTTCAAGGGTCAAATTGAAAGTCAACGAGACAGACACACACGCTCCATACCTGGCCCTTAGCTATTGTTGGGGAAAGCCGCTCGGCTCCAGGAAGCCGCTGCAACTACGGAAGAGCAATCTCCAAAGACTTGTCAAAGGCATCAAAATACGCAAACTTCAACAATCTATACAGGATGCCATCTGTGCCACTCGCAAACTTGGTTATCGATACCTGTGGGTTGATGCTCTTTGCATCATTCAAGACTGCGATGCCGACAAAGGAACAGAGATAGGCCGCATGGCATCCATCTACAAGAATGCTTCCATCACAATTGCGGCATCTACATCAGAAAATGCGGCACATGGGTTTCTTTCGGGGGAGATGAAGCCTTACTGCCCGGACTATGCTGTTTCCATCCCCATGGCTAACGGTACGACTGGCACTGTATTTGTTTCATCAGGACTGTATGAACTCGATCATCCCCTTGACAAGAGAGGATGGACACTACAAGAGTTCATGCTGTCATCGAGGATGTTGATATTCTCTGATTACGAGCTTCTATGGCAGTGCAAAGAAGTCGATCTTCGCAGCGTTTCTGCAGCAGGGCTCGAATATCTACAGCCCCTGGAAACTCTTCCGTGGACGGTCTTCGAAAACGAAGACGCAGAACCTTTTTACGGTGATCTTGACTCCGACAAGCTCTATCTCTGGAAGACCATCGTACAACAATACACGGATCGCCAACTCAGCTACACCAGCGACAAGCTTAATGCTATCATGGGAATAACCTCTGAGCTACAAATACTGTGGCGCGACGTAAATATTTACGGTCACTGGAAAAGATGGTTCATCCAGCTCCTTGTCTGGTATAAGCCAGACCTCAAGAGAGAAGAACAGCGACACCTTGAGAGGGCTCCTAGCTGGTCGTGGGCATCTATGGATGGCGCGATCCGGTATGAAGGAATGCTTGCTACTGAAGATGCCAGATTGAAGTCATTGACTGTGCAAGCTGCAGAGCTATCCTGTCGCATGCTTAAAGAAAGCGAGGTAGCAGATGGAAAGGCTGCGACGATATCAAAGCTACCAGATCTCATCGATCCAATGACTGAGCTTCCGCAGAAGGAGTTTAATGGTGGGTTGGTGGAGTATCTTTTGCTGGGAACGACAAAATCATCTATAGGCAGTGAAGAAGGGGTTGGTCTGCTTGTGATGAAATGCGGTACAGGAGTCTACCAAAGGCTCGGATTCGTCAAATTCCAAGATATGACGATGTGGGAAGGCGTGCAGCGAAGAGATATAACATTAGACGGGCGAATCAACAAGTTTTCAGCCGTTAGGAAGCAAAAACCGTAGGTGGGAAAACAAGACGAATAGGAACATCACTTCCATCATAGCTAGGTATATACTACTAGTAGTAGGTAAGATAAAATGGCCTCTACCTACCAGACCCCATTGCCCTATGTGCACGGCTCTTCTGATGCCTTTTACAGTCGCTAGACCTTGCAAAAGCCTTGCCGCAACTCGGGCACTTGTACGGCCTCTCCCCAAGATGGCTGTATTCGTGCCCAATCAGCGTACTCTTGCGAGTGAACATCTTATTGCACATACTACACCGGAAAGTCCTCTTGGAGTTTCTCGGGCGCATAGGCTCAAAGACAGAAGGTTCCTTGATCTGCTCGGGATGATAGATGCGCACATGCTTCTGCTGGTCCTTTTCGTTGCGAAATCCGACGGGGGCGGCATTGCACCGCAGAGGACAATGAAAGGCCCGGTCGTGGCGGCTGTCGTGGGCTTCGCGGTCGTCTATTTTGTCGTATCCCACGTAGAAAAACCTACATAGGAGGCGCTTGCACTTGAAGAGATTCGGGCCATAGTAATCCTCTATGGTATCCTCATGGTAGGCCTCCATCTGCGGGTTGAAGCGTTCCAAAAAGGTCCTGTTCCCTAGAAGGGCTTGATCAACGCATTTGATTCCAACGGTGTTGCGAACTTCATATTCGCCCTTTTGATGGGTGTAGATATGATTCCACAGATTGCAAAGATTGTCATAGAATGGTAGGCGAGAGAACCTAGTGAGTGCGGTCGGCATTTGGCTCTCAATGTCCTGGTGTTGGCTCTTCGCCATATCAGCGCCATGTTTGTTCATGAACTCCTGTAGCGCAGCACCAAACATGGTGCCGTACTTCTGTCCATATCCTGTGTCGTAGAAGAGGTCGCTGCACATTTCAATTACGGTGCTGATGTGGCTGTGCCATTGAGAACATGCATAATCTTGGAATGAGAACCAGCCGAGCTTCACTTTCTCTCGCCGCTCTTCGTCGTCGTAGTGATTCGATTCAGTCAGCAGGCACAAATATCTCAGGCAGATAACTGCAAGTTCACAGTAGACTGCCTGGTCGTTGATATACCGGTTCTGGATGATGTACCTGCGTGTTGTCAGCTTCAATGTTTGGTCGGATACACAGTTTGTCCTTCGCTCACCTTCGCGCTGTGGAATGAACAATCCTAAAATGCCCACCATCAAGGACTTGAACCAGTGATCCAAGATACTTATTAGCATCCTGTCGAAGCATTCTGTTGTCGAAATCGACCTTTTGCTGGTCTGGATTATATGATAAGATAGACTGCATCTCGTGCCATCTCAATGGACGTTTTGCGCAGACCAGCCAGCCTAAAAGCTGTTTGGCCATGTCCCAATGAGCCTGCCCCTCTGTCAGGCTCAACAACTCGGCTCTGACTATGCCCAGCAGCTTCTCGTATCTAGCCAAAACGTCAGTAACTATTTATATTGAAGACAGTGGTTCTGATCCTGAAGGACGCATGTGGGATTACATTTGTGAAAGCTCCTTGGGAGCCATATCCTCTTTCATCTTCTCTTTCAACTTTTCTTTAGTCGGCTGCTGCAGGAGATACTCAATGGCCAGGTGGGCATAAAGAAACATTTCTGCAGGATTCATCAGCATTCGGCACTATTGCTGGGCTCAAAACTTACCTTCGCTTCTGTGGCAGACGCTGCTCTCAATCTGGTCTTTGTCGCTTTCGGAAAGGTTGAACCCGATTCGTGTTGCGTGCCCCTTAGAAAAGTCCACAAGTCTCTTCTTCACGTAGAACTTGATGTCTTCCGCATTGTCCGTCGCCTTGAGCTGCACACGAGCATCGCCATCTGGCATGAAACCATCTCTCGTCAGCTCCGCTATCGGTTGGCTCATGAACAACAGCCTCAATTGGCTCTCCTGGGTGTCTTTGTTCCGCTTTGTAACCTGTCCCAGAAAGTATTTCGCCATCTCGCGCACTTCGCTAGTCTCGCATTCATCTATACCATCAATGATGATATATTGTCGGGTATTGTATTCAACAAAGGCCTCGATGAGGTAGTGGGCTGTTTGCGTGTCTGATAGACTTGGGTTTCCTGTCGACTGAGCTTTGTCGATGCAAAAGGGCAAAAGCTCCTCGTTTGCATCGACCATCTGGTGCAGAATACCTCTCAAAATATCCAGATGAGTGCGGTGCTCCGAATCTTCTTCTTGGCAATAGAAATGGTATATCTTGGCTCCTGGAGGAACCCCGTAGATTTCCTTTGTCCTCAGTTCGCCCAACTCATCGATCAGCAAGGACGCCAAGATTGTTTTGCCTGAAGCTCACGATTAACAAGAGCTGTTCGGTTCGTTTAAGGAGAGCTGCTTACCAAAGCCCCGACTGGCTTGAAGCCAAAGGGCAGACTCCGGCGGCTGTTCTTCTTTCATCCAATGGCTGACGTTTCTGTATCTTTTGAACAGCCAACGGCCAGTACCGGGACATATTCGTGTGTCCTGGAATTTCCTGTGGAGCGAGTCCGTCTTCTTCGAGGCAGAGATCCAAGCCAGAACTCTTCTTTTTGCTTGTTCTTTCCTCTCCTTCTCGCTCTCTTCGAAGTTCTCTCGATATCTTCTGAGATTAATCATGTAATTTGAGAAATCGTCCGCAATGCGCTCCCTGTCTCGATCACTCCCCGAGCAAGCCTGTTCCGTTGTGCTGTCGGAATCCATATCTGGTGTTGCTGAGCCGCTCCGGAACGATGAACCGGATTTTCGAATGAACTCGTCATGCTTTTCTAGCGCACCAAGCAGATGATCAATAGTGACATTCAATTCTCTCCAGGCGGACTTGTAGATCTTCTGAAAGACTATAGCGTAGCTCAGTCAATGCCGTAAATGATATACGAGGGATGGTCGGTCTTACGGTTCTTTCGGGGAGAGAAAACATGGAGCCTGTATGCTAGCTGATGGAAGGTAATAATATCCTGATAGATATGTAGCAGGCAGGGTACCGTCTCCGACAATGTGCTGAAAAGGCCTACATATTCGTAGAATCGTGGCAGTTGCTTCCCGATCTTCTTGTATGCTTCGAGCAAATTGTCAATCTCTCTGTCCGTAAGGTTCGTTATCTGTGCAATAAACGGCAGCGGTGTCAGCTTCTACACGATGAGATCAAAAGTTGCTCGACTGGCACATAGAGTACCTCCAGGAGAAAGCGAAGCGGGCCCCAAATGCAGGCCATGATCTTCGGAACGTCCTCGAACTTGAGGGCGATTAGGACCTTCTCAAAATGTTCCATGCCGGTGAGAAAGGGGTCTATCCGTTTCATGTTGATCATGTTCTGCTTCAGGTGCCGTGTTGACTGGATTTGATGAATGCAATGTTGTACATCGTCAGATGTTGTCAACTGAAACAATTCATATTCTTTCTCATTGGGCTCTACGGCCCCGGCCAGGAATTCGTCCGCAATGGCAAGCAACTTTGAAGCATCCATAGCGGCCATTGCAAGGCAAAAAAAAGTATCGGCGGCAGTATCAAAGGTGCGACCCCGACTCCAGTTGACACAGCAATGCTGAAAACATATGATGGAGAACAATAATGTTTCTGATCAAGATTGGGCACGAATGCGCCGAGGCTGAAGGCGCAGCAGCTAGGCAGCCGCTGGACAAGCACATGAAGCTGCCTCGCATGTCCAACACCACCGAAACTGCATGCACCTCGCCTCAGCCTCCATTGTTTGGACAGGCCTGAAGCTGCTCATCTTGTCATCTTCATCAGCACTGGGCACTGATAAACTCTTCTCGTAGGGAAAGTTGATGAGGAGAAGGACCTCATCACGTATAGGTACTTTATATGCCACGGTGATGACCTCCGATTCTGTGAAACAGGTGACGCCTTACCTGTCTTGGATGCATCCCCTTCTTATCCACAGTTCACATCCTCTTTCTCTCTCCCTTTATATATATATAAGAGAGAATATGAATATGAATTACCACCTTAGTACTTCCACATTTATAACAACTTCCACGGCACGGAGAACACCGTGCAAGAGGAAGCAGCACCGAGGAATAAATATCCTGACCGTCCTATATCCTACCTATAGACAACCTACCTGTGAATAGATGTTTTCTGGACAACCACTCCGCAGATAGGACGAGTTCCGTGACATCGCCGTTCTGGTTGGAAGGTGTAATAAGAGGGGCTAGAAATGCTCTGAATTCCGCTAGGCATCCATGAGCTGTGTTTGACAAAGGCCTCGGGGGGGGTTAAAAATGCTGTGAAGACAGGGCATTGTGCAAGTTCACGGCCAGGTCCTTGTAGCGTTAAGCGACCCATTATCGAAAGACAGCACATCTTCCCAAGCCGTTGTCCAATCATCAACACACAAATTGGGTCCCGCATCTGCCTAACTGTCCCCTGTAGGCTTTGCCCAAGTTCTTGAGACTAAGGCCTTTCAGCATGAACCCGACGTTTTCCCCTTTTGTGATTAGCCTGTCACACACGTACCTGATAACTGTCTCAAGCGTGACCCGGCAGCGCAGTGTCCCAGGACTACGGCTCTCTGTAATAAGGACTGTTGCAGTATTCATGGATGGAGATAAGATTATCCATTTTGCCACAGACGTTTTAATTCGTCTTGAACGAATCGTTACGCAGGGTAATTCGCTGTCAAGAAGGCGTTGCTGCACTGGCCTTTCTTATGAGCATCTAGACCATTGATGCAAGTCTTGAAAGAGCATCGATATCAGACAGTCGATCAACACTTGATGAGTATAGGTGTATCTGCATGCTCAATCAGGCCTCGGACTTCGCAGGCTGCTCGTATATCATATACCGAACACCATAATTGCCGTCCCCTCCATACATGGAATCATCCTGAATCAGCTCTCGCTCAACCCGAAACCCAAGCCGACTGTATACCCCCCACGCAGATCTAAAAGCAAGCACAAAGATGTCCAAGCCCAAATCTTCTGCTACTTTCATACCGCTCTGTACCAGAAGCGTAGCGATTCCCTTTCCTTGGTTCTCAGGGTGAACGGCCAAATAGTCAAGACCTGCAGATCAGCAGACTTAGCATTGTACGTTCAATCATTCCCGCGAACATTCTCACTCACATAGATAAGGCTTCTTCTTCATGAGCTCGTTTTTAACCTCAGTGACTTTGTTATCCAGCGGATCGGTCTCGTTACTCGCATTCAACGGTGTGGCGTCTGCAATTCGCCTAATCTCCTCCTCTTCCTCCTTTCCAACCAACGGTCCCAACGCCTCGGGCCAGACCGGTTCACCATCTTCGGTAGTAGCATATGACTCGGGCAGAATCCAGCGCGCATACCCCACGAGGCGGCCGGTCTGCGTATCAACTGCTTTCTGGTGCCGTGAAGTCGCGCGGTCGTTTATCAGTCTGCGGGGATAACGTCGGGCAGTTGTCTCAATGTGCTTCTCCAACGTGGTGTGGCGCCATGATAGAACCCAGTTGGGATCCTGCCAAAAAGCTGACATGTTGTTGCGACTTAGAGCTTCGCTGTCGGCGAGGCTGACCGGAGCAAGAGTGTAGGCCGTCATTTGAGAGGTGAGGGTTCTTGTATCACGAAAGCTACGTGAATCAGTGGTTGGCATGCATGTGTTCTCTAGATAGGTGGTTATTGAACCAATCGCTACTTATAAAGAGGGTTATCGAAGGCGTTGCTGCAATCTGTTCTCAACTCCGAATGATCGGATACTGGACATATCACCGAAGGATCGCGAGAGCCCCGCAGCTTAGCCTGACATTGGCCCCTCGCGGCATTCGTATCTATAATGAGATCATATTCTCTGCCTCAAAACAGGCGCGCCGGAGTGGCATGTTTCTCCTTCAATTCAGGGATGCTACCATCTACATGTATGGTGTGTCGCAGTTTAATCTATGAGACCAATGAGGTGAACCGAGGTAAAAACCTGGGGAGATTTAAAATTGGTGTATACCTTAAAATGCTATAAGATTTTGCACTCCCCCAAAACCAGCAACTGTGAGGTAACAATAAAGCTGCTTTATAAACTTGAATGGTTCACGATTCGCTAATACTCTGTGCGATCATTGCTCCTTAGGTAGCCCGGTATAAATTGGAAACCTTATGTCGATGATCCTCCCGCCTACTTATAGCGCTCGTCTACGGTCGCTTATAGCTGGTTTTCATCCTTTACTGTGAGCTCATTATATTACCCTATCAAACCGCAGACAGAAAGCCGAGAGGAGAGCCACGTATACCATAGCTCACAGTCCTTATCTGAACGAAAAGCTCATCAATTAATCGATACCTATGCTGATGATATTGTCACCAATCTATACATTTAGTCACAGTCTTCGACGAGCGCTGTCCCCGGCGACGTTGCTTTGAGAAGGCCTCTTGACCCCAGCGACTGTTGCCGGGAGCTTTCCTCTCAGATGCTCAAGCTCAACTAGCTCTCGATATGCCGCATCGCCCAGAATACTTTGGAAGACGGCTCCCCGCAACGGAGCAAGCATGCTATCATAAGCCAAGAATCGGCTGCGGAAATCTTTGACTTCCTCTTGGTACTCTGTGCCAAGCTTCTCCACGCGAAGTGTATATGGTGATCCGCTCGCGATTGTTTGGTATCTGAAGATGGAAGCTGGGAGTTGACCTTCGATGTGCGCCCGTCTATGCGTTGCCGCGCGAAAGTTCCAAACTCTCTCGACTTCGGACTCCAAAAAGACATTCATAGCAGCGCAATCTTGACATCTGCCGCACCCCCGTCGCTTGTGACGCAAGCCAGTCATCCTCTCGGGATACCTAGGGGGTTGGCTATGTAGAATATGCCGTATGAGGAGATCAAAGAATGCTCTGACGCCCGGCGAGAGGGAGACGTTGCAAGAGTCAAATGCAGAAGCGAGTGGTACGAGTAAATCTTCGACGATACCCTCCTTATGGAATCGAGATGGATCCCAGGACGACTTTGCGGCATTGAAAGTTCCGTAGCAATGCTCCACAAGTTCAAGGGCCTCCTGAGAAGCACCAACTGTCAAGCTTTGCTTGATGAGTGTCGTAAAGTTTCGGGAAACCACCCTAGACGCGTGATTCTTCGGTGCATAGGGAAAGGGAAAAGCTGATTGCGAAGCAATCAAGTCTTGCGTCTGTAATGCAAGCCGTGAACGGGCCGCTTTCAGAGTCTTTCCAAAGAGATCTTTCACGATGCCCCCGCTATACTGCTCTCGTCTTTCGAATATCGACCCCAGGACGTTGAAAATAAGTCCACGGGTGGCCCGTGAAAAGAAAGCGGAGGCGATTCTGAAGAAGAGGTCAGTCAGATGTTGCGACTAATCACAGTACAACCTCACAAGGCAGGTTATGAAGTCCACTATACTCACCTGTCGCTCGTCACTACCGGGACTAAGTTGGACAGAAAATAGTCATGATCATCGACTGTGAAGTGCTCCTGGGTATCTAGATTCGAGTCGAACTGCGGTTGAGCCCAGGCTCTCAGTGAGTCCTGCAGTGGTTTGGTCTTGAGACAGGCTATGAACATCCTCGTAGTGGAATCCCTGACCACCAGGGAGGTAGTGCGTAGGAACGGGCCAAGCCTAAAGAGCATTCATTAGCAGAGAGTTCACACCAAACCTAGCATGACAGACCCCCCCAGAACTAAAACATCTTCAGGAACCTGGCCGCTGAATCCGCATACGCACCATTTTTGCCAGTCCACTTCATTCGGGTTCTCGGCAAAGGCTTCATCAAGATGGCGAGAAACGACGTCGACCAGCTCCTTTGAGGGCACCTTTCCGGAGAGAGCGATTGACACGGCCTGTTGATAGAGGTCTTCATATTTCGCCTCCAAAGCCCATTTCGCAATTGTACAAGCCATTGTTAGCTGTGGAGAGCCGGAACTGACGGCAAGAGCCTCGGTCATGACTTTGAGGGTACTCGACTTGACCCCAAGACTCTCACGGTGCTCCTCATAGTCTTGCTTAACCATAGACACGAGGTTCTCTACTTCTTGAAAACGATTTGCTCGATGGACATTTGATCTCAAGAACCGACTTATCCGGTGCCGAGGAATCAGCACAGCTACCTGCAATGAAGGCGGTTAATGTTCCCTGCTGAGACTTTCGTTGAAAAGGGGGAGATCATACGGTGTCGTGGTATCGGAGAGAGATGGGTGCGCTCTCATTGCCCGTGAACTCTTCCTCGTCTTGGCTGTCGGCATCGCGATCCGTGAACATATCGGAATCCAGAATGATACGGTCGTCGATTGTATCGCTTGAACCTATCTGCGCTCCTTCACACGAGTAGATGCTGTCCAAGGTCGTACGAGTTTCGCCCTCGCCGGTCGTGTAATAAGAGTCGAATTCATCCGCCGTATGTGTCATATGCGCCAGGACGAGGTACAGCCCACAAGCAGTGCTTGCCTCTTTGAGACTGTGGCAGACAGCGCGATCACGGCCTTTCATATTGCTCAATGACAGGCTGGACTTGGTATACTTGTGGGCGAGTGGGTAGACAACCATTGGCACCTGGGGGAAATGAGCTTGCCATTTACCTATGATGCCCTTCAGCTGCTGTGACCGCTCAAAGAGAAACTGGGCGGACTGCTTGGCGCTGCCGGACTGGAACAGGTTGTAGGTGAGGGCCAGTCGATGACCGCTCTCCAATGGCTTGACCTCATGATCCACGTCGGAGTACCATGCGAGCGCCGTGACGTCAAAGGCCGAAGCTGGTGCTGTCGCGAGGACACGCCGCTCAGGTCCAAACGAAAGATGGACGTCTCCGCCCTTGTGTATGCCCGGCAAGCAGACGACGAGCGTGGCAACCATTCCGGCCTCCTTCTCAGAGTCCTTGTGCCTCTTGAAAAACGACCCCTTTTCGTAGAGCAGAAGCTTGTGTGGCTTCGCGCTGACATCTGGCAGGCCCAGACCGGCGGCCGCATCGTTCAAGAGCGTACTGAGGAAGGCCGGCCAACTGGGATTGGTACACTCAAACTGCGTGGCATCCAGCTCCCAGGTCTTCCGCACCGACTTGTCGACAAGCGTCTGGTCTCCTCTCCCAAAGGGTGCCTCCCTGCAGGCACCTTGGATCGTTTCAGCGTCGCGGTCAGTGAGCGGCAGGGGGATCACAGCCTCGCTCCCCGCAATGCGCAGGCCGGGGCTCGCAAACGTTTGGTACCGGCGGGAGACGGCGAAGTCGCCAGATGAGACGATGCCGTTCAGGCAATTGAGCAATTGCTGCTTCCAGGCGCTGTAGACAATCCTGCGGTGGCTGGAGGAGGCAGGTTCCGGATCGGTGGCCGTCAAGTCGATCACTTCGCGGTTCATCTTGTCTGGTTCAGCCTTGCGAGGGAGGGCAATTGACCAATTACCGCCTGATTTCGCCAACCACTCGTGTTCGATTAATCGTTGATCAAGAAGTCGTACTTGTCGGTGATGCTCCTCGACTTCACAGCACTCTCCTCGTCGTCACCTTGGCTACAAGGCACAAGTTTGGAGACACGCTTGACGCGTCGCGACTACATTCACCAAGCCCAAGGCCCACAAAACCCAACACCTACATTGATCAACATGCTGCATAAACTGACACCCACTGCTTGATAGGTTTGATCCAAGAAGTACAGGACAAGTTGTGGCTGCTATAACGTAGTACCTACCTTGTCTTCTTCCAAAAATTTTGTTGAGCTCAGGGATTAACACAACGAGCCACACTCCCTCGACAGAATTCGGGGTGTAGGAAAAGGGAACTGGCGCGATGCTACAAGAGATGAAGGATTCGATCAGGCTAGGCGTGTAAGCGCTGAGAAGCTGCCGCTTATTACATGTACCTACCCATCAAATGTCATCAAATACCTACCTTACCATGAACAGCTTGTTATACCTCCCGATGTCTGAAAATGCTTACGGATCAATTGTCTGTGCTGATACCAAAGCCTCTATCAAACAGGCCAAAGGATCAATGCGGCAATTTTTCTTAAAACGATCGTTTACAAGAGGGCTTCTGTCACTTTGTCTCGTCCGTTCCGGAGATTCAATATCCATTCCACTCACGCCCAACTCTTACCATTAGTACCTTCCCCTCATTCTCTCACAGGCTACAACTTCCATTCACGAAAAATGGCGGCCTCCAGTGAAGACGAATCCAGCGACCTCTTCAAGTGGCTAGACAAAGTTTGGCACGACATTCTCCTTCAATCAGATGATGAAGTTGCAGTCAGCTCGTTTGAGAGCTATATTGCCAAGGATGTGAGGGTCAAGTAGGTTATCTCATGTCGGTGTGGTGTAATAGTATAGGGGACCACTGATCGGTAACTGATTCACAATCACTCCAGAATCAATCACGACTCCATCACTCGAGAAGCATTCTTTAGCTATGTCACGAGCACGCGGGCTACTCACACCATGACGCAGCTCAGCAAGAAGGAGATTAAAGTGTGGGAAGCTCCTGGAGGAGGTGGTTGCGTTGTAGATGAAGCGGTGGTAGTCTTCAAGCACAAGGAGACGGGAGAAAGCTACACTGGCACTGTTGTGATGGTCTCGGATGTACGCGTGGGAGAGGATGGCAAACTGACGATTGTGGAAACGACAGAGGTAGTCACACGCAGTTGATGAGCCTGAGTTTCATTATAGGACAGCTTTCTCCTTTATTATTTGCTCAATGCCGTACTGTCCATCATTCACCGGTAATCATTTGTCCGCACATATCACAACATGTATCTGACGCCTTCGATGCTGAACCAGGACAGCAGAATGGAAGATCGCACTATGATTCCCTGTACACATCACCACCTCTCACGCCATATCGAGTTCCACTCAAATGCATCAAACACCTCGTCCTCAGGTTCTTCGCCCTGAGTCCCATCTGCTAGCCCCTGACGAAGCCACTCACTGAGGTCCCTAACCACCTCACTCTTATGCCGATAGTCTTTCAGGAGCCTTGCCAACAATCGATGGCCCCCTTCTGTGGCGAGTGTCAACGCAGTTGCACCCTTGCTGTCTACCATTCTCTTATCGGCGCCCCTGTCAAGCAGCATCCTCACAACACGTTGATGACCCTCAACAGCGGCATACATCAGCGCCGTTCTGCCATGCTTATCTTTGTCATCAATCCCAGCCCTCGTGTCAAGGATTTTCCCTACGAGGGCTCTGAATCCACCCCGAGAAGCGGCCATCAGCGGCGTCCCTCCATCGTCGTCCATGGCGTCTACCCTTGCACCTTTCAACAAGAGCAGCTCAGCAGTACTCTCGTGTTTTTCGGCAGCTAAAATGAGAGGCGTTCGTCCGAGCAAGTCTCTTGCTTCGATATCAGCGCCCCGTTCGATCAGAATGGCCACTATTTCTTTGTGGCCGGCTGCTGCAGCGAGGTTCGCGGCTGTTGGCCCAACGTTGCCTAGTTCAAGCTTCTCTTCAATGTTTGCGCCGCGCTCAAGTAGAAGCTCGACGAGCGCTTGATGCCCTTTGCTAGCTGCAAAGGGAAGCATGTTCCAGGTGTCGCGTTCTTCCTCCGTCATCAAGTGCTCGAGGACCTCGGACTGAATAGACTCTCTGTCGATATACTCCTTCGGTCGATATCGCAAAAGCCAGTCCAATGCCAAAGGACCAAAGATTGCGACCAGTTCCAATGCCGCATCTCTTCTGAGCTCGAGAACCGGGGCTGTGTGTCGCATCAGCATCTGGATGGTGTTATTCCTGCTCAGGCGATTCATCGCAAGCGCCCCAACCACTTCTTTCGTAATCGCAAGTCCGCGCCCTCTCAGTCGAAGATACTCCCGGGCAGTATTCGAAGTACACCACCTCATAAAGGTTGCCAATTCCAGGGTCGTTGCCGGGCCGCGGGCTGCCAGGTGCTCGAGAAACAGTCGAAAGGCGACTTTTGCCTGCGGTGCGTGCGGCTCGTCCGCATATCGGGCGACGCTCTCCATGAGTGCTAGACTCTCAGGCCGGTGCTCAAGAAACAATTTGAGGATCAGGAACCCGTTCCTCTTGTTGTATATGGCTAGCTGGACCAACTCGCGGGTCATCTTGACGTCTTGAGGCCGTTGATCGAACAGCACTGCAAATATATGCGCTCCGCATGCTTCGTTCCTCGCAGCAGTCTCCAAGAGCGACGTGGTAACTTTGAAATCTTCGGTCGATCGCCTAGTGGAAGTTCTTGTAGACCGTCTGACGGGAACCGTGGTGTCTCTACCGCGATGTACACGGAAGAGCATCTCAATCACCTTGTGCCCACGGTCGTTGCTCAGGGCAGCCGCTTCGGCTATATAGCCAACGTTGGTTCCAGTAATATGTGGTAGAAGGAGCTTCAGCACCTTCTCTCCGCAGCCAGTATTACTCGCTGCGGCTAGGAGGACTTCGGTGGTGATCTTTGTGGAGTGTGTTTTGTGTTGAAGAATAGCTGTCATGACCTCTTCCGCAGCCGTCTCGTTCTTCGCAGCTTCAGCCAAGCCTTCTTCGGTTATCTCGACGTCTATGCCTCGACATTGAAAGAGCAGTTGCGTCATTTCGCCATTTGGATCATTCAAGAACACGGTATTGACAAGGTGTCTGCCAATCTGCGTTTCTGGTCGTCTGAGGAGAAACTCCAACTTTTCCGTCTTGGAAAGCTTCGCAAGTGCCAAGCAACTGTGATAAGTCAGAGAGTCCAAGCCCTCTGCAAGGCTCCGTATGTCAGTTGGCAATGACCGTCGCTCATCATCATCGTAGTCGTCCAAGTCGCAGCCGCAGAGGAAGCGGATGGCATCGATGGCCACTTGCTGCTCCGACTTCTCGTAGTCTGGTGGCAGAATATCCGGCTCGCTTGCGTCTGAGGATATCCCCCGTAACGCATATAACAGGTCTCGAGACTCTGTGGCTTCGCTGCTTCCAAACATCTTGAGTAGAGTATACAGGCTATGACTCTGGCTCCACCACGAAGACTCCCTCCATATGCCTGGCATAATGTCCAGCACAGCTTGGCAGTGAGGGTTCGGCTCGACGCCTAGCAATATTGGGGCGATGCCTAGCACTCGCACAGACACCGATTGTGTGCCGCAGTACAGCAGAGCCGACTTTGCGTTTGCGACCTCCTGCAGGATCCATACTCTTCGAAACCAAGGCCTGTCTAGAAGAATCTCTAGGCCCTTTCGCTGCAGATTTTCCAGGTTCGAGTTTCCGTGATAAGCATTTAGTTGTATTTGAACGTCTTTCCAGAGGTCCTCCCATCGGCTGTCATCGAGACTCCAGGACTTGCATGGATATCGTAGGCTCAGTCTGTGTAAGAGCTGCATTGACTTGAGGAATACGTCGGTCGCGTCCGTAGCCGCTCCGAGCCAGAACAATACACGATCGGCTTGTTTGTAGATGTCGCCCATCTGCTGAACTTGGTGACCGCGCTCCTTTAAATTCTTTTGGTCTATGCATGTCGCATCGATCCATAATATTCGGTCCTCGTCCCGTTGACGCAATTGCTGAAGCGCCAAATAGAGGTTCACGGTGACGCTCAAGCATTGGCCATCTATGGAAATGTCTTCACGGACATCAGGTGGACCCCAGGTGTAAGACAGAGCCTCGTAAGAAACGGCGTCACCTCGTTGGTGTAAATGTGCTTGAAAGAGCTCGCCAGTTATGCTCCTACCGCTTCCTTTGTGGAGGCGGAACAGTCGAATTGCAGGGCCATCGAGGCTCAAAGCGCTGTGGGTGTATTCAGTCATGAGCGTCTGATGCTCATTTGGGTAGCCGAACAGTCGATGCTAAGACTAAGTCTTTTTGGCTCACAGCACGCGAGCTTCATGATACTAGGATGGGTATTAATATGGATGTAGTTCTAATCCAACATATCGTGACTCCAGGGTCTTACTGAGAGCCTTGGGCGTTTCCCGGGGGTGGCTGAGCAAGAGGCAGCCGTTGATGTTGTAGCATCACAGCACAGCCACAATGCAGCATGCATGGTTCAGCGGTTCCTGGCATGCGATTTCAGGAAATTCTCTGATTGATCTTTATTCGAGCAAGAAGTAAACAGGCTTATATAAATCTTCTTAGCAAACCCATGCATACGGCACAGTATCAGCCAGTCTAGTGTTTTTCTTCTACTGCTTGACTGGTTGGAAGGCTGTAATCTGTTGATGATGCACGCACTCGCGACGTCTTGATTGAAGCATCAACTCGCCAATCGTTGGTTCCCCAGCATCGTTTCGGTCTTTAACGTTGGAAATTTAGAGAGTTTCAGGCCAACGGTTGGCGGGCTTTGAAGATCTTGCAGGAGCTTGAACAAATGTGTAGACCCCTTCACAGTTCATCATGGTTCATAGTGTTCTTGAGAGCTTTGGATACTTGCTTTAGGCCGCATTGTCTGAACACAGCCTAACCTTAGCCAGATTCAACGAAACCGTAAGCGGCTTAAATGAGCTCCAAACGCGGCGCGGATAGGGGCTGAGACCTGAAGAGATGTTGGGTGCGAGTAGAAGTCTACTAGAAAAGATTATATGCTCCGATAATAAGATCGATGCAGTCTTATACAAGGCTCGAGCTCGGCATCGTCCGAATCAAGCAAGCTGGGGATGTGGCTGCAGCAAACATCTTTGTGGACTGGTTAAGCGCTATGTAATCATATCCGAACGGAGCTTTTGGGTGGGGGAGGGTTTAGAAATGCTGTGAAACTGTGTACATGTATGGCACTTCACACCGAAAACACGTGTAGCAAGCAAGTTCCAAGGTTCTCTACGGCACATTCCACCAGGTCAATCTCGACCAGTTAAATAACCAACTTGGCTCCTTCGTCCCTGTAGGCTTAACCACAACTTGGGGAGAGCTGAAGACTCCACAGGGGAAAACGCATCGACCGCCACCGCTAGTGTAAATAGTCTCGGGCGCTATCCAGGCTTGCCAGGGGCATTTGACGGCAAACATGGATCCCATCTCAGCTGGAACAGGGGCGTTCCCTCTCGGAACCAACTCATACACGATCAAATCTCTGTTAGTGTCGGAATATCAGGCCGCTACACATGTCGATGCCAATAGAACCACGATGGCCCCAAAGTCGAGGCTCGCCTGGTCCGCAAAGGGTGGAGCTGATCGGTCTTGTTCATCCAGGAACGGCTCCGTAAGAGAGGCGGTATAAGTCTTGAGTAGCCGGCTGGAAGCAGTACTACATGCTTGGTTGTCCTCCATCTCACGGCTCTGTGTGGGTGACATTTGATCTCATTCATCGGGTCTTAGACACTCCTTTATACTTTTGCCTTCTTCAGCCTCGGATTGCCAAGATGATGAACAGGATCGTTGTTGGCGCGCTTGGCCTCGTTGCCGGCGTGGCTGCGACTCCGTTGGAGCTCGCCGAGAGAGGCTCGTGCAGAGACGACAGTCTGTACAAGTGCTTTGCGGATGCTCAATATTCTGCTTCGGCGTCTGCGTACTGCTCTGCTCTTGATCCGACTATTCGCACCGTCACAGCGGCACCTCCTGCTGCGTAGGTCTACCCCCGATATCTTCAGATGTCTAGATGCGAGGATCATGAATGGCTGATTGAGTTGTGAAACAGGACGACCACAGTATGGACGACTGTCACCAGCGACGTGACCACTGATTTCGTCAACTCGAGAACAACAGTCTACACGGCAACAGTCCCTTCCTCTACGGAGATTGCCACAGAGACAGACACAGAGACCGTGACCATCACCACCACTGTTCCAGCCGGTGCCCGAACCACATCTCCGCAGGCACCGCCAGTGACTGTCAGCTTCGTCCCCCGACATCACGCGAAGCGTGACAACGGTGTGCCGCAGCCGTCCTGCATGGTCAAGAAGTGCTTCATCTACTCTCCCGAGCGAATCACCGCGGCCTGCAGCTGCATCAATGTGCCCCCCGAGACGATTACAATCACTCAGGCCGGCTCTCCCACGACCCAGACAGTGGTATGTCCATCTTCACTAAAGGCTCTCTTCGTGAGGTGGTATCAGGAGATGCTAACACATGCGTTGTAGACTTCGACGTCGACCGAGACCCCTGTTGTCACAGCAACTGCATGGGAAACCGTGAGCACGGAACTCGTCGACGGCGTCACCACCACAACCACCACCGTCACGTCGACTTCCACCGCCACCAAGACGGCCACCGCCTCGCCGTCGGTCTCCAACGTCATCCCCAACGGCGACTTCTCGTCTCTCCTCGCCGGATGGAGCGTCATCAACACCACCCCCAACGCGTGGGTGAATGCCGGTGTCAGCACCTCGGGCAGCCCCGACGGCACCTCGAATGCCTACCACATCACCAACGTCCAAGCCACAGGGCAGGTCCTCGTCGCCAGCCCAACGTTTGCCGTCAGCGGAAACTCCGTCTACACGCTGGGGTTCCTCATCAGCAACACGGCGACGGATCTGAGCTGGTTGTCCCACGCTAGATTCCAGGTCAACTGCGGCTCTTTTACTCTCCTCAACACCGGCATCACCGGTGCCGCAGAGGGACCGAACGGGTACCGCGTCGTCTCCAACAGCTTCAACACGCCCAGTGCTACTGATTCGACGACTCTGGGTCAGCTGAGTAGGTGCCAGGTGCAGATTCTCTTGACTGCTGGTCAGGCGCCCAATACCTGGTTCTTGACCGATGTTTCGGCGGCCTATGCCGGGGCTCGCTCGCTTCCGCAGTGAGTGATGGATTACTAGAGAGGTGGGCGTAGTTGCTTCAACATCCAATCACTTGCCATCTAGCACACGCACATTCGTTTCGCCTACAAACGAGTACATAGAAATCTATATATATGTAATAGAATATGACAGTACATGCACTTTGCCACCATTTCTTGTGTAACGAACGCGAAGGATCTGCTCATCTCTCATTTGCTGCATGTGATTGAGGCTCAAAACAGCGCTATAAATGACATCAGCCAACCTGAGCCCAAGCAGTTTCAGCCCAACATCCTCCGACATAAACATCCTCTCAAGCTAGCACGAGAGCCTTACCTTTTCCAAAACAGCTTGGTCAAGCCATAGGAACCAGAAAGAATCAGAATGGCCTCTGATCAGCCATTCCAGCCATCTCTGGGCGACGTCTTGGTCGTGCGCTCGATGCTCGCTCAGGCGGTGATTCTCCCCGAGCTCGTAGGCACCATCCTCGACTATGCCGAGTATTGGGTTCGGTCTTGCTCCAAAGCCCAGTTGGACGAAAGCATTCACGCAATTTGGTCTAGTGATGGTTACTATCAAGGATCGAAGTTTCTGGTAAACATCACTCCGCGAGAGCTCAAGCTCATGCGACTAACGACAATGGATTTGCGCAGCTACGATCATTCCCCGTGGGGCTGACCGAGAATGCCATTCACAGAGAAGAAGATGAGGATGAATACATGTATGAAGACGACAACTCCAGCGAAAGTGGTAGTAGCAACTCCAACGATAGTGGCGGTAGCAACTTCAGTGACGGTGACAGTAGCAACTTCAGTGACAGTGGCAGCAGCAGCAGCTCCAATGGGCGGTCCTACGAGACAGCGACTATTCCTCCTATTCCCATCGGTAAAGCATGCGATCGCGAATACTTTCAAAGTCTCATCAGGAATCCGCCCACACAGCCTCACCCCGTGCGAAAGATTGTCTTCCGCATCGTCAGCCACGACCAAGGATGGACCTCAGACGATCAAAGCCCGGGCCCCTTTATCGTCGCAAGAACGTGGTTCGACGCTGGAATAGAAAGATTCGACGCCAGCCACAGCTGTAAGTTCCATAACCACAGTAATGGTAGAAGAGTTTCCGAGGCCAGCCCAGCTAAACATCACCCGAACAGGTGAAGAATGCGAAGACATGAGAAAGCTCCCCCTTTGCAAGCTGCGAACAATCGAGCCCGAAATCGTGACAGTAACGTCGGACGACGGACAATCGGACAATCAATACGCAAAAACGCCCTACCAGGGCCCAAGGGAAATCCAGCGCAATAAAATGGCCGATGGGAACTTCCAGACCTATGTCACGACCTGGACCTGCTGGGACGTCTATGCGCCGGATTCAGAAGAAGCGCGCAGGAAGATGGAGGAGGGTAAGGGGCGAATGAACGGCGACGGCTCGTTCGTGAGGAGCCTTGGGCTGGGAGACGTGGTAACGGTGTGGGGGAGGGCGCTGTATGCCGGGTGGGTGAATGTGGTTGAGTCTGTTGAGATTGAGATCTATTGGGCCCTGTAGAGGAACTCATCAACACTTCATATATACATACGGCCTCATATGGCAAAGCCGTGAGCGATTGTAAGGACATACACTACCAAGAGTACATGTAACGACTCTCGGATTAGAGGCTGGTATATACGGTGGCTGGGTGTCCAAATGCTTCCTTCGCCCGACCTGCTGCCTAGTCACGTCTTACATACATGCAGCTGTCCAGCCTCTCTGCATCTCTTGCAGCAAATCACACGGAAACATTAGCACAGCTGCATCAGACACCGCTTCTCTACCTATCGAAGGATTCACGCAAGGCCGTACGGTGAGTTGAAACTACATAGCCTCCAAGTTCAAGCATTCAGATAGCTACAAGTTCCGGGCTCACAGATGATTTAACCATCTCTCGGCTGGTTAGAGACATTCCAGAGAGACTGAGCACATAGTATTTGCTTGCAACAATGTCATGTAGCTGCGGTTTCAGTAAACTTACGAGGCGAAGCGCAGCAGTATCTTAAGCCATGCGCGTATCCTATAGCCACCAACTATATATGCGGTATCATCCTCCCCCAACTTTCCTTTCGGATAGTTTCCTACTGTTCCAGAGGTGACAGCGACGGCATCTATCAGTGATTTCCGCTGCATGTGCCCGATTAAGTCATCGCCGAGGCACAGTATCCGTGCCTTTACCCGCGATTTGCGCCTCCTGATGCTTCACTGCAGCTGAATCTAGGCTTCAGTCCCGCCTAGAGATGAGTTGTCAAATGCATCCCATGATAGCTGGATGGCATCGTGATAAGAATTGGTCAAACTTCACCTATCATGTTGACCGTGATATGCTGCGCGGCTGTACAACAATCTGAGTGGCTGGAATCGCCATGGCTGCCTAGCATGCCTTGGCCCGTCTCTGTGCGTAGCCAGCTGGACTGACGGCCTTTGAATGAGCTCGATGGTTCTGTTAGCGTGATTTAAAGATATATAAACGTGATCAGATACCGAGTGAAGTTGAGTATTTGCAAGCATCAACATCTCCAGTCATCTAAAGCTAGAGAGTCCCATCTAGTTCTGACGAGAGGACTCACCTGTTTCCAGGCGTTCCCTTCCTACTCCTACACATATCCCCACCAGCATCCAAGACACACCTTCATAACGACTATTGTTATCTTTTGTTTTAAGAGAACTCATCAAGTCGCTCAAGATGACCACCGACACCATGACCCTCACCATCCCCTCCGACCTCCCCTCCCCCATCGTCACCAAGCTCTACCAACAAGAATTCCTCCACTGGTCCGAGCACGACTCCCAAGAGAAGCAACAAACCGCCCTCGAGAAGCAAATGGCCGACATGCCCATCGTCCAGCGCTTCATCCACTGCGACACCACCTGGGTCACCGAGTCCTTCACCATCAACAGCCCCCACATGCGCAAGATCCTCCTCCAGGTCCTCTCCAACTACCAGGACCTCGATCTCGAGCTCGAAAACTGGACGTTTCGCCCTCCGTACATCCCCCTCGTTCATCGATGGCAGAGGCTCCAGGACTTTTGCAAGGAAACGACTGATGAGACGCTGAGCAAGGCTGGACAGGAAATGATTGATTTTCTGCTTCCGATCGTTGGGCCTTCGGTCAACTCCCTTGAGCAAACTCGTCTCACGGGAAAAGTCAAGTTTGATTCTCTCTGGCAGATTTTCCCTCCTGGAGAACTCGTCATGACCCAAATGTACGGCCAGGACACCATCTGCCGTGTACTCAAACATCAATTGCTTGGGAAATCATATGCCTCCCGCGGCGTCTGGGTCATCGACATGGAATACGTTGACTGGAACGGTGACCAGTGCGGCTACCTGACGATGAAGACCAAGATCTCTGGATACGAGGGCTACGCTCGTGCTCATCAGCTGCCGACTTGGCCTATCGCGTATGCTAATGACCCAGAGGCCATCAAGGCAAGGATGATTGCCCGCGGTCGTCAGTTTGAGGAGTTGAGGACCTATCACTTTATGCAGTATGAAGGCCGCAAGATTGTCACCAGAGGCAGTGGAAGAGAAGAAGAACCGGCAAGTTTTAATCCTCCTCCAAGGCAGATATACGTGATTTCACTAACAACCTCCTTTCCAGGCCTCTGGCAGAGTCGTAGTCGACGCCTTCGCCTACTACGCAAGCTGCAAAGTCGTCAAGCCACACCTCCGCCCCCTCGAGTCCAACACTGAAAAGGAGGATTCCGACTCCAACGACGAAGATGGCTACAAGGTCCGCCGCCGTCGCCGCCGCGACTCAGACGCAAGCAACAGCACCTCCTCCTCCTCCGAAGACTCCGCCGACGCAGACGAACACAAACTCACCGTCAAGACCCGCGAGACCAAGCTCGAGCGCAAAGAAGACCTCACCCCCCTCACAGACGAACAATGCATCCTCACCACCCCCTGGATCCACGGCTTCGACCTCAAAGCCAAAGAATGGGCGCTCTTCCTCGTCGAAGAGATGAAGGACATTATCTGGAACGACGATGCCTTTTCAAACCTCGTCCTGCCCGGTGACGAGAAGGAGCTCGCATGGTCGTTTATCGAGAACAAGAACCTTGCGAATTCCGACTTTGACGACTTTGTCACTGACAAAGGCCGCGGCATCATCATCCTCATGTTTGGCCCCCCCGGCGTCGGAAAGACGTTCACCGCCGAGGCCGTTGCGGAAAAGGGCCGCGTGCCCCTATACGCAATGAGCGCCGGCGCACTCGGCACAAAGCCGCATGAAGTCGAGGAAGCACTCGACCGCGCCCTCGAGCTGTGCCGTCTGTGGAACGCAATGCTCCTCCTCGACGAGGCGGATGTCTTTCTGAGTGCTCGCAAGGAAGACACCCTTGCCCGCAACGAGCTGGTCTCCATCTTCCTTACCAAGCTCGAGTACTACCAGGGGATTCTCTTTCTAACTACGAATCGCGCCGCGAGCCTCGACCATGCGTTCCAGTCCCGCGTTGATTTGTTCTTGCCGTACAGTGATCTTACCACGGCTGCGAGACGGAAAGTCTGGCAGAATTTCATTATGCGGGCCGGTGGAGAGGCGAGGTTTGGGGTTACGCAGGAGGACTACGATCGGCTTGCGGAGTTGAAGCTGAATGGGAGGGAGATTAAGAACTTGATCAAGAGCGCGAGGTTGTTGAATATGAAGAGTGGACGGCCGGTTACTACGGACAGACTGGTGCAGTTGGCGGAGAAGAGGATTCTGGCTATGGAGATGTTGAATGGGGGAGAGAAGGCTTGATTGAGTTTGTTAAAACCTCGGCCTTGCTACAGGATGTGATTCGGCAACATGTTATGATGGATGACTTGGAGTTACGATGCAAGATTGGCAATATCACAGCACAGAAGCATTTTACGTTCTTTGGTGTATAACACCAGTTTTCATACCCAGACCTCATAAGAGGCGAAATTGATCTATCGATCTATAAACCCATTTTCCCTAGTACCCTTAAACGAAATAAAGAAAAAAACAGGCAGGACGAGGCTTTGAAGCCAGTCTACTGCCGCCGAGACACACCCATTTAAGCAACAGCTCAGTTGGTGAGAGGGATATTGTCCGCATAAAAGGACTCCAGATCGACGTCCTCATTGCCAGCATCCCAAGTGCGAGCCAGGCCCGAGATGGCAGCCAGTCGAATGGCGGCCCACTGGATGTCAATGGCAGTCTTCATGCGGACGGCCTCAGCCATCGTCATGGTCAGGCCAAATGTGTGACCGTTCTCAAGGCGACGGCCCGTCGTGCGCCGGGCGTCCGCACCGCTGGGGCCGTCGAGACCAGAGGTGTCGTGCAGCAGCTCCAGGATGCTCTCCTTGGTGATCGTGGCGACGGCCTCGGGGTTGACGTCGTTGCGCGGCATCCAGTGGAACTGGAGCCGGATGACGGCCTTGTCGTCGTCGTCCAAGGGGGTGATGCGGACGCATCGAAACGCAAAGTGGCCCTGCTTCCAGAGAGATCCCAGAGCTGGCGTCAGGCTGAGCATGTTCCAGCTCTTGTCGGAACCGCCCGCCTTGAGAAGCAGGTAGTCATAACCTGCGCGGGTCTGCTCGTCCAGAAAGTCATTCAGGGTGAACCAAAAGGCCCAGGAGGACTTGGCGTTGTGCTGATTGACGGTGGTGGCAAAGGGGAGGATGCGGCAGGCCTTGGGGTCGGCAGCTCCCGTGAGAATGCACACTTGACCATCGCGGGCGAGAGCCTATAAGAGAGGGTCAGCAACTGGTATGTACGTACAGTATGACTCCAAGGGGTTTTCACATACCAGTTCCTTTTCAACAGGATCCTGTGCAAGACGAGAGGCGTCGGCAAGGTCGACATGAACAAACAGGGATCGAGGCAGCTAACCTCTCACCACTATTCGCAAACGTGAATTAGTAGGACGGTCAAAATATCAAAGAGCAAGGCATAATGCTTACTGAACGAAAGGTAACCCGCCACCTCTGCAGTCATGTCCTTGTAGAACTCATTCTGATCCCAGTCTTCGGCACTGATCTGGTGCACCCTGTCCGCGGGCATCATGCAAAAGTACACAAACTGCAGGACGTTGAACTCCTGCGGGCCGAATTCCTCCGACAAGTCACGCAGGATACTCTGTATGAAGCGGATCTTGTCATCCAGGAACTCCCGGGGAATGAGGTCGCCCGGCGGGAAATAGGCCGGATTGTCGCCGAGAAAATCCATGAGCTGGAGAAGAGTATTGTTAGTCGTGGAGGGACGATGAAGGAAGCGTCGTATGGCCTCCTCTAGCAGGCCACCGATTTCCACCTGGCGAAACGGGTTGTTCTGAAGAACGGCGTGTTGAGTGGTCTCGCCGAATATCTCGACGTAGTCGTCTTGGATATTCTGGGGATGGGGTTCGGGAGTGGTCTCGAGCGTGAAGATGACATTCTCGATGAAGTGCTCCTCCACAGGTTCTGGGGGCAGGGTTGGGGAAGAAGAGATCGGGATCACCTCGATCTCAGCAGGGGAGTATTGCTCAAGGACAGGAAGAAGAGGGTTAAGGCGCGGAGGGGTCTCAGGATGCATCGTGAAGTACGTACGGTCAGAATCGGGGGCAAGGCAACGAAGAAGGCGGATAGAAACTGCGTAGAAATAGGGTATCTACTCCAAGCCTGAGGGAGGAGAACGAAAGTGAGTAAAGGAAAATCAAAAGGTAAAGAGGAAACAAACAAAATGGAAAGTGTTTGCAATTTCACATTTAAATGTCTGTGGGTAGTCGAGGCTGGAGGAACAAAGTTCCGGTTCGACTGAAAGTCGCCGAGGAGGTTTGCCGACGTACACACAATAACTTCATGAAAATAGGGGGTTCAACTCACATTCCACGATAGAACAATAGCGTTCGTTAATAGGTAATCAAGCTCTCAAGTAGCCTTAGAAAGCAGTGCCTCTCTTGAATAATGTCTCCAAGGTCTGGAATTGCAAAGGAAAGTGAGAAAATCAAACAGTCGTAATTGGAATCAGAGGGCAAACATGCCCTCCTGACGATGATTCAGAGTCCCAACCCTCAGCCTTGCCCTCCATCAGCCTTGCCATCTACCACCAATCACCTCCCATAAGCAACCCAACTCCAACCCCCATCACACGGCCCTAACAGGCAAAGACTCGCTCCTAGCCAGCCTCAAATCCTTGGTCAACGAATTCATACACGTCCCCGTGCTCACAAACTCCCCAATGTTCCTCAACGTGCACTCCGCAATCTCCTTGAGCGCCTCCTCGGTGAAGAACGCCTGATGCCCGGTCACAATCACATTGTGAAACGTCATCAGCCTCATCAGCACGTCGTCGTGGATAATCTCCCCGGAGTGATCATCATAAAACAACGAACCCTCGCCTTCGTATACGTCCAAAGCCACACCACCCAGATGCTGCGTCTTGAGAGCCCGAATCACAGCCTTTGTGTCGACGAGTCCGCCCCGGGAAGTGTTGATGAGCAGCGCTCCAGGCTTCATCTTGGCAAGTGCCTCGTCGTTGATAATCTTTCGCGTGCTGTCCATCAGCGGACAATGAAGACTAATCACATCACTCTCCGCAAGGACCTCGTCCAGGCCCTTATACTCCCCAATCCCCTCAAACGCCTTGGAAGGATACGGATCAAACGCCACAACCCTGCACCCAAAGCCCTTCATGATCTTGGCCGTCGCAATCCCAATCTTGCCCGTCCCGATGATGCCCACCGTCTTCCCAAACAGCGTCCGCCCCATCAGCCCATTGAGCGCAAAGTTGCCCTCTCGAGCGCGGTTGTACGCCCTGTGCGTGTTCCGGTTCAGCGTCTGGATCAGCGCGACGGCGAACTCGGCCACGGCCTCGGGCGAGTACGACGGCACGTTGGCCACCATGATGCCCGCCTTTTCCGCCGCCACCAGGTCCACGTGGTTGAAGCCCGCGCAGCGCAGCAGGATCGCCTTGACGCCTTCGCGGCCTAGAGCCTCGACTACGGGCGCCGTGAGGGAGTCATTGACGAAGACGCAGATTGCGTCGGCGCCTCGGGCGAGGATCACGGTGTCTTCTTCGAGGGGGAACTCGTGATACACGATGTCGATGTTGGTGGATGAAGCGGTACGAGCTGCTTCAATGTAGCGCTTGTCGTACGGCTTGGTGCTGAACACTGCGAGCTTCATGTTGATCGAGGGACTTTCGAGTTAAGAACGATCTTTCATGAGACGCAAAATCAAGATTATATCCAGCAGTTCAGAGAACAACTACAGACAAACGAGTTTTATATATTGAAAAAGAGGAGAGAAGAGGAGTAGCTGCAAGGCATCGGTGTTGGTCCTACCCCAATGGCTTGGCACAGTTGGGCACTCATTCCATTTGATTCATTAAGGTTTCTGTGGCTGCTGATTCGCTCGCTGCGGAGCACGTACTCTAGCTAGGTAACTACCCAGGTAAGGTATGCAAGAGGCTCTTGTAACGTCTTGTAGGCTGTACTTAATGGTTCGATTTTCTTCAAGTACAGTTGCTCTTGTTTACGCTAAAAGATCCATATGTCCTCTAGTCGAAAGCTATGGTAATCGAGCTGAGAACAACCTACTAGTTCTAACCAACAAACATCCAACCAAGTTGGATCGACAAGAGCTTAGGGCTGAAGTAGGTAACAGAATTCTGGAGGAAAACAATATCACGCACTTTGAGAGGATGAGTAACTGCTCCCGCATACAATATCATCCCTCTCTGGTTTTCTTCACTCCGCGGAGCAGTCTCAAGTCAGTCAGGATGCAGGAGAATATGCATTTTCATACCTAGTCTCATACACGTGGAAACACAGCATCACACGCCAAAGCGCTTCAGTTACAACGCACTTCATTCTCCATCAACTCGCATTACGTCTCCTCTCCTTGCCTATGTAGCATCGTGCACTTGTCAGCCTCGCCCCGTCACCGAGACTGCTTTCCTCCATGATCATTTCCTAACAAAGAAATCGTACACATGACATGGTAAGCAAAGGACGGCCCTCGGAATCCATAACCGCCTGGATTCTGTGAACTCGGCCTTCGTAGCTTCAGAAAGCCAAACTAGTAGTAAGAATAAGAATGTGGTTTGATTTCGACTGTACAAGATTCAACACAGAATGCCGTCCTGCTTTTCGACAATTGGGATTTCCCATAACTAGCAGGTACCAAAATGGGTGGTGCCTCGAGACACCTACGGCCGACCAAAAGCGGCGCCCCGGCCGGCGGCGCCTGGAGGCATACCACGGGCCTCAAAAGGAGATCCGCCAAAAGCCTCTGGCGGGCCGGGGGGTCCGTTGTATCCACCGAGTCCAGGGGGCATGAACCCGTGAGGCGGTCCGTTGAAAAAGCCAGGAGGCGGCGGAGGCATGTTGCGAGGAGGCATACCGGCCATAGCATCTGGGGGCGGCATGGCACCAGGAGGGAAGTTGGGCGGGAACATGTGCGGCATGGGGACGTTGCGGTTCAGGCCGCCGGGCAATCCAGGAGGAGGCATCATGGGGCCGCGCTGTTGCGGTGGCGGCATCTGGCCTCCGCTCGTCATCCAACTAGGTGGCATCTGGTCAAGCCCGGGGGGCGGAGGGGGTCGTTGCAAGATCTGGGTGGGCTGTCCGAGGCGGGAATCGCGATCGGCGTTGTGGAACGACTCGTCCATGGGGAATCCAGGGGGCGGCTGGGGACGCATCTGGCGCTGCTGCACTCCCCGGGCCTCTCTCGGCGAGAATTCCGACTCTTGCAAGGGGATTTGCTTTTGCATCTGCTGCTGCGGCTGAGGCTGAGGCTGCTGCTGGGGTTGGGGCATGTTCAGGGGAGCACTAGGCCCCATTCTCATGAGATTCATCAAGAACTCGGTATTGTTATTATTCCGAGCCTGGTCAGGCATCCCCGAACTCTGACTGGAGATGCGCTGGTGGTGCCCCACGAGGTCTTGGAGAAGCTGGTCTGGTCGAGCAGTCTGCTGCTGGGGTCGAGGGGCGAGAATCTCTTGAACATGCTGTGGCGGCGGCGGACGACCTATGCCGCCGTTGATCCTCTCTCCGCCGTACTGATGAAACGGCTCCGGAGATGTCAAGTTGCTCTTCTTCGACATGTCGAGAGGGTTGACTGGAGAAAGAGGGTTACCCTGAGACAGGGGGTTACCCTGGGAAAGCGGGATACCCTGGGACAGTGGAATGCCCTGGGAAAGTGGGTTCCCCTGAGATGGAGGAGAAAAGGGCGAAGAAGCCGGGGGAGTGGCGCTCATCTTTTGCTTCTGAAGCTTTAGTAGCAGCTGCTGGAAAGCCTGCTTCTCTTCTTCAGGGGGGGACGCAAGCGATGAGAGCGGGCCCAGCCCTGGGGGGAACTGAGTGGAGGCAGGGGGTACGCTCGTGGACTGTTCCGCTCTGTTTCGCTGCTCCTCTTGGGGCTGGTGGAAGAAAGAAGTGAACCTTGACGACTTGCCCACGGTCTTGGGCCTGACAGCTGCGGCGTCGCTGATTTCGGTGGGTGGAGAGTTTGGTTCCAAGGGACTTTGCAAACCAAAGGCCATGAAGAACTTGTCAGGACGAGCCTCGACGGTAGAAGGCTGGGAAGGAGGTGGTTGAGGCTTCTCGACTTGAGCAGGTTCCGGAGCTGCTGGAGCCGCTGCCGGTGCGGAAGAGTCGCCGCCTCCTTTGCCCTTCTTCATCTGCTCCATCCACTTCTGGAAATCTTGCTGTGTATGCGCTTCGCGAAGTACCTCGGCAGGTTCGTCGAACCACTCGGGCTCACGCTCGACACGCTGTTCGCGATCGCGGGCCCAGCGCCTGTCGGGGGCCCTCCCGTTGGTACGATCATCGGCAGCTTCGGCAGTGTCTCGATCTCTCCAGCTCCTTGTCCGATCCCGCTCTCTTCGCTCGGGAATGGGCAAATCCGCCGTCGTCGACTCCGATTTATGCCAAGAGTCCACTTTGCTCCTGCCAGCAGTGGTGCGTGTTCGGGCGTCATTGTCGGCATCCTTGGTGTCCCGGGCAAAGGGATCAAAGGCTCTGGTCGAGCGATCGCGAGTGACCTCGCGATCAGGTTCCCGCAGCGGCTTCTTCTCATCGCGAAAATTGCCACCCATGCGGCCGTGGAAGCGCTCGGCGCCCTCAGCACCAAAACTTTTGCGGGGTTTTACTGTGCTCCAGCCTTCGTTGTCTTGATCGTTTTCTCCGCGGCGGCGAGCAGCGTTGGGCGCGCGCAAACGGTCTCCATCCGCTTCGCTATTTCGGTTGCGCAAGGCGAAACGACCGGTCGTATCGGCGTCTTTGGTTGGCTTTTCGCCATCCAGCGTCTTGCTGCCGCGGCCGGATGAAGCGAATGCCATCCGAGGAGGGGCAAAGACGATGTCTTCGGGATCTTGAAGGGTCGCAATGTCAGCATCACAGAAACAATCCACATCATGCTGTCCCAAGATCAAACTAACTTGTACTCGTCCGCGAAGTATGATTGATACCAGGGCGGCGAGTGGTCTGGTCAAGGAGCGGATTGTCCAGAGATCGAGGCCGATCGTTGGCCGGTTTGTTCTGCGCTCGGGTCTGGTCCGGGGGCGGCCTGTAGCACATTGGCGTCAGTACAAATAAGATCACCCGTCACAACCAGCTTGAACTCCGGTCTGTGTGCTCACCCCATCCATTCCTCGGCCGGAGGCAGTTTCTCGGGTTTGACGCATAGTGGCGACTCCCTCAAGAAGAGCAGATGCTCTGCGGTATATCGAATGGCCATAGCAGGGCGACGAATGCGCGACACTCATCCAGCGGATTCTCAATTAAATTGCTGGACAAAGTGGTCGAACCGGTCAGGAGCTGGCTGACAGCCGCAAGGGGTGGCGAGGTTGGAGCCTAAGCGTCGACGAGGGTTATTCGAGAGGTAGTTCGACTCGTAGTGGGGTGAAACGTGGGTGCGTCAATCGAGGAGCTCTGCTATAGCTGCAGGCTCTCAATGCCGCACACGGACAGACGCTCGGTGGTCGATAGTGTTTTTTATGACTGCGAGGGTTTAGGTTTAGGCAGAGGCCATAAAAGGACGCGTTGCAGTTTCGAAGACGAGGCCGAGTACGGAGCTTAGCAGCTGGTGCCGAGCAGGGCGGGAAATGGCAAAGAGATTGGACGAGGAAATGGGGAAAAAGAGCTGCTGCAAAAGGAGTAACAAGTAGAGACGAATTCGTCGTACAATTAACACTGCAGAAGGCGGTTCAAAGAGGAGGGCAGAGAGGAGGGAAAGGGGGACGGTTTTGAGGAGGAGGAGCTTGAGCTGTGCGCCTGTGCGCGGGGAAGAGAGGCGGCGGTCGAGCGGGAAAAAGACAATGTTGGTTCAGGTTTATTTGATCAGAGGGCTTGCGAGGTCGAGTTCGCGCGAGTTGTATATGGATGTCTGGATCGGTGCGAGGGGCGTGGCTGGCAGAGGACAGAGGAGGTTGAAAGGCGGTCGGTTGGGAGAGGAGGTGGAAATTTGGCGATGGCGATGGGAGCAGATTGCGTTTTGGGTGGGGACTCTGGCTGCCCGTGCTAGTACTCGTACCAGACCAGACCTTGGTTGCTTGAGTACATACATAGGCGGGAGAAGAGAGAGGAACCTCCTTGGAAGGGCGGGCAGCTGTGTGCTGTAGCGCTGTAGCGAGCGGCTAGCGGCGCCGCTTCAGTGGATGGAGGGCCGAGGCTCCAGTGGAAGAGGGGGCGGGCACAAGCGTCAGGCTGTGCTGCTAAAAGAGCCCTGCCTGAATTCGAGGCAAGGCTGCACGATTGGATTCGAGGTACTGATGGATATTGCTGCATGTCTTGTGATAATGAATTCATGGACCTGGATATACCAATGGATCCAAGCTACGCATTCAATTTGAGACATACAATGACAAAGAGACGGCATTGGAGCGCGCAAACTGCATGCCGTCTGTTCGAGCTTGAAGTCCAAGAGCAAACAAGCTGCAGATGACTCACGCAATGACGCTGAGGAACCTGATCGACCGAGGTTGACATCCATTCGATAACAACACCCACCTGAAACAAACTCAAGAAGTATATGATGGATAACTCAATGATAATAGTAGACTTGATTGTTACTGTCTGGTGATGTGCATCTCATAATCCAATGCAGAAATCCACGATGCTGTTCAATCCCATCTCCCCAAGATAATCGAGCACCAATCCTACCTAGGGTAAGTCACCTCACTCATCACAAGTATGAGAGGTACTACCTACACGTTATCCCATCACCAGAATCCCCCTCCAACCACCAACACTCCCCAACCCTCGACCCAACATATATATACATGTACACACCACCTGTGTGCTCCTAGTACCTTAGAATAGCCCCCCTCAACTTATTACACCCTCGCCACCACGGCGCGCACCTCCTCCTCCAACGGCAAGATATGCGGCAATGGCCCAACAGGCGTAATGCTCAACGGATTGATCTGCGTATGGCTCCTCGTATAATGCCACTTGATGTGCTCAAACTGCGTCGTCTCCCTAAACGCAGCATGCCTCCAGTACAGGTTGCGCATCCACCGATGCAGCCTCGGGTACCCGCTGCGAATGTCGCGGATGTTGCACTTGAAGTGCTGCACGTACACGGGGTCGAAGCGCACCAGCGTCACGTACAGCCGGATGTCGGCCTCGGTGAGGCTGCCGCCAAAGTAATACGGCCCCTGGTCCGCGACGGAGGCGAGGTGCTCTTCTGCGCGGTCCAGGGCCTCGAAGAGCGCGACGACGGCCTTTTCGTAGGCTGCGGATGTGGTGGCGAAGCCGGACTTGTAGACGCCGTTGTTGATGAGGTTGTACGTCCACTCGTTTGTCTCGTCGATCTGGCTGCGGAGGTTCTCTGGGTAGAGGACCACGGAGCGGTACTTTTCCTCAACGAGATCGTCAAACTAGATACACAAGAATTAGCCAGTTATTCTGTAAAGAATTCCAGTTGTAGATTGACTCACCTCTGTCCCCAGCATCCGGATAATCTCGCTGCTCTCATTGCTGACAATCTTCCTCGTCTTCTTATCATACAGCACCGGCACCGTAAATCGCCCCGCATACTCCTTGTCCGACTCAAAGTACACGTCCCGGAGGTGCGTGAAGCCCTCGTGCAGAGGATCCGGAATCACATTCTCGCCGGGAACGTCCTTGTCCTCCTTGGTCGCGAACCGCCACCCTTTCTCCCCAAGGTGCCAGTGCACCACCGAGAAGGAGATGATGTCGTCCAGGCCCTTGAGCTTTCGCGTGATGAGCGTGCGGTGCGCCCAGGGACAGGCGTAGCTGACGTAGAGATGGTAGCGGCCTGCCTCGGGGGGAAACTGGGCGCCGGACTCGCGGGAGATCCAGTTGCGGAATGAGCTCACTTGGCGCTTGAACTCGCCGGTCTTGTCGCCGGGCTTGACCCAGTCGGTGATTTTGGACTCTTGGTTGGAAGACTGCAAGGAGGTAGGTATGTCAGACGGATACCAACAGTGAAGGTAACTCGCAGAGAGCATCGAAGTAGCAACGTCTACTAACCATTCTGACTTGACTGAGCTGTGGTGATGAAGATCTCGCAGTGCTCCTCGTTGTTTTGCTTCTCGCACCAATAGTAGACGACGTCGAAAACGTCAAACCCTTCGCAAAGCAATTGTGCTTGATCAAGAACCCCAAAGGTCGTGTTGTTCTCAACTGTCGTTGTATCAAACTCATCTCAATGACACTCCCCTTTCATCACAGCACGTCCAGCCCTCTATATATACATGCAGTCGTCACTCTCTCTTCTGAGGTCGCAGCCAACGCACGAACAACGCCAAGCCCCTGTCAAGCCTACAACGTAATAGACAAGAATCGGCCTTCAGCTGCTTAGCGTTTCTCCTACACCTACCTATGCAAATCTCTAATAGTCTATCTGTGACTACGTTCTGACTTAAGCATTGCTAACAGAACTCGGGCAACGGGATTCTGCACCTTAATAATCCTGCAACCCACCCACACCTTTAAAATTGAGGCATTCCACTTCGCCTTGTGCTGGTGGAATAATGGCGCGCTTCCTAATGGTGACGTAACAGCATGACATTAGCGCTCCTCGTCTTTGATCACTCAGCCATTCTGCGGATTTAGTCATCATCACGGCAGTTGTATTCAAATCCAAATCCGTGCCAATACCTCCAAATGCATTTCATTGTTCCACGATGGTGAATGTACATCAATCACCGGTATTTGCCTCAAAGAGTGTTTCTACTTCCACGAGAGAAGGGAAAACAATACTGATACCTGTTGATACGGGTTGGTGTTAACGGCTGTTTGTTCACTGCCTCGTCCTTGGGCTTCTCAATACCTTAGTCAAAGCATCATGAGAACAAGATGCACAAACTTGCTGCAACAGAAAGAACAATGCAAGGCAGAAAACCATGTATGCCATTCTTGTGTGGTCCAGATATCTACTTATGTAGTGACGACCATCGAGCCGCCGAGTCTATGTAACACTGATCAAACTATTCAAGCTTCACCTTAATGTACGGAACCTCCACGTCGTTCTCCTCCATATCCTCAGCCACAATCTCAAAGATCAGCTCCTTCTGGTGAGGAGGGATAGGCTTCTTTGAAATCAGCTCCACCAGCTCGCTGAGCTTGAGCGGGTAGCGCTCCTTGAGCTTGGAAGGAGGGTAGAAGCTTGCGTACAGCAGGCTGACGCCAGAGCTGAGCATGCTAACGCTCAGTCCCTTCTTCTCAAAGTAGTCAATGAGCTCCTTGAGCGTGATGTTGTCCACCTCGAACCGGTCCCAGATCTTGTCCAGCGTCACCTTGCCGTCAGGGCCCGTGTACTCCACCTTGGGACTAGCAATCGGCTCGCTGAAGCCGAAGAAGGGCAGGGCCAGGTTGATGAAACCGTTCTTGTACTGCTCGATATCGTCCTTGCCGTCAATGATCTTGTACAGCTCAAGGACGACCAGGCCGGTGACGAGGGCCGTCGTCGTGGCAATGGCCGGGATGATCTTGCCTGCAATAAACTTGGTCTTGTGTCGATCAGCAGGCTCAATCTTATAGTTCTCGGCTCTCAGGTTACTGCAAGCAGTGATGAAGTCGATGTGGTAGTTGGTGTCGTCGTCCTTCTCGAACTCGACAGGCTGCAGCTGGAAGCCTGCAAGGCTGCTAGGCGATGGAAGGCTGGCGCTGAGCTCTGTGAGCTCATTTGTGTCATCAAAGCTGCTGGCGTTGGGATCCTAAAAAGTAGAGTTAGTACTGTGTTGCACCCTGTTGTCGGTCGGAAGCTGGACTTACGGGCTCCTTGTCATCCGCCTGAATCTTGACGTTTGAGTCGGGGGTAAAGTCGGGCACAATGACATTCTCCAGCTCCTTCAGGTAGATGGACTTGTCATTGCCGGGCGACTTGATGTTAAAGTTGTAGGCATGGAGGTTTGCGGCGGCTATGATGAACCCCAAGTGCGTCTCGTTGTTGGGATCGAACTTGAGCGCATCGGGAGCTCTCTTGGGGCCAGACCAGAAGGGAGTGCCACCCGAGGTGACAGAGTCCTTGGGGAAGTTGTACAAAAGCTGCTGCACCTTGTTCGAGAACTCCGTCTCGAACAGCTGGCGAGCCCAGGCAATGCAGTCCTCAAAGGTTCGGGGTCGCTCCGTGGTCAAGTAGTTGCGGATCGTCTCCAAGGTCTCCTTCTGGTTGCCGCCCTGCTTCAGGGTTGCCTCAATGAAGTTGGGCTGCGTCAGGTACAGGTTGACAGTCTGGGGAGCCTTGACGAAGCACTTCTCAAACATGTACTCCTTGGCCCAGGCAATGGTGTGCTCGATCTTGTTGGGGAAGCTTCGGATCGTGCACATGGGGAACTCCTTTTCAGGCGGGTCGTGCGAGGAGGAGTAAGACTCTGTCAGGCGGGGCAGGACAACCTGCGTGTTGCCCTTGGTGCCCAAAGTTCCGCTCTCGAGCAGTGGCTTGTGGTAGAATACGCACTTCCTATCAACGTATGTTCGCGCCTCGACATTGTCCAGGGCGTTGGTGACTCCATCCAAGCTCTTCCAGAAGGCATCATCGAAGACGTGCTCGGTCTCGGGGCTAACGCGCTCTCGCAGGGTCTCAATGTGGCCTTCCAGCTCCGGGTTCATCCGCTGCACGGCCTTGGCAGCGCAGTCGCTCTTCATGCTACCCACATCGGCAGCTCGGAAGAGGAACTGTCGGTTGAGGTTGCTCTTCTCGATGGAGTCCATGTCAGTGACATAGATCTTGCCGTTGGGTCCAGTTCCCAAGCCAATCATGGCCCAGTTCTTGAGCATCTCACAGCCAATAGCACCCGCACCAACGAGGAATTGCTTCATGTTGGCGATCTTCTTCTGGAACTCGGTACCAAAGACGGCAATTTGGCCGTCGTAACGGCTGCCGATTGGCTTACACAGCTCAGGGCTTCGCTTGGTCGTGGTGGGCAGTGACTCCAGAGAATCAAAGTACATCCATTGCTGGATGGGGTTGAACTTGCCAGACACGGCTTTGAGGACCTCCTGGGCGGCGATACCACCAAAGAAGGCTGCCATAGGGCTGAGATCACCGCGTGCCTGGAAGCTCAGCTCTTTCAGAAGCTTCTCGTCGATATCGATCTCAAGCTTCTCGTCAGCGGCGAACTTCTTGGCAGCCTCGAGAACAATAAGGGCGTCTTTCTCGTCCATAGGATTCGGGAGGCGGCCTTCGGCGACCTGGAAGGCATGAAGGGCCTGGAATCCCAGATGCAGCTGCTGAGGTCGATCGAACTTGGCGTAGTCAGAAATGAGAAAGTCTGGCTCTTTAAGGGCGGCTGTGAAGCTCTTAAAGTCGACAGTCTTGGGCATCTTGACCTGCTGGTAGACACCTCCACGCTGGTACTGTCCGAGACCCGACACATCGCCAATGGAGAAGGTGTATGGACCCTTGACCGTAATCTTACGCGGCTCGCAGCCATTGAGCCCCTCCATGCCCTCGATTTCGGAGAATGTGACGTAGTCGCCATCTTCCAAGCCGTGTCGAGTATCGTCGAGTGCGGACACCAGACCCTCTTCGTCGATGCCGGCAATGATGCCGCTGACGGGAGCTTCGCCGGTCTGGTCGATGATGGTGAACTTTTCGCCGAAATCGCAGAAGATGGAGCCAAAGAGGCCAAACGTGTCGACTATGACAACGAAGATGCCCTTGGAGTGGCAGTAGTCGCCTACAGCCTTTTGTGTCGAGATCGGGGCGTTCGTAAGCACTACCACCTGATACTTGTCAAACTGCGAGAAGTTCTCCTCAATGCTACTTGAAGATTAGCATTGTGTCCCAAGCATTCAAGTATCATTTGTGAATCATGCAGCCATACCTCGGAGACTGATGGACTTTGACAGGCGTATAGGCGTTGAGCTCTGCGACGCGTGGGGCTGTAACCTCGTCTCGGGGCTTGCCAACGTCCTCGGGCGTCAGGAAGAACTGGGCCGAAAGATCCGCAATCTGCACCGGGGCAGGGTCGTAGAGCGTCAGGCTCTTGACACCGGCTAGCGCAATGTTCTTGGCAATCTCGACACCAAGACCCTTGAGGCCAACGACGAGGATGTTGGAGGCGCCCATGCGGCGCATGGCCTCGTGGCCCAAGACATAGAGCTGTCGGCTGTATAGAGACTCGTCGATCTCTGTGGTTCCGACGACGGAATCATCGACCTGCATTCTGGTAGCAAGATCGACCTCGGGAAGCTTGGCGGCCTAATGAATTCACGAGCATCATGGTCAGTCTCTTGGTTCTCCCGTCTTTCAAACGCAGGGAGGGGTAGTGAAAGTGCTCACAGCCATGGTTCGCTTGAGGTTCTGCTGTGACTCTCCCTCAGAGAGCCTTCGCTTCGCCAGCGCTCCTGAGCTGGGCTGAGACGAAATCTTGGATATGGTGATCCAGCACCTAGGTCGAGCGTGACCTCACCTAGATGCTGCTGAAGGAGAAAGAAGAAGGCTAGGTAGGTAGGGTGTGAGCGTTTCCTTGCGTTTGGCTGTGCCAGAAATCGTCGTCTGCACACAGAATTCTCGCCGGGAAACGACAAGAACAGGCTGGTGGAAGAGAGAATTGGAAGCTGGTTTGTAATGACCAACAGGTGCAAGATCCAAAAGACCGTTTGTTGCGACACGCCAGGCTCCAGTTCTTCTGATGAGGTAATGTGGCTCTTAATCGTGCCTTTTGCTGCTGACACGAGCCAGAGAGTACAAGGTACTTCCTCCGAAGTACGAGAAGAGGGGCAAGGAAGGAGCTGTTGAGGCAGAGCAAGCGGCGGGGCAACAAGGCGGGGCAGCGGCGTGCTGATTGGCCGAACTGCTGTTACTGCCCAGCTCTTAGAAATCCGGCGAGAAACACACCATGCCCTGGGAGCTCCGTGGTACGTACCTTCATGCGTTGGACAAGGGAAGAGGTGTTGGTTGTGCTTTCGGTTGGTTCGCGCCCCGATGGAAGCTCGAGCGTCTATCGCGTTTATTCAGACTTCATGCGATGGCTTACACCATGTTACACATGGTAATTGGCAGTTCATCATCAGGTTGAGCTCTACCGGTGCACATATCGCCATTCCGACAGGTCCGGGAGCCTAGGACTTATTGCAGGGGAGCTTGACGGAACGTGTGGGGGAACGGCAGCATGTAGCAAGGCAGTTCTCTGCGGGAAGAGATCATGGAGGCCTTTGACCCTGAAGCGGCTTGCATATGAAAGATGGGTATGCCATTAATGCTGCTGCTTCTCGAGATGCAAGGCTTAAGAGCATCTACAAGTACAGCTTCAGCTGGAGATTGCGTATGCCATCCAGTCACAGAAGAGCCATGGCGACTAAATCGGGCTTTTGGAGCGTGTGATAACTTGAACAGTGTATTTTTCTTTTGGAGATATCCAATCTTGACTAAGTGTATCCAAAAGAGTGTATTCCAAAATCGCTGTTGTATCGGCTCGTATCCGGATCGCACGTCTATCGGATCGCCTTCAGGTGGACGTCACTACCAAGAGATGTTAGACGTGTCTCTTCACATTAATCCATTGCACTCACAAGATGAGGTCCGATCGAGCAGGGATAATAGGAGGATAACCCCTATTAAGGTGTCAGTCAGCTGTCCAGTGCATTCGTTGATTGGGCGCATGTCTTCTTTTAAGGCCGGCTGCCCGTTGGCATTCGCTTCTCTCTATGGTGGTGAGTCGTCTGCTTACCTGTCGCCATAAGCCTCATAGCTGTTGAGGAACATGTTAGCAACACCTTGCGAGAGAGGGATCTAATAGAGTTGCATACTAAGGGATTTCGAGTCTTGCTTTCTCGCCAACCTTCATCTGAGGAACTCCTGCATCCCATCCTGCCTCCTATGTTAATATATCGTCGTGGTCAATGAGCAGAAGAATCGTACCCTTGATGACTTTCTCAGTCCCAATCTCAGTCACGAAGTCCGTCCTTCGGTCGTATGAGGAGTCGAACCTAATTCTTCGGGTGAGCGATAGGACAAATGGTCGTACTGGGCTAGAAACTCACTTCGCTCCCTTGTTATCGGGCTGAGAGGGATCCCTCAGCCAGCCTGTATAAGCCATAATAACAGTGTCGCCTATCTTGGGGTTGGGACCAGAGCCTTCTTCGAGGGTAGTCTTGATGGTGTCGCTCCGAGGGGTGGCCATTTTGACGAACGTTGAAGTATCCCGTAATTACTGGTTTTTTTTCTGTGCGAGAGCTGAATTTCGGTTCAGCCAGAATAGCGTATCTGGGAGATTTAAATTCACACGCAAAATGGCCCCATCCAGCAGGAATTCGTCAGGAGGTATTTCAGTGGGGTTTCCAAACAGTCGTTCTTCCGAGCTGATGTGTGATGACGACTTTGGCGTAAATCCGGGAGAGGGGGTAATGCCACGTTGCTACCCCTAATAAAGCGTCTTACGGAATGCGCCTCAAGGATTCGCTGCGTTCGAGTAGAAAGGGCCCCGCCAGGATTCTGCGATTCCTTGGCTGAAATTCTCCATCAGCCGCATCTAGACTAGAGCTTCATTGATACGTGCTTGATGAAACCCGACCTGTGCCATCCACAGGTGTGCTGTTGATGGCAAATATCCTGGAGGGATCGACCCCTATCAAGAGCAGCCGGCCATGGCGAGACCCAAGAGCGATTCGAGATGTCGCGACATCGATATCTGCTGCCGATATTTGATATGTGGGCGGCAACCAAAGCAACCTGTACGAGTCCCAAGTGATCCACTCTCCGTCATTGCTCAGACCGAGTCCAGATGTATTCGCAATCTGAGGGATGAGCGGCAGCTCTGCTCTACCACTGGGAGGTGAACTAAGAAGCGGGTTCAACGTAAGCGTGCCCACATTGGTTCTCAAGCTCAGCCCAGTAGAGTCAAACTCCATATGATTTGCAAGCCCGCAGATCCCAAGGAGTTCCCCGACGCAGTCTCCGGTCGTTACCGCCAGAATCCGGATCTTGATCTTTCCCGACTCATAGAGAGCAACCAGATATTGCCCGTTAGGAGAGAACAGAAGCTGGCTCATTGTGCTTTTACTATTGGTTCCTTTGTAGGTTGCAATGCAAGTTAGGGTATCTTTGTGCCAAATCTTGACCATCGACTTCGAGTAAGAAGCCACCATAGAGCCATCGGTTGACGTTGCCACGAGCTTTACAGCGTTTGGGTGTCGTTCGCTCATCTCAATGCAGTTTTCCGTTGGGGCATGGAACAGTCGTACGGCACCATCGTCGCAAGCAAGGATGAGCCCAGTACTATCGGGGAAAAAAGCCGATTTGGAAATGACGTATGTACCGCTATAGAATGAGCCAAGGAGTTTCAATGTTGCTGTATCCCAGAGTCTGAGAGTACCTCCTCTCGTTGTCGATGTTAACGCGGTACCATCTGGTGAAAATGCGAGAGATACCACAGCGTCTCTATCCTCTTGAGATATCGACCGGCAGGCTCCAGTAGCGATGCTCCAAAGTCTGAGATTTGAAGACTCCCAGCCAAAGGCTGAAGACAAAAAAATTGAGCCATCTGGCGAGGTTTCGACTGACTTTGGCCAGCCATACAGGCCATCAGTATTGTTGATGATATGGTCGTACGGCGCTGTGGGGATATCTTGAGGGACCATCATAGGCACCCAAGCGAAGATTTGGTGATCCGTGCCGGTTGCTATACACTTTTCGGAGTCTGCATCCCATAGCCTCACTGTCTGATCTCCGGAAGTTGTTATGACCCTCTTGTTGTCAGCGGAAAACATGACTTCGAGAACTGCGCCTTCGTGCTCTTCCAGTCTGGATTCCTGTGTTTCAACGTTTGTATCCCAGATCTTCAATGTACCAGCGAGGTCCCCTGATATCAGCAGCGTCTCGTCAGCTGAATAAGTAAGGCTGGAAATACCCTCAGCATGACCATTATATATTGCAACGCAAGTCCACTCGCGAGTATCCCACACTCTAATGGTCTTATCATAGGAAGCAGAGGCGATCTTGCTCTCGTCCATTGATAGGATGATATCAGATATGTTAGCGCGGTGACCTTCTAAGACAGCATCGCAAGTGGCCGTTAGAACATTCCAGATGCCAATGGCATGTCCAATGCCAGTATCACCTCTGATGGGACTGATGACGCGAATGCCGTCAGAGAAGAAGTTCGGACAGCTGTTCGAGGCGAGGACGGCTCCAGATGCTACCAAAGAATTGCCGGAAACTAAATCCAGAATTCTCATCGTGTAATCGTATTGAATCACCAATGTTTGTCCATTTGGAGAAAATTCGGCGTCATAAACGGTTGCCCTACTATTGTTGTCGAAGTTCAGCTCGTACCGGGTCATTCTCGAGCTCAGAAGCTGAACGATGCGGCGATCAGAAATCTTCAATACTGTCGATCCGTCGGGGGAAAACCTAAGCAGCTGATCATGGTGCCCGAATTCGTAAGTTGCGACGGGCTTGTCAAACGATCTATTCCATATCTTCAGAGTTCCGTCCTTAGACCCCGAAGCGAATTGCAGGCCATCTGCCGAAAACACTGCGCAAGTAATGGTGTCGGTGTGGCCCCTGTACTCTCCTATACAACTTCTCGTTGCAGCTTCCATGACCTGGAGCACTTTGTGGCCCGTCATGTACAGTACTTCTGTACCGTCAGGCGAGACCCTAACAGATTTTGCCAAAACGTTGCTGTGAATCGCAATGCAGGACGCTGACTTCAAGTCCCAAACCTTCATTTCGCCTCCGATTTTTGGAAGAGATATAACCCTATCACTAGCTGGTATAGTGATAAGGTTCACGATCGATGTAAGCTGGTTTGCATTGGTGGCTAGGCAAGGATCCCAAAGAGGCTGCATTGCTGGCAAGGTGCGGAGCCATGTAGGGATACTCTCTTTGAACATTTGCCTCACAATGCTATTTTCTGGAGCAAAGATAAGCGCGGAAGAGTAAATTTGAAGCGGCGCTTTTTCCAGCGTGACAACATTGGCGAGGATAAATCGGCGTATGTCCCGCAAGAATTTCCCGATGACTTCTGTTTTTGACCTCTTCCCGTTAATCTGTTAGTTGTTTTGTAGCGAGCCTATAAATACGAAAGTGGCTCACCTCTAGCTTGTGTATCAAGTCGTCTACCATATGGACGCTCTCTGCGCTTTGTCTCATGAGACTAAGCGCTTCAAGCCAATTCAGCAGGTAGATGGATAGGAACTTGTGTGTCTCGTCATGGTCACATATGCTCCGATTGCTGGAAGTCAAATGGTAGACCCAATACGTGCAAGCATACTGGACTGCATCGGGTAGACAGGCATCAATAGTGTCTTGGCTGATGTCTGATTGCAGTGTTCCCGGCGATCTGAGAAAGCAAATGTCTTCTCTGAGTACGTTGTCATTAGATAACGATCTGAGGCATTGCAGGAACAATTTTGCATGGGCCTCCTGTTCATTTATCCAGAACGGATATCTTTCGAGGTCAAGCTGTTTCTCAGAGTCCACTAAGAAATCTCGAAATGAAAGATGTAGCAGTCGCACTGGGGTATCCAAGTCGCTGGGAACTCCAAGTACTGAATGCAATACGTCTAGTTGGTCTTCAATAGCGTCTGTCGAGACATTGAGAATCCGAGCAAGACTTCGTATGGACAAAGGCTTGGCCAGGGTGATGATTGATCCGATCAGGTATCTGAACTTGTTCATCACATCCTCCTTGTTCGATACGGTAAGGCCAGCAGTTAGGCGATCCAAGACTGGAAGGTATGTCATATCAAGGCCGGATAGTTTCGCATTTCGGTATTCCAGTAATCGCTTTAGTTGATGTGGCGGGCCTCCCAATCTTCTGTCGTTGAGGAATCGGCAGATCGTTGCGGCCACGATGAACAAGGGAATAGCTGATGCGACCAGCTTCTGTATAATGGCCAATCCGGGCCAGTCATCTGATATTTTGCGGTGTTGTGTTACAGACTTGTTGTAGTCCTGCTTAATCTTGTCCAGTTGGTGGCGCATGAATAGCTCAATGTCATGCTCAATTGTAGGAGTCGACACTACTGCAAGAAGCATATTGTCATACATTCCGCTGATATCCTCGAATCCTAGTCGAATCGGCAACTCTGGTCTGCTGGTAAGAAAGAATTTGAGTCGTGGGTTCTCAGTGTATTGAGCGTTCGAGAGGACGTTGATCAATATCCTCATGCTTTCCTCGAGGCCGCATTCATCGAGAGCGTCGACCACAATGAGCAAATCTGACGACTGCCCATTTCCTGCATGTTGTTTCAAAGGATCCAGAATCAACATTTGGAACTGATCGCTCAAGGATTTTTCATGAATCTGGGGCTCGAATTCAAGCACTCGGCGGATTTGCGGAGCGAGGGAGGGCATTCGACGGACCAGCTGAGCAGTGAGTGTGGTAATCAGAAATGTCGTTCGGCCACGATCACCTTCGCCCCTCTTGAAGAAGAAACTAGCACCCAGCATGCTGTCCTTAAAGAAGGCCCGGGCGACTGTACGTGAGATGGTGGACTTTCCAGTTCCTGCCATGCCATTCAACCAGAAGATCGCTTTGCTGTCAGGGCTGGTGCTCCAATGTTTTATTTGTTGAATGATTTCTGTGCGAGTTCCCGGAAGACAATGAGACTCCTCGCTGTCGACATTCGCATCGAAGGAGGCAGCCTCCGCAATTCGAAGCTTCGAAAGAACAAACTCTTGATGGACGTCCAGAAGGATTGACCTACAACTGTTAGAACTGGAGACCATAGATAGATAGAAGTGTACAGTATTGGACACCGATATTCATAGCTATTATAGCTCAGAAAGAAGATGGAATATAACATATGGGGGGAAAAAGTAACTGGCATCTTACGTTTGCTCGACGTTGAGGTTTATTAAAATGTTGGCCTTTTGCCGCTCAATTGCAGCAATAATATCGTGAATATCCCTTCTTTTAAACGGCCATATTGCTCTGGCATGCTTCGCGCCCAGATCAAGCTTTGCCACCAGCTCAGCGAGCAATTTTCGGAGGTCGAAAACCGCCTGGCGCAAGGGTTGTGACTCGAGTTTCGAGGCTCCTTTCGGGCTTCTCAGTAGTGATTCGAGTTCTTTGACGACGGCCGTAAGCCGGTCGACCTCCTTGAGAAGCTTTCGCACATCTTGAGGGGCGTTCTTGACATCCACACAATAGATGGAGCACATAACCCCAATCTTGATGAGGAGGTCAACGACCTGCGAGATGTTGGCGAGAAGCCCGAGAACATCCATGATTAGGCCATAGATGTGGCAGAGGGGAGGAGAGGGAGAGGTAGAGGTCGAGAAGATCCGTAGTGGAAGACATTGTCGACAGACTCGGGTTGTAATACCAAGTGTATAAACTCGGGAGTGTTATCTGCCGCAGAATGTGGGCGTTTGAAGCAATGTGTCGATGGGCACAGGCGGGGTCGGCCAGGTATTGGTTCGTGATGCCTGCAGATACTCAAGTCAATTCTCACATTTTGCACAACCAACACAATCTGCAGCAACCCTTGCTTCCGACAAGGGGAGCTTCTGCCCCAGCCACTGTTTGCAAGGGATTGGCACAGGAGTCCCAGTTATTGCCGGCGTCACCCAGCAAATAATGAGAGCCCATTAAGCGCCGACTCCAAGCGCCGACATATGGGATCCGTCGTGCTCCGTCTTGTGGCGGCAATTCTGCAGGATGCTGTGCGTCAAGTGTTGCGCAGAGTAAATTGAAAGGAAGCACAGGATTGGAGTGAACTGGGCAGTGAGAGAGATTGGATTCTGCCAAGCGGTCAACAGATTCGGCAAGGTTGTGGACTGAGTCATCACGAGAGTGAAGTACGACTGACCACCATGTGCTTCCTCGAGAATCTCCGCGATCGTCAACCACAATCAGAAGGCATTCTTGGATGAGCCTCAATATACCGAGCACACAGGAATATCGAGCTTGAGTCTTCCCTGAGCAGTCAAGGGTTAGGGTTACTGATCTGAGGAAAAAATGAGGAGATGCGGTGATGGACGACGACAAACATTTAAGGATTCCTCTCATCTTAACGAGGGACTTCACCATCAGCACTTAGGAATCTGCAGCTCACCCAGCCTCTTATATTGCTTGAGGATTCCATTTAGGATGCAAATCATATTTTGCCCTTCCTTTCGTAATTGTTCTCTCAAATCTAGATGGAAAGCTGGTCCAGTTTTGTGGCCATCGCTCTGTGTCGTATATGCTGTCACTGCTGGCCGTTCTAATCGTTCTCTTGCTCCATCTTCGGTATTTGATCTACTACATCTGGTATAGAATCGGCAGTTCTGTGTTATCTTACGATTTCTACGAGGCTTTAATGCCGCTATGCTGAGATCGATCAGCAGTCTCGTGATTCGATGAGGGACTGGCGTTACTTATGTAGACACTGGATCATTTTCTCAAAGGTTGAGGCTGGTGGGAAAGGTGTCTGCAGATATTACAAAAAGAAGCGACTGGTACTCAGAGAAAGCTGAAAGGAAGATGAAATCGAGGTTCGTTGTCCACTCGAGGCATTGGAGAGCAGCACCGGGCGTTAGAAATTACCTTCATCAACAATAGACGGGTCAGTTAGGGAGGCACTCACCAATACTGTTCGCATCCAATCTGTATACCAGGCAATGACCATTCAGATAAGCTCTGCACTGGTAATATAGCCTTAGAGTTTGCCTTTGTATAAAGACTAAAGTGAAGACCCCTATTTGTGGCCATGCAGGAGCAACCGCATCGTCGTGAACAGGGAGGAGAAACCAACATCATTAAAGGTAAATATTGGGCGGGCTCGTACCAAGTGCAAGTCCTTCGCCGTCAATACAACTTCAAGACGGCCATATATCAACGTTTCGCGATCCTCCTATCGCAGTCACCACAGCTTCCTATAGAAACCAGTATCTCGCCACCCGTCATCTCACTTCATATTCTCGGGTTTTGGATATCCACACACATTCTTTTGCTTGGAGTAGCTGTTCATCCACAATAACAATACGCCTACCTGGAGTGAATGCACTGCAATCGAATGTACAGCTGGTACACCCCAACACCAACCAGTAGCAACTCTCGCAGAGGACTGGCCGAACAAACTGCTGCCAGCTGACAACCCTTTGCCAGCTGCCGCACATTTGTTTACAAAAGAATCTCTTCCAGCCGCGTAAACATTGATTCTTTCTTCTTCCTTACCAACTCCGCGATCCTGGACGCGTTCGTTGGCCACCTCGCGAACAACGTCTGCTTCCAGCCTTTGAGGCTCAAACCAAAAAGATTAAAGACAACTACGTGAGTGGCGAGCATCTCCATCATCTCACTTCCATACTAACCGGATATAATAGCCCCAAGCACGCTCTCGCTCGTCAGCTTGTGACTGGCGCTGCTGTCAACCATGGTTCTCCTCGGCACCATCCCACGCAGCCGAAGCTTGGAGTCACTCCGCAAGGACCTCTTCCATACCATCACCCACACCACTGAAGGAGTCTACTTCCCCGCCGGCTGCACCCTTCTCGGAAGCAAGGAGGCCGACAAGGAGGTCATTGCTGCTCTCTGCCCCCATGAGGAGTTCAAGGCCACGGACAAGGGCATCGCCCATCTGACGAAGCTCTTTGTCCAGTGCAACAAGTGGCTGCCTGTCCTGGAGAAGCGTGATCCCAAGGCCTACTGGGGCGTGGTCGCTTTCACCACCTCCCAGATGCAGTCAATCACCTTGTCTCCCGAGATGGCCAAGGCTCTCGTCATGTCTCTCCTCAAGGCCCGCCAGCTCTGGATTCTCCGCCAGGAGAACCCGGATGCTGCCAAGTCGAACGTCAAGACTCATCTCGCTGCTAGCATTCAGCGACTTCTTGAATGCTTCGAAAAGCGTGCCAAGAAGCCCGTTGGAGCCGGTGGCATCCAACAGGACTGGAAGTTGACCGATAAGCAAATCGAAGATGCTTGCAAGGCGCGCATGGGTCCTGGAAAGCGTGTGTCCAAGAACAGGATTGCGCTCTCCTTCAAGTCGCCTCACCCGCTCGTCCCCATTGGACAGCTCTCGAGCACTCCTCAGCTAGAGCACACACCCCTCAACCCTCTCGGCATGCTCGACAGCTCTGTGGAGAAAATCACCCCGGCTGAAGCTGTCCAGGCGCTTCTCTCTACCCAGATCCATGATCTACTCCGCGACGGACAGCCTGACGACCAGCAGCCCGTCGGCAAAAGAGCCTCTCAGAGCGTCCGCGATGACGATGCTCAGAGCCGATCCAGCAAGTCGTCCAGCCTCATGGGCCGCATGGCGCCATCTGCGCTGAAGTCAAAATTTAAGTCCTCCTGGATGAAGAGTCCTGTGTACCGCAAGGACATGGGCAAGGCCAGCGCCGAGGCCGCAAAGCGAGCTCAAACTGTCGACGTGTCCCCAACTTCAAAGAAGACGGGCAAGGCCAATGCCGAAGCCGACAAGCGAGCTCAAACTGCGGAGGAGTCTCTGACTCCAAAGGCTAACACCAAGGGCAACCCTTCGTCCACCAAGAAACGCTTCATGAACGAGCTGCCTAGCAATGCGGCCAAGAAGCAGGTGGTCGCCAAGGGAACTGCACGCTCTGTCTCGATGCCCACCACCAACCCGGCTTCAGTTGATCCTACTCAGCAGGCTCAGGCCTCTCGCTCTGTTTCTCTGCAGGTGAAGAAGGGATCGCAGAAGTAGCCATGATGGGCTTTTGACATGCTTCGAATACTGATTGAATGCATGTTTTTAAACGACTGGCTTCAATGATAGTCGTGGATATCTGGTTTGCGAGTACTGGGTTTATCATGTCACAGGGTAGGATGGGAGGGCTGACATTTATTGAGACGATACAAACTGGGCTTCATGGATAAGGGTAAAGGGAATTGTGTATGAGTAGTATCTATGGCCCATGAATTCAAGTATCGTCGAAATCTGACTTGCTTCGTGTTGACATGTGTGAGGATGTGAGGACTGAAGTCGGTGTCGAGGTCTACCCCGGAGCTGTGACCTTGTTATGAGACCTTGGCCCTAAATTTTCATCCAGACTTGTCCAAAGTTGAAACCAGAGTATAGTGCTTGCAGAATGTGTCCACAAGAAGCATGTTTCCCCCAGATGGTCATTGCTCACAGCAACTTGCGAAGAGTATGAAGTGGAGAGAGAAGAGAATGGATTTTGCACTACGCAAGCCGTTAGGCATTCCTGTTATTGGCATCCTGTTGTGTTCTCGTCTTCTCGTATCAGAAGACTTAATTAGAAGAAGATTGTATACAAAGTCCTATCGCGATATGTATCGCTCAAGTTCCGAAGGGTCAAACAACAGCCAAGATTATGTGAGGGATGTCCATCTTGGCAAAATGGCAGTGCTGGGCCTTGGCAAGAGTGTACCACCAACATCAAGGTTTCTCACAGACTCGGTAGGTAGATAATCAAGCTTGTTCTTTCTTCGGCGTTGTTTATGACAGTAGTGTAGGTTAAAAGGTAAGAAAGAAGATATAGAGTATCAGTATGTAGTATGTGTATAGATCCAGGGCTGGGATTCCTATTTCCGATCATCTCGGGAGCGATGCTTTGAAGGATTATTGCCCGTCCCGAGCTCTCGGATATCGCCGCTGCACCCGCCTCTGTTCGGCTTTCGATAGTGGAACTCTGGCGTTAGGTACATACATGTAAGGTATCCATGCTTGGCTGTTGCTTCCAGGGCTCTCGAGATCACGGGTCTCACTTTTGCTTGCGTCTAATACTACAGGACTGACTTCCAGTGTGCAGATAATTGCCGTGGAATAGGTAACCTTGGAAGCATTCCTCCCTCTTGCCTTGGCAGTTCAAAGCGTTGGCTTGTCACTAACGGCACAACGGCACACGTACCACCCAGACCAGAACGTTAAGGTATACCTAGGACCAGGAAAAATGCCCTTTACAAGAGCTGCCAATCTTAAAGCTGCTGCATGTCTCGGATAAGCGGCAAGGCGCCGTGACGTAAGTGGGCGCATTTTCCCTGGCGATGATCTTGTTGGCGACAAGAAGGACGGACAAAGAGGAGAAAATTGGAGTCGTTCTAGATCTTGGCTGCAGCAGTTCGCAGACATTGGATTCAGGTGACAAAGGCGATGCGCAAGGCGTTTTTTCTTCCCTGCCGAGGTGCTTCTAGCTGACTATCTGACTCACCAGATCGGGTAGGTCGTTGTTTGAAATGCCACCTATAAGGCTGTCTCGTCCTCTGGCCCTTGCGCGAATCCCCGTTTCCGGAGACAAGTTGGACGGCTAGTATATTATTCTTGCGTTGGGAATGCTGGATAATTTTGCTGCTTGCTGACGCTGGCTCATCTCATCTCACCCGCCTTATTATTAGCCCTGTCTAACTGCTGTTGGATTGAAATCCCATTCCTGCTGTTCTCGTTGGAGGCCTTTTTGCCGTTTGACTGCACGATCGGCTCGCTCTAGCCTCCGCAAGAGACCCTTTAGACTGAGGTAGTTCTTGTTTCCCTGCAAAGGACACACACACAGCCTTACGAGTACAAAACCATCGCGACCCCTCACAAACGTCATTCTGCTTCTTCGTGAGGCTGAACCCGGGGGCCATCAAAGTCTTGGCAGCCTTGCTCCATCACGCCTTATCTGAGTTGACCTCTGCGTCGTTGTTTTCTCTTCATCATGCCCGGAAACATTACGACCCATCACGACGACACCACGCCCGAGTCGAGCGACGGTGATCGGCATGAAGAAAACCACGACGACCGCGAAGCCCATGAAGAGCACGAAAATGGAGATGCCAAGCACAAGAAGCCTCCTGGTGGCTTTGACAGGACTCCCCTCCCCGACGCTCCCCAGGGATACACTATCCGCTTCGTCTTTCACTCTGCGACCAACATCCCGGTGGCGGATTTCCACACCGGATCGTCAGACCCTTTCCTGGTGGCGACGCTCAAGGGCACGCAGCCGAAGCGCCACAAGGAAGATCCGGACCTGAAGTACAGGACGCGGACCGTTCACCGAACCACCGAGCCGGAGTGGGAGGAGGAATGGGTTGTCGCCAATGTTCCTCCCACCGGCTTCACTCTGAAGTGTAGAATGTACGACGAGGACGTTGCCGACAAGGACGACAGACTGGGCAACGTAACCATCAACGTGGGTTCCATCACCGACGACTGGCCGGGGATTCCTCCTCCGGGCCAGGAGTTTGAGGCCAAGAAGCGTGTCATGAGCAAGCGCGCATTCATCCTCAAGGGCATCGCCAGCGCCGTCATCCACGGGACGCATATCGCGCCTCGACTGCGCCTCAGCATGCAGATCCTGGGCAAGTCGGATCCTCCGTATGCGCAGATGTGCACGATAGCCCCGACGAGGTGGATCAAGCACAACAGTCCCATGATTGGGCGTCTGATTGGGCAAAAGGTGAATGCGAATGAGTCTGACGATGAGAAGAGCCATGACGGGAACGACGACACTCCCAGGTCTCAAAAATATGAGTACGTTGATGTGATACAATCACAAGATCCCTCTTCAGGATATAGACAGGTTACTGACACTGGGCAATAGCTTCCAAGCCAACGAGATACAACTCCAAGGCCCAGTCCCAGCAATCCTCTACCATCGCTACGTCGAGTTCAGACCAGTCATTGGCTCTCTCTTCTCGTCGACTGGCATCCGGGGAACCATCCTGAACAAGGCACTGCACAAGCAGCACCACCGCATCTACAACTACAGCAGCACCACGGAGTATGGAAAGTTTGAACCGTGCTCTAAGCAGGCTTCGCTTCAGTTCCTCCGGATGGCGCATTTTGACGAGGGCGGCCGCATCTTCACATACGTCCTCACGCTGGACGGACTGCTCCGCTTCACGGAGACGGGCAAGGAGTTTGGCATCGACTTCCTGAGCAAGCACACCATGCACGCCGACGCTGAAAAATACATTGCTTGCTCGGGAGAGTTCTTCATCCGCAGGCTGCAGCACCCGGATTCCAACGACAGCCCCGAGCCCCATGAGAAGACGCACCCATCCGAGGACCTTCCCGGAGGTCCTCCCAACCAGCCGCCGCCCCCGAACCCTGCGTATTACCAGCTCTTCATTGACAACGAGTCTGGGACGTATCGCCCGGACAAGTCCGTCTTGCCAGATCTTAAGAAATTTCTGCAGAAGAACTTTCCCGGCTTGGGCATCGTGACCATGTGCTGCGGAGACGAGCGCCTGGAAAAGCTCAAGGCAGAGCAGCGAGAGATCAAGAAGAGCGAAGGCCGACTCGTGCAGGTCGTCATGAACAGCAGCACTTCCAGCTTCAGCTCGGTGGAGAGCGAGCTCGACGAGCGCAACGAGAGCTGGCAAACCGGCAGGAAGAGCAAGAAGGAGACGGCGCACTCGGCGCTGAGGAACCCCGATTCGGAGCATCTCAAGGAGGTTGTGGATGTGATGCTGCCGTATCGCGAGAAGAAGGAGGAGGGGGTGGCAGCAGGAGGAGGAGGAGAAAAGCAAGGTTGAAGAAGAACCGTGCGGGAATCTCTCTATGACTTTATGGATAATATATGATACCACTCTTTTTGTTTCCCCTTCGCTCAGTTGTTGTTGTTGTTGTTGTTGCCGTTATCGTGTCGTTTTCATAGTTTGGGAATGTTAATGTTTAAAACCAGCAATATATCGAGTTGGAACCCTTCCGTCCAAGCACATCTTATCGTGAAAGCTTCACATTCTCGCCCTGACTGACACCCATGTACTCGAGCACTGCGCCAGCTCGATCCCATTTCCATCCCTCAGCTCACACTTTATCCTCGTCTTCCTGCCCTCCACGCCGTCCACCCACGCGTTCGCCAGCACCGTCTGGTTGATCGGCCCCGGCTTCAGGAACTTAATCTCCAGGCCCGCCGTGACGCTCGCAGCACCAAAGATCTCGCCCGTCTTGCCCAGCGCAAGATTAATCTCGTGCAGAACCCCCATCGCCTCATCCACCATTGTCATGATCATGCCTCCGTGCAACACGCCTTCGTACCCGGAGAGCCCCTCTCCCAGAGCAAACAGGGAGCTCACGTGCATGATGGGCCGGTCGGCATCCTGCAGATGGGCTTCATCCTCCGTGTGGAAGAAGCAGAGCATGTGCTGCAGTCCGCGCGGCCCGGCGAGCGTCGCGCCAACGAGCTGGTCGTGGGCTGGGCTCTTGGGGTTGAAGCACTGCGGGATGAAGGGGACCGTGTTGGGCGTCTGGATGAGGCATGCGCACCAGGGGATGGAGAGGAAGTGGGAGACGCAGGAGGAGTAGAGGCGGGGAGGCGTGTTGGGCGGGATGAGGCCGAGAGGGGGGCTGAGGACGCGGTTGAGGGGCGTGAGGGAGAGGGAGGAGGAGGATGCTTCGTGTGGCTGAGGCATTTTTCAGGTGGTGTAACGGACGGGATAATGCCGCCCTGTGTGAGGAGAGGGAGAGGAGATTGAGGACCGGTGAGGAGGTGTGTATGATGATGGTGGTGATGCGATTTGTTTTGGTGTTTTGATTGGGATCTGCCCAGGTTAAGGGAGGGACCAGATTCCCAATTGGGATGCCCAAGACTTGTCCACTTTTACCCGAGATTGCTGGTACAGTATGAGGAGAGCTCGAGGAGACACTGAGTGAGGAGGTTAGATTTGAGCACCGAAGCAACGTGCGAACAGTCCAAACGTAGACGCCATCATCAGCCACACAGATCGACAACTGGGGATCTCTATCTGTCTATCTTACTCTTCCAAAATGTATGAACAAGTTGAAGATGAGCAAAAACATCATCATCTGGACAAAAAGAAATCAGATCCTGGCCGGAACCAGCAAAAGATGGGGCTTCACCGGGATTCGAACCCGGGGCCTCCTGCAAAGGCGATTCTAGAGAACCGGGGACTCCAGGTTTGTTTTCCCGAAGCAGGAATCATACCACTAGACCATGAAGCCGGATGATGTTGAGGTATCAGTTGGCGATGAGGCGCTTGGTGTAGAGGTTAAGAATGATTTTAGTGATAGCGGAAGACAAGAACAGTCACCAACAGTTGCTGTTGATCGATCTGACATTCACTCCTGATGGGCAGTTGCATGGCTGGAACTCGGTATTCATTCCAAATTGCCCTGGATCAGATAGGTGTTCAACGAGCATCGAAAGCCGTCTTCTGGCTCCTTTGATAAACCCAAACTTGTTATCCGTTCTTGGGCAAAAGAACCATTGCCTATGTACTTACCTACATTCTCAGTGTGCGAATACCCTACTTCATTATACATGTACCTACCCAGGGCAAGTGGCTGATATACTCAGAGTCACAAAGGTCAAACGGTCGAGATACAAAGTCACAGTCATCCTGGTAATCCAACAATTCCCTACCTATCTAGGTACCTAGATAGAATATCTCACAATGCCACCAGCACAGCGGCGGCTACAGCCCCGAGCAGACTGCCCACCCTGCTACTCGTGGCAGCAGCATTCCCAAACGTCTCCCACCCCCAGCAGCCTCCCTCCCTCCGAGCCTGGTCCCCCAAGCTGTTGATGGCAAAGCTCCTTATAGGACGCGATGTCGACATGCACAAGCCCTCGTCGGGCGTCCCGCAGTCCGTCATGGACCAGGGCGTGGCGTCTCCTTCGTCATCGCCCGGCCGGATCTGCTCGCAATCGGCAAGCGTGTACTGGTAAAAGATCCACTGACTCAACTGGGGCCCCAGGGGATCCTGGCTTGAGAGCTGGGCGGAACCCATCTTGAGCCAGGTCCAAGTGTAGTTCGCATTTGGGTCGTAAAGCTCTTGGTTCTGTATCGACCAGTAGACACCCCCAGGGAGTTTTTTCCTATTGCTCTTGATTTGCAGGCGTTGGAAGCCTGTGCTCTTGTTCTGGGAGAAGATGTCGCTCATGTTGAAGCACGTGTATTGTAATACCGGTATTGACTCGGTGGTAAGGGTAATGGCTTTGCTTATGTCGTAGGAGCTGCAGGCATCACCCTGATCAGTTGGAAAAAAGGCAAAAGTGATGTTCATATCTTGTCTGCGCATTATGGAACATAGCATTAGCAATGAGCTGCTTGACAAAGAGGAGGGAGGTTCATCATCATTGGCGTCTTACCCATTAGCGCCGGCCCATACTTTGGGCAAGGCCGCGAGTAGGGGGAGGAGGAGGAGGGATATCATGTTCATCATGTCGTTCGATGTCTGTGATTGTTAGAGCAGCCAGGTGTCAATACTATTGGGCTACTTGGGGATGAAAAAGAGTCAAGGTATTTATGCGTCACAAAATGCGGCAAATTCTTATCTTATTGTTCGGACCTCGGACATGGTCAGTGCGATGAGGGAAAGGCGCAGCGACGCCACCCATCGACGAAGAAAACAGTCCGCACAACAGCCCAACCGTTTCAATAGTCGCTAGTGTACCTAGCTCATGATGTTGATGTCGATGTGTGCTAGGATGCAAGTTCATTTGAGATACGAAAGCATAAAATAAGCTATTTCTTTCCCACAAGGTGCTCAAGGACTCAAACGTCAGCTCGGGTGAAGTGTTTTTATCGTACAGGTAGGAAGTCATTGGGTCAATAATGTGTGTGCTGTAACAATTCTCCTCCCCGGCACTTAAGATCAGATGTGGCCATGTTGAAAGTCTATACTGTAAGGGATCTCTCCCCTGTTCTATGAATCTAGAGCAAGGTCAAGCAAAAGAAGCCTGTCCCAAGCACTCTAGTAGCAGAGGGAAGCTTCTAAAGCAGTGGTATTGACTGTTGTGGTGCAGTGGCTTGCCAACCTCTGACAAGACAGCCTCAAAAGAGAAAAGGGGTAAAACAGCTATATGGAAAAGAGCGGTAGAGAAGGCAATTTGACATCGTTCTGCAGCAAAATATGATAATCCTGGCCATGGATCATCAATTTCGTGCTGGACTGAGGCAGGTCAGTAGGTAGGTACCTCTGTCCACAGCGCCACGTGGGTGATGATGATTCTGCCCAGCACACTGCGAGGCAGACAGACGACACTGCAAGACGGCGATGGAGAATCTGATAGAGCAGATGTTCTGTACATAAGAAGACATTGATATCGAGCTGCTAGCCTCTGAGAGAGCTTCCTCACAGTGAACCTGCCCAGTAACTGTAATGAGTAGGTACCTTGAAGTCGGCATACGGGAGGCGCTGGACACGATTCCTCACTTGCAGCTCGCCTGGACACCACCTGCCACTCGAGCTGGGCAGCTGCCATCCCAGTGACTCCTTCCCTCTGCACAATTAGGGCTTCCATCACACCTGATTTGTTTTTCCTGAGAAATCAGGCCATGTTTATCCGAGCACATTCACATTTTCGTCCCCAAATCTCCCCTCGTTACCACTGCTTCTCTGCACCCGCATCTTACCAGTGACACAGCTCTACCCGCATCAGCACCTAGAACAAGCAAAAAATTACCTTCGTTACACCCTACCTATGAACCAGTAGAGCAGTTGATACTCGTTCATGATGCATCCTCCTGCCAACGACACCAGCGGCTCGGAGCTGGAGCCGCGCCAGATCGAGGTCCTCATCACCATCGAGCGAACTGGCGCGGGCCTCTCGATGGTGGCGATCGTCCTCACTCTGCTGACGTTTGCCCTCTTCAAAAAGCTTCGGACTACTCCCAACACGTTCCTTGTTCTGGCGTCCATCGCCAACGCCGGCGCGAGCATCGCGTCCATGATCGGCTACGATGGCCTCGATCAGGGCGAGCGCTCTACTCTCTGCCAGGGACAAGGCTTCATCTTCGAATGGTACATACCTATACATTCCCAGCTTTGACATCACCTTCTCGTTTCTTTTTGAGAAATCAAAGCTAACTTGTCGGGCCTCAGGTTCATGCAATCCGACCCCTGGTGGTCGTTTGCCATGGCATTTAATGTCTATCTGGTCTTCTTCCACAACGCCAACCCTGCCAGCTTTCGCAAGCGCATCTGGATCTACTGCCTCATCTGTTTCGGTGGTCCCCTTGTGCCTGCCATCGTCCTGGTCTCGATCCGAGACGATGCGAAGGGTCCCGTGTTTGGTAACGCTTCGGTAAGACTCACACTCCGAATCATTGAGCGCTTGACATACTAACGGACTGGCAGCTTTGGTGCTGGGTTGACGCAAACTGGAGCCTGGTTCGCCTCTATGCGTACTATATCCCCATCTGGATCTGCATTTTCGGATCCATCATCATCTACGTCGCCGTGGGATATCGGGTCTTCCACCATCGGAACCGTCTTCGCAAGTTTGCACTTCCCCTCCAGGCCAGGAACAAACGGGCCAACTCTGGCGCCGCCAGTGATGCCGGTGATTCTGCTGTCGAGGTAAGCTTCTCTTCTCGATGGGCATTTGCAACATGCTGACTGATTGCGCAGAGCCTCACCCAGAGACCTGAGTATTATGGCACTGCAACCACTGAAGTCCAGGTTACTTCCGGTACTCCTGAGCACGATAATCAGCTGGCTCTTCCCATGATGCCGCCTCCTATGTATTCGCTTAGCCCCTACTTGCACAATCCCACTGCCGAGGCTTATGGTCAATCGTGGGCAACAACTCAAGCAGGACGTTATTACGCCGCGGATCCGGAGAGACTGCCTCAGCCTCCTCGTGCAGCCGGTCCTCCTACGCGATGCAACATGCTCTCCGCCGTCTTCTCGTGGCTGAAGAATGTCAAGTCGAGTGCATCCTCGAAGCTGAAGAGACTGGATCCCGTCAAGATGGCCTACCTTCGCACCAGCTTCATCTTCGGGTTTGCCATTCTCATCACTTGGATCCCCAGTTCCGTCAATCGGCTCTACAGCCTCACCTCTCAAGGCCGCGTCAACTTCCAGCTCAGCGTCGCCAGTGGCTGTGTGCTGCCGTTGCAGGGAGTCTGGAATGCCCTCATCTACTTCACCACGAGCTAGGGCACCGTCCGTGAAGAGTTGAAGGCCATCAAAGACAGGGTCTGGCCCATCTGGCCTCTCCGCCGCCGAGGCTACCGCAACACTGTCCGCATGGATGGCACTGTGGACACCGGAAGCCTCAGGGACCACGACGCCATTCAGATGGATGGCGCCACGGACACTGAAAGCTTCAAAAAGCGCCATACGCTTGAGCTGCCCTCGATGGCACGCCTTAAGCCTTCGCGCGTCGACGATGACGACGACGACCTCGAGCTTTCGGACCCTTTCCATGGCAGACGCTCCGTCTAGCCTGGGCCAAAGGTTCGCGGCTCCTGACGATGTTTCTTTCAAACGGTGAGGTATCGAGAGGACATCATTTTGGGGGCTGAAGCAAGGCTAGTGTACATGTGTCGAATGATCTATCACATCTCTTCGGGATGGAAATGGCATGGATGCATGATATTTTTTTTTTGGCGAGATGAGAGCAACGCCCTCCACTCAATCTTACAAAGCTTGACAGCTTGATAGTAGGTACTGAAACCAGCAGTTAGTGTAGTCATGTGCACTCAATATGAGTACAGTTACGGGTTTCTATGGTCTTGCTGCTCGTAGCTATGCGTATTTGGCATAAATGTCTTCGCCCTCGGCGGCATCGACACCCTCACGAATCACAGCAGAAACGGCTTCGTCGATGTCATCGTCTCCCTGTAGCAAGTCTAGCCATCCACTCTTGACTCCGTCAGCGGCAAGAAGCGCATCCGCAACGTGCGCTACCGTGTCCCTGGGGACGCTTCCCCTGACGTTCTTGGTCTTGCCCAGCGTCACTTTCCCCTTTGGCTCGTCCGTCAACGTACCAGGCCTAAGATCGATGCCCACGAGCGTTTGGCTCTGCTTGGCGACGGCGTAGAGGACCTCGTCGGCGGCCAGCTTGGCTTGGTAGTAGGTGGCCAGCGCGCCGAGGTTGATGGACTTGTGGTAGTCTTCCCACTCGGCGGCGGACCACCAGGGGGCTGCCTTGCGGCGGGAGCCACTATAGGAGACGAGGAGGAAGCGGGTGATGGAGGGCCTGGAAGCGGCTGCGTTGATGAAGTGGATTGCGGCATCGCGGTCGATGCGGAATGTTCCTTCGGTTCCGTATTTGCCGCCGGCACCTACAACGAAGCTCATGCGTTTAGATACATGTGTGATACCGACCACATCATCACAAAAAGGGAGAGGGTTATCCAGTTGCCTCGAGTTGCTTACCTGCGCTCCAGGCGACGTAGTCTGGGTTGACCTCGTCGAGAATGCGGGCGGCCTTGTCCTGGCTGTCGACGTCTTCGATGCTGCGGACGAGGACGCTGAGGCGGCCGGGCAGGCCGGCGCCGAGCCTCTCGACGGTAGGGACCTGCTCCTCCTTGCGGATGATGCTGGTGACGGCCCAGGAGCGCTTGAGGAGGAGGGGGGTGAGGAGCTGGGCGATTTTGCCGTGGCCGCCGAGGATGAGGACGTGGTGTGGTGAGGCCATGTTGAAGGGGCTATATGGACTGGGGTTGTATGGTGGTTGAAGGGCGGCTGATGCAGGTATTCGAGAAAACACGGATAGTTTGTCAGGGTGGCTTGTAGAAGATGGATGTTCAAACTATCTATGTGAGGCTATCGAGGATATCTGCAGGTTATTAGTACTGCGGTTGGACAGCTCGGAGAGCTTCAAAGAGCTACCCGAATGGCATCACGCAATGGAGGGGGGATGACGACACGTTGGCGGGGGCGGGGCATATTGATAGAGGGGGGGAATTGTTGTGGTAGAGCCGGAAGCTGTGGAAGAGGTGATGGAAACTTCCGACGGAGATAATACAGAGGTCGACTGTTTGCTTCGATGCCGAGGTGGGACAAAAGAGTCGAATGTTGTCAGGGTGAGGTGAGTTTGATTTATAAGGGGGGGGTTTTGTTGGCGGCATCTTGCGTTGTACAACCTCGGTAGAAACCTGACGTGCTGAGGCGTCATGAGGTTGGGGGAGAATGGCTGAGTTTGATCCAACTGCATGGGACCTAGTTCCATATGTAGTATTAATGCTATCAAAGTATCAAAAGAAAGAGCAACTACCTAGTAGCAGGCCTAATATATGACGACAAGACGGGAAATTTAAACGTAGAGATCCTCTTGATTAGTGAAGCCTCGTCTGCTGTAATAACAGTCCAAGACCTGACCCTCCTGTCTTATGTCAGCAAGCCGCCTCTGATCTCAGCGGCATTCTGACAAGGGGGAGCAGCTCTGATCGGCGCCATCCCGCGCTTGAAGCTTGTTTTCGTCTTGGCTGTGTGACGAGGCTTCGTCTCATCTCACGACATAAGCTGCGTTTGCTGCTGCCCTCGGCGATATAAGCGGCCTTGTGTCACTCTTGTTTTGTTCTCATCTGTCTCTCTTTTAGTTGAGCAAAAGCCTCGACCTCTCAGTTCTTGTCGGCGCGGCTTCATCCCGGGCTTCAGCTGCCCCTCATTCAGCTCACCCTAAATTTCGACTCCCTCCCCCTTCTTTACATGAGCATCAGCTTCTACAAGGGCCTCACTCGCAGCATGTCCAAGTCTGTTTGCATCGTCGGTTAGTAGCATGCTAACCAGTATCCCTTGATTTGATCATCAGACGCATACTCACAGCTTCCAGGCGCCGGGCCTTCGGGTCTTGTTGCGGCCAAGACGCTCCTCCACAACGCACCCAAAGGGCACTTCAAAGTCAGCATCTTCGACAGCCAGGCGGCCATCGGAGGGCTCTGGCCGACCTCCAAGACCGACTCGGGGCGTCTCGTGCATCCGTTGATGGTTGCGAACCAGAGCAGGCACACGGTTCAGTTCAGCGACTTGGCCTGGGAGGACGATGCGCCGCAGTTTCCGCGTGCGTGGCAGGTTGGCCAGTATCTGGAGCGGTATCACAGCAGATATCTCGATGGCCATCCTGATTTTGAACTCCAGCTGAAGAGTCGAGTGGCCAGAGCTGAGAAGAGGAGGGATGGCACGGAAGGCTGGAGGGTCCGCATTGATAAGGGAGAGGGCGAGGAGACGCGGGATTTTGACTACTTGGTCGTTGCCTCGGGGTACTTTGGCAAGCCAATCATTCCCGAATGCTTCAAGAAGGCCAAGACTTCGGTCCCCATCATCCACAGCAGCCAATACCGAGACCTGAAGGGGCTCTTGGGAGAGGGCAAGCCAACGGGAGGCAAGATTCTCATCGTGGGAGGCCAAATGTCGGGCGTGGAGATTGCGGGCACAATTGCAAGCCATCTCTCGTCTGCCATCAACTCTCCAGAAGAGTCGAGAATTGCAGCAATCGACAAGTACTCGATATACAATGCGATCCAGCGGCCGATATGGGTGTTTCCCCTCTTCACTACTCCAGAGGTAAGATACTTTCGACACTTTACTCTGGCCATTGAAATAGATGCTGACACCGCCCAGCCCACATTCGCAGCAGCTCCCTTTGCTCCCTTGGACTTGGGCTCCTACAACATCAACAATCGACCACGGCCTTTGGAGAACACGCAGGGCCATATCAGCGAAGAACACGCCAACATGGTGCACACCATTTTTGAATCATCACTTGGTGATCAGGAGCAGTTCTCTCCACTACTGATGCCGAACGAACAGGAGCGAAATCAGCCAGCGTATCTTGCCGTCAGCGATTGGTACATGGACTTTGTGAGATCCGGCATGATCACCTTGTCCTCGGGCAAAGTCGTCTCTCTGGAGGATGGCCTCGCCACGTTAGATGACCATGGCGCGCAGATTGACGACATCGCCGCCGTGGTGCTCGCTACTGGCTACGATCCGTCGCCCTGTGTCGATTACCTGCCAAAGGAGGTCCTCGCTACGCTGCAGCACTCTCCAAGGCATTGCAACCAAGCGCTCGCCTTGGCCTTCCACGGCACCCATCATCCCGAAATCCCGAATCTCGGCTTTGTAGGCTTCTACCGGTCGCCGTACTGGGGAGTCATGCAGATGCACGCACGGTTTCTTACCGATCTGTGGACTGGTCCAACCGGCGAGAAGCTCGAGGCCCTGCAACGGAAACTTGAAGCGGATGAGTCCATCAGCCGAACGATCAGACTGCGAGACGACCCTAGGCTTTCACAGTTCCCCATGGGCGACTACATGTATTTGATGCAGGAATTCTCCGAAGCGCTGTCCATACCGATGCACGACTCCATCATGCCAAAGACGCCGACAACCTCTAGCAATAACCTCCCCCTCGATCCGCTTACGCCCTCTCGATATCCGTCTCCCAGCGATAGCCCCGAAGCCAGAGCCGAAGCCGAGAAATCGCTGAAGCAGGTACGCGATCTTACTGTCGAGTGCCTCACGACGCCCCGATTTGTCGCACGAGGCGTTTTCAGAAGCCTCCTCGGAACTTGGCGGCTCGAGCGAGACCTCACCAGTCGTCTTCCGTCCCATCCCAGTGGGAAGTTTGTCGGTACCGCGCAGTTTCTGCTCCGTGATCGAACTCCAGAAGGGCTACAATGCGCCTCTGATCCCAGCAGCGTCGACACTCGTGATGAGGATAGTGGCGGAGAGGATCTGGAATACTTGTACATTGAGGATGGCGAGTTTCAGACGACTACTGGCTTTGGCTTCAAGGCGACCCGACGGTACATCTGGCGCTACGACTCCAAGAAGGACATCATCAGCGTATGGTTCGCCAAGCCGGACGATCAAAAGCGCGCAGATTATTTGTTTCACGAAATCGAATTTGAGGCACCGCCATCGGATCCCAAGCTCCGGAAGAAGCAAGGTTGGAAGGCCAAGGCAGGACATCTTTGCATTGACGACTACTACAACGTCAAGTACGACTTCTCCTTCAAGGCTGTCAATCTGTCGACTTGGAGCATAGAGTATACCGTCAACGGACCGAAGAAGGATTATACCATTCACGGCACCTATGAGCGGATATGAGAGCTACTCTTCAATGCTACAGCAAGTTGTACATGATATGAGAATATGAGCACTGGTGATGTTACACTTTGACTCCGTCACTCGCTGCCAATTCCAGTCACCGTTATGGAATAGAAGGCAGATTCAGCATTAGAGCCAACTCCGTCATAGCACGCTCAGCACTTTGTAGGGCCCGGGATCCCTCGTGGATGTGTGTTCCAACTTGTTCATATCTCGCAAAAGCGCACATGTATTTATCCAAGAACTGAAGACGGCCTTGGCTCGTTCTGTCGCAGCCCAGAATTAGCCAATGGAGACCATGATGTAAGAGCATCACGAGGATGAACTCACCTTACGGCAGCATCCCTCAGCTCCACTAATATATCACGTCTCTCAGTAAACCCAGGCGATCCAGGACGCACGGTGCCATATGTTGAGCGATGTGTTTTCAACTGCTTTTTCAGGTCCCGCCATATGGAGTCGTCTTTCTTATAAACGGCATAGGGTTGGAGCAGTTCCAGGGGCCATGAACCTGGCCACTCGCATTTGTAAGTGCTTTGACTTAGAGCTGCGTACCGAAACCGAAGGTCTAAAAGGAGACGGTGGAGGTCCAGTATATTCTTTTGCAAGACAGCAGCTTTGTTCACTGCGTCAATAATGAGGTCCTTTGTTGGCGGGCTCAAGGCGCTTTGTAATGTTTGTGCAATGAGCCTGTCGTCGCCAGAGTCCTCGTCGTCGCCCTGAGTGGATTCGTCGTCCCTGGGGAAAAATGCCACGTCGAGGGGAGTTTTCCTCTTTGAAGGTGATGAGGAAGCCTGTATTGAGAGGCAGGCAAACCTGTTTGTGGTTTGGATGGGTGCCCTGCCGGGATGGACTTGAGATGCCATTGTGAGCGAGATGGGATCTTTGTTATGGGATGAAGATGGGGGGGGTCCGACTGGATGAGATCCCGGTTGATGAGGGGGGACGCACGGATTTAGTATTGCTCAAAGGGTTGCTGAAAGGATGTTGAAAGGATGTTGAAAGTGTTTGAAGGTATTCCTGGTGTCTTTGAGTAAGTGCTTGTTGAGGTTGAACAGCTTGAGCGTTTGATGTGAGGATGGGTGTTCAAGTTGTGTTCAGCCGGTCTGTTTACATTTATATATTCTTCCATAACCTTATCTTGTGGCTTTCTGAAGTAAACAGTCTAGATACTCTTTCTTGAAGCTTGATTTTATGCTTCGCGGCTTGGGCCGTGGCGTTTCGTAGCTGTTGCTGTGAGCAACCTGGTTGATGGTCCCGATGGGTTGGGTATGGCACCTTTCCAAGTTCTCAACAAGCTTTTTTGAACCTTGATACCTATTGAGACATCGTGAACTTAATCTCTAGATCATATCCTATGGGTAGTTGTCGTGATGTTTCGACTGTAAGATGCCAGTTTGGTCAATCATGGCGTTCTTTGTTCTTTTGATCGTGTTCGCAGCATGAAACACCAAGCCCATCGTCCACTTACACAAAGGAAACGCCACTCCTGGTGAATGTCATGACCAACAAAGAAATTGAGCGTAGGGTCTTAATGTTGTCAATACTTAAAGAACAGCAGCCCATGAGCGAATGTTTACATGTCTTCACCATTTGCTGAAGCATCTATTCTGCGGAGCGTCATGGCCTTGTCAATAGCCTCCGACGGGTCTCTTCGTTTACATCTTCAGGGAGTATTGCAAGACGCCACCGAAGCATCACTCACGTCGTCAAAAATGTTGGCCATACCACAGCTTGAAAGCCACAGAGAACAAGAATGTATTATTATTCGACAACGGATTCTATCTTACCTTGACATTGGAGACTTGAATCGCGCAATCCAGGCCTCGCCCCTGTTCCTCCAGGCTTTCCGGCCCCAGCGCAAACAGCTGCTGCTCTGCGCCCTCTTCAACACGCTTGGCATGACAATCTTGGAGGCTTTTGCTGTTCATCGAGCAACCAGCCTCGACTTCCAGGCTTCGCGCTCCAAGGAGAAGGTTGCTCTGTTTTTGGAAAGTCTCCGGAAGCATAAACAGAAGCCAAATTTAACGTTGGAGCTATGCACCTTCTTCTCGGAAGACGATCTTGTTCAAATGGCGACTTTTCACAACAAGGTTGTCTGGCCGCATGTCCAGCGCATCATGTCCGAGGAAACAGAGTTTTGCACCGCAAAGAGGCCTGATTCTGGCATGAGTCCTGCTCTTGTCCGTCTCTCGCTGTATCTCTACGTACTCCATGCGGCCCTCGGTTTACAGCAAGGGCAGTCCTCCGACTTGACGTTTGGAGTCGCGGGCTGCGGCATGTTAAGTGGCGATCTGAGTACTGGTTTGTCCTTGAGCCTTGAATCAAGCGCTTCCTCGACATCCAGGCGGCATGTTGGAATGATGCTTCCCCAACGAAGCTGACTTCGCCACGAGAACTATCGGCATGGGTGGAAACATGTTGAGAGTGGAGGGTCTTGCCTATATGCAGAGCGTTTGCTCAGAGGGATTGATGCTTATGATGTGGGAGGACCTCATGCTAGATGGTGTGCGAGGAGAATTAGCTCCCAGAGGATGCATATGAGATTCTTACTTGATCCCATTATGTGTGCCTTTTGTAGAGAATGCAAAAAAGGTTGTTATAGATGGTCTGTTTCCGTGCCCACCCTATTCCGCAGGAAGTAGAGCTGAAGCCTATTTACCCTTCTCTACCCTTCAACCCCCAGCATTCAATGACGTTTAACACGCCGGCAACAATGCCAGGATGCACTCTGAAGCTTTTCATAATGACGCAGAGCAGATACCCCCATCTTCTTGCGGCGTGGATGCATTGTTGAGCGAGACGTGCATGACATACCACCATGCAGCAAGATTATCCCAATATGAATGGCCTATTAAAACTCTCTACTGACCGTCCAGGATCATCCCATGGGACACACTGTGATATTAGACATTACATATATAGTACATAGTCATCTCTCATGAACGAACCAGCGACCCAGCGCCGTCTCGAGGAGCAGCAGCAGCAGCAGCTATCCCGACAGGAACGTGTAGACCCAGCTACACAAAAGCACCAGCACGGCCAAAAGCACCCAACGCAGCTCAATCGTCAGCTTCGTGCCCAGCCACCTCTGCCACGCCCTCACGCCTCGCGGACGATTCGGACAAGTCGCAGTGCCGTAGATGACGCAGCCCAGCCCGGGCCGCGATTCGCACTCAATATGCTCTCTCCGGCGTTTCATCAGGAGCCTACTCGGCTTCAACATCAGCATTCGACCTCTTCTAATCTGCCATACTAATGGGGGCGAGTGATTTGATGCACCATCATTGGTGAAAGGGGGCAGCATCTCGACTTACGCAACGCTGCCTCTGCAAAAGCGTAGATCCGTGCCCAGCTCGCAGTGCGTATGACTCGGACACTCGAGATGCAGGCGCCGGCGCTCCACCAGCCATTCTACCTTGAGGTTGATGCCCGTGTCGACGAAGCTGTGGAAATACCGGTTCGTGTATTTCAACGAGAGGGCATCCGGGTACATGAGAAGCCTTGCGATTTGCAAGTGGATTTCTGTTGGCAGAGTGAGAAGGGAAGCTCGTGGCTCGTGTTTGTCTGCTGGTTCCGGTTCCGTTTGCGGGATGCCGCGGTTGGGATCGGGGTGTTTTGAGGCGGAGGGAATATTGGAAATGGGCGACGATGGAGAGGGAAGTGATATCGACATATCGGCTATCTTGTTGCTCTAAGAAAAAGGCGATTAGGATGGGATAGACGGAGGGAATGAAGTTGTTTACTTCAAGACGGCTGCATCTGTGCATATGTGTGTTTTCTCTGTTTATAAACTTAATGGCTGCCTCCGTCATTATTGCTGTACCTGGTTTAAGCCAAGCCACAGAGCCCAAGGTCCAAACACGTACATCAGACGCATGGAGTCCTTCGTACCTGATCTTCCTAAGGTACCTTGCCTGGGGTGTAAGTCCTTCCAGGCCCCCCCAATACGAGGTTCCCCCCTCAAGTTACAGGAACCCCCCGAAACAATGGCCACGCGAATCCGTCCACGCGTATGCAGGACACACACGAAACACATCGAGCAAGGCAGCACCCATTTGTCCTGTTCAATGTTCCAGGGGGTACAGATCCGTTTGGGTGGCTGAGATGCTGCATGCGGACGTTTATTGGACGCTGGGGGTGCATTTGACAGCTGAGACCTGGTCCACCTGGTGGCCGCTAGGACAAGGCAGCGATCGAGGGCTTTTGCGGGTGCCTGGCGGACCCCCCTGTAATGGCTGTGAGATGCCGTCAGATGAGGTTCGATCATCGGGGTAGTATTAAGAGTCCATGGATGGGGGAAACGTGGCTTTATCCTAGAAAGTTGATATATGGCGTCTTTTTGAGTAATTATTCCAGGTGATTGACAGCACATATCGGGCATGAAGAGGACACGCCATCTCAGCAACAGCTGCTCAACAAGGGGGGGGGGGCTTTTCCCTACCAGGAGCGACTTACATACATGCCAACGCCACCATGGCGGGACAAGCCGTTTGCTACAGTAAGGTATGTATGTATGCTATTTTTGTAGCAATATGAAATCAATTCTCCATGTAAGGGAGGCGAGCGATATCGGCACCACAAGCGACTTGCTCCAAAAAGCACACTTCGAAACACGATGGCGCTGTGGGCACGACAGTACATGTAGCTATATCGCATTCATCTCCGCGGTTCGCCTACTTGGATCGAACGAGCCGTGCGGTGCGCCTGGTCAGCTGAGAGAGAGAGCGTTTGTCTGGTTTTCAAGGGCTCTATTAGATCTTCTTATGTCTATCCATAGTGTCGTCGTACCGCAATTGCTGTTGCTGATTGTGCAAGAGAATGCCTGGTGAGCTCATCGCACGACAAGGCTGAGGAGGCGAATTTGCATGTGAGACAGGCTTCAGAAGGTTGACAATACTACTAGTAATACTCTCCACCTCTCATTCGACTGCGAAAGATCAAGTATGAGAATGGAAGCGGCCTTCAAATGGCATCGGCCCTTCAGACGCCGCGGCATGTCACTGCCAACAGCCGACGGGCTCCCGCAGCTCTTCGTCTCCCGTCCGGCCGCTTCTTCTCCAGCTCTTGACATGCGGAGAAATAAATAACAATACATGTACATACAGCTGCCCTCATCAAACGCAGGCCTGTGGAGTCTCGGAGCGCGCGCCACTTTCTCTATGGTCGACTCAAATTTCACCTTGCGCCACAAGTGCAATCTCATCTTTGTCATCTCGCGATCTCTTCATTCCCTGACATTGAGTCTCACCGGATTCTCTTCCCTTTCAGCCTGACGGCTTACTCAAAGTTGGCAGATGAAGCGTGGCCTTGATCAAAATGCCGAGAAAGGTATGCTTTCCAATTTGCCATTGACGCGCTCTCACGTTGACATGATCCCCAAGTTCATCACCCAAGAGGTCAAGGACCAGAACCGTGAAAGTCAGCGGCGATCACGAGCACGGCGCCTCGAACTCATCAACGACCTCAAGAACCAGGTGCAGGAATACCAGCGGCGAGGCGCATCTGCCTCTCTGGAGATGCAGAGACTCGCCCAAGCAGTGACCCACGAGAACCAGCGATTACGAAGCCTCCTCAGCGAGCGTGGCGTCTCCCAGGAGGAGGTCCAGCGTTACTTGTCCGCCTCTTCAGCTCCGCAGTTCAAGTTGTCTGATGCCTTGTACCCGTATGAACCGGGCTCCTTGAGATGCGAGGCATGCGGCAGCACGTCTATCCTTCGAGAGGCGCAACCGGCTATCATAACAGGAAGACAATCGGACAGTTACCACAGCTCACCACAGCCCATTTCCAACGGCCTCAAGTCAGTCTCTCTATCCTCTGCATCGCCGGAGACGAATCATCGCGGCGACTCGATGACTGTTGATGCAGCAGCATTGGCCTTGCCGCCAGTTAAGCCAGCTGTGGTTAGCGATGCCATTCCTGAGTGCGCTCAAGTCGAATCAGGACCCCAAACTTGCCATTCGAGAGACAATCATCAGGCTCAACGTGGCACATCTCTTTCGGATGCAAACGACACACAAGACAGCGACGAGCCAAGCTCCCATGCCACGGCGTCTTGTCCCAGTCCAAGTCACGCACGCAATGGCCTCGGCCACACCGATGACATGGAAACATCGTGCGATACCGCGGCATCAATCCTCGTGGACCTTCATCACCAGGTCGACCCCCAGCGAGCCCGCGCCGCCCTCGGCTGCAAAGGATCGAGCAGCTGCACTGTCAGCAACATCAAAATCTTTCAGCTCCTAGACAATTTTCCAGAGTGATTCCAAGTCTATTGTTCTTGACAATGTTCCCACTACTTCCACCCCCATCTACGGCAACCCAACGAAGCGCATACACCAAGCCCAGCAGAACAGGCACTTCGATCAGAGGCCCGATCGTGGATGCCAACGCCTCGTCGCTTTCCGGGCCAAACGTCGCAATGGCCACCGCAATGGCAAGCTCGAAGTTGTTGCTCGCCGCTGTGAAGCTTTGCGTGACAAGGAACTGATATTCAAAGCCAAGCATCCGACACATGCCCACCGTGGTGAAGAAGACAATGGCAAAGTAGACAATAAGCGGAGCGGCAACACGGACAACCGACACGATCTGGTGAACCACTTGGTGGCCTTGTTCGGCAAACAAGACCAGGATAGTGTACAGCAGCCCGATCAGAGACCATGGCGAGACGAAGCGGATAAAAACTCGCTCATACCATGCCGGTCCCGCAATATATCGAAGGGAGAACCTCGTCAGAATAGCTGCACCCAGGGGGATGCCTAGGAACGCTGCGACGCTTGTAGCGACGACGGAATACGATATCGAGACGACCTCGCTTTCGTCGCTAATGACTCGGAGGAAGAAGATGGCGAGCGGCGCGAAGAGGACCATTTGCAGGATGGAGTTGACTGCTACCAGGATGGCGCAGTAGTCGTTGTTGCCGCCGGCGAGAGCATTCCAGATGAGGACCTTGAGCAGAATTGTCAGCATTATCCCTCTATTACATGTCTCGAGAGAATCAAGGCGTACCATGGCGATGCATCTACCCAGACCCACGAGGATGAGGCCGATTCGGAGATGGCTCTTGTCCGGGAGAAATGCCCACGAAAGCCCAAGCTGGGAGATGGGTCAGTACACCAAACGAGACGCGATGTGGAAGTGAATCTGACCATTAAGAAGGGAGCAATGATCCAGTTTACAATGACGCTGAAGCCAATCTGCTTCCAGAGATCCCTCTTGGTCAGGAGTTGGTGCAGAGACTCGTACTGAACCTTGCACAAGATGGGGTACATCATGACCAGCAGTCCAACGGCTGAACAACCATTAATATCGGCGAGTTTTATCATAGCAAGGAAGTGTGGAACTTGCCTATGGGAACAGAGACTCCAACAAAGGTCCCCTTTGCCAGCGCCGGCGACATGGACGGGACAAAGTTGCCGAGGATGATGCCGATGGCCATGGCAAGGAATATCCAGACCGCTAGGAAGCGATCCAGCAAGCCCAGAGAGGCAAAAGCAGAGAACTTCCGCGTATCCTTTGCATTGTTGCCGGTATTTTGCTGGGCTTCTGGCTCGAGGGATGACTTTTCGCTTGCCATTTCTGTGTCTGGGGGCTGTGCTGCTGCTTTAGGGTCGGACATGGTCTATAAGGCGTGAATGATCAACTGCTAATGGGGAAAAGACGTGAAATCAACAGCAAAAATCTCCCCATAAATAATGCGAGGAAACAAAGCAGATGAATGGTTTTGCTAAAAGAAAAATCAGGCTTCCTTGTTGTATATGTAGAAGTGAATAATACAGCAGCTCTATTGGCAGCAAATCACGGTGTTGAGGAAGACTGGGGGCGATAACGACAATGGACCAATCAGGTGCTGGGCATGACACACTCCCGTCTCCCTTCAACTACTACCCTGAAAAATCATTGACTGAAGTTGCTATTGAAGATTATTAACAAAGATGGAAAAGGAACCACGTGGGTTCGAGGCTGTGGTAAGAAAATAAATGTGATATCTCAATAGGGCCAAGACTACTGTATTGCTGGTTGCGTATTTGTAAGTCAAAATCTCGAGTGCCTCATTAAGTGATGGAGCATATGGCTGGGGAGTATAACAATCAAAAAGAGACCCTAGCAAGCCGGACTATAGAAACAAGTAGAAAAGAGCTCCAATCTGGAACATGATCAAAGAAACCCAACCTAGAGCAACAGCTCCAGCTCCGTTGGTACCGTCAGACCCAGAACCTCCCGATCCCGACCCCGATCCTGGGCTAGATGCACTCCCCTTGCCCGTGATATTCGCCGAAACATTTGGCACCCCAGTGCTGTTCGCAACATCCTTGTACTCGATCCCTCCAACCCACACCTTGGCAATATCGCGCGTGTTGGAAATGTTGGCCAAGGGGTTGCTGTTGAGCAAAATCAAATCAGCCCGCATGCCAGGCGCAATCCTGCCCCTATCATTCAGCCTGTGGTGTTGAGCTGCCAGCTCAGTCGCTGCACGTAGGGCTTCCACCGTCGTCAAGCCTGCTTCTACGAGATTCTCCAGCTCAAAATGCAAGGTGAGACCAAAAGGGACCGAAATGTTGGCATTAATGGTCCCAACGGCATCTGTGCCTGCTAGAATCGGGATTCCAGCAGCGTGAATGGCCTTGACGTTTTCATAGACATTCTCGTAGCTGTCCGGACCCCCGATTTGATGACCAGTGAACTGCAACAGTACAGGGTTCGAAAACGCATATCGAGCAATATTCATAGTCGGGGTGCTCCACGTAGCGGGGGACTTGCGAACGGCCATGATATTGGAAGCGTTGATGCGGCCGTTTGTAGGAATATGCTGGATCCCGTCTGTTCCGGACTTGGCTGCTTGTGTCCAGGCATCGAGGTCGGCAGCATGCGTCATGGACTGCTTGCCGAGGTTGTGAACGGCTTCCACCAGCGAGTTCTGCAGCGCTTGGCTTGGCCCATTCGCTTCGGCGGTGATTTTGTAAAAGTCGGAGCCGTTGCCAAAAGTGTACGACACCACCTCGGTGGCATTGGCATCTGGGTAGATGAGGTACGGGGCAGTGAGGTTGAAGGTGCGAGAATGCTGGCTGCCGGGCCCCGTGGCGGGGATGCCGGCCGAGACGAAGGATGCCACGCCTTGGAGGTTGTTGCGGAGAGGTGCGCACTGGGTGTAGTTCCGGCAGGACATGACCATGGCGGTGGTGACTCCGTACGAGGTCAGGGCTTCGAGGCCGGCGACGTCGGAGATGTGGACGTGGCAGTCGATGAGGCCGGGGATCAGGACGCCGCCGTTGCCGTCGACGGTGGTTTGGATGTTGCTGGTGTCGTTGCTGATGTGCTCGCCGTCGATGATGATGGTTTGCAGGGGAGTGAGTCTGGTGCCGTCGAAGACGTGGACGTTTGTGATGGCTGTTTTTGTTCGGGGGGGTGGTTCATGTTTGCGGATCATGGCGTTGGGGCTTGGGATTCGCTCTTGGAGGAGGTGTTCTATGCAGGCGAGGGTGCCATATGAGAGCACTGAGGCGAGCGTGAGGAGCTCAACCGGCTTCATGTTGGGCTGGATGTATATCAGACAGAACTGAGGAAGGGGAAGGAGTATTGTAAAGAGTGTATAGAAGAGTATGACAATGCTCGTTTGCCGTGGTTGTGTATTGCCAAGAAGAATGGATATCTTGGACTTATATATCCAAAGAATTCCATCTCGAAGTCACCTCAATTGCTTCCATCATCAGTCAAATTCCATCCTACCTACATATTGAAAGACATCACTGAGCATGTTCGTACACTAGGCTTGAAGAGAACAACATGCCGTGCTCTTCAGCCTGCCCTAGGGCTGATGCATCAATCAACGTGTAACTGCAGCGAGGATCAATCAGCCCAGCTATGGAGGGATTAAACGAGCAACACATGGACTGAAATTTAACTACAGACCTCTCACTCATTTGGCAAAGGGTACGAAGGCATTCCTGCCAACTACCACTTCGTTCGTTACCAAGGACCGCAAACCTGCAGAAACATGCATATTGAGAAGCATCTCCTCTCTCCCACCTCATTGGCCAGCTCACCAGGATCCCAGGCTAGCAGGGATGCAGCTCGTACACCAAGTCAGAGAAGGATAGCTCAGGGGGCGAGCCGCTGCCATTACTAGGTATTTCCGGGGCAAGATCTGACGTTGCTATTCTCGTACAGCCTCGTGGAGCCTCGAGTGGCGCAACTCCTCCTCACGCAACTCCGCCAACGCGCCTCGTCTGACGGCTTTTACCTCTCTGTACAAACGGCCTCCAGCTGCTGTAACTGCGTATTGTCTCATTTATGTATGCCATTTCTGGTCCCTGTGCTTCATAAATGCAACGGCCTTGAGCGCCACCTGAAAGCGGAGTAAATCGGACCTGGGAGTTTCATACCTACATGTACCTACGCAAGCCCTCGTACAAGTCGTTGCATATACAATCGCCAAATTAGTGGAAATGACTGGTGGTGGCTCGCGGACATTCCACCACAAGTCCAGAAACGGTTGTGGCCGTTGCAAGAAGCGGCGCGTCAGGGTTCGTCTGTCCTTTACTTGCCCCCCTTTCCCTTTGCAAGATTCATGAAATAGAGCGACGCTCATGCGATGCGTAACCCGGATAGTGTAATCTGCAGGCCCCGAGCTGCTCCAACTGCACGAGACGAGGCGAGCTTTGCGACTATCGCTTCCTCGGCAGCGATTCCATCAGCCCCTTGAATCTGTCTTCTAGTCATGCTGCATATGTCAGGAGACGCAGCCGCAAGAGTGGTTCCTCGTCCCCAGAGGCGCCGCTAGTAGTAGGACCGATGCCGTCGTTTACGGCGCCGGCTTCCCACCCTCTGCCGGATGTCGATGCTGCGCCTATAAGAGCGGCGTCTCGCCCTGTGGTGGATAGCATGGCGCTGTGTCTGTTACGAGACGATGAGAGGCACTTGATCTCTGATGAACTTGTCGGCCAGACGGATGCCAGCGACTTTCTCGAGCACAACATGGCCATGATATCAACCCTTCACAACTCCTCCACCAGCTCCCTACTCAAGAAGGATTCCAACAAGACAAGGTCTGATCTATCAGCATTCCAGCATCAAATCGCAGCCTCAAGCAGATTCCGCTCTTCCGTCGGCGCAATCAGCGACCGCAACTGGTTCACCGTCCTCGTCTTTGCAATCTCCGTCCTCATCTTCCATTTCGACATCCACAGACGTGCGAAGCGCGGCCTTGCGGACGATGAATTCCTGGAACCTATCCTGGCTCTGAGGGGAGCTGCGATGCTGGGCATGGAGTTGGGCCCGTGGCTTATGAAGAGCAGGTTGCTTGCAGTTATAAGACGGCGTGTGGCGGCTGAGAATCCGCCGTGGGATCACCTTGCTGAACAGGCTGTTACGAAGCTCCAGATGATGAATGAGGCTTTGACGGCGTTGGGTAGTAATAAGGAAGTATATAGAGACGCGCTGGAGAAGATGCAGTTTTGGTTGCGACTTACATCATGTCGACCACGAACTTGGCTGCATTTCGTTTGGTGGCCGGGAGCCATCGACCAGGAATATCTGCACCTTTTGGAGACGAGGGATCCCATGGCGTTGGTGATTCTCGTGCACTGGTGTGCGGTGATGAAGGCTTCGCCGAGGAAGTGGTTCATGGAGGGATGGGCGGAGAATGTTGCGAGGCCGGCGATTGCGCAGATTGGGCCGGAGTGGGATGGTGCTATGGAGTGGGCGCTGTCGAGGATACAAGCAGGGGAGAGCAGATGATCTGATGATGTATCATCTAGGAAAAGCAAGAGGTCGTAACATATTCCATTACCAGTCTCCTCAATCATGGCTCGTTTTACACCGTCCCCTCTTGACCCCAACTCGTAGGCTCATCACTCATCTCAAACTCAATCCTCCTCGCCTTGACAACCTGTCCATGCTTCAACATCGGCCTATGAATGTCCTCGCCATCGACCTTTAAGCTCTTCACATACGCCCTCCCCTCGGTTCCCGCCCCCGGCGCCGAAATCACCAGCGTATGCTCCTTTCCATCATCCCCCGGTCCAGGAGGCAACAATATCTCGACTTCGTCAAAGAACGGCGTCCCAACAACATACTCATCGCTCGCCGGATTCACAGGATAAAACCCCAGCGCAGACAAGACGTACCAAGCGCTCATCTGACCCAAATCTTCATTCCCACTCAGCCCCGAAGCAGTAGCATTGTAATTCTCCCACGCCAGCTCGCGAATCTGCCGTGCCGCATCGGCGGGATATCCAATGGCCGAGTACAGATAGGGGGCGTGATGCGAGGGTTCGTTGCTGTGCATGTTGTGCCCTCCCGTGAAGTACTCGTCCATGCGGGCTTTCATAGCTTTCTTGCCGCCCTTGAACAGCGAGGCTAAACCGCCGACGTCGTGCATCACGTTGAGCGTGTAGATCCATTTGTCGCCTTCTGTCCATCCCCACGACTCGTTTGCCCATGTCCCGTTTGCGTTTCGAGCCTGCATGAACTGCGTCTCGGGGTTCCACAGCTTCTTGTAGTTTTGCGAACGCTCTCGCAGCTCTTTTGCATGCTCCAGATCGCCCGCATGCTCAGCCACCACGGCTGCGGCGAAGTCGTCAAAGGAATAGTCCAGTGTGCGACTGGCTGACTCCGCCCATCGATCGTTGTCGACCCAGCCGTGCTCGAGGTAACTTGTTAGTCCGGCTCGACATTCGTAAGGAGTGTTTGGTTCTCTGGAGTAATAGAGAAGATCGGTGTCGTTGTCGGGCGGCACGTAAGCATCGACGTAGACGGCGTCCCAGGCCCTGGAGACGTCAAAGTCGTCGAAGCCTCGGACCAGGGCGTTTGCAATCACGGCGTCGACGTGCGTGGCAATCATTTCGTTGTTCTCAATCATGTTGTTCCACAGCGGTAGCCGGCCTGACCAGTCGAAGATGCGCAGCAGTGACCGCATCATGGAATTGACGCGTTCCGGGGCAAAGATGGTCAAGAGCGAGTGCTCTGCCCTGTAGGTATCCCAGATGGACCAAGACTGGTAGTATGAGTCGTCTGCCTCGTGGACACTGTCCGTGTAGCCGCTGTAGAAACGGCGCATTCCTCCTTCAGACGAGGTGGTGGGTTCGGAGTAGTCGCTGGGATACTGCAGAGCGTGGAACAGGCCTGTGTAGAAGATGGTTCGCGGATCGTGATCTGCGTCGGTGTCGTTTACCCCAGAGATGTTGATCCTGCCTAGTCTTTCCAGCCAGGCGGATTTGACGTTTTCGACAGTGGTTTCAAACGCCGTCCCATCTGGTATATCAATGTCGAGATTCTTCCTGGCTTGCTCCACGCTGACATACGAGACGCCAGTCCTCACCTCGACTCTTTGAACCGACTTGTCAAAGGTGACATACGCTCCAACAAACTTGTCCTCAATGTATCTCTGCCCTCTGTACAAGTCACCTGCGTGACTGACACCATGAGACGTAAAGGGCGCAGAAAAGCGCGACACAAAATAGAGCCGGAAGGACTCGGGCTTGTCGGGCCCTAGGAGATACTCTTGTCGCTGAGAGTTACTGCCCGACACCTCTTGAGCCTCGGGATGGATCTCGACATGGCCAGTCCAGTTGAGTCGGCTCGCCTGGATGATAAAGTACGGCTGGCGTTCTTTAGTATCCCGGAAATCAACGCGAAGATGCCCGACATGTGCCGAAGCGCTCAGCGCCACTTGCAAGGAGTTTTCGTATCCTTTCCCATCAGTGTCCCCCCCGTGATTCGAAGCATTTGCGAAAACACTCTGCAGGGCCAGTTCATCCTGGTTGTCCGGCTCAAACACATAATCCCGTCTCACACGGCCGTTTGCACCCTCCGTCACGTCCTTGTTGGGCACAAACGCCGCACCGCCCGGACATGGCGGACATGCATCCCCAAGCAGCTCCGACGTCGCCTGCTCCGTCAGATTCCACCCAAACTCGCCTCCCGAATCCGCATCCAGCGTGACCTCATACACGTACGGCGTGCTCCTCTCGTCTTCCTTGCGGAAAGCCAGCCCGCGGTGCTGGAACAGCGGTTGGATCTCGTCTCCCAGGCCCGGCATCAGCGTCACATGGCCGTTTTCGCCGATCCAGATGGCGGGCTGGTGGGTGGCCTGGAAGCCGTGCATGCGGCGGTCGCGGTCGTTGTAGGGGACCTGGGAGATGAAGTTTTCGCGGGTTTGGGGCGTCCACCGGGTCATGCCGAAGGGAGGCGATACAGAGGGGATCATGCCGCCGAGGTCATTGGGGTCGTAGCCGCGGGTGCCGATGAGAGGGTTGACATATTGCAGGACGCCGGCGTTGGCGTGGTAGTCAGTCGATGACGGCTTGTGATGAAAAGTGAGAGCGGTAGTGGATGAGATTAGGGAGAGGATGATGTATCTCAAAAGGCTCTTCATCGTGATTGCAATATTGAAGATGAAGTAGTGAAGCTCATATCCGAAAGAAGAGCGTGTGGGGAAGTGAGACGAAGGGAGAGGAAGCCGTCCGCTGCCAGCCACTGATTTATACGACAAGAGACATCAATGATTACATCAAGCTGCTGAACGACAGGGTGTCGAGGCTGGGCCACCTGACCAAGTGTAAAGGGTTGTATTGTATCTCACAGAGTGCGACCCAACCTGTTGATGAATGCTGCGCTGGCTCTGACTTTGTAGGTAGATGAAGCAAACGACGCCAATGGTCAAAGTCGCGATGCTGTAAGACGCAGTTGTTCAGCCACGTTTCGGCCCATTCCGGCGGCAGCGGCGTCGATCGTCCACTTTTTGCGGGGTACGAATCGGCATGTGCATCAGATGATGAGAATCGCTAGATTTTATAGAGGATGATGGTGGTGATACGAGCAGTGAGAGTGTTATTACGGCCTACATATCAAGGGCAGTCTTGGTTCATACATTTTGATGAACACGGCATCAGCCCAGGCTTCAATTGCTACAGAGAAAGGGGCCTATTGCCTAGCTACACCATGGTCTACTATCATTGAACCTCATCATCATACGCATAATCGTCCTTCATCCCTAGAACCGATCGACCTTGATCACAACCTTGCCCTTTGCCTTCTTTTGTTCAACCTTGTCATACGCAGCCTGAAACTCTTCAAACTCAACAACACTGTCAATCTGCGGCTTCAACCCCCTCTCATCAATAAAGTCCGCAATCTCCTTCAAATCATCACCCCTGCAGTCCATCAAAAACCAAGTGGCCTTTGCCAGCGCCTTGTTCACGCCCTCCGGCTTCGACTCCTCCGGCGAACCAACAATACTCAGCAAAACACCGCCCTCCTTGACCGCAGCCCAGCACGATCCCAGCGTCGGTCCGCCAAGGCAGTCCAGCACCAGGTCAACCTCGCGGGATGCATCCTCTCTTGCCCACTCCTCGATGGACTGCTTCTTGTAGTCGATAATCTCCGTTGCGCCGGCCTTCTTTGCAGCCTCAATGTTTGCGCCGCTGACCTGGGCGACGACTGCACCAGCCCCGGCAGCGGCTGCAAACTCAACCGCCCAAGTTCCGACGCTGCCGCCGGCGCCGGTGACGAGGACGCGCAACTTGCTGTTGTGAGCCCGCGCATCGGCATCGCCCTTGATTCCGTGCTTGTTCAAGATTCCCTGGGTAAAGAGTCCCTGCCATGCAGTCAATGTGCTGAGCGGCGTGGCGGCAGCCTCAATCCAGTCCAGCGTCTTGGGCTTCAGCGCCAGCTCCTCCGTGTGCACAATCGTGTACTCGCGCAGACAGCCGGGGTATTTGGCGTGAAGACGAAAGTACACCTCATCACCAGGCTTGAAAGGGCTCGAAGGAGGCGACGTAGCGACAATACCGGCAGCCTCCGTTCCAGGAACACGCTCCCGGTTTGGCGGGAATATAGACGGGTAGTTGATTTCCCAGCCTAGTTCGCCCAGGCAGGGTGCTGTGGCTTTGATCTTGATGAGATGATCGTTTGGGCCCGTGGGTTTGGGCAGAGGAGTCTCCATCAACTTGAGCGTTGTAAGTTTGGGATCGATCTGGTAGACCGCTCGGATGGTTGTGGGGAGGTTTGTGGTGGCCATTTTGATGTATTGGTTGACAGTGGACAGCAGATTAGGCATTAGCTATGATGAGGAAGATGGACTGAGAGGAAAGGCGAGATCCAAGACGAAAAGCGGCATCAGAAGCCTTCTCTACTTTATATATTCTGCTCGAAACATAAAGTTCGCCCCATCAAGGCGATGATGTCTACACTTTACCAGATTTAATCCTCGGCAACCCCATCTTCCTGGGTAGCCTTTCCGCACACGCAGTCGGGTATTCATTCTTTTTTCAGCTGCCAAGCACCGAATCCTCATCCCACCCAGCCTTCCAAAGTCGGCAGCAAAAGCCATAGCACCATACTAACCCTCAGGAGCAGAAAGTGGCTTGTGTGAGGCGCCAGGAGAACGCTCTAATGCCGTGCTTATGGCTGTGTGAGGGAAGCGGATATTCAGGGACTGCCGGGAAGCAGGTGGATCAGGCGTGAGTGGTACCTACAAAAGGCTTTTTGCTCACCCCTGGAATTTGGAATTGCTGTTCGAGATCTCTTGTCATATCTGTCATTTCCTATTCCCTGCATACATGGGCTGTGGACTCAAAGATTGCCGTTTCGATCCGCTGCTTCGCTCCGCGCTCCGGGTCTCCACCCCGGAACTCCACGCCGAGATGTCCCGAAGCGGCAGCATATCCCGGGTCGGCAGATGGAAAGCTGAATAGAGCGACAGTTTTCATCATATAATACAGCTATATAAAAATGTCTCGCTAGTAATGGACACTCTTTGTGATCCCAAGATGCTACATAACAGCATTAGTACACAAACGAGGTATTCAGCAGTAGTAGCTTGCAGACGCAGAAGCTACCTCATAATGAGCCACATGTGACTACCTGTCTCGAACTACTTTTACTTCAATGGCCACACGGAGAGACAGACATTGAAATAAATTGCCACAATGAATATCTCATGGATAAGAAGAATAATTATACATTCATTCTTGGTTATTGACGATGATTCAGGTCATTCATTTGGGTCATGCCCATTAACCTCCCCTATGGTGTTACTGCTCATTCAGTATATCATTCCGTGGCTCTACCTATCCGGCATCAAACATGCGACCTCCCGCGAGAACGACTTACCTGCCAAGCGCAACTCATTCACACCTAGGGGCATGGCGCAGCTAGTAGAGCTGCGCAAGCTGACTGGCAGGCAGCATAGATTGCAGCACCACCAGGTGCAGCGAGAGACACTGCACAGGCTGCCTGACACGTAGCGTAGGCGGCTGGGCCAGCTACCGCGGTGCCAGAGAGAAGGAGTGCAGCGAAGGCGATGTTGACGAGTTTCATCTCCATGTAGGAACGGTTCGCTGATGGACGAATGCCGTGGGACTGATACTGTTTGTCAAGAAATGTTGGTTTTTTCAGGACATGGGACTGCCTGATTGAAAGCGAAGCATGGGCTCATGGTAGGAGAAGCAGCACAATTAAACGTCTCTCGGGGAGAGTATAGATCTCGATCCCATTGCCGCATCTCGATATATGTCCTTCTACTCGGAATGCCCCTACCACGATAGAACCATTCTCACGTCATTGTGAGGTAAGTGAACTGTCACAGTCGTGATGATGGCGCCCGCTTGATAGGCCCGGCGCCTCCATTTGCCATATTCTCTTATATGAGTGGAGCCTCATGAACCGCTTGTCTATAAGTGTCCTAAGGATCATATAGACACTGCTTAGATCTCTATTCCATGTGTATACTACTATTCAAGTAGGATCGAATAATATCATAATACAGGAAACTAGGAACTTGTAGCACATAGTATAAAGTACGATTTCTCATCTACAAAATGAATAGCAGTGTTAATTGTATCAATTTGGTAGAATGCTAGTCAAGGTGCCGGATAGACACCGCATTCTTCTTTCCTGTCAGCCCTCCGATATTGAATTCCAGCTACCAGCTTCACTATCTTGTACACGGCATCTGGGAGTTGATGAGGAAAACCAAGCCTCCGATCTATTCAACACTGTGATGACTATTTGATGAGTAACATTCTTCGACAATTCTGTCAAATTCTCGTCCTCTTGCTCTTTTCCCTCTCTTCGAATTAGACGTTTTGGTAGAAACGTAAAGATCACGAGCAGTATAACCGTCAATATCTCTAGCAGAAATTTGTGCGCCAGCCTTGAGAAGAGCCCTGACAATGCTGCCTCTGCTATAAAACTCCAAGACGTTCATATCACCAACTTGAGACACTATGTGGAGAGGTGTTCGCTGGTAGTCATCCGCAGCATTCACGTTGACCTTCCATTCCGATATCAGGAGATCAACGACCTCGTTCTGTAGACTATGCGCAGCGACATGCAAAGGGGTCGCTCCGTCGCAACCTCTGCAAGGCACAGTGGGGTCAATCCCGCATTCAGTGAGGAAGTACTTGACCGCGCGCACGTTGCCTCCTTGTATTGCGAAGGATAATGGTAGCTCGTGACAAGATTCTTGCGGGATACCATCCTCGCTCCAAGGGAGACGAGCATGCTCATGCCATTTACCGCCGGGATTCGTAGGTAGAGGTGTTCGAAGGCGTGGATTAAACCCGAACTTGTCGATGAGAAGTCGAAGGGTGAAGACGAGATCGTCTTGCTGCCGCCGGTCGCAAATGATAAAATGCATTGGTCCCCATCTGCATTCTCCGTCCGGCTCCGAAATTGATAGATCACAGTTGTCAACCAGGTACTGAACGATATCCATATGATGGTGCAAGAGCGCTGTGAGCAACGGGTCCCAACCTCTCCTGTTCAGAAGCGTAGGGTCAATGCCAGGTTGTGCCAAAAGTAACTTGACTGCCTCAAGGTTGCCGCATTTCGCTGCCAGATGAAGGGGTGTATCCTTCTTGTAGTCCGGATGGTTCACATCAAGGCTCCATTTAGGTTGCAGAAGGAGACGGATGGCAGGCAAATTTCCAGCCTCGCAAGCAATTTCAAGGGCTGTGGTTTTTCCAAAGTCAACTCTGTCTCGAAATTGCGAAGGTTCAGAGCCGAATCGCTTCGCCCAATCTTCCAAGAACACAATCAATGTTCGTGGTTTTCGAGCAATCGCTTCCGCCAGGTTTGACGATGGTCCATCTCTCCCTCTCGTGCGAGAATCAGCACCCCAACCAAGCAACAGCTTCACCATCTCGGGGTTTTCAAATAAGACCGCAACCTTTAGGGGGGAAATGTCTGCTTTTCTATGGCCATTGACGTTTGCTCCACACTTGAGGAGGTATTCGGCAACTTCAAGCTTGGAGTCCCTTGCAACGTCACAAAGCGGCGTCCTCCAGCGATTATTACAGCTGTCGATGTGTGCACCATTCTCCACGAGCATCTTGACCACATCGAGACTTTGCCGAGCGGCAAGGTGAAGAGGTGTGTTTCCAACCCCATCTTTGGCGTTAACTTGCGCCTTATTCTTGATAAGCATGTCGACGATAGTGACTTGTCCATACTTGGCGGCAATATGCAGCAGGGGCGTTCCGCAACGATGGGTCAACGCATTTTTCAAGTACAGCCAACTGCTCTCTTCTTTGATGATCCGTTGCACAAGAGCAGTCAAGCCAAGTCGAGCCGCTAAATGCGACAACTGAAGGCTTTTATTCTTGTACCTCCAGACAAGCCATGCTTTCCAGATCCGGGACTCGTCGGAAAAGAAATCTGAGCAGGCATCCAGTATCATGGAGCCGTGTTGGCCAGAAAGTTCGAAATGGTGGTTCCATTCGAAGCCTGCGTAACGGAAGAATGGACCCCGGAGCTTTAAGTCGTCATGGAGATAGTATGGAAGCTCCCGCATTTTTCCGCCTTCAAAACAACCCTTAGAGAAGTAGGAAATGCATGTGGATGCCAGTTTTGAATGCTCTATCTCGGCTTGCGATAGTGAGTACCAGGATGCCGCTTCAAGATTGGGAAGTCGCCTCGTCAGAAAGTCGTAAGCACTTTGGTGTACCAGAGTTACTACGTCGTTTGCGGTGTTTATCAAGTGGCCGCAATATGCGAGTTTTCCTCGCAAGACCGTCACTCTGTCCAGATGCTCAGTAGGCTGAATCCCTAGAGCACCGGCCATTTCCGTGAGGGAGAGCGGTCGAACAGCAAACGTAGACCACCGAAGGATGTCCAAGGTCGTGTCTCTGCGGGTAGGTTCGATCTGCTCCAGGATCCTTTCATATAGAGCTTCTAATCCCCGCGGGAATTTGTCCAAGCTCTCTTCAACTTCGGACAGTTCCATGGTCTGGAGGTCTTTGATTACAAAGCTGACCCAAAGATATGTGCCGGCAGACTTTGCTCGCAGAGTCTGTTTGACGTGAAATGCTAGCTCAGCCGGATACTGTCTGCTCTCAGATAGTTCCGCAACGCGTGTCGAGATATACTGTTCAAGCCCGGCACTAACTTCAGTCTTTGCGTCTGGATCCAGTCGAACTCTCAGGAACCGGCCTAACAAGGTCCCAAGGCACTCAGGATATTCTCGACTCAGAATTATCATTCTCAGTCGAGGTGCAGTGCTTGTTATATTCTTTATCTTTGTGAGCAGTGTCTCCAGTGATACTGGCTCACATTCATCCAGTCCGTCGAGCACGCAAGTCACTTGTAAATCGCCAAGGCTATTGACCATGAGGAGGAAAAGGCCCCAAAGGCCTTCAAGTGAGTTCTGTTCGAACAGTCGTTCTTGTTGTACCTGATAGCTCGGGAGGATATGCTTGATCAGTTCCATGTCGTGCTCCAGGAGTTGAAAGAGTAGCCCCCTCAGAATAGCAGCAGCGTTGTTGCGCGTATTGTCCTTGGCATCGCAGAAGAAGTACATTGAAAGATGGCCATTTGCGTTGTCCGAGGGGCGGAAAGAGCTTGACAGATATTCGGTGAGGTAAATCGATAGCATTGTCTTCCCTAGCCCAGGGCCGCCGGATATCCAGAGCAGCCCGCCGTTGGAGGCTTGCCAATCGAGAAACTCTTTCCGTTGAGTGATCCAGTCGCAAGTTCCCAGTACCAGCTCCCCTTTGGAGGTGATCAATTTTGCGCGGTCCTTTGCTGGGTCCGTGATGAAGAGGTTCTGAAGGCACTTTACGGATTCTGGAGTGGAGTCCGCTGCCTGTGCTATACTCCTGATCTTGCTCTCGATGGACTGGACACCGGTATGTAACGTTTCCGTCATTGCCAACATGTGTCTAGCATGTGTTAGATCGACCCTTCTACTTCAGGCGCTGTATCACTTACAGATTGATGTGAGTATTGAGTGAGTTGTACTCTTGATCCAGTTGGTTGAATAGCTTCAATATGTTCTCTTCCTCTGTCAAGCCACAAATAGCCCTCCAAGTCTTCCTCGAGATTGCATCGTGATGTTGGAATGAAAACTTCTGCAGGAGCTGATGCAGAGATTGCACATGGCGTTTGCACCGACCCAGTATCTTGTCAATATCGTCGGTCTGCAAAGTCTGTGTATCTTGTATCTGTTTTGCGAGGGATTTGAAGCTTTCGAGACGTCCGATTTGCTGCTGAATTTGTCCCGGGGCATCTTGGACCTGATTGACAACCGATTTGACCAGTCTGACGGTCTTGACGAGAACCTCGACCAACTGCTCGGCAGCAGCAAAGGCGCCCAAAATCTCCAGGCCCGACATTTCAAGTAGTCAGAGTCTTGCAGGTGGACCAGCTTTGATGTGAGCATGGAGGAGTCTTCTGGTTTTTGTGATGAGCGAGAAGTCCGACCAGCGGTCGTTATCTCAGCCTCGTCAGGATCTGGTGGTAAGGCACACACGACATGCGTGGCGTCGTTCGATTGGCTCGACTCCGCAGCAATGCATCAATTGTTTTCAGCTCTATACATTGTGAACCTGCAGCCTATGAGCGACTTGGAGGCTTTGATCCTCTGCATGATAGGTATTTAGAGCCGCACTTAGGTTGTCAAAGTGACATTTCAGTACCACTACTCCTATATGGTACGTGTAACTATAGGTAGGTAAGATGGAAATCCCACTCTCTGCTCCTATCGCAGCACTTCTCAAACTTTTAGTTTCCAATGAGCTGCGTTTGAAACTCAGTAAGCGGAGTGTTTAAAGAATTGTTAACATGGCTTTGTTCTTTGAACAGGCACATTAAGATGGGCAGGCTTGCCGACGATATATTTACGTCGAGTGAGCGAACGCAGCTTTTGTTTCTGAGACGAAGAGATATTGCCGTCACTCGTCCTCTAACCATAGCTTCGAGTCAAAGGCTGAACACTTTAGTCGTCCATGTTGAGACATCTTGACATTGAGCCTTACCCTTGAACAGACATGGATGGCGATCTCGCTTGCAGGGTCCTGGGGCGATCTCCAGAAAGGGAACAGTGGGGGAGACCCCAAGCTGCCCCTGAATGCAATGGTCCACAGTATTGATGCCACACACATGTCCTACAGACTAGAAAGCGGATAGAAGGCAGAAAAACAGACTTGAACTGGTGGAAACGACTGGCTGTCCATCTTCAAGTGATGGCTTATTAGCTGACAGCGAGTCACGGCTTGAGCTATTCGGCCGCCTGTGTCTCACGATGTTGGACCAATAGTTCGGACCGCAATTCCGGGCTTTTTCAACACACCGCGTCTCCGCCCAATTGCTTCCAGTTGTCTGGATGCTTAACCTGGTCACCGCTAAAGTGCGGTGCCAAGAGCTTTAGAATCACAGGCCATTTCGCGTCAAGGCATTGGCTCCATTGCCCACGTAATGATATGCAGATAATACAGCGCCTCTCCTTTGCTTGTTCTCGTTGCTCTCTGTGCAATCAAGTTACAATATCGTTTCAACGTACTATGCGTCCAAAACAGGCAGGACAAGCAGATAGAATACATACATACTATCGGAAACTCTTTCACTCCATCCCGACTGACGGCTTCACTGAATAAGCCTCCGCACGATCATTCCGATACACAAAACCCCCTACATGTATGTACTCCAGCCTTCCACCCCCCTGTAACGGCCTTGCGCCGAGTAGATTGGCGGCAACAATGCGCAGAGCTGCGACTTTGCCCTTTTCCAGCTAGCTTTGAATCTGCTGCACACTGCCGGCAGTGGACATGGAGCCTCATACACCAGCGTAGCCGCCAGGAGCTGCGATCGTAGGAATTGCGCGTCCTCGAGCGCGTTCGTGGCGTCTCTTTCGCCCGTGTGCGTATTGATTACTGTAAGGGTTGAGTCCTCTTTAGCTGTGAGATGTTCGTCATTTCTGCGTCAGGTCAGCAGCCTCTCAGCGTGAGCTTTGATATCTGCTGTATTACTGGCCTTTAACTCTCTGCTATAGTCCCTCATACTCACTTCTTCGTCAACGCCCCCCAAATCTCACGATGTCTTCTCCCCAAAATAAAGTGGGCGCCAGGTCCCGGATCCCCCGTTCAGAAAATGGGTGGGCCTCTGCGTCTTGGGCTTCATTTAGCCCCTGTTCCTCATGCTTCTTATTTCTCTCTCTCTCTCTTCTCTGCCGGCCCCCTAAAATGCGACTTCGCTTCGTGCTCCGTAATGCAATGAACGTCCTTCTTCTTTGACGAGGGGCCTCCCCCAGTCTCCGTCTCCGTCTCCGTCTCGCCATTCCTCTTCATCGTGAGATTTGTCGCCGCTTCTGCTTCGCTCGGGTGGTCGCGTGCGTTCTGACGCTGTTTCTTTCTGGCTTTACGCTCTTTTCCTCATCTTTGCCCCCTGTTTCCCTCGTCTCCGGTCAACGACGCGCGACAAACGGCTTCGGTTGATCGTCTTGCTTTCCTAATTTAACTATTCGACGTCCATCAACCCCCCTGGATTCACATTCCACACGTGCTCTGTGCCCTGCCTATTACCTCTTCTTCACCCAACCCCGTTGCAATACCTGCCATAGATAACAACGGTCTGGTCGTGCGAAACATTTCGTTATCTCGTGGAGTCCTCTCCCTTCCCATCAGAAACAGAGACGTTCAACCCCCCCCCCCCCCCCCCCCCCCCAACGGCCTGGCTGGAGCGGCAAGAGGCCTGTGCCGAACAGCTACATAGATGGCTCTGATTGTGGATATTGTGCGATCGGTCCTGTGCACTTCATGGCTTAACCTGTTGCTCTTCTTCGTGCCCATCGGCTATGTGGCCTACTTCCTCAACATCAACTCGACCCTCATCTTCATCTTCAACGCCCTCGCCATCGTGCCGCTGTCGTCCCTGCTTACGGATGTCACGGAGAAGATTGCCAGCGATGCCGGCGACACGGTGGGCGCCATTCTCAACATCAGCCTCGGCAACCTCGTCGAGCTGATCCTTTTGTGAGTTTTGATCCCTTTTGACTTTTCTGAAAGGTTGGAGATCGACGTCTTCTATCTTCCCCTCGCGTTGCCCCTCTAAGACCTAAGACAACATGTGCTGACCTGCCTCTAGCATGTAAGTCGAACCTCCCTCGCCGTCCTGCGAGCAACCGAGATCCCACCGAAGTGCTCGCGACGTAACGACGACTCGTCATGCTAACTCGACCCAGCGTCGCCCTCAAGAATGACCAGATCCGCGTTGTGCAGGCGTCCATCCTCGGATCGATCCTTGTGAATCTGCTCCTGATCCTCGGATCTGCGCTTCTCACCACCAAGCTCCCCGACCAGGAGTTCCTACACGATGCCGCCGGCACGCAGCTTCTCGGGTCCCTCCTCTTTGTGTCGGTCTTTACCTTTCTTATGCCGGTAAGCCGTCACCAATTGCCATGCTCTCCCCCCTATATACAACAGTGCGTGTGCTGATGCAGCCATCTGCTTCTATAGACGGCCTTTGACCACACTTTCAGAGGCACCGATGGCGCCGAAGCCATGAGTCTCAAAATGAGCAGGATCTCGGCCGTCATGATCCTGCTCATCTACATCCTATACTTTATCCACGAAATCAAGACCCGAACGCCTCCCCACGACCTCGAAGCCGCGACCCACGACGAAGAAAACGACGACGCTACACTGTTCGACGGCCAGGATCACGTTCCGCTTCGTTCGATGGGCCTCTCTGCAGACGCACTCAATGGCTCCCAAGCCAACCCCCGAACCGTTCGATTCGCCGACGTCAGCCCTACATCAGAACATGCGCCCCTGAAAGAGGGCGAGCGAGACAGCTTGGACGGATTGGACCCGGCCGACAGCGGGTTGGACACCGAGGACTATCTGGACAATGGCGAGCCCAAGGAGGAAGCTGGCGAAGATCTCTTCCAGACACCACGACGCGGCAAGACCAGGGCTCGCTCGTTATCGCTGGGCTCGAGCAGGGGGGCGCTGAGCGAGACGTCGGAGGGAGGCGACCGGACGGAGCTGATGGCGCCGTATCTCACGACGAGGCAGATCCTCCGCGACAGCCACGTCAACCTCGACCGCATCGTCGCCAAGCCGACGCACGTATCATTCGGGCCCCGGACGGATCGCATCATCTCCTACGTGATGCTCATCCTGACGTCGACCTTCATGTCCGTGTCGGCCGAGTTCCTGGCCAGCGCCATCGACGACGTGATTCGCCAAGGCCACCTGTCCGAGTCGCTCATCGGCCTCATCATCATGCCGATTGTGGGCAACGTGGCCGAGTACGCCACCGTCGTTGTCGTCGCCGCCAGAGACAACATGGGCCTCGCGCTGGCGGTTTCGGTCGGCTCGTCGATCCAGATTGCGCTGTGCGTGACGCCTCTGACGGTCATTGCGGGCTGGATCATGGACCGGCCGCTGATGCTGACGTTCAACCTCTTTGAGATTGCCACGCTCTTTGGGTCCGTCCTGCTCGTCAACTTTCTGATTCTGGGCGAGGGAGTGAGCGGGCCGCTGCGGTCGAGTGGCCTCAAGGGCGGACTGATGTGTGCATGTTACGTGATTATTGGGTGAGTCTTTATCTAGGGCATCTCTTGAAGTCGTATGGGAGAATAATATGCTGACTTGCGAAACAGACTCGGGGCCTATCTGTCTCCTTAACACAGATGCAAATCATGCGACCATTTTTGTATCCATAAATTGCTGTCTCGAAGCAGCACTGGCATTTAGAGAGCATCTGATAGAGCTGATATTAATGAACAAATTATTCCTCGAAGCTCGAGCCTGCTATGAAGGTGTTCCATATACGCTTGCAAGAGGTGGTCATGATACCTACATGTACAGAGAAGCCCTGTTCGGATGCCTGTTGATTATGTAATCATGCTGTTGCTCAAGCTTTAACCTTAAAATCAGCATCCTACAAATGACTTCACCTTTGTGATGCCGTCATACGTCAAGCCTCGACTCATCCATCTCCTTTGGTGGCATTTCGCCAGCTGTCGTCTCTCAAAGTCACGGCCATGAGGCGTGAGAGGGATGACTCCGACGATGAAGACATTCCGCTGCACCACAAACGCTCGTTTGGCGCCGGGCTGAAGCGCAAGAGGATCGAGTTCGTCAGAGCCACAGATGCGGACGCGGGCAACACCGTCAAGGACACGACAAAGCCAAGCACGTCCATTGCAGACGTCTACGCAAGCATAGTCCTGGGAAGCAGCTCAAAGGAATCCTCAGCAACGCCTCAGGGCGCCAGCGATGAAAAGGATGGCCAGAACGAGGGCGACGCTGACTCCTCTACCAAGGAGCCGGAGCCTCCCATATGCCCCGTCTGCTCCCTCCCCATCACGACGTCGCAGCAGCAACACGAGGCCTCGCTCGCCCACCAAGTGAGTCTCGAGCACTCGCATCCACCGTCGGCATTAGATCGATCGCGCATGGGCTTGCGAGCACTGGAGTCGCAGGGCTGGGACCCCGATTCCCGGCTGGGCCTGGGCCGCACCGGCGAGGGCGCCCGGTTCCCGATCAAGGCGGCCCGGAAGGAGGACACGCTGGGGCTCGGAGCGACGAAGCCGCAGGTGGTGGAGGTGAAGGAGAAGAAGCCGCAGGCGCTGAGCCGCAGGGAGATGCGCGCTTTGGCGGAGCGGGAGAGGAGAAAGGGGGAGAGGCTGCAGGCTGAGATATACGGACGGGTGGATGTGGAAAAGTATCTAAGGGGAAACGGAGGCGAAGATGGGCTGTGATGATGATGATGATGATAGCCTTGGGATATACAGTCAACACCAATCACCATCAGCAAAACCGCATACAAAACAACATGCTACATAGTTTTGATCTACCTTATCAGTTGACCACGTCAGATTCAGCATGGTCGTGTGATGCCCAATTCCCCTGCCCGCCTCTTCCGTATCCAGATCTCGGGACCCCTGGAACTCTTGCACCAGGGGAACATGAGCCCGAATTCTTCAGCGAGCCGCAGTGACCTCATCGCCCCGCGACACAGCGACCAGCCACCGCCTTAGCGCTAAAGTTAGGGGCCAGGCGCTAGAGCCCGAGCCTGAAGCAGCGCTGGGACCGCCCGGAGTTTCAGCCTGCGCGTGCCAACCCCGCCAAAGCCCGACCTGCCCTGCGAGTGCTCTCGCAGCTTCTGGGTGGTGGTGATGCTTCAACCAAACAAACTCGGCTCTCCCTCAGCTTCGACCAGATCCGAGCTCGCAGCTGCTGGCTTAGGCCCCTCGTTTGCGCGCTACAAAGAGAAGACGACAATCGAAACAGTTCTCTTAGTCACAAGCTGAGCTTTTGCTTGTCTGTGTCTTTCCCTTTGGCCTGTCGTCGAGCTCGTTCCATCACCGCCTGACGGACAGCTCCGTTGAACTCCGTCACAATGGGGTTGTCCATCATCGAGGAGCAGCACAATGGTATGGGCTCTACTCTCGCGCTGTAGGAACAGGATACATGGCGAAGCTGACACAAGCTCTAGTAATCCTGCAGGAAATCAAGAACATTACGCAAAACGACGTACGCGATCGCCTGCCCCTGTCTTTGTCTCCTTACCGATCGACCGCGAAGCTCATACTGACGGCCCGAACTGCAGTGGAAATGCCTGATCGTGGACGAGACCTCCAAGAAGATTGTCGACAATGTGGTCAAGTCGGATGACATTCTCAACAGCAACATTGCGAGTCAGTCTCTTTCACCCCTCCCTGGGCTGCAGTGGTGAGGCCCTCATTTGCTGACACGGCGTCTCCTGTAGCCATCGAGCTGATCGAAGCCCGTCGCGAGTTTAACCCCGACATGGACGCCATCTACCTCCTCAGCCCCGAACCGCACATTGTCGAATGTCTGCTTGCCGACTTTGAGGTACGGCGCTACCGGAGAGGCTTCCTCGTCTGGACAAACCTGCTGGACCCGGCGCTGCGAAGACGGATCGATGAGTTCCCGGGGGTGCGGCAACTGCGCGCGAGCTCGCGGACGCTTTTCGTGGACTTTTATCCAAGAGAGACACATCTCGTAACGTTTCGCGACCCGTGGAGCTTTCCCATGCTTTTCCACCCGGGGTGCAACGCGCTCGTTCCCAAGCATCTGCAGCTGCTTGCGCAAAGGGTGAGCTCTGATCAGCATTACCTGTATGAAAATGAATCGAGTATGCTGACCATCTTGGCCAGATTGCGGGAATATGCATCACGTTAGGAGAGTATCCAAAGGTAAGATACTACCGGCCCAAGAATGCTGTTCACGAAGCGTCTGTTTTGTGCACGCATCTGGCGAGATTCGTGCAGGAAGAACTAGACGGCTATGCCCAGTGGGACTCCAATTTCCCGCCTCCGTCAACCAGGCCACAGTCGACACTGCTGATTACAGACCGATCGATGGACCTCATGGCACCGCTGGTACACGAGTTCACGTATCAAGCCATGGCGCATGATTTGCTCCCCATCAAGGACGGCGACAAGGTGACCTTTCACACGATCATAAACGAGGGGACGCCGGATGCACAGGAAAAGGACATGGAGTTGGCTGAAAAGGACAAGATTTGGGTCGAGAACCGCCATCGTCACATGAAGGACACCATCGACAAGCTCATGGGCGACTTCCGCAAGTTCTTGGATCAAAACCCTCACTTTACCAAAGAAAACACCGATACGACGAGTCTCAGCGCCATTCGAGACATGATGGCGGGGCTGCCCCAGTTTCAAGAGATGAAGGAGGCGTATTCTCTGCATCTCACAATGGCCCAGGAGTGTATGAATATATTCCAGCGCCATAAACTGTCCGACACTGCGGTCACAGAGCAAACGCTTGCCACCGGGCTGGATGAAGACTACAAGAAGCCGAAGAACGTTCTGGATTCGGTGGTTCGATTGCTGGATGACGATGCGGTAACTCCGGGAGATCGACTGCGACTGGTTGCCATGTATGCGCTATACCGTGACGGCATGATACTGGACGATATCAAGAAACTGCTCGCGCACTCCAAGCTGCCACCTCAAGATGCCGAAACGATTCTCAACCTCGAGCATATTGGCGGAAGACCCATCAAGCAGCTGAAAGAGCAGCGGCAGCCGATACCGCCTCTGTTCCCTGTTGATACGAAGAATGCGCAAAACGAGGAGGACTACTCCTTGACGCGCTTTGAACCTGTTCTGAAGCAGGTTTTAGACAACCTGACAAAGGGAACCCTGGACCAGACCGTCTTCCCGTACGTCAAGCCGCCGCTGGATCCCAACGAAGACCTTATGGCAGCTCAGGCAGGGTCCCTCCGTGCTGCCGGGCGGCCGAACTGGGCAGCAGCGGGACGACGACCGCCCGAGAACCGCCAGAGGCTGATTGTCTTCATGGCCGGCGGCGCTACCTACAGCGAGAGCAGAGCGTGCTACGAGATTAGCAACGAGCGAAGCCGTGACGTTATTCTGGCGACCTCCCACATGCTCACTCCCCAGCTCTTCCTTCGGCAGATTGGGGATCTGAGCCGCGACAAACGACAGCTAGATCTCCCCGTCGAGCGCAGGAGGCACGCACCCCAACATCTCTTTGAGCGTCCAGCGCCGCCGCCCCCTCCGCCCCAGGCTCGACCACCACCACAGCAACAGCCAGTGGCTCCCGGAGTGCCTCGACCCGGCGTTGCTCCAAACCAACCAATGTCTCGGCCAGGCGGCCTGCCTAGTCGACCGTCCCCGAGCGGTGCCGTTCCCACGCAAGCCATGGCAAACATGCACATTAACGCGAACCCGAGCGGGCACAGGCCTACGACTTCGAACAGCTCATACGACGACGGCAAGGCGCACAAGGAGAAGAAGAGGAGGAATTTCCTGGGCCTGAAGAAGTAGGGTTCTTTTCGCGGGAGGTCCTTGTCTTCTGGCTCTGCGGCGCCTGGCGGAAACAAGATTACGAAGCCGCGTGTTTGACGATAATGCTACTACGAGAACGTAAACCCTTATGTCTCGTAATCTGTTTAATTTCCCTTTTTTTTTTTCATCTTTTCGAAAACTTTTTGGGTACTATAACTCCTGTCTGTTTCCCTAAAAGCGTGGCGTGGAGAAACTTTGAGCGATAGTGTTATTGGCGAAAACCCACTTACGGATTCATGTATGTATGTATGTGTGTGTGTGTGTATGTGTGGTGGCTGAGATGGTTTAATGTTTATGAGGTGATGTGCATGCTTGAAAGTAGTATGAGGGCTAGGTAATAATTCATTTCTTGTTCAAATGTTCTCGAGACTATCCCTTTGGGGAAATAAAGTGCATATCAGTATCTTTATACTGATGCGTGAAGATAACCAACAAAATAGTTGATATACGTTCAAGGATAAAAAGCCTTAGTGTGATATGCAACGCTGTCCCATCATCATACATTGCTAGAAGGAATACAGATTCCCGACAAATAACTCATAAGCAAAGTCACAAAACTCCCAATCATTAACCCAGGTAAACAACAAGAAAGCAACAAGAAACAACAACATCAAAATCGTAGCTCGACAGCCTGCTTCGCCCGATTCACCCTCTCCTGCGTCCTCTTGACCCTCTCCTCATCCTGATCCCTCCTCCACCGACAACTTGCCGAGAACTCGCACGACGAGCACTTGAACGCCTCCTCGATCCTGACGCCGCGCGGCCTCCTCTCGCCCTTCCACCAGCTCATGTCGCCCGCGAGATAGGCATCCAGCGCCTGTTCCGAGACGGGGAAGTCATGCACGTTGAGCTCGCGGCCGTCTTCCCGGAAGACGTACTGCACGCGGAGGATGGGGCCGAGTGAATCTGCGCCGCGGGGGAACGTGAGGCGGATTTCCTCGTCGACGAGGGCGAGGAGTTCACGGAGGGAGCCGTATTTGAGGAGGTCCGGGACGCCGGGGGATGAGTCCAGGGTGGCGTTGTCGGTTTGAGAGGCGGCGTGTTGTTTATTAGTTGCGTTCTGATGCTGGCTAGAAGCGTATTCCTCTGCAGAGCTCGTGGGGGTGTCGAAGAAGATTTCGTCGTGGAGTTCTCCTATTTGGGACATGAATGTGTCGGAGAAGCGTTCGTCGGCATCGAGGCCGTATCGTCTAAATACTCTAAAGTAGTCTAGCTTGCCGGCGGCCATGTCTGACAACAGGCGATGGTACAGGAGTAGTTGGATCTTGGCAGGGCGGATGACGGCTGGCGAGATGGGTGATAGGGTACCTCGCGTCTTGACATCTGTGAGGAAGATCTGGCGGTTGCTGCCATTAGGTTTGCTGGATTTGGGGGGTGGAAAGTAGTCGGATATGAAGGACTGGTTGAGGCTGGTCCCGTTTGCTTGGCTGGAGAGTTCTTCCTCGAATTCCGGGTTGGGGTTATCGTAGCTCAAGTGGTCGATGACGCCGTTGACCAAGTTGCCGTCCACCAAGCCCCAGACCTCCAGTTCCCTCGTCATGCCGGTATCCCGCAGCGTTCTGAGCCCCTGGACAAGATTCCACAGCCTCAGACCAAATCCATCTTCCTTGTTGAGAATCTCAACCTTGACAGTCGTGTGGACCTCGTCTTCCAGCTTCTTATGCACCTTGGACCCTTGCTGCATGGCCGGCGTGCGAGTCCTCCGGCCGCCAGGCAGCCGCGTGAGCGTATACCAGTACTGAAGCTCGCACCATGCGCCGGCAGTCAGGTCACTCACTGTCAGCGGACGCTTGGGAAATGAGCGGAACCTCTGCAGTGGCGAGCGTTCGTCTTGGAATTCGACGTCATCGTCGTCGCTGGCTTCTGTGGGTGGCGGCGACTGAACGGACTCAATCGCTTTCAACGCGCCGGTGACTAGAAGCAAGCGTTAGCTTGGAGTTTTTGACTCTCAAGCAGGGTTAGAACGATGCTTACGATCAGGATATATGACCGTCCCATCGACAGAGGAAGCTGACGAGAAAGCCTGCTTCAGGTCTCTGGTTGGCGACGGCTCCTCCTTCTTCTCGACTTGGCTGAGCGGAATCGCAGCGCTTCGAAGTGCATATTTCTGGGATAGCTTGTTCTCCTGTGAAGCCTCCAAGCTCGAGCTCGTCTTTATCGGACCCAGAGCACCAGCGTCCGTCGACTGGTTCAGCGGCAGCGCATGATTCGAAGCCAGTTGGATGAGAAGCTCTTCGTCGTCGGACTCGAAGTCGTAGCCAAATTCGTCGTCGCTTGTTTGTGCGACGGAGGCCTTCATGATTGCCGCAGCTAACCGGGCATGGTGCTTGTTCTGTTTCTGTCGGCTTCGCCTGCGTGAGTGAAGCTGAAGGAGGAGGCGGCGATGGCGGGGGAGCGTGAAGGGCGAGGCTGGTGGCGGCGGAGGATCGCGATAGGAACACGCAGTCACGTGCGCCAGGCAGCTGCAGGCTTGCCTGGAGGAGGCAGTTGGCCAAAGAGTTGCCCTTTAGTAGATGAATGCCTCGGATAGGTCTTGATCAAGAATCTGTTACTGGTTCTCTAGGTACGGTGTCATATACAGTCAGGTAGATATTATTGGGGCATGCAAGTAAGGTACCTACATGCAGGTAAGACATTTTGTTTCAGACTTCTTCAACCCCTCCATCAGTCCCTGCTGGAGCAAAGGAGACGGCACCATTTACTGTACCTAAATTAGATGCTAAATGCTTCTACATCTTCACCTAGGTACTAGCGGCACTTTGGGTATACGATGCAGATGTCCGTGTTCGTATATGCAGCCGTCACTGAGGCCGGATTGGTATGTATGTTAGTATCTGTTACTTGGTAGGCGCAATCCTTCGTTCACTCGCCAAAGGCGGCAAGTGGGCACGACCTCCAGAACTTGGTGGGTATGACCGCATCTGATGGCGGTTAGTCAGCAGCTCTTTGACAGCGGGACGCGCATCCAGGGACAACTTGGGGAGGACAAAGAGACCAACTCTGAAGAGCTTCGGACTCTGGACATACAAGCTCCTGAAGCTGCGCCTCTCAACCTCGAGATCCAACGTCTGCAGCTCCAGCCTTGCAGCAGTCCCCGCGCCCGTCGACTGTATCCTCGGCCGCTCGTTTGTCCGCCGAGACGCTCCCTCAATTGCGAGCAGCATCGGATCGGAGCAACGCCAGGCTGCGTCACTCCTGAACAGGTCGTCGCAATCTGGCCACTCGACCATCCCATCTCCCCGCAAACACCTCGCCTCTTGCACCTCCGATAACCCCCGTGGCATGGTCTAACCCTCCGCACGATGCACTTCCGAAACCATGCGCCCACGGCGCTTCTTGCGACCCTGCTCGCGCCGCTGGCATCCGCCTTTTACCTCCCCGGCGTCGCTCCCACCTCGTACAAACAGGGCGACCAGGTCCCGCTATACGTCAACAGCATCAAGCCTGTCGCAGCGCCGCAAGACGCCCGCCTGCACTCGGTCGTGTCGTACGACTACTACCACCCAGCCTTCCAGTTCTGCAAGCCCGAGGGCGGGCCGAAGTACGTGTCGGAGAGCCTGGGGAGCATCCTCTTTGGCGACAGGATAATGACGTCCCCTTTCGAGCTCAAGATGAAGCAGAACGAGACGTGCAAGGCGCTGTGCTCTGTCAAGTACCAGGAGAAGTCGGTCGAGTTTGTTGCGACGAGAATTGAGCAGGGCTACAGTCTCAATTGGCTCGTCGATGGGCTCCCTGCCGGCCAGCAGATCCAGGACCAGCTGACGGGCACGACCTTCTACAGCCCCGGCTTCTTGCTCGGACAGGACGATGAGCAGGGCAACATTCTCTTCAATAACCACTACGAAATCTGGGTGGAGTATCACGAGGTCAGCGGCAACGAGAACCAGCTGCGAGTCGTCGGTGTCGTCGTCCAGCCCAGCTCCAAAAAGTACGAGGGAGAGGCCGATTGCGGCGACAACCACCCGCCGCTCGTCTTTGCTCACGGCACCGGGCCTCACGAAGTCAAATTCAGCTACAGCGTCTACTGGGTCAAGTCGCCCACCGCCTGGGCTACCCGTTGGGACAAGTATCTGCACGTCTTCGACCCCAAGATTCACTGGTTCTGGCTCGTCGACACCGCCATCATCGTCGTCATCCTGGTCCTCACCGTCATGTCCATCCTGATCCGAACCCTGAAGAAGGACATTGCGCGCTACAACCGCCTCGACCAGATCAACCTGGATGATTTGAGCGGCACTTCGGTGCTTGAAGATGGCGTTCAGGAAGACTCGGGTTGGAAGCTGGTCCACGGCGACGTCTTCCGAACTCCGTCGCGCCCGCTGCTTCTGTCTGTCCTCCTGGGCAACGGAGCTCAGTTGTTCGTCATGACCGGCTTCACCATTGTCTTTGCTCTGCTTGGTTTCCTGTCGCCCTCTAACCGCGGATCTCTGGGCACCATCATGATCATCCTCTACACCGTTCTCGGTGTCGTTGGAGGATACGTATCTGCTAGGACGTACAAAGCCATGCAGGGCGAGCAGTGGAAGCTCAACATTGTCCTGACGCCTTTGCTTGTCCCCGGCATCGTCTTCTCTGCCTTTTTCCTGCTGGATCTCTTCCTCTGGGCCAAGGAGTCTTCCGGCGCGGTGCCTTTTACTACGATGCTGGTCATTGTCGGCATCTGGTTCGTCATCTCCATTCCTCTCTCGTTTGCGGGTTCGTGGCTCGGCTTCAAGGCGCCTCAGATCGAAGCTCCCGTCCGCACCAACCAGATCCCTCGCCAGATTCCGCCGGTTACGACGTACTTGCAGCCCATTCCCAGCATGCTCATCGTCGGCCTCTTGCCCTTTGGCGCCATCTTCGTTGAGCTGTACTTTATCATGAGCTCCATCTGGTTCAGCCGCATTTACTACATGTTTGGCTTCCTCTTCCTCTGCTACGGCCTCATGATTGCCGTCTGCAGCGCCGTCACCATCCTGATGACATACTTTTTGCTCTGCGCAGAGAACTACAACTGGCAGTGGAGGTCGTTCCTTGCTGCGGGCATGAGCGGTGGCTACGTCTTCCTCAACTGCCTGTTGTATCTGGTGACCAAGGTGAAGCTTGGCGGTCTTGCGGGAACAGTTCTGTACATTGGCTACAGCGCGCTGATTTCCTTTTTGTTCTTTATCCTTTCAGGTACGTCGTCGGGCTTCTCCCTCGTTCAGCGGTTATAACGATAACAGGGTCTAACGTGTGTTTTAGGCACCATTGGCTACTTTGCTTCGTGGTGGTTCGTACGCAAGATTTACTCTTCCATCAAGATTGACTAAAAGAAAAAGGGCGTGTTGCGGCGCGATGGCACTGCGTTTCAGTTTACGCATTGCAGCTCGGAGAGGAGCCTTTCTTTGAGAATATTTGCCCACTTGTGGGGTGGTAATGTGTAAAGTACATGTATGAACATGGTTTCCGAAGGTATCGCCATGACGAGATTGGAAGACAAAAGCAGCGGTTTCTCCCATTTTGCACATTTCGAGCAACAAGATGTTGCTGTTCATTTTGGTGCAATTTCGGAGGGATATGGGGGCGGAAAAGAGCGTTGCGGGATAGACTTATGATTATTGAAGATTCTTTTTTTGACTCATTCGGTGCTCGGTGATCTCTGAGATTGTTACCGTATCGGCTTGTCATGTTCACAACAACGGTTTCAGGTTGATTAAGGTCAGTTGGTCTGACATCTCTGGCTGGCCTCCTCCTGTACGGGTATGGAAACCCATGTCTATACTCTATTAACTTCATATACCCGAGAACCAACTCCGATCCCATAACCTGTGGACACCCTTTTGACGACACCCTAAGCGAGTCAAGCAAGCCCTCTAGTCCTCATCATCATCGTCATCCAAATCATCCAGATTCGTAAACTGAAACTGCTTCTTCTCCGCCTTTGCACTCGGCGGCCCACCGACGCCCGCATCTCCAGAAGCACCAGCGGCGGTGCTCGCTCTGCGCCACTCGGCCTGCTGCTTCTCAATTGCTCGTTCCCGCTCTTGTCGCTGGCGCTCCGCTTCCCGCTCGCGTTCAGCACGCTCCTGCTTCTCCTTTTCTTCCCTCTCCTTGCGCTCTTCCTCTTCTTTGCGCTTGCGCTCTTCTTCGGCAACGGGGTCGTAGCCGCGGGGGTCAATGCCTTGTTCGAGGAGGATCTGATTGGACGCTAGTGCTCCGGAGCGGATCTTGTCTTCGAGCGGCCAGGGGAAGAAGAGTTGGCCTGATAATGGGTTGAGGAACTGGTTCATGTTGTCGGGGAGACTTGTATGCGCGGAGGCCTGCGTCTGTTGTTCGGCTACGCCATTGGTAGGAGCGGGACTCTGCATGGGATTCGGAGTCTGCGCCGACGGCGTCATGGCCATCTGGGTCTGAGAATCAGGAACCGGCGTCTGAGAGTCTTGATTCGTCGCGGCGGCGGCGGCGGCCATGGCGTTGAGGATGGCGGCGGGCGGCATGGAGGTCTTGCTGATGCGGCGGGCGAAGCCGAGCAGCTCTTCGTATAAGATCGGGTAGTTTGGTTCGGAAGGGTAGGTGGTGACTTGTGTGGTGACGAGGTCCTTGCGCGTTGTTGCGAGGGAGGTGAGCGTTTCGCGGATCTGGGCGTCGAGGGAGTTGGACATTTGGCGGAGCTGTTGGATTTTGAGGTGGTTCCTCTGATGGATCTCGACTATGAGTTGGGGATTTTGTCAGTTGCTGCTGCTTTAGGCTGACGGCCGGGGGGAAGTGTTCGAGGTGCTCGGCGTGATGTTGTTATTATTACCTTGCTCCAGGCCTTTGCAGAGTTCATTGTCGGCGTTCTTGAGCTCTTCTGCTTGGATTGGTGAGGGGTGGTATTTCGTGACGGAGTCAATGAGCGTTGCGAGAGCCTTTTCCAGGCGCTCGAAGCGGCTGTCAATGTATGTATCCATGGTATTTCGTAGCAGCCCTAGCACTCTTCAAGATCGAGATCCTATCAGCAAACAACTCGGAAGAGGACGTGTAATATGCGAGAGGCTAAACAAGAGACGAGGCTGATTTCCGCTACGTACCTCTTTGGAGCATCGAAGCTGGTGTGGGGCAGCAAGGGCGATCATGCGATTGGCCCCGGCAAGGTGCAAGGCCATGCTTAGTCACCGCCTCAAGGCCAAAACCTCGCCGAGATTCGCCGGGAATCTGCAAACTCGCGCATTTTTTGGGTGACGACACGAATTGACGAGCAATTGAACGGTATTCGCTGCCAGACCCTATTCAAGATGGTTTCTCAGGTATGTCACGGATGGTCCGACTAGCCTTTTGGGAGGTTTGTTGGGCTTGCTTTGGTTTGCGAGGACAGACGTGTGTGGTTGGGAATGCGACGAGGGCAGGCAGAGCAGAGGGCTAACTCTTGTTGCGAATTAGACTCCTTTCCGCGCCGCGGAGTACCGCAGCCCCTATGGCCCCAAGTACGTTCGATCTATACGCTTCTGGTGATAGGCATGGACTGCTGTTGCTTGGGAATACACAGCTTGAAGAGGAGGTTATGATTAGAAGGATTGCGGCTGTGGTGGCTTGCGCATTCGAGATGGTGCAGCTAGAACTGACATTTTACAAAGATACGCTTTCCAGCCCAACTACCGCGGCATCAACCTCCAGACCGCTGTTCGATAGTGAGTTCCCACCTCTGTCGCTCTGGATGCTTGGGAGAAGGCCAAAAAGGGTATATTGAGACGAGCTTGGAGGACTGGTGGGGGAAGTGGTGTGTGATGGAGGGGGTCTTCGAATCCCTTGAACTTGTGGAACGACGACGATTCAACAAAGCTTGGCCTTCTTCAAGAATCCGAGTCTTTATACAGCCTTCAGTCGTTCGTCTATGATCTTGCTAACACCTATCCAGCGGCGTGCGAACTGCCACCATCGGCGGCGGCCTCGGCGTTGCCCTGCTGCTCTTCGCCTCCAGCCTGCCCCGTGTCCGCGCCGACATTCTCTCAGTAAGTTCTCAGCTCCAGTGAAGATAGGATGAAAAGCTCACAAGTTTTTTTTTGTAGAAACTCCCTGTTGTCGGCAAGGTCTTTGAGAAGCAGGAGCCTCACCCCGCTGACAACGTAAGATCCTCCCCCTTTGATGCTCTGTGTATGCGGAGACTTAAGTGCTGACTGGTTGATGCTCTAGCCCTTCTAAATGTACGCAATGGAATGGTGTTTGGTGAAAATTGATCAAGGCTTTGCGCAGCGGTTGCAGCGGCTTGCCTTTGTATAAGAGATACACAATAGATTTTTCTAACCTATGGACTGGATGCCTTCCTCCTGTGTGGCTTGTAGTAGCTGTTACGATGATGAAAACATGATGACAATAACGATCCTCTGTGAATCTTGTTCGAGATCATAGACTTGTGTTTGTATGGAGTCTGTATAGAATGTTGCCCCATTTTGTAGTTCTTCTCCCCGAGGTGATACAGTTTGGTCATACTATTGACACTGTACCCTCCTGGATCATCTTGACAGCTCATCTCATTTCAACCTCGCTGTCTCAGCATTAGCCAAACAAACATCAACTATGAAGACCAGATGAGGCATGATACGCTCATCAGAACCCTCACTTTTTCGCCGTGCATCATTGCGCCGTATCGCCTCTCTATAGGGCCCCATCTGGCCAATCTTCAGCACCTTGCGCCAACATGGCTTCGACGGCCCCTGATATCGGCTCCTTAGGAGCGAGCCTGCAGTTCGCGACGTGGGCTGCCGGCGCAGTTCCCATTGCCTTTACTGTACACATGCTCCTCTTCAGAGGCAGTGGCAACTCTCATGGAGGACTGGGCTTATTTTTCACCATTGTCCTCGCTGCGGCGACATTTCTGTGGCTGGGCGTCGTGTCTGAAATTGTCCCCGAGCCGTATCTGGTGAGTGAACCCTTTCACAGACTGACAACATAGTGTGTGGCTTCTACTCACGACGCATAACCAGGACGAAGTCTTTCATATTCCTCAAGCTCAAAGATACTGCCGAGGCAAATTCCTAGAATGGGACGACAAAATTACAACTCCTCCCGGACTGTGAGTGTCCAGGCTCCCCTTCATCGACGTACTAGCCCTCTCTAATGTGCTCTCCAGGTACTGGATCTCCATCTTGATCCCCCAAGCAGCCAAAACAAGCGGCCTCATATCGTCCTACACATGCGACCCCAAGACTCTCCGGGCCACAAACGCAGTCGGCATCCTCGTCCTGGCCTACCTTGCCCTGCAGTGCCGGAAAGAAATCGAAGCACGCCTCCTGCACCAAGCGCATTCAGCCGTCCGCATGAACAGCATATCGCAGTACGCCATGCACACGGCGTTCAACATTGCGCTGTTTCCCTTGCTGTTCTTCTTTTCGGGGCTGTATTACACGGATGTCGTGTCTACTGCTGTTGTTCTCGCGGCGTTTGTGAACCATTTGCGTCGTGTTGGGAGGTCTCATACTTCGCTTATGAGCGATCTCGTTACGGTTGCGTGGGGGCTTTTCGCTCTGACCATGCGGCAGACGAATGTCTTCTGGGTGGTTGTCTTCATGGGAGGACTGGAGGCTGTTCATGCGGTCAAGACGTTGCGGCCGGAAATCGTCAAGCGGCCGTTGATGACGACGTTGTCGCAGCAGTTGCTGTTTGTTGTCAAGAGGTGGTCTGTTGGGCATGTGCATGACTTGCCGCTGCATATGGCCTATCCCGAGGGTGGGTTGAAGACGAAAAGAGCCCTGAGATTCTTTCCACTCGGAAGCTAACGTTGATCTAGATATGCTGTTCACCGCCATCAGTCTCATAGTAGCCGCCCTCTGCAATCCCCTCAGGGTTGTCAGGCAAATATGGCCGTACGTCTTTGTCTTGGGCGCCTTTGGCGGGTTCGTGGTGTGGAACGGGGGTGTTGTCCTCGGGGACAAGTCCAACCATGTTGCGACCATTCATCTCCCGCAGATGCTCTACATCTGGGCGTTTTTCGCCTTCTTTTCGCTGCCGCTCTTCCTCCCATATGCAATCATGATATTGGACATCATCCGAAGTCTGTTCGTCTTGCAAAAGGACGGCGCTGAAACGTCCCCTCACAAGACAAGTGCAACACCCTCAACAAATACAGCATCTCAAAGAGAGATCCCGCTCCCACTGAAGATAGCCGCCACCGTCTTCAACAATCAGCTTCTTTGGCCAGTATACTTGGTCTCGACATTCATCCTCTCCGGCCTCATCGTCCGCTTCAATACAATCATCCACCCCTTTACGCTCGCCGACAACAGGCACTACATGTTTTACATCTTCCGATACACGATCCGCCGCGCGCCCTGGGTCCGATACTTTCTCATTCTACCTTATACGCTCAGCCGGTGGCTTGTCTGGGGCACGTTATCCGGCTGCGCGACCTGGACCTTGACGTCTCGTAGCGAAGCTTTCTCACCATACTATGACTCGTCACGCCCATTGCCGTTTGATTGCGATCCATTTGCGATAGGAAACGCCAACGAGCCTGAAGGAAAACAAAGCTTTGGATCAGAGTCAAGGACACAAAATATATCGGAGGAAGAACGCGCACAAGATCCCCTTCTCTTCTCCACAGAACCCGTATCGACTTCCACAGGCCTCATCTTTCTCCTGTCAACGACCCTCTCACTCATCACCGCGCCACTTGTCGAGCCTCGGTATTTCATCATCCCCTGGGTTATTTGGCGACTCCTCGTTCCAGCGTGGCGACTGCACGACCACCAGGCCATGGGCAATACTTTGTTCAGTGCCGATCCAACGTCTACCTGGGGCAAGATTATCAATTTCTGCCGAGTATACGATGTGAGGCTTGTTTTGGAGACAGTTTGGTTTGTCGCGATCAATCTCGTCACCGGTTATATATTCCTGTTCAAGCCCTACGTTTGGAGGGCTGGAGATGGGCGTGTCCTCGACGAGGGGAGACTACAGCGATTTATGTGGTAGCAAACGGCTCAATAGCAGGTAGACCTGAGTCATTGTAATAGACGCATGTATTCATGAGAGGTTGTAGACAGCCTCAATCTTATGCAAAATATGATAAAATGCGGTGCGTGAGACTTCGTTTGCTTGTGAGTGAAGAAGAATGAGAAAGAGAGATCCCAACCCAGGACCAAACGCCGCGCCCATATCCCATAAAGATCCCAATGGAATGCCATCCAGTCGGCCTCCATTTTTGCTTTTGCAGCCTTGTTGCCCGAAATTCCAAAACAAAAAAAAAAAAAATCGCTCTAGTCATTTATATACGGATTTTTCTCATGCCAATACTAATGTCAACTCGTATCACCTATAAGCTCAGGCGATCGAGGCTCAAGCCATCATTACTCCTGACCCGTCGAATCACGCCCAGCTTAAAGAACTTTTCCTCTCCTGCCGCCGTCCTGCCGCCGATATACCACTTGTCCGCGCCGAGGGCGTCGCGAAAGCCCTCGCTGCTGCTGTCGCTGCCTCTCCTGCGCGAGCCATGAGGGATGGGAATGGCGCCGCCGGGCGAGCCGCGGGGCGTGTGGATGGCGACGTTGGTGGACGAGGGCGATGTCGTCGCCGTCGTCGTCGTTGCTGCGGCAGCGCTTGTGGAGATTGCACGGGCAGCGGAGGAGGCGCCGCTTGATGAAGCTGAGGCGGCAGCAGCAGCAGCTGTTGTGGAGGCGGCAGCGGCGGCGGCGGCGGCTGATGCGGATGCGGCCTGGGAGGAGTGTTTGCTTGCTTGCTGGGTGAGGGAGGGCGCTTGCTGGCGGAAGGAGTTGAAGAAGGAGGAGAGGAAGAAGGGACGCTGCGAGGGCATCGCGGTGTTTGGCTGCGGTATCGCTTCTGTTTCGGCGGTGTTGTTTGTTTGTTTGTTTGTTTGTTTGCTTCCGGAGGGGTGGATATATGTGTGTGTGTGTGTGTGTGTGTGTGTGTGCTTCGGGTGGTTTGTTTCGCTTCGGCCCTGTGCAGGCTGCTGTCGATTGTCTGATGCAGCTCGCTGCCTATATTTATTTTATTTATATATGCGTCGAGGTGGACTATGGCGACTTTGCGTGTGCGTGTGCGTTGCGTGTAGGGTTGAAGAAGGGCGAAACAGGTGCTGTGGCCTATCAGAGGTGTCGGGGCTTGCAGCAGGATGATGTATGTCTGCGCTTGAACGGGCTGCAGCTGCTGGAGGGCGATCGGATGAGGCAACGTCGTCGCGCGCGCTGGGCCGTGATGCGGTGAGGCCTGGGCGGGTTTATTTTCGGAGCGGTCGCTTGCAGTCAGATTAGAGAGTCGGAGGATGGGCGTAGCTTGTCAGGTTGTGTGCAGGATTTTTTTTTCTCAAGAGGGCGGCTGAAGGGAGATGGAGAAAGAGAGAGAGAGAGAGAGGCGGGAGTGACGGGAGAGAGAGACGGATCGAGGCGAGAAGACGGAGAAGTGTCTCGTGATGGCAGATGAAATAGAGTCGCAGGTTCCTGGCGATGGACGCAAGCCGAGGAGTTGCTGAAGAAATGGCCGTTTGTCCGGAGATGGGATCAAGCGAGTTGAGGGTAAGGTAAGGTAAGGTATCAAATGGCAGCGATTCTGACGTCGAGGTAGTCGGCAAAACTCGGGCACATGCAGATTTTAACGGACTCAGCCAGCCGCAGTGACGGCACTCGGTACATGTACAGGTACTTGTATCCTTACCTGGACCTAGACCGGACGGATGGCGGGCCCTGGAGTGCTAATGGCTGCGCTGCGATAGGCCGCGGCGAGTGGGAATTTCCCAAGGTACAGCAACCGGGAGCACCTGGATGGCCTGGGGGCGGGTCAACGGACCAGCCTGCAGGTCACACTGTGCATGTACCGGTACTTGGTAACTGGCGCATGCACACGCGAACTCCGTCGGTCGGGCTTCTGATTTTGCTCCGGAGGCGCGAGGAGGGTTGCTTGAAGAGACGGAGCTTGACACCTTGTGTTATTACTACTAGTATAGAGGATGCAGATGGGGGTCTGTCTTGATGGAATCCAAGGTACAAAGAGGGTGTAGTCTGCATGTGTCCATGGGCTGATGGATGCGGGGGAATGAGTTTCTGGGGAGCTGGAGTTCTGTTCTTTACAGGGACAAGACACCATCACCGACGGTGCAGGATGAGGCCGGTTCCTACAAACGGGGCACACCGTTGGAGTCGAGAGCCTTGGCCCGGCTCGGGCGTGGCGTGACAATTCTGCACCGGCGACATGGCGAGCATGGGGTGTTTTTGTGCTTGGGCCTTTTGCCATTCTTGTCGGTCCAACAGCGAGCGGCTGGAGGAGTCTGGGGTATCTACCTACATACACGGTTCCGTGCATGCCGTGGCGGCCGTTGACGGTCTTTTCGATAATGCCTTCTCTTCTCCGCATCCTCTTGTGACGGTTGGACGCCGGGTATGTATGTATGTATGTATGTATGTATAGACTGTGGGTTGCATTCGAGCAGTGACGAGTCTATCAAGTGACCATACGGGGTTGCTGCTGGAGCCATCTTCCGAGTTGTTTTCTTACGCAGTGTATCATGACAAGGGATACATATATCGACGGAAGCGAAATGCAGTTTCTGTCATGTGCTCTCCGGAAAAGGGGAGGAAGCATTTCGTAGGTACAAAAAGACAAGCCTCGCGCTGATCAGGGGAAGTTGATCGCACAGTGCTTACAGTTGGTTCTTATGTAGTATTCGCAAGTTCAAGCCTTATCCAGAGAGACGGGAGCTGTCGTCCAGCATCTAGTATGTATCAATGCACCTGTCATGCTTGGATGACGAGAGCTGGGATCAATGATTCAAGGGATGCGTCTTCATGCGTTTCTTCAAGGTTGGAGTGCGCTAGTCGAGTGTAGTCTAGCGCGTCCCATTCACATGGATTGCTCGGTTTCTCTCGGTACGTACCCCGAATTGCCCGCGTCAGCTGCTTGCTTTCAATGGCATCGGCCGGAAGAGGTCAAAGGCCTTCCAGAAGCACGTGAAAGACAAGACCAGCGCATTTGATGATATCAATCAATCAGTTCAATTTCAGCTGAAAAGCCATCGCCATCTAGGTAAGTATGATCCAGTCTATATGCTATCGAGATGATTGAAATTCCACAAACACGCCCCAATCAACCCCAGTCCGTGCTCTAGGTAAACATGCAAAATGCCTTCGCCATATCCCATCATCACACCATGATTCCCCCATTCACAAGCACCGTCTGTCCCACCACCCATGAGCTCTCGTCGCTGGCCAGAAACTTGATCGTGTTGGCCACCTCCTCGGGCTGGCCCAGCCGGTTGAACGGACTCCAGCCCTTGATGGCGTTGACCACGCTCTCGGGCTTCCCCTTGAAGAAGAGCTCCGTCGCCGTCGGACCAGGAGCCACGGCGTTGACGATGATGCCCTTGGCGGCCAGCCCCTTGGCCATGACCCGCGTCATCTGCTCGATGGCGCCCTTTGTGGCCGCGTAGAGGAGGTACTTTGCCGGCACGGACGAGTAGTGGCAGACGCCCGTGGAGATGAAGATGATGCGGGACCCGGGAGGCATGTGAGGCACGGCCTTTTGCGCGAGAAAGTACGGGCCCTTGACGTTGATGTCGAACATTTGGCCAAAGTCGTCTTCCGTGGTGTCCTCGACGTCCCGCATCAGCATCAGGCCGGCGTTTGCCACGACGACGTCGATGCGTCCAAACTTGTCCACCGTCGTCCTGACCAGGCGGTCAATGTCGCTGATGTTGGCGGCGTCGGCCCGGACGGCAATGGCGCGGTCGGGGCCAAAGGACTCGACCAGGGCGTTGGCGGCGGAGTCGTCGCTGTGGTAGTTGACCACGATGCGGGCGCCCTCTTTGTAGAGCCGCTGGGCGGTGGCCTTGCCGATGCCGCTGGAGGCGCCGGTGATGAGGATGACCTTGTCTTGGAGAGACATTGCGAGTGTCTTTGATGCTGTGGTGGTGGTGGTTGCTGCTGTTTGTCTTCGAGGTCAAGTGTATGAAGATGTGATGTGTGTGATTTGGTGTTGCAGCGTGTAAGTGATGCTTTATTGTGAAGTGCTTGTTGTTTGTGTTGATGATGTGTTGGAGATGAATGATGATGAGACAAAACGACGACACGAATCATCTTTATATACTTGATTCAACCTCAGGATAATGTCTATAATTCCTTTCATAGTTTTTCGTTGACGAAACCGAGATTTGTGCGAACATCATGCCATCACGCCGCCGCGGCGTTGGTGTTAGACACAGCTGTCGGATTTTGACGCCAATGGAAATACTAAGGTAGCTCCCGATCGGATTAACAGGCACAAAGCGTGTGTTGATAAATCCGACCGTGGCGTCGCCCGTTCGCTTTTTGCGCTTCCGCGCGACGGAGGATGACAAGGCGCGAGTGCTGCCGACCGAATTGATCTTGTTCCTTTCTTCTGTTATACTTTGTCTTGTTTATCTTTCTTCGACTTCTTTCGTACGCTATGTGACATCTCTGTTGTGTACTACCTGGTGTTTGGTCGGGCCATGATAGCGATGGACGATGCGCGGCCGACTATGACCGCAGAGGCATGCGATGGAGGTATCTAAGCATCACATCAATCATCTGCCTAGTAACAGTACATTCGAATTATTAATCCTAAGCAATGAACATTTAACCGCTACGCCCAAGGCTTTTTTTTTCGGCAGTCTTTCAAGCCTAGACACACAGTCAATGGGTGTCCTTGGATGGCAGCTGAATTACTTCAGGGTAGTTGTGCCCATGAAGAAACCGCAAACAACACACCGAGAAAGCCAATAGAATCAGGTAGACGACTTATTATTTGCGTGGAAAAAGACATACCTCAATTTGAAGCAGGAATGGGCAGCTTTTTGGTCGAATTACTATCCCTAGCCTTATGAGACTCTGTAGCTTAGTGCACGTCAATTGTGTGTTACATTGTGATATCTGCTTAGCCCTCACTGATATGCACTTCCCTTTTACTACCTTCCCGACTATGAACTGCTTGTTCACTTGTCGTGATGTAGGGTTGTGAATGCGAGCTGTCGTCGTAGCCGCCCCCCTTCCCTCTTGACGACAATATTCTGGCAAAGTAAGTGGCATCGCATGTTTGATCATCATCAGGTCCGGTTCAACTGATAATCTATTTCAACTCATCTTCTTCTCATCCATGACTACATCGCTCAGCTCATCGTCAGTCTCCTAGTTCTTACCCAACAGCTCCAAGTAGTGGCCTACGACAGATACAACCTGCTCCTCGAACCTCTTAAACTTGAACCCAAACATCTTCTCCGCCTTGGTACTGTCCACCTGCGTCTTGAACGTCACAAGCTGCTCGGCAGCCTCAAACTTGAACACGCCATCCGCCACAGCCTGCGGAAAATGCTTCTTGATAATGTTGACCGAGTCGCTCCACTCAAAGGGCTCGAGAGAATGGGATCCGGCCAAGAAATCCTGGTTGCCATCAACCTTTGGATCCAGCGAGAGGACATGGAGTCGGGCGACGTCGTCGAGGTGGACTGGGGCGCCTGGGATGGGAGGCCTTGGTGTGCCAAGGAGAGGAGCCATGAGGATCTTGTTGGTTCCCTTGACAATCTGCTCGGCGGTGGTGACGGTGTCGTCGCGTCCTAGGACGAAGAGGGGGAGAACGTGGATGACGTCGAACGGGGGGTTCTTTTCTGCGACGAACTTCTTGGTCTCGTTAAAGGCGGCGGATTTGGAGGCGGCGTAGGCGTCCATGACGTTTGTAAAGGGGCCATGAGACGTTGGGACTCGGGATTCCTCTGCGTGAGAGAAGGTTAGCAAAGTGATGTTGACTTGAGATGGGTCGATTGACACGAGGTGCCTTGTTATTCAGGAGTGACTTGCCATTGATGTATTCGCCTGAGCTTAGGATTGCCGGAGTAGTTATAGACATGACGGATCCCGTAATGACGATCCTCTTGACACTTGTTGTCTTGATTGCCGACTCGAGGATGCCCACAGTGCCGTGGATGGCTGGTTGGATCATGTAGCTGTCATAGTCAATGCCCGGGGGAGCGTTGCTTGCCAGCGGAGAGGCGACATGCACAATGTACTCGACGTCCTTGACAGCTTCGTCGTAGGCTCCTGGCACGGTGATGTCTGGGACAATGATGCTGCTCAGTTGGGAGGCATATGGGGCGACGGGTCCGAGCTGTGAGATTCTGTCAAAGCCGGCTTGGTTTCTGACGGCGGCGCGGACCTTGTAGCCTGCCTCGAGGAGGAAGACTAGGGTCCGGAAGCCGATCATGCCAGTGGCTCCGGTGAGCTATCGGTTGTTAGCCATGGATGATGATGTTGTAGGGGACAGGCAAGGTCACTTACAAGAACAAATTCGCCAGCCATGATGGTGATGATGATGATGATGATGATGTGAGCGTTTGATGAGAGAGGGAGGATAGGGATCGATATGAAGGTTAGGGGGTTGTTAACGATGACTCTATAGGTGAAGCAAAGAATTTAAACGCCGAAACAAAATCCGATGAACTGGTTGTCAATTGACTTGAGCTGTGTGACTTGGAGATGATCCAGATCATGGTAAATTCTAGTAGAAGTCTATCTATTTATGTAGGATTTGGTTGGAGCATCCACGGCGAGAAGCTGAAGCATCTACACTAATCGGGCGCAACGGCGGTTCTGTCGGATCCGGTCTAGTTCTACATGCATGGCTTGAACCCTTCAACCTGGCGGCCTTCTCATGCTCTTGCAATAAGTGGAACGCCATTTGTAATGAATGTAATAAAGTGTTGTATGAATGGTATCGATTTTCCTGTTGCAGTCGTTATGCCTCGGGTTGCCTTAAGAGTTTGAGCCCTGAAGAAAGTGGAGAGCCTCGGTGAAAGACGTTGAAGTGCGAACACTTGCCATGGATGGCATCCTCGAGATGTATAGTGAAGTTAGCGGAGCGCAATGATTGCTAATGTCGAAAATGCCGAATTCTCCGCTATGTGCAGTGCAGAGGGCTGTTTTGATGTGGGATGCGATTCGTTTTGAGTGGTTGCGGTTCGTGTTGTTCTCTGCGATTAATAATGCGGTGTTGCCGAGGGGTGTGAGTTGCGTATATGTAGATGATTGGTGCGAATATATGTTGCCTTGAGAAGGATTGCCGGATTAGGGAAATGGTTGATGGAAGGGCTGATGGATGGCTCGGGACTCTGTGTCTTCGCAATCTATGCCTTAGTGAATGTGAACAACAAGAAATGTGATGTAGAAGTGAGGCTGGTGTTGCTTGGGCAAAAGGAGAGTTGCAAGATGGGCAAAAGGCAGAGTCGTCAGGGTTTACTAGAGGAACTGGAAGATCCACGAGTCCTGCCCACCTTAATCATACCGACTCGTGATGGTGATCAAGTTGGGACTCTGGCAGTGAGTTGCTGGTATGGGAACATGTCTCCCTTGTGGTGACTCTGCAGGTACGTTGATCATGTTCAGAGGACATGTTTGTGGCTTGAAACAATGAGAGCGCACTTGAGAAACCAAGGAACAATTTGGCATATAAAGGGGTCTCATTTTATACTCTTTCCCAGCATGCGTATATCACCTAATACTGGCGAGAAGCACGATACCCCGCCTATTGAGTCGGCTACTTTTGCATGCGAACATGCGGATGAAAGAAGAAGCGTACATAGGTACGAATGCTGATCGTTTGCCGTGTGCTGCTTCTCTCACCAGTCTCTTTGTGAACAACATTCAAACCCAAGCTCATCATCGTCGCTTCATCTAGAATTCCGTGCTGTTTTACCGCTCTCCTTCTGGTGTTGCCCCCCCTGTGCCGGCTTACACAGAAACAAGACAAGATGGCGGCCAAACCCCTCAAAATCGCCGTCATTCCTGGCGATGGCATCGGAAAAGAAGTCATGCCCGTCGGCGTAACCTGTCTGGAGTCTCTCTCCAAGATCTACAAAATCCCGATGCAATTTGAATGGTTCGACTTCGCGAGCTGCGACTACTTCCAGAAGCACGGCGACATGATGCCGCCGGACTGGAAGCAGACGCTTCTCCGATTCGATGCCATCTACTTTGGCGCCGTGGGCATGCCGGACTTCGTTCCGGACGATGTCTCGCTCTGGGGGAGCCTCATCAAGTTCCGCCGCGAGTTCGACCAGTACATCAATCTCCGGCCTTGCCGCCTGATGCCCGGCGTTCCGTGCCCCCTGGCCAACCGCAAGCCGGGCGACATTGACTTTTGGATCGTGAGGGAGAACACCGAGGGAGAGTACAGCAGCATCGGAGGCAAGATGTTTGAGGGGACGGACCGCGAGATTGTCGTCCAAGAGACGGTCATGACGAGGACGGGCGTTGATCGCGTGCTGCGGTACGCGTTTGACCTTGCGCAGAGCCGGCCGCGCAAGAAGTTGACGAGCGCGACCAAGAGCAACGGCATCAGCATCACGATGCCCTACTGGGACTCGAGGGTCCAGGAGATGGCGGCCAAGTACCCCGACGTTGCCGTGGACAAGTACCACATCGACATCCTGACGGCTCACTTTGTGCAGCGGCCCAACATGTTTGACGTGGTCGTCGGCAGCAACCTCTTTGGCGACATTCTGTCCGACCTGGGGCCTGCATGCACGGGCACCATTGGCATCGCGCCGTCTGCAAACATCAACCCGGACGGCAAGTTCCCCAGCCTCTTCGAGCCCGTTCACGGCAGCGCTCCGGACATTGCGGGAAAGGGGGTTGCGAACCCGGTGGGCATGGTTTGGGCTGGCCAGATGCTGCTGCAGCACTTTGGGCATGACAGGGCTGCTGGCCTGCTGCTTCAGGCAATGGAGAATGTCATGGCTCGGGCGGAGGAGGGAGTGGTGACGCCGGATATTGGGGGCAAGGGGACGACGAAGAGCTTTGGGAAGGACATAGACGATGAGATTTGGAGGTTGGCTGGAGGTGAGATGTCTGGGAGGAAGTGAGTTCTGGTTTATGCTACCTTGTTCATGCTTGGATCTAGACGGAGATGATGCGTGTAAGTCATTCTCGGGCGTCTCAGGGCTTTCTCAACACACCAAAACAATGTAGTTCTATCAAACTTGGATAATGTCCGGAATCCGGATCAGATCAAGGATACCTGTACTGTATACCGATAAAGCCCAAATAAGACGATGGCGTTCTTCATGTCAGCCAAAGCCACATGAAATACCAGACCTCGGCATCTCCATCCCCAAATTTGTCAGCGCCACCATTCTGTCAAACCCGCACTTGAGCGGTCATATCAGCTCGCCATCTGTCCGCAAGATGCCGCAGCCATCCTCCAGCTGCTGCGTGACTCGTACATCCGCAGCCATCAGTTCCCTGCTGCCGGAAGACGCTACTATTCTTCCCCCCATCATGGACGGGCGATATGAAAGCCTGGCGACGACGCCCGCGCCGTTTGCCTGCTTAGCATGCCGCGACTCGAAGAGGCGGTGCGACCGGGCTCTTCCGCAGTGCAGAGGCTGTCTCCGGTGAGGGCGACTTGTCCGAGTTACCGTCGCCGGTAAAACAAAGGTGTTCTTGTATATATACTGATCCGTGGCAAACTGCGCTGTAGAAAGCGGATCGTGTGCGACTATCCGTATCGCCGCAAGAAGAGAGAGCGAAAGACTCGACCTGCTCCGTCCAACGCTGTCGTGTCTCCCACCTCCGGCTTGCTCACGGACCAGGCCTCCTTTACAGCCGAGACATCGCACCCAAGCCCGGAATACGATCATGCCCTCCACCTCGGCTCTTCTCCGTCCGCCGCGGCCAACTTTCTCACCGAGCGCTTCCTCGATCCGGAGGCCTTCACCAGCGCCCAGCTCAGAGTCCCGGAGCCATCCGTGGACCATCTCATCACAAAGCAAGTGTCGGACTTTGTGGGAGATGTTGCCAACATCAAGGCGACCTCCGACAAGTTCTTTGCTTCTGTGCACGAGTGGATGCCGGTTGTGTCTCGGATCCAGTTCCTGGCGAATCTTGTCAGCTGGCTTACGCATAAGCGCGCTGAGCTGTTCTATCTCATTCTTGCCATGAGGCTGTCCAGCGAGCAGGTTTCGAACCCGAGGACGCCGCTTTACCAGGCCACAAAGCATCTGCAGTTTAGGCTCGAGCACTCTGGTGTTTTGTCTCTGCAGGTTATCCAGGCTTCGGTTCTTGTGGCTCTCTATGAGATTGGACATGGCGTGTATCCATCAGCCTTCTTGTCCATCGCCGGGTGTGCTCGCTATGCTACCGCTCTAGGGATTGACAAGTCGATTTTGCATCGAGACTTGACTGGAATATCCTGGAACGAATTGGAGGAACGCCGCAGAGTCTGGTGGTCAATACTTGTTCTGGATAGGTATTGATACTCCCCTATGCTCTACATCTTACCGAATTTGAAGTTGACCGCAGCCTCAGATTTCTAAACCTGTGTGACCCCAGTCGCCACCTAGTGACGCCCGACCCAATCTTGGAGAACTGGCTACCTGTTGATGATGCTGCCTTCAATAATGGAGTAAGTTCTAGTTGCTAAGCCTCCTGGCTGGTTCATCTTTGACACAAGGTCCAATAGTCTGGCAGACCGGAGGACGCATACACACTGGGCTCAGCCACTGCCCTCGACCTGGGCCGCTTTGCTCGCTTCGCACAGGCCGCTCACTTACTCGGCCAGGTTCTCCGCCATGTTGCCGAAGGATCTCCAGAGAGCGAGACGGCGCAGCTGAGGCGCACCATATTCTCCCTCGTCAACGTTTCCAGGCTCGAAGCGCACCTGAGGCAGATGGAATTCTGCTCCCAGACGGCTGTGTGTTATTGGTACGTTCAATCTTCGACGACTCTGCTTCTGTCTGGTGTGGTCACTAACAACTCCAAGCGGGATCCTTCTCCTGGACTCTTCCCAGGCAAAGAATAAGGACAGGTCGGGATCGTCCGTCACGTCTCTCGACCAGCTGTCTACGGAGACCGATGCGATCTCACAAACGGCGCTGCAGATTTCTAACCATATCCTTACACGGCGATCCTTTATGGAGATACACAACCGCTCGTCTCCGTTCCTCCTGCATATGTTTTATAGAGTTGCGCTGCTGCATTTGGAAGCATCGCGGTCGACGCCCGGCGGTGCCACCGCTGACAAGTTGCATCTGATTAAGCAGGCGATGGAGGTCATCGGCCGTCGATGGCAGGTTGCTCGTACGTCTTCACAGGAAATGACAACTGGATGCCCGCTGACATACACAGAATCGTATCTCTCGTTGCTGTCGCGGCACGAAATCATGCAAGCAATGAGGTAGATGCAAACATCACGGCGAATCGTCCCCCTTACTGTGCCCGAGATGAGCCATCGCGGACCACGTCCGTCAATCAGACGTGGAGGCGTGGGGGTGGTGATGCTCACAACGGCACCGCTTGCTGAGGTACTTTGAAAGAACATGTGGTCTGGGCAAGTTCTTTGCCTTTCGGGATCGATTACTTTACCGGTTTTGCTGCTGATCAAGACGGCGATTGCTTGCTGAACCGCGAATATCGATCTGACAGTTGCAAATTCTTCTCCCAGGATATGCATAAAGCACGCTCAGGACCGTACATATGCAAGTCATATCGCAACCTTCAACAGTGTACGATAATCGGACCCAAGGTGGGCAAAGGTGATGTGGAGTTCATCGCCACCAAACGTAACATCGAGATAGAATTGGGGTTCCGCAGTCCAAGTATATATTATCCCAGAGGGAGAAGCAATGTGGATGTCGGGGCTGGTCGCCCTTCCAATCCGCTTCTTTGCCTTTGCAAGCCACGGATCTGCGCAGAACTGCGTCGTTGGTGAGACCAGCGCGGATAGGAGATTTTGCAAGGCGATTCTGTGAGGGTAGAGTGTATGGTTGCGGAGAAAAGCAGGCTTGAAAGGAGCTGAAAACATCCAAGTGTCTGTTCTTAGCCCTGTAATTTGACAAGTTGCGAAGGCATTTGATCAGAGAATCGTCAAATTATATGGTCAAACTGGAGTTTTCATAGTATCTAAGCTGTTCACATCCATTGAACAGTGAAAGTCTTGTTTTATAATCCCCGATGCCTCTTCTACCCAACACCAATTCCATTACTGGAAGCTCCAGCTCCGGCTCCGGCTCCGGCTCCGGCCACAGTCCACCGTAACTCCGGCTAACAGTAGCCATTTGCTCCCTTTAGATCTGTGCTGGTTACTAATAAACAAGCACATAGAGCTGCTGTGTCCATGTATACTTGTTTAACTTATAGTTCTGGGTACAGTCTGGTCGACTTGTTGAACGTGAAGTTACCATGTTGCTTCCCATCATGTCAGTGAAGTCTCTGAGAAGTAGTCCAAGTGTTGTCCTTGACTGTTGTCTTTGCTACCTAGCGATCCTTGTTCTGTCCTTTGTGCCACTCAGCTCAGTCTTTGCCGTGGATGTACTGCATCATGACGGGTTTGCAGGAGGACACGAGCTTGATGTCACCCAGCGGGTAATGCCGCAGTGAAATTCTGTCTTGACATTGCCCATGACAGCTCCCTACAATGACGTTACTGCTACTACCGTATTACTCGCGCCATGTGTCAAAACCATCTCACCCACACACAGATCACACCGCTCGGCGATATGCCGCATGGATCACAGACATGACTGACAGCTGGCATCGCGTGTTTGTTTCGTTTTGTCTCGGGAAAGCATGCGGCCGCACCGCAGAAACACTTCGGGATGTCACTCCCACTGTGGGGAGGAGACTGAGGCTGTGAACTGGGAGTAGTAATGATAGATCAACCCCGAGTTCCGAGACACATTGTGGCAAGATGGACTGACGTGAGTGGCAAGTAAATCAAAGCGTGGGATCGCAGGCTGGAACATGCATCCGTATGTAGGGCAGATATTTTTTTTCCCCCTAAAAACCCATTGGAGGAGGAGAGCCAAGAAGCACTCCCTAAAGGGATTGTGAGCTGGCAAGTTGAGCAAGCGTTCGAGCGCAGGTTGGCCTCTCTCAATGTCAGGGGACTTGACCTCGAGGTATAAGTATGCGACATCTTTCAGGCATCTACGGAGTACTTCACACCATCAATCAAGCTTTACCAAGTATTGTCCAGAATGAAGCCCCTTTCTTGCATCGCCGCCCTCCTGGCCGCCTCGGGGGCCAGCGCCAAGGTGACCAATCTTCCCAAGAAAGATGTAGTCTGCGGTAAGAGAGCCATGTTAGTGTGAAGAGGTCATAGGGGAGGCGACTTACCTTCAAACGTGCAGGAAACATCCGCGCCTTCAAGCCCTCCGATGTTGAAGCCGCTGGCAACGCTGCCCTTCAACACAAAGACAACCCTATTGGTAAGCGGGCAAGCCCATAATCTTGCTTGCCCACGACTTCATGATTGACCGTCTGTCATCATTCAGGTGCTCGAAAGTACCCTCACATCTACCACTTTAACCGACCCGACTGTGGCACTGAACTCTGGGGCTATCCGCTCCTGTGGACGTTTCCTTACAGTGGAGGAGATCCTTTGTTGTCGAGGGCCATATTCACCTTTGTCCAGGAAGGAGGCGAGTTGGTAGCACGGTAAGCTCAAAAAAAGCATCCAGCTGGTCTCTAATGTGCATTTCTGACGTCCCTTAGATACTGCGGTACTTATGCTCATAAGACGAGGCCTGATGACAAGGACTTTTACCAGTGCAAGGATTCCTGAAATGTCTGAGCGCTCTCAATCATTCATTTTCACGATAGAGTCAGCATTGACGCATATGTAGTCATTCCTAGACTGCCATCATATCTCCCTCTATTACACTGTAGCATTAATAGAATGACAAGGCGTGATTCCAACAACAATTTGTGCCTGAGCGCTTCTGCCGCTTTCGTACTTCAGTCCTTCTTCTTCTCAAAAATCTCCAAGATATCCCTGTTCCCACAGGCAGCAGCCGCATCAATGGCCGTCTGCTGCGCATTATCCTCCGCCATAACATCAAGCCCCAACTCCATCAACTCCCTGAACCGTTCCACGTCTCCGCCCGCAGCAACATGCAACAGCCCTCGTCCCCGAGCATCTCTAGCTAAAAAGTCACCACCAAGCTTCTCTAACAGTGCCGTCGTATGTTCCCCAGAAGGTCTATCTGGCTCAGGAAAGTACTGCGCATTGGCGTTCGTCTTGGGGCAGCTGTAGAATGAAAAGAGAGCTGTCTCGCCACGATTGTTGCGAGCGTTAATGTCAAGGCCTCGGTTGACGAGAGTCTCAAACAACGCGCGCAAAGTTGCAATGGCAAGGCCGCGGCCTAGTATGTGAAGCAGAGTGTCTCCGTCCCTGTTAACGACGGTGTAATCTGCCCCGGCCTGCAACAGCATCTCTGCTCCGCCAGTTGCGTTCTTCCGGACTGCTCGGATCACGGCAGAGTGAAATGGAGTCTCGCCATTTCCATCTGGCTGGTTCATCAGCGAGGGAGCTTTGGCAAGTGTATAAGCAAAGAAGTTTCTGAACGCAGAAGACTCGATGTCGACCTCGCCACCGAGCATGTAATGCAGGACGTTTCGACCAAAGTTATCTGTAGCCTCCAGGTCTGCGCCGAGAGACAGCAGCCGTTCAAAGACGGCGACACGCTCCTTGAGACTATCACCGTGATGCTTCGTGTATGAACCAACAATATGATCTGGGCCGCCACTGTCTGGATGGCACCTGTTCTCGCATATCATGTGGAGAAGAGTGCGTCCCTTTGCGTCTCGGTGGTTGACATTGAGAGTTGGAAGTTCGAAGAATACATCAGCTAAGATGCCTCCGTATAGCGCCTCGTGCAACAGGGTGCATTCTTTCCAGCCCTTTGGCACGTCGATGGTAGGAGTCTGCGCTCCCAACAAGTCGTTCGCGTTGGCCTCTTTTGTGTCTTTCTTCAAAAACTTCGCAAATGGATCAGCTCCATGCTGGAGGAGGATCCGAACGATATCCTCCCTCTTGGCAAATTCCTCGTACGCATTGTCCGTGGCATGCCAAGGGGGGTTCAACTGCATGGCGGCATAATAGAGAGGAAACACTTCCTGTGGCTCCAGTTGGAGATTGTACAGCCTCCTTTCGTGCGAAGCTCCAGATGGCACATCTCGACGTGTGTTGGGGTCAACTCCTCCAGACAACAGCGCTCGGAGCACTCTGACGTTGCCGGACTCGATGGCGCCGAAGATGGAGTCCACGTTTGCAACGGCTCCGTGGTTGACGAGGAAGTCTATCATGTCCACGTTATGCTGCGCGCACGCAAGACAGCTCTGCCCCTTGCCGTTGACTGCGTTTACATCTGCGCCTCTTTCGATCAGGATCCTGGCTGCCTCCCAGTTATAGGGGCCGTACCAATTGTCGTCTGCTTGAAGGGCCATGTGGAGGGGTGTCTGGCCGTTGGAGTTACGCATGTGAATGTCTGCGCCGGCATCGAGCAGATAGGGCAATGCCTGGTGAACTTGCCACCAGTTGTCGCCCCGGGCGACACGGAAGAGAGCAGCCTCGTCAGACTCGTCCGTTTCGTTGACATCGACGGCAAATCGCTCAACCAGCAGTCGAAGGATGTCCATGTTGGGCAATTCGCACTGGACTGCGTCGAAGATGAGAGGCCTCGTATAGGGGAGTGGACCATCTCTCTTTGAGTACCAGAGACCAGGCCGTGTGGTGTCTCCAAAAGCGTGCCAGTCTCCTGCTTCAAGCCTTCTCTCTGCTTCTATAGAGCCTATCCGCTCAACAAGGGATGCGAAGCCCATCTGTATGAGATGTGATAGGGTGCATGTGTCGTCTCGACCATACCTGAACTCTGGGAGCGTCTTTGGAAGAAAGCCGACCCCAAGCCGAGAAAGCTCTTCGACTAGATGATACTCCCTTCTAGCGAGAAAGCGAGTGACAAGATGCAGCGGGACAACTTGGCCCTCAGCACCCGGATCGATGAAACTTGATGCTTTCAGGGCTCCGAGTGCAGCTTCTTTTTCGCGGTGCTGTATACCCTCAATCAGCTCGGTGACCACATCTCTGCTTTCTTGAGCATCTCGACAATTTGACGCCTGGCTAAGGGCACGCTTCAAGCACGCGGCAGTATAATCTCGATGCTTCGCCAGAGCTTGCCTGATCAAACCGTCTTGATATTTCTCCGGATTGTCCTTGAGCTGAGATGTATTGACGCCATGCCGAACAAGCATATCAATAATCTCTTCAAGTCGTGCTGTATCGCTGGAACAGATACCTTTAATCGTAGCGCTCCATGGGTCATACACACCGTGACGGTAGGTATCTGTCAGTTTAAGGGGAGAATTATACTCATGTTCATCCTCATCATCTTGGGGAAGACGGGGCTGATTCCATAACGCGCATTCTTCCTCAAATTCAAGGCAAGCCCCAAGGAGGTTCCCGATGTGGACGTCCGCCCCGGCGTCTAGGAGAAGCGACACAAGTTCTGGTCTCCCTGATCGGCAGGCATAGTAGAGAGGCGTGATTATCTCGTTTTTATGTACTGCTTTTGCGTTCACTCCATGTACGACGTGTGAGGCAGTCGATGATTTGTGAGAATGAGGAGTACCGGAATCTGTTTGCTGTGTGGCGCTGCCAGGAATTGCTGCTGCCTCTTGTCGCCCCCTTATGGTATGAAGCAGGAGGCCGACGTTGTTACTGTCTCTGCACCGAGCAGCAAGATGAAGAGGAGTGAGTCCTTCATATGTAGTCACCAGAGGGTCCGCACCCGCATCAATCAGCTTCTTTGCATACAGTCTTCCACACGTCACAGCTATATGGAGAGGCGTGGTTCCATCCATATCGGGGACATTGACATCCCTCACCCGAGAGAGCACAAAGTCAATAGGCATAGTGGTCCCCGGCTTGAATCGTAGGGTGTGAGTGCGGGCTGCGCAAAGATAATGAAGCGGCGTACGCCCGGCATGATTTCTCTGCTCCAAGTCCAGCCCGAGAGAAAGAAGCTGTTGCCAGAATGCGGTGAGATGCATGCCATTGTAAGAGCTGTGATTGTTTCTCCGCATAGCCAATGTATGCAGCAGAGTGTTTCCCCTGTAGTCAACGGCCTTGACGTCGAGGTGCAAGTCAATCAGGAAATCGAGTCTCGATATATTAGTGGCGCCGTCACGCCTGGAAGGTCTGGAAGCATCATGGTACTTGACTGCCTGATGCAGGGCTGTTTCGCCATGGTAATTGCGTTGAAAAGGCGACAGCCCGTGATCAATGACATGGGCAAGGTATCGCTGAGACACATCGCCGTAATGCCGCTCTGAGGTAGAGAGAAGACGGAAGAGCAGATTGTTTCCATTTCGATCAACTGCATTGATATCGGCGCCGAACTCGAGGAACGCGTCCAGTATGTCCATGTAGCCCGCGTCAACATAGCTGCAGAGTAGCAACGGAGTGAGGCCATCGTGGTTCCGTGCGTTGGGATCAGCTCCTCCGACAAGGAGAGCTCTGACAGTCTCTGCACGGGCGCCGTATCCTTGCATGAGGAGATGCAGCGGCGTGTTGCCTTTGCTGTCAGCAGCCCTGCAATCCGCTCCATACGCCAAGAACCTCGTCAAGGCGTCTCCTTCAAGCATACGGATGAGAGCATGGAGAGGAGTCTGCCCGTCATGCGTCGCGGCGTTGATATCGGCATGTCCCTCTTCAACCAGTAGCTCTACAGATGGCATCAAGGAATACCTTGAGGACCGGAGGTAATGAAGAGGTCTTTCTCCATCATTGGTGGCGGCATTTGCGTCCAGCCCGGCATCGAGGAGTAGCTTGAGGAGGACTGACGAGTTGACTGCAGTATGAAGTGCAGTTTCGCCCAAGGGGGTGCGGTAGTGAATGTCGACTCCGGCCTGAAGCAGCAACGGAAAGATATTCTGCAACCTCTCTTCATTTCGTTCCCCTCCATGTCGATTGCACAAGGCAAAGAAGCAGTTCATCTTGGCGGGCTCCGGCCACTGATAGCCAACACTCTTGTCGCCAATATCGCATTTGATGTTAGGATCCGCGCCGAGCTGCAGAAGCATGGCTACCTGGACGTCGTCCACCTTCTCACACGCCCTATAGAGCGGTGTCTGGCCGTCAACCGCGGTGTTGACATCTACGCCAGGCTGCTCAAGCAGGAGAGTAACGTTCTTTGCGGCGCCCACGCTGGCGGCCCACGCCACAGCGCGGTGCAGCACGTCCAGGTTGTCCTTGATGAACGGAAGAAAGGCTTTCAGTGCCTCGAGGTGATCGTGGCAGGCATACATCAGAGGCGTGTCCCCGATAGACGAATCGCCATTGCCGCACCGGACCCAGGGATCATCGAGAGTCTTTTCCGTCAGAGGATCGACGCCTGCTTCCAACAGTGCCGTTACGGCAGCAGCGTGGTTGTTGCTGGCAGCCACATGCAAAGGCTTGAGTCCAGAGTAGTTGTCGGGCATATCCGGGTTTGCACCGCTTTCTAGGAGGGCCATGATAACCTTTGCATGTCCCTCCCATGCAGCCCACCAACTGTAAAGAGCATTTGTGTTAGCCAGGGCTTATGAAAGAGTAGGTAAGAAAGAACCTTGTGGCCCCGGTTGAATGCAGGGCAGAATGAGCTTACATGGGCGTTCTATCGTAGATGTCGACTACGTCGGCGTCAAAGGTGTAGAGCAGTTCTTTGGTAAAGGAGACCAGGCCAGACTTGGCAGCGATATGAAGCTTCGTAACCTTTCTGGCGCCCATGCTGTTCTCCGGCCATCTCATCTGCAGCCACGCCTTCATGTTGTCACCATCGTCAAACAGTCCGTTGAGCTTCGCGTTGATCTCTGTTTGATCGTGACCGGCCGCTTCGGACTTTGCAACGTGTATATGCCAGTTACTGGCTGCATACTCATAGAACGGGTACTGAAGCCTCAATTGGACTTCGGCATCTTGCAGTTTGCGTTCATACTTGAGTTGCTCGCCACCAAACCCCCACTGGGCCTGTGACAGGTAGTCTATAGCTTCGTCTGTGTCCAGAGCAACAGCGCTGAGACATCCCGATTGCAGGTATAGGATACACTGGAGGGCCAGTTGAGCATGGGCCGGACCCATATGCAAGACGGGATATCCTGCTTGTAGGTCCTCTGAAGATCGTGTAGTGCCTTTGAGATACTCTGTGAATGAGTGGTGAATCACCGACACTGTCTCATCTGGTAAGATTTCCAGCAACGGTCCGCACGCAGCTCTTATGAGACCCTTTGTCGTTTTGATATCCCGCGTGGAGTCTCCGCGGAAACTGATCCTGATCATTTCCGCCAGCTCAAGCAGCCTCAAGGGACGAGTGGCATGGGTGACAGACTGCAAGATGAGATGCTGGATATCATCCGGCACCCCGGATCGCTGCGCGTGTTCAGCTAATAGATCGGTGTAAAGGGCGTTCAAATCCGTTGGAAGCCTCGAGAGGACAGAGTTGATATCGACGCCCGGTTCGAGAAATGCATCCATAGCGAGTTTGGCGTAGAGGAACAAGCCATTCGCTCGGCCCGGCACCGCGTCCGCAATGACGTTCCATTCGCTCTTCGGAATGCTGGATCTTGACAGAGTGAAATGGACGTAAGTCGCAATGTCCACATCTACCAGCTCCTCTTGTAGACGAATGTGTAGGCATGGAGTCTTCCGCAGTGGCATCTCGACGCTTGCAACAGGACGGCTGGTGATCAGAACCTTGACCGTCTTTGGCCGCCATCCGCCGAGTTCCCCAAGTGCTTGTAGGAAGCCGTCATGGCCACAATCTATTTCGTCGAGTGCGTCCGCCACGCAAAAGACTCTTGCGGGTAGACTCGCAAAGGCCAGCCGAAGGTGCTTCCACATATCCTCCAGAGATACGCTTTCAACCGCCCGATGAGCTTCGACATATGTCTTGAGCTGCGTTTGCAGAGGAGGGCTGTAGATGAGTAGCTGATCCATCCAATCCCGTAAGAGGGCTCTGGGCTCATGATTGGCATCGATGATCTGGCGGAAGAAGAAGAAGAGCACGGGAGAGCCGGGATGCGATTTCGCAAGCTCATCGATGAGGCTGGCTGCCATGACGGACTTGCCCGATCCCGGAATTCCCTTGATCCAGAGCAATCCGTGCTCTTCGCTATCCAGCCATTTCTGATACGCATCGCTCGAGGTGAGCCAGCGGCCGGTGCCCGCGACATGAGAGGACAAGTGTCTGCGGAACTCGCCTCCCGCAACGTCGTATGCGGTAGGTTGGAGCCATTGTCGGATGTTCTCTATCACTTCAGGGGGTTCGGGCAGTAACTGTTCTGGATTGTAGTCACTGATGTCGTCTCTGCCGATGAAGACAGCATCTAGCTCCTCGTCGTGGAAGATGACTTCCCCATCACTAGCCAGGCTCGTTGGACTCATGATGCTGGTTCAGGGTCCGATAACACTGAAGCACTCAGTGCTACCGAAATAGCCAAACAAATTGCACAGTCGTCTCAGTCGTCAGTATAGGTTTCACTCGGCAATTGGTCTCAACCTCCTCAACTTGAACAACGCAAATCTGCATGTTGTTGTAACGACACAATTCTCCATCCTGCCTTCGTTATGCTTGGAGAGGCACGACGGCCTGCTGCCTAGATCTGATGCATGTCGAGTCACATGGGGGCCAAGCTTGCATGCCATGCACCTCGTGTACAAGAGTAAGCGCTTACACTCACTGATTGGCTCATCTTTCTTGCTTTGAATCATCAGCATTTTCGAAGGATTGTCCAACAAGGGGAGAGATGGGATGCTGGGTATGATTGTCCTCACCAAAGTCCCGAATTGAGCGACCCCCAAATTACATACCTAGAGTTAGAGATATCACGACTAGCAGAAAGTATCCGCAACCAGCAGAAGGTATCGCAACCAGCAGAAGGTATCGCAACCAGCTTGTATCTGAATGTATAGGTACAGCAGCAGGCGTTGCGACTGGACACTCCAGGCCTGTATCTTCAGTAGCGCATGCAAAAGCGATGGAAGCCTATGTATCCAAGCAAGTCGGTGCCTGAATAGCAATCTGTCAGTGCCCCGGCAGCAATACTCAGTAAGGAATACATGTTTGGAACACTTTGCAGACTGAACTCAAACATATATCGCCGACGCACGTTGAGTCTAGAGCCGGAGCCATGAAATTGGTACATAATCTGGTCAGCATGTATACTCAGGAGGCCACAAAGTTGACATGTGGTAGTTATGTTTCCCTGTTGAGATAGCCGCCATCTCATGATAACAAGTCCGGCTGCCGAATCTGCTACCGGTATGAAACAGCCATTATATATTCGAGATAGATAGGCATACTACTTCATTCCAAGTATCAACATGTTAAAGCTTGCCACATTCACAACTGCACCTTCAGAAACCTCTCCAGCCCCATCCGTCGATAGGCATTCACCTTGTTATTATCCACCACCGCCGCACCGACATCTCCCCCGTCCAGCACCGCATCAACCGACACCCTAAACGGCTTCTTCCCCCTCGGAACGTCCGCCAAATCAGCCAGCGCATCCGCAACAAGCGACGGATCCGCGTCCGGCGGCAACAGCCCCTCCGTCCCTTTCAACGTATCCTCCGCCATCCCCTTGGTAGGCCCCTCCTCATACTCCGCCTCGACATCCCCAAGCTCCGGCTTGGCAGCGTCGATGAAGTGATTCGTACCCTTTGTAAACACCCCCGGCAGCACAATCGTTGTCTCGATCCCCCACGGCGCAAGCTCGTGCGCGTACGACTGCGCAAGAGAGTCTTGGGCGGCCTTTGCGGCAAAGTAAGGGCCAGCCATGGGCGACTTGGCCCCGTACGTCGAGCTGCTGCAGATCCAGATGAGGTGGCCGGATCGCTGCCGTCGCATGTGCGGCAGGGCGGCCTGGTTCAGTCTCTGGCAGCCGACGACGTTGACGTCGTACAGGTGAAGCAGCTGCTTTGCGCTGAAGCTCTCGGATGGGCCCCAGCAGAGGTGGCCTGCGTTGTGGACGACGGCGTCGATTCGGCCGGCTGATTTGAGAACGTGGTTCACGGCTGCATTGACGGAATCCTGGGATAAGAGGTCCAGGGGAATGGCGTGAAGGTCCACCTTGTGCTCTTGAGCGAATTGCGAAACGGCTTCTTCGTAGCCTTTGGTGTTGCCGTTGTGCGAATACATTCCTGCAAAGACGGTATGCCCTCTTTTGGCGATGGCTTGCGCTGCCAGAGCTCCAAAGCCGGTGGATGCTCCTGAGATGAGGTATGCTTGGGCCATGTTGGAAAGCTTGGTGTAAGTTGCTGTGTAAGTGCGAACCAGTAAGGTACATCTAGAATTTGGCGTCAAGTACGTTTGAAGTGAGATACTATTTTCCTGATGATAGATTCATTGCTTAGACAGTTTGACAACATGCTCCTTATATAGGTACTTTTCTCTTCAATTCTTCAAATGTCACTGCCGTGTCGAAGTTCAAAGTATTAGGGTCTGGACATATGCCCGGGTTGTAGTCGTTCGGAATAAGCACCCTTTCGGAAATAATAACTGCGAATGCAACCCACAATCAGAACATGAATGTCAGGCCCATTCATTATCAGATGAGGCCATCGGAGAGGAACTAATAATTGCCAGATTGAGCCCGATCCATGAGCCGTCCGCGAAGGAGGTCGTGTGAACAATGATTTTTAGCTTGGCAATGCCCTTTGTAACAGAAGATGAGAAGCATCTTTGTAGCTACATCAGTTTCAACTGGACTCGAGCTGACCATTGTTCCCAAGTGAACAAAAAAAAAAAAAAAAAAAACCAGCCGGCAGTCTCCTAGACAAGCGGGAGTATAACAATATGAAGGTAGGCATGTCGTTCAAGCTCCGTCCTAGAAGCAACAACATCACGATGCATAACCGTGATCAATCCCTCGAACACAATTCCACATCAGCCAATTAAGTCTACAAGTAAATGGAATGTTATTTTGAGAACTTGGCGGGCGCAGGGCAGTTGTTGCTCTGTATGTACTAGTAGTAACCCTCTTTTCGAACCGTCCATCTGGAAGCTCGCGTTTCGGACTTAGACAATCTCCACCAAAAACGCTGCAAAAGAGCTCGATGTGCAACAACGTCAAACGAACAGCCCTCAGTGCCAATAGAAGCACATCTCATGTCACGCATTAAAGTGAATACCATGAGCATCATTCGTAGACGTCAATAAACGGCTGATTATCTATTACATCTGCGTCTCTGGGGCGGTCATAGTGGGACGACCTATAGCCTCACTAGATTCCCTACCAGCGCAATTATAGAGTGTATATCTACCTACCTAGTACTATTGCTTCAATCATTTCTGGCTACCTACCCATGTTCTTCATAGCATAGCTAGCTATACATCTCACTAGGACTAAGCGTCTTGACTGGACCATCGCTCTGGGACGTGCAGCCGGACTTTTCGCTCTTGAGGTCCCACTCAACCGCGGTTCCTGAGATAAACCCTCGGAAATAGTCTCAGAATATACGGCGCCTCCACTGGCGAGAGCAGCAGTTTCAGCCTTGGACAGACCGTTCATTGGCGGATCAACTTCTTGATCGATCGGATTTGTTGCTTCTGCAATAAAGCCATTCCCGATGGCTCTGAATGGAAGCAGAAAGATTATAGAAGGTAACAAGAAATCTAGGTATCCATCTTGAATGGTCCCACTGGCAGGCATATAGTATATATGTGTCAACTGCCATCGATGACAAGATACCAAGTCAAACTCAGCAGCCAGCAACATCACAGTCTACGCCCTCACCTTGGACAACCGAAACCAGAATAAACAAAACCTCAAGCTACGGCAACTTCACCGTTATCATCATCACCATGTCACTCCCCAAAACATACAAGGCAATGGTCACCCTCGAGGCCAACGCCCCCTTCACCCAGAAAGAGCTTCCGCTCCAGCTACCCGGCCCCAACCAGGTCCTCGTCAAGGTCCTCGCCTGCGGCGTCTGCTCCTCCGACGTCTCCATCATCGCGGGCCACGTCGGCCCCGTGTTCCCCCGCGTCACGGGCCACGAGCTCGTCGGCGACGTCGTTGCCGTGGGCGAAAACGTGACGCGCCTCACAGTCGGCCAAAGAGTCGGCGGCCCGTGGCACGGCGGACATGACGGAACGTGTCGGCAGTGCCAGCGCTCGCAGTTTCAGTACTGCGCGAACCAGGCCGTCAACGGGGTCAGCTTTGACGGGGGATATGCGGAATACGTCTTGCTCCGAGCCGAAGCCGTTGTTCGTGTGCCCAAAGAGGTCGACGCAGCGGAGATTGCCCCCTTCTTGTGCGCGGGCGTGACCGTCTTCAACGGAATCCGCAAGCTGCACGTCGAGCAGGGCGGCGTCGTCGTCGTCAACGGACTCGGCGGACTGGGCCATCTGGCCGTCCAGTACGCCAACAAGATGGGCTACGAAGTCGTTGCCCTGTCGTCCGGCGACGACAAGGCCGGCTTCGCAAAGGATCTCGGCGCGCACCACTACATCAACACCAAGGCGTCCGACGCAGTGGCCGAGATCCTCAAGCTTGGCGGTGCCGACATTGTCGTGCAAACGGCCCCAGATGCTGAGATGATCAGCACCCTCGTCAAGGCGCTGGCGCCAGGAGGAAAGATGCTCAACCTGTGTCTGATTGGGCCGGTTCCCATTGACACGACAGCGCTGGTGATGAAGGGAGCCAGTGTTCACGGGTGGGCGAGCGGACACGCGATTGACAGCGAGGAGGCGATTCAGTTTGCCGTCAGGCACGGGATCCGGTGCATGATCCAGCGGTATCCGTTGGCCGAGGCGCAGAAGGCGGTGGACGACTTGGTTGCGGGAAAGCCGCGGTTCAGGAACGTGCTGGTGATGGATCAGTGAGGGAGGGAGGCACCAGATGATGATGATGATGCCCTGCTGGTGGTGGTTTGGTGTAGTACTACCTTATATAGATGGTTATGTAATCAAGTGCCGTGTTTAGCGAGGTCTCTACTAGCAGTATTCTCAGGTACCTTACTGTAATACAGGTACAGGTTGGTAGATCCAGAGAGCCACCGGCTCCACCTCCGCAAGTGACAGGTACCAAGTCAGGTCTGGTCCCTTTCCGTGATCGCTTCAAAACCGTCAACTTGAACCCCCTTGCATGTACAAGCGAGGCAATCGAAACAAAACAACCACCTGAAGATAGCAATTTTCTCATTCTCAATCTTCAATACTTACCAATGCCTCAAACCACACCTCATCGATCCCGCACAGCAAACACAAGTCACCCGCACGCATCTCCCATCCATCCAGTCTCACACAAGCCCCTTCTCGAATGTTCCACCTCGCCCGCATTAGAAATCTCCCCGCCACGGATTCAGGGTCCTTCGATGCCGCTCATGTCGTCCGATGCATCTCAGAGCAACTCCGACGTGCGCGATAAGACTTCCCTTTCCATGGCATCTCTCGCGCATCTTTTTTCCCTTTCTTTTTTTTCTTTCTTTTCATCACTCAGCAGGCGACGTCTTAGACATTTGATTATACCTACTGTCCATCAGTTTATTGTCGTGTATCCCATTTCTCAGCCGCAGTGAACCACCTCACCTTCATTTACATCCCCTCTCCAACTTATACCTACTACTCATCGGGCACCACTCCGACACAGCCCGGTGATACAAAGACTGTCTACATACCTACAATAAACCCCGTAGAACATACCACAATCATCGAGCCTTGGCTGGCTGAGCAACGCGCTCTCAATCCGCTCTGCTGGTGTTCACTTAGCATGAACCTCTCCCGCCATTAGTCGCAAGGTTTCCCATCTTCTATCAACCACCCTCCATCAACACCACCACACCCAAAACCGCCAAAAATGTCCAAATCACTACAGCTCAAGGAAGAAGGCAACCGCCACTTCCAAGCCGGCGACTACATCGGCGCCGACAGCCTCTACTCCAAAGCGTAAGCCCTTTTCCCCCCTTGAATCTCATCATCCCCAAACCTCAACATCAAGAAAAACTCACCAACCAACCAACCAAAAAAATAGCATCATCGCCGACCCCAAGAACCCAGCCCTCTACACCAACCGCGCCATGGCCCGCCTCAAGCTCAACCACTGGGACTCCGTCATCGCCGACTGCGAGACCTGCCTGTCCCTCTCCCCCAACAACATGAAGGCCCACTACTACCTGGCCCAGGCCCAGCTCTCCCTGCGCGACTACGACGCCGCCCTGAGCAACGCCCTCGAGGCGCACCGCCTCTGCGCCGCCAACAACGACAAGTCCCTCGCGGCCGTCACCAGCATCGTCCTCAGGTGCAAGAAGGAGCGCTGGGCGGACCGCGAGAAGAAGAGGCTCAGGGAGGAGCGCGAGCTCGAGGACAGGATGATGGACCTGCTGCGCAAGGACAGGGATGAGATGCTCGCGGCTGTTGCGCCAGACGACGAGGCGGAGAAGAAGGCCGTTGAGGAAGAGGCCGAGCAGAGGATGACTGTCCTGCGCAACGTCTTTGAGGCGGCGCGCGAACAGAATCAGAATAAGCGCGAAGTGCCTGAATGGGCCATTGATGATATCAGCTTCAACGTCATGGTCGACCCTGTCATTGTAAGTTACCCTTGCCTCCCTTTCATCGCCCTCATATGTCTTCCACCTCTTTTTCCACCCCCTCCCCCCCTTCTCATACGTTATATATATCTCTACTCTCTTCACACAGCCTCGATAAAATACTGACCATGCCTTTTCCCACTTCAACAGACAAAAACAGGCAAATCCTACGAACGCGCCTCCATCATGGAACACCTCCGCCGCCACCCCTCCGACCCCCTCACCCGCGATCCCCTCACGCCCGCCGACCTGCGCCCCAACCTCGCCCTACGGCAGGCCTGCGAGGAGTTTCTCGAGAAGAACGGCTGGGCGGCCGATTGGTAGAAGTAAGATAAAATAAAGGCGCACCAACGCCCCCAGTTATGTGACCTCAAACCAAGTCACCATTCTTCTTTTGTTTTTACACTGTTATATATCTACAGTGCCTTTCATGTTTTGTTGTTATGGGAATCAAGGCAAGCGATGCAAAAAATGTTTGGATCAAGTTCTGTTTTCTTTGATATTGTCACGAGGAGAATACACGACTGTTTGCGAGAGTAAACGGCATCGCATGGCGTTATGGGTTTCTTGAGCACTTACATAGCCTTCCTTTTTCACAGTCATAGACATAATGAACTCACCCTTACGACTACTCCCACAGACTCATTGAACCTCTCAGTTCGAGCAGTGTGAGACGACATTGCAAGTCAAATCATGTACATCGTGTATTGCTCATCCAAGCAGGGAAGCCTGTCCATAAGCAAATCCTAATCTATACCCATATATACAAACGACATGAATCCATCCAAAACCGTCGTCAATGGTTTCTTTTTTTACGAACATGCCGCCGCCTCCACCCCCCCCTTCTTTTATCTCCATACGCCTAGAGCAAACGCATGCGTTTCTAACCCTTCAGCCCCGACGCTGCATCCATACGACCGGGTATCGTCATGTCATGAGTGGTCCGTCCCAGACCATATCAACAGAAAGCTCCCGCCTATATACCACCCAATGCGGGAGACAGCCAAGGAAACTCATACAGAGGTGCAGAGGACAGAGAGAGTCTCAAAAGCCAAGCAAAAAAAGACAGCGCGCAGCATCGTGCCCGGTAAAGCCCCCAAGCCCAGATTCCTCAAGAAAGGAAAATAAATAAGAACAGACATCTCAAACGCCGCTTGAATGCAAAATCGTCGCTCCCCTCATTGTGTCCAGACCTTTCTGATCTACATAAAGGCTGGGGATGGGGGTTCTCCTCCTGATGGGCCCGACGGTCCCGGCGGTCTTCTGCCGTCGCCGCTGTCTTCCTTGACAAGCCCAACCTGCTCCTCTTCAGACGGCTGGGGCGTCCGTCGGAAGACGTTGAACGAGAACTGGCGCTTGTTGCCATGAGGTGGCGGTGTGGGCCCAAGGCTCTGGGGGCTGGCGGCAGCGGCTCCGCGATATGCAGTGTCGACATTGTCGTGGGAAAAGTACGACTGCTCGCGGGTCGGGCCATAATAAGCCCCGGCTTCGTCGTCAAGCTTCGACTGGGGCACGGCGATTTGGGTGAGGGGCAGTGGGTGCATCGGGCTGCGGACCTTGTCGATGCCGTACTCAACCCCCTGTTCTTCATCCTCGTCCTGCTCGCTGACCGGCAAGACATGATGCTGATGATGACGAGACCGCCGGCCGCGGATTGTACCCGCTAGGCTGGAGAATACATTGACGTTGTTGCGGTCGTGCTCTGCGAGCTCGCCCTCGGTTGGGAAATGCGACATGCCCAGCGGAGGATGAGGCGTTGGGGGGGCTGGCGAGGGGGGGATGGGGGTCGAGAGCCTCGTCGATCGGCTGCGCATACTGGACGCAATGGTCCGCCTTCGCCTCAGCCCGTCCCATTCGTACATTGGCTGCCCGTCCTCGCTGATGGGGGCCATGGCCTCGGCCGCCTTCTCTTCGTGGAGGCGTCTCAGCTCCTCGGCCTCCATGCGGAGGCGCGCGTTGGAAATGCGCCTGATGATAGCAGCCGCGCCTCGGATGGCATCTGCCTTGGGCTCCGTCTCAGGCTGCGGCTGCTCGGCAATCGTGTGAATCTGGTCGAGGTCGCCGTTGAAGACGGCAGCGTCGGGAACGTCCTTGGCCGACTTGGAAAGCTGCAGTAGCACGACGCCGGAGCATATCGTCAGGAAGCCCAGAACGACGGTTACAATGGACTGAGCAGTGCCCTTGAAGCCCTGGAATAAGACTGCAGATGTGATGATGGTGGTGCTGGTGAAGTAGACGTAATATGTGGGTGTGACAATGGCGGCGTTGAAGAGATTGAGAGCTTTCTGCAAGAGGGGGGGTTGTTTAGTTCAGTCACTTGTATGTAGAATCGCTTCGCAAAGAAACTCACGTTGAGAAAGATAATCTCCGTGAGCAGAGTGCCGACGACAAAGACGAGGAGCACCCATAAAAACCACTCCTTGTACTGGGGCTTCCCACTAGCCCACGCAATAATGGCCGCGCCCAGGCCCTGGGTCGACACGACGCTCAGGCCTCCGATCCAGCTGCAGATGGAGATGTAGACCAGCATGTTCTTCTTACCATACTTTGGTCCGACGAAAAAGGCGACAATGACGGATCCGACGAGGATGACGCCCGTATACGACAGAAAGCCGGGCGTGATGACGTACTTCTGCATCTGCTGGATGTCGGCGACGGAGGACTCCTGCGGCGCGTTCATGACGATGACGACGGAGCCCACGATGCAGAGGAAGCAGGCGACCTTGCCGACCAGGCTCAGGCGCTCCTTGAGGAAGATGGCGGACAGGATGGTGGTGATGACGACGGAGAGCGCGCCCAGCGGCGTGACCAGGATGGCGTCGGTAAAGGCGTAGGCGACAAAGTTGCAGATCTCGCCGATGATCATGAGGATCATGCCCGCCCACCAGTAGGCGTTCTTGAGGTAGCCATAGCCTTCGCCAGCAACTTCGTTATATTTTGCGTTTGCCCTCAGCAGGCCAACCTTTTTGAGTACAAAGGACGTTCCGATAAACAGCCCCGATCCTATGGCCAGGCCGATGCCGATGGCTTTGTAGTATCCCGGCCGCACAGAGTTGTCGCCTCCCGGCACGATTCCACGTGGGAAGAGCAGATCATCGTCCATGGCGGGATCGAGCACCGGGCCCTGGAAGGGCGAGTCGAGAGTGGCAGGAAGAGGAGCGCCAGAGGGTTTGCGACGAGAGTGTAGGTTGAGAGGGCGAGGACTCGGAGCAGAGAGACAGAGAGAGGAGGGGAGGGAGAGGATGCGGGAGGAGTTGAGAAGTCGAATTGGCAGTGGTCGAGCTCGGATTACATGGGAGGGCCGCGGGATCGACGGAAGACCAGATGCGTCGTGGCTATGGCGAGAGCGAAAAGGATGATGGATGATGATGCGTCCAAGTGGCGGTAAATAGAGGGTGGATGCGAGGGCCAATGCGACAGCGGGCGCAGGGAGACAGGTCGAGAGAACGAGTGCGAGTCGAGTTGAGGCGCGTAATTGGATATGGAGAGCAAGAGTCTCAGGAGCAGAACAGGGCGAGTCGCAAGAGATGAAGAAGCAAAAAAGCTGCAAGGTTCAGTAGTAGGGAAAGGGATCGAGCTGCAGGGTTGCGAGTTGTGTATGTATGTATGAAATCAGGTTCAATGGACGGGGCCGAGTCTGGTGTACAAAGTTCCAAGGTTGCGTTGCGCCTTGGTGATGGAGCTGCGCATGTGGCTTGAGAGCACTAACGCCGCTGAGAGGCGGGGGGGCTGGCCAGGGAGCTGCAGCTGGGAGAAGCACTAAAGTTGGAAGGGCTGGCTGGCGCTGTGAGCAGCAACCGGAGGCCCCTACTGGTGGCGGGGGTTCCATTCCCTGTTGGCCAAGCCTGGGAGGGGCACTGAGAAGGGGCGCAGTCGGGCCACGTACCGATATTTAGGTACATGTAGTACTTTGTCGCCTTAACTTAGGTATGGTCTATGGTTTATGGCACGTTAAATTGAGCCAGAGACAAGCATGAGGTTCGTATTGCCTACCTAGTCAGTCTGCAAAGTTGAAATCATGAGAAACCTAAGCGGTTGACGGGACACGCAACTCAGGCTGTCCCTGCAGGAGGATCGATGCGACGATGCATCTCTCGAGCCTAACGATGGACGGCGCCCATCCATTTCGCTGCTACTGGCGGTTGGTGATACCGTCATTGCTACTACAGTACACTAATAGTACCAAAAATTCCAGTTACTCCATCCAGTAAGTGCCAGGTTCGCCAGGTCCAGCCACGTTCTTTGTAGTTTGTGTACTCGTACATGCACCAGCCCGCATCCAGCCTGTTGGTTGAATAAACTCACGACTCGCCAGTCGCTGCAGATGAACCTTATCACGAGACCTATAAATAACTTCACGTAAGAGCTGGGCAGCAAATACGCGTATCACCAACAGCAAAAATCAATGCCAGCCTGCACTTTGTCAAGCAATTGCGCTCACTACCTAAGGTACCTTATGGCCCAACAAAGTACCTAACATTTTCCAGCCGCCTACATCGTCCAGAACTGGCATGTACCCGTATGAGACGGTCGATGCATTTTGCCCAACAGCGTTCGCACATGACGTAAAAATAGTAGTACAGGTGCTCTCACTTGCATGCAGAGAAACCCTCGGCCGGCCTTGCGAATACGACGAGGGGTGCCCTTGTTCCCGCGGCCTCTTGGTCGAATCAGACGCCCCAGCCCCGTACGAAAGCCAGACTCTCTCAACAACTTGGGTAGTAGTACGACGAACAGTTGGCGAATGAGTTATGGCGTTTGGTATATGAGCTCATCTGGCATTTACCCGGCTGTTCAATCTCTCTGCTGCGTGCACACACACACACACACACACACAAAGAAACGTGGACAAAGAAAACCGCCACAGATCAGCGGCTGACGCCATGGCTCGGGACCCTTTTGAGCGCTCTGGCACTGCCTCGTTTGTGGCTTTCCCATTCCTCATACGAGTACCTACAAAGCACTGGGCAGATTGTGCGTTCCAACAATATCCATCAAGAAGAAGACGGCGCAGGATCTCAGAAAAAAGGGCAGAGAAGACGCTCACATCGCCAAGTGTGTCTTGTCCCCGTCGGCCAGGTTTCATGTTATTATGTATACGTTTGGCGTTTCAGACTCGAGTCGCGCATTTCGTCTTGTCAACTGGAGAAGAGCGAGCGAGTCCATTTCTTCTCCAACTGCTGCTACTAAATTTATCCCTTTTAGAGCCCTAGCCTAGCGCAAGCTGCCCCTGCCATGGCTTGCATCCGAATTGCCCTGAGATCAAATGCTACTCTCCAGCTCCATCTGCTCAAGACGAGTGGAGGTCGTCTCCAGACGACAACATGCCAACTTGTGTCGCGGCTCATCTTGAGAATTCAAAGCTGCGTTTGATTCCAACTCTCCGCGGCATGCCGCAATGGGTTTCAGCTCACCTGGAGTTGCATGTGCTAACTGCATCAGCCATCAAGGTCAGCCACCACCTTGAATCTGGAATCATGAAGAGTGACTCCATAGGTAGGTAAAGTAGACCGCTGCTAGTACATGTACAAGGTAATACAGGCATGGCCCGAAATGGATCCATCATCAGTCATGCTTTGGCATGTCCTTTTTCTCACAATCACCTGCATCTACTTCCTTGTATTCTTGATTCTCCCGTCAACTGTCGCTCTCTTCATCCCTCAACATGAACTGTTGGGCCAAACCCCGCCGAGGCTCCCACTTGCGCCGCCCTCCACTCTTTTCATCCCCTAACCGCCAAATGAGGTCCAACTCTCAGACACTGATACCACATGCCTTGTTTCATCTTGCAACCACTGTGCGACGACTCGGCCCATCAATCATCAACCACCTCATACGCGCGGCCTCTGGACTCGGTTACGATTTTTCACTGGCTCTCTGTGGTTGCGCCGTCAATGGTAGGATGGATCTCTGTTTGCCTGTGAAACTAATAATACGTAGGGTCCGAGGCGTTGCAACCGGGTGAATCTGTTTGCTCCAGACTTGCTCGACACCTCATGTTCCAAGTTCTTGGAGATCGGCACTCTGCATTTTACGTCATCCAGCCTCAGGCACCGTATCGATAGGCAGCCTATTGAGATCTGGGTTTGCCTGATAGGGCAGTTTCTCCGAATCGGTACGAGTACGAGCAACGCCAAAGTTCTTTAGACTGGCTCCAATGAGGAGGCCTCAACTGAACCAATTGCTGGATCAAACACGACAGTCGCTCGCCTAGATATGGATCCTTACAAGTGCGAGGAACGCCGACTAACGGCAGGACGATTATTCCTTGAGCACAAGTCTTACGAACCGTTTCTTACTCTTACACGCAGACGTCGAAAGGAGATAGACGGCTTGGAGACTCATTTCCACTAAAATTTTGAAATGAGCGTCGCAATCAACCTCCGTTGCTTTGTAACCGTTGTCAATCCAGCCATCCAAGTGATGTTTGTACTGAAACCGGGGTCATGCAATTGCTGACCTGTTCACCAATTCTTGACAAGATCTCGTGGCCGCCGCAACATGCAACAGGTTCAACATTCTCATGGTGAGTTACAGGGTGAGCGCCGGCCTCCCTGAATTTGGTGGTGATGCCCCCATAAAGTCTTACCTCCCTGACACTGCCGCCCGATCTGTTCAAGAGTGATGACGCACTATTCGATTGCCACTTCCTTCACTCAGAAAATGTGGTTTCCGAACTGCCGCTTTTGCTATGGACGTGAGTGAGAAATGCATTTAACAATATAGCGACAGACATTTGTTATAAACGAGTTAACAAACCCTTTGGAATAGTCATCATTGCTTGGGGTCTGCAAGGCGACATGGGTTCACAAAATGCCGGATTATGGTCTCCGACGACATATTGGCCAAGAAATGAATACGCCAACGTCTAGCCTTGAACGACAACCCATCAGTAGGCGATTGAAGTATAGGTACAATTGCTAAAGCTATGAGACCGTAAGTATTTGCTAGGATTCAATAGTCAGCGGCGTCGGATGCTGCTGTATCGTCTCCTCTCCCCTCTTCAACCTCTCTCGATTTTGCTATGAACCGCTGCGAGGCTCTGCTCCACAGATTGCCGCACAATATATATCCATCTACAGACTCCATGCTGATACACACAGGACGCTACTAGACCTGGAAAGACGGCTCCTTCAAGGCACAGACAGCCTCGCCATTGGTTCTTCCGGCAATCCTACGAATCCTTCACATCAAGCGCCAGGGGTTCTGTCGCGTAATAGCCGCTCACTCTCGTCGCAACCAGGCTACTATCGACAATGGATCTAACCAGGCTCCGGGCTGATCTGCCACGCGACCGCGTTCATGGCCAATTCTTACCATGTAGGCCCCCTTCCAAGGGGGGAGTCAACTCAGACTCGACAACACAAATGCAGCATGGCATCTTAGTATCTGTTCTTGAAACGCAACCGCCTGCGACGTAAATGCGATGAGCAGCATGGCCGGTCGCGATGCCGCGGAGCCGCAAGGAGTTCAACGAGCCTATTCTCCTCCAGGTCTGGAGGTCTCAACAAACGCGGAAGTCGAACAGGGGCTGGAGGTCTTCCACGGTGACGACGGTCTGCAGGTGGTCAATTTTGGGCTGGACGGCATTGGCGGGGAATCCAAAAGCGAGGCACAGATCAAAGAGACCGAGCGGAAACCTGCCGGGAAGAAGCTGTGGCTCATCATAGCAGGCGTCGTCTCGCTGCTCGTGATTGTCGCAGCAATCGTGGGCGGCGTTATTGCATCGCGACACAGACACACGTCAAGCCCTTCAGCCTCTTCAACCCCATCGGCTTCTTCGACTCCCTCAAAACCGTCAAGCTCACCTAATGCCGCTCACGAGCGCTCAGGCATAGGAGTTACGGGATGGTGGACAAGCTCCTCGAGCTTCAACATCCGTCTCATCTACCAGGGACAAGACGGCAATCTACGGATCATGGGATTTCACTCCGGGGATGGCAATTGGTCGACATTGGCTACCCTCAAGGACACAAGCGCCAAGCAAGGCACTCCGATAGCGGCATCGTGCTTCAACGTTCCCGTCTTCTACTTCACCCCAGTGACGAGCAGTAATGTGAGCCTGATTTCACCCAGATGGACTACATGATGCACCTAACTCAGACTTGACTGTGCAGAACTATATGCAAGTAGAGATTTTCTATCTCAACGACCAAGACGAGATCCAGGAATGGGTCTTCAGAGAGCAGCAAGACGTCACTTCATCTTCAGCACAAACTCACAATGGAAGCGGAATCATGTCGTCCAAAGGCTGGAAGGCGGGGGCCAACTCGAGACTCGCATCATATTGGCCGAGCGTCATCTATCAGGATGGCGATAACCTTATGCAAGAAGCTTATTGTGCCAACTTGACCTGGAATCAGGAGAAGGTAGGCCTCAAGTGCCATGAAGGCTCGGCTTTTGCAGAGATTCCATATAGCGTAAATACAGCAGGGTCTGGAGGTGAGAGGATCATCTATCAGCGGGACGACCAGAAGCTCCATGTCGCGAAAAGGGCCAACTTGACCGACGAGTTGAGTACAGGTGAGTGAAGACCCTTGACTGCAATCTCCGGATACTCACACTTGGTCAACCTAGATGCGCCGCCTTTCGCTGTCCCAGCTGACGCACCCATGGGAGCATTCACCGTTCCACGAGGTTCCAATGCACCTCATGGCGCCATGAACACGTATATTCTCTGGCAAGGCGATACCGGCGCTCTCCAGATGACATGGGAGGATGACAGCACTGGATGGCGAACCTCGTCAACGCCTGCATCCCTGGGGAGTCCCGACAACGGCACAGACATCTCTTGTCTCACGCCGACAATCTGGTCCGTCACGTCTTTGCAGTCGGACTACGGCATGGCTCGCTGCTACTATCTGGTTGATGGGCACATACGAGAGGTGCACTATGACGGCTCGAACTGGTCCGTGATTGGCAACGTGCAAATGGATTGATCCCTCTTGGGAGGTTTAATTTTTGTGTTGTAAAGTAATATGCAATGAAGTCGCCATCGACCGCTCTCTTAACCAATTGCTCAGTCCCAATCTCACACTCCAGACATTTAGAAGGCCTGGATGTAGTACAGCTCGTCGACACCGTTGTAGTTCCACGTCCACTGGCCTCCATTGCGTCCCTGGCCACTGACACACTGAGAGATGATGTTGCTGAAAGCGTCCTGTAGCATATGTATGTTAGCCACCCATATCTCATGCTTGGCTTCACTCGCGAATCTGCAATGCAGTACTAGATGTGAATGATACGCACCCTGCAGTGAATCTTTGCGTTGCCCTGGTAAACAGCTTGGACCTGGTGGCCGTTGATCCACCCCTGCCATGACGGTCCGTAGTTGCAGACCTGGTCGGCAGCCGCCTGGAAGTCGGAGGCAGAAAGGCCAGGGTTGGCGTTGCCGTAGCATTCTGCTGCAAGAGCAGCTGGCACAGCCAGGAGGGACAGAAGAAGAGAGCGAGACAGCATGGTGGTGGATTAGATGTGAAGAGAGTTGTGCTTGGCGACTTTGAGAGAAGGCTTGTGAGGTTGCAGTGTATGACAAGTGGTCTAGGGAAGGGAGACAGGCTCGTTATTTATATATGTGCTGTAGTTGAGGTCTCGTCAAATGCTTCGTCTCTATTGCAGCTCCAGCTCCATATGGAGATGAGCGGTGAGAAGGACAGTGGCATGAAAGACAGTTGGTGGAAGCAGTTTGTCCAGTAAGCGCAGTCTAAAGAAGGATATCGGGCCACTTTGTGAGTTGTTACTGAATCCACTTGCCGCCTCGCGTACGGCAATAGTAATAATAGCATACAGAATTTCGAGCTGAATATATCCTCAAGGCTCCATAGCCTAGCCCCCGTGGTTCCTTTTCAGCTTCCTAATCCAGGTATGAGTTATGGAGAAGTGTCAGCTGAGTAAGAATACTAACTGCAGTGCTATATATACATGACCACAGAGCCTCATTAGTTCATGAGTCTCTATAGCAGTCCAGCAAAGATTCAAGGCTTTTTCCAACAAGCAGGGCAAATCACGATACATGTAGCTTGGCTGGTTCTGCGCCCAATTGCTGTTGACAAGGTCCGGTCCCTGGCGGGCCGATCCGGGGTGAAGACATTCAGTTATCATGTGGGGGTGTTTGGCTGCCCATGGCAATTATAGGGGCTAGTTTCTGCTGAACAGACTAAAACTGAATCTGTCGCCACATGTCAACGTCTACATCTACTTGAAAATTCATCTGAGTCTGCACAGCTCGTGAAGCAACTGGTTCTCCATTGAGATCAAGTATAGCCTCGGTCAGAAAACAAGGTTCAACCCAGATGCTATGACCAAGCCCTCTTTTCCTACCGGCTTCGCCCCGAAGCTTGTGCCGTTCGAGGTGTTGAGAGTTGAGAGTTCTAACCAACCACTTTCAGATGCTCGGAACCTCCCGACAACCATTGGCTATGGCAGTTCAACACAGCCAGCCCCGCTAATGCTACACGACAATGCTGACCGGCAACTCGGGGGCGACACACCATCAATCTTCTATATCTAGAATTAGAGGGGCTCTGAAATCCTTCCGCCCTGAAATAGTCGCACAAGTGCGGGGGAGCCTCCCAGAGCCTTGAATCATACGCCCGGATAAGGCTTGGTCCCGTAACTGTACGATGGAACCGGCTCGTTCAACAATGTCGAGCTGATTGATTTCATCTTCGATCCCGCTCATCGTATGGACGGTTCCACGTGTGTCATTCTTTAGTTATATGTCACTTGCCGACTAGCGGCGTGTAAGTCTAGTGGCGATCGAACGATGAGTGTGACGATAATCGGCTTGTCGGGACCTGGGCCGCTGGTACTGTATATACTGGCCCAAAACGTCCTGAGCCCGCATATCAGCAATGAAGATGAGGGTGTAAAGCAATTTCCAGTGTTCATATTCCACTGATGGCGAGTACTTGTCTAACCGGCACAAGACGGTTCAGGTTGATGACGGGTGCGGACAATATCAGACTCGAGGCCCATGCCATTGTGCACATCAAAGCAGACTTGGGCTTGATCTACTCCAGCTACGAAATGCCTGTGTCTCAGGCTTTCATGCCGAGTACAGGCCCTCCTTGATTGCATATCGGCGAGGCTTCTTCATGGTTCGCATGATAGCATCACCTTTTTGTAAATTGCAAACCTGTTTTCGAGCCATATCCGTACGTATTCTAGCGGCTTTCCAACCCTCATTGCTGATGCAGGGAACACGCACTGCCTGAAGAGGAGCCAAATGCTGATGGGAGTGTTGAAAGTCATCAAAGACACAGATGGTGGAAAACTTTCCTTGAACAGCGGCAGCCCATGATCGTATACCTTTGGATTAGCTCAGACATTGGCCTTCAGGGCGAGGTAGTGGCATATAGTGATACTCCCAGGAGACATATTACCTGTTCGATCTGCACGTGCTGCCCAGAAGAGATATTATCATCAGTAGTCTGGGTATATAGGAACGACTCATGCTATGATATAACCAGGTCCTTGATCAGACGGAGAAGGAAACATGGCTTGTGCTAGTTGATGACTGACGTTGACTTTGACTCCTCAAACTGATTTCAAAGGTATCCGAACAATATTCCACTTCATGATCCCCTAAATGCTGATAGCGAGACTTGTACCCTACAACCTAATGCGGGAAGCTCTGGTGACCGCCAGGGCGGTCAGGCAGAGACAAAGCTCAGTCACCTACTCAGACGCCAAGATAATTAACCAGCGGGATTCTATGTCCTAGCTCTATCAGAGAGCCAATTTACCTGATCGCCTGAAGACCGCCCAAGCGGCAGTCATACGAGGCGTCCTTGCTGCACCTAGGCATATGTTAGGTAGGAAAGACATGCCTTCATCTTTTTCGGTGCCTCACAACTTGCCCCTCAGCTGGCTGGAGTTGCAGCCATTTCCGTCAGTACAGACATGTCTCCTCGCCGCGCAGCTAAGGGTGCGAGCATGTGTCGTGTCCAAGATCCATTCGTCAGCCTTGTTGTCCTACATGTGTATGTCTCAACGCAACGCTCGTATGTGGCCTGTGGCTTGCGCAATTGCCTCTCTCCCATACAAGCTGAAAATGGGGTTCTGGGACCTCGCCACAGACTGATGCGTACACGTATTGCCTCATGTTCCTCAACTTCACCGAGTACCAAGACCGCCCCCCCTATTTGGTAATAGGAAATGTAGGTCTTCCCGACTCCAACTCTTGTCCCTTCTCTTGCTGAGCCAACTTACGTGAGGCTGCATTCGTGGTCCGGAAGAGTGCCGAACCTAGAGGCCTATCGAATGGCTTCACCAGCAACACCCGGCAGGGTGGAGGAGTGTGTTTCAACAGATGCGAATGAAACCTGCCAAGAGGGCGACAAATTATACTACTGCCCATCACATACCAACTGTGGCTGTTTAGCAGAAGACTTTACTCTGTCTACTCTCCGCTACTATTGCCATATCAGTCTAGTCTTAGGATACATAAGCTGCTATTATAATCTTGTTGTAGATGAACTAAAAGAACAATCCCAAACGGGGTTCAGAACCTGTATGCCTAAACTTGAGGTGCTGGATGATCGCCCCCTACATAGGAACCATACTGGCTGACCGGTGTGTTATCTCTCACCCTGTTGCCTGCCTACATGCCCCTCTCGGGAAGCACGCATAACTACCCGACGGTTGCATCAAGGACTGGGGCAGATCGATCATCTCTGCCACGGTGCGACACCGGGCAAGTTTAGTCTCCTATCCTTCACACGGACATCTTCAGCCTGTACCAGTATAGTTTGCGAGACCTGTAAGATTATTCTCATCTCTGACCACAAGACGCGCCTATCCAAGTGCTCCAAGCGAGTCAATGACAAATGTGGCTTTGAAAGATAACAGCAAGGCTCCAGAGTATGCATGCAAAGGTTCTCGTGCTGGTTACATGATGGACCTGACAGATGCTCATCCTGTCAGAATACATCTCTGGTGTCACCACGCTTCCGATCCGATCCATGGCCTATTACACTACTCTATCGGAGCGGGGAAGCTGGTGATCTTGGCTGGCTCAGCCGAGCGAGATGCATGTTTGCCACTTCATGTGGTGCTTTGCAAGACAGACTCTGGGGACTTGCGGAACGAATAAGCGTCGACGCCCTTGCGACTTCCATAGTAACATACCCTCGTCATCTGGGAGAGCTTCGGTTGTTCAGTCAATGAAAATCATCGATCCTGACTACCAAAGAAGAACCTCGGGTGGGTGAGTACATATGCCACTATGGCACTATAACTAGAGTAATTACCCTCAGTCAGGATCTTGCACGAATATAACATACAATAACTGCTCCGAGCTGAAGGCAAATTCAGCCCATCATCTCTGTGCTTAGCTTTATAAGATATGCAGCCAAAACACGGGGAAGCCGAGACTGTTCTGATTGCGTGCACCTCGTAGTAATTCAAAACCCAGCTCCATGCATATTACTCGGTGAGACAGAGAGACTGTCAGCCAGCCACTTCGTCTCCCTGCATACATACGGACCCCAAATAGGACAGTCTCCAGAGCACACAGATGTCATGCATTCCGTTTTCTAGCTCATCTCTTTAGTTGGTTAATTGGTGAGCTGTAGCACGAATGGGTAGGATCCGATCTGTTTGACGTAGGGGCACACATCGTTGCTACACACCACCACAAGAGGCGAGAATGCTCTCTTCCGACTGGATAAGAGCACTGAGTGAAGACAATTCTATTACGTGGGAGTTGACAAGATGGCGGATGCCTTTCATCATACATTCCGGGCCAAGTAATCAGGAAGAGCACGTGTACGGGAATGAAGAGCGAGAGATGGACATATATAGATCCCAGTTAATCTACGGCTTCCCACAAATCTCTTTCAACATCATCATCATATCTTTATCACAGAGAGCTGTTATCATAGAGTTCCCTAGTGCTAGCATCACTTCCAACTTTGACAATGGCAAGCAAGCTCCCAGTCCGCCAACCCCCCTTGCGCCGCATCGGCCACTGGCTCCCCGAGAACAACGGGGTAGTCGTCGACTGGCTCCGCCAGCTCCTCAAAGAAATCGAAAAGGACAAGAAGAAGCACAAGGGCCCGCTGAAGCTCAGCGACCCTGTGCAGGACCTCAAGGATCTTATCGACAGCTCCCCGGAGCTCTACATGCTGGCCCAGGCCATGCTCGACGAGGTGCCCAACAAGGAGCCCTACATCAATGACCCTGTCGGCAACAAGCAGATCAAGTCTCTGGATGATCTCTACCTCTGCTTCGACAAGGTCATGACATCCAGGGCTCCCATCTGGAGAAAGCTCGAGTATGATGTCGGCTTGGTCGGCTTCCCGTTCAATGCCGTCCTCGACTGGCCCATGGCCACTCCCAGCGGATACGCCTTCTTCCTCAAAGAAAACATCAACCAGAAGTTCAAAGTCATCCTCGACACCTGGAAGACGTCCTTCCTACAGACGATCAAGTCCGCCAAAGTCCTGCTCCCAAAGCCAGGCGACGGGATCCCCCTCGAAGAAGCCTGGCTCAGCCCCGAATCGCGGAAATACATTGAAAAGGACACCAACCGCGAAGGCGAGAACCTCAAGTTCGAAGAGCTCTTCATATGCGACCCGACCAAGGACTACTGGGGCTTCACCTCCTGGGACGACTTCTTCATCCGCAAGTTCAAAAACTACAACAGCATCCGCCCCATCGCCTTTGAGGACGACGACAACTGGATCATCAACTCGTGCGAGTCCAAGCCCTTTGCGCTGCAGGCAAACGCCAAGGACTACGACAAGTTCTGGCTCAAGGGCCAGCCGTACTCCATCATGGACATGCTCAAGCGCGACCCCAACTACGCGTCGAAGTTCGTCGGCGGCACCGTGTACCAGGCCTTCCTCAGCGCCACCTCGTACCATCGCTGGGACTCGCCCGTCAACGGCACCGTCGTCCACGCAGAAATCATCCCCGGCACGTACTTTGCCGAGCCCACCGTCACGGGCTTCTTCAACCCCGACGGGCCCGATCCTGCTGCTCCCGATCTTGCCCAGGGATACATCACCCACTTCGCCACGCGATGCGTCTTCTACATTGAGGCAAAGAATATCGGCCTGATTGCGCTGCTCTACGTTGGCATGGCAGATGTCTCATCCTGTGAGATTGCCCCTGAGTTCCAGGACCTGGGCGACAAGGGAGCGCCAGTGAAGAAGGGCCAGGAACTGGGAATGTTCCATCATGGAGGCTCGACCTACTGTCTTCTGGTGCCAAAGGAGACAAAGGTCACGTTCATCCCCGAGGCCACTCCCCGGGAGGGACAGAAGAATATCCCCATTCGCAGTGCCCTTGCTCGCGTCTACAACAACGATACCAAGTCTGCCCCTAGCAAGTAAACGCTTTTCTCTGTATAAGAGACGGGGTTGAGCATTTCACTCTATTGATGAGCGCTGGACAAATTTGCAGTAAAGGTTGATCCTTTGGCTTTGTATTGGCCTATTGCCCTAAGCAATAAGGTAGTCTAACTACACAATCTTTCGCATATGCTCTGATCTAACGGGAATCAATACCTACCCTGCGTGATGCCAATGACCCATATCGAGCCAACCGTTGATGTCTATGCAAGGGGCCTATATCAGTCCAGGCCAATGTCAAAGACAGAAAAGAAAATACTGTAACATATCTACCTTCAGGTATACACGTATGAAGCCTTTGAATACAAGTTACCCGGAGGCGGCTTGACAGGCAACACCAAACACATTGCGATGTTTACAATAGCGGTAAGAATTGTTAGATACATCAGACTTAGGCGGGCTAAGACCAAGCAGCAGATATATATCTATTCACGTTTATACTCGAAGAATACCTCGGCTTTTGTTTGGCTTCAGGCAAAAAAGCCGTGATGATCCTAGACCCTACAGCAGCAAGTATACTCACGACGCCTCGACGAACAGGACAACTCTGTCGTTTATTCCATAGAAGCCTGCGTCCTCAATCTTTTAATCTACGAGAGTAACATATAAGTGATGATCTTGTTCCTCGTCGGCAACTAAACCAATACACAATCCGCTGTGGGCACCCGTCCATCAAAAGCACCCCATCACGCTTGAACACTCCACAAGAGAACGGCCTCAAATCAATCGCTATTCAAACCAAACAGACAAGAGGGTCCAAGGCCCTTCAAGAGGCCCTCCGCTAGTCATCCAATAGGGAAACAATCTCCTGCTCTTGGCCACCATGACACACCACCTGACTCTGCCCCCCCTCGACCCAGTTCCGTCGAGCATTGCCAGCATGCTTGGAAACCCTGACGCCTCTTCGGGCGCGCTCATGCAGACGGCCAACAGCATCTCCCAAGCGGCCGGACAAATCATGTACAAACAAGCTCCAATTCTCGTCCCTCGGAGTCCGACATTCACCCAGGCAGTGGTAGACACTGAGGGTGAAGGCCCATTGGTTGTTGTCCGTGTCCTGGATGAGAGAGATGTCGTAGTCCGCGTTGCATATCATGCAGGAATCCGATTCCGGGCTTGCGCACAATGGCACCATGTACAATCCATTGCCCGGCAGCGACCGCTGCGCCTCGTTGGCACCGCGGTTCATCGGAACTAGATTGCAGAACGGGGGGCTCGAAGCGGCCGAGCACCTCATATGCCGGCAGACCTCTGGTTCCAGGCTGCTGATGAGTCTTGCCAGGCACTGCCAGGGCACCAGCGGTCCATTTAACCTGTAGAACCGAGCCACGTACAGTTTGTCGTTGACGATCTTTGGTATCATCTGGTGTGAAAACCTCCACAGCCCCTCCAGTCGAGGGAACTCCTCGGCATTCTTCTGGGAGAGACCGACAAGCCCTTGCCTAGTCCGAGGATGATCGCCAGGGTGGCTACCATGATTGCCGGACGGTTGACAAATGTTGAGCTCGATGTGATCCTGGAACGCGACGTAGCGCTGCATAGTCTCGAGTGGTATCCCGTGAGAAGGACCCAGAAAATGAGCGTTCATGATCAGATAGACCTCCATGAAGTCGATGTGGAAGTGGCTCTTGAAGGTAGGGAAATGGTATGGCATGGGGACATGCCAGACGTTGCTTTGCTCGCTCAGCCACCATGATCGGGGGTGAAAAGGACCAGGAGTCCACTTGTGAGGCTGACCGTTCCAATCTGCGTTTGGCTTGAGACGACGTAGCTTATAGCAACAGTAGCAGAAGTATATACCCGGCAGATCTTGTTGCAACGTCGCGAGAAGTTCAGCCCGAGACTTGAAATCGGTCTTTCCCAACACGATACCAAGTCCGTGAACAAGCGCTTTGAATGTTTTGCAAGTCAAAGATAAGGATACTGCCGATGGTACTGGGAGGTAAGACACTATTAGATATACGAGCTCCTGTGGAAGCTGCAGCAGCCCACATTCGGGTTCTTCATCTTGCAAAGGTCGAGCGAGCTGCTCGAGTCTGATTAGGGCCATGGTTCTGTGCTCTCTTGCAACCTCGATGAGCCACGCTCGGTTATTGAGTTGGCGCAATGAATACTATCGTCCTTTGAGTTGTCCTCGATGAACGCGGAGAGTGGCCGGTGTAAGTCGTGGGAGGCAAAGCTGCAGCCTCAGTGAATATGCAACAAGACGGGATAAAGGGTCCAGTAGCTTCTGGGAGTTGACGGATGGAAGAGTCAAGCTTCTGAGCGGTGTCATTAGCGTTAGGAGCAATACATGTAGTGTTCAATGACCATCCCCAGAGATGAAGCTTTGAAGTTGCCATGGGGGAAGAAGAGTGTTTAGAGTGAATTCTACCTCGAGGTAGGTACGGTGCAGCATCATCGGTCAGGCATGAACGTTGAATTTACTTACCTTCTTCAAGATTATTCTACCTGCCTTGCAAGTAATTGCTCTTCACTCCGGCTGGGGTATTTGATTATTGGAGCAACTTTGTACGCTGTAACTCTACCTAGGTACTACCTAGTAGGCAGTACGGGAGAGCATGAAATGATGCTCACTCAGTGGTTTCAAACCAGAGCGAGTCCCGTCGTAATCGAGGACTATACTGGCAATTATTCTTCAAACTATATTGCCACTTATTATTCAAAGCGATCTTGTACGTTGCATAGCTGACCATATTAATAGGAAGCTCTTCCTGGAGGTACAAGTTAAGGTGAGGCCAGGGGGGGAGATACAGTGCGCTTCTCAATCCCTACAGTGTGTACGCTTCGGAGCACCTCTCCCGATCTCCCGATCTCGCCAGGTCCAGGTCCACCACATACCTAACAAATGCAACCGTGATCGCCTCAACTTGCAACCACCGCCCCCGCGAAGCCAATTCGGAGCTGACACGGCGCCGTGTCTCTGCGCCAACCATGTCTGCCGCACTGCTTCGATCGCGCCTCGCCGCCTCAGCCCCGGGCCTCCGACCAGCCGCCCGACGGACGACGACGACGACGACGACGACGACGACATGCCCGCAAAAAGCCGCTGCTCCGCGCCGCTTCAACTCGAGCTCGACAGGCGGCAGCTCCTCCGGTGCCGGACTCAAGCTCGCAGCCTATAGCGGAGCGCTGGCGGCGACTCTCTTTGCCTCGTACTACTACGTGACGGACACGCGAGCGTTTGTGCACCGATACGTCGTCCCGCCGCTGCTGCGCACCTTTGTTCCCGATGCCGAAGATGCGCATCATCTGGGCGTTACCGCACTCAGGGTGCTGTACGAGCTCGGCCTGCACCCCCGCGAACGCGACGCCGCTGCCAACAGCCCCAGCCTCTCGACCTCCGTCTTTGAGCACCAATTGGCGAACCCGATCGGCATCTCGGCAGGTCTGGACAAGGACGCAGAGATTCCCGATGCGCTGTTCGCGCTGGGAGCGGGTGTGGTCGAAGTCGGCGGCTGCACGCCGATGCCGCAAGAGGGAAACCCCAAGCCGCGAGTCTTTCGCGTGCCGATCCTGGACGGCATGGTCAACCGCTACGGCCTCAACTCCAAGGGCGCTGATGAGATGGCGATCCGCCTGCGCGACCGACTGCGACGGTTTGCGCTCTCAATAGGGGTCAGCGAGGAGGACATCATCAGTGGCGAGGCCGGCGTTCCCGTGGGAAGCTTGAAGCCCGGGCGGATCCTCGCCGTCCAGATCGCCAAGAACAAGGAGACGAGCGAGAGGGACCAGCAGGCCATCGCCGCCGACTACGTCTACTGCACACGGCGGCTGGCCCGCTATGCCGATGTTCTGGTCGTCAACGTCAGCAGCCCCAACACACCCGGTCTGCGAGACCTGCAAGCCACTGAGCCCCTGACACGGCTCCTCGCGGCGGTGGTCGACGAGGCGGGCAGGACGGATAGAAAGGTGCGCCCCAGGGTCATGGTCAAGGTCTCTCCTGACGAGGACGAAGACGCCCAGATTGAGGGCATTGTCCAGGCTGTCCAGAGGAGCGGCGTCGACGGTATCATTGTTGGAAATACTACAAAGAGACGGTCAGGTCTCAACCCCAAGGGAGCCCAGCTGTCCATCAGGGAACAGAGGGCCCTGATGGAAGTCGGCGGCTTCTCTGGCCCTGCCATGTTCGGCCGAACGCTGGATCTGGTCGGCCGCTACCGCAAGATGCTCGACTCTCAGCCCGGGGCTAGCAAAGGCGAACAAAAGGTCCTTTTCGCGACGGGGGGCATCACGAACGGAGAGCAGGCACTGAAGGTGCTTAATGCGGGTGCCAGCGTGGCCATGGTGTATACTGGCATGGTTTACGGAGGAGTTGGTACGATTACGAGGATGAAGAAGGAGATGCTCGAGGCGCTATGAGGTATGATGCAGGTGGTTGAATCTTCAAGGCGATTCGATGCCGAGGTGGAAGCTTTTTCGTGAACATTAGAGGACATACCTACCTAGGTAGGTACCTTAGATATCATACATAGTAGGTACCTTGTATTTATACCAAAAGTCGGATAGCAACGCTACCTATACCATGTCAATCAATTAGACCGGTCTCAATGTAGCAAAATATTCAGTCCATTTGACACTCTCATTTTCTCGTAAGAAAGCCTCTTTACGATGACAATGATGGACCTACAATATCCATGGCCATACATTTTAAGATCTCGTCACCAGCAGTTGAGATGGGCGCTAGCCAAACTAGGCAAAGCACAGGCACAAAAGAAGAAGCGCCTCAAGCCCCCACTAAAAAGTCGATATCGATACTGATTTTCCCAGGCTTCGAATTTTGCCATTTCTGCACCTCGATCAAACCTCCAACCAAACAAAGTCGCTGTCATCCCAACAGCCCTCACCATCATGGCCGCCGCAACGACGCTCCCCGCCTTGCTGGCGTCTCTCACACAGTCTCTCGCCCTCGCCCAAGAAGGAACATCCAAGCTGTCGACAGTCGAGCACCCCAAGGACGGCATCTCGCTCCTCGACGTCAAGAACGAGCTGCTCCTCTCGTACCTCCAGAACCTCGTTTTCCTCATCCTCGTCAAGCTGCGCAACGCCCAATCACAAGGCAAGCAAGATGCGTCAAAGAAGGAAGCGGACCTGGACGATGCCGTGCGCGCACGGCTGGTTGAACTGCGCCTGTATCTCGAAAAGGGCGCCCGGCCGCTGGAAGAAAAGCTGCGCTTCTCCATCGACCGATTCCTCCGGACGGCAGAAGACGCACAGCGGCGCGACAAGATGAAGGAGGCAAAGGCCAGCGGCAAGACGGGCTCCAGCACGGACGAGTCGGGCTCGGGCTCCGAAGACGACGACGACGACGACGACGATTCCGCGGAAGACGATTCCGCGGAAGACGATTCCGAAGCCGAAGAGGACGACGGCTCCGCCAGGCCCACGGCGCCCAAACGAGGCAACCACTCCGCCGCCCCCAACCTGGGCGCCCTCATGGACGACGTGGCCCTCCGCCCTGCCAAGCGCGGCCAAGGCGACGACGGCGACGACAGCACGCCCGCCGGCGTATACAGACCGCCTCGTCGCGAGCGACAAGTCATGGAGACGACGCAGACGCGCGAAAAGGCCGCCCGCCGCCCCATGCGCTCGCACACGATGGAGGAGTTTGTCGCCTCGGAGCTGTCGGCGGCGCCCATTGCGGAGCCCAGCATCGGCACGACCATTGTCCAGGGCGGCCGCCGGATGAAGACGACGCAGGAGCGCAAGGAGGAGCAGGAGCGCCGGGAGTACGAGGAGACCAACTTCACGCGTCTGCCCAAGGAGAGCAAGAAGGAGCGCGCCAAGAAGGCCAAGCAGGCCGGACGCAGCGGACGGATGCAGTTTGGCGGCGAGGAGTGGCACAACCTGGGCGAGGGCGTGGACCGCATCGATCGGTTGACGAAGCGCAAGGAGGGCGGCGCGGGCTCGGGCGTCAGGGCCATGCTGGAGAAGAGCCGCAAGAGAGGGGCGGAGACGGAGGACGGGCCGAGGGGCAGCGGGCATCAGATGGGCGAGAGGTTCCACAAGAAGGCGAGGCTGCTGGAGATTGGACGGGGAGGCAAGGGGAGGGGGAAGAAGTGAGGGCGTTTGTTTTTGTGAAGGAGCAGCAGCATAGGTATATGTTTGTATATATATACGGCGTTTTGGGCGTATGAATGAAAAGAGGTTCATAGATGTTTGCTTTAATAGGATTACGTCGACATCTCACATCTCGCACGATATGCAGTCAACAACCAAAAAAAAAAAAAAAAAAAAAAAAAAAAAAAAGAATCCATCCCTTTATAACGCCATACACCCTCCCAGATAAACCCATCATCAAACCTTTTCGTTTCCAAACAATTCGCTCTCCGCCGCCTTGGGACACATGTGCTCCCACCTCAACACACTCCCCCTATCCGTCCTCAACCCCTTGACCAGCATCTCCGCGCCCTCCCTCCTCCTCTCCTCAAGCAGCATCCTCGCCCGCCCATACCACCACGTCTCGCTCCACTGCCTCTCCCTCTGCCACTTCTCCACCGAATTGTGATGGATCATGACCGGCACCGTCCCGATGCACACCTCCGTGTACAAGGGCATCGCCTCCCATAAATCAGGCCAGCTGCCCGCCATCCACGGCAGAGGCAGCTCGGCCGGCAAATCCGTCGGCAGGGCAAACACATCCGTCTTGGGCACGCAGTCGAACTTCTTCAGCTTCTTGACCTGCTGGGATACGCGCCTGTCATGCAGAATGTACCGCGCATCCGTCACCGCGTTGGACGTCTGGTGGCCCAGCAGGCTCCAGTAATCCAGCGCAATGCCAAACTCGTACGGCTTCTCGGGCAGATGCGTCTTGTTGTACTCTTGATGCGTAAAGGCTGGTTCGAGGATGTCTCTCACGGGAACCTGCTCGACGTGCGTGGGAGGCGGATTCGCCCCTGCTCGTCCCGGAACGACTCTATCCAGCACGTCGTCGACGACGCGAGAGCGGTGATGCCGCCGCATGACTTCGCGGTAAAACTCCTGCTCGCCAAACATCTCGACAAAGATGCTCTGGTCGCTGCCGTGGTAGCACATGTCCGACCTTCCCGACCCGTCGTCAAACGACGCCGCCTTGCGGTTCTGGCACTCCTCCAGCTTCTCCAGTGCCCTCTCCAGGACGCGCCGGACTTGGCCCACGGGGCCCATGATGTAGCCCGAGTTGAGGTAGCGCGTGCGGAAGCTGCTCCAGGGACTCGTCCCGACGGCGGTATCCGTGTTGCCGCCGTAGATGTCGGCCGGCAGCGGCGATTCCGGGACGGGGTAGCAGGCGATGGAGGTGATGAGGTTGGGCGCGCAGCGTTTGCCTGCGCCAAAGACGACTTGCGAGTTGATGCCTTCGTTGGCATAGGCTCGGCCCATGCGGTGCGCGACGCGGGCGTGGTCGTCTTCGAGGACGGCCCTGTAGCGGCTCAGGAGCACGTCTGGAGGCAGCTGGAACCAGATGTCGTAGGCGTCGAGCATCAGGACGAGCTCGTCGTCGAAGCCGTCTTGCTTGCGACGCTCGGGATCACTGAGATAGTCTAGTGTGCGGGTGATCTTTGCAAAGTGCGAACCTCCTCCGAGCAGTCCGTCTGCGTGGTCTTGGTCTTCCCATGCGACAATGGTTGGGTTGGGGTAGCCTAGGATGGCCATGGTGAGGAGCGTCTTGCAGAGGTGGATGTTGCTCCTGGTGGCGGGGAGGAGGACGTGAAGCTTTTGATCGTTGATGCTGGTGATGGATGTGTTTTGGGTGGCGGGTGGATTGTAGCGACTTGTTCCCCATGACGAGCTGAAGGTGGCTGAATTGTGTCTCTGGATGGTGTTCTGTCGTGATGTGAGTCTTGGTGATGGAAGTGCCAGGATGAGAACTGGGCCACTTACTGGTGCGAGGATGTATAGAACGAGAGTGCTAAAGACAAACGCAATTCCAACGAGGGAAATGGGCCTCCGGATACTGATCATGGTGACCATGTTGGCTTATGGATGATGAATGAGAGTATGGTCAAAGAACTGAATTTCTCCTGATAGGTTCAGAAGTAAACGAGAGACTGAACCCGGGCAAGCCGTGTTGTAGCTGAAGTCTTCCCCTGACTCCAGTGTCAAGATCAACAACCTCTTACTTCTACGACTAAACACCGACAAAAAAGAGCGAAACGACTGAAACAAGACGCATTTCAGAAGCAAGACAATGTCAAGAAGAGAAAACTATACAGCCATAACGATGAAGAAATGCCCAAGCAAAGGCAACGCGTTCCCCACATGACCACGACGCGGAACGGCCTGGTGTTGCGGGCTACGAATCGATAGCGCAGGGGGGCTTTCTTCAGCCGCACATTCAAATTTCGTCTCCTTTTCTCTATTAGATTTCGATAGGATTCAATCACAGTAATGAAGTATTTTCCCAAGGTGGTGTTGGAAGAGATGTTAATACAGGTATTTGACATACACGTTATAGCGCAAGTTATAGTTTAGTTTGGAGTGCATGCAAGCTTGAGTGATGAGATTGAGACAAGTGTTTCGATTTTGTTATGTTAGACGTTGGACTCGGGAAGCACGCCTCGATGTTATTTTCTCCCCCGATTATGCTCATACGCGCACATTTCAAAACATACAATCGACGAATATTGCAAACTTCTTTTCTTCAACTTTGGCTTCAGAGCTTGGGAAAAGCAGGACATGGAAGGTGTCTAGAAGTCAGAATCGGGATCCCTGTCTGATTATTGCACAGAGATGGATTTGGCACCATCGACCTTAGCCTCGACCGAAACCCAGGTCTACATTACTTACTACATTCTAGCTTCTTGGCCTGGCGAGGCACTGCAGCCAGCCCGAGTATCCGTAGGGACTCGGTCAGGTTGACAGCTTCAACGGGGCCAAGAGGACACCAAGAGCAGAATCCGAGACTTGCCGTTCTGGATCAAGGACACGACAAACTGTCAACTTGAGATGAAGTATGCCAAATCACCTCTCGAGAGCAGCTCCAGTTCAGGTGTCATGGCAAAGAAGGGCCTGTCTAATTGATACCTTACCTAATAGCTGTTGATAAATAAACAGACGGCATAGACAAGAACAGAAGAAAAGAGGGAAAAGGCCGCCCAAAGCAATCATCGAACGTGCTTGCTCGCAAGCCTTGTCATGGTGCCATAGAGTCTGCTTTGCACAGCATTTTTAACCCTCTTCAGGGGCTCATGAACACTTACACCAGGAAGCCAACTACAGTTAAAACCCCGGCAGACAGATAGCCAATGGCTTGCAAACTGCACCTTGAGCCGCAAATGCTCACTGTGACGCATCAAGCCAACTTTCACAGCAATCTTAACCTCCCCCAATGCCTCACGAGGACCCATCCCAGTTAGGCGCTCTTCGCATTGAAAACCCCCCCAAACATCTTGCATTGCACAGCGACTTTAGCTCAAGAACTAATCCTTATAAGGTACCTAAGGTGTTCATCGGGTGGTCCGTCAACACAGGTCGACATATGCGATGCAGCTGGCCTCACAGCATTTTTAACCTCATCAGATGTCCGTCAAGAGGCTATTGATATCCGCTGGTTCAATCCCGTCCAGCCTCTTTCAAGCGGCACTCGGCCTCGATTACAAAGACGACATCCCGGTGCCCTCACACGATCTGAAAATCCTCCGAGACATGCACTCAACTTTCCCCCCCATCGCAAACCCTTCCATTCGCATCACACCCATAAGCAGCAACCCAAGAATAGGTATGAAAAGCAGCCTGATCCGGAAATAAAATCGCAAGACATCATCAACTCACATCCCCTTCCCCTTACCGCCCATGAAATGACCCCATGACACACACACACACGCACACACACAAAATCCACGAAAACGTCCACGTTATACAACATCAACAATGCACTCATTCGCAGGTAAGGTAGGTAGATATGCAGTGACCACGACTCCTCAATTCAAACGAGCTCCTCTCATGCAAGGCAACACTCCATCACGGCCTCATTCATCCGGCAACCGCATAAATCTACTTGGCAAAAGTGAGGGGTCGAAGAAAGAATGATGCAGATCCATGACCAAGTCAGGGTGTCACAGGATCAAATGCGAATTCCTATATGAACTGAGCGAAGAAGACTGAATCACATAAGAATACAAGAATGGCCATGACCTTTCTCATCTCATAGCCCTCAATCAAATCAAATCCAATACTCTGCAGAATACCCATGAGAACATGAAGTTAACCGCCATGATTCCATCTCATCTCATCTCCCATCTCATCATACACCTCCTCCCCCTCACCCACGCAAACCCCCTCCCCCCGCAAACCGACCCCTGTCCCGAACCTCCAACTCCCTCCTCCCCTATCATCGACCTAGGATACGCCAAATACCGCGGCCTCACCCTCCCCGACGCAGCCGTAGACACATTCCTCGGCATCCGCTACGCCAAACCGCCCCTCTCCAACCTCCGCTTCCGCGCCCCCCAAGATCCATCCCCCGAGTCCTCCATCCAAGACGCATCCAAGGTCTCTCCATCTCACTCACCCCGAAAAATCTCCCAACATCCCCGATATATTTCGCAATTTTTCTCACAATATTGTCATAGTTTGGCCCCGTCTGCATAGGCCCAGGCCAGTCCGTCTCCCCCTCCACCACATCCGAAGACTGCCTCTTCGTCAACATCTTCAAGCCCTCCAACGCAACCCCCGAATCCAACCTCCCCGTCTGGGTCTACATCCAGGGCGGCGGCTACGCCACCAACAGCAACGCAAACTACAACGGCACAGAGGTCGTCCAGCAGTCCGGCCACGGCCTCGTCTTTGTAAACTTCAACTACCGCGTCGGCGCCCTCGGCTTCTTGGCCAGTGAACATGTGCGCAGGGACGGCCATCTCAACGCCGGCTTGCTGGACCAGAGGAAGCTCCTCCACTGGGTAAAGAAGCACATCAAGCAAGTAAGCAAATCCCAATCCATCTTATCATCACTCCCAAGCTATCCCCTCAAACTCACCCGCGTCTCTGATACCCAAAAAAGTTCGGCGGAAACCCAAACCACGTCGTCATCCACGGCGTCTCCGCCGGCGCCGGCTCCGTAACGCACCACCTCACCGCATACGCCGCCAAAAGAGAAACCAACCTCTTCGCGGCCGCAATCTCCCAGAGCCCCTTCTGGCCGACCCTCCGCTCCGTTCATGACATGGAGTTCCAGTACCGCCGCGTCCTCGCCAACGCAAACTGCTCCTCCCTCGACTGTCTGCGGCACCTCGACACCCAGGCCTTTCTCGACGCCGCGCCGGTCGAGCGCTTTGAGGGCGTGAGCAGCGAGGACGCTCCTCTTCCGCTGTGGTACTGGCTCCCCGTCATCGACGGCGACCTCGTAACGGACCACCTGTACAGCCAGTTCCAGCACGGCAACTTCATCCGCGTCCCCCTCATCGTGAGCCACGACACAGACGAAGGCACCTACTTTGGCGCCAACGCGTCGACAGCCGCCGAGGTCGAAGCCTTCCTCCTCACAAACTACCCCGACCTCCAACCGTCCCAGCTCAGCGCCATCTCCCGCACCTATTCCCCAGAGAAGCTCGCCTCCCTGCCCGACCACGCCCCCTATTTCCCCTCCGCCGAAGCCGCGTACGGCGACGCAACCTTCATCTGCCCGGGCAACACTGTCGCCGCCATCGCAGCCCGCCACTTCGACCCCCGCCGCGTCTGGAACTACCGCTACAACGTCCAGGACCCGGATCTCGTGGCCTCGGGCCTCGGCGTGCCGCACACAGTCGAGATGCCCGCGATCCTCGGGCTCGGAAGCGTAGGCGGGACGCCAGCTTCCTACTACACGACAAACGCGGCCATCGTCCCCGTCACCATGCACTACTTTCTGAGTTTCGTGATGAACCTAAACCCGAATGTCGCAAAGTATGCTACCGCGCCGCAATGGGATCCCTGGGGCCAGGGGACGGGGCAACGGCTGAGGCTACAGACGAACAATACGGCCATGGAGCCTGTCCCGGCCGATCAGAGAGCGAGATGCCGTCTGTGGAGTCACTTGCAAGGCTACACTCAGATGTAGCACAAGGTTTGGAAAGAAAGAGTTGGAACGTGTGAATTCGTAGCTATAGCAGGGGAACAAGGAAAAGCTTACTACCACCCAAAGTCGTCCGCAACTCCAACTCATCATACCCAGGTGATGTTGTCATGTGCAGATTCGTAGGATATGGTGCGTTGCAACAATTTAAGCTCCTCTCAATATACAGTACCATTTTCACTCTGACTTTTGGCGCGTCTCTTAGACGCTGCTCACAATCTCGTCCTTGCCATTGGTGATCTGGCCCTCCTTTAACGACAGGACAAGCGAGGTTAGTTGATCAATCTTTTGCTGCAGTTCCATAATCTGCGCCTCTACTGGCGTCGGCGCATCCGCATCATCCTCTCCTCTCGTTCGACTGGACGGGCGCAGTCTCATAACCCCCGACCTACGAGGAGATGCAAGAGAGGGCCGGCCAGTGATGGACGATGGCTGACCGACCTCGGATCTCCGCCGTCTGCCCTTGGGCTCTTTCGGGCCCTTGAAGCCGCGGAACTCGTCGTCGTCGTCCCCCCTGTACTTGAGATACTCGTAAAGCTTGATGACGCCAACGATGGGCGCGTGGGTCAACTTGAGAAGCCAGATCCGACCCGCACGGTATTTGTGCGATCTTGGCAGGATGTATCGCCAGGGACGAAACATGACCAAATTCAAAAGATTGAAGGGGGGATAAAAGTGCGTCAAGCGGTTGCTGGTTGATGCCTCCAGCACATACACGCTGTACACGTAGAGGTACTCCTCCTTGGCGTGGGTGATGACGCGCGAAAAGCTGTTGGACAGCATACCGGTGAGCGAGCCCATGAGGAGGAACGAAGACAAGGTGATGAAGATGATCATCAGAGGAGGGCCAAAGACGGGGTCAATCTGGTCCATGACCTCGAAGCCAACATAGCTCGAGCCGTAAAAAATCTTGGTCAAGATGCCTGTCATCTTGCCAAGGCTAAAGATGTCCCGGCCAACGAGGGAAAACGTGGTGAGGAAGCCGAGGTAGACAATGACGACGAGCACCATGAATTTGAGAAAGTCCTTGCCCATCTCCTTAAGGCAGGGAATAAGGGTGCCCCAGTACGGACTCAGGCTGAGGATGGAGCAGATGCGGGGGATCATGAAGAGAGCCTCCAGGGCCAGCACATCAAAGGCCAAATCGTTTAGACGCAAGTCTTGTCGCACGATGCCGACGATTCCTGCATAGTGTTAGCATGCCACGTTCTTCGGCCATGCGGTGGCTGCTGGCGCCAGTCACCAACTCACGTAGTACAGCAAAGAGGGTGCCAATGAGAATCATGACCATGTCAAACAAGTTCCAGATGTCCGTTGCGTAGAAGATGGCTCCGGCATCTATCCATTCACTCAACTCATCGTAAAAGAAGGCAGCGATCCAGAAGAACAGAGCAATCTCGGGCTTCGTCAGGCGGCTCTCGTCCCGCACAATGAGAACAGAGTAATACAGGCACATGAAGACGCTAAAGAAGAGCACCTCCCAGCATTTAAGATACTTGGGCACACGGAGTCGGGAGTAGGGATCCGACGTGAAGGGGTTGTAGAAGTGCGGGTGCTTGGAGGAAGTGATGGACAGGGAGTCCCAGAAAACGATGTCACCGTTCCATATGCCAGCGATGATCTTCTGCACGACGTGCTGGGACAGGAACCTCTTGGCATCGGCGACGGCAGCAATCTCGAGAGCATTCAGGCCCTCAAAGGCAGCAGTAGGGTCATCGTCTTCGTCGTCGTCATCATCGTCGGAGCTGAGATTTGTCAGACGAGAAAGAGACGAGAGGAGTTGCACTTTCTTTGACGAGCTCCCCGAAGGCAAGTGAGGATCCGAGCCGTCAAAGGTGGCCAGCACGCGGGGAATCAAGGGGGCGCGCTCGCCAGCTTCAGGGTCGGAGCCGGCGCCGTGACCAAGCTGCTGCCGCCGTTCCTGCTCTTCCAGCTGCTGCGCCTTGACCTTCTTATGGTCAGGAATCTCGTAGAGGCAAAAGGACACGGCCTCGCGTTCCGAATGATGGGTTAGAAATCTCCAGGCCACAATCTCACAGGCATTGGAGCGAGCCTCGCCGAGACCTTGGTTGTCACGGTCCAGGGCGTAGTGCCATTTGAGGGCCCTACTCACGGATGAGTAAAAGGTCAAGCAGACGTCAGAAAGCCAGATATTTTGCAAAGCGGGAAGCAGAGCATTGTACCTACAGCAGAGCATTGACAATGGCGGGATTGGAGCAGGTATCGCTGAGATGGTCGACGAGGAGGCGCAGACTGGTGCCGGCTGATGTGGTGCGCAGCTGCTCAAAGGTGCTGGGCATCTCGATGGCTTCGGAGATGTACTGGGACAGCTTCTTGACGACAATGCGGAACGAGTCGTCGGGGGCAATGTAGGGCAGCTCGACATAGTCGTAGCGAGCCGAGAAGGGACTGTCTTCTCGCGCAGGCTGAGGCTTGAGCTTGACGCGGATAGGCATCTTGAGGCCTTGATGCGGGATCGGATAGAGGACAATTCACGGGAATCGAAGAAAGAGGGATAACAAGCCTGAAGTTATACAAATATCGAGAGAGCCAAGAAAGGAAAAAAAAAAGACAAGGCAATACTATAGGAGAGCAAAGGCAGAGTCCCGACCAGGGGATGGAAAAGCCCGAGAGGGAGGGCAGATGAGGTTGATGGGGGAATAATGCGGCGTGATGCGGTTGATGGAGATGGACGGAGCTTCTCCAGGTCGAGATGGGGAAGCTGCTGACTTGGGGTCTGTCTGTTAAGGTACATGTATGTTGCTACAGCTCAGGAAGCGACGTCAGTCTAGCGCGGCGTGGCCTGTGCGTGGCGCAGGTGACTGCTGGGGGCGGTACAGGGCAAGTACATGGCATTGGGGGGACAAACAGCACATCCTCAGCAGAAGTTGGCATTGCCATTGGCTCTCATCGTCTGAGCACGCTGGTATCTCGCGTGTATTGCTGCGTGGCCGGCGCTGCTAGAGCCGCCATTACGGGGCGCTGGTCCCCTGAACAAGCCATCGAGAGGCCAATTGCCCACGTTTTGAGCATTGGATGGAGTTGGATTTGATGCCAATGAGCGCAGCAGCCGCCGCCATTGCCATTGATTGATGCTGCTACTAGTACTGCTGCATCCATGTCCGCCGGTGCCGTCTCAGCCAGTGATCAAAGCCAGTGAAGCCTCCAAAGACCCCCATGGCCGTCAATCGCGGATGGACTGGATGGACCCCTGCTGCTGTTGCTGCCCTGCAGCGCCTCTTGCGCCTCTTTTCTTTGTCGGTGCTCTTTGGGCACGAGGGTCGAGATGCGATTCGCTGGAGCAGCTGCTGTGCTGCCGTTGGGGATGCACCCCACAGCGTCTGTACGAGGACGTCATGGTCGTGCATCTACTAGATATCTCTGCGTGTTGTACAGTAGTAGTTGTACTCGTACTAGTATCATCAAGGAGATGATGGATGTACCAAGAGATTGATTGATGGTAGTAGCTTATCAACTTATGATGCTTGATGTAGATAGATAGATAACCTCCCGCGTTGTCGTAGACACGAAAAGGAAGTCTACCATCTTCATGTAAGGCAGATGCTCAAGGGATGCCGATGGCTTCACTCCGGTCTTGGATGGTCTCAGCTCGCAGTCTGGGGCCCAGCTCTCATTTCCAGCAACCGCACAATCCAGATGGCCCTGAGACTGTGCGCCGGACATCGCTTAGGTTTTACGTATCAAGTCTCCATGAGAGAAAGAAAAGGTCTCAGCCCAGATCCAGCTACTATCTCGAAACCTGTTCCGTCCATGTCGTGCCTTCATTCACCTCCCCAGAGGCCTTTGCACCTGTTTCAACAATCGTCCTCATACTTGCCACAACGCACTGCGCTTTCAGCCGGGCTGCTAATCATCAGTCAGCTCTCGCGGTTTCAAGCTCAAGTATATTTCCCTAGGTAGTAGCTGATGGCCGCTCTCTGCTAAAGATGACCTCGAGTCATGTCTCACCACTAGACTGCACTATTCTTCTTGAGCAATATCGCAACGCCCAGATCCGCGCATCTCTCCTCCCTTGCGGCGGCCCCAGCTGTTCATCACCGAGCTAAATCCTGGTCTGACCCGTTTGAAGCAGGGCTGCCAATCGGCAGCTGCAAAAGCACGGAAAAAAAGGGGGGGTTGAGCTTGGATCGAGCAAACAAGCAGCTCTCATGCTCCATTCATGCGGTGATCAGTAGCAATTGGCAGCCATTGATGGCCAGTGACAAACTCAGACACCACGGAGCATCATGTGCTTGGTGCATGACATACAGACAGGCAGACAGATAGACGGACGGACGGACAGACGGACAGACACACACGCATGGACCTTGAGGTTTGTGTCACATTTCTCTGACCTCTGGATGGAGCACCGGCTCCCGCTCATTGTTCACACTCTCCAAGCTTATACCAGGGGACCGACCTGAAGCAGCTGCCGCCTCACAGGCCATCATATTGAACGCCTCTCACAATAGCATCACAAAGCCCATATCATGCAGTCACCGCGTTCTTTTCTATTCTCACATGTTCGACGAGATGCACAATCCCCTCTTCGCCTGCAGATGACACGAGATAACGCATGAGCGGCTATTTATACCATTTCGCAAACCCACCGCAGACACGATTTCTTCCCTCCCCCTGCTTCCCCCATTGGTTCGACTAACGTACCCTATCCGACACCAGCTGGGGCCATTGCAGGGGTTAAATACGAACAAAGTCGAAGCAGGAAGGCAGAGAAAGAAGAGAGAGAGAGAGAGGAAAGAAAAAAAAATAACGGAGTGGTACGAACCAGCGCCGGTGCTACCTCACCTCGCCCGGCCAGCTCGCCCTGGGCCTCGAGGTTACATCTGGCCAAACAAAACCTCCTCCATACACCTACGAGTACATAATCACCAGCTTCTCTTCCTCACCACGCTCGTTTTTTCCCCCCGGCTTTTGAGGCTGCTCGGTTTTGGTTACTTTCCCGTATTACTTCTCTCCTTGTTTCCTGTTATCGCAAGCCAGCCAGCAACCATGGCCGTGGCCCGTCGGCGGCCATCGTCGGCCGTCTCCCTCACAGCCCTCGTCCTCTCCTCGACGCTCCTCCCCATCGCCGCCAGCCATGCGCTGCCCCGAGAGACAAAGACCGTCGCCGTCCGCGAGCTCAACGTGGTGCCCTGGCCCATCGCGACGCCCGCGCCCGGAGCCTCGCCGGACCTCGACCTCAGCCTCGGCGCCGTGCCCGCCGCCGACCTGCTGCGCCGCGACTTCAACACCATCTGCGGCTTCATAGGGGGCCACGCCGACTTCCCGGCCACGTGCCTGCCCGGCTCGCACTGCGCCGTCGACGTCGACAACAAGGCCATCGGCTGCTGCCCCGACGGCGCCCCCTGCACCGGCGGCATCTTCACCGGCTGCGTCGACGTCAACAGCCCGCCCCAGACGGAGCTCAACCCCTACGTCTTCACCTGCACCGGCGCCGACGTCTGCTACCGCAACCACTTTGACGGCGGCTTCTTCCAGTTTGGCTGCGGCGCGTCCTCCGCCCTGGCGACGGGCGTGGCCACCACGGCCTTTGGGCGCGGGCCGCTCGACTTCAGCCACGTCTCTGTCCGGCTGACGGCCACGCCCACGCTTCTCGCGACGCCGACGACGATTGGATCGCGGACGGGCACCAGGTCTGCGGAGAGCACAGCTACCAGCAGCAGTGGGACAGAGACTACCAATGCCTCTAAGACGAAGACGGCCGCGACCGAAGAATCTACGGGAACTGCTACCGAAACCTCACCTACCGAATCTTCTACTTCAACCTCAACTGCCGAGCCCGCAGCGCCCACTTCCAGCGGCAGCTCCAAGACCGGACCCATTGTTGGAGGCGTCGTTGGTGGCCTCGCCGGCCTTGCCCTGCTATTAGGCCTACTATTCTTCTTTCTGCGCAGAAAGAACGGAGCCAAGCCCGCTCAGTATATCGAGTAAGTAGACGCTGCCATGGATCATTCTTAGCCGTAAAAAGACGGCAGTCACTGACCATCATCTTCGAAACAGTCCATCAACAGAAAAATACAACAACAACTCGGAGCCGCAGTACCCTCCCAAAACGCCTCTCCTCAACGAAGAACGCGGCATCCACCCAGAAGGCGCCGAGCTCAGCCAGCTCCCCCGACGACCCAGCGAGGCCGCGCCCCAGCTCGGCGAGATCGGCCTCGCCGTGCCCTTCAGCCCGACCTCTGAATACAGCAGGCCGTCCGACGAGATCCCCCTCAGGGAGACTACGTCCACGCCCAAGCCGGACATTGCCGCGCCCGTCGACATGGGCCCGTACATTCCGCGGAGAAGGGCCGACGGCGACGGCGCGTTCTTCTCGTCGCAAACGAGATCCGAATCGCGGACTCGCGGCCGGCCTTGGGTCTAGTTTTTTTTTTTTTTTTAGTTTGCCCTTGCTTTGTTTTGCCTTTTTAAACTTTGATACCCCCCCATCTTTATTACTTTTTATTCCCCAAGACTCGAGAGAAGAAGAAGAAGAAGAAAAGACGAAGAGAAGAGATGCCCCTTTGTATATGCTGAGCGGCGGCGATATTACCTGCCTATTGTATCTTACCTTACCTTTACCTTACCTACCGATTTTATTAATGTTTGATATAACCGAAACCCTCAAAATACTTACCTTGCGCGGCCTGACCTAAAAATATCCTACCGCGTCTTACATCCAAGGGCCAATTCCGTTGGCTACACAGGTACTTATGGAAATGACGGATAACATTCACGCTCATCATGGTTTTTGTTCGGACAAGTCATGCCCCTCAGCCTTTTGGAAACCGTCTTCTTCCTCTCGACTCTAATACTTCCCTTCACCTTGTTTCTTTCTACATGTACATTGTTACCCATGAAGCTTGGCTCGAGGGAAACGGACACCAAAAAGGGGGGGTACGGATGATACATATCAAGTTGGTTCATCAGAGAGTAGCAGGCGTTGGAGGTATCTTTCTTTTGCTTTCAAATACCTTGAGTATAGCATTCGATATATCATGAATATACCATGGAGACTTTTTGCGAATTTCTCCTCCATCAAGGTTAAACTTGTTCCGCTAGCTGAGGCAACAAGTGCTTACACGGTTTGACCATATATATGTTCAGGGGGGGTGACATTCCAGGACAATGGTCATGTTGAACCGTCTCCGCCAACGGACCAAATCTTCAACGAAGACTCGTCAAAGATTCTACTACGATGGCTTCCGTCAAGACTTCTCCCAGACGCAGCATCCAGGTCCTGTTCCCGCGGATACCCCCACCCTCCCGAACAAGTCGCCACAACAGAGCCGCTCGAATGCACAATCGTGCTTCCGACAGGCGACTCATGCGCTCCCCACGTCCACGAAGGCTCGACGACGTCGTTGCGCATGCCAACCCCCTCCCATACCGCCACCGCGCCATGCTGCGTCCCCGCCCAGACCTCGAACCCGTTCTCTCCCGGGAAGATGTCAAAGTGCAGCCGCTGCTGCGTCGTCGACCCACGGCCGTCCAGCACGGCAAGCAGCTGCCCGGTGCCGCGGATGTCGTAGACGAGCAGCCCGCGGCTCTGCCGCTCGTTGACGACCAGGTACCGCCCGCAGGGGCTCCACGCCGTCTGCACAATGCCCTGCCCGCCCAGGGCGACGCCAAAGGCCTTTTCGTCCGCGCCGGCGATCGACCAGTTCGCGACGACTCGATCAGAGCGGTGCAGATCGTACGTCCCCATCCAGCGGGTCCATGTGCCGGCCGCGAGAATGGACCCGTGCCCGTGGACGACGTCTGCAGGAGGCGAAGCCGCAAGGGCGGCCACGGTGCCCTTCATGCCGACGCCGCTGCCCTTGGCGATGTGCCGCCGGGATGGGATCGTGGCCACGGTCAGCGCTGGGCCGTCGGCGCAGTGGCCGGACGCGTCGAACAGATCAATGCGGTTCGCTGAGCCGCAGACAAAGTGCGTGCCGGGGTGCTCCCAGAGCAGCGACGCAGGGGTGATGTACTGCTCCGACTCTTTGCGGATAAGCTTATAGGTGTAGAGGGGGCGAGCAGCAGCAGCAGGCCTGCCCGTGTCCTCCTCCCCCTCGTCTTCCGGCGGCGGAAAGGCATGGTAGAGATGGAGGGGGTGGTCTCGACAGCCAACCAGGAACGTCTGCGAGGCCGGGTTGGCCAGGGAGAAGTAGGGCGCAGCGGCGAGGGTCTGGGTGGGCTCCGGCAGCCGAATGCTGGCCTGGCGGTGCAAAGGGCGGGCTTCTCCTGCAGCCTGCAGGAGGTCCGCAGGAAGGACAAAGGACGAGACGCTCTGATCGGACGACAGGGCGAGGATGGCGGTGCCGTCGGCGGTCCACTGGGCGGAGGAGAAGAAGCGTCGGTTGCCGGCATCAGGACCCAGGGACGCCGCTTCAGGGGGGCTTTCTCTGGCATCGACCGACTGAGGCCTGCTCACGTTTGCAGGGCACTCGGCGAGCAGACGCATGAGGGGCGCCTTGGGCTGGCCATGGTGCTCGTCTGCGAGGGGAGCAGGTGGTTCTTCACATGCAGTCTGCTGGTCCATGGCATGGTTTGATGCTCGACGTGCTGCCCCGGTGAGGCTCAGTCAGGTGTGGACAAGGCTGGTGCCGGTCCCCCATTCACCGCTGCATGATCGATCCAAATCACCTCCGTGCTGTTTGCAGATGAGCAGCAGTCGTCTAATCCAGGCTGGAGCTGCAATTGCGTGGCTGCAAGGGGTTGTGGGTTGCTGCTGATAAGGAGAGGAATGAAGAGCGAAAAGGATCCATGGATCAAAATTGATGCGTGAGGTGGAATTGAGACGCTAACTGCGGAACCGCTGAAAATCAGGTGCAGCAGCGCAAAGTCACTGAATCGTACACGATACAAGCGCATGCGCCGACCAAGCCGTACCTTGGTCCAGATCTAAATTGGCTGCCGACGTCATTTCAGCACCTTGAGGGGTGGGCTGCTTGGCTGTCGCCTCTTGCGTCTCCGAGCATCGAGTACAAGTCGTCAGCACGCTACGCTCGTACCTCATACCCGGAAGAAGAGCAGCCCCTATGTTGTGCAGCACTCGAGATGGGACTGGCATTTCCACTCATTCATCTCCCGTTCGTTGTACTGTACTCAGGTACTAGGTAGGTAGGGAATCATTGCCGTGAGCTTACAGCTGCAGACCCTCCTGCTTTAGCGCATGCAGTGTTAGAGCTGGTGTCATCGAGCTCGAGCTCGTCTGGACCTCTAATTACCTAGATACGGGGTACATTAGCCTCGGGGCTTGCCATAGCCCAACGGCTTGTACCGTCGATCAGGTTGGCCTTTAGTAGGTATGGTGACACTGCAGCTGCCCTGCCGAGAGGTGCTGGTGGGATGGACTGCAGTTGTGGTATCTGTTGATGCCTGTGGCCTCCTCGCGTTGACGGGCCTTGTGAAGAGCTACCTACCTAAGGTATACCTCTGCAAGCTGAAGCGAGCCATCCATACTTGTACATGTACAGGTAGGTACCCTCGCGCGCCATAGGGGGTTCTGGTAATGGATGGATAGGTATTCTCGTCATGGGTCCTACGAGCCTCTTACTTGCCATATCACGGTCATAAAGACTAAAAAGAATTTTCAGGGCCTTGTAACAGGGTAAAATTCCATGTTACAAGTGCCTATGCCATGACCAGAAACCCCTATGGCGCGCGATGGTAGGTGGTAAATCAACAGGTCCATGCATTGATTCATCCGTCACCTCTCGTCTGCACCGAAGCCCCTGTGTCTATTGAACACATCCATAAGGTACTAACTGAGATGGATGCTTTGCTGTCCGTTGGTATGCCAAGAATCCCCCCCAAAGAACGGATCAGGCACCACCGAAAGCGATGGATAGATTGCGATAGATCGCTGCTAAAAGCTGTCGAGGGTGCAGCTGGAGGTGCAGCTGGAGGTGCGCTACAGGTCCTCAGAGCGCCGCCTGGCAGCGCACGGGTACCCGCTGCGTACCCCGTACCCGCGCCTACCAGCAGCCCCGCGGCCGCTCCAGCGCCGGCGTTAGCGCTGCTGCGCTGGGTACCGGCCGCTACCGGGCCACTAGCAGCACCAGCCCGTGCCATTAGCGACCCTTGCTGGCCCAGCGCTGCTCCGGCCAGTGACAACCCGAGCCTGACCTGACCTGACCTGACCTGACCCTGACTGACCCCAAACCGCCGTGCCTTGCCTCGTACCTCTTCGTACCTTGCCTACTTCTAGTACAGTACTGCTCTGCTCGCCTCTTTCTGCCTGTCTCACCTCTAGCCACGCTCTCTCACTCTGCCCTGATCCTGACAGGCTGAGACTTCCAGCGAATCCCGATCCCCCGGCTGATCAGCAATCAATATCAATCGCCTGCCGTCCGCCCTTGTCGCCCGACCATGAACGCCGCATAGCCCGACCTCCAGAGACGCTCTTCGCCCCTCGCGGTCCTTCAGCCCGACCAACGAAGGACCAAGAGAAGCACGACGACGACTCCCCGACAGCGAACAGACAAAACGACTAGCAGGCCCGATACTGCGAGAGATTTCGCGGCCTTATCCTGCCTCTCCCTTGCGAACCTCTCCTCTGCGAACCTTTCACCCCCGTACTTTAGCGACTTTACTACCACCACTTCTATTGACGCCCTGATCTTCATAATCGACCGATTCCCACTGCTGCGAGACCGTCGTCTCTCGCAGTATCGACGCCGATATTGATGGAGACATCTCCCTTGACGATGGCCACGTCCTCCACGTGCGAGGCGCTTAAGACGCCCTCGTACATGGAGCTGATTGTTTCCATGTGAGCAGCGCCCCTCCCTCCCCCGGCCTCTTTGTCCCCCAAGCGCTCTCCCATGTTGTGATTCGCCTCTTGGCTGGGATTGTGACGATACTAACGGTGCACGGCAGCATCATCCTCCTTGGTCTCTTGATCTCGTACCTGCCACAGCACTATCGCATCATATCTCGCGGGACCTCCGAAGGCATATCTCCCTACTTCGTCCTCCTGGGCACCACATCTGCGACTGCTGGCTTTGCCAATATCCTGACCGTTGCGCCCTCTCGCAAGGCCATTGGCTGCTGCAGGGAGCTGGAGACATTCGAGTGTGCCGCCGGCCTGCTTGGTGTTGCCCAGCTCGGAACGCAATGGCTGTGTTTTACTGCCATGTATGTCATCCTGTCCCCATGCTGACCCCAATAACACTTGGCTAATGCTCCCGCCATTACAGCCTCATTCTGTTCCTCATCTTCTTCCGCTATCGCGAGGCCAACGTACCCCCGGAGGAGCTGGGCGGAGAAAGCCCCAGATGGCAAACGGCCGTCGCTGTGGGTGGGCTCTGCATGCTTCATGCATTGATTGTGATCATCCTGACTGGTGTCTTCGCCATCGCCAGGCCTGACCTTCTCAACTTCTGGGCCAACTTCCTTGGCGTCATGGCGGCCGTTCTCGCCGCCATCCAGTATATTCCCCAGATTTGGATGACATACCACCTCAAGCACGTCGGCAGTCTGAGCATCCCAATGATGTGCATCCAGACGCCGGGCGGCCTTCTCTTTGCCGCCAGTCTCTTCATGAGACTAGGCATGGAGGGCTGGAGCACATGGGCCATCTTCCTGTTGACGGCTGCCATGCAAGGCGCTGTTCTGGCCATGGCCATCTACTACGAAGTCACGAGACACAGCGACGAATACGCGCACAGCTACACCAGCAGCGCGCCGCAGTCGCCCATCGACACTCATTCCACGCCGCAGCGCCCCTACGCCCCTCGGACCTACTCCGAGGGCTGGGAGCGCGGGCTGCCGGGTCCGTTTACGGGTCATCCGGAGCGATACGCCGAAACCGAGGAAGACCTGGACGACATGGAGGAGCGCGAAGAGCGGGCCATTGCCAGAGAAAACCAGCCACTTCTCCGGCCAGGCGGCATCGGCAACCCGCACAAGAGCTACCACTCCACCTCACGTCATTAGGGTGACGAGGTCTGAGTGGAGAGACTGCCTCGACAATGGGGCAAAGGCATTGACCGCTGCGGATTCGCATCTGAGCTAGAACTTGTACCATTGCAGAGATGGAATATCTCAATGCGGCGAGAGGGGATATCGATGCATTGCCAGATTGTAGGGAAGGGTTCCCTTTGTTCAACGAGCTTGCTTCATTTATCGGATACGCATGTAACATTATATTTAGCTGTTTGCTGCCTGCTCAATTTGAAAGGCGACGAGGCCACCATGAGCCATCCTGGCACCTCATTATCATCACGTATCAAGGACCAGTACTTTGCGTTGACATGGATGTGAGCATGATGTATCTGTTCACCAGTCGGACGTGAAATTCGAGAAAATTGGAGAACCCTCCTTTGTCTTGTCTGATTCTCATCTAAGCCTCCACCTCCTGACTCGGGAAGGAGATGACTTCCTATTCTTCAAACATCAACTCTCTGAAAGCAGAGCGCCACTGTCGTAAACACATAAAGATACGTCTAGTCGTTATACACAAACCAAAAGCAAAACAGAAAAGGACGAAAAAAAAAACCCTCGTTGCATCTAGAAATTCACCTCCCGCACATCCTTCTTGTCAAGCGTCTTAACGCCGGCATCCCTCTCCTCGTCATAACTGCCATCGTCCGTGGGCTGCGCCTCATCCTCGAGATCATCACCAACTTCCATCCACCGGTCGCTCGTCGCGGGAACCGGCGAAACCTTGCACAATATCCAGTACACGCCCAGCGAAACGATGAAGCCGCAGAAGAAGTTGAGCCTGTAAATGTACGTCGCGCCCATGGGCACCTTTGTGCCCACCGCGCCTGCAAAACCGACGACATTGATCAGGATCCCGGAAACGTACGCCGCGTAGGCTCGCCAGTGGATGCCCCAGGTGTAGAAGTAGGGGCCCGTGCTGCGGCTGTCGAAGAGCTCCTTGGTCTCGAGGTAGCCCTTTCGGACGAGGTAGTAGTCCGAGACGATGACGCCGGCGATGGAGCTGAGGAAGACGCTGTACGCGGACAGGTACGTGGTGAACTGGTTGGAGCTGCTGAGCAGGTTGTACGGACACATGGCGAGGCCGACGAGGGCGCAGATGTAGGACCCGCGACGGATGTTGATGTAGCGCGGGAGCAGGGCGGTCATGTCGGTGCCGGCGGAGACGGAGTTGGCGGCGATGTTTGTGCCGAGCTGGGCGAGGGCAAAGGCGAGGGCGATGACGAAGACGCCGAAGCGCTGGGCGGAGCCGCCGTCGTCGATGAAGCGGCCGAGCAGGTCGAGCGGGCTCCAGATGGGCTCGTGGTAGATGACGGTGGACGAGGACGAGACGATGATGCCGATGAAGGAGGTTATCGCGAAGCCGAGCGGGATGGTCAAGAGCTGCGACCAGACGGCGTCGCGGGGCTTGCGCGCGAACCGCGTGAAGTCGCTGTCGTTGACGACGAGCGTCGCGAAGTTGGCAATGGACGACATGACGCCGCTGACAAACTGCCAGCCCAGCTCGCTGCCGCGGACCGTCGCCGGCTGGCGGATGATGGGGCCGACGCCGCCCGCGCGGACGCAGGCCCAGACGAGGAACGCGATGCCCGCGACGGGCACGAAGTAGGCCTTGACGGTGAAGAGGTGACGCACCTTGTGCACGGGGAACCACAGCGCGGGCAGGGAGCACAGCCAGAAGATGACAAAGGACACGTACTCGGGCGTCGTCGTGGCGCTGGTGCCAAAGGTGCCCGGCATCTTGGACGCGTCCCAGGACTTCCAGATGGAGCGGATCATGAGGTAGACGCAGGTGCCGCCGATGTAGGCCTGGACGCCGTACCAGATGCATGCTATATATGAGACGAGGATTAAAAGGTGAGTTATGTACGGGATGAAGAGACTCGAGAGAAGAAGGTCCGGGGTATCTGATGAAGCAGGAGGAAGAGGAGGAAGAGGAGGAAGAGGAGGAAGAGGAGGAAGAGGAGGAAGAGGAGGAAGAGGAGGAAGAGGAGGAAGAGGAGGAAGAGGAGGAAGAGGAGGAAGAGGAGGAAGAGGAGGAAGAGGAGGAAGAGGAAAGATTTGGACTTGAAGAAGCTAATTTCAGCATCACTCACCCATAGCAGCACGATTAAAGACGGGCCATAGACTCCCCCAGATGCCAAACGAGGCACGCCCAATGACCGGGAAGCCAATGTGATACGTCGCTCCGATCCGTCCCGTCATGACGATGAAGCAGGCGGAGATGGAGTAGCCCAGCCAGACGCATATCCACGCCTGCCACCAGGACAGGCCGGCGATGATCATGGACGAGGAGATCATCCACGTGTTGATGTTGAACGAGTCGGCGATCCAAAAGGCGACAAAGTTCCAGGGGCCCCATTGCCGGCGCTCCTTTTCCACGGGCTTGAGGTCATGGTTGACAAGCTAATAAGAGAAGGAGGGTTCAGAGTCAGCGCCGCAGTCTCTCTCTCTGTCTCTCTCTCGTTCTTGTTCGATTGCAGACATGTCTCGATCGCTGGGCAAGGTCTTGGGGGGACGCTCAGAAGACACACGTTGGTGACGATTCTCATGAGCGAGGAAGAGAGAGGAGGTTGGGGGGGGGGGGGGGGGGGGGAGAGGGCTTCATGTATAACACGAAGAGGATGGAGAGTAGAAGAACCGCACCATCAGCTGTGTAGTTGACAAGCCGGGCTCTGCCTCAACAGCCAGCTTGTCCGCCAAATTCCTGAATCTCTGCCGTAACGCCATGGTGTGTTGTGATGGGAGCGGCAAGCAACGAGCCTCTCTAGTAGTATGTGTGTAAGAGGTTTCAATTGTGATCAAACAGCGGGCATGTGAGATCCTTTTTGTTTGTCTTTTTTTCTTTTCCAAACACCTGGTACTGTAGAAGCGAATTGATAAGAAACCGATCAGCCACAACCGGAGGATTGATCGACGCACAGATGACGTGGGGAGCCCCCCGGGATGGGTTCGTCTCGAGATGGAGGGCGAAAGGCGTTGATTTGTTGTGGGGGATCTTTGCTGGTGTTGGTGAGAGGGCGGCGATCAGCCAACCAAGACTGTTTGTTCCTTTTGTTCTATCTTTTTTTGTTGTTGGAGAAGCAGCCACTCGTTACACACAAGTATGTAATTGGACGATCTCTGCTGGCTTGTGCCCTGGGAGGGTTGTCCGGCTCGGCGTCGTCAGAGGCTTGAAGACGGTTCTGGCGGCGCAGGAATGGCGGGAGAGAAGCCACAGGCTTTTTATCTGATTGCCTCTTCCGGGGGGGGCCAGATGAAGGCAAGACACGAGCCAATCTCTCAGCTTAAAAGAGGCGATAAAAGGGAAACGAAAAAGCGGAGGCGGGAGAGTCAACCGGGCTTGATGATGGCAAAATGCATTTTGACTGATCCATGTTTGGCGCAGTGGCCCCGAACGGAACTGCTCCTCCTATCAGGTCTGCCCTATCTCGAGTTTCTAAACCCAAGATGAGTTGGTCTCTGGCAAAGATGGCTTTTTTTCCCTCCCCATCGTGCCAGAGAGGCGAAGATACCTACCCTGCCATTGGGCGGCGATACCTTAGTACTACCTTACTTGTAGCAAATGCATGCATGTCCGTCCCACGATAAGCTAGTAATGCCACGAGATAGCAGCGGGACAAGGGGGGGTAAGGACAAGAGGAGAACCGAGGAAGAGAGGATGAGATTTAAAAAATTCATCAGCCGGGACAAGACCCTGAAAGTGCGGAGGAGGAGGGATCCGCCATCCCGCAGACAGAAACGTGCGACAAACAGCAGGAGATTCAATTACTCCATCTAATCGAGTCAACGGAACAGCAGCCAGGATGCAGCATCAAAGGCCGATAACTGCCTGTGATTAGTAGTACATAGTCGTTATCTATCTGGTTATCTTGGGTTGTGAATAAGGTGGTGAGATACGCGGGAGATAAGGTATGGATGTGAGGATACGGCAGATAGCGGCACGACGGGTAGGGTCAGTAGGTGTTAATATGGGGAAGGTGTTGGGTGTAATAAGACAATAGTAGCGCTCAGGCTAGGGGGCAGAAGGTTGCTTGTTTTCTTAGTGTCGGATCACACGGTAGTAACTCGGGTCTCACTTGTGTCACTTGTTATGTGGAGGAGAGGGAGGAGGAGGAGGAGGAGGAGCAGGAGGAGGAGCAGGAGGAGGAGCAGGAGGAGGAGGAGGAGGAGGATGGAGGCGAGTTGGTGCGGTGCCACAAGCCACTGCGAGATCCGGCGGCGCGACGGTGGATGTGGATCTTTGCAGATGCGGAGGGCTGCTGGGGATTCTAGAATAAATTGCTGCCTGTATAATCTCTACTAGCTCGATCAACGGATACATTTTGGCTGTGATCCCTGGTGGCGGGACGGGTCGATGATGGCACATGTTTGTCTTCGGGTGAAAGTCTGAAGAAGGAGTTTGATCGATGACATTTGCGCCGGCGGCTTTGCATGATGACGATGTGCGCTTCTGAGGCTGTGGATCAGGACGGCAAAACCAGGGGAGCGACTAGCCAGCACCCCAAGTTTAGAGAACCATGATGGAAAGAGAAGCATATGCATAGGTACCTAGGTAGGCATGGTAAGACTAAGGTGGACATGTATCGCGATACTAGCAGGCTCTTGATGGATTACACATGGAGGTTTAGAGTGATGATGAGACTAGATACTCATAGCGATAGTAGCTGAAAGGATCAATTACCTCTGGGAGTGATGTAGTCTAGGTAGGTAATAGTAAGGGTTAGCTGTGGGAGAGGTTCACGGGTTCATGTTTGCATGGATAGAAGTGCTATTAGCTAGCCGTTCCCGAACTCTGATGCGCGCTCACTTGATTGCCCTGGCTTTTTATCTCATGTTTCCCTTGGTGGATGGCAATCGGATAATGTTGGACGCTGAATTCTGGTCATCAGTAGACCTTGGTGGTCATGTAATCTGTCTGCTTGCCGCTTGGCCTGTTGGACATCTGAGCACGAAGGTGTTCGATATACGGGTCCGCCAGCTTCTTAGATGTCAGGTCTGATCAAAGAGAGGCGTGGGATATCTGGGAAGAAGATGCTACATATCAGAATGATCAAGGACAGAGAAAAATGCCAACCAATGTGCCAAAGCCATTTCATTATCCATCTCCGTTTATCCGTACTCATTGATGGTCCCTGATGCGCAGTCTCAACGCACCTTCACATGTGATAATAGGTAACACAAGGATGCCATGGCGTGGTTTGATCAAGGCAAGCAGTCTTCTGCACAGCGCCAAGTGCGCATGCGTATGTTATTCTCAGCAGGGCAATTACAGCTCAGCCAACATTCAGCTCATCACTTTTCCGACGCCCTGTAGATCTCAGTCAATGTCCATCTGCTCATTGATCCAGGCCCAGGCTACCCGGGAGTCGTGCAGACTCAGCTGCACCTCAATGCAAAATACAGTGATTCGTTATCGCGCCTGCATCTCTTATCGACCACGCCTGCCAGCCAACCACAGACGCGCAGCCAGTCACCAGCCCGCTTTTTTTTGTTTTCCTCCCCCACCATCCAATCCAGACTCCCCTCCTCAAACCTCCAAGTTTTGGAACTGCAGCATCTCGTCACTCTCCCTCTCTCTGGCTGGAACAGACCGCAAGGGAAACGAAGCAAAAAAGGCGATACTCGACGACAAAGCACCCGCACTGACCGCCAGCCCTTCTCCTGTGTCTCCTGTCTCTCACCAATCTCGCCCACCATGGAGGACCAGCTGGCGCAGCTCCTGGCCAACACGCAGCTTCCCGACCAGGCTCCCCGCCAAGCGGCCGAGATCGAGATCAAGCGCGCCCAGACGAATCCCGCCTTTCCCGTGTCGCTGGCCCGCATCGGCGCGCACTCGTCCATCGACACGAGCATCCGCCAGGCCGCGCTCAGCACGCTGCGCCTCTTCATCGAGAAGAACTGGGCCGTCGAGGAGCTCGATGACGAGCCGCAGATCTCCATCTCGGACGAGGCTCGCGAGCTGCTGAAGCAGACGCTGCTCGAGCTTGCCCTGAGTCCCGAGGACGACCGAAAGGTCAAGATCGCTGCCAGGTAGGGTGTGATGGACGCTTTCACAGAGAGGTACCCGTGAAAGTCCTTGACCTAACCAGTGGATTTTCTCACCTCTAGTTATGCCGTTGGCAAGGTTGCCATTCACGACTTCCCCGACAATTGGCCCGCCCTCCTCCCTACCATCCTCAATGTCATCCCCACCGGCAACGACGCCCAGCTCCACGGAGCCCTGAGGGTCCTCAGCGACCTGGTCGACGAGAGCCTTAGCGAGGACCAGTTCTTTTCCATGGCCCAGGACATCGCCAAGGCCCTTACCGAGGTCGCCCTCAACGAGAACAGAAAGCCCATGCTGCGCGCCCTCGCCATCTCCGTCTTCCGCGGATGCTTCGACCTGATGTACATGGTCAAGGATGACAACAAGGACGTCAAGGTCTTTGCGGAGGAGCTGCTGAAGCAGTGGAATCCCTTCTTCGTTGCCGTACTCAAGGGCCGTCTGCCCGAGGCCGAGTCTGGCTCTGGCGCTCAGCCCGAGAGCTGGAACAGCATCATCGCCCTCAAGCTGCAGGTGGTCAAGACGCTCCTCCGCATCCGCAGGGTGTTCCCTAACCTTCTGCTCCCCCAGAGCACCACCTTTTTCACCGCCGTCTGGGAGGAGCTGAGCATCATGCAGGCAGCCTACGAGCAGCTGTACATCATCGACGAGGTGCAGTCTCGCTTGGAAGACTCCGATAACCTCCCGTATACCCTCGACCTTCTCATCCTGGAGGAGCTCGACTTCCTCAACCAGTGCTTCCGTGCGCCTCCCGTTCAGGCTGAACTCGACAGCCACCTCAACGCCCATGCCCATGGTCACGAGGTCCCGTGGATGATGGATCTTATGAAGATGCTCGTCGGATACTCGAGGGTTACGCGCGAAGAGCAAGATCTCTGGGACTTTGACTGCTCCCTGTACCTGGCTGAGGAGACTTCGGTCACGGCCAATTACACTGCGCGCACGGCCGCTGGCGACCTGCTCATCAAGCTTGGCGAGTGGTTCAACGAGAAGACGGTCGACGGCCTGTTTGGACACACAAAGACCCTCTTCCCCGGCGAGGGACCCTCGGCATGGAGAAGCCAGGAGGCAGCTCTGTACCTGTTCGTCATGCTCGTCAGTGACTTCCAGGACTTGAGCAAGCCCATCCCGGACGCCGTTGCCAACGCATATCTGGAGCTTGTCGACTTCTCCATCAACCAGTCCAAGCACCCGCTGCTGCGTGCCCGAGGATATCTGGTCGGTGGCATCATTGGCCGCTCTCACCAGACGCCACCCAACCTGGTCGACGCCATCATCCACTCCATTACGAACGAAGAGTCTGAGGTTGTCCAGGTTGCCTGTATCAAGGCTATTGAAGGCCTCGTCAACTCAGGACGCGTGACCCCCGACCGCCAGACGCCCATCATTGCCGCCATTCAAGGCTACATGAACGGCAAGGATCCCGAGGAAATGGAAGAGGCAGACGAGCTCCTTGTTACTCTCACGGAGGCTCTGAGAGCCGCCATTGGGCTCGATAGCACAATCGTCGTCACCAGTGAGATTCCGTCCATCGACCTTCTCTTCCTGCTGGCCAAGCTTGGAGCCAGCAACTTCCAGGTCACCATGCTCGTTACCGAGGCATTTGAAGACATTGTCGGCAGCCTCTCAGACGCCGCTTCGTACGCCGCTCTGTGCGCGCGCATCCTGCCCACCTTGACTGGCGCTTTCGACGTGGCCAACCTGACCGAGGACAACCCCCTAGTCACGGTGAGTTGCCGGCCTTCACCCCCCTCATCGGGACACGGACTTTTGTTCCAACACTAACATGCCCGTAGGTTGCGACCGAGCTGCTCGTCGTCTTGACAGAGCACGGCTCAGAGCCCCTGCCAGAGGGCTTCGTGGCTGCCACCCTCCCCAAGCTGAACCGCCTGCTGATGGAGTCTGGAGACGGCGACGTCCTGCGGCCCGGATCCGAGGCCGTCAAGTGGATCCTGCTGCACGACCACCAGCAAGTCTTCAACTGGCACGACTCCAACGGCCGGTCTGGCCTGGAGGTGTGCCTGCACATCATCGACCGGCTGCTGGGCCCGTCCATCGAGGACAATGCTGCCTCTGAGGTTGGCGGACTGGCTGCCGAGCTGGTGGAGAAGGCTGGACAAGACCGACTGGGACCATTCTTGCCGCAGCTTCTGCAGGCCGTTGCCAACCGACTGGCCACTGCGCAAGCCGCTGCTTTCATCCAGTCTCTCATCCTCGTCTTTGCCCGACTGTCCCTGGGCGGTGCGCAAGACGTGGTGGAGTTCCTCAGCCAGATCCAGATCGGTGGCGAGAGCGGGCTGCAAGTCGTCCTGGCCAAGTGGCTGGAGAACTCGGTCAGCTTTGCCGGCTACGACGAGATTAGACAAAAGTTCGTTGAAGAAGTCTTGCGGGTGAGCCCCGTCCCCGTGCCGTCCGAGATTTGCTAACGTGCGGTAGCGTGATTGCGCTGTCCAAGCTGTACTCGCTCAACGACCCGCGGGTGGCCCAAACTTCGGTCAAGGGCGACTTGATTGTCGGCGCCGATGACGGAATGATCAAGACCCGATCACGCGCCAAGAAGAGTATGTCGAAGCATGGCTTCTTTATTCCCACCACGGCGGCCGTCCTGGACCAGCTGTGCCGGCAGTACGCGAGTGAAATGGAGACTAATAGGCCAACCAAACCAACAGACCCCGACAAGTACACCATCATCCCGGCCACTCTCAAGATCATCAAGGTCCTTATTGAGGAGCTTCTCTCTGCCTCTGGCGCTCGGGCTGCCGCCAACGCTGCCTCTGCTGCCGTGGCTAACGCGGAGTTTGACGATGAAGACAATGAAGAGGAGGGCTGGGAGGATGACGACGACACGCTCGACCTCTCCCTGGGCGCGACCAAGGCCGAGCTGATGGCCTTTGGCGCGGACTCCAACAACCGACAGCGAGACGACGAGACACAGCAGTACCTGACAGAGTTCTTTATCCGCTGCGGCCGGGAGAACGTTGCCAACTTCCAGGAGTGGTACAACATGCTGACGGACGAGGAGAAGGCGAAGCTCAACGAGGTGGCCAACGCCGCGGGCCAGTAGAAGCGCTGTGCGGGATTGCCTCTGGAAAAGGCCTCTTTTGTGATTTTGACGGGCGAGGTACCTGCGTGAAGAAATAGTGAGTGATTGAGCAGGGTCCGCACCCAGGTATAGTTCGTTATAAACCCCCTTCCCATATTTTCTGTTTCTGTTACCTGTTTCCATCGTTTCTTTCTTTCTTTCTTGGTGGGTTTATATATACAAAAGCCAAGCGATAGCGTGGAAAAAAAAGGGGTTGTTGGGCATACTAGCTGTCTTGGATGGGTGACGGCAAGCGGGAAGGAGGAAAAAACCAACAAACAACGTCTCAAAGGGGAAAGGGAGGGAGGGGGATATTGAATCGAAAGAGAAAAGTTTACAAGACAAAAGTCAAGAGATGACGATATACATGAAAGCGTTATGACGGGAATGGGGGTAGAAGTGGTGTCGGTGGTGGTGATACATAGATTCCTTGACTTATATACTAACCTGCTTACTGCTACGTTGATAGTATAGAGAATGCAATGTGTGGTTTTATCATTTACAAGCGGAGATGGGACCCCAGCATGAACGTTGGAAGCCCATCAAATAGTGGTTTGGAGTCTGTTCTCACGCCAGCAAAAATAGCTATAAAGGAGTGACATTCAATATTCCCTAGCACAAGATCACAAGAGTAATACCAGCCTGTGTGATCCATATTGTACAACCAAAAAAGCAAACAAGATCCTCCAAAGCCACCACTTCACAGCAAAACACCTCGCTGTACTACTATCCCATCATATAATATCACCCCCTCCAAAGCCAAACCCACCACCCCCAAATCCTCCGCCGCCATTCCATCCACCACCACCACCACGCCCGCCAAACCTCGGTGCACCACCCGGCCCGACCGGATCCCACCTCGCCCCCGGAGGCGCCTGCGGATCGTAGAAGCCCTCGTCCGGCCCCTCCCCGCGGCCCCGTCCCTGGCCGGTGAACAGCGGGTCGTCAAACGTGGGGTGCATGCCCGAGAAGCCGCCGGCCCGAGGCCCCCTACCGCCGCCCACAAAGGATGCCCTGAGCGGATCGTGAGGCCCGAGCCCGCTTGGGTTCAGATCGTCATGTCCAATGTTGAAGGGGTGCCCTCCTTGCCCGGGCATGCGTAATCCGCCCATCATCCTCGGCGGGCTGTTGATCTGGTGCTCGTCTTCGAATCCTGGAGGCGGGAAATCACCCATGGGAGGCGGGTGGCGAGCAGAAGCCGGCTGGGGAGGCAGTCCGTACGGGTTCACGGGCTGCTCAAAGCTGCCAGGGCGCGCAGGATCCGAGGGATTGTGACGGCCCGGCTGAGGACGTCTGACATCATCATCCACCTGCTCCTCCGAATACCCCTTCTTGTCCAGCCCGGGAATCAGCTTCTGCACAATCTGGACCTTGACATCATGCGCTATCCGCTCAATAGCACCGCCCGCAAACAGGCCCCCTATGCGCTCAACCAAGGCACCGCTCCGGTCCTCGTTCCCGCTATCACTCGTGATGCGCAGCGGTAGAGCGCTTTCTTGAACGACGTCCTTGACAGCGTACTCGATTCGGTAAATCTTCTCGTCGCCGACGGCGAGCCCCCGGATCTCGGCCCTTGAGCCCAGGCGGTCGACGCGGACGACGAAGATCATGGACGACTGCTTGTGCTTGTAGACGAGCGATACGGATTCTGGTCTCTGGTTCCATGAGGGTGGGAGGCGAGGGGCGAGGGACTCGCATTCCGCTGTGGACTGTTAGCCTTTTTTGTATGAAACTTGTATGGACTTGTAACAGGGTGAGGATGGTGTGTGTACAAGGGCAACAGTGGGAGCATACGCAGAAAACGAGACTCATCAAAGCCGACTAGTCGAAAGTCGAGCAGGGCCAAATAGGCGTGCACAGCTAAAGCGATTGCCTCGTACGGGCTCTTGATGGCTGGTGAGTCGTCCTGGGCGGGGAGAGCTTCTGCCATGGCCTTTTGGATGGCCGCTGGGCCGAGAGGGCCTGCCTCGGGGGGAGCCATAGTTGAAGACGATGGTATTCAGTGTCAGTGATGTCAGGGTGTTTGTTATCAGACAGGTGACGAGGGTGATGATGATGATGTGTGGTTGAGAGAGGCTGGGGTTGAGGCTGAAGTTGGAGGTTGGACAAGTAAAGAAGAGGAGTGATTCATTAGAGAAGAGCTGCAGCTAAGGTACCTAGTATCAAGATGATACCGTAGTAGAACCCGAGACGTCATTGTCACCTGCCTGCCTGGGGAAGCTGCAGCAAGCTCTAGTGGGGTGTGGCCTACCTGTAAGCTCCAGCACAGTTACAGCACAGTTACATACAGCACAGTCAGTCGCTATAATGCCTCCATATGTACAATCACTATCGATACCGTCAAGCAACCTAACGCCCATCACATGACACCGCGTCACCACTCAACACGCCCAACCCTCACACAACACGTCAACCTCAACCCCATCCATCACCATCACCACCAACAGCAACCCTCAACACCACAAAACCACCACCATCATCACCAACCCCCCCCAAAAGAATGCCACCCTCACCTAACCCTCACCAACCCTCCTCCTCCCACTCCCGCTCAACATCCTCCTTCCCCGCAGATTCCGCCTCCCCCCTCCTCTCCGCATTCACATCCTTCCTCACAATCGCCATCCACTCCCTCCTCTACCACCGCGGCCTCTACCCCGAACAGTCCTTCCTCGCCGCCCGCGCCTTCAACCTCGCCGTCCGCCAGTCCCGCCACCCGGGCCTCTGCGCATGGATCAACGACGCCGTCGACGCCGTGTCTGCCCGTCTCCGCACGGGCTCCGTCTCGCGCATCGCCGTCGTCGTGCACGGCCCTCCGCCACAACAGGTCGTCGTCCGCGAGAGGTGGCTCTTTGACGTTGATCGGTTCCCCAACTCCTGGGGCACCGCTGCGGAAATACGAGCCGCAAGGGCACCGCCTTCGCACCAGCTACATCCAGACGAACACATGGGTCAAGACGCAGATGATCCGCAAAAGATTAACTGGGCAGACATCCACGAGGCCCTCCGCGCAGCCCTCCAGCGACTCGCCTTTGCAGCTCAAGCAGAGCCAAAGCTGCCCCAGGGATGCACATTCACGCTCGCCGTAGAACTCAGAGAAGACGCCGAGGCGCCCATAGGAGTAAGCCTTATTATTAGACTGACCGCATTCATCATTGAAAAAGGCCCCTCTATAAACATCCCCCTCATGACACCGTGACCACTGTCAAATACCAGCAACAATCGTAACCCAAAAAGGTCAAGCCCAGCTCACTAACCACTCCCGTCTGTCCGTAGCATCCCCAGCTCTGGATCCCTTCCGAAGCCCATCTCCAACCGCCCACAAAGGAAAAACCAGACCAGGGTGAAGCCCTTGGCGGTGCATCAACCAAGCCCATCCGCTCCGTAAGGGCGAAGCCGCTCTTCTTTGAATGCTGGTTAGAAAAGGGCCCCGAGGCGCCAGACGAAATCACCCAGTCGAACAGCGGGACCACCTACAGCGCAAGCTCCTCATGAACCGACCCGCCTTGGGGGTAAGATCCGAAAAGTGATATACATCCAAAGACACAACGCGGCGGTCTGGACCAGAGTGGCACAAGAGTAGAGAATGGAAGAGGCGAGGAGGCTTCTCGGGATCAACAGTTCCTTGTCCAAGGCGAGGTTCCAACTTGTAGCGACCATCAACAGCGTGGCAACCTCCATGAGAATGCCCAAAAGAAGGACCGCGTTGTGCAAGGACATGGGCATTCTTGGACGTTTTTGTGTGCCGTTCCTCTTCGCGATGCTCCGTCCTCGGGACAATTATGAGGAAAGTTGCAGAGACGATGAGGATACGTAAAATCACAAATGCGAGATGCTGGCCCAGGGTCATGCACAATGGTTTCGGTCTTGTCGGGTTTAGTATTTCAGCTGGCTCTCCTTCTCGTATATCTGAGCTGTGGGACGACGGTGAGTGGACGAAGAAGTTAACGAACAAGAAGACGAAGCTGGATAGCTATTGAGTCGGGCCTCCCCGTATCAAGAATTATGTGACGAGATGTTGACATTGACAGCGACAAAGCAAGTCGAAGTTTGACAAAAGATGGAAGAAGAGACAAACCCAGCAAGCCATTCTAATAGACAAAACACAAAAATAAAGGAAGAAAAAGAAGAAGAAGAAGAAGAAGAAGAAGAAAAGAGCACATTATCCCGGTTCGGACCACGCATAAAGAAGCAACAACTCAAGATCAGAAGAGAGAAAAAAAGAGAAGGAGGCAGCAACAGGTAGAAAGGGCTCAATGAATTAACTTAAAAAAAAGGCCCCAAGTTCTTTTTGTAATCAAAGACAGATTATCCTTTCCCCGAGACTCCCCTATTTTCGCGTCGTTGCGTGTATTCGACCTTCCCAGAAGCCTTTTCCCCCCTTGAATACCAGAGAGAGGAGAGAGAGAGAGAGAGCGACCCAGAAAGAACGACCCCTCGAAATATTCTGCCTTGTTCCCCCTCTGCCTCTCTTTCCTGTGCCGGCACCGCACCAGCGTCTATTAGGCAAAATAAAATAAAAAAGTCTTGTAAGAAAAACAAAACGTAAGAAGATAAAAAGGCCGACATTTACCATGCGATCATGATGGAACCAAAGAAAAAAAAACATCAAATCAGACCGCTTCTCGGGTTGAACACACAAGATTAAAAGAACAAGAACGTCCAGCATCTCTCATCATCGTCATCGTCGCTTCACTCCGCCCCCTTGAGTGCCGCGCGCATGCTTATCATCTCCCGCTTCAACCGCGCATTCTCCTTCTTCATCTTGGCCAGCTCCTCTCCTTGCGTCTTGAGCTTGACAATCAGCTCCTCCTTGTCTTCTTTGCCCTTGCCCTTGAGCGCCTTGACAATCTTGCCAAGCTCGGAGTTGAATCGCTCGTACAGCAGCTCGTTCTCCGCCACAGCCTCCTTGTGCAGCTGGTCAATCGACCGCATCTTGGACTCAGTCGTCTTGAGCGTGATTTCAACGTCCCGCTGGAGCTCGTCTTGCCTGTCACGCAATTCCTGCATCACCGCGGGCATCTGGTCCTCCAGCGCGGCCACCGACGAAGCCAGCCGCTGCAGGTCGACCATTGGGGAATCGGAGTAGCTGCCACTATTCACTCGTGCCATTTCCTCGCCAATCTTGGACAACTCCGACTGCAGCACGGCGTCTGCTTCGCCCACTGCCGTCTTCTCCGTCTGCAGCCTCTCGCGCAGCTTTTGCGGCGACTGCAGCCGGAGTTTCTGTGCCGGGGTTCGCGTCGGGCTGCCGGACTGCCTACTCGGTGATTCGCCAGACGAGCTTCCAGGTCGGATGGGCTTGGGTGGCAGCAGCGTGGGAATGTTGGACGTCGACAGCGTCTTGCTGTGCGTTGGCTTCGGCCTCCTATAAGGGGGCGGATCCTGTCTGGTCGGCGAGTTCCCGCGCATGGCCTGCTCCAGCTTGGCTTGGATCTCCTTGATGGGCGTTCCAGCTCTCAGCCGGACGCTGCCGTATAGGTCCGCCGTGGCAATGTTTTCCTTTAGCCGGGGCGACCTGAGCTGCTCAGGGCTCATGGGCATCCTGGAGGCAGGGATCGTGGTTTTGGGACTGCCATTGACCTGTTCTGACGTCTCCTTTGTGTTCTGCAGGGGCTGCAGAGCGCTTTCCCTCTCTTCGCCCTCTCTATCCTCCTCGATGCTCGCCGTATCTATCAGCGACTTGAGATCCGACAGGGAACTTCTCCTCTTGTACTGCCTCCTGGGTGTTCCGGGAGTCGGCGGCTCGTGTGCAGGCTCTCCAATCGTGTCGAGCGGGAATTCCATGCGATGTGAGCTGGGCGGTCTCGCCGGGTCCTCAAAGGCAGTGGCCACATGAGGCCGGTCTCCCGATCCGGGCCTGCCCAGTGTGATTCGCTTCTGCATATTGTTGTCGTCAATCGACCGTTGGCGCAGAGCCTGCTGCATCGTCGCCCTAGACATGCTCGCGCTCGCGCTCTCGCCCGTAGCCGGGTGCCGATGCTTGCCGAGACTTCGCCAGACAGAAGTGCGCTCCTCCTTGGAGTTGGAGTTTTGCCGGAGCAGCATGTCGAGGCCAAATTTGCGGCGCAGTGACGATGTGTTGGAGGTGACGGATCCCTGATGGGATTTGTTGCCGCCGCCGCCGTTGGCGCGTGCCTGGAACGATTCTATCAGAGCCAAGTCGGCCAAACTAAAGCCAGCGTAGAGAGGCTCGCCGAAGATCCTGTCGCAGTCATCCACCAGGCGGTCCAGCAGGTTGATGTAGTTGGCCGCCGTGCCGTCCGTCACCAGCATCTCCGCAAACGCCAGGGTCAGCGCGCCGCGGTCACTGTCATTGCTGCAGCCTTCCAGTAGATCAGCCAGCAGCTTGATGAGCGCCGTGAATGCTCTCCGATTTTGCGGAGCCAGCTCCTTAAACAAGAAGTTGACAAAGTCGGCAAACTCGCCGGGGACTCGCTTGTTGGCTCGCTCCTGCAGAGTGTCGAGCATCTTGATTGTTGTGACTGGCCCAATCTGGTCAGCCCAGGCGATGTGAAGAAAGTTCTCAAACGCCGTGAAGACGACCTCGGTCCCGACGTCGTTGGCGACTTCCACCTCTTGCGGATTCTCAATGAGTCGGTTGTACAAGTCGTTCACCAGCAGTTCATCGGCCATGGCGCGGTGCAACAGGGTCCTCCCGTGAATGGAACCCTTGCGGTACTGAAGGGCCGTTGTGAAGGCCTCAAAAGTCTGCTCCAGCCGAACAAGGGGGTTCTCCGGCATAACCTCCTCCACCGGCCGGCGCGAGTTGTCCTTGCCCCTGATCGACCCGTACATGGAGTGATGGCTGTCGGCTCGGTGAAGCGAGGCCTGGTGCTGATGCTTGGTTTCAGAAAGCGTCGTCTCGGAGGCGTTGTTGGAGCCGCCGCTCCACAGGCTGGTGAAGAGCTTGACGGGAGACGCTGCCAGGAATGAGCGCGTCTTTTCGGCACGGTTTGATAGACATAGTGTCCGCAACATCTTGGAGTGATAGGAGACCATGGGGGCCGTGAGGTTCCTGTTGGACACATTAAACTGGATACTCAAGAGTTGCATTACTGGACTTGATGTTAGAGCCCTGTGGACAAAAAAAAAAGAGTCATAGAAAGCAAAGGGAAAAAACAAAGACATGGTGGCTTACTTCGTCTCGACATGGTTGGCAGGAAGTCCTCCAGAGCCACGTCGTCTTGAAACTGCTTCCCATTGAGACCTACCGTGAGCAGGGAGATCCTCTTCATGTTCTTGCTGGCCACGTTGATGACAATCTCGATGCCATAATGTCCGACCGGAGCGCCCTTGGTCCCCTTCTCATGGTCGACGACGACGCGAATGAAGGCGGGTTCGCGCCGACCCTCGACGAGCTGGTCGGCTCCCTCCTGGAATATCGCGGCGTGCAGCCCCAGATTGTTCTCCGGCATGCGCACTGACCGCAGCGTCCAGCTAGGGTCCTCTCTCTCCGCCTCGGGGAACCGGGCCTCGATCCTGGCCTTGACAACGTCTTCGCTCCACTTTGCGGCCTTGCCCTCAAAGGCCTCCTGTAGCAAGAAACAGCGCGACGTTATCGCCTTGGGAACCTTGTGCTCACCCGGGTGCATGCCCTTCATCTCCGCGCTCGACGTCATCCAGACGAGGTGGCCATCTGCCGATTCTGTGAATCGGACATCAGCAAGGTAATGCCATCCAGTGAAGATGAACTCGTAATGGCTCGGGCCGCCGGCCGCATTCGTCATGGAAATGAGAAGCTCCGCCGCCGAGGGCTTATCGATCTCGCGCAGCAGATCCCGGCCCGTCATATTGTTGTCGCCTGATTTCCGCAGCATGACGATGCAGTCGGAGAAGAGGAGGAAGATGCCGGCGTCGTCAGAGTCGACAGTGGCTTGGTACGGCGGCGAGAGCTCCAAAAAGTCGGCAGCCAGGATCAAGCGCCCCTGGGGCTCGAGGTCCTTGGGCCACGCCTCGACCATGTTTCGCAGCCGGTTCGTAATATGAGGCTTGTCCGGCAAAGGGTCGTCCATGGAGCAAATGTTGGTGATGATGTCGCGTGCCTTGAGCATGGGCTGCAGCGCAGGGTGCGTAATGGGTAGGGATGCGATGATTTGGTCAATGAGCAGGCTGTACCGCGGCAGCCTCTGAACCGGCTCAATGAGCAGCGAGCGGATGGTCTGCTCGCCCGCCTGGCTGAAGCGCTGCCGGAAGCTCGATTGCTGGTCCAAGAAGGAGTTTAGCAGTGTTGGGAAGTGCTGGCTGGCCTTGATGTAGTCCTGGTAGCACTGTGTAAACTTGGGGAACCATTCGAGGAACAGCTTGGCCATGGCCAGGGCGCCCAAAGGATCCTTGGGGCGGGAGCCAGTGCTGCCCGTCTTTGATGACGCAAAGTTCATCGTCGGCGTCTCCATGTCCTTGACGGCGTCTTCCTCCGTCTCGTCCATAATCTTGCGCAGCTCCTCGACAAAGGCCGAGTTGACCTGCAGGATGCCGTCCGACGACTTGGGGAAGAGCTTCTCCAGTTCCTCCTCAGACGGACTCAGGCTCTCGACGGATCGCTTCTTCGCATTGTTCCTAAAGTCGTTTGCGACCGTCTTGACCAGCTCCTGCACCTTGAGCACGTAGCGCTCCTCTGTGTCGACGAGCTCGCCCATCTTCATGCGCAGCTCAATCTTCTGGTCCTTTGTGAAGATCTTGTTGCGGTTGAGCGGCGTGGGCTTGGAGGGCGCGCGCCGCAGTTTGCTGGTGGGCAGAAAGACGGGCTCGCCAAAGAGCTTGACGAGCGGTGTGTAGGGTCCGTACTGGCGCAGTGTCGGGTCGATGATGTCGTCCTCGTCGTCGGGCACTTCCTCGAGCTCCGAGGGCTGAGGCGGCACGATAGATCCCGGAGGCAGGATCAGGTCCATGTCGACGTTGCTGATGTGCTGCGTCTGCAGAGCCTCTTCAAGGGTGGCGACGACATCGACCGTGTTTTCGCTCTTGACCATCTCCTTGACGAGGTCGGCGGCATGCTGCTCGCTGAAGAGCGCCGGGGCGCTGGGTGGACGCTTCCCCTTGGGCGGGTAGGCAGCCTTGAGATGGGCCTTGACGGTGTCCGGCAGCTCCTTAAAGTAGCGGAAGAGGCCAAAGGCCAGGCCGCGGTAGACCTCATCGCCCTGGAACTCGCGCGGCAGGTGGTTGACGACGCTGTAGAAGGGCGAGGTGGGCGAGATGGTGATGCGCGGAAAGGACTGGAAGCCGGCCGGGGTGAAGACGTGGACCTGGACGCGGGAGCTGTTGAGGGTGTAGTTGGCCGTGGTGGAGGGCCCGTGGAAGATGAGGACGGGCAGCTGGCCCAGCAGAGGATCGGAGGCGTGGTAGAGAGCAACATGCTCGGGCGAGAGCGCCAGCTCGTCCGTCACACGCACCATGGTGTTGGGTCTGGGTCAGTGAACGGCGCTCATAGCCCGGCGGAGAGAGGAGGGAGGAGAGGTGGTGATGGTTCGAGGGAGGGAGGGTCGCGGTAGGTTCGTTCGGTCTCGGTCTCGTGTCTTGTCTTTGCGTCGCTGTCGTGTATTGGTCTTGGTTCGCTCTGCTGCTGTCGCTGTTGCCGAGAGCCAGCCGCTTGGAGCGCGTCTGCGAGTCGCCCTGTGTCTGCTCCGCTTTGCAATCGCCGGCCGCGTCTCGTGAGGGTTCGCTTCGTCGGGAATCGCTCGTCTTGCCTCCGTTCCAGGTGCAGCAGAAATGTGCGATGCGGGATGGAGATCAATCTGTCTGTGTCCAGAAACAACGGCCTAGAAAGAGTCAAGGCTGCTGAGGGAGGGGTGACATGGGCGGCCAGGGGTGGACCCAGGCTATTTGCTTAGGTCCCGTCTCCAAGCCCAGAGCGAGCTGTTGTGATTACTTCAATGGTGAGATTCGCTGGTGGCTTGCCGCGGACTGCTATACTATTAGGGAAAACGGGCGATATGGTAGTGGTGGTGGTGGTAGTGGTAGTAAGTCGTAGTAGTGATGCTCAATAAGTGATGATGGGAGAGGCTGAATGAGGGCTGACCAGCGGCTCGGGTCGGGCGTTGAAGTGGCACAAGATGGCGTTGACGGTGGCAGGACAAGGAAGGACCGGTTGCTGTGGAAGCAGCTTTTGAGTTTGAGCGACTGTTTTGTGTTTGGATACTCTGCACGTAGAGAAATACTTTGTGATGTTATTACAAAACTTGGAAGGGAAACAGAAGAAAGGCTGGGTATGTAGGTATTAGATGAGATGAGATTCGAGATTGAACAGAAAATCGGCCATCAGCAGCAACAGGATTGCTGAAGCGCGCTCGACTCCCCTGGCAGAGCGGTGGCGCAATGCGCAACCGAGAAATTAAGATGGATGAAATTGGATCTCGCGGCTTCATCGACGGGCTCGCCCAGGGGCCTGGCCCTGTCGAGGCTCTGGTCCAGGGCGGTTTGCAGCGATACAGGCGCTGAAACGGGCACCGCTACAGGGGGGGGACACCGCCAGGGCACCTACCAGACAGTAACCTGGAATACCTGAAGTACCTAGTAGGCATTGCTTGACCTGGGCTGGTCCAACTGCGGACGAGACTGGAGACGTCAAACCCACATGCTGAGGTGATGCATCCCTGCCCTCGAAGAAAGACACCACTCTCGGAACATTTGCAACTCGGGGTGGACATCCATGGCTTGGTCTTGAACCCAGCTGCAGCATCAGAAAATTGATCCATCGACTGTTGATCTCCAGCACTCAACCTACCTTATGCTCCTCGCACCCCCCCAGCAGCCGCCCCCGCTGTTTTCTAATGAGACGGGCCCTGTGAAACCCGCTCCAGCTCCCCCCAAACTCCCCTACAAAGCCCAGCACCCCGCTGAAAACTGTGGCGCCGGCTCTGGTGACATTCAAATTGATGTCCACTCCCAGCCCTCCACAGACCAGCTGCTGAGGGGGGGAGCTATTCAAAGCTATGCTGAAGCTATGCAGAGCTATCGACGGCTTGATTGAGGCTTGATCCTTGACCCAGTCTGCCAATTGTGCGGGCTGTATAGTAGGTAATACAACTACTACCCGTACATGTACCTTGTGGGTATGTAGGTATTAGCATCTTCAATGCCCAGCCCTCTGGTTACCTATGTACATGTACAGACTCCATGTCGCCACAACCCCGCCAGTTGGTGTCCATCATGATGCTCGATCGCCCATTTCTATGGCTTGAAAGTGCGGGAGTACCTGACGGTACCTGGCGCGGGCTATCAGACGCCACGGCGCCTTCTCATTGGCTGCCCGAGCCAGAGGCGCCGCTAATTCTCATTCTTATTTCATGCCATCTTCAACCTCATCTGTACCTCTCACTCACTCTCACTCACTCTCACTCTCACGATATACCCTACAGATTACACCCCAAGGCTTAAGCAACATTCAGTAATTCATATACTATTACATACTATTCTTCTAGATACTCACGATACAATTTCTCACGGTCGACGGCTTAGGAGAAGACTAGTTCATCTCAGGCACCACGCATTCGATCAGACCTCGTGGTTCTACTCACCCAGTCTCCAGTACCTTCATACGGAACGCCTCTGATCAGCTCGACACTCCTCATCACACGCACGCCATCACACCGAGTTGGAAGATGTCCAGCTCTCAGACTACACCGAAAATCCCCCTACACCACCAGCCAGACGACACCGGCTACCGCCTCATCGAACTTCCCCCAGAACTGGAATCTCTCCTCGGATCCGAAAACGCTCCAGTGTCTGTCCTCCCCTGTCCCACATATGCAACGTTGGCATAATAATTCATCTGAATCATACTGATAGCCTCTCGCAGACTCACTCTCGAATCTTCAGAAACTTCAGCTCTGCTCAAGACGCCAGACAGGACCTACGCCCTCCGCCAGAAAAACACGTCCAATTCTGTCATGCTACTCTCCCCAACCACATCAGCATCAGCAGCACAAGACCAGGGCATGTCTATCATCTCCACCATTCACGAGACCGTCGAGCTTGAGCTGGTGCCCCAAGCCGTGACTACCGGTGGCCCGCTCAAGAACACGGGGAGCAGGGGTAAATGGCACGAAAAATTTGGAAAGGGGCGGTAGCTTGAGCATCATGTCAAATGGAATACCCAACAATGATCTCTGAATGTCGCATATACGAGCGAAATACCGGCTGTTGTATTGAAGCCAAAGTTCGGCGAAAAGAACTCCTAATGGATGTGATGGGATACATCAGTGGGATGGGCATGCATGGGATGTTGCTCGGTTGCGGAAACCGTCCCCAGGGAGTCGCGTCCCCTTCCTCTAAAGCATAACTGGCACTGCTTTCTTAAGGTACTGATGCTCGTGGGACACTCCGGGCTCCTCGCATGATGCAACTCGAAGAGCAGCCCATCCTCGTGAAGCATGCCCATAGCGCCATAATGGAACATTGGGCTGGCCTTTATGGCCAGTGGTTGATGCATTTCAGCGTCACGGCACATAGAGTCTACGGGAAGAACAGAAGCCACAGGAGTAACATACCTAATGATGAGAGCTCTCCGAATTGCCCTGAAACGCCTACACCTCATGTTCAGTGAGAGGAAGTTAGCTCAGCAAATCGATGAAGAGCGCCCTTAATTCTCTGGAAGACTTACACCGTGACTCACGGACACAAAAAGCCAAATCTTCAGCGACAGGTGTTAGTGCTTTTCACTCCAAAAATCACATAACCCCAGACACTGCTTACTGGTGTAAAAGTGAGTCCCGGATTTCTCAATGAAGGCATACTTCGGGGGCGAGAAATGCTGTGACTCCAAGGTCATCGAGGTCATCGCCTTGCTGATGAGCGGCATTTCGCACGGGAATCCCTCGATGCTTGGCGTTAGCTACATATATCAGAGCTGAGCAGGCTGACGCAATAACTGACCTTGTTGCACCATGGGTGCCTCGCTCGAGCAAGTCAAAGAGCTCACCCGCTGGCGCAATGGTGAACGAGGCCCCCAGTAGAATAAAGCTGAGAGGAGGAAGAGGATGATGTGGTAGAGCCATAAACACTAGCTCCGGACAAACCGAGTTCAGGGTGATAGACTGTCAAGAAGAAAAGAGAACTCTGCCCGGGGCGCCCGCCGTCGTCTCCGCGTTCAGTTGCGTTGCCGCGCAAAACCCACATCCAGGTGCCAGAATATTGGCCGACACGCTGACGGAAGCCAGCACAGTCACCTCCCTCACACAGCTTCACAGTCGCAGGACCAGCGACGCTGTATTCGCCGCAATCGTTGCCTCTACCCCCGGGGGGGCCATGGGGCGGGAAGTATCCTTCGAAATGGAACTTCCCTACGGCTCGGGTTCGTTCCAACCGCTATTCACATGGACCCTTTTCCCAGCTCGGCCCTGCAAGACCTCAAAGATGACGACAAAGGGGCCGGACTGGGAACGGTTCCAAACGGCGACGAGCGAACGACGAGACGGCAGCAGAGTGGACTTGATGAGCCTCGGCGTCAACACACCTAGATCCAATGACATGAGCAAACATATAGCAAGATAGATGGCAAACAGAAAACAAGATAAAAAAAAAAAAAAGGAAAGGGGTATATAGCAAAAATATAGCAAGAAAATGGCAAAAGAAATATAGTAAAGAAAAGGCAGCGCATAGATGGCAGATATATAGCAAGAAATGGCAAAGAGATGGCAAAATAAAAAAGAGAAATAAATAGCAAAAAAAAAAAAAAAAAAAAAAAAAAAAAAAAAAAAAAGGTAGGGGATATATAGCAGAAATATGGCAAGGAAATGGCAAGAAAATAGCAAGAAAATAGCAAGAAAATAGCAAGAAAATAGCAAGAAAATAGCAAGAAAATAGCAAGAAAATAGCAAGAAAATAGCAAAACAAATAGCAAAGTAAATCGCAAGAAAATGCAAAAAAATAGCAAGAAAATAGCAAAATAAATAGCAAAGCAAATCGCAAAACAATAGCAAAACAAATAGCAAGAAAATAGCAAAACAAATCGCAAAACAAATCGCAAAACAAATCGCAAAACAAATCGCAAAACAAATAGCAAAATAAATAGCAGAAAAGGTAGGGGATATATAGCAAATATATGGCAAGAGATGGCAAAGAGATATCAAGGAAAAGGATCGCTGGGGATAAAAATGAAGACGCTGGAAAAGCAAGAAAGCAAGACGCTGGGAAATAAGAATAAAAGACGCTGGGGATAAAAATGCAAAAACGCTGAAAAAAGAACGCTGTGGTGAATGGGCTGAGGAACAAGAAGAGAAAAAGGAGACCAAGGCGGGAGCGAAGGCCCCTTTATATAGACATGGGAGCTCCATACAATGGCGGAGGGGAGATGTATGAGCGGCCATACCGGAGGCAAAGCAAGCGTTGGGGACTCGCCACGGAGAGATATGAAGCATGACGATGCGTCATCGGAGAGTCTAAAGCATTGGGAAGAGCTCAAGACGTTGAGGACCGCAGGGAAATGCGGTTCGAATGTTGGGGGTTTGCCAGAGAAAGGGTCCGAAACTCATGACCTGAAAGCTTCTCGGGTCCTCAACTAAACAGATATGGTATCGCAAGTTTATTGGTGGCTTCGAATGTGACGAATGTCCCCGATATCAATTCTCCAGTTGTGTGGGTGCCGTAACCTCTATGTAGTTTGACAGACGAGACGCCGCGATATATCGAGGTTTGATGGAATTGAGGGGACAGGACGGGGGCTCCTCTTGACGACAATATCATTGGTGATAACGTAGGCTTCAATATGTAAAGTACACAGAAGCGACGACTCAAGGTTCGCCGTTATTACAGCTTCAGTGAAATGCCTGTAAGTGAATCAGCAAACGATATCAGTCTACATTGAGGAAAGACACGGAAGTCAAAGCGATGATCAGCTAGAAACGCAGTTTCGGATCCATCTCATAAAGTCCCCGTTCAGAATGCCCAAACCAATGTCAACGTCAATCATGACACATCTCACGGTAAGAGAGTCCAAAAAAACTCCGAAGGCGTCTGCTTGTCCATATTCAGCTCTAGCAAAGGCAGTATGTGCCCAACTGCCTCAAGTCCTCCTCAACACGGAGAAATGCCCCCCAACGTCCTTCGATTGGAGCGCAACGCTTGCAATCTAAAGCGGCCTCAGTGTTGGTGCAAGGCATCTGACGCTGAATTACCCTGTATTCAAACATTTCGAAACATCAAACCTTTCCTGTAGATGCGCGGACAAGATTGCAGCAGAGTCATGCTGAGAGTCATGGTGTAACTAACAGGAGCCCGCATCTGATATAGAGCTTTCGCATCCTATTAATCGTCATCTTCCTGGTCATCTTCGTCAATGACTGTTTGTTTCTTTTCTCGTGTTGTTCGCGTCTTTCTAGACCTTGTCGAATACTTGCGAGATTTTGTCGAGCTTTCAGCTCGAGCCTCGGTATGAGAGTCCCCAACACTCTCATCACGGCCATCTTCCATCACCAAATCTCCATCTCCACCCTCATCATCCTCCTCAAGAGCGGGGAAAAAGCTTGATGTTTCGCGTGCTTGGTCGTCCTCCTCGTCTTCATAACCTTCGGGGAGGAAACCCCCGGCGAGTTCTTCGTCGTGAACCTTGGGCGCGCTGCCGGCCGGAGCCCCTCCCCGTGAATGACCAAAGACAGAGACACTTTCGTCAATCTCACCATATTCTTGCCGGATTCTCTCTACAATGCGCATCCCCATCAGGAATTTCCGCCACATTCCCAGTGCTGCCTTGCGCCGTTTCTCGTCTTCTTTCCGTACGCGCTCCGCCTCATCCTTTTCCAGCTCCGCCATCACCCTATCATGATGCTCTTCGGCGATTACAACTCCCTGGATGACGGGGACGGCCATACGATGGCCAAACTCAAAGTCTACCACTGCCTCTGCATAGTCGATGCCAAGTCTCTTGCAGACTTTGCCGACGCCTCTAAAGGGGACATGTACGGCGCCTTCAGGACACATGTGCTCGGCAAACAGGTCGATATTCCTATATCAAGTTAGTGCATATTGAGCCACAAAGTATGAAGCAAACATACCCGTATTCATTCTTGGGAATGACGCCATCCTTGATTGGTGGCGGTATGATCCAGTCCGTCTGATCGAAGCTGTAGAGTCCCTGGAGCACCTTTTGGCCAGTCATTGCCTCAGTTTCCAGAATCTCCCTTTTTCTGTTGAGAGTGGCAGCGCGATATGGTACTCTCTTCAGCGGCTCTTCGCCGGCAAGCGGAGCACGGCCTTGCTTGTGCCAGGTTTCTGCACTCTTGACCAGCACAACATCTGACCGAAGATACACATCTTCTTCATCCACTTTGCCGCCCTTTCCTTTGTTCTTGAAGACCTTGACTGGTTTGGCACCAGGCCTCAACGCTTCCTCGCGTTTGAGATGTCTCTCCAGAGCGTATTCTTTGGACTGTTTGTAGTATTGTAGCGTCTCCTCACCCTCCTTGACCTCTTTCTTTTCGGCCTTTGCAGGCTTCAGGTCTGTGAGGTCTTCTTGTTGGTCGACTTCTGTCAACGGGTGATCCTTGCCTCCACGCCTGTAGCCAGACATGGCCGTTTTGAACCAGTCCGACAGTTCGTAGCGCTTAACCTTGCCGTGGCGATTATAAACAGGCACCTTGACCGGTGGCATTCGGACCCCCTTGGTTCGCCCTGGAAGGACTTGCCGCTTCAGATATCTGATCGTCACATCTTTGGCGGTTCCATCTCTCGAATAGCCCACGACGTAGGCAATGACTTGCCTGGCTCTATCCGCCTTGGCGCCACGAGGCTCGAACGTCTCAATTAGATCCCTATTTGTGGCGATTGTTCCCTTTACAATGGGATCAACGGTGAGATATTTCTTGGTGACCGGGGACAGAACCTCGGTCCAGTAGTGTGGAAACTCGAGGTCTTTGTCAAACTTCTTCGCATGCAAGGATTTGGTTGGTGTGGTGAGTGTCATATCGACAGACTCGTCGTCTGTATCCTTGAAGTCAGGCTCAAGATCATCGTCGGACTCTTGTGTGACTGCGGGTAACTGCTTGGCCGCTCGAGAGGACCGTGACCGTGATGGGGTGTTGTTCGTCTTCGTCTTTGCCTTCGTCTTGCCCTTCGTTTCCTGCTTCTCCGGCTTCTTTCCTGTAGCCTTTTGATTGGTGGTTTTGGTAGGCGTGGTCTGATCGTTCTCGACCTCCTCGGGATCTGCGTCTTCCAGCTTGTTCCATCCAAAACCCAGTGGCTGCAAACTAGCAACCATCCGAGCATCGATCCCCAACCCCCGAAGCAGCGCAGTAAATAGTTGAGCACCAACATCTCTACTTCCCCTGCAGTCGGCTGCGCATTGCCGAAAGCCTTCTATGCCCTCTATCCTCTCGCCGAACTCTTCGAAATCTGCTTCGTGTTCCTTGTATGCTTTCGTGAGTCTATCCAGTCGTTCCAGAGACATATAGCCCCATTTTCGAAGACCAGGAGCCGTAACTCGGAATCGTTGCTTCCACCAAGCAACTAACGACTTCATGAGCCGAAACAGAGGATCGCCGTGGCTCATATCTATAGCTCCCTCCTCCAGCCGCTTGGCCGTGTCGCCCCAGTCTCTAGAGTCTTGCTTCGCGCCCTTCTTCCTCGCCATCTTCTTGGATGGTGGCGGCCTTGCTACCAGGCCGCTGTTTTGCCTCCAACGATCAACCTCATCCCAGAGCCTGGGCGGAACATGAGATATCATGATTGCCTGGACCTCGGGGTCGCATATCCAAGAGTTCCGGACTGCATTGTGCCAGAGCAGACACAGGACGTGGACGCAATGCGTCGCATTCCGAACAGTCCGCTCTCGCTTTGATGGTCCCTTTCTGTCGAATTGGTTCGTCAAAGATATCCGAGTGTCCCGGATGAGCGTCAGTTCAAGGTCGCCGGATGGCACAGGCGCATCTGGTGCGAATTGCTGCGGAGCTTCCACATCCTCAAACTCAATGTCGTCATCATCCTCATCGTCCTCCTCCTCCTCCACATCAGCATCATCCGTCTTCTGCCGCTTGGCAAGAGGGACATCTTCGAAGTCGCTGTCCGAGAGCGATGAAAGCGGACTGTCACTATCACCGCTTCCTCCGAGATCATGGAGCAGCGAATCTGAGCCTCCCGGCGTATGCGATGAGTCAAGGTCGTCGTATAGCGTCCGTTTGCGCGCAGCACCCGCCCTCGGATTCGCCTCACTAGCGCTTTTATCGGGTTCGACCGCCTCTCCAGGCGATGAGGCTCTCAATCGTTTGCGAGGGACATATGGAGGCATGTCTTCTCACACGCGAAGTTGAGATGTGAGGTTGAGGTGTGGCGAGAAGTGACATGTCGTCATTGACGCGAACCCGTACGCGGGATCACGTGCGCTAATCAAGTACAGTATGGCTGAACGCCTCTGTATCTGATGCCACCCTGGAGCAGTCGATTCAATATCGACTTTTGTGATGGCTTTTGCAAGAATGTACTCAAATCGAGCTTCACGGCATACAGGAACAATAGAAGGAGATGTAGTTTTAATTTGTCGATCGTGTGTAATGAGGAGTCTGTCGTAAGTCAGACATTGCTGATTATACCTAATATAAAGTGCAACATCGCTGTCTTCTATGCTCCCAATTCCCTGACCAGCTCCAAACCCATCTGGTACAATTGCTGCTCATAAACGCCCGTATCACCTCTTGTATATCCCGCTCTCTTTCCAAAATCCTTTTCAAACATCTATCAAGTCTGCAGGCGCACCAACGCCCCTCAGCAAAACGAGGGTATTCCCACTCTGTATCGCCGCGCCAACCTTTTCTCCATAATCCAGCACTCGGCCTCCTTCGACATGGAAAACTCGTAACTTGTCCCTCTCATCGGAACTCTGGTTGTTGACATTTTGTACTTGGAGGCTCCGTGCTGCCGCATCCAGCAACCGGCCGACGACCCAGTCCTTGGAATAGAAAAACTCCCCCTTGGGAAACTTGGCCTTTGCTGTCTCGGCCTCGGCCTCCACGTACACGTAGACGCGCTTCTCCGGCGCCAGCTTGTCATCGCCTTTTGCCGTCTTCTTGAGGTTGTTGACGGCCACCATTCTAGCCGCTGCTGAACTGGGTTTCGGCTTGGGCAATGCCCTCCCAGCCTGCTCCTTCTTTGCCGTCCCCCATGCTCGAAGCCGGTCCAGGGCGGATTTCGTCCTCTGGGCGACATCGATCTGAATAGGTCGCGCCCCGATAGGCGTCAAATTCTTGCAGTTGTGGTCGTCCTTGAAGCGATGCTTCAGGCAGTAATCCCGATTACACGTCTCGCAGTGCACTCCCGGCGTCCGCGACGTCCCGATTGTCGTCTCGCACTCTGGCGACGCGCATGGCTTCTCTGGAATCTTGTCCCGTAGCGTCCTCCCCTGGCCGATGGACGGCTTCGCCAGCTGGGCCTGTCGCTTGCGCTCCGCCCACGCGCCCGGGTTTGCGCACTTGTGAGCCGATTCCGAGCGGTGGTCCAGGCAAAAGGTCTTGGTGCAGGACTGGCAGAAGAAGGGGAGGAAGTCGAGCTGGTTGCAGTATTCGTACTGGCAGTGCTTGCCGACGAGGCTGGCGTCTTGTCTGTCCTTCATGATGTAGCTCGTTTCTGGAGCGTCGGAATCCGAGCCCGACGCCATCTTGGAGATGTGTGGAATAAATACTGTCGGCGTGTGTTTGCTACTCCTCGTTTGCAAATTCCGCCTCCCGTAATGTCCTTCAGGCAGAACAAGACGACGTCGTCACCTTACAAAGCGACACAATTGAGCGGGTGAGTGAGTTCCCTGATACGGCTGAGGGCGTTTGCCGCCGGCTGACCAACCGTGGCAAGGAAGCGTCTGGAAGCCCCTATGTATAGCCGCCTGCTAAATTGGTGCTGAAGACCGTGCACCCTGCACTACTATGTCCTGAAGAGGCTGAGGGCGAATGCGATGCTTCTGATCGTCAGGGCGTGAAATATGCAATACTAAGTAGGAATGAGTCGCCAAGCGTCAGGGGCTGGGAGCACGAGATGAGGCGCAGATAAGGCTGCTGCAGGGTCGAGTAGGACATCGCGGGGTCAAGTTGGGGTCCACTAACAAACATCTTTAAGCACATGTCAGATGAGGCCAACTGCCGGTAGCAGCTTACATGTGTCTTCTTGTGTTGACGACTTTGTCATGAACACGAGTGACTGGCATGATAATTCAGATGAAGATTGGCTATAAAATAAGTTTTATATACATAAAGAGAAAAGAGCCCATCGTGCATTGTATGTACAGCGACCTCTTCCGTGCCCATTTGCTCCGATACCCGAGGAGTGGAGTGCTTTGCTCCGCAACGCCTTTTCCCGTACCCAAGGCAAGCATGTCCGACTATTCCTGCTTGATAATTTTCGGATCCTTGTTGAGAAGCTTCTCTCGGCCGGTAGACGGCGAGTCCCCAACGTAGGCCTTGCCACCAAACTGCTCAAAGCCCTTGTGGAATGCCCACTCCACGGCGTCCTCGACCGGCTTGTCAAAGAGGCTGGGCAAGAAGGGAACCACAGACAGGCCAAGTCCGATGGGGCCCCATGTCCTCAGAGTGGCGTTTTTGACATTCTTCATGGCCTTGCCAGAATACTTGACCACGGAATGGATAGTGAATGCCGGCAATCCCATACTGGCGACGCTCTGGAAGATGGCTCTCTGCACCATGACGGTGCGCCAGTCCTCCAAGGGAGAGACTACGCCGGGCGTAAGGTTGCGCGTCTCCCTCTCGGGGAGGCCAGTGAACCTTTGTTGGTGAGAGTTGAGCAGAAGCTGCGGGTTAAGAATCCGCTGGTTCTGCCAGTAGGCGCGGTATCCCTCGTGCGAGACATCGCCTAGAATGTAGAGCCACGAAATTCCATATGCGGAGCGCACGAGGTACGGATGCGCAACTGGTCGGAACGATTCGCCAATGTCTGAGGTATAGGCGACGTATCGGTGGGCGGATAGGAGGATGGTTCGGAGTCTGGTCGCATATGCAGCATATCGCACATTGCTCTCCGTCGAGTCCGAGGCCCTACACACCACTGCTCTTAGCCTCTTGTCTGCTGAAGAGAGAGAGAGAGAGAAGGAGAGTAGATGGCACTCACCGTCCTTCCTTTATGTTGTCAAAGAAGCTGTCATCCTTGTCGGCCTTATCGACAATCTTCTGCAGCGCCTTGGGCAGCTTCTCTGCCTTGGGGAGCTTCGGGTCGAAGACGGATTCCTTGCGCGCCTCTTTTTGCTGCTCCTGCTGCTGCTGCTGCTCAGGCTTCGAGTCGGATGATTTGCCCCACCAGCCCATGGTGAATCTCTAGCACGCGATGGAAATGCAACAACGACAGTGGAAAACAGAAGTCTATATGGCCAGAAAGCAAATGCCGGGAGGGTTGGAGATTTGCGAATTGAGCGATTGCGAAGATGCCGGAGCCAGGTTTTGTTCACCGGGCATGTACTGGCAGGCAGCTCCGTAGCTCACGGCTACCGAAACCTCCCGCAGGCTAACACGGCCAGATCGGTACAGTGACGTCGACCATGCAAAAAACGGTACCTGCGACTTTGGGCATCCACTGCGCCGAACTGCCAGCCGGGGAATAGCCGAGGTGCCGCGCCGGCCTGCAATTCCAGGCACAATTCAGTCCGCCATCCGTTTTCAAGGCAAAAGTCGATTGTGCATCGGATCTCCCCAACACCTCCAGCAATCCCCCGATTCCCGCCCAATTCCTCTCGTCCACCCCCTTTTTCGACGCATATCCCGAGGTCAAGATGGCTGGTGTCGCTACCTACACTATTGCTGGCCGACAGATCGGCGGCCACTACGTATGTCCTGCTGCGCAACAAGCCGCTCCAAACTGCTCTGGTTCCAGCTTTGTCTAACATGATGATTTGCAACATCGCAGCTTGCCATGGGCTGGTTGGCTACCCTCTTCGGCGGTGCCTACTACGCTGCTTCCGGCCCCAAGAAGCCCGCCTCTGCCGTTGCTACTCCCCCGATCAACGCTTCCAGCTCTGACGAGGCCGACTTCATCAAGTGCGTTATATATATCGTGCGCGACGCTCAAGCGCGGTCGACTAACGGGATGACAGGAAATTCCTCGAGGAGCAGGACAAGAAGCACTAAGCAGCGAAAACCGAAAATGTCCGGCGTGGGGGATAGTGTATTGTTGTCTTGTACATACTAGATGCACGGAGAGCGAAAGAGTCTCGATATAGAAACAATGCGATCACCTTCTCCGAGCAGCCGAAAAGTCAACCTGTTCGATTGCGACTGTGGACTGGTACATTCTTATTCATTGCGTGGTTGGGCTTGACTGGATCGGAGATCCTACGCTGCCGCGGGAAGCTTCAATGGTTGTTGCTGGATGAGCATTTTCCACGTCTAACCAACTGCCGTTTCTCCTGAGGTCCGGTGGGAAGAGTCAAGCCATCCCGAATCTTGGCCTGGGTGCCTTGGGGGATCATTGCTGCGAAGAGATGGCTGCATCACTGGGAATCTCATGTGCCTATCAATGAGGTAGCTTACTGGGTTGTGGCCGTATGCGCTCCCCTGTCTTGCTAGTGAAGTCATCCTGACCAGTAATTTCTACCTGTTCATTATGCCAATTCCCAGGACATCAACTCGATATACGTATGTGCAGCGTCTGAATTTGTCGCATACAACCTCTACGATCTTGTCAATGAACAGCTTTTCTCTGTGAAGTGACAGTCTTTGACCATAGGTAGTACCTATGTGGATAAGTGAAATCAATCCGTACGAAGCACAGGAGAGCGACTACCTATGTCAAGACTTCATTAAATGCTTGACGCAATAAGCTCATGAGAGCTACCCATTGTAACGGGATACAGAGAAATTCGATTATCGACTCCGTGTCTTAGATTAATCTAGTTCTTAGCGTCCAACCACTCGGCTTCATGCCACAAGCCAGCCGGATATAAGCATACCTGACCACCATACCTTAGCATCCAGGATAGAGAGAAGCATGCCTACGTACAACCACTCGCGAATCGCATATCACAGGCCACAGTTCGGCCACTCGTCATGCGTGGCTCCCGAGCTCAATGCAGAGCAACGACAAGGCAAACCTACCTATCACCAGGCGAGAAAAGAAAAAGAACTTGCTGAGGGCACCGTGTAGCCAATATGTAGCCAATATGTAGCAAGTGGTACAGTACAAAGCAACAAGCAGCCGATGCTGATGGCACCCAATCTGGGAGCTCTCTTTTGGGCACAAACGGGTCACGTGAGCCACAGGCATGTAGTACCAGTAGAGTGGCAGCTGAAGAGAACAGAGGCATTGAACGAAACCGAGAGCTGATTGAAGCCCTGACGCGCCCCGCCTCGACTCTTTTATGGCGCATGCACCATCTCCCTAAAGCGAAACGAATCCCGCAATCCATCGGATACAACGATTGCAATTCGGACGACACCGCAAAACCCGGTATATCGACGTCGACCCCCGAAATGGCCGCCACGACAGACTCCCTGGTGGACGGCAGCGACATGTCGCCGTCGGCGGCGCCCAAGGAGCGGCACTCGCTGACGCTGGACCAGCGGCGCGCGCTGCGGCGCTGGGCCAACAACCAGACGATCCGGCCGTCGCACAAGGCGTGCATCGAGTGGTTCTTCAGCCAGTACGGCCAGCAGATCAGCCAGTCGACCGTCTCGCACTCGCTGTCGCCCAAGTACTCGCGCCTCGACGGCGACAACCCGCAGCTGTCCGGGTCGCGGCTGCGCTTCGGCAACTGGCCCGACGTCGAGAAGCTGGTGCTGCTGTGGTACCAGCAGGTCCAGGCCGCCGGCCGCCAGCCCACCAACGAGGAGCTGGGCGAGAAGGCAAAGGCCATCTTCAGCCAGCTGCCGCGCTACAAGGAGGAGACGCCGCCCGAGTTCTCGCCGGGATGGATCCATCGCTTCAAGAAGCGCTACGGCCTGCTGATCCGTCGCCAGCGCCGCCACGGAGACGGCGGCATCAACCCGGCCGACGACATCGACTACCTGGCCGACTGCGTCCCGCGCTTCATGGCCATTGCCGCCGACACGAGCCCGGCCGCCATCCGGGAGCAGGTCCTGCGCGTCGTCGGCGTCGAGTCGAGCCTCAACACCTGCGCCCTGGTCCGCGACGAGATCATCCGCCGCCTCGCCAGCGCCCACGCCCAGCCGCTGCCCTCGCTGGCCCCCGTGGAGCCCACGCTCGCCCAGCCGCAGCAGCCCGACCAGCCCATGTACGCCGACGACGATCCCGAGGTGGTGCTGCAGAACGCCCTGCGACAGCTCCAGCAGGAGGAGCAGGCCGCTGAGGAGCAGGCCGCCGCCGTCCGCGAGGAGAGAGAGCGCGCCGAGCGAGCCGCGGGCCTTCAGCAGCAGGGCATGACGACGCCCGGCGGCCGTGCGCCGTCAGACACCCGCTACACCACGCCAGGCCAGGACATGGCGCCCGAGCTGACCCTCACGCCCATCCACTCCGAGGTTCCCCTATCCACTCATGGAGAAAGGCCGCTGCGGTGTCCGTTTTGCGTCAACCAGCGCATGCTTCGTTCTATCAAGGAGGCCGTGGAGCACATGTCGACTCACGTTGTGGTGTAGCCCTCCCCTTCTCAATGGCCGTCCTATCTGCTTTTGTTTCATCATCATATGGGTCATTCTCCGGCGTTCATACCTCAAGCCGAATAGCCAACGTTTGATTCCTGCTGCCTTGCGCGATTCTTTTGTTACAATCTGGGAGTATAAGGGGGGGGGCGGAAGTTCAGGCTGCCATTCGGGACCACCAGAGCCCTTTGCTGCGTGCATTCTGGAGTTTGATCAAGACAGGGCGCTTTGCGGAGTTTTGGTGTCTATATCTTCCTTTCCCACGTTTAATTGCATTTTGTTGATATGCCCGCGATGAGAAGTGGATGGCGTCACACAGCATAACGGGCTGCTATGAAGGATCAGCTAGTCTACTGTATATCTACCTACTACACAAGGTACCCGAAGATACAGAATTCACCCATCATCCAAACGTAAAGCCTCCAGAAAGTGGTATCAATGCCATGTAACTCAAAATCGTAGACGCCAACGATGAGAGAACCCCCCCTCAACCCCAGGCCTGACATATCTAAGCCCCTACTATATAAACCCAGTGTCTCGCAAACGCTGCATCAACGCGTCCGCCTCCCGCTGCGCCTCCCTCTTCTGCATCTCCTCCACATCGCTGGCCCCAATGTAATTCTTCCAAAACTTGAGCCCCTCGAGTCCCTCCTCGCGACACAGGGCCCCCTGCTCCTCCGCCATGAGCAGCTCCTCCTCGGCAACGCCCAGGCTCCAGCCGAACCTCTCCGCGGCCTCCTGCGCCGTGACGCCGCGCCCAAACTGGCGCCAGTCCCACGCAACCTCCCGCTCGGGCGGGAACTCGTGCAGGTCCTGCAGCCACGCCAAGATGGACTTGACGGTGGCCTCGTCGGTGCGGTCCCGCGCCTGGACAACCATGACACCGCTGCGGAACGTGCGCAGCCGCACGGGGAGCTTGAGCGACTCCCACATCTGCGCCGCCTTCTTAAAGTCCATCGGGCTGACGAGCTCGACGCCGCCGCGCGCCCGGTTGAACATGGCCCACAGGTCGACGAGCGTCAGGATCCCGCCCGCTCGCTTGAGCACGCCGCGGGCGTCGTCGGTGAGGAACTCGGCTAGGTTGCGCGCCAGCTCCGAGAGGTAGAGCGACTCGGAGCTTCCGCCGCCGACAATGTCCTTGGTTGTGATCAGCCCGAGCTGGTGGGCGGATTCCGCCAGGATGGAGTTCTCCTTGGACGTGACGTCGTCGCTGGCGCCGTTGACCTGCTGTGCGAATCTCTCTGCCAGGGCTACCACCTCCTTTGCGGAGGCCATCAGGGCTTCGAGGTCCTCAAAGGCGCTGCCAATGAGAATCTCATTGTCCTTGCGCATGTTCAAGCCCAGCTGCTCGAGCCCGGCAATGCCAGCTGCTTTCGCCTTGGGGGCGGGGGCGCCTGATGAGCCGTTGACGGAACTGTCCTCAATCATACGATTGCTCTTTGGGGCGGGAGGCGCATCGTGCAGTAGCCATTTGCGTTGTGTCATGGCACTCTTGAGACGCTCGTAGAAGATCTTCTCTCCGCCACCCCGGAACGATATCTTGACGCTCTCCGCATATTCGTTGCCGCCTGGGCTCGCTTTGCTGCTGCTGTCCTTGACCGGTCCTGGGGACTGTGTCCTGGTATAGTCTGAGTTGTTGGATATGGAAGGCGGTAGATCTTGTGAAAGCAATGGAGCTCCGCACATCTCGCAGGATAGAAGGGAAGGATGGTTTGAGAATGTGCATCTAGGACAGTGAAATGACACGGTAGGATCAGGCTTTCCTTGCCCGTCGCCAGCGGGAGTACCCGATGCCGAATAGGGGTCGCTTGATTGTGTCGTAGCGCTTGTTGAGGCTTGCTGGCTGGAACTGGACGAAGCCGTCGGACGGTTGCTTGCGCTGGTGATGGCGGCCTTTAGCACCTGCGACAAGGTTGGTTTGATGCCGCATGCTAAGCATGGTGGAAGCGGCGTGTGGGCATTGGCCGTGACTGGATCAAAGTTCGAGGGGACGGGATTGGAGAAGCTGCAGATGGTGCAGACCCAGGTGGCTGTTGTGATTGCTGGAGGCCCAGACGGAGGAGCGTATGCGTTGTCTGACTGAGCGGGAGACGGCGTACTGCCCCTTGAGGTGACTCCGGTGCTGGACACAACGCGGTTGTGAAGCGTTGAGCGCTTCAGGGGCTTGGGCACAAGAGTGACCTTGGCCGAGGACTTGAGGAACCCGGCATAGAACTCATAGCGGTCCACTTCCTTCAAGTTGAGGGCGACCGAGTTCTTCCTCGGCTCCTCCTTGTCGACATAGCAGATACGATGTGAAGTCAGATATACCTGGCCATTCTGCTGGTTGGGGAGCTTGAACTTCCTGTCATGTCCCATCAGCACCGGGAGCTCAGGCAGCTGAGGACGAGGCTGGGATACTCACCCCTCGTACAAGCCGACATTGTCCTGCACAAAGAGCAGTGCTTCATCCGGGAGATACGAAGGCCGCAGAGCAGTGGTCAGATCAAGGTGCTTCAGAAACATTCGTCATGCGGCCGTGGCATAAGAGCCAGCCCTCGATGAATGACTTCCAAGGTTGGCCTGAGCTGCGGTGATGCGCTGAATACCTACTGGAGGTCACGATAGCACGTGCCTGAGGGACAGTAGGAGATCTGGGATACCAAACGTCGATATTCGGTCGGACAGTGCTTTCCAACGAGAAGCGAGTGGAGATTTACAGCGAGCTGTCGCCTGAAGATGCTCTATATAGAAGATGGAACCTCAGTATGGCGAGTCCAGAAGTGGTGATGATGGCGAGTGCGTCGATGAGGCATGGCGACTTCAGTGGCCGCTGTAGTACCACCAACAAGCGGTACGTACCTCGTCCGTCGCTCCATCCAGACGCGCCAGCCCAAATTCGGCCTAAAGGGTCTGCTGCCATAGCCGGCATTCAACCGGGCTGAGCTGGTCACGGGACCTGGCTCTCGCACATTTTGCCCTGTTGCAGCCCAACTTCGCCCGGGCGCCTCCTAACCACACCCAACAATTATCGCGACGACGAATATCGACTATCAACCCCCGTTGCCCGCGCCGGACTCCTCGTCCGCCCTTGCTCCATCGCCGCATCTCGTAAAACTAACTCTCAGTTCAGTGCATCCAGCACTTCAGCCGCCGTCGCCATGTCCAGCTGGTCGAGTGCCCAGCATCCGCCGGGCGTTGCTCCTCAGGCTCCCTACGCCTATCAGCACAGTGAGTCTCTCTCCATCCCCTCCGCTGGGGCTCGGTCTCATCTCATCTCGTCAGCGGCACCGGCCTTTATCCCAGTTCCAGTTCGACAAAACTTTGGATCATATCCTGCGCCTCCGCCGCCCCCGTACAACCCCTACGCGTCAAGCTCTCCCCAGAGTCAGCCCGCAACCCCTACCACCAGTACATCACCAGCAGCACCTGTAGAACAGCCCAAAGGAACCAAGACCGAGTGGCCGGAATCGGTTCGACGATACGTCCAACGGTCTTTCCACCCGGAGAATGACGACCCCTCTGTCTCTCGTGCGGAACTGGAAGCCAAGTTGAAGGATACCATTGGCAGCGCCAAGGAGAACAACGCGCTCTACACCATCGACTGGGATAACATGCCTCTGCCCCAAGCGTTGGTGAGAGCCGACCGCGAGGCGCAACTCAAGCTTCATCACCGTGCCGCTCCAATAACCACACCGATTTACACCGACGATTCCTTCAATCCCAAAAAGCGCAAGTCGAATGACTTTTCACATGACTCATCCGCACCGCCCCCGTGGCACTCTACTAACGCAGGTCGATCCCTCGAGGATCGCATTTCGTATTCCCCCGAGAAGCGGGCAGCCCTCGATGACCCCAAGTCTAGTAAGTTCCAGAAGGAAGCCAACAAGCGCAAGCGGCGCTTCGAGAACGAGTACAAGGCGGCCAACGTAGCGTCGCTGAGCCTGAACCCGCCGCCGCCATCCGGCCCCATCGTGGGCACCTCTGAAGTCCTTGAAAAGAAGTATCTCCGCCTGACTGCTCCCCCCGTCCCGTCAAATGTGCGACCCGAGAGAGTTCTCCGGCAAACGCTAGAGTTGTTGAAGAAGAAGTGGAGAAAGGAGGGCAACTATTCCTACATTTGCGACCAGTTCAAGTCCATGCGCCAGGATCTCACAGTGCAACGCATCAAGAACGAGTTCACCGTTTCCGTCTACGAGATCCACGCCCGGATTGCCTTGGAGAAGGGGGACATTGGTGAGTATAATCAGTGCCAGACCCAGCTGCGATCGTTGTACGCAATGGGTCTCAAGGGCAACCCCATTGAGTTCAAGGCGTATCGTATCCTCTATTTCATTCACACTGCCAACCGCACCGGCCTGAACGACACCCTGGCAGATCTAACAGCAGCGGAGAAGGAAGAGAGGCCGATCAAGCACGCGCTCAGCGTGAGGTCTGCGCTGGCACTGGGCAACTATCACAAGTTTTTCCAGCTGTACCTTGACACCCCCAACATGGGTGCATATCTGATGGATATGTTTGTCGCCCGGGAGCGCCTTGCGGCTCTGTGCAACATCTGCAAAGGGTGAGTCTGTTTTCTGCCCCGTATTGGATTCCCTGACCAGGACTAACCTGCCGTTTAGATACAAACCTGACGTCAAGCTGCGCTTCATCACTGAGGAACTCGGGTTCGAATCAGATGCTGATGCTGCTCAGTTCATCATTGACTACCAGGGGCAACATCTTCTTGAAGACCGCACAGAGTACATTGCGTTCCTGACTGGCAAAGCCAATGGCCTGTTTGAGAACTCTAGGGCCGCGGCTTTCCAGAAAGTGGACATCAAGGGGCAGATCTGACTTGTTCGCATCGCTCCTTGTCACGTCCCTCAGGCGTCTCTTCCTCTCCCTGCGTGTTTCTTTGCACACGGCTCACGGCCACCGGTCGCCTTCTTCTTTTGCTCTTCTCTCTATTTCTGAAAATTGCCAGCCCGCCTTTGATACCTAACGAATAGCGTCTTGCTGGCTACGGCGGTGACGTCTGACGATTTCTTTGTTTTCACCTTGGAATCCGTCTATAGACCGTTATGAAGACATATATTCTTGTCTTTGCCTCTACCGGACAGTGGCGAGACGCTTATACATGCTCGAAGAAGAGCAGATTCCTGGCATCCACCTCGGTTTCGACGGTGCTCTGCTCAAAAACAATTTCCTGTTCTAACTTGATACGTCAGATCCCTGCTTCTGTTGCAAGGCGGGATATGAGTTGGTCATGGTAACAACTCCAGCCACTTGGATGTTGGGTGATGGATTTGGACGATATCTGGGGGTTGCTTGCCTCAACGCGTCTCACTACGAGGTCATACTTGGTGTTTGGCTTGCGCGTTACGGTTGGATGGAACCGTTGAAACATTGGAAGGTTTACGGTGTTTGGCGTTGGTAATGACTGCAAAGCCAGCAATGGTGCTTGGCCTGCTTGGACGCAAAGTTCTGATGCAGGGTTCGCGGCATTCATGACAGAGCCGGAACTACAATGACTTGATCAAAAGTGGACTCTTGTGAGGATCGTTTTGAGAATTGATACCTACTATTGCTACCACTTGGGCCGCTCCGCCACTTGAGGCAAGATGACATGCAAAACAACCTTGGCGTCCTTGGCGTACATGTGTGATGGACGAGGTGCCGGGATGGACGAGTAGCGCAACTGGTGCGGCCAAGGCGAGCCTTTCCCTTCCTCTTTCACCTGTAATCCTCCCGGGTTTCACCAGCCAGAGGGGGTAGCGCAAGACGGGAGGGCCATGTGGACAACAAGGGGATGCATCTTTCGGGTGGTGGAGTCGACGGGAGGCAAGGTAGCAGTTGGATGGGGGAACAGATGCCGCTAGAAGTTCTGGAAAAGAGATCACGATGAGTTTTCATTCTACGAAGACTGGCCCTGGCCGATAAGTACCTTACTGTTAAGGGCCTTATTGAGGTTGGAATCCCTTTGGTGCACGGGGTGTCGAAAGTGTAACAGATGCGCAGAATGCTGCTGAAAAAGAAAAAAAAAAAAAAAAAAAAAATAGTCCGCACGAAGTAAGAATTTTGTTTACTGTACCTGGTCGAGTAAGGCACCGACGGGATATTATTATGAATCGCAAGGGGAAATGAGATGGGTGCCCAACCAGAGGAGAAGAGTAACATTTTTCGCGTTGCGGATTTCAGCCTCGTCGGCGCAAGCTGGCGCTGAGCACACGGGAGGTCTTTTGCGGAAGTACTATTACCAAGAAGTAAAATTGTTCGCACACGGGATACCATATTAGTACCTAACAATGCACACAGCTTCGTGCCCTTTTGTAAGGTACGGTAAGGTACCGTATACAGGTCGTGGTGGTACATGAATGGAGAGCATGTGCGCCTTTTTGGGTTACAGATGCGGACGCAGCAACGCGTGTTGTTTGGACGGATAGGTACCTGAGGTGAGGTCAAGCAAGGTAGGTATGGATGTAGAGCTACCGGCAGGCTGGTAAGCCGAGCGAGTTGAGTTGTTGAAGAAAAGCGTCTGAGATTGGACTGTGGGAGGCGGCAGCACACCTGGTGACTGTGTGCACGGTTGGATGGGGGTGGGTGTTTATGTAGGTCATGTATGCTGATGGATGGACCTCTCTGTAACCACTTTCAAGGGTCCAATATTCCTGTCTAGGTAGGTATCTCTTGTTTGGTTCAAGCTCGGGCTGCAAGGCAGAAGAGAGCAAGAAAGAGTTTGTGGGAAACGAGAAATAATAAAAAAGATGGAGAGGACACAAAGTTGCTGCCCGACTGATATCACATCACACATCGAACCCTTGGTGCGTCCCTTGTCGCTCGATTGATGGAATCAATCCTTCTCGCTGAGGTTCATGTAACTTCTACTGTACCTCTGATTGTTGTACCTAGTGACGTGCGGGCAGCCTTTCTGGCGACCTCTTCTGACCGGACTCCGCGCGCTTGGACGCTGGGCTGCGTGTTTCTGCGCTGCCCCCACTACAGTAGAGGGTCCCCTGTAAGCCACCTGGGCTCCCGGCCGTCGAGGCGCTGCGCACTTGGATGGCGCTCTTATAAGAGGCCCACTAGAGGTTACCTTATGTTTCCATTCAAGGTTCCATTCAACGACTGGAGGCCACCGACGGGCTCCCATTGATGCAAGCGCTTTGTGGCGTGAGGGCTTGAGGCCAGGCTCGCTGCGCAGACGGACATGGGCGAGGAGAGCAAAGGACAGGGACAGGGCTCTTGACCTGGCGATAGGTAGTATTAATGGAAGGCACTTTGTGGCAGACTCGTGTCCGCAAGGTATGGACAGGTCCATACGATACGCTGGGGCTGTCTGGTTCCCTCTTCCATGTCGTTTCTCCCGCTGCCTTGTCGGTCGCACAACTTCAAGGTTGCAAGTCGAAGCCGGCGCTGCTGGGTACAGGTACTAGGTAGTAGGTACTTAGGTACCTGCCTTGAGATATCTCGTTGTAACCAGGATTGTACAGGCGCTCATGTACGAGTACATGAAGGCATGGATGTGAGTGAGGTTTGACCTCGTCCCTTCCACTCGTTAAAACACCCACAGCTAGAGGAACCTAGTAGGTACTTAGGTAGTAGGTACTGTACATATCTTCTGTCGCGAGTTCCGTGTCCGTTGCACTGGTAAAAGGCACTGGGCTGTTTTGCCTCTCTCCAATCTCCATCTGCATCTCCATCTCCATCTGTTCCAGCCGCTTCCTCCCCGGCGCCATCGCTATAACCGTTCACAGTGTCAGTTGTCGTCAATACCTACCTACCTATCGTCTCTTACCATAGCCAAGAACTTGTGTATTCCAAGGTTTTCTTCCCGTCTGCTTCTTCCACTTAAACGACGCCTGTAGAATTCCCCGTCCACGATCGCAACGGCCGGTGATTGCGCCATCCTCTGTCTGGGCCAAGTGATTTGACTCGGACCGCATCTCATTATCATCGCATCTGCATCGCATTGGCCCAGGGTGCGACCTGCAAGCCAAGGATAACAGCAGCTGCTATTATTATTATTATTCATTACACGGCTCGCGGAAGCCCCAGCTGCACGTTTCCACGGCGGCCGCCTGCATCGCCGAAATCGTGAGGCCGGGCCAGTCAGTCCAGCAGGCACAAGCACAAGCCCAAGCACAAGCACAAAGCGCACGCAGCAACGCGCGAGGCTTGACCGTCCATCTTTCTAGAAGCACGAGGCGCAGCCGACACACCACAAGAGGCTAGGCGACCCGACGCACGACTACTGCTGCTAGTTATTGATCTTGCCGGCTAGCACGCGCAACCAACTTGGCGGTGCGACTCGAGCGCAGCGCAAGCTTCTCCTGCATCGAGCCGGCCTTCTGCTTCGTTGCCTCGCTCTTCGTCGCGCGGCCTGTCCTGATCCGTGGCCACGCCCAGCAACCCGCCAGCCTCACCGTCGCCGTCTCGTCTCGTCTCGCCATCGCCATCGCCTCGCCTCGCCGGCTGGCCATTGGCACCGAAAAACCACCCCCTCCCTCCCTCCCTCCTCCTCCGCTCCCTCGCCTCGCCGCCAGAGGTCGACTTTTTTTGCGCACCCCTCGCTCGCTCGCTCGCTCGCCCTTCGTCTCGACCGTGCCAACCGCCGAGCAAAGCGCTTCCCGCCTGCGAGCTCGCACGAACCCGATAGTCCCTCTTCCTCCAGCCGGGAAAACCACCCACTCCCTCACACCTCGCATACGCCTCATATCCCGGCCGTCACCGGCTCGTTACACAGCGCGACACTGCAATACACAGGACAAAGATGAAGGTGCGTCATTGCCAACTGCGCAAGCCATGCGCTGCCAGCTGCAAACCGCTCCCCTCCCCAACGCCTGCCGGACCGGCGACACGATGGCCCTCGTATATCGATCGCCTTGGGCTCGCCAGCTGCCAGCCTCCAAACCTGCCTCCGTCACAAGCACAACAGTCACGGCGCGCGCGCAGGCGAGATCAACATCAACAAACAAGCTTCCCTTGCGACCAAGTAGTCTCGGACAACCAGAGGACAAGACAAGACTAACAGCCATGGCCTTCCTGCAGGCTCTTCGACGGTCTATCAAGGGCGACAAGGAGAAACAGCACAGTATCTCCATCACCCCCAAAGCCGCTGTCGCCATCGTTCCGCCCAAGAAGGTTCGTTGATCCAGTGTGCTGCGTTTGCAAGTCCCCCCTCTTCTGTCTCTCTCTCTCTCTTTTCCGTCCAGATCCATCCATCCCAGCGGCTGTGTTGGTGTTCGTCCGCGGTCAAGTCATTGAATACCTAGGTCGCAAGACGCAGACGTTATCGCGCATAACACCCTGCTCTTTTTTTTTTTTTTCTTCACGTTTCATATAGCCTTGCTACCCTTGTTTCGAGCTGCGTTTGCAATGGCATTTCATTTCGTCTATCCTCGCTTTTCGTAGCGCCTCCAAGCACGAGCCAGTCTGTGGGGCAGCCCTTTTTCTGACGCTTCTTCGCAGGTCATCCGAGCGCTCTACGACTACGAGGCCCGCTCCCCCCAAGAGCTGAGCTTCTCCAAAGGCGACTTCTTCCACGTCATCGGCCGCGAGGACGATTCCGACTGGTACGAAGCCTGCAATCCTGCGCTGCCCGACGCGCGTGGTCTCGTGCCCGTTGCCTACTTCCAGGCCCTCGGCAAGACTGAGCGCGACAGCCACACCTCAGACGGTCGCCCGACCACCGCCAACCAGAACCCTGATCACGACTCTGGCTACGGCGAGGTCAACTCCGCCATGCAGTCCCCGGGCTCTTCCGCGTCGGCGAGCCAGCGCATGTCCAAGTCCGCCAAGCAGGGCGCCATGGTCTACGGCGTCGTCATGTACGACTTCAACGCGGAGCGGTCCGACGAGCTCGAGGCCAAGGCCGGCGAGGCAATCATCGTCATTGCGCAGTCCAACCCGGAGTGGTTCGTCGCCAAGCCCATTGGCCGGCTCGGCGGCCCCGGCCTGATTCCCGTGTCCTTTATCGAGCTCCGTGATATGGCCACGGGCAAGGCCCTCGAGAATCCCGGCGAGGCCATCAGGAAGGCGGGCGTGCCCAAGGTCGAGGAGTGGAAGAAGATGGCCACCGCCTACAAGAACAGCAGCATTACCCTGGGCAAGTTTGAGGGCGGAGGACCTTCCCAGCCGCTTGAGCAGGGCATGGAGCGCCTGAGCATTCAGAATGCCCCTCAGGTGAGTTGTGCCTCTATCATTCCCTCCATTTCTCTCTCTTTTCTCCTTCTTTCGTCGCAGCCTCGTCTCATTTCACTGCATCTCTCATCTCCACAAACTCGTCTCTTATCACTCCGTTCCTCTTGTTCCACAACCTCATCTCATTTCACCATCATCGTTCTCTGTTCAGGATCCTGTACCTTTCAATCTGTTCCCCGACTGATTGCTCCCCCGTCTCCCCAATCGCTTTTCACTCTCACCACCTCTGTCCTACCGTCACTCCAACCTATGGTCACATCCCGTCCCAAGCCCTCCATTCATCACCCCCCAGCCTCGCCTCTTGACCAGGCATTGACCAACCCCAACAGCCCCTAGCCCCCAGCGGCCCCCCTCAGCCTGCTGCCCAGCCCCAGCAGACCGAGTTTGTATCCAGCGCGACGACGGAACTCTACGCCCCCATCTCTGCCCGAATACCCCGCTACTGCTTTGCGGAAGACAAATACTGGTTTGTGATCGAGACGCAGCTCGAGGATGGACGGCACTGGGAGCTGTCCCGGTACTACGAGGACTTTTATGACTTCCAGATTGCCCTTCTCACCGAGTTCCCTGCTGAGGCAGGCAACACTGGAACCCAGAAGCGAACCCTCCCCTACATGCCCGGCCCTGTGAGCTACGTGACGGATGCCATCACCGAGGGAAGGCTGCATAACCTTGACGCTTACGTCAAGAATCTGCTGAACCAGCCCCCCTACATCTCCCGGTGCACGCTCGTCAAGCAGTTCTTCGCCCCCCGAGAAGGCGATTATGAGATGGACCCTGCCACGATTGAGCAGGAATACCGGCTGTCACAGGGCTCTCAAGGCTCGTCGTCTGGGTCACATGCTAACCCCGACTCGCTGCAGTCGTCGCGAAATAACCTGAGCGGTAATGGATACAATGGTCTCTCGGCTACTCCAAGACAAGTCAGCAATCCGCAGCAAGGTGAGTTACCGCAACTGCTTCTCGTGAAAGCCGACTGTCGCATGGCTCAATTGTAATACTGACTCTGCACAACCCCCAGTCATGCAACAGCAGCCGCTCTCGCAGCCGCAGCAGGCTCAGCAGCCGGGCCAAGCCTCAGCCGCCATGAAGATCAAGATGTACTACAACGGCGACCTGATTGCCATCCGCGTCCCCACAAACATCCAGTTCCAGCAGCTGTGCGACAAGGTCCGAGATCGACTCAAGGTGTCGCCCAACGAGCAGCTTCAGCTCTTCTACAAGGACGAGCAGACGGGCAACAAGCCCAGCCTGACCAACGACGCCGACCTGGACTACGCCCTCGAGCGCAACGAGAAGCTGATGCTGTACGTTGAGGTGGTGTAGCCGCGGCCACTGGGAGCCCATTAACTCTTCGATGTCTATATTTTCAACTCTACTTTTTCTTGCACGACATGGGCCGCCTACCGTGGGTGTTTGGACTTTCACGACCCGACGGGTCACGGCGACTCACGTCTTGTAATTGGTGATACCCGCCTTTCAATCGACTGGAGCTTGATTTATGTTTTCTCTCTTGTACTCGTGGTTATTTTACTCGAAAAAAAAGGTCCTGCCTGAGTGGTTGCACTCGGAATCGCGATCCGAATACTTTTCCGCGATGCCTTGGTCTTCACTGCCTGTTAAAGCTAGTCTACTGGCTGAATGGATGTATGGAGAGCCCTCGGCTCGCTTCATGACCTACCACCATACGGCTCACCTTTTTGAGAGCTGCCTCTTTTCTCTTCACTTTGTTCATCGGATACTACAATCTACCATTGCGGATACAGAAAGTCGGTTTATCTTCAAAGGCCCACCTGTGCGACCAAGACATAACATGCTTTCTCACGATTTTGATCTCTTAACCTTTCTCAGTCGAGACACGATTGTGGGTGGCCGAGCCTCGGAGAGGGCGATTGGAAGAAAGACGGCCTCCCTTATCAGTCGATCGACTCCCTGAGTCGGATGTGTGTTTCCAAGTAGGGTATTCTCCCACTTGCCGGCTCCTTGAGACTCGTCGATTTTTGTTCAATTTCCTTTGTGAGAGGGGAGGCAAGACAGGGGAACTGACTATACCTTGCATTGTGGATGAGTTGTCGGGATGGGATATGGGGAGGGGAGATATGGAGTGTGAGATGCAGGGAGGATGCGAGGAGGGGCCTTGACCTGATCTTGGCCATGTGATGTCTGTGACTGAGAGCGGACTTTGGGGGATGCGGCGGAATGGGGTGATGATGAGACTCTGTATGTGACTCTGTATGTATGGACGGAACAGATGAACAGGATCTTGGTAGGCAGATTTGCTAGACACTGCAAATAAATCGAAAAAAAAAGTACAACTTAACTGATGTATGTATTGGGGGATGACAGCAGAGGCTATATGCCCGTTTGCTTGTTTGCTGCTTTGTTTGCTGATTTCGACTGCGAGCATCTTGGTTGTGAGAGGGGTTCGTAATGCCATAGCATAACAACCTGCTGTGTGTGTATGCATGTCTTTTTGATGTAAGGTATCTAAGTAGCTGTATCGCCCAATATCAAGGACGCAACCATGAGCTTTATCCCAGCCGCGTCTATACTCTAGTATTATACTCTCTTGTCAGAAAAGAAGTAAGCCTGATAATTTAATCGTCCCCCATGGCTCTCCATACGCAAACGATGCAAAGTGAAAAGCCTTAAAAAAGATGGAAAAATCGACGTTTTGAAGAAGAAAAAAAACACCGTTCATCCCGCAACCTGTTCCATGAGATGCCTCCTCGTCTTCGTATTCACCACGCCGCCGACGCCAAAAGCCGGCACGATGCGACAGATGCGCGCCGCCGTGCTGACGAGCCAATTCGTCCTGACGACGTGCCAGCGCTGGCGCCACGACGCCGTTCCCTCGGGGCGGTTGTACATGTCGAGGCCGAGGAGGTGGATGGGCGTGGAAAGCAGCTGGACGGAAGCCGGGGCGAGGAACTGCGCCGCGGTGAGGCCCGAGACGAAGGAGCGCTTGAGCGAGTCGGAGAGACGGGCGTCGATTCTCGGGGCGAGCAGAGGAGGGAGATTGAACGATGCGAAGATGGTGAGGCAGTCGCGCGTGGTGAAGAGGAGATAGCTTGGCAATGAGACTGGTCGCGGGGTGGAGACGACGCCGGGAGGACCGAAGAGGCGGACAAAGACTTGGTCTTTGTACACGCAGAGGCCGACGTTGGTGGCGGACGAGGCGGCGAACTTGGCCGGGCCGGAGGTGGTTGATGTGGCGGGGGAGTTTGAGACTGTGGAGGAGAGCGTGTCGAGGGCGTTGGCGGTGAGGTATGTCCCTGCGTAGAGGGCGAAGACGAGGGCCGTGGGACGGGAGAGGAGGATGGTTTGTGGGCGGGTGAGGAGCGTGGTGAGGGAGGTGAGGAGGGATGTGGATAGGGGGCGGCGGCCGGAGGCGTTTTCCATGATGGAGCTGTTGATTTTTCACTTAGCTTTCTGTTTTGTGAGAGCATAGAGGGTTTGGGTTTGGTGAGAGGAAGGGGGGAGGATAGAGAGAGAGAGAGAGATAGAGAGAGAGAGAGAGAGAGAGAAGGCTTACCGGTCAATGATTGTGATGATGGGGGCGACGAGGGCGCCGGCGCAGGAGGCGCTTGCGGCGTCTGCTGCGAGGCGTGAGGCGAGTCTTTCGGTGTTCCATTTGGAGTGTGTTTTTGTTTGCGATTGGGGTTGTGTTTGCAAGTGCGATTGGGTGGATGGGGGGGTTGTGATGGCGGAGAGGGTTGCGGCCAGGGGCCGTGAGGCGGCGTCTTCTGTCTTCATGAGGGTTGAGGAGACTTGAGGTAGAGAAGACGCGGTTCGGTCGAGTGTTTGAGATGGGTTTTCTTTTAAAGGTATTGAGAGTTGTCAAGTCTGTGTTTTGAGAGAACGTTGAAGGGAGTGAGTGACTGGGTGAGTTGGTCAAGTGTTGTTCATGTCATGGTTATCTGGTTCAGCTGTTGATGGACAGGCCGGTTGACGAGATGTGCGGTTGCTTGGATGTGAACAGACGCGCCGCGGAAGCATCAATGTGGCTAATGTTTGTATAAGACAGGTCTAATGAGATCTGATATTGACAATGAAAAATTGAAAAACTAATCAGAAAATATGAAGCAGCACCGCGCATCAACAAACGCGATCAAGTTGTTGGTGATACAGGCTCGGCAGTATCGATATCGATAGCGATGCCGACACCGACACCAGACACCGACGCATTTGCTTTCCCCTTCAGCTGGAAGACCGACAATATGCGATGCCAGCCAGCAGTTGCCTCGCATGGCTAAAACCCGGGCTCTGACTGGTTCGAATGAAGCACGCGGGGAGCCCCGGTCTCGGAGCGCTTTTGGCTCAAGGACCGGGGAAGATTGTGTGTACTACTTGGTTAGAAGCTTCATAGCACACAAGACCGGGGTGATGATAAGGCAGATAAAGAGATCACGCCTTTTGAATTGTTAGTGCTTGCTTGCTTGGTCAAGATGGAGAGAGATCACGGGATGACTCTGGCCGGAGGTCTGAAACAGTAATCAGAGATTGGGACTGTTGGCGGCTGGGATTCCGCTCTCCGTGGTGGAAGAGTGAGACTTTTGGTTCCAAGGGTTCAATGACATGATATGGAGATAGTGGCACATCTGACGCCAATTGGCGGGGGCGGGGGAGCTGGACACATCACCAAGCAATGAATCAGGTGAAGTCAGATGAGATCAGGTACCTGTACTAGTATCATGATCACTGAAGCAATTGAACCGTTAGCTCAGTGCTGCGAGGCAGACAGACGAGATGCCTCTTTGCGCGTTGGTTATTCTCTCCCTGCTTGAGAAAGGGGATCGATTACTTAATCCTGGCGTCAATTGGGCTGACCGACCTTTTGTGTGTCTGTGACAGCCTCGACAACCACGTCTATCGCAGCTCTGCCACACTTGAAAGACACGACAGAGAGATAATACTAGGTAGGTACTACTACATGGACAGGCACCGTGGCTTGGTCCAGCTTATAGCGCAACGTACGTAGGTAAGGTATGACATACAGTACAAGGACAAGCACCACAAGGTCAGGCGCCAATTGATGAGCCTCGGCCAGTCCTGGAGGGCATGTCATCGCAATCCCTTGCTGTCGACGTGGCTCGCGTCTTGTGGCTGCGTCATGGCTACGGGCCTCGTTTCAAGGCTGTGGGCGGAATGGAGCTCCCATGAGGTATCAGCGGGATGCTCTGCGGAGTAGATGCCGAGTCATCTTGAGCATCTGTACCTCACGATAGGTATGTAGTAGTATACCTTATGTACTTGTGCCAAGGGGTAATGAAGCCTCCATCTCTTGTCGTGGGTGCATGTGGCTTGGAGGTACTAGCACATGTATCGTATGGCATCAATCGATAAGGCAGCTGCGCCTAGGGGGGAAGAGGGGAAGTAGGTACATACCTACATACCTACAGGCATACGTACTCCAGACGGAGAAGCATCCATGACTCTTCACGTCATCCAGGCTGGTCTTCCTTTGGCTCTCTCACCCCTGTCGATTTGCTTCACCACATGCAACTTGGGTACTTTGACAGCGCCGACTCTCGTCCCATTTCACGGGCGCAGCCGACGGACAGGCCAGAAGCTGCGGGCCAGGCGACATCACCACACAAGGACAGCCGCGCATCTTGCACAAACAGAGACGAGGCGTCTCCGGAGCCAAGGCGTCGGTCAACATGTATCATTACGAGCACGCACGCAGACAGGCAGACAGAGGGGCGTTGGGCTAGCCAGGCTTATTATTATAACTGCTGCGACTCCATCTTCTGCGCAGCAGCAGACAGGCCGCATGCTGGATAAGCGGCCCACGATGGCATGCCCGTGGCCATATATAGCGATACAACTACAGTACATATGACATTTATGACAGATCAGCGACATGGCCTGGGGAGCCTCGGAGCGTTACGGAAGCCGCTTCAGGCCTATCACCTATCACGGCCGTCGCCAAGGTCTTCGGAGGACCCAGAGAGACCATCTGCGAGTCGTCTTGCTGCTAAAGAGCGTGCGTTGATTGCGCCCACGTCTCCCCCGGCTCCAGTTGCGGCTATGGAACCCGCGAGACGACACGCACTTGCACCATCCAACCCCCGGCCAGTTGCCAGAAAGCGGTTGGGACTGAGAGGGTCTCCCTCGTCGTGGCCGTGTTTGGGCCAATGTGTCCGCGTAAGGCTGCAATGCAGTGGTGGCAAGCCGGGCGGATGGAGACACACGGCAGCGGCGGCGGCCAATCGTGGGCGTCCAACACTATCGCCATGCATGCCGGACGCTTCGCTACGTGGCCAGGGAGCTGTGGATGTACTGGTATTATGATTGTGTGTATGGGATGCCGTGCGGTTGCTGTGCGGTGACCCATGGAAACCCATGCCCTTCCCTGCATGGGGAGACCGTGGGCTTCTGTCGAGTCACTGCCGCTGTCTCGGCTTGGTCACCGCGCAGTAACAGACACGCTCACTGCGAGGGATCTATGCAGGCGAATCGTGTGCATGGCCACGACTGAGGCACACGGCCGGCCGTCGAGGGAGAAGGGGGGGGGCCGCACTTTGGGTTTATAATGGCTGGCCAGTCGTCTCGTCGGTTGCTGGAGGCTCGAGATGTTTACCCATCTTCACATCAACCCATTCTTGACTCGAGCACATATCAGTTCTTCTTTGTCTCATTGACTCCATCTTATCTATCCCTCTTCTTCTACGGTACTTGATAGCTCTTGGACAAACCTTGAGCTTGGCCGTTTTCTTTCCCGGGGCGTCCGTTTTCAAAACGGCCCCCTCTGACTCGCCGTCCTTCACACCCAGTCTATTGTACTCTTACTATGACGGGACGAAGCGGGAGCTCAGATGGGACGTTTTACTTTCAGGCCTGGAACACCGGCAAGGTGGTGACGGCAGAGTCATGGGTCCAGAATAAGGGCCTCGCCGACTTTGTCGAGCAGAACCTCAGCGCCGAGGCAAAGCAGTGGCTCTTCGTCAAGGGCTGCGTGCCCACCAAGGAGCTGACCGGGCTTGCCATTCCCTACTCTGTAAGTCGCCATCATCAAGCCTATCGTCGACCAAGTGTCGAGACTTGCGGGAGAGGAGAAGGACCAACAGAGGCTAACGATGCTCTTCTTACAGATCGCCGTCAAGCTTCGTGCCGCAAAATCTGGGCAGGACCCAAAGGATGCGGTCAAGGCTCTCTTCAAGTTCCGCAACAAGGAGTTCCCCGACCTTGCCCGGGTCTACTTCAAGACCAGACTGCACAAGTCGCTCGACTGGTTCAATGCCTTCTCCGAGGGCGCAGAGTCCGATCCGCTTGTGGCCGACTTCAACGTGGTCAAGTCCTCCAAGAAGTTAAAGGACAAGGTCCGGTCAGCCATCAAGTTTGTCAAAAAGGACGTCTGGGGCGACCTTAAGAATGGATTGTAAGTTCTCCGCCCCCGCTCCTCAGCAATTCAAAGTCATCTTCGGAGCTGATTGGGCTGACCCGCGTCCTGCAGAATCGGTGGCATTAGTTCAAAGTCAGAGTTCAAGGCAGCTCGGTTCATCGCGAAGCGAGGCCAAGGTATGTACAGGGCCTTTGAGGAGAGCGACATTGGTGTCTTCGGGGACATAGGGGAAGCCGACGTCGTTAACATATGCCTCGACTTTTCAGACCCTACCTTGAATCCCCATGTTCTGCCCACTGCACCGCTCCAGAGCCCCTTTTCACTGCCGGACTTGAGCTCTGCCCCTCTTCAGCCGGGCCTGAGCTCTGTTGCTGTTCAGCCGGATTTGAGCTCTGCTGCTGTTCAGCCGCCCGTGCTCCCTCCTCGGCGCAGAACGGACTCGGATGCCTCCGATCTCACCGTCGGGTCCACGGTTGCGTCGGTCTCTGATGCCAGCTCCATGGCTTCTGTCGACACCGCCCAGTCATCCATCTATGGTGAGGATGCCTCTGAGCTTCATCACTACGCAAAGGAGGGCCACTCCGAGCTGTCGCCTGTTCCGGAAGAGGATGAGCCAGCACTCGCCCCTCCGACTGCCACGAAGAGTGACCCTATGGTGGATGCCGACGTTGAGGTTCCGGCTGTTGCGACGCCCGCCGATGCGTCGGAGGCATCGTGCCAGGACATTACGACGGAGCCCATAGAGGTCGCAGACGTCACCGTCACCCCCGTCGCGGACGTGACAGACGTCGTCGCAGGCGCCACGGACATTACAGAAGTCATCAACGCTACGACTCAACCGGCTGCCGTGGCTCCTGTATCATCTAGCATTGTTGCGACCCGAAGAAAGATGAGCTGCGTCCTGTCTTCTCAAAACACAAAAACGGCCTACTTTGTTGTGCAAAATGCCGGCAACTGGCTCAAATACCTGACGGCCAACCATGCCCAGAGCGCCCAACAGCTGCGATCCGCCTTTTTCGATTCGCCCATTGTTCTCGCCGCAAACCTTTCTCCCGTGCAGGCTCTCACGCCTGACGGGATGATGCGTGTGTACTTTATGTCACAGGCTCGGAAGCAGCTCGAGGATGGGGTGCCTCGCAACGAGAAGAATCGCGCTGTCCGCGCTCGCAAAGGCAAGTCTGTTCGCGAATGGATCGTCGGGAGCGCCAAGGTGTCCACTCGCACCTTGAAGCATCTTGGCCAGCAGCTTGGAAAGAGAAACGCCAGACTCCTACCGCCCGCGGTGCGCAAGGTCGACTCGGTCGTCGGTCCCAACAACCGACTGATAGAGATGACCCCTGCGCCAGGCGTTCCTCAGGCCATCCTGGTCACAACGCCCCATCCTGTCGAGGATGTCCGGGAGGGCGACATTGTCCAGGAAGAGCGAGACGACGGCTTCGTTCACATTGAGAGCAACATTGTCAACAGGCCCGTGGAGGTGGTGACCGACAGGGTTACTACTGGTGCCGAGAGGAAGGTCAAGGGAGAGAGGAGGCGGCGTCTCAAGGGCAAGGGCAAACTCAGAGCGGAGACGGCCAAGGTCAGGAATACGACCAAGATGGACACGACAAACACACCTGCAGGCGCAAGGGCAGATGTCATCACAGACTCCACGGTCGATGCCAACAGCGCCCCGCCTCGCAAACCGTCCAAGGTATATACTCCTCCTTTCAGTCGAAAAGCCTGGCGAGATGTAGAGCCTCAAGAGCCGCAGGTCATCTACGACGTCATGAGCGGATACGACTTTTTGCAGGTGGAAGACGTCCAGGTCTTTTCCTTTTCGACCTCGTCGCACGACATGATGCTGCGCACCTCTCCCCCTCCCGCTCCCGTTGCTCCTGTTACACCGGCAGTGGTTGAGGAGGGCGAGGGCCTCGGCATCTGGTCACCTCCAGCTGTTGTAGGCATTTTCTCCTGGATGTGGGATCATTTGTCTCCAGTGAGTTGGCTCAGGACCTCGCTCGCTCACTAGACGTTAACAACTGTAACCCAGGGACCGTCACACAGGTGGATGATGAAATGAAAAGAGGGAAGAAATGGTATGAGCACACGATTGGTTGGTGGAGGTACGCATTGACAGACGCCTCAGAGGGAGGGTCTGGCAAGTTGGATGTTGTTGTTTTTTTCTTTGGCATTGCGATGGCGCTTGGGTTCGTTTTTTACCACCACTCTGCACCGCATCTCTTTCATTTGTTTCTTCTACACAATATCTCGCCTGAGGGAGCCAAAACTGGGGCTTGTGCTCCCCACCCGCGACTCATCGTCTTCACGAGACACTCGTTATTTCCTTTGTTCGACCAATATTTGGGGGGGGAAAAAAACTATACATGTATGATGGATGGCGAGGAACGATTTGGAACACGATATTAGCATGGAACGGATGATGAGCAACGAAAACGAGATATGACAACAGCATGGGATCGAGATATATGGGATAGAGAGCATTGGGAAATGGTATATCGGCAAATGTCTTGGAGGAATACGGAAAGATTGGGCCAGACACACAGATTGCAAGATTTTTTACATTCTTGGTAGATAGAGCTTTTTTGAATTCTTTTTTAAAGGCCATGCATTTTGACATGAGCCTGGAGATTTCCAATTCGCGATATTGGCATACTATTGGGCTGCTGAAATGTTTTGTTGATGAAGAAACTTGATTCCCCTTGTATAACTTTACTGGATGGTGCTTGGATTTGCTGCCATGTGGTATGTGGTGATGCATGAATATCAATGAGCGATACTGTCCATGAATACCTTACCGTAGGTGGTGCAATCACTACGGTTCACGGAAACAGCTACAGCTTGTTCAAAAGAACAAGACTGAGCGTGTGAACGCTCCAACTCGTCAAGTTGAGACAACCAGTCAACAACACCTCTTTGCGCAAGATATAAGAAATAAAAAAAAAAAAAAAAAAGGAAGAAGAAGAAGAAGCACTGGAAAGAAAGTGCAAAAAATGAATGCCCACTATCAGAGTCGAACTGATCACCTTGTCATGTCAAGTATTTTTACTAGTGACACGCTATACCGCTTAGCCAAGCGGGCTTTGGAAGCTGATGACTTTCGGCGTCGCTAGTAGAGTATATGATTCTCTAGCACTATGCAGCAGAGCTTTCCAACTTGCATAATTGTAAACACTCGCTGTTCGCAACTCTTCTTCTGGCTGATCTCTTGTGGGCAAGTATGGACAAGTCTATCTCCAGTAAGCATGGCCATCTTGTCAAGTACGCGAAGCAGCTTCATCCGTAATTGTTTTTCAGCCAGTCGCAAAGCATAGGATCGTTTCTAGTACCTATATGAATGATTGGCCTACTTTGTGCTACTCTTACCCTATGTCTCTAGTATCGCTACATGTTGCTACTGTTTATTGCCTTCTATTTATCATTATAAAGCATATATATTCGGCATGGTCTATCTACAAAGTTTTAGAATTATCTCTTTGACTTGACTGCGATAGAGGAAATGTAGAAGGATATCTGTCTATTAACTCAAGTAGCACAGCAAGCGGTAGCCAGCAATAAAGATACTTTAAGTACTTGCAACACTGAATAGAGCATACCTAGGACAACACATATGAATTAGCAATTTGGCACGTTTGTGGTTTGAAGACTCTTTCGACAGAGTCGGTAAGAAGAAGAAATTATGAGATATCGGATGATGTGTATTCGCATAGAAAGTTGAGGGTCCAGATGTCAAAGACGGACACTTGCCCTCTTTAACATGGTCTCTCGACATAAGCCCCAAGCCAAACCTTTTACCATGAGTCCTCCTATTTGCACCGTAGCATATCTCTATTTGAACCGTAGTGGTCTGTGCACAGGGTAAAATTCCTACGCACACACCATCAAGTCCATCACTACACACCCGCTTACAGTATGAGGTAATGGCAGGCTTGTCTTTACACAACAAGGCCACGGCTTCTATCTTCAACTATCGCAGCCGACCTCAGAGCCGACCTCAGAGCCGACCTCATCGCGGCCGGCCACCTAATTACAGCGCGAGATTAACGGCGGCACTTATTATAATCCCAGGATGAAGGAGGCGGCCGCAGCAGCAAAGGCAGCAGCAGAAGCAGCAGCAGAGGCAGCAGCAGAGGCAGCAGCAGAGGCAGCAGCAGAGGCAGCAGTAAAGGCAGTAGTAAAGGCAGTAGCAGAGGCAGCAGTAGAGGTAGCAGATACCCTGGTGTTGATCCTATATGCCCTCTACCTTATGATATCTCCTTGATGGTAATAACTTCCAGTGTGCAACACTGTACTGTGGTGTGCGGGTGTAGGATATTCTACCTAGGGGGTTAGTCTAGCTGGTGGCACAGACCACTACGGTTCAAATAGGAATATGCTACAGTGCAAATAGGAGGACTCTTTACCATATATACAGGACGGTTCTCAACCTTCGTGCCCTCGAAGCTGTTATTAATGACACGATATCAACCCCCCCGATCCAACACAACCATCTTTTCCCCCAAAATACAAACGCACACTCAACCAAGGCCTCAGTTATCATACAACCAAAACGCCTTTTTCCCCAAAAGGGACCCAGCTCAGGAAAAAGCATTCACAGTCTTGGTGTACATTTTCATCATTGGCCTCCCCAACTAGTCTTCCTCCTCGCTTGCCCTCATCTCTCTCTCATAGCAGAAGCGAAACCTCTTCCGTGTGGAAATATGTTTTTATTTGTTTTCATACATGGACTTCGTTGGAGGGGGAAGCTCATGATATGATACACCCCCATATTCCGATAAGAACCTTTGAAGGAAACAGCGATTGTTGTGGTAACGCAGCGCTGGGATGGAGAGAGAGAGGGAGCAAAGAGAAGAAAAGGAAAGGATGAAGTTCTCCGTTTGTTTGGAGAAGCGGGTAGGACAGGTATAAATACTCACGAATCTGACCTCTTAACCCAGGTACTGATAGGTTCCTAAGGCAAGATCCGGGACTCGCCGCGGCTCGCTTGCCTCCCCTCTTCAGCTCATCAAACTACCCACCCCCTTCCTTCCTACCGATGGGCTGTTTCGGTGCCTCAGGATTCAACATGCTGCGACGCAACGTTTCCAGCTTTGCGGCCTCAGTTCCATTGCAACCATATAAAAAGGCTTCCCTTTGGCGACAGGAAACATGTCCCATGACCACGAGCCTTACGGTGCAGTACAGTCTCATCAATGGCCTCTCTGGATTCTCACAAGATGGGTGATGTCCCCATGGGGACGCGAAGCGCTCTGAAAGGGGCTCAGGGCCCCGACATGATGATTTTTGTTTCGAAGGATCTCCGATAGCCGACACACCCACTCAGCCTGACCTAGGGGGGGGAACCAGTCGAGTATAAATACCTTGCCTCCCCCCTTACTTTTGAACAGCACATGTTCAAGAGATCATGATTGAAGGCGTTCTTAATCATTTGCACAGTTGCCATGAAAGTTTAGAAAACGCCCAGGTGGCTACAGGCAATTGTAGAGCGAATCATGAGCTACGCTGATGTATGAGCACATCCTTCGGGCCGAAAGGGCGTTTGCCGAGCATCAACGCCTTCATCATCTCAAATCAAGTGCGGCTCCGGCTGAACGTGGTTGACACGACCGTGGCAGACTTGACTCGGTAATGAAAACCAATACCTTCTAGGTACTGAGGTGTGTAATGCGTTTACAGAGACTCTCCTCAGGTAGACGGTCAAGTTCAGGTACGTTTTGCAGCACGTGGATCTTGCCATTGCAGTCTTTCTTCGTCAAATTCATTCCGCAAATACTAGGCTACTCATTGTCGCTCCCATTTTTGGTATCCAAACGCCTCGCTGCCATCGAATCAAGTTCCTGTTGCTGATAATCCATCTTACTCCAACCTTTCCCAGAGCCATGTAACCGAATAAAAACAAAAGTAAATCGTTGCCTTTCATTCATCAAGCAGTTCCCTTGTTGTCCTGTTCAGGCTCCCGAGGCTGCGTATAATCACAATTCTGTGCGTGATCATGAGTCTGTTCGTCCCCGTGAGCCAGGGTCTGCTGAGATGAATCGATGACCACGCCCAGCATCGGCTCTACCCGAACCCTTCCCAGCGCAGACTCCCCGTCAGACTCCGTCTCGGAAGACGCATTGCTCATCTTCCGCAGCGCCTTCTCATCGACTGTAAGAGCGCCACCGGCCTTATCCAGGTCCATAAAGATGCAAATGATGAGCGCCACGCCCGCGAGCCCGACACCAATCCAAAACACATTCTTGTACTGATGCTTGAGGTCCATCCCGCTCAACACAAACTGCTGCTTGGCCACGTCGGCAATCGCCAGAAAAAAGGCACCGCCGAGGAAGAGCATCACGCTGATGAGAGCACCGGCAAGCCCCTGACGGTTCTTTGGCAGGCTGGTCGTCAGGAAGACGTTGCTCACAGTCCACAAGACATCGACGCAGGCGGCTTCGCAGAGCATTGCGGGAAAGATCCAAGCCCAGTAGTTCGGATTGTCGGGCATAATGGCAAACATGAGCACAGCGATAATCTTTGAGACTCCGGCGGCAACAATGAGAACCTTGCCGGACAGAAGGTGCAGGATGAGGCCGCTCGTCGTGGCCAGTACGAGGCCGCCTGCAGCCCATGGGCCGAAGTACGTCGCAGTCAGCAAGGGTGACTTGTCCAAGATGGTCTCGATGCTACAATTCAGTCGGTCAGTCAGATATCGTCATCAAAGGAACCTGGCTTGACTCACTAAAAGTTGGCATAGAAAAGATAGATGTTAAAGACTCCCCATGTAATAAAGAGACACAGGAGCATCCTCTTCATGCACTTGACGCGAAAGATGTCTGCCGGAATAAGTGGTGCCTCGGCGACCCAGCCTTCGACATAGACAGCTGCACCAAGAAAGATGAGGCCGAGAATAAGCGTCACCAGAATCTGAGGTGAGGCCCATCCATCCGGAGCGTTGGCACTGTCGGTCAATGCATAAATAAGCAGCATCAAGCCAGGCACGGTCGTAAACACTCCCCACCAGTCCATCTTGACGTTCATCTTGCGTGCCTCTTCATAATCACGGGGAGCAGTCAAGATGGTTCCCAGAGCAAAGACGGCAGATATGATGCCACCAAGCCAGAAGAACCACCGCCAGGACAGCAAGTCCTGAGCCATGCCGCCGACGATGATGCCGGCAAAGAAGCCCAGCGGTGCAAGCGCGCCGTAGAGACTGAAGACAATGTTCTTTCGTGGACCTGGTCGGTAGATCCGGCCAAGCAAAGAAATACCGGCAGGAAGAAACGCCGCAGCACCCAGGCCCAGCATGGCACGGCAAATGACGAGCATGATGAAGTTGCGCGTGAAGCCACCAATGATGGACCACACCGAACACCACACCACGCCTCCGTTGAAGAGGAGGTATCCTCCGTACATGTCCGCCAGTCGCCCGAGGGGAAACAGGAATGCGCCTGCAGCCAGCGTCAGGACGCTCGAGGGCCATGTTTGAGCTTCAGGGGGGATGTCCAGTGGCTCGATCAAGTTGGGCAAAACGACCTGGAAGCCGCTAATGATGAAGTCCTAAATGGCACAAAGTCAGTCACGCTCTTATATGCCCATGGTATACCGATCGCCAACGCGAGCATGTGCAAGTGCTCCCCCAAGATGGGAGGAATGGAGTGTCTCGCGTGTCAGCATATGAAGAGGAGACCCACCGCCATAGAAAGGGAGCCCAGGATGCAGATGACAAAGGCAACCTCTTTAAAGGTGGAAGAGAAGGCTGCAGGACGCTGTCTTCCAAGCTTCTCAACATCGATCTCCTCGACAGTCTGAGAAAGCTCATCGTCCCTGTCCGTGACGACGACTGTGGCAGCCTGGCCAGGCTTGTCGTCCTTTGCCAACATTGCGGTTATGAAAGGCAGCTGCAACGCAAGAGAACAACTCTCACAACAAATGGAGACCAACAGACGATCAAGAGCTCTTCAGGGAAGCCCCGGTTGACTAACGATGACAGCAGCATCCCAAGCTCTGGGCCAGTGCCATCATTCTATCTTTTATAATGTTCTCGCCATCACGATGGACACGGACCGCCTCAGAGGAGAATTTTCACACCCTGATTCGTGCTGCTAGATCATACGCCATAGCTATGCGCCCTCGTCATCTGCCGGGAGGTTTCATGGTGTGAACAGTCTCACAGTGAGCATTCCGTTGCCGGTTCTCGTACTCCTCCCCGTCGATTAACGAGCCCTGAAACCCTATGCACCTCCATCACGTTCTCCAGCCACAGCGGCAAGAAACGCAGAAGCTGTCTAGAGATTTCCCATCTAGGGAGGTTCGTTGCAACTGCACTCGAGATATCTGACAGGGGAGGGGCTCCACACGGTCCTCGCCGGAAGGCAACCCGACTGAGAGCTTGAAAGGAGCCACATCAGAAACTGCTGCCCACGTTTTTTTTTTTTCTCGATAGAGCAGGCCTTAGAAGTCGGGACAAGGATTCCATGTGTCATGGACCTCGTTCCAGAATCTAGAGAGCTTGCGCAGTGGTGGAGATATAATAATTGGGCTGGTGTAATCCCGGTAGTGGCAGCGCCCAACTGGGGCTCGAGAGCTAATTCCTGAAGGCATCGTGACTATTCCGCAGGGGTGGTGGTGGTTGGCGCCAAGTAGGGATGCATCCGTCCGGTACTTGAGGGACACCGGTTCTGAGCTCTCTGTTGCTTATTCTCAATCTCCGTAGGAGAAAAGGGAAGAGGGCGGAAACGCCGTTATTCTTCCCTCGCTTCCGCCGTCTGATCGAAGATCGTTTCCAACCTTAAGTCCTAGTGGAAGGCGAGAGAGTTTGCCGGGAATGTCCTGGTAATGATGTAAGACGTTTGGCTTGAGCCACTCAGGAACCGGCAATCCGCTCGATCCCACCCGAGCGGCTGTATTGTAGAAGGGATGGAAGAACCGGGAGGGAACCTAGGGGTTGGGGAAAAGAACGCCAAGCACCGTTGCATTTGCTCCCTCATGCAATGCCTCAGTCCCAGCCCGCTTCCGAGAATCAGGTACTATCACTGCACCATGGGCAAACCGATTTCCGCATTGGGCGCTTGTGTGACCTCTGGATGGACAAGATCCGGCAGACCAGATGAACAAGCTTCGGGACCTAGGACCAGGGGGGGGGGGCGTCCTCCAACGCTTGCCGGGTCTGCAGGTCCCGCCTAGCGGTCGCCGTGCATCGGACGCAAAGAATGTCAAGAGCTTTCCCATTTAGGCGCGCTTGCGACGTAATGAGAAAGCTTGTCTCTTGTATGACCGTCTAGACTTTTGTGCGATTGGGGCGGTGGCGTGTCCCCGGAGTGGTTGGTAGGCAGTTGTAAAGGGGGGAGGGGGGTTTCGATATTGAGATTATGCTGCTGCTAGTTGTCATGGATAATCGACGGTGGGCCGGCACGCTTTGCCCGCTGCATCACGACTGGCTGGCTTCGCTGGCGTGCCACATCACGTCTGGTCTGGTTTTCGTGATGGGCACTCGCCATCATGGAGCTTTCTAGGCGTCGTCTCCGGCGGGTTTGGCGCTACTCCTTCACGTGCGCTGAGCTCTTACCGCCGTAACGGGGAGACCACTAAGCTCAGGAGAAAGGTCCCAGATTCTCGCCGTGCTCATACTGCTTGAGGCGTGACAGAGGCCCGCCTAGCCGTGATCGACTCTCTGCTGCTGCTGCTGCTCTCGTTTGCCGGCCTTGTTGCGCGTCACTAGTAGACCGTTGCTAGACCGACAGGGACGCGAGTGAGGGACGCAGCAGGCCGACAGTTCTGGATCAGAAGAATAGCCTGAAATCAACCGACAGCTTCGGTCAACCGCATCGCACAAAAGCTCGGCTTATATGCCAAGCAACGGCAAGCCGTGTCACAACTGCCGCCGTCGACGACTGCGCTGCGATCGCTCGTGGCCGACGTGCCACAAATGTGCGGTCTCAGGGCAGGAGTGCCTTGGGTACGGCAAGGTCTTCGTCTGGCAGCAGACGATTGACTCTCGTGGGATTTTGAAGCCGTCATCAAGTCGCCGGACACCGCTTGGTGGCCCCCTGAGTTCCAGTGCTGGCTCCGCCTTCTCTTCCACCACAACCAGCTACTTTCCGCCCTTCCTGGAGATCGCTCCTAGCCGTCGTCCCGATACGGGCCCGAGTAGCCTGACGCATGATGCAGCTGCCGGGGAAGGCAAATCTGTCGCTGGCGGAGCTCAGAAGGCGCCAGTTCGTCGCCTCTCGCCGCCATTGAATGACCATGGAGGCAACGGGTTGGCGTCGGGTGCCTCGGAACCATTGCAAGATCCAGCCTCAAGCCCAGTCCAGGAAGTCTTGAGACCAGCGGCGCTGGGCAGCCTGACAGATCCTCTCTTCCAAGACCTTGATCGCAACTCAAGATACTATCTAGCGCACTGTAAGAGACCGTCCATCCTGGGAAGCCAAGGCTAAGAGTACGAGAAAGGCGAGTTGGGCTTGCTAACACATCATCAGTTGCCGATCGTGTCTGCAAAGACTTGGTGGCTCGCGATGGGCCGGGAGCAAACCCTTTCAGAGACCTCATCCCCTTGACTAACAAGCATCCTCTGTTGCTCCAGATCCTGATTGCCACTTCTGCGATCCACTGGTCCAACATCTTCCGTCCCATCACCGCGATTCCGACGGGGCTCACAGACCCGGGAGGCTACCTTGCCCAGCTGCGGTCAAAGGATCTCGTTTCCCGGCAAGCTCTTATCGATGCGTTGACGGCGAAGCAAAAGGCCATGGGCCACCTGCAAGAGGTGCTCGATACGTTGGATCCCGGAGGAAGCGAAGTCGTCCTTGCCGCCATGCACTTCTTCATCAAGTTTGATCTGATAGACTTAGAGAAGAACGACACAAAAGGATGGAGGGCTCATCTGGAAGGCGCCAGCAGCATCCTGGCCTTGCTAAGGCCGGGAAGCAATGGAAGCGAGGCAAGCCGGATGCTTCGAGACTGCGTGGTGGCTGATTGTTTCATGTGAGTGCTGTCGCCTCATGTCTCACTGCAAAGCAAATGCTCTCGGCGAAGCAAGACTGCGGCTCAAACCCTGTGCTGTGTGACACAAACTGACCTCCTTGCTCCGCCAACCTGCAGATACCATATTCTAGGATCCACGCTTGCGTCGGGCAGCCTTGCCGCCAACATTGCTCGCTATGCATTCGAACTGCTGCCTGTCATGAAGCGCGTCGAAGTCAATAGCTATCTCTCTTGTCCGCCAGAGATCCTCCACATCATCCTGGAAGCATCCAAGCTCTCGTACGAGACGCCCTGCACTGACTGGTCGTTGACTGCCGCGGACGAGGCCCTTGCCCTGATTGACCAGGCGCTTGCATTTGACATCCCGGCTTGGGCAGACAAGCTTCGGCAGAACCCGCGAGTGCAGGACATTGAGAGTCGCATCCATATCGCATCGGCTCACCGATCTGCTGCGTGTTTGTACATTCTGCAGGCCTTGCCCCTCGCACGAGCAGTCCGTCCCGTCGACACAGAGTTCCTGGTGGGCGACATCCTGGAGAATCTGGGCCAGATCAGCATCGAGGACCCGTACTACAAGGCCACGTCCTGGCCTACCTTTATCGCCGGGGCCGAGACTCGCGATGCAGAGAAGCGGACGTGGACCATGAAGCGGCTGCTGGGCATCTGGGAGACGTGCCCCTGGGGGTATCTGTTTACCGCCATTGAGCTGCTCAAGGCTGCTTGGGAGATGCAGGATGCTTGTCAAGGCGCTGACGACGAGGCTGGCATCAACTGGCTGCAGGGGCTGAAGAGCATGGGCTTTGATGCCTTGATAGTGTAGCTTTCTGCTGCTTGAGCTTCCATCTCTTCAAGTTGCCAGCTTGATGTCGATTAGCTAAGGCTGCTCCTTCCCCCTTCCATGTCTTGGCACTTGCCGTTGACAACTCGTACATGTACTATTACTAATTCTTGCTTTTTGGGGTTTCTCCTTTTGTTCAGCTTCATTTCTTCCTTTACTCGTTGTCTAGTATCTAGCGGAGTCTTTGCTTTGAGGAGAGCTTTGGGAACGTTTACAATGCCTTGCTACAATTTCAGCTTTTCATCTAGAGAAGCATCCACACTGTCGAGGTAGAGCAGTATACACGTAATAGCATCCATCTCGGCATGACAAGCCTCTAATACAACCAATCTTCAATGCCGTATCATTAGATACTGTGACTCATTAGGTACTGGTAAAGCGACGCCTTCACAGTTCGCACACACATGCAGGGTCCATGGTCAATAGCAATAGAACACACCCTGTATTACCTGTCCCTACTTTGACCCTCCCAACCCAAAAACCTAACATATAAGAACACACCAGCCCAGCAAGATGCTTGCCACTTGCTGCTGCACAAGCGGGAGCTACTGCACCCTCTAGTCCCCCCCCTCCCGCCCACGCTAAAACTGCACCCTTGAACTCTTGGGCTTCCAATTCTCCAATCCTTGCCAAAGCAAAAAACCTGCACGCCCAGCCTGAATCATTTGATCAACGGCGGCTTGACAGCACGCAGGCGCCCTGCAGGAAGCTGGCATTAGCGGATGGGTTTTCCATTGTTGTTATTGGTTCTATAATTAAATGCTCTCTGGCCTTTCCGTTTGCGTCTTTCCTCCGACATGTCCTGCATGAGCCCTGAATTGCCCCGTCAGTTAAACACCCAGTAATAGCTGGCGATGTCGATGTCGACATCAGCCTTTGATGATCACATGCTCCAAGGCGTGATCAAACTGGGAGCAAAGACACTGCTGCACCGGTGTGACGACTCCAGCATAGGGAATCCTGCAACGATACTCACCAAATCCTCACTGCAACTCTGGTTCAGCTTCCCCTCTCCGGATCATGTTCTCCAGGGGTCCGATATCGTTGCTCAAGCATCTTCTTCAGCCAATCAAGTCTGAGGCTTCGATAGAGCAAGATATGCGCATGTGATCAGCATATCGAATAGTCTGGAAAGTGTTCATCTTTGGCATTGTATTTGTTTCTACTCTGAGTTGGAGCCTGCATAGTTACGACCGAATGCGCGGAAGACAGAGAAAGGGCCTTATCAGTGTTCAGACCAGCCTGCATAGCCAAACAGAGAATTGCAACGGAAAAGTAGAACTAGCACCTCACGGATGAACTCAAAGTGTGCAGAAAAGATTTGAAAGACGGGGAATGAAGTCGGAAGACCGTCAATGGTGTTCAAGTGGGTGCTATGCCCCTCATTGGATTCAAGAAAATATCAAGGCCATGGCTAAGCATCCAAGCTGTGCAGTACCTCCAGGTAGCAATATCAAGAAAATCATTTCAAGGCTTTTCACGCATACCTCGTGAAATCTAACGAAACGCCGCTAATGCAGAAGAGCCCTTGCTGGCCGTGAGGCCAGCCGTGAGACTAACAAGAACAACTACCGGCAATATGCCAATGGCAGGTGTTCTGGCGGGGAAATCCACAATGTCCATGCAGATGAGGAATAACAAAGGAAAGGGAGAGCACCTTGAACCAGAGAAGCTCTCGCGAAGAGAAAGGCTGAAGTCAACGTGCCCTCACGCCAGGGCTCTAAACGGCACCGGCGTTGAAAAGAGCCGATTCTTAAAGGGGGATAGAAGCTTTAGCGGTGGCGTGAGAGACGGGGAAAAGGGTGTGAGAAGGATCCCAAACATCACCAGCGGCGACTACACACATGTTAGAAACCTCACAATCCCGGATCGAGAGAGGGAGCTCCCTGTCCTTACCTGTAAGCCGAATCAACATTCTGTTGGCGGCGGCGTTGCGTCTTAGGCAATGCGAAACGATCTTGCCGTTGATGGACACCGCTGTCGGCAGGAGATCTTTGCCTGGCCGGTCGCCCCAAAAGCTCGGCTTCCAGGGAATTCAAGTCGGATGATCGACTAGAGACCGACGAATTCCTAGATTTTGGCCTCTGATGCCGCTCTTTTGACCGCGACCGAGATGGACGATCCAGAGGGGGAAGAGTAACGTCGTCGTCTTGCACAGCCTGCTCCTCGCCATCCCGGGCTTCCAGCTCGGTGGTAGATTGTGCTTCTGTGCGATTACCAACTGCAGCGCCTGTGCCGTTCGTGAACGATGATGTAGATCTTGATTTCTTGAGCCGGCGTTCATCTTCCGACTCGTCATCTCGGCGCTTGTGCTTTCCGTTGAGCTGAGATACGGCAGGAGTGATGCTGCCAGGGGTCGAAGCGGCGTCTTCATGAACCTGGGGGCGGTGTACATGTTGTTCGCCATCTCCTATTGACGATGCCTCGTCATCCTGAGGCGGCTTCCCACGGTCTCCAGCTTCGTCGCTACCGAAAGAGTGGGTAGACTATAACACAAGCTACTTAGCATACTATTCCACCAAAATTGCTACGAATCCATGGCCGCCGTTGAGAAGATTGTCTACATACCTCATCGGCTGTATGCGATTCATCGTCAGGCCTTCCATCATTAGACTGATCATCCTGGTGCCGGGATTCCTCCATGTCGTTTGACTCGGGAGGAACTTGCTGGAAGCCTGGGTTGGAAGATTGGGACTCGGCACGGGCATTTTGCTCTGGGCCATTTGTTGGCAAAGGGGTACCGCCTTTGGTGCTTTCTGTGTTGACCAAGGCCAATTGCTTCTGTGAGGATCTAGCAGCTGAGCCAGAAGGATTGGAACGATTCGAGCGGTTTGAACGATTTGCCTTATTCTGCGTCTTCTGGTTGGAAGAGCGATGGCGGGAGCCTTGGTCTCTGCGTCTATCACGGTGTTTGCCGTGACGGTCGTGTTTTCGTTTGTTCCTATTGTCAAGATGCCCATCCTGTTGCGCATGAATGCTTCGAGGAGGCTTTGGCGGAAGAGAGTGAACAAGGGCTTGACTCGGCGCGGCTGGAGAATGATGGGTTTGAGCAGCATGCGCCGGCTTGGAAGGGGGACGATGGGGCTGAGCTGCATGCGGAGGCTTGGGGGGAGGATGACTGGGTTGAGCTGCATGCGGAGGCTTGGAGGAAGGATGATAATGCGCAGGCCCGGAGTGAACGGGGTAAGGCACTGGTGCAGGTGCGTACGGTTGCTGCGGGTATGGCGGCGCGTACGCCGCTGGAGGCGGGTAGGAGGGCGTGCTAGACGGCCCAGGAGGCGGGTATGAAGCATAGGGAGGTGGATATGACGCAGGTGGTGCCCCAGGTGGTGCTCCTGGTGCCGATGGGCCTTGAGGATGAGGTGGATAGCCTACTGGTACTGGAGGAGGAGCTGTACCGTAGGGCGGCTGGGCATACTGCGCCGACGGATACTGAGGAGGACCATAGCCGGTTGGGTAGTGCGGACCCGGCTGGTAATGGGGGTAAGGGTTCGGAAACTGTGGCCCTGGCTGCTGATATGATGGTCCAGCTAGGGGCGGATAGGAAGCTGCGCCATGGCCCAGAGACGGCTGAGGAGGTGGTGGAGGGGGAGGGGGAGGAGGCGCATATTTTGTGATGATGGGCCCCCTGTTTGGTCTCTTTTGGTTTCCATGATGCCGGTTGTTCCCTTGGCCGGCATGTCCAGCAGCTGGAGCGTTTCTCCAGGCGTTTGCGAGGCCACTGAAGCACCTCGTGCGTTAGAGAACTGGAAACGAAGACAAGAGGTCCAAGCATCATCGGGGTTGGGGCAGTGAGGATGAAGAGGAGGCATAGGGAAAGAGCTTACGCAGGAGTCTGTCTTATCGGCTCCGGACAAGCAACAGTCCAGTGGCCTCTGTTGCCGCAGTTGTAGCAGGGCGAGTCGTCAGCTGGCCTCGTTTGGCCATTTGAAGACTCGGCCATTCCTCTGGTGGTGTGGAATGGAGGGCGGGAAGTGGTTCGGACTGTGAGGAAGTGAGGAGAAAGGTGGCGCGGGCTGTGGTTGAGGCAGTTGTTCGCTGGTAAGTGAGCGAGGATATGGAAACAAGGGAGGATGACGACTATCACTTTTTCTTCTCAAGTTTCAAGGGCAGTCAGGGAAAAGACGAGCTGAGAAATGAGACAGGGCCCTCGTCGCCTTGAGCGTCAAATCCACATCAGCGCCTCGTCACATTGCACAGGAGGCAGATGAGGATGAGGCCTACCTTTGCTGCTGGATAAGACGGCCTACAGGCGATGAGCCCCCTTTACAAACTGAACTGAACCGAGCTGAACCCCCGCCCCAGGCCGTTTCGATCGATCCGAACCGATGTCTCATGCGCCAGATCGGGAGTCTGGGGATCCTGGACAAGGCGAACGAGGCGAGGGAATTCGTGGATTATGAGCTCTAGAGTGAAGCGCTGGAGCGGCCGGTTCGTCAACTGGGCAAACGGTTTGAGTGCAAGTCGCGTTCGATCAGCTGCCACGTGAGGCTGCGCACAGGCCACCAGAGTGTAGCAGTAGTATGTCTCAGCTGCGCTCCGGGATTTAGCCGTCGCTAAGGTCGCTCGAGATGGACGACGATGAGAGATGATGGTGTGGCTTTTGGTGCGCTCAGCGTTGATTCAAAGGCCGCGGGAGGGCGCGCATGGGTAGAAGACGATATATGTACGTGGCGAGTGAAAGACAGATATCTATCAAAGGGAGCTCTGAGGGCAAAAAGTTGAGAGGGGAGAAGTCAACAGCCACCGTTCTGCGCTATGCGTTTGAAGGCTCCAGCTCTCAGTCGATACATGTACGTTGGGCTCTGTGGCGGTGTGCAGCGTTACTTGCTCGGACAGTGGCTGAAGGTCCCCTTACAGTGTCGGATGCTGAATGTTCGCAAATTCTCACCAGCAGGAGGCGTCTGATTCAGAGCAAGAGCACCTGCAGCTTGTGTGGTTCGTCAAGGTGCTGAACCTTGAATCAAGAGTCGGCTGGACTTGCTCCGGGAGAGGCAGCAGTGGCGGTCAAGTCTCAGGATCGGTTGGTCTGTCGTCGTGTGTCGGCTAGAGGCTTGTGGCTGGAGTTGCTGGAGTTGCACAAGGTCCGTCGGCCTGCATCGCACGAATCGCCAGTGCTACGAAACGAGGCGGCCGTCTTGGTTTAGGCGAGAGACATGGCGGGACTCTATATGGGAAGATGCTTGTAGATAGATTAAGAAGAGATGGCGAAATGGGCAGTTGAGTGTGCTGGTATCCTTTATGAGTTGTACGGAGATGACGAGGTGTCTCAGCTGTAACTTGCAGGTGTCCCTTGCGCCATGAGTGTCTGCCGCGCTCCAGTCTTTCGATGATTACCTGGTAATAAGGCAATTTGACACTTAAAGGTACTTATAGGTACCACACCCGACACGAGGCACACGATAAGATGCCTGACTGTCTCTTCCAAGATTCGCCCGATTCTCAAGTACCGTACCGTAACGACTCAACTTCCATGATATCCACCTGCAGTTGTTCCCAGCATGAACTTAGGTACCTATACTAGGTAGTAGTAGGTACAGAACGGTGTTGGCGCGCTAGCGGCGGGAGCAGCGCCAACCCACGCTGCCGGGCCCTGTAACGATGCCCTGCCCACCTCGCTATCTGGCCAGCAACTCGAGGCCCTGATGCAATTTCTCAGCAACTGAGGCTAAGGTACCTAGACGAGTTTTAGCGGATCCCCAGAAACCTGCACTCCGTCGCCTTGCCGCGAACGAGTCCCGTTCAGGTCCAGCCAGGCTGCTTTGTGGCCACATTCACATCGCCATCGACATCAAGTCGCCGCCCTCGGAGTCTTTTCTTCTTCTTCTTTTCTCCCCTTCTATTCTCCCGTCCCTCGTCTCGGGCTGGAGGCTTGAGGCTCGTTGCATGTGAGAGGACAAAAGACCAGCGGAATTCAAAGGCCATCGGGGCCCCTCGACCATGTTGGTGCATCCAGCCACGGCCCCTCCAAACACCATTGCCCGCAGACTCTTACCTGGATGAACCTGTCCATGGACGTGCAGCCTGTGCAACCATCCGCTTCATCATAACTACTATCCCAGCAGAGAGACTTTGCGCTCTGTAGGGGAGCGCCATGCCGTCGCTACCAGGTGAGTCACTGCTTGTCTTGGAAGGGCATATGTGGGAAGAGGAAGAGCAGGAGGAGGGGGGGCGAGGGTAGGACAAGAGGACGACACCAAAGAGCGTCGATCAACTTGAGCAGCCAGACATCCAGACAGCCAGACTAATACAATCTCAGCCTCCGTCGATCTCGACGAGTGCATCTCGCGCCTCTACAAGAAAGAGCTCCTGGCCGAATCCGTCATCGAGGCCGTCTGCGCCAAAACCAAGGAGCTGCTCATGCGCGAGAGCAACGTGGTCCACGTCAAGGCGCCCATCACCGTCGTCGGCGACATCCACGGCCAGTTCTACGACCTCATTGAGATATTCCGAATCGGCGGCTACTGCCCAGACACAAACTACCTCTTCCTAGGTCCGTCTTTTTCTCTCTCTCTGTGTGTGTGTGGCTATACCAGCAGTAGACTCTGTGGTGTTGGCGGAGGACTTGTTGTATATGTGGACGCTGTGGCGCTGACAACATCTTGGACAGGCGACTATGTCGATCGTGGCATGTTCAGCGTCGAGACGATATCGCTGCTCGTCTGCCTCAAGCTGCGATACCCCGAGCGCGTGCACCTGATCCGCGGCAACCACGAGTCGCGCGGCGTCACGCAGTCGTACGGCTTCTACACCGAGTGCTCCCGCAAGTACGGCAACGCCAACGTGTGGCACTACTTTACCGACATGTTTGACTTTTTGACCCTGAGCGTCGTCATCGACAACCAAATCTTTTGCGTCCACGGAGGTAGGTCCACTCACCTTCCCAACGGTTTCTACCTTGATTCAGTAACTCACCATGTCCGGAATCGCAGGCCTCTCGCCCTCGATCCACTCCATCGACCAAATTAAAATCATAGACCGCTTCCGCGAAATCCCCCACGAAGGCCCCATGGCCGACCTCGTCTGGTCCGACCCCGACCCCGACCGAGACGAGTTCTCCCTCTCCCCGCGCGGCGCGGGCTACACCTTTGGCGCGCAGGTCGTTAAGAAGTTCCTCGCCGTCAACAACATGTCGCACATATTGCGCGCCCACCAGCTCTGCCAAGAGGGCTACCAGGTGCTCTACGACGACCGCTTGAGCACCGTCTGGAGCGCCCCCAACTACTGCTACCGGTGCGGAAACATGGCCAGCGTGCTCGAGGTGAATACGCAGGGCGAGAGGTTCTTCAACGTCTTCGCGGCGGCGCCGGAGAATGACCAGCATAAGGACATGCAGCAGGGCATGGAGAAGACGGCGGACGGAAACTCGTTGCCCGACTACTTTTTATAACAGAGCGCGGAAAGAGAAAGAGAGGAAAGGGGAGCAGGGGTGGAAAAAGAGGCAATGTTGGATTATATACACTGTCACCATACATACACTTGTACCAGTATCGCAATGTACCATGCGAGCAGTTTGCACAGAGCTTGATCATCATATAGAATTGCGAGCCTAGTATGCTAGAACGTTTCATAATATATCGTTCTACGTCCATCCGTACCCGTATCATTGCTCAAATTTCATTGCTACGTTTTGCTTCCATCAAGGGAGAACCACGCTGTTTTGTATCCCACAATTCGAGGTTGTATTTTTTCATTTATAAATCAGATATCTTCATATCTCATAATATGGCAAGAGGTAGGTAAAGGGGGGGGGAGTGGCATAATAAGACGAATGCAAAAAGAGAAGAGGGGGGGAAACAACAAAGAGCAAACATAAAAAGGGGGGGTGGGAACACCGCTTGCAGACGCTTTTCGCAATTGCAAAAATCAATTGCCCGCTACCAATCCTTGCTGATATCGAAACTCCACTCAAACTCGAGGTGCTTCTTCTTGTCGTCGTCGACGAAGCTCGAGATGGCGTTGTAGTGGCCTCGGGCGAGCATGCCGGAGGGAGCCTCCTCCTCTTGGACTGCGGGGTTGTCAGCCAAAAGCTCATCAATCTTCCACCTAATCTGCCATGGCTTTGAAATTGGATACTTACACTTTTTGACATAGGTGGGCTGCTTGTCGGTGTTGGGAGCATAGCTTCCCTATATAAATCGTTAGTAACTCTTTGATCCCCCCTAACGATTTGACGCCGCCGCTGGAAGCTTGGTTCCACTAACAATCATCTCCGAGTCCTTGGAGACGCGGACGCCCTTGCGCTTGACGACCTGGACGTAGTGCAGGCCGCTGAGGATCTCGTGCTGGACCTTGAACTCGGCGCTCATGGTGAACTTGGCGCCCTCCTTGATCTTGAAGGGCTTGTCCTTGAGCGTGGTCTCGCTGCCGGCGGAGGAGAGGTCGATGGTGACGGGGTCGCGGCCGGGGGAGTCCATGGTCAGGGACAGGATGATGCAGACGCGGGGGTCGTTGGGGTCGGAGAGGTCCTTGCCGCCGCCGAGGCCGAGGGACTGCTTGTACCGCTGGAGAGACTCATCTCCGGCGTCTGGGTTGGTGTATAAGGGTTAGCAAGCTGAAAGGAAATTGCCTCTGAGGAAAATGAATGGCAGAGAATCGAAGAAGAGGGAGAGACGTGAAGGCGCTCTTGGTTAAGCAGCTAATGTTTCGCCCGGACAGGAGGTCCCCCGCTCGTGAAGCACATCTCCGCGTTGAAACGGATATCCTGAGCGGGTTGCTTCACGCCCATCGTTTACAAGACAAGCTGATCCAGAGCAACCCCCTTCACGTCTTCCGCCCTTGTTCCTCGTCATCGCAGCTTCTGGTAGCAGCTGTCAAGCACCTACCCATCTGGTGGTACTCGGCTATGCTCTGCTTGGGCTGAGAGAGCTTGTAGCCCTGAGTCTCCTCGGGCATGGTTTCGTCATCGTGGGAGGCCATTTTGATGTGATGAAGAGGCTAGAAGATGCGCCGGACAAGAGAGCAAGAGAAGAAGAAGAAGACGACAAAGGAGAAGGCGAAAAGAAAAGGGAAGCCAAAGGAAAGTTTTTGGACGATGCTATTCACAGCTTGCTGATCGGGATGGGGTTCGAAAGGAGAGGAAAGCAATGGCCCAGCCAAGTCGGTCAAGTGGTCAGAAGGCGGGATAGAGGCAGAACCAAGCCATGGAGGGGCAGCGGGCTGCTGGTGGGGGGCGGGCGGAGGGCGGGCGGTGATTGGGCAGAGGGGGCACGGCTGCTGGGAGTGGTCCAGGCTTCAGGGGAGGGTTGCGGTGCAAAGGGGTAAAAGAGGAGGACAAGGACGGGACGACGCCATGCCATGCCTTGCCATGCCCTGGACTGCACTGCGCTGCACTGCACCACTTCCAATCCGGGCAGTCCAGGTCCTGGCTTGGCTTGGCTGTCAAAGGTCAAGTGATGGGGGGCGCCCATTGGATCTGGTGCTGTTATTGCCAGGCACTAGCGCGGTACACCAAGGGCACGCTATTGCGCCTGTGAAATTAGCGGTACCAGAGTAACGGCCCGTGTTAGTCGCAGGCCGGACTGTTTACCTGGCCTTGGTTGCCGGGCAGTGGGAGGGGGGGCTTTGGACAGATGGACAGACAATACGGATGCTTGATGAGGGGGGCTAGCAAACATTGTTGAGACTGCTCAAGCTGTGGAGGATCAATGCCTTTCTTCCATGGTTTTCCGCTTGTGCTCAGACAACGTCAAAGTGACACATGAGGTACTATATAAGGTACGGTAGGTACAGCACCTGAACCGATGCCAAGTCGAGTACGGAGTAATACAGCCAGCGCCGACCGTCAGAGGGTACGGCTGCTGAGTCATGCTGCGACATGGCAGAGGCTCTGCTCGTTCATGTCAACAGAGACATACGAGTATCTCTCCTCTTTGTCAAAGAGTTGGACGAACAGGGGGGCCTGTTTGGATTCGGCAGCTGCTCGACTTAGCGGCAACCACAAGAGCTGCAACGGGTTCGTTCTGCCCATTCTGTTGGGCGCTGGCCGGGACGCTACCGTGTTCTCAGCGAGAGGCCCCCATAAATCCCAGGGAACCTGGAACCCTCCAGGACCCCTACACGCACTGCAGCGCCCCCGAGGTACCCGGTACTTACGCCCGTGGCTGCAGCGTGCTTCGGTTGGTCATCCGCCGCCGCCCCTCTGCACCCCAACAGCGCCGTGCGGCACCAAAAGGGCACCGAACCCAGCCCCAAAACGGCACTAGAGCCCACGCACCCTCCCCGGAAACGCGGTACCCTGTACATGCACGCAGCTCACAGTGCCTGTACTCCCGGCTGGCATGCCTTAGCACCAGACCTCAAAGAGCCCACAGGCTGCGGAGAGACCAGGCCGCATTCAGGCGCTCCCAGCAATTTGCGCGACTCTTCGCCCACCATCGCGAGGGAATCTTTCTCTTCACCCTTTTCCATCTGCTAGTAGCCCTCAAATCTCAGCAAACCAACCCCCCCAGGCCTCTCGTCTGCTGCGACTCGCCCTCGTCAAGGCCCGTCGCTTCAGCCGCGTCCCGGTCGAATCCGCCTCGTCCGTCTGCTTCTGATTGAACCCGGGTGCATTGGCCCTGTTTTTTTTTCTCCTTCGCCCGACGCGCCGCCGTTGCCCAGGACGAGATCTCGGGAACCGTCGCTTTTTTGGGACTTTTTGTACGTTGCACATCGTTCGTGCGCGCATCTCCGTCGCAAGGCTGCGCTCCAAGGCTGACCGCAGGGCTTCAATCGCAGGCACGGTCTGACTCTCGCGCGCCTCGTTGTCTCGCATTGCACTCTTAGTCGCCTGTAAGGAGTTGCTTCTGTAGCTTCGACCGCCTCCCTCGACACGCATTTGCGCCGCGACAACCGTTACGCCGTATCCGTGGCCTTGCAGAAACACACAATGGCCCCCGCCGCAGGAAGAACGCTGCCGGCCAAGCGGAATCCGCTGCTGGTTGAGGATATTCCTCCTTGTAAGTTGGCTGTTTTTCCCCCTGCGCTCCGTTTGTGTGTAAACAAAACGTCATCTCCCACCGTCTTGTTCCGCGCGCTGGCTCGTCGCCAATTGCGCCCCTCCCTCGAACCTCGGAATCCAAGCACTGACGCGCGACGATGCAGACTCGGAGCTGGTGTCGCGCCGTCGCCTCGGCCAGACCAAGCTGACGCCCAAGATGGTCGGCAACGAGGAGGCCGAGGCCGACGCCCTGGGCTTCTTCGACTACGCACACCTGCGCGCGCCGTTGCCCAAGGGCATCGTGTCCGGCATCTTCAAGTCCAGCCCCAACAGCTACTTCTTGATGCGCCGCAGCTTTGACGGCTACATCTCCGCGACGGGCATGTTCAAGGCCACGTTCCCCTACGCCTCGGCCGCTGAGGAGGAGGCCGAGCGCAGGTTCATCAAAGCCCAGCCCACCACGAGCCCCGAGGAGACGGCCGGCAACATCTGGATCCCCCCGGAAGCGGCCCTCGCCCTGGCGGAGGAGTACAACATCAGCATCTGGATCCAGGCCCTGCTCGACCCCTCCAAAATCTCCACCACCCAGCCCGCGGATGCCTCGCCCAAGCACATCACCGCGCCGCCCAAGTTCGACCGCCTCAAGGCCGGTCCGCAGTTGTCGCCTTCGGCCACCACGACCACCCGCAGCGGCCGCAGCCACCGCTCGGCCAGCCCTACCAAGAGCGCCACGAGGCGCGCACCTGCGTCTCCCCGAAAGCGCACCACCAGATCCAAGGCTGAGGCTGCAGAGACGACGCCGAGTGCCGATGCAGAAACCACCGGCGAGACCAAGGGAGAGACGGCGGAGGGTCTCTTGACATCGTCGGAATTTGAGCCCGCCATTACTCTGGAGAGCAGGGACAAGGCTGAGGGTTCCAGCAAGGCAGATGTCCCACCTCACATCCCTTTCACGGCGGGCCAGCCGCCCTCCGCCGAGGAGATTGCCGAGATGATGGACGCCGCCAAGTCCATGGTGCAGAAGGACAAGGAGGCGGCGGAAAAGGCCGACGAGGATGCCGAGGCAGAGACTACTCAGGGCAAGGCCCCTGCGAAGAGCAAACGGAAGGCCGCCGACGACGAGGACGACGAGGCTGCCGAGGGAGACGACAAGACCGGCGACGCGCCGCGCTCAAAGAAGGTCAAGACGGAGGTGGAAGTGCGCAAGGGCAGGATACAGAAGAGGGCCCTGTTTGGCATTGGCGCCACAGTCGCAGTCGGGTATGTGTTCTTCCTTTTTCCCTTTTGCGCTTCGATGAAGATGCTGACTGGTTGTTTGCAGAGCACTTGTGCCGTGGCTCGCAAACTTGCTATAAATGATATATCATCGAGGCTGCAGCCGCGTGTCATGTTTTGTGTTGCGTAAAATCTGTTGATCTTTATGGCGGCTGAATGAGGACTGGGATGGCGCGGTTTTTGGCTTTTTTTCTCTCTTGTGTTTCTTCTTCTTGTTTCATTTCCTTGTATTCCTTTTCTTCGCTCTCTACTTCCTTGTTTTCTTTTTCCGTCATCTTTAATCTGTGATTATCTCTTTATTTCCTCTTTTTTTTTTCTTTACAACATAGGGAGGTGGTGAAGCTCCCCACCCGCAAACATGCGTCTTCCCATTCCCATCTTCTCCTCCTCTCTCTTTCTGAGTCGCGTGTGCGAGAGTTCCTTCTCTGTTAGACATACTGGCACCCTTTCCTGATTCTATCTTTCTTTACCACTCTCGCTGCGAACCCGACTTCACCTGTCGCCTATTGGAGTCCTGTGGATGGTTCAGGGATCATTCGTAGCGGGCAGAAGGAGGAGGAGGAGGAGGAGGAGGGGGAGGAGGAGGGAGGAGAGGGTGGTTGGAAGATTGCTTGCTGAATGGCCTTGTGCGGCGTATTCAAGCCTCTGAGCTGTGAGAGAAGAGAGGTTGGACGATTGGATTTGTCTTGTTGCCTGAAACAACCTCGGACGGGTTTTTTTTGGTCGAAGGCGGTGGGCGATACCTTACCCGGAGTTTCATGGAGGGTATGTGGGAGAAGAGAAGAGGGATGGTATGAGATGCTGGATGGCGGTGATGGGGGTTGTGTAATACGGAATTCGAATGACAGTGAAAGAATCCCACTTCAAGTGCTGCGCTTTGTGTGACGGCGTGTGCTACCCTGGGGTAAATATGTACAAGGCGGCGGTGGCCTGCTATCCGATTGCAGATTCCATGGATGCCAGCTCTGTAGGTGACTGGCATGATGATTTGCTGCATTCAATCATCTCGAAATAGTTGCGATTGTCGGGTAGTTGAAGCATTGTCAGTTGACAGATGTTATGGATTCAACTTGAAGTCAGCGGGGACATTACGCTTTGCCCCAGCTCATGCAAACACACAGCCGAAAACATCTCCTTTTCAGAGTGAATTGTCCAATGCCGCAGTAAATTCAATACAACACGATGAACACGCGCTCAGTAATGCTCAATTGCAATTCGACGCCTGTGCATCGTGATACCTACACAACTCCAGGTGTTGTGGCTTGTCCACCGCCTCACAAACAACATGAAGCAGCTTCAAGCTCTCCCCACCCCATCTCCGGTGTCGCAATTCTACGAGTACCTGCGGACGACATGCACCCCAGCAGCAACGGTCACCTGCGCACCCCGTACCACCCCAGTACTGCTACTACTACTTGCTTGTAGGCACGAAATGCTGGGCTTCCAATGAGGAGCCTCCTCCCCCGGAAATGGCTGGCACCGGCAATGTGCGGCTTTCGCGGGGAAGAGAATCCACCCCCACACTTGGCAACCGTCTTCGGGTCTCGGATGGCCTCGGCCATTCGTATGTGTGTGTGTGTGTGTTGTCTTACCGGTAAACAGCTTCCGTCTCCCTTTTCTTTCTCTCATTTCGTTTGTTCTCTTTCTATGATTTGCGGTTGAAATCGACTTTGTTGCACCTGGGGAGATTGTTTAGATTGTTCATGATGAGAGTACCAGTCACACGGTTAGGAAGCCTGGTGCTCCGGAGAGGCTTCGCCAGCACGCAGAGGCGGCTCGACAACTATGCCTTTATCGGTCTCGGCCAGATGGTAAAGCTCTCATCTCATCTCTCACGTCGCCATGATTGAAAAAAGTGTTACTTGTGTCTGACAGTGGCTATAGGGCTACCAAATGGCAAAGAACCTGCAGTCCAAGCTCAAGCCGTCAGACAAGGTGGCCATCTTTGACGTCAACCCGACGGCCATGGAGGGCCTTTCGGCCGAGATGAAGGCCAAGTCTGACGGCGCTGCGGTGGAAATTGCGGCGAGTGCGCATGATGCTTCAAAGGACGCTGTAAGTGATGAAGGAGCTATGACTGTCGTAACCGCGTCTCCCAACCCCGATTACCGGATTGTCATCTTGGGAATCTTCGTGATGTCGAGCTTCAGTTGGGACGGTGGCATGGCTATATGATATAGGAGGCCGATCTTCAAGATGGCATCCCTTACACACTTACCATTCATACTTACATGCTTTAGCTGAGACGCAATTCTGATAACGTGTACAGGACACCGTCGTCACCTGCCTACCAGAACCGCACCACGTCCGCGGCGTCTACGAATCCATCCTGACAGACATCCTCCCCAAAAAGGACCGCATCTTCATCGACTGCTCAACAATCGACCCGACCACCTCACGCCAAGTCGCCCAGTCCGTGTCCGACGCCGGGCAGGGCACCTTCGTCGACGCCCCCATGTCCGGCGGCGTCGTGGGCGCCACCGCCGGCACGCTGACCTTCATGCTGGGCGCCGACGCCCACATCCTCCCGCGCGTCGAGCCGACGCTGCTGCTCATGGGCCGCAAGGTGCTGCACTGCGGCGCCCAGGGGGCGGGGCTGTCGGCCAAGCTGGCCAACAACTACCTGCTGGCGCTCAACAACATCGCGACGGCCGAGGCCATGAACCTGGGCATCCGGTGCGGCCTGGACCCCAAGACGCTGGCCAACGTGCTCAACGTGAGCACCGGCCGGTGCTGGCCCAGCGAGGTCAACAACCCCGTCAAGGGCGTCGTCGAGACGGCGCCGGCGAGCCGCGACTACCGCGGCGGCTTCGGCATCTCGCTCATGCGCAAGGACCTGAGGCTGGCGCTGGTGGCGGCCGAGGCGGCGCAGGCGAGGACGGAGCTGGGCAAGCTGGCGTTTGACATGTACGACAAGGCGGCGCAGAGGGAGGACTGCAAGGATCGGGACTTTTCGGTTGTGTATAGATTTCTTGGGGGGAAAGAGGAGTAAGACGCACCACGATAGAACTACCTAATAAATCTGATTGCTTCTGGTGGGCTTGGTCTTATACTTGAAGGCTGTGGTGGAATGAGTTGTCGAGTTAAGCACAGATTGGCCAGTGCTTTCATCTCATTGACCGGGTGAATGTCTCGGTCGGACTTGACAGTTGTAAAGCTGCATGAGAGGTAGGTAGTTGATGGCTTGCTAGATGTCGGCGCCGAGAGAATCGTAACGTTGTTGCGTTGCTGTTATTGAATCGTCAGCCGATGGATTGATTGGACTTTCCGACAAATTGACAACAGCGTCTAAGATCAAAAGCACAAGTCAAAGCCGCATTAGACACTGCCATCAATATGAACATGCGAATCCCATCACTCTCTCGTATTCTTGGGAGAGCATCGTAGTTGTACATGTATAGAAGAATTACGGCTACGCGTATGACTCGCCCGTATTCACACAAGAGGTACGCGTACTCGCTCCCATCGACACAAAGTCCGTACGACAACGGCCGGCTTAGTCACCTCGCACCCACTACGTACTTTTACTACTTATCACAGGTGGGCTGTAGAGTTACGCCGAACCCGAACTCCTGCGGATTTCCCCCAAACCCTCGCAAAAGCCCAGATTCATGCAGCAACCGACAATCTTGTTGCTGCTAAACATGACACGGAGGCGGCTCGTTTTACGAAGTACGCGTATTCCCTCGCCCTCTTTGCGCCCTGTGGATTCGCTGATGAGCTCGGAGGTGGCGTTTGCTTTTCTCTGCGGCACGGCAGCGGCTGCGGCTTGGTTGGCTGTTGAGGCCAGTTGGACTGGATGGTGGCATGGGGATTAGGCATCACCCGACAAGATGCTGACAGGGACGGGCGAGTCTTCTGTTATTACAGAGAACTAACTGGTGGATGATGACGTTGGGTGTTATGTTGTGAAGAGATATCGTCACGACAGCATCGGAGGCAATCTGACGATCGGAGCACAATCTCGATGCGACTGCAGAACACAGACACCCTCCAGCAACCGAGCCGGTGATATGTATCTTCAAGCAGATAAGGTTATGCGGCTCTTTCCACACCCCCGTCGGAACAAGGCAACGCTGCCATGCGGATGAAACAAACGAAGACGAGACGAACAGACAGACTGGGCTGTGCAAAGGAGGGGAGGGAGGAGAAGCAGCAGCAAATGGGCGAATTGCATGTCGAGTTTTAGCGTTGGGGCCAAAGAGGCTGACGATTTGCAGCCCGCAAGGATATGAATCGAAGGAGTTGCCAAGCATTTTTCGCCCTTTCGCGCCTTGTTTAGCTTGCTTGGATGGAGTCGGGTCGTTTTTTTGCTGGCTGGGATTTCGGGGTTTTGCTGAACTCCATGTTTGGGATGCGACTTATATTCGCTGAAGCCCGTCCCTCCCACCCTCCCAGTCGTTTGCGTCTTTCCATTTTCTCTCTTTTCTTCTTGTACTTCAGCCTTGTCGTTTAAGGATTGTGTTTGCTGTTTGTCAGCCTTTCAGTTTCTTGACAGCAACTGTTGCTTGCTTGGTGCACAACAGTCTTGCAACTTACCAGGACCAAAGCTTCCGGACTCCGAAACCCGACGACGAGATCCATCCAGGGGCGAAAGGATTCCAGGCACCGTGTGTGAAGTAGGACAGGCGAAAACACATCGTGTTACGTTACTAAGCCATACGCTTACAACCATCTGAAAAGAGGTCCTTCGGTTTGGTATAACGAGAGAGAGAGAGAGAGGGTGAGGAGGCAATTCATCACATCCGACGCAATGCCGCAAGATTGCACAGAGGTGTCGGCCCTGTGCCCGGTCGAGGCCACGGTCCTGGGCTACTATCCGAATCTCGGGTCCGGCATCTTCTTTGCCATTGTCTTTGGCCTCTTGACCGTGGCTTCTCTGGTGCTGGGAATATGGAAGAAGACGTACACATATGCCATTGGCCTTTCCATTGGCCTATTGCTGGAAATGCTCGGTATGTACCTACTCATCAGATATCCACATCTCATCTCCATCTCATCTCCATCTCACGTCTGCACCTCATACATGACCTCTGTATATATATGCTTACACCTTCATAGGCTACATCGGCCGTATCCAGCTGCACTCCAACCCCTGGAACGACGGCGCCTTTCAGCTCCAGATCTGCGCCATCATCCTCGCGCCCACCTTCATCTGCGTCTCCATCTACCTCACCCTCAAGCACGTCGCCATCAACATCAACGCCTCCGCCTCCCGCATCCAGCCCGGCTGGTACCCCATCATCTTCTTGCCCGCCGACCTCAGCTGCCTCATCGTCCAGGCCATCGGCGGCGGCATCGCGGCCGCGGGCGGCAAGACCAACCGCAAGCTGCAGGAGAGCGGCAACAAGGCCATCATTGCCGGCGTCTCGCTGCAGGTCGTCGTGCTCGTCGTCTTTGGCGCCCTCAGCGTGGACTACTATGTCCGGGTGAGGAGGTGGCTGGCTCGTCCCGAGGCGCAGAGCACGGATGGCTGGAGGCTCTGGCATGATGGCAACTTTAAAAAGTTTCGCTATGCCATTTCCACTGCTTTCTTTGTCATTCTGATCCGATGCATCTACCGGTATGTGTTTTTCCCCCCTCTCTCTCATCTAAGCCCCCCTTTCAAACTCACCCCTTTCCCTTTTATTTTCTCACCCCTCTCAACCAACCACAAAAAGAGAAGTATCGTGGGTATATGAAAATAAAGCTGATAAATTTGGGTAAAAGTATTGCTGAAATGGCCGGCGGCTGGGGCAACGAAATCATGCAAGACCAGGCCAGCTTCCTCGTCCTCGACAGCACCCTCGTCTTCGTCGCCAGCTTCCTGCTTACTGTCTTCCACCCGGGCATCTTCTTCCCCGCCATGCGCCGGGACCGCCAGAAGATCCGGGCTGCTGGGGCCGCTGCCGACGGGCATGGTGAGGAGATTAAGATGCAGGGGGGGTCGTCTACTGAGGGCATTCGGACGGATGCTTGATTCTTAAGGAAGAAGTTGAGCTTGTTTTTTTTTTTTTTTGTCCTTGTATGAAGAAGATGGATGTGAAGACGATGGTGACGAGCTGTGAAAAGAATGTATAAGAAGTGGAAGAAGAGAAAAGAAATGAGAAGCAGAGAGATGTTGAACGGATTTATACATGTCGGCCTTGTTGCATCTTGGTTTAGATGGCGTTACAGATTTTTGATCCCTTTCTTACCCTCCTACAGCTCTGGCTACGCGAAAGGAAAATGAGAGAGAAACCAGATAGGACATGTCTGATTGAGTGGCCAGCAGATGATTAGATTCCGCCTTATGATAGATTATATTCAACTTGTATCACACATTGAATTAGCGAGAGTAAACGACAAGTCTCGCTTACAATGACTTTTGTATCCATCTATGTGCAAAATGGTCCTCCCTCCTAAACATCATGACTTGACCAATCTATCCGTCTCGCCGTCATCGTCACTATCGTCCTCTTCCTCATCATCCTCGTCACTACTATCATCATCATCCTCCTCCACCTCCTCGCTCTCTTCCTCTTCACTTGATTCTTCCTCCTCAGACTCTTCCTCCTCTTCCTCCTCGGCAAGCCAGTCATCCAGCGTCTTCGTCCTCAAACCCTCTCCAAGCCCGTTCGACTTGCAAGCAGGCGCCGACCGCACCACCTCATCGAGCTTATCAGCCGCCGCCGCCACCGCCGGCCTATCGCTATTGTACCGTGCCGTCGCAGCGTCTCTTTCCGGCTCGCGCAGCCGCGGATCAGGCTCCTTGCCGGGCTCGACCCAGTCAGGCAGCGTCTCGTACCCCCTAAGACCGTGCAGGCCGCCGCCCCCAGCGAGGACCAGCGTCGATGAGCCCAAGAGGAGCCCCTTTCTCGACTCAGAGGGGCTCGGGGCTTGGGGAGCCGGCTTCGGCGCGAGGAGCATCAGCGTGGCGAGCTGCGGCACGGAGAGCACGGCACGATACATGCGGGCTCGGTCTCGCAGATCAAAGGACACGTCGTACCGCACCAGAAGCAGCACGTAGTCCCATAATCTTTCAATGGGGTGCTTCTCTTCTTCCACGGGAGGGTCCTCCTCTCCTGCTCTGTTTTTCTCGGCTTCGCTCTTGCGGTTCAGGTGATGTAGGTAGACTTTTGCTCCGAGAAGCAGTATCTGGCGCTTCGCCGCCTCAGATTCGCTCGCAAAGTCCTTGAGAAGAATTCGAAAGACGTCTGGGGCAATGTTGTCCTCGCCGTTCAGGCCGGAAAACTCGCCCACCAACCAGATGATTGTTGCTCTCGCCTGAGGGTCAGTCGCCGAGTCGAGGTTCTTGGCCAGGCGCACGACTGTCCCTGCGTGAGCCTCTGCGTCTTGCTGGATGAGATGCCGGATGACCGTCAGCGACTCCGCAGCCAGCGTTCCGTCCAGGCTTGTGATCTGGCTCAGGAGCAGTTTCAGACACCTGGGAGCCGTGGCGGCATCTGCTTGCGCGCAACGGCCAATGGCTCGGACAGCTTCGCGCACAAGAGCCTTGTTGGAGCCCTGAGAAAAGTGTTCCAGCTCTTTCAGAATGAGGCTCTTGACGTGTACTGGGCTGTGGGGGAAGATGAGCGCCAGCACTTCGAGCTTGAGCTCCCAGATGGGCGCGGTATCCGTTGCCCTGACCAAGAAATGGCTTGCATACTTGACAAAGTCGAGCGGACGCACAAGACACACAGACACAATGTTATACAATGCAATCTGCTGAATGTCCTGAGCCCCTCTCAGCAGGGCGACCAAAGGCCCTATGGCGAGCTTGACGTATTCTGGTGTGCCGACGTCCATATAACACCTTGTGACGGCCACGACGACGCCCGAATTTCGACTTTGCAGAAGAGGTTTGATTCCGTTCAATAGCAGAGTCAGGTCAGGATCCAGCGAGGTCGACTGCGTGGTGGGTTTGGATGCGCTTGCTTCTCCGTAAAAGTCATCCATGGTGGTCTGCGTCTGCGTCTGCGCCTGAGGGGCGTCATTTTCTGGGATTGGCTGAGTTCGCCGTGGGAAGCATCTCCGGGCATAGTATGTCATCAGCTTGAGCGTAGCAAGCTGGCTCCATTCGTCCATGTCCACGACCTTCTTAATCAGGCCACGGTAATGCTTGTGTATCATATCGATCCTATCGGGGCAAACCTCCACAAACGCCGACACAGCCGCGCCAGCGACATAGTACTGCTTATCACCCAGCAGCGTGGCCAGATATTCCAGCAGTTGAGGCGACTGGCTCGGATCCAGGCGATAGCACTTGGGAATCGCAAGAGCCGCGGCCTTGCGCACAAGGGGGCTCATGTCCGCGACGCCCTTCTTGATGGCCAGCGACACAATCTGGCTGATGACGGGCACGCGGATGCCCGACATGGTCTTGAGCGCAAGGGCTCGGACTTGGGGGTTCGTATCGGATAGCGACTTTTGGATGGTGTTGATGGAGAGCAGGGCGAGGTCGGGCTCCTGCTCGGCATGGTGGATGAGGTAGATGTAGACGAGCTTCTTGATTTCAAAGTTGGGCGAGGCGACGTTTTTGACGACGGAGGAGAAGAAGGGGAGCGTCTTGTGGTTGCGGTACATCATCTGCAGCAGCGAGAGCATGTTAGAGTCGGTGGGATACGTGCAAGGGCATCGCAAGGCGGAAGAAACGCACAGCTATGACACGCCGCAGCCCCTCGAGCACCTCGCGGTCGTTGCGGCTGTCGAGCAGCTTGCGCATCTGGGTGCGGTCCAGCGTCTTGGAGGTTGTGCGGACGCCGCGCGTCGCCTGGGCGGCATCGAGGGTGAGTTCTCTGGCTGGAGTTGGGCGCAAAAGCAGGTGAAGTCAGCTTCGTCGGATCAAGCAGAAACGCGGGGGCTTTTGCGGTTGCTCACCAGCCTCCAGGAGGCCAGAGATTCTCGATATTGACTCCATTGTCTCTGGCCGGGCCTGGCGAGAGGGAAAAGGCCCTTTTGGGGGAGCTTGTTGCTGAAGCTGTGAGGAGAGAGCTGGCGAGTTGGTGGTGTATCTACTAGGTATTATGGGCTCTGTGCTGTTTGGCGTGCAGAGGAGATGACGTGCGAAGTTGGTGGTGCAACAGCTTCAGTCCAGTTGCGGTCTAGTGTCACCTCACTACAACTCCAAGCTGCTGGTTCTGTTTTAGAGGATTGCATTGTCTGGCAAATTTGGGCAGTCTTTACAATAATAGACTGAATCGCCAACTCAGATCAAAAGATACCCAGTATCATCATAGCTTTCAAGTTTGTCGTTACTCAAATTGCATTAAGACGCTTGTATAGCTCCCGGCTACACCTCCAGAGTGATGAAATCCTGCACATCACCATAGCGGCCAAGCATGTCACCATATAAGATCGAACACTTACACGACAACAATCCCATAACGCCTCTCACTTTCTCGATAAACACAAATTTGTTCATAAAATGTCACCTCCAAATCCCATCGTTCTCTCACCAGCTACACCCTCCGAACTCCTCGAGTACATCATCGACCACCACAGATACCCAACCACGATCCTCATCGGCTGGCCCAAAGAGACATTCATCCAGGGCCTCGTCGAAGACATTACACTCCAGCATCTCTCCTTGCATCAAGAAACAGCCGAGCAAAATCAACAAGACGAAAAAGAACAAGCTGTCAATGTTTCATCCTCTCTCCATCCCCTCGAACGCAAATCCCTCCTCCAAACCGCCGTCTCGCGCCACATCCGTCTGCTCTTCGTCCCTAGCATGACGCATCTCCGTGCTTACCTCGGCACATTTTCCGCCTCAGACTCCCAGATCCCGCCTCCTCCATTGTCAGACCTGGACATTTCCGACTCACGATGTCCTACGGGCACACCCTTGTTGCTCGTATATGGCTTCCTCGAGCTTCACCGTGGTGGAACCGAGTGGTCTGCCCAGGGCATTGGCACCACGGCTGCGTACTTTATCGAGGCGGCTGCGAGGAACTCCTTCAGAGCTGCCATGGCTGAGCCTAGAGGGGCAAAGGGGCTTACGACATTGGATGAGTTTTTGGACGAAAAGATACCCATTCTGAGTGGCAGTGGTGTGAATAGCAATGGTGAATACAGTGGGCGGACGGTTCCCATAAGAGCGGTGCTCAGTCGCTGGTTCAAATTTACAAGGCAAGAAGATAGAGAAAGGGCACAAACATCTTGAGCAAAATCAGATAGTATTCATTTCCCTTAGCCCATAGTCATGCTCGAGCAATAACCATCCCACATTGAAAACAAAGATGCATGTCAAGCCTCCCAACCCAACGCCAATCCGTGGTATCTCCATCAATATGCGCCTGGCAGCCTTTTCCCATGTCGTTTCCACATTCCCGATATATACAGCCGAATAGTACCTTGTAAGCAAAGTATTAGATGAGTCTCCGGTTAGCCAATTGTTTGCTCCATCTCGGTAATGTATAGCTTGATGTGAGCCTCCATTTTGAGGTACTCGTCGTACGCCGCGTGGACTTCGTTCTCAATGTTTTCCTTCAGATCAAGCATCTGCTAGCCGTTAGTAGCCCTTCATGTACCGACACGGGCCAAGACTCATGCATACCTTCTTCTCCGTTTGCTCAATCCGCACTCGTCGAATCTCCATCTCCTTGCCCTTGTCCGTAAGCTCCTCCGTCAGCCGCTTGTGCGTTGCCCGCAGCTCGTGCATCTTCTCCTTGGCGTCTTGCGCCTTTTGGTTGCTCTGCTCGCGAAGCTTCTCCGTCCGCTCCATCCATTTGGCAAGCTGTCGTTTGAGCATCTGCTCGGCTCGTTCCACCTCGCGAGCATTGTTTCCTCTTTCTGAGAGCGCCTCGCGCTGCTTCGTGTTCTTGGCCATTTCTTCCTCCTCTTTCGCCATCTCCATCGCAATTTCTTCCAGGACCTTGATGCAGGATGTGACGTCCGTTGCGACAACGGCAAACGAATCTGCCGACGTCTGAAGCGCTCGTGCCCGCCGGTCCAGAGAATCGATGCGCGTCTTGTCATTGTTGAGAATGTCCCGTAACTCGGTCAGATTCTGCTGGAGGGCCGATGGGCTCTGAAGCACATATGGCCGCAGCTTGGCGCTCTCCTGCTTGAGTGTGATCTTCTCCTGCGTCTTTTGCTCCAGCACGGTCGTCAACTCGCCCTTCTTCTGCTTCGCCTCCTCCAGTCGCGCCGCCACCTTTTCTTGGTTCCGCCTGAGCTCGAGCAGTCGTCGTTTAAGCTCTTCGTTTCGCATCGTCTTTTCTCGCACCTGTGCCTCCATCGCTTGCCGGTTGTTCTTCATATCCTCCAGCCTGCTCTCGTGCTCCTGATTCTCCGCGTACAGCGTCTGGATCCGCGTCTTGATCGACTCAGCCTTGTTATAGTGCTCGTCAATGACGCTCGTCTGGGATTCTCGGAACCGCACAAAGTTGATCAGATAGCTAAAGATCTTGACCAGGCGCTCGTATGTCGGCTTGTAGAGGTCGTTGAAGCTGAAGTCCTGGATGCCGCATTCCACCAACAACCGCCTCAGCGATACGAAGAAGCCCATCAGGTTGCGCGTGTCGGGCGAAATGACGTCTGCAAACTCGCCGCAAACGTCCTCTGCGGCGGCGCGCATCGCCGGCTCGACCGTCTCGCGCGTCGCATTGAGAAGAAGCTCGGCAAACCACTCGAATATTTGCTGGACGTGCGCGGGATTCGGCTTCTGCAGGTCGGCGATGGTGAAGTTGATGCCAATGTCGGTGATGCAGCCCACGATTTCGCGGTCCGGCAGGCGCATGAACGCGTCGGCCTCTTCCTCCTTTTTCCTGGACCGTGACTGTTGCTGCGAGGCCGGTATGATGCTCACTCGAGGGTTGTACGCCATTCTGGAGGATGCAGCGCGCACTTGCGCTGTCGATGTGCGGATTGTGGAAAACACTGGCGATACGGAAATGGTTCGTCTGTCGTGGGGGTTCCGAAGATCCCAAGAAGTGGCATGTAAATACGGGACAAGGTTGCCGCAGAAACTCTCATCACGTGACGCCACCCTACAAGCAACAGAGCACCTGTCGATTATTGTCGCGTATGATGCGAAAAATGAATTTCATTGTTCATGTTTCGCTTATTATTCATGATTTGGAATGACTGGGAAAGTCTTGAATTTCTTTGATGCAGTCTGTAAAGGTGGAAGTTCAGTTGTTGATATACCCATGTAAACAGACTCTAATTCTGTGATCGCTTATACACTGCGCTGCCTCGAGCGGCTTACACAGTCGTCCTACTGCAGCAGCAAACGAGTTCTTCTTTCGGCAGACGGAAGGCTGATTGCATTGCTACAAATCATAGTTCGTTCTATGATTAGCTTCAACAATGCTTTAAAGACTTGATTTTCATACAAGTGAATCACACAAAGGCTATCTTTAGGCTTCGTTCGGTGCTGCTTCATCATGACGATGCGGCTGGGGTCAACAGACACAACACCGTGACACCGCCAGGATACATTATCGGAATGCTTTACCACCAAGACATTTACACGCAGTCAGAGTGCTAACAAGAGCTTTGACTACCCTAGGGTAGTGAAAATTTATCTACAAGATCTAACATGACATATACGCCATACCTATCTTACACACCATGTGCCCGACCTCGTCATCTCTTCCTTTGCAATACAATTCCCTAAGCCTTGTGCTTCCTCAAAGTCTGCAGCAGAACAGGCGGGTTCGCGCCAATCATCTCGTCGACCTTGTTGCCGTTCTTATAGAAGAGAAAGGTGGGCATGGCGCGGATGCCCAGCTCCTGGCTCAGCTCGGGCAGCTCGTCCACGTCAAACTTGACAAAGTGGACCTTGTCCTTGAACTCTGCGTCCTCAGAGGCCCTTTACATGACAGTTAATGGAAATCCACGATTCTTCTTCGTTGTTGAATAGACAGACTTTTCCAGGATGGGAGCGATGGCCTTGCATGGCCCGCACCATGTTGCGAAACAGTCGACAATGACTGTGTTTTGGTCCTTGACAACCTTTTTGAACTCTTCGGCACTTGAAGCACCCAAAGTAAGGGATCAGCATGTGAAGTGGTATCAGTTTGCAAGGAGATGCAGCTCACGTCTTGACATGGTGGACTGCAAAGGCAGGGCGGCTGGCGTGGAAGAGCCGCTGTGATGCAACGCCTTGCCGGGCAACGGACGAAGCCGAACGGAACATGCGTGTAGAGATCATTCTGACGAGTTGATATAGTGAAAAGGCAGCAGAAAGTGCGATTGGACGAGAGGCAGCAAGGTGATGTATAAGATGAAGTCGTGAAGCAAGTGGCGATGGATCGATCTAGACGAGCAAATAATATCGGGGACAGATCTGTATGATGTAAGCCAACCCCACGGACACAAGCCAACGACGGCCCAGTTCAATTTTAACACAACCGCTACTTAATTCGTAGGTAGGTAGAGTAGACAGCTCAAGCTCCTCCATGTGTTGGATATCCCCTTGGCACCTTTTCTAGTATGTAGAGTGGTATAGATTGACCTTCTACTATGATCTTCAATATGTTTATCTACTGCCCTAGCCCTTAAGCAGCTTTGAAGTCTACATGTACTACTATCAAGGTAAGGTAGGTAGAAAGGCTCTGGTAGGCTTAGGTACCTACCTAGTGAACAGTCAATGGAAGGCTTGGTTCTCTCCACCTCCTGCCCTTTCTAACGCTGCAAGAGACTCAACACACTCAACGTCATCCAACTCTCAGATACCGCGATAATCAAATACAAACTCCTCCTTCTATTCCACCAACTTCAAGATTCATCTTCGACCAAAACATGATTACTCTCTTCTTCGGCGGGGGAGCGCCGTCATGCTCTCTCAGGGTCCTCGCCCTCCGAAGCCTACAGCCAAAACAACGATGATGTTGGCCTGTGAGAGCTTGTTTACTTGCAACCAAAACCCCGTCTCTCATGCTGAACCTGCATTGCTGCACAGCATATGTTGCGCTCAATTACATCATATGAGTGACCTCGATCAAACCTTTCGGCCACCCGAACCTCGAGCGGACTCGCGTTGACGGCCTGGACAGCGGCCATGCCGAATTCTGGCCCAGCCTGCTGTGTTACGCCACCCTGCCCTTGCATGAAGCTGATGTTTGAGTGCATGTATGCGTTCAATTATTTTCTCCTTCGAATTACATCGTCCCTAACATTTCCATGAGATGTCGCAGTCATTGGATGAAGCACAGAGAATACTCCGCACTGCGCCCAACAGCCTGCCCGTTGGGCGTCCAGATCATGACTTTACACTGACGGTCCTTCACATCAAACGCCAGCACATCACATTGCAAGCACCATCAGCTATCTCCTGCTACCTGAACCAAAGGATGTCCTCTTTGCGCGAGCCGTTGGAGAAGAGGGGCCAAAAGCGCAAATTCTCGAGAGCGAGCTCGACGGCAAGTGGCTCCGGTCCAGAGGCCAACGTCACTGTCTCTCAACTACCAACGGGAGAATTTGAGCAGCAAGATGTCGCCTCGAGCTTGGAGCTTCATCACGATCAAACTGCCGCCACTAATGTCACCAGTCAGGAAGAGAGCTGTCAGCAGCACATCTCCGATTCGCCCTCTGCTCCAGTGCTTTCGCCTGAAATAGCCAAAGCTCCCGTAATCCCGCCCGAGAGTATCTGGAACGATGCTTACGACAGACTGGCAGCTAAAGAGCCCAGGCTGGTTGAAGCTTATGAGAAGATCTTGTCCTTCAGGCTCAGTCGCGAGACTGCTGACTCTGCGGATCTCACAGCCAAGCAGAATACCATCGAGAGAAACAATGTGCTGGTGAGGAGGGGGCAGATGTACCGGTTAATCCAAGATGACTTGGATAAAACCGCCCGAGAAGCGAAAGCAAAGGAAGCAACAGGCATATCAATGCACGTGGTCAGCGCTACAATAGATTTGATGACCGACGCAGTCAGAAATCTACCGCAGGCAGCTCTTCCCTGGGCATTCGTTTCTATTTCGATCGAGGTCAGTATAGGCCGTCTACAGAGACAAGCAGCACGGAAGAGCTAACTCTTGTGATAGATGATGATGAATCCCGTCTCGCAGACCAAATCCAGCCCAGAGGCTGTCGACTATGTTGGAACCACGATTCAGTGGTACTGGGAGCAAGCGGCACGCGTATTCGACAGCCAAGAAGGTGATGGTGACAAAACGACCTTATACTCATCATTCGTCAATCTGTATGAACAGATTCTGCAGTTTCAGATGGGCAGCATTTGCGACTACTACAGGACCCGGGGGTCCGTTCTTCTACGAGACGGCTTGAAGCTCGACAACGGGGAAGAGATGTTCAAATCCATTCAACAAGCCGACGATGTTCTCCGAGAAGAGATCAAAGCCTTTTTGGTCCTTGAATCAGAACCTCAACTCTTGAACAGTCATACCAAGGTACAAGAAAGATACTATCTTACAAAGGAAGATCAACAATGTCTTCGAGACTTGCGGATCACGGATCCTCGTGCTGACAGGATCCGCATCGAAGACACTCAAGGAGGATTGCTGCAAGAGTCATACCAATGGATCCTTGAAAACCCGCAATTCAAGACTTGGCGCGACAGTAACGAGAACAGTTTGATTTGGCTCAGGGGCGATCCCGGAATAGGAAAGACAATGCTTTTGTGCGGTCTCGTCCAAGAGCTGATGCAACAATCGGCTCCGTGCCTGGTCACGTACTTCTTCTGCCAGGCCACGATCCCAACCATCAACAACCACATAGCAGTTCTGCGTGGTCTCATGTGGCTCCTAGCAGAGCAGCGGCCTTCTCTCATATCCCATATTAGAAAGGCATACGACGCTGCTGGAATGAGCGTCTTCGACGAGGGGAATGCCTGGGACACCTTGTCCAACATTTTCAGGAACATGCTGGCTGATGATGACCTGCCACCTGTTTGCATCATTATTGACGCCCTTGATGAATGCACCACGGGCGTGGCGGAACTCTTGGACTTCATTCAGGAAGCATCATCCCTGCCAAATGTCAAATGGATGGTGTCGAGTCGCAACAGGACTGACGTCGAGGAAAAGATGCATCAGGGAACGTGTCTCAGCCTTGAGATCAATGCCACGCTGGTGAAGGCTGCCGTTGAAGCATACATCTCCCAAAAAATGTCCCAGATGCCCTTCCTCAATCAGGAGTACGAACTCAGGAGAGAGGTCTGCCGCCGGATGGAAGAAAAGGCGAACGGCTCATTTCTCTGGGTTGCAATCGTCATTCAAGCACTAAACTCCAGAAGCTATGCTCATTGCGACGGCATCTCTGAGATGCTGGATCTACTGGACCAGATGCCCGAAGATCTGTCTAAACTCCGTGAGATCATGTTGCAGCAAATCTTTCAGTTGGAAGGCAGGGATCCCGAGCTTTGCCGAGCTATTCTGGCGACTGTGACATTGGCGCATCGGCCCTTGCATCTTGATGAGCTTTCATGTCTGGTAGGCTTCGAGGGCGACCCGAGAAGGCTGCCTCATGTGACAGAGCTCGTCAATGTCTGCGGTTCGTTCTTAACCATCCGAGAAGACGTCGTCTACTTTATACATCAATCTGCAAAGGATTATCTGTCTGGTCCTTCGCCACGACCTGTCATTTTCCCATTGGGGGAAGACAAGATTCATCACAACATGGTTACCCATTCGTTGAATGCCATGGCGCGTACCCTGCAGGAGGACATATACCGACTCGGCCACCTTGGAATTCTCATTGATGAGATTAGTCCACCAAATCCCAGTCCTCTACGTAGAGTACTCTATTCCTGCACCTACTGGGCAGCCCATATCTGCCAAGTAGCTTCCCGTCGGGACAAAAGCCTCTTCGATGACGAAAAAGTCCTAGGCTTCTTCAAGGCGCACTTCCTCCATTGGCTTGAGGCGCTGAGTCTCACACGCAACCTGCCAAGCAACATCGGTCACATCAAAAGACTCAGCGAATTGCTCAAGGTGAATCAAGCCCGACTTGCATACCGGCAGCAGACTCCAGCGAGAGACGAGCTTCAAGCGTTTGTTCGCGATGCAAGTCGGTTTCTGCAATACCATGCTCATATCATGGAGAATGCTCCGTTGCAGATATATGTATCTGCGCTCCTATTCAGCCCTACGGAAAGTCTCATACGAACGTGCTGTGACGGCAAGCTATCAGCTTGGATACTCATGAGCCCTAATGTGGGAAGGGTATGGAGCCCTTGTCTTCATGTCGTCGAGGCCAACGAATCGACAACAATGGACTCTAGTGGTACGACTCTTTTGATAATGAACAAAAAGTCTCGAGATGTCGAGATCTGGGACATTGCCACAGGGAGGCGGTCCCAGGTACTCAGCCATGCGGAGACCGTCCATTACGCCAGGTTCTTGAGAGACTCGGGACGCATTCTCACCTTCACGGAGCGCCTGAGTAGTTCCTGGGATGCAGTTTCTGGGGCTCTTATCAGTGTAAGCAGCATCCATGACCTGCACCTTGACTGGCGCACTGTCTCGGTTTCGGAAGATGGGAGGCTTGTAGCGTCACGTACGAGAGATGGGGTTCAGATCTGCGACCTTGTTGAGAGGACTGTTGAGAAAAAGACGCTGCGAGGCAGGGAGGGCGAGGGACAGTTACGGTGGTCGAACAACGCCAAGTTCTTGGCTTCCGGTGGGATAATTATGCGCAATTCGGGCGCGACAGGGGGCATGAGGAAGATGAAGTTGACTGACCCTTTCCCCTCCAATCCATGGATGGCCACCTTTTCATCCGACTCTAAGCTCGTCGCTATGGTAGATCAAAGAGCGGTTGCAATTTGGGATTTGGACAGCAGAGAGAGGATGTTGACATTGCAGGCAAACAATGTCGAAAGATTCTTGCTCGCTGAATTCTCTCCCGACGGTGGGCTCATCGCTGCAAGCTGCACCTTGATTTATATAGGTGAAGGAGGCGCACAAGTTGTCAAAATATGGGATACAGCCACGGGCCAGATACAACACCAGCTGCGTTGGGGTTGGTCAAACTTCACCAGAGGGCTGCGTTGGCTTAACGGCATGAGGGCTTTAGCTGTGGCAAGTTACAAGGCCGTTGGGGTCTATGATTTGTCTGAACGCACATTTTGGAGCTCTGGGGGTCATGATGGTCGAACCTACTTTCCGTTCAAACAGCTCATCTGCTCCGCCGATCTCACACGCGTGGCGGTGTTATATGATAGCGACATCGATATCTGGGACACGACAACTGGAATAAGAATCCAGACTTTTCGAAGCGTCAGTCAGGTGGCAACTGAATATGCATTTTCGCCGGATTTACAGTCACTTCAGGGGTACCATGACTATGGCTGTCGTGTGTGGGACTTTGCCTCGGGCAGCGAGATCGAGACGACCGGTTGGTGTCCGGAACTACCAGCGCAAGGAACGACTTGTCTTCGTTATCGGTCTTCAAGTGACCTACCTCGGCAGTGGCAGAATCATCGAGCGGGGACGTCGGTTTCTTTACGGTGCTTTTCCAACAACGCGGACTATCTCGCCCTGATGCTTGAGAAAAACCAGTTTGAGATACGGAGTGTGGTGAGTAGGGAGATGATCTGGACAACAGACGACGATGGCTCTTGGGCACATGGGGACGAAGGAGATGGATGCGAAACATGTTTCCGACCTTATTACACAAATACATCCATTGCTGTATCCGACGATGGCGAGCGTGTGCTCTTTACGCAGCCTCACCATCAAAGGATGTGGGTTCTGGCAAGGGGCAGGGAAAGAATCAGCTTGCGAATGTGCAATGGGGACTTTAAGCCGTGCTTTGACGTCGAGTCGCCGTACATTCTCACGCAGTGTGGCTCTATACACTTGGACAAGCTCATTGCGCAAGCCAACGATCTTCAGTCGGCACACGACTACCAACGCCTCACTGAGGGCTACGGTCTGACTTATGATGGCTCATGGGTGACTTGGAACGGACAGAACATTATATGGTTACCACCGGGCTATCGACTCAGAGGAAAGAGAGTGATTTCTCAAACTTGCTTTGTTCTGCAGATGCTTGATTCAGCAGAACCTTTCATCATTCGCTTTTCTGGCCCCCCTCCTTTCAGACTTAGGTATTGATCCGCGACACCAAGAAGTCGGTGTGCGGGTGTTACACTCGATCTTTACTGGATATTAGGAAGAATGCGAGTTACGAAGAGTTGATAGTTTGATGTATAAGCTGCCGAGAAAAGACATTTACCAAGCAAACGCCTACTTGAGGCTACATCACATGACAAACGCTTATGATAGGCTGATAGAAGTAGCAGAAATAAAGTGTCCACGTGGATTCCTTGACTCCGATGTGTCTTGTTAGTCGTGGTAGATCAGCTAAGCTGGCATTGACAATCCAGCATAGCAGCTGTCTTGACACTTGAAACACGTTCAGAGCAAAAAGAGCGTACACAAGCGTTTCTGAGCAGCCTAGAATATCACCCATAATGTCAAGATAAAGCTGTAAAGACAAGTCACAGGAAGGTGTATATGAAATTGCATATTGTTTGACTCCATGGCGCCGGAGCGAGGGGTGCGGTGTGGTAAACCTCATAGTAACGTACTTGGGAGAAGCTGTTTACTTCATTAACCTCTGTATGTAACAATATATCTTCACTATCACGACTGCAGGTCTACCAGAATGTTAGGAACACGCTCCCTTACGGCGTGATGCCATGAGCTGCACTCTTTCGCCTTTCAAAGTCAAATCTTGAACCAGCGTATTGATACATCATAAGGCTCTATATAAACTATAGTGCATTGATCAATGCAAAGAGCGCATCCGAGATGTTCTTCGGAAACAGAGCGGCAAGATGCGGATCAAGCGTCGACGTGGCATCTGTAAGAGTGACACACTCACGAGACGCCCCCTTCCCATCCAGCCGATCCTGCATCCAGGATATCGCCTTGTACACGCCGACGATGCCATATTTGACATGGTTCAGATTCGTCGCGTTGGCTCTTTCGTAGTGGACGCTGACGCCCTGATGGCAGTAGTCGCGCACCTCGGCGTCGATCCTGTTGATGTCCGATAGATGGTCGATGATGCTCTGGTAAATGTACAGGGGAGCCTTGATCTTTGCTTGCGGAAAGTTGTTCTCATCCTTCCAGGCTTTGACGAGCTCCGCCGTCACTCCCGGTATCGAACCGTTGCGAAACATTCCCAGAACATCCCGGTGGAAGAACAAGACCGTGATGGCCTGCAGACACTGATGCAGGGGGCTGTAAAAGAGGTCGCGAAACTGCGGCTGCAACGCCTCGTCAATAGCCCTTTGGAGTTCCGGGTGCTGAGTCGCCAGACCAAGCATCGCAGAGGGGATCAAGCCCGCGCTCGGCCCCTTGTTGATGCCAAAGATGTCGCTTGCTTCCGCGAGGCTTGAAAGGCCGCCCATGGCGACGCCCGAAATGTTCAGCTCGGGGGCGTAGGCGCCCTGCATGGTGATGGCAATCTGCGTGGCAGCGGCTCCCCCCGAATAGCCCCAGAGGCCGATTCTGGCGTTTCGTTGGATGCCGGTGATGTGGTTGGAGTGCTTTGCGGCGCGGATGCCGTCGAGGACGGTGTGGCCGGTGACTTTGCTTGCTGTGAAGGATCCCCTGGGGCCTTCGTGGTCGGGGACGATGACGATCCATTTCTGGGCGAGGGCTGCTTCTGCGAAGAGCAGCTGGAGCGCGGTGGTGTTGGACGCCAGCATGGGGCTGCTCTGGGATGATGCCTGCATCGTGTAAGACGGGCTGCAGTCGATTGTTGCAGAGTCCTCGGCCATCTGCAGGGATAAGATCTTGTCGTATTCGGCATTAGGGGGGATGAGAGCCGTCAGGATGCCTGTGGTGGCATTCTGGTGGCTGTCTGTCGTTCGGTAGGAGATTTGGTAGGCTTTGTGGATGTGAGTGGGCGTCCATCCGAAGGCAGAGATTCGCGAAGGTGGCTCTCTGTAGTTGATGATTTCGCCGGGGGAGAAGGCTGCGATATTTGCTGGGATGGCGTAGAAGGGATCTTGGCTGGGGGGCAGACTGCTCTCTGAACGATGTCTGTGGTTATGACGAAGCTCCGTGGCAGAGACGAGGGTTACCGCCAGCAGATAGTAGGGGAATATCATGGTGGTCAACATTGTATGAGACGAGGGCTTCTATGATTGATGCATGTGGAAGATGAGAACAAGCGAAGGCGCCATGAGGATTCTTCAGCCCATGTTGTCAAATGTGAGATGGTCCAAGGCCCATATTGAACGTGCTAGGAGAGGGTTGGCACAAGATTCCTCTTATATCTTTCGATGGAGCATTGTGCAAATGATGTAAGACAGAGTGAGACAGCTGCATGTTGACAGTCATGATGACGGCCAGGAGCGGTATGTAGTATCGTCATACACTTCACTTTGACCACAGACAGAAGAAAGGGGTGGTTGCACGACTTCTTCTTTAACGTTGCGTGAGTGAGCGTTGGTGTGGTCGACTACTGTATGCTTGACATTGCTCTTCACCACAAGCATTCTGTCTTAGTATTGAACAGCTGTCATTATCACGGCATCCAAGATCCAAGAGTAAGGTAGCCAGCAGATGCAACTATACATGTCACTTCTGCCAAGGTCCTGCATACCAACATTTATATCCCATTGCTCCCGTTGTCTCACACATGTCATGGTCTCAAGCAGGCTGGGTGTTGCTAGCTCCTCATATACCATGCGATCGAGAGGAATGTACCAAAAGACATCGTGGGCTGTTGAATGTCTTGGCTTGTCGCGCTTTGCACGTTGGAACTATTAACACGTCATTCCAGGAATCGGGATGGAGTTTACCATGGCATTGGATGGTTGGTGGTTTGTCTTGTGCAAGGACAGCTTCACAGCGGTAGTACAATTCGAGATTTGAACAGAATGAGCTATATTTGGCCCTTCCGTGCAGAAGAGTTGAGGAGTAGAGCATCTCATGGGTGTCTTTGATGTGCACCTCTCACTGCAACCTGCAATGCTGATGTCGACTTACACGGCGGTGGGCTAAGGAAATAAAAAGCAGAACATGGAGATGCCTACCTTATTTAGTTCTTGAGGCTCTGCGCTGTCGGTGCGATTTTGATAGATCTTGTGGATGTATAGATGGGTATCATGTCTGTCTCTCAGCCTCCAGAATATTGTACTTGAGGAGGTTCTCATCACCAGATGTCCTTTCTGAAGCTTACATCAAAATGCTAAACATACATACCGAACCATGGCATTGACAATTGACGCCAAAAACAATATTCTCGACTGTTACGCAGCAGCAGCCAGCCTTCGAAGCCACGCTGCCACAGCCAGAAGTGGCTCAGTAATGCCTTGCAGCCGGTTTGGACACTACTGGCTTTACAGCATTCTCGATCCCGCCCCAGACCTGGAGAATGACGAGGGGCTGTACACGGAGGTCCTCACGCAGTTTTGAGCTCCTCTGCCATGCATTTCACAGCATTTTTAACCTCGCCCGACGCGTTGAAGCAGGGGTAATAAGCCGAGTTGGACTAGCAGGGTGCGTGAATCAAGGCGCCTCGTGCAGGCTGCGATAAGCGCCGATAAGAGCTGTCGCATCGAAATTTCTCCCACCCACCCCACTGACTTCATCATAGCACATTCTTCAACCCCCAAGATTCTCTCGTTCTACTACCTCTTCTACCCGTCATTTCACATTGAAATTCAAGCTACAGGACACTGATATCAATCAACTACTGTACACTCTCGTCAGCCAACACAGTCATGTCCAACATTGACCCCGACCTCATGGACATTGTCCACGAAGACCCCCCCAAACCCGTCTCCCACGCCAACACCACCACCACCACCACCACCACTCACGACACTCACAATAATGACGACGACGACGACCCCATCACCGCCAGCTACCAAGTCTTCCTCAACCCCGCCCTCCCCCTCGGCCGCCGCCTCCTCGTTCTCCAGCACCCCAACCGCACCGACAACACCCCTCGCCCTCCCCCGACCGAGCTGCGCCTGAAAGAACACTCGGGCATGGTCGAGGTCGACATGCCCCTCGACAACACCACCGCCTACGACCGCGAAAAGGGCCTCCGCTGGGGCCGCGCCCTGCAGAGCTCCATGGCCGTCAAGAGCGGCGGCAGCCACGGCCTCGCGGGCGGCTTCGGCGTCGGCGCCGTCCAGCAGCGCGCCCCGCGCAAGAAGGGCGACGCCGACGCCGACGAGGACCTCGACTGGAACGAGGCCGTGCGCCAGGGCAAAGTGCTCAGCACCCAGACGCTGGGCGGGCAGTATCCCGAGGCCGACGAGGTGCAGTACATGGTCGGCGTCTTCCAAGGCAGTACGTTTTTTTGAGAAACCATCAATTCCTCCCCAAAACACCCTTTCTTCCCCCCGTCTCGACCTCGCAGAACGTTAACAAAGACATCATCTTCCTCACAGAACACCTCCATCTCACCCCCGTGTCAAACCTCATCCACCTCCGCCCCCAACTCCACCACATCGACGCCGCCACCCAGCAGGAGCGCCAGTCCTCCGCCGCCGCCGCCGCCGCCGCAAACAAGGACGGCGCCCCGGCAACCACGTCCTCCGCCCGCGCCATCCACATGACCATCAAGACCACCTCCGACGGCGCCGACGGCGTCTCCACCGAGACCATGGCCGACCGCCTGCGCGCCGTCCAGACGGAGCCCTGGCGCAAGATGCGCTACACCGACGAGAACGACGAGACGGCCTGGGACGTCTACAACGAGAGTTTGTTTCTCAGGCCCAGGGCGGATCCGACGACGACGGGCGAGCAGCAGCAGCAGCAGGCGGAAGCCGATCACGATCTGGAGGAGCTCGTGCCTACGCTCGGCAATAAGTGGGACGACACGCAGTTCCTCGAGTCCATCAGCGGCATCAAGAAGCCTCAACCCGTCCCTGAGCCGCCGGCGGCAGAACAAAAGAAGCCGGAACCTGCTGCTGCTGCTGCTGCTGCTGCTACTACTACTCTAGCTGAAGAGCAGCGCCAGCCTCCAAGAGCGACTCGTCCTAGGGCGGGTGCTGCCGCCGCGATGGCTGCTCGGAGAGGTGGGCGGTCGTCAAAAGCGGCGTGAGGAGCTCATGGGTGAGGAGAGAAAGAGAAAGAAGGAGAGACAAAAGGATGCGTTGGAGAGTGTAGTTATTTGCATGGGATCCTGGTGTTTATGGAGTCAACTGGGTTCATATCGTGGAATGGCTGTCTGGCAGCTCGTCTATTCATGGCTTAGAGAGAGGTTGGATATATATACATGACATCTGCGAGGCGTGTCTTTGCAATATTACATATCCATCTTTGGTATTTTTTCCATGTATAGTGACGAACAGCTGCTCAGTAAAAGTAAAAAGAAAAAAGGCCTTGTTGTCATGCGTATTGAAAAATATTGACATTCAAGCTGAATAACCCACCCAGAACCACACTCCGTACTAAGCCCCCCTTACTGCGCTTTTGCTACCATTTCCTCCCCCCCATGTTCATCCGATGGTAGGATAATAATACACCAGATAAAAATCAAACGGCGATATCCCACTCATGTACCCGCTCCCACTAGCAACGCTCGCTGCACCACAGCTCGCTTGTAGTATGTCAATGCAAAAACGACAAAGTTCCCTCCAAGTCGTCCGGATTACCTTTCCCCTTTTCCACCAACCACGGCTAGTCCAATCCTTCCAACTTGCTTTGCCCATTGCAACAGTAGCTTCCAACGAAGACATCAGGTGTATGTTGCTTGTTGCTGTGCTTTTCGCCGAGTACATCTGAAACATTCCAATATCAGGTCATCATTAGGCCAAGCTACTGGCCCATCAGCATGTCCACGTCCAAGCCAATCGAGTGCAAGAACAGGTTGACGCTGCTGAGGCGCTCCGCCGCCATGGTCGGAGGCAGCGTCTTCGCCAGAGAGATAGTGCCAATGACACGATCCTTGACGGCGAGGACCAGACGCGTCTGCTGGTCGTTGCTGGCGCTGACACCAAGTGCCGCGAGGAGCTGCCACACGTAGACGTCCGAGCCCGTGTTGATACTGCCAGGGAACATGTAGGGTAGTGACACCTCGAGCCTGCTGAAGAAGGTTTCATATGTTTGATCCCTGCAGCACAGAAATAGTCAGATAAATCACGTCAAAGAGTCTGCGCATCTAATTGGTCGACTCACCATTTCTCCCACTGCTCAGGGGTGCCGCCACCAGTCTGCTTAAGGAGCACGGCGCGGCTCAAAATCAATGTGAGCATCGATACGCCAACCCTAGTCTTGGCGATGAGATCGACATTGAGGTTCGTAGCAATCAAGTTTAAAACACCATCCACGATATCCAGCCCTGTATCGTTGAAGTACTGCATCAGGGATGGCATGACGGTCGACAAGAACAGATCAATGTTCTCTCGCATTCTCGCGTTGGGAACAGTCTCGTCGTTGGTCACCGCCGCACCATTCACCACATCCAGCTGGTCGAGGTGATACACAATCATGGTCATGATGGTGGTGCGCTGCTCAAAGCTCAGGTGGGGGAAGATTCGGGGAATGGCCTTCTTTCCCTTGGCACACGACAGGAAGGCAATGAACGGGTGAGGCACAATGACTCCGATGGGCTCATGCACCTTGAGCTCTTGCCACAGGCGGGCGTTGAGGGCCTCCAAGGTCGCTGCCCACTCCTTGTGCTTCTCCTGCAGCTCCTGATCGGCCTGGTTCGTGACGGGCGGCGGCATGACTCGGACGTGGTCCTCAATCTTCATCAAGGTAACGTAAACCAGCTCGGCATTCCGCAGAATCGTCTTACGGTCGAGGCTGCTGGCGGGCGACTTCTTGCCGCTTCCAGCCCGGTGGTGATGCGGCTCGTTCTCCGCAGCGCGCTTGATGTTGAGCAAGGGCTTTGGAGTCTTGGCGTTACTAAAGGAAATCTTGCCCAAGCTGCCGGCGATGACGAGCTGAGGATTCTTCGGCTTGTTCTTGGCGGCCTCGACAGCTCGCTGCACTTGCTGCTCCATGCGCTGAATGTGGTTCTCCGCAGGTCGTCCGTGGCGGCGCATGTTGCCGTGGCGGCCGCCAGTCTGGAAGAGATAGGTCTGGGCAAAGTTGCTCAGGGGTTGGCTGGGGTTTTGGCGCTGGCCAGCACGAATGTGGCTGTAGACTTGGTAGTAGAAGTCCTCGGAGAGCGAGGCGTCGGACCCTTGCTCGACGGGGTTGCCCGTGGCAGAGACGAGCTGCTGCAGCTGGATGCGAGTGATGAAGTTCTTGTCTTGAGGAGTCATCACTCCGTTGTCCTTGGACAGCAACCAGATCTTGTGGTTGCGCTTAGCTCTCTTCGTCTCTTGATCCAAAAACGCCACCTTTTCCTCCTCGGACATGTGGGCTAGCTGGGGATGAGCGCTCATCTGCGCCAGGTTTGCGGCGGAAGCGGCCGTCTGGGGCAGTTCCTGGCTGCCAGGTGCCGCGCGCGCTGCCTCGGATGAGAGCCGCTTCGGATTCTGGAGAATCTGCACAGGATGAACCGGGTGGGCGGGCTGCTGGTGAAGATTATGATACTGCTCCGGCTGCCCATGAGGGGTAGGCAGCTTGGGGGCGGGGGAGGGTGAAGCCTTCGCCTGCGAGCCTTGAGGCCGCTGCAGGATGGTAACGGGGTGCGCCTGGCCGTGCTGAGGGAGAGGTGATGCATGCTGAGCCGAGGGGTAGACAGCAGGGACTTGCTGATGCGAAGCCAGCTCGGAGACGGGTGGCTGCGGCGAGGGCTTAGCCTGCGCGCGCATCGCAGCCTCAACCTCTTCCAAGCTCATCACCTTTCTTCCAACACTGCTCGACGGCGCAGGTTGAGGAGCTGGCTTGGGGGCAGGGGCAGCCGCCTTGGGAGGGCCGATGCCCCAGATGCTCTGGTCGACATGCAGATCCGGGAGGGCGTCGGGCTCATTGTACTTTTCGTAGCCTGTGCGAGCAGGGCGCGTCGCCACGGGCTCTCCATAGTATGGCTGCTGTTGCGAATATTGCTGCTGCGCGTATTGCTGCTGCGCATATTGCTGGGATATGCCACTGGGCTGGGGCGGGGCCTGAGCCTGGGAAGCGTTGGCCCGCGCGGCAGGTTGAAGTCGGTTGAAGCGAAGATGTTCCTCCTCGATGGCATCCGCAACCTTGGCCGTCTGGCCGAAGAAGTCAAAGTCCTTGCCAACCTTGCCAGCAGCAGAGTCGCCTGCGCCAAACGCCCCGCCGCCAAACGTATCGTCATTGAAAGCGTCGTCGGCGTCGTCCAGCTGATCGCCTAGGCCATCGTAGGTGTCTTCGAAGTCGAGGGCGTCGCCTTCTTCCTGATGGCCAGAGAGGCCGGCGAATGGATCACGGGGCTGGGAAAAGCCTGGGGCAGCGGCATTGTGGCGGCCACTGGTGTCGAAGCCGAAGAAAGACATGTTGGATGTTTTGTCGAGATATTATATGATTAATGTACTATGAGGCGTGATGTTAGTGTGATGGCTCTGATAGGGGAAGATGTCATGGGAAAAGAGATGCTGGAGGCAATGGAGGTGAAGCGAGGGCCACGGGACAGCTCTGCGGAGCTAGCTGTTGACCCGTCCGCGGCCGTAGCAGCAACAGCTCCGTCGAGATTGACCTTCAGGACAAGCAGCGGGTGGATTATGGACGTTCAAACTTGGCCCCGCATTTCTCTGTGAGATCTGTTGTCTTTGCCCCTTCGGCGAGGCTGAGGGGCACGAGGCTCGAGATATCGGCCACAGACTGTCCTTCCACTCGCTGTCCAACCTCCCCTATACCGTCCCGCGGCAGTTCAAGGCACAAAGACGCTTGGATGCCAGAGGAACCAAGATGCGTAACGAAAAGGCGACATACCGCTAAGATAGTAAAGGATTGACGAGGACTTGACAAGCGCACAAAGCTATCATGGTGTCTCTTCCTGCCGCAAAGCCGAGGAGTGTCCAAGAGCGCAGAGAGCAGCAAGCCGAGCCCAAAGGAGAGACGAAGTCGCTGAGCTCTGTGTCAAAAGACGGCCTGTCCAAGGAGGCGCAGCTGATGAGGGAGAGACTGAGGGAATCCAGACGCTGAGGAGCCCGACGATTGTGCGGATCTGGAGAGGGAGAGACTGACGTCCTTTGGAGAGAGAAACCCCACATGTGGGAGGAAACAGTCAGCCGGCGAGAGAGCGAGTCACGTGCGCGTGCGCGCATGGAGGGGCAGAGGAGGGACGTGCCCAAAATCGTGAAGAAACAATTGATGAGAACATGAGGTTATAGTAGGCATGATCTGTATGGAAATAGCCAATTGATTTTCGAGAAGGCATCTATTATTGCACGGAAAGCTTCAGATGATGCTGAGGACTGATTGATAGAATTCTCTTGTCTCGCTCAAACCACACCCGGTTCAACGTTGTTCTACGATGTATCTATCCCACGAGCTGGTCCATCGCTTCTATCTTAATATAACGAGACAAAAAGACCAGCGTCTACAAGCCCAGAAATGATCAAACGAGCGCCACTTGTTGAAACGTGTTTGACTCGGAGGCCTTTTTTGCGTCGGGGGCCGATCAGCCGAAAGCCATTCAGCATCCAATCTTGCACACATGGCGAGATCGGATACCCGGCTCACTCGCGCTGGGGGGACATGGCCGGGCTACAGGGGATGGACTTACGTAGGTATGCGAGAGGTCCACGGGTAGCACCTCGTCATGGCCTGGCTCGAGTGCCGCGTAAGTGCCGGGCGATTGGAAGAAGACAGGCGGAAATCCTATCCTGCTAGACCTTGAAGCCTGAAACCACTCTGGTCCATCCGATTCTTGCTTCCAACTTTATCGTTCCCAGTTGGACCCGATACGAGGCTGGTGCAAGCCAATCGTCTAGCCACATAATAGATGAAGAATCACATTCTTGTCACCTATAAAATACCTTACATACTCCCGCCAGTGCTAGCAGCGACGATCAGCTCTGGACCTGCGAAACAGCAGTGCGCTAGCGGTAACAAGGGGCGGCATGGACTGGGCGAGAGGGACGATGGCGATGGATGCTCTGTCTGGCATTTGCTGTTGGTTGGCGAGATGCATCGCGTGCCAGCCATCTGTGCGACGGCTGTGATACCAGAAGCAGAATCGAGCACAAGGCAAGGCCTCATATCACCGCTTGTTCCTCGTCGTACCAGCAATCTGAGACTCTTGAGGCCTCTCCTGTTCCTCTTGTTGGTCCAGTGCCGTCTCTCAGCCCCCTTTGCAGCTCCTTTGCGCACCGCCGTGATCCAGCAATTATAATTACTGTACAAGCACAGGTATACATCCATGGATATGCTTGCCCAAAGGCTTCCAGGTTGCGTCTCCTGAGCCCAAGCCTGCTCAGGGCCTGAGCCGGAAGCAGCCCAGCCTGCCGGCGGGCCTCGGCCAGTGCTGGATTGAGACGGGAGGCATCAAGCCACTGGTCTGGACGGGGAGACAGGGGCAGCGATGTCGAATTCTATTGGAACGTGCTGAACCACGTCCACGGCAATTAATCCATGACACCAGTGCAATTGAGCCCGCTCCTCCTGGTCAATCTGTCAAGATACGGAGACCCAGCACAAGTGGATGCTTGCCCGTAGAATGGATGGATGCCCGGAGTTGGTTCCCTCAAGCCACTGTCGCCTCCCTGCGGTCCAGTTGCTCCAGGGGCCTCGATCCAGCACACGCAAGCCCTGTAACGCCCAGCTGCGTAATGCTGCGTGCGCCGGCGCAATGGCCTGCAGCTGCTGAACCCGCTAATGCTAGCATAGACCACCCAAAGGATTCACTGGCCATCCTTTTTCTGCCCTTTTCCCTCCACCTTGCCGCGACCATCGTATCTACGGATACCCGCCTCTGCTCTGTATTCCTCCTTTTCGTCTTCTCTTCTTTCATTCTCTCTCGTTTCCGGGTCTTCTCTTTCTTCCCCTTCTCCCGCTCCGCAAGCTCCATCATCGCTGCGACTTGTTGCCCTGGCTTGTCTCACCACAGCCAACGGCTTCAATCCCCCCCTTCGGCCTCATATCTAGCGACATGTGCGTCTAACAGCATCTGTCACGATTCCAGTCGCCGTGGTCGATCACCCTTTTGCTGTGTTTCGACTGATTCCCTCTATTTGATCGTCCGCAAGAGAGCAAGACTTTCTTCTCTCGCATCTTCCTCAATTCGACTCTCGCCACAGTTTCTTCCTGCTTCCCGGCAATTGTCGCCATCATGGCGTCAACAAATGCGCGCTATGTGCGCTATCTACTAATCGCCTTCTTCGTACGTCACCCTACAGACTCGACACCTCTGTCCCCTATGCAGTTGTTGCTAACATAGAAGAATAGACAATCCTCGTCTTCTACTTTGTCTCCAATTCAAAGTATGAGGGCGTCGATCTCAACAAGGGCACCTTCACAGCTCCGGATTCGACCAAGACGACACCAAAGCCGCCAGCCACTGGCGATGCCAAAGACTTTCCTCTGGCCCTGACGCCGAACGATCCAGGCTTCAACGACCTCGTCGGCATCGCTCCCGGCCCTCGAATGAACGCCACCTTTGTCACCCTCGCCCGAAACAGCGACGTCTGGGACATTGCACGCTCGATCCGCCAGGTCGAGGATCGCTTCAACCGACGGTACAACTACGACTGGGTGTTCCTCAACGACAAGCCGTTTGACAACACCTTCAAGAAGGTCACGACGTCCCTGGTGTCGGGCAAGACGCACTATGGCGAGATTGCGCCCGAGCACTGGTCGTTCCCCGACTGGATCGACCAGGACAAGGCCAAGAAGGTGCGCGAGGACATGGCTGAGCGCAAAATCATCTACGGCGACTCGGTCAGCTACCGCCACATGTGCCGCTTCGAGTCGGGCTTCTTCTTCCGCCAGCCGCTGATGATGAACTACGAATACTACTGGCGCGTGGAGCCCTCCATCGAGCTCTACTGCGACATCCACTACGACCCCTTCCGCCTGATGGTTGAGCAGGGCAAAAAGTACAGCTTCGTCATCAGCCTGTACGAGTACCCGGCCACGATTGCCACGCTGTGGGAGAGCACCAAGAAGTTTATGAAGAACCATCCGGAGCACATTGCCCCCGACAACTCGATGCGCTTCCTGAGCGATGACGGCGGCGAGACGTACAACAACTGCCACTTCGTAAGCTTCCCTGCCCGTTGACTTTTCTCTCTCTCTCTTTTGTCTGCCTTCCACCCGGCAACATGATGGCTAACATGAGGATAGTGGTCCAACTTTGAGATTGGCAGCCTGGAGTGGCTGCGCAGCAAGCAGTACATTGACTTTTTCGAGTCCCTGGACAAGGACGGCGGCTTCTTCTACGAGCGATGGGGCGACGCTCCCGTCCACTCCATTGCCGCCGGCCTGATGCTCAACAGGAGCGAGATTCACTTCTTCAACGACATTGCCTACTGGCATGTGCCCTTTACCCACTGCCCCACGGGCGAGAAGACGAGACTGGATCTGAAATGCCACTGCGACCCCAAGGAGAACTTTGATTGGAAGGGCTACTCTTGTAAGCGCTCTAGATACCTTTGTGCCAACAGAAATCTGTGACTAACACGCCTCTGTCATAGGCACATCCCGATTCTTTGAGATGAACGGCATGGACAAGCCCGAAGGCTGGGAGAACCAGCAAGACTAAGAGAAGTCGGGAGCTTTGACGAAAAGGCGACTCATCAAGTTGACATGGTCGAGATTGGCGAGTTAGCATGTTTACGCATTCTCGACTTGCATTTCGCGGACAGGTCCTCAACGCATCAAATGTATGTGCATGAACGGATGAATCCAAGGGGTTTACGAAAAATAAGAAAAGTGAAAAACAGGGAATGGCATTTTGTTACATGGCGGGAGGCATAAAGGGGCGTCTTGTGTCTGTGTCTGGCTTGAGGATTTGGACAATGACTGCTGTGTAAATATACATGTATGGTGGACTCGGGAATGATGTGGTATCTGCTTGATGTGACTCTGTGTCGATTTCAAACGCTGATCCTTCGGTCAGAATTGTTGTTTGTTGGAGTATATTATACACGGCTCGTCCCAATTGCAACTCTATGGTATTTTACACATGACCGTCCTATATCTTTTAGTCTCCCATGGTTCACTGTTGAGCAGGAACATGTCGTTCTTATCGAGTGTCGGTTCTACTCTCTCAAGCGGTGACAGCACCATTTCAACCCACGGTGGCCTTCTTGGGCTTCTTGGTACCATATTTACTCCTACTCGTCGTCCTGCTCGCAACACCGCCCTAAAGATATCGTCAGTCCAGCCGTTCCTTCAAGGTTTTGTGTCGTGCGACTTCATTGGAGAGCTTACCAGATCCAAAGCTCCTCTAACCAAATGATACCGCACACCAGGACAATCCTGCGCCCTGCCGCCCCTCACCAGCACCACGCTGTGCTGCTGGATGTTGTGCCCCTCGCCGGGGATGTACGCCGTGACGACGGCCCCCGACGAGAGCTTGACACGCGCCGTCTTGCGCTCTCCGGAATTGGGCTTCTTGGGCCGCACGACGCCGACACGGAGACACACGCCCTTGAGCGCGGGGCAGTGCGTGTTGGAGAGGGCCGGGGAGACGGCGTGGCGAGCGCGCTTGCCCTTGCGGATGCCGCGGAGGACTTGGTTGAGGGTTGCTTGCGGGGCGGGCGTCGTCGAGAATGCGCGGTTGAGGAGGCGGAGGGGGGAGGCTGGTGAGGAGGCGGAGGAGGAGAGTCGTTGAGGCTGGAGGAACCGGGAGGATATTGATGAGGAGGATGAAGGTGTTGAGAGTGCTGTGAGGGATTGGCGGGCGGGGGAGAAGAAGGTGCGGAAGAGGGAGGCGGCCATTGTGAGGGTGGTGATTTTTGCAGAAACGCGAATGGGCGTTTGCTGCGGCCGGCCTTTTCGGTGTTGTTTATTTTGTTGGTTGGCGGTTTCGATGCTGCGATGCCGGTCGCTCACACACACTCAATTCGAGACCATCACCAAATCCTGCAGGTGGGCTGAAAGATGCAGGTCACATGACCTTGAAGAAACGGAGCCCGGGATCTTCCACGTTCCGTCCAGCTTCTTAAAGTACGGTACTCAAGTACACAAGTACCTTCCAGCATGTGACAGCAGACTCTGGATTCCCCCACTAACCACTCCGCGGGTTCCCCCCTCCTTCGGCTAATCCCCGGCAGCCCATCAATGGCTCGATTTCCCCCACGTTTTTTGGCTGCGCCGCCCCGCCAGAGTTTCGGCATGGTTATCCTCGGCTTGAGCTCCTTCACCGGGTCATTGAACCGACGACTTTACCTTGGGAGTAGCAAGGAATAAGGGCACAGGGAAGCCCGACGCCGGCGAGAACGCTGCTCCTATTATTTCTCTTTCTCTTCCTCTCTCACTCAAACTCGTCCCTTTTGTTTTGAGACTCATTCTTTGCCTTTAGCCTTGTGTCTCTCCAACTCCATTATCTGCTTGCTGGTTGCTTCTTCAGCCGAGCTTCATCTCATCTCACCTCACCTCCTCACCCTACCTCATCTCATCTCATCTCGTCTCTTTCGAACCGCCCATCATGTCCTCCTCCTCCTTCACACGGGCTCTTCGCCCTGCCCTCCGGACCAGCAGCCGGACCCTCGCCCAGCGAAGCTCAGCCATCGCCGGCATCGTCCGTCCAGCCGCCGCAAGCAATGTGTACGACCCCATCACATTCTCACAGCAATATATCCATCACAAGAAGATCACAGCTGACAATCACATGAAAAACGAAAAGCAACCCCCTCCGCCGCAACCTCTCCTCCACCATCCCCCGACGCTCCGCCTCCTCCGCCGGCATTGACATCTCCGACATCCCGCCGACGCCCATCACGCACCTGTCCGAGATCGAGTCCGCCATGACCGAGTCCGTGGCCAAGTTCGCCGCCGACGTGGTGCTGCCCAAGGCGCGCGAGATGGACGAGGCCGAGGCCATGGACCCGGCGCTGGTGGAGCAAATGTTCGAGCAAGGGCTCATGGGCATCGAGATCCCCGAGGAGTACGGCGGCGCGGGCATGAACTTCACGGCCGCCATCATCGCCATCGAGGAGCTGGCCCGCGCGGACCCCTCGGTCAGCGTCATGTGCGACGTGCACAACACGCTCTGCAACACGGCCCTCCTGAAATGGGGCTCCGAGCACGTCAAGCGCACCTATCTGCCGCGCCTCGCCACCGACACCGTCGCCTCCTTCTGCCTGTCCGAGCCCGTCTCGGGCTCCGACGCCTTCGCCATGGCGACCCGCGCCACGGAAACCCCCGACGGCTTCGTCATCAACGGCTCCAAGATGTGGATCACAAACTCGGTCGAGGCCGGCGTCTTCCTCGTCTTCGCCAACCTCGACCCCAGCAAGGGCTACAAGGGCATCACCGCCTTCGTCGTCGAAAAGGGCACCCCGGGCTTCTCCATCGCCAAGAAGGAGAAGAAGCTCGGCATCCGCGCCAGCAGCACCTGCGTCCTCAACTTTGACGACGTCGCCATCCCCAAGGAGAACCTCCTCGGCGAGCGCGGCCAGGGCTACAAGTACGCCATCAGCATCCTCAACGAGGGCCGCATCGGCATCGCCGCCCAGATGACGGGCCTCGCCCTCGGCGCCTGGGAAAACGCCGCGCGCTACGCCTGGAACGACCGCCGCCAGTTCGGCTCCCTCATTGGCGAGTTCCAGGGCATGCAGCACCAGATGGCCCAGGCCTACACCGACATCGCCGCCGCCCGCGCCCTCGTCTACAATGCCGCCCGCAAGAAGGAGGCCGGCCAGGACTTTATCAAGGATGCCGCCATGGCCAAGCTCTACGCCTCGCAGGTCGCCGGCCGCGTCAGCAGCTTGGCCGTCGAGTGGATGGGCGGCATGGGTTTCGTGAGGGAGGGTCTTGCCGAGAAGTATTTCCGTGATAGCAAGATTGGTGCCATCTACGAGGGCACGAGCAACATTCAGTGAGTTTTTTCTTTCCCCTTGATCAACTTATGGCATAGGCAAGAGAGATGTTCAGAGACTAATGTAATGATACCAGGCTCAACACCATTGCCAAGATTCTGCAAAAGGAGTATACCAGCTAAGCCGAAAAAAAAAAACACCAAGGGGCTCTCGATGGGGTTCTTTCAAAATCACTCCAAGCCAAAACACACAAGGCCAGTCATGTACATATAGACGACAAAAGAGGAGGGATTTCTATATCGGTAGTGTGTAATGGTCTCCATATAGATCTCAATCTCATCACGATTTTACCCGTTTCAACAAGCTTGTTGGAGAGAGCATACCTACTACATCTATATAATCAGGTCAAGAAGTCTCGCATGTGAAACCCATTCATTGCATTGTTCGCAATTAAAGAGCATCAAAGTCTTTATTAGTAGGCAATATCTCTTACTAGGTACCTTATCATGAACGCTATCATTTTCCCCCTTCCCACAGGTAAACCGCTTCTCCCCCTCTACCACAAAGAACGAATGCCATCAAAGTACACACTGCTTGGCAATTGTACCTTCTTTCCGCCTTTTGTATCTCAAAAAGACGGTATTATCAAGAGGACAAGATCTGAGATTCCCAGCCCGCAAAGGAACTTATTTTCTTTTTTAAAACACAATATTGAAATTAAAGAAAAGAAAGAGTCGCTGCTTCAAGAACGGAACGGAAGGAGAGAAAGGAAAAAGGTCAGTGTGTAGTCAGAGAAGGAAGGCGAGTATAGCCACCACCTCCTCCTCCCATAGACATCAACAACACACAGACTCACCAGTCCCTTCTCTCTCCCTGCAGGTATCGTTAAATGTCCATCGTCTTCTGCTGCCATGCTAGCCAGTAGTAATGACACCCACCAGGCACTTTTCGTCTCGTAAAATCCTCGTTGTCACGTCGTTTCCCATGGCTACAGCCACCATTAACCCTCGACCACAACAATAGTTGCTTTGGTCACGTCTTTCTTCCCATTTCTAATCCAAATCCGCCGTGTAGCTGAATCCGCGGAACTCTTCTTGCATAGCTTGAGAAAGCACTGTACAGCGGCTGGTTAGTGTACGTCAAAAAGACTCAACAGAGGGGAAATGTAGACATACCAGACTGGACGGGGGTGAGGACAGGAGTGACGCTGGTAAACTCAGAGTCAAAGTTGCTGGTATCCGTCGCGCTCTTGATCTGGGGCAGGAAAGGCGGCTGCACCCTCTTGTGGTAGATGTCGTCCCAGTTGATGTTGCGGAAAAACGGCTGGCTCATCACTTCCTGGGCGTCTGTAGGGCCGCTTCCGAGTCGCTGGTCTGGCTCTCGCGTCAGGAGCTTCTGCAGGATGGACACTGAATCCCTGGGCATGTGGATCGGGTAGAGAGGCTCGTCGGCGAGAATGGCATCGTAAATCTCATCTTCGTCTTCACCTCGGAACGGAGACTGCTGCAGAAGCATTTGGTATATCAAGACACCAAAGGCCCACCAATCGACTGCGCGGCCGTACTTCTTGTCCAGCAGAATCTAGAAGACGTGTCAGTTTGTGTAGGTAGAAGACTGACTGCATTTCATACCTCTGGCGCCATGAATTCGGGAGTACCGCAAAAGGTGCTCGTCGTTGAACCGTACCACATATCCTCCTTGCAAAGACCGTAGTCGGCAATCTTGATGTGGCCGTCGAGCGTCAACATGATGTTGTCGAGCTTCAAGTCACGGTAAATGACGCCGTTCTCATGGAAATACTTTAGAGCCAGGCACACTTCGGCGGCATAGAATCTAGAGACATTGTCAGTTCGCCTGTCGTCAATGAGAAGTATTGGTTGATCCAACTTACTGAGCCCGCTTGGTGCCAAACTGGCCGCGCTGAATGTGAAGCATCAGGTCACCACCGCTAATGTACTCCATAACGAAGTAGACACGCGTCTCCGTCTGGAAACAGGCGTGCAGGTTGGTCAAGAAGGGATGTCGCTCCCGGTTGGCGATGAGGAAGACTCGCTTCTCCGACTTGATGCTCTCCACTTCGTCATTCTCAATGATGAATTCCTTCTTAAGCACCTTGATGGCAAATAGTCGCTTAGATCGCTTCGTTTCCGCCAACATGACCTTTCCAAAGTTTCCTTTTCCAAGAACAGCAAGGAAGTTGAAGTGATCGAGACCAATACGAGCGCCTGTGCCAGGGTCGGTAGCGGACGGAAGAGCCTTTCGCTGGGAACCCGGAGGGCCGGCGGCAGCCCCCTGAGCAGTCGCGGGAGGCTGGGGCTGGGGCTTCTGTGCGGCAGGCTGCTGCTGCTGGTACTGCTGGCCCGGCTGCGGCGGCAGCGGCTGCTGAGGGGGCGGCTGCTGAGGGGGCATCTGAGCAGGAGGCGCTTGCTGCTGCTGCTGCGGCTGTGGAGGTCGCTGTTGCGCCGGCGGCTGGGCAGGGAACCCCTGATCCACGTTGGCATAGTCTGCCGGGTTGTACTTGTGATGCTGGGGAGCCGGACCGGCAGCGCCGTAATGTCCCTGGCCATATGGATCCTGCGGGCCGCTGTCGTAGCCGGTGCGGCCCTGGGCGGCGGCCATGGCGGCGGACGCGGCGGCTGCGGCGGAGAGGTCAGAAGGCGCACGGCCGGGCTGCCCCGGTCGCTGAGGCGAGGTCTGGTTATACATGAGCCGTGCCGCCTCTGTGGCCTCTGCGGAGGGCGTTCCGGGGACCGAACCGGCGCCGGCGCTCGAGAAGGATGCAGATGACCCGTGGCCGGCGGTAGTTGGGCTCTTGCTGGCGCCAGATCGCAGCGTCTTTTCCGAGAGCGACGTCGTCTTTTGCTGCCGCTGCTTCTGGACTCGAATGCCTTCGAGGATTTGGTTGGCGACGGCCATGGACATGCCGCAGAAGTCTGGCACCAGGTGAACACACTGGGCGTGACTTGTGAGGCCACATTCTATTCAAATGTCAGTCAAGCCGGCTTACAATAGGAGTGAATACGAGTAGATCGATGCCTTACCTGAGCATTTCCTGCAATTCTTCTTTCCAAACGGAAGTATGTAGCCGCAGTGACAGCACCAGTTGGCCGTGACATTGGAGAAGGGCTGGAACCTGTGAGGAATGCGGTGGTTGATCTTCTCCTCGTCCGGATCCGTTTCCGCGTTGCTCTTGCTGATACACTTGGTGACCACGCTGGGGTAGCACTTGTTGTGACAAGTGTACTTGCAGTCCTCGCACTGCATTCCCGCAGAGTACTTGAGGAAGTCTCCGCAGAGGGCGCAGCGCATGATGTTGTAGAACTGGTGCTGGACAAACTTGTGGCCGAACATCTCGTGCACCTCCTCCTTGCGCTGACGAACGGCACCCTTTCTGCCCAGACCGAGATCGACCTGGCGCTTGTCTCGGTTCTCCTTGACGAAGCTGAACTCGAGCTGAATCTGGCCGGCGGGCTCGAGGTTGAACCAGCCGTCGATGGGACCCGTGACGACTTGTGGTTGAGGAGCCGGGTCGCCAAAGGGTCCTGGCGCTTGGCCCTGCCCGCCGCCGGGAGCCTGGGGCGAGCCTCCGAAAGAGCCTGACGTCGGGCTCATCGGGAACTGGGAGGGAGCTCCAGTGCTGCCCATCCGGTCGGCAGACACCCAGCCAGAGCTGTTCATCTCAGCCTCGATCCTCTTGCGGCGCATCTCCTCGACGATGTCGGATATCCGGACCCAGAGCATGGCAATGGGCATGGGGTGTTCGCCAGGCTTATCGTAGATTGTGAGCTCAATCTCGTTGGCCTTGTCCACCTCCATGTTGTGATATTCTGCCTCCCAGCGATCATTCCTCGACACCTTGGTCCGGGCCATGACAGTGTCTTCGACCTTAACGGCGACGAATGTCTCGGGGCCACGAGCGAATCGGCCGGTGGTGGCATGATCCACGTCCTTGATGGCCACGACACGAATGGAGAGCTGGCCGCTCAAGGGCTTGCGGAGGTTGGGAGTGTTGATTGAGTCGTCTGTCAAGGACACATTGGTCAGCAAAAGGGGGGGAGAACAGCATATACATCTTGGCGTTCCTTTGCAAGAGTTACTTACCATCCTGGGCATCAGCCGAGTCCATGTCAACGTGCAGTTCTTCATATCTCTTCAATGCCTGCTTCAAGAGAAGGATTTTCTGCTTGCTCTCAACCCTACGAGCAGCTGCATCGGCCTTGCTCTTCCGATCGCCCTCCATGCCGTAGAGCTGCACCATTTTCTCAACACCCTTGAGATACTGCTCCTCGACATTGAGCTTGAACTGGATCTGCGAGAGCATGTGCTGAATTCGAGGGCCGAGGTAGGGGGTATCATACTTGATCAGGTCTGCGAAGAAGACGGCACCCAATATTAGCTTCAGCTCGCATCTGACGAGGGGGTGTGGTAGAAGGAGGGATTGGCGGGGAGACGGTGACGAAGGACAGCAGAGGAGAGGGGACAAGTCTCGGAGACGAAGCAGCACAGGCTGCTCAGTTGTACGCACCTAGCTTGGTGAAGTTGGGACGAGCCTTGGAGGCAGCTCCAGGGCCGGGGGCCCCAAAGTTGTGACGAGGCGGTGCCAGATCCGAGGGCGGCCCGACCTGGCTCTGCTGGCCGTAGGCGGCCTGGTCTCCCCACGCCGCCGACGAGGCGTCCTTGGGCGGCGGAGGAGGCCGGCCGGCGTCGTCGGCGCCAAGAGACATGCCCTCGACGCCCTGGCCGACCTTGCGCAGCTGGATGTCCCGCAGCTTCTCCTCAAAGAACTGCAGGTTGCGGCGGCCGTCGCGCATCTGGGAGTCGAGGCGCGAGCGCACCGCCTCGTTGTTGGTCTGCGAACGCATGGCATTGGCGGCGTTGATCAGAGCCTTTTCGCGCTCGATCTTCTTGGTGATGTTCTGGATGGCCTCGTCCTCATTCATGGCGCCGGTGGGGGGAGCGCGATTCGTTCGCGCAAGACGGCACGGGGAGGTGTTGGATTCTGGTGATGGTGAGGGAACAACTGCGGAGGAGCAGCAGGAGGGAGCAGGAGGAGCAGGACGGGAGACGGGGGGTGGAGAGGGAAAAAACAAGCGGCTCCACGACTAGATGCTGCACCACACGCAAGGCGGCCAGACAGGCAGCAGGCGGGCGGGCTGAGGTCCGACACGGAGCTGCTTGGGCGGGATGCCTGGGCGAGAGGCGTGGCAGAGCGTCTTGCAGTGGGAGAGGGTGCAAGAGGGAGAGAAAAGGGCCAGAAGGCTGCCTGTCCCGACAAAGGTGGTGTTTTTGTGGATGTCGTCAGTGATGGGGGGGGGAGTCGGCTAGGTATTAAGGTAGGCAGGCATGTGGCGGGGTTTCTTGTCCACCAGACAGCACAGCAGTTCAAGTGCATGGAAGGCTTGGGCGGGTTTGCACGAGTTTTTAGGGGCACGCACGGAGGCTCTCAGAGGCTAGCACCAGCACAGCAACGCCCTGGAGAAGAGCAGTGACCAGCAGCCTACCTTATGTTCTGTAGATCCTCCGCTGCGATTACATCCGATCCGATGTATGGCTGATCCTGGTGCTGATTCATACACGAACCATGTACATAGGGCATCAGACATGTGAGAACGGTTTCGGACGGATGAGAGCTGCGTGATTACAGCCACTGCCTGGGGTGTTTGTTTGGTGGAAACTGAGCCGACAGCCCAAATTGTGCCTCTTGACACGGCGATATCCAAATGGAAGTGCGATAGGGGCGAGAAAGCTACAGGGCTTTTCGTGACTTTACATTCTACAGCGAGAGCAGGGAATTCGATAGGACTCGTCTTTGGAGTATGAAACTATATTCGTACTCTCTGTCACAAAGAAGCTCCCACGCGGTGCCTGGCCGGCAATTCTCTTCATCGTGCACGAGTCGGTCTGTGATTCCACATCAACCACATACATACCTCACTTAGACCGAGCCTGTGGCCACCACTTGATCTCAAAAAGTGATAGTGACCACCTACCCTGTAGAAGCACCAGGAAAAGTCAAAATTCTTAGGACAAGGGGGACTGGCCACAGGACATGAATCGTGATTGTGCATCGTGGCAACGTAACATGGAGCTTCCAGGCTCTTGCAAAGCCACTGCAATTTTTAGCATTGCCTCGCTGTGACAAATAGCTGGTACCAGGTGGCACGCTGTTGCTGTTTGACACATTTGTCCGACAATTGGCGATAGGATCTAATCCGCCCTTAGTAGCAGCAGGCATATGTAAGGTATCGAGCAGAAGCCAATGCCATTGATGCTCACTCTCATGTGAACATGATCAGCTGCAGCCACCTTTGGCAGGTATTCATGCTAGTAGCTCGGTAGTACACACGCACGGCATCTTCATCAAAAGCTTCAATTTTCCATCAGTCACGCGAAAAGGCAGCGTCTCGTATAGAGAAAGCTACCAAGAGATCGAATTGAGCAGCCAATGCCACGCATTGCTCCAGCATAGGTAGCTAGGAGTTCCTCGTGATACTCGTCACAATGCTCTTGGTTGAATTTACTAGCCAACCGGGATCTCGTATTGAAGTTCGTCTTTTGACGAGAATGATAACCAGTCACAGCTCGTGGAATCGTCCAACCCTAAGCTCCAAACTCTATCTCAATGACCGCAAGCTCCAAAAGAAGACGCAACAAATGAACACAATTCCAACGGCGGGGGTTGCACTAGAATAAACCATCAAAGCTCCAAGTTTCTCTAATCTAATGCTGTGCAACTCCCGCCTCAGCTCAGCCTCAGCTCAGCTACTACCACAGACCAAGATAAACAAAAGATAATCGTTGAAACTGTCCAGGTCAAACCTTTCAAGAGTCCTAGCTGGGTAGCCCACAAGTCCTAGATCGCACCCGACGTAACAAACAGCGACAACTCGTAATGGGCTGAGCCTTGTCTAGGACATGGGGTTACACCGACCGCCCGGAATGACGTTGCTCCATTGGCTCGGCGAGGCTTGCAATGGCTTGTACGGTTCCTCTCACTTCCGTTGCCATGGCGCTCCAAGGGTCATCAACTAGGTAGGCATTTGCTTGGTCTGATTTTCTGTTAGTGCTTGGCTTTTGGTGCTTCATGGTAGATCGATTCGGACTTTTCGCGACGAGACCCGGGATAGGCAATCGGTGGCAGAAGGACGTGTCTTGTGGCGAGCTGGACGGCGACTTATTGAGCCGTTGTGAAGCCTGAGGTTGGCTGATGATACCAAATTGACAGCTTATAACAAGTACAAGCAGTAATACCTTCAGGATATGACTAGGATACCTAGAGAGGCGCAACATTTCTTTCCCTCGTACTGTCACCACGACAAAGAATCACCAACAAGGCTCATCGCCAATAGCATCCTGGGTAACGCAGAAAGATGTTGGACACCGTCACTTGATCTCCATCGTCTTCAACATCCACTGCAAATGGCCTCATAGCCTTCATTGTACAAGCTCCCCCAAGATGTACATACATAGGAATGTCGTTCGATCCGCCGCGCTATATGCGTCTAAACTAAAAAGCTCCTTGTATATCCCGTTCAAGGCCCATATGGTACTGTGTCTATATTACATCAAGAAGTCGAATCGTTAGAATACATGTCTATCAGATCAACACCGCCCGTCTGTCGTCTACGTCTTCGTCATCGTCGTCGTCGTCGTCGTCATCATCATTTCCGTGCAAACAACGCTCCCATGCTCCAAGCAATGGCTATGCCGCTGATGATGCCCTCAAGCACCAGGGCAGATGCGTCCCGCATGCGCATGTCCAGCTGGCGCTCGCTGATCAGATCCTCGAAGCCCGCCTTCCAGACGTTGACGTCGGTCACAAGGTTTTTCCACTGCACCAGGACATGCTTCAACTCTTCAAAGCTGAGGATCCAGGCCCCTGAGAGGGTGTAGTGCCAGGCCTCCTTGATCTTGTCCAGGTTGATGAGCCTCTCGGCCTCCTCGTCCGGCACCATGTTCCTGGCGGCCTCGGCAGCTCGGGCAGCTGCGGCGGCTTCGGCCATCTGGTTCAGGCTGGACTTGATGACGGCCAGCTCGGATTGAACCTCGTCCAGGACGCGCTTCTCCTCTGCCACGACGCCCTTGACCAGCCTCTTCCGCTTCCAGGGCTCGGCCACAAACTGCAGCACCACAAAGAGGATAAAGTTCATGCCCATCAGGCCCCAGGTGCCCCAGGTCGAGGCCCTCCGGATGCGGTCGCTCCAGATTTGCTCCTCGTGGTAGCGTTTCAGGATGCCGGCGCTGAGCTTTTGGCTCAGCTTCTGCTCGTCGGCCTCGGCCTCGGTCAAGTTCTCCTGCGCCGTGATGACCTCGCCCTCGAGGATGTGGTCCGTTCGGTACAGTTCGGTGAAGCGCTCGAGGTCCGCGGGTGTCCAGGTGTCCTTGCGGGCAAGCAGCGTCGTGACCTCGCGCTGAGTCGATGCCCGCTTGTTGTTCGAAGTCTTGTACGCCTGTCTGGCTGCCCGGACGCGGGCCTGGGCCTCGGCCAGGCGCTGCTCCAATTGCTCGTTTTCCATCTTGATGGCGTCGATGCTCGTGTAGCCGGTGATCTCATTGAGCTTTTGCGAGGCATTGAGCACCTTGGACTGGAGATTGTCCATAAGGCCGCTAAATCTCTTGTTCAAGGCGCTCCGCCGCTCCTCCGATATCGACGGCAGCTCCAGCCAGTCCGGCTTAGACCACGAGGGGGACGGAGAATCGGCTGACGATGCATTTTTAGCCGTCGACTCCGGGCTGTCGGGTTCAGGGACGGACTGGGATTGCGGAGGACTGGGGGACTTGTCGGCGTCGCTGGAGGGCTGGGAGGAGTAGAAGCGGGCGGGAAAGGCGGCGACTGGAATGCGGCAGCGGATGTAGCCGGTCGAGGGCGTCCTTGCCGGGCTGAAGCTGAGGCTGAAGCTGGGCTTTGCAGCCGGCCTCGCTGCCAGCTCCAGCCCTATCCTGCCATGCCTCCAGACGGCACGGCCAAACGGCTGCATTGTCTGCCAGCGCAGGGCCAACGAGCCTCTGCACTGAGGTGATTGTGAGGTCGCAAGGGAGGGGCTCGAACCGCCGGATGCTCGGTGCAGCTTGTTGGGCGAGGGATGGCTGAGTTTTCAATCTCTGTCTTTTTTTTCCCTTGCCCTCTCCCAGTTTTAGTCTGGAGGTCGAGAGACGAAGAGCTGGCCGGGTTTGTCTCGGGCTGCCCCGCTGGCTTGACACCCAATAGCCGTGCCGGTAGCTGATGCGGCGTCTGGGGAAGAGCCGAGGAAAGCAGGGGCAATTGATGATGATGATGATGATGAACGAAGAGGAGGAAGAAATGGAAGAAGCAAAAGCAAGGAGAAGACGAAAGAGAGAGAGAGAGAGAGAGAGAGAGAGAGAAACAAGGAAAGGGGCCCAATGCACGTCCTCAGCTACCAATCGAAGGTCCTCGCCTACTCGCAGCGTAAGGCAGCGGGCGTTGAGCGAATATGTTGTCCTGCTACCCGTCTCTGCCTCCACCTTTTGGGGGAAAAAACTGCAGAAAAAAAAGAAGTTCCACAGACAAGCTTCCCCGGCTGAGCCCGGGTCTTTGGGCCGATCTCGACGGCTGGCTGGCCCGTGGGTTTCTGTTTGGTTGCAGAGTGTAGACCGCCAGTATTAGTATGTAGTATGTCTGCAGAAATTCGCGCTTGCTGGCACCGCATGAGAGCGGCTTAATGTGGGCGGTGCCAGAAGTGAGGCCGAAATCATGATGGATGTTGATAATGAAGAAGATCAATTGACAATTGACAACGATAAAGACTGAATTGCATTCAATTGGAATATACAATGGAACGCATCAATGGCATCAATTGCTGCTCTTCATCAACTCATACCTATCATTCAGTCCCCCAGCTAGGTGTCCAATATCCCCCGTCCTTTTCCCACCTTCAGAGCCTCAACGCCTATTTCGGGGCTTCTAGCGCCCTCCGGCGGGGCTTGCGGTCCCTGTCCCTGGCACCCTGGCTGCTGTGGCGGGGCCTTTCAGCGAGGTGAAGGCGCCCGAAAGTGACGACACAGGGATTCAGGTTGATGGATGCCTTGTGGATGGATACAGGTAGTGATCAATGGCTGGACGATGGCGTTGGGATGGAGAGATTTTCGTTGAGCAGATCTTTGCCAAACGCTGCAATGGCCAAGGGTTGAGATAGAGAATTTTGTAATTTCTATTCTTTTGCTCTCTTTCCACTCATTATATGAGCAATTGACCCTTTTCTCTTGTTCTTACAGGCGCCGTTATCGCTGTCGTCCATCTGCCCCTCCCTTGATTATTGATATCAAATTGCCCCTCTAGATTTTCGTCTTCAGCCTCTTCTCCTACATCTTCCAATCTTGCACCTCCCCATCCTCCCGTCTCTCCTCGTCAACGCCCTCCCCAACCGTCACAATGGGCTCCGTTGCAACAAACACGCCGGCCATGGCCACAAACCCCAAGTTCATCTTCTTCACCGACTTCGACGGCACCGTCACCACCGCCGACTCCAACGACTACATGACGGACAACCTGGGCTACGGCCCCGAGAAGCGCAAGCAGGGCAACGCCGACACGCTCCACGGCCGCGTCCACTTCCGCGACTCGTTCCGCGACATGCTCGACAGCGTCACCACGCCCCTGGACAAGTGCGTCGAGATCCTGCTGGCCAACATCAAGCTCGACCCGGGCTTCAGGGACTTTTACAACTGGGCCCAGGACAACAACGTGCCCATTGTGATCCTCAGCGGCGGCATGGAGCCTGTTATCCGGGCGCTGCTGGACAAGCTGCTGGGCACGGGCTGGAATATCCAGATTGTGAGCAACTTTGTCAGGGCACGGGAGGGAAAGAGCCTCAACGACGAGGGCGGCTGGGAGATTGTCTTTCGCGATGACAGGTAAGCATCTCTTGGCGGTTACACATCACCTGCGAAAAGCTGCGAGCAAAGGGATTGTACTGACAACAGACGCAGTATTCACGGTCACGACAAGTCCATCGAGATTCGCAAATACTCGAGCCTCCCCAACCGACCTACCATGTTCTACGCCGGTGACGGAGTCTCTGATCTGTCTGCCGCCAAGGAGACCGACCTGCTCTTTGCAAAGGCCGGAAAGGGTGCGTCATCGTTCCAATATGGCGACCTGACCCTGTGTGCTAACTCTTGCGAAACAGACTTGGTGACTTGGTGCGAACTCGAAAAGGTGCCCTTTGTCACCTTCAACGACTGGACGAGCATCTCGCAGACGGTCAAGGATATTGTTGCCGGCAAAATTACCGTTCAGGAGGCGGCCAAGGGCCGCATCTAATCCGGAGCCGCGCCGACTTTGACGAATCTTCTTGAATCTCTTTTATGACGACTGTTCCATTTTGTTTACAAGGAATTGGGTGTGATAGATTTTGGGTAGGGCCCTCGGATACCCCAATAGAGGCATATATATCTCTTCAGACACGTCAAGAAGGGGGGGAGCAGCTTGGATTCCTTATAGAAGAAGGATAGATATGAACGAACCACATAGAACTCCCAAGAGTAAGTTAATACATCGTCTCCATTTCTCCTTTTAAGTCTGCGCCCTTTGATATCATAAAGGACCTCCCGTCACCGCACTTTTACTGCTTCTCCTTCGTCTCCTCCGGGATGCCATACCAGCACAGCAGCATCACCACAAACAGCGCAATGACAATCGGATGCAACACCCACGTCCCGACGGCCTGCGCCAGCAACCCCGTGACGAACGGCGCCACGGCACCGCCCAGGCTGCCAAAGGCGCTGATGGCCCCGATGCCGCTGAGCGTGTCCCGGTGCGAGAGGCCGCGCATGAAGACGGCCGCGGAGCACGGGTAGATGGGCCCCAGCAGCAGGCCGACAATGGCCACAGCGACGGCGTCGCCGACGACGTTGGGCACGAACCAGACGAGGATCTGAAAGGCCAGCGCGCCCGCGACGAGGCCGTAGATGAAGGCCTTTTCGCCGATGCGCTGGGCGGGCGCGGACAGGAAGAAGCGGCCGAGGGTGATGCCGGCCCAGAAGCCGGCGGAGACGTAGCCGACGGACGAAGGGTTGCCGCCGCGCGAGTTGATGAGGAAGGAGATGACCCAGCCGGAGATGGAGACCTCGGCGCCCTGGTAGGCGAAGATGAAGGTCGAGCCGAGCAGCACGATGCGCAGCTTGACGGCGGCCAGCATGCCCAGCACCGCCGAGCTGTCGGGCGCCGCCTCCCTCTCGCGGGCGGCGGGGCTCTGCTCCCGCTCGAAGCGCCAAAAGGCCCACGCCGAGAGGCCCATGGTGAGGAAGCTGATGCCCATGGTCAGGATGTAGTAGTGGTTCCACGAGGCGTGCGCGACGGTGACGAGCGCCGTGGCGATGAGCGGGCCCGACGTGCCGCCCACGCCGTAGCTCCCGTGCAGCAGGCCCAGCATGACGGTGCTGTTCTGCAGGCTGCCGCAGAAGATGTTGCCCATGGCGACGTTGATGGCGATGCCGAGGCCGACGAAGAAGAAGGCGGCGACGACGACGCCGAACGGCGCGGCGGCCACGAGCGGGATGTAGGCGCACCCCATGAGCATCTGGCCGATGGCCAGGAGCCGCGCGCGGCCCAGCTTTGCGCGGAGCGTGTCGAGGAGGACGGCGGCGAAGACGAAGCCGAGGGCCTGGCCGACGAAGATGAGGGAGACGACGGCATAGCCGATGTTGTAGTGCCTGTTTTTTTTTACAAATGCCTTGTCAGTTTGCTTGTAGATTTCTTTATAGGGTTTAAACTGGTATGTGTAAGTGCGAGGGTTGGCTGGACAAAAGAAGGACCTTACTTCTCCATGTAAGGAATCAGAGCACCGGCAGAGCTGTCACTGAGCGCATTTCCAAAGTTGGCCAGACACACGGACAGCAGCCGGAACCTGTTCATGTACGGCTCCCACGCGCTGGGCACCACCTCGACGGCGTCGACATCGGGCACGGGGCTCGCCGGGCGGCTCCTCTCCAGGTCGGTGTCTTCTGTGCGAGGAGCAGCGACTACATCAGAGGCGAAGCTGTCGACGCGAGACGCTGTAGGTCGCGCATTGTTGGAGATGTCTTCTTGGAATGGGCCGCCTCCGGAGTAGGTGGTGCGTTGGTATGTCTTTTCGGGAGCTGTGAGTGGTCTGGTTGCTTCATCGGGGGATGGTCTGGATTGGATCTCGACGAGGTTGCGCAGAAGGATTGCGTCCATGGTGGGTGCTGTACTTTTGGATCAGATATCAATGAACGGTAGCAGTTGTTGATATTCAAGGTTGAGCTCTATCACGGCCTGCTCGATGAAGCTGGGCAAAAGCTCATCAAAGGTTCGCGAGGGCACTTATACGTGGATTGATTTTATATACGAGATCTTCCACGTCCGATACGAAGAAGCAATCCCGCAACGGCCCAATTTTTCCACGGTCTCGTGGCCCGATAAGGTCAAAACTAGTGGAATGCCCAGTTCAGGCTAACTGAGCAATTCATTTACTCAATCAATCAACCCAGGGTGGCTCACGGTATGTAGTAATTGTAAAGTAAGGGTAGTATATTGAGCTGGGTGCGGGTCGGAACGATATCGGCTGCCGGCAGAGGGAGCCCCCCTGTAAGACGCATGTAAGGTGTGCTGGAGTATCTACTGTACCTTGTCCTTCACACGGAGCCGTTTGTTACATATAGTACGTAGATAGTTGGCTCGGTTCGGTCATGGACCGATGCTGGGGGGTTTCCTCTGCCGGGATTCCACCGCGGGATTCGAGTTGCGAAACGGAGGGGGCTTGGGGATTGTCATGGTGTACGTGATATTGACGAGATTGGCGGTTCGTTTCTGCAAGCCATCTGGCCGAGTACCACCACGAACGATATCGGTGAGTCAAACGGTCTGGTGAACGCCAAAATGCCTAATGGATAGATTAATAATGCATTGATTCAAGTATTTCGTAAACCGATAACCCCACCAAGCCTCCCATTGGGGCGTCTAACAATTCGCTTTTGCAATACATCCATGCCTTCTATATCATCGTGATAGCTTATGGATAGGTACCTTACTTCTAGTTTGGTCCCTGAAGCGGTTTCGCCGAATGGGGCAACACCGTGCCGGAGAGCGGGACGGGCGGAGGGGTTTTATTTTCCTATTCGAGAAATCCCCGTCCTATCGATAAAGCTGCCCCTCCATCACGGCCCCAGTTTATTTTCCAATCAACAACAATGAAATTTTGTCTCTTTTTTCTTGGGATCAGATAGTATCACCGAATCGACCCCAAAGACTCGCAGCCATGGGTAAGCCGAAGCGAAATGTCCTTGCCGCCACACAAGAGGCCCTCACGCCTCCCGATGCCCTCGAGCCGACGCAGGCCATTGTGCGCGTCCTGAAGCCCGAGGGCAACAACCTCTACACCTGCGAGATGCCCAGCAAGAAGCACGTCGTCCTCGAGCTCGCCCAGCGCCTGCGCAACACCGTCTGGATCAAGCGCGGCGGCTACGTCCTGGCCGAGGGATATCCCGTCGGCACGCAGGACAGCAGGGCCTTTGGCGAGATTATCAAGGTCGTGCGCGACGAGAAGCTCTGGCGGAAGCAGCCGTACTGGTATGATTTGCGTCTTTTTCCCCCTTATTTTTTCTCTCTATACTCTAAACGTGTATTAAACTATTATGATGACTCCAGGCCAAAGGAATTCGAAAAGACGGTCGAGGAACTCAGCGACGAGGAGAGCGACTCCAATGTGGGAAAGCTGCCGCCTACCGACGATGAGGAGGAAGAAGAAGAAGAAGACGAAGAATGAAGAATGAAGAAGGTGGTTTTTGCCTGTATAAGCCAGCCATCCGGCATACTGCCCTTAGTGCTGCTTCGGCTTCGATGTTTCACGTGGCTGCGGATTTGAACCTGCAAACGCCATGGCCACCGTCACGGCCAGCACGCTCACCACGACGCTCGAGCTAAGAGGCGTGCTGGGGAAGACGTTCCAGGCCCATTCTTGCGCCGCCCAGAGGGGGGCCACCACCAAAAGATTGGGGCAGGCCGTCCACAGGAGATAGGGGGTCGCCCACGCCAGATATGCATAGAACTGGTAGTGCAGAGACCGGGCAAACAGCAGTCCCACCACGTTGGCCGACAAGATGGTGGACATGACATAGCCGGGCGTGACGACGCGGTTGGAGATGGCGCGCTCTTCCTGCTCGGTAAAGGGCGATCTGAATCGGATGACATAGGGGATCATCCCGAGTACGGTCCGTTCCCTAATCTTCAGCCACCGGCCGAGGATAAAGGCGAGGAGGAAGATGGCGTGAAATGCCAGTAGCGTGATAGAGAAGCCCCGGCTGAGGAACAGATCCTCGCCCAGCATGCGCCAATTGACTGTCCATTCAAACTTGAACTGCCTCGAGAGCTCGAATGCACGGCCGAGGTAGCCGCGCCAATTTGTCGTGATGAAGGGTATGGCGAGGAGGAGCTGGACCTGCACCATGAGCCAGAGCAGCCGCAGGGCGCCCTTGAAGCCGCGGCCGAGGTAGAGGACGATGACCACGGCGGGGAGAACCAGTAGCAGCGACATTTTGACGCCCAGGCCGATGCTGTATGCGAGAGCTCCGATGGTCCACTCTCGCCTCTGGAAGAAGAAGATGCAGAGCCAGAGGAAGAAGGCGGCGAAGCAGTCGTTGAAGCATCTCAGGACGAAGACGCTGTGAAGTCTTTTGGAGAGGATGAGAAGCGGGAAGATGTACGGCGGGACCTGTCCATGGGGGGGTGTTTGATGGCCGGTTTCAGTGACTTGTTGCTCTTAAACGTGAACACCCTCGGCTCAGCTCACCTTGGCCTTGGAGTAGCATGTCATGACGACCGCCAGAGTAGCCATGTAGAGCACGGCAAAGAGCTGCTGCGCCAGCAGGATGTCGGTGCCCTTGTTCGTCAGGTAGTAGAGCCCTGTGTAGATGTACACATGGGCCGCGGGATACACCAGGGGCCCTGTGCCGCCCTCCATCTTGGGGTAGTCTCGCTCTCCGTGGACGAACTGGGTGACTTGCTCCATGTAGGCGACCCAGTCGATTTCCGTATCTAGAGATTGATCAGCCTCAGCTTCATACACGAGTTCTGTGTCTTTCATTCGTAGAGATGTCTTCTTTTGACGACTTGATGTGTTTCCCCCCCTTTTCTCCGATGTTCAGAGTGACAATTCTTGGGGTTGCAAAGGAATGGGTCATTCATGGGTGAGACTGACAAGGCACTTTCCAGATAATCAGCCCGCACAGCACCGCATCCGCAAGCCAGAGCCCAAAGATGACATATCTGGACAGCGCATGGCGGCCGTTGGCAATGTCCACGGCAGTTTTGATGAGTGACGCCATGAGAGAGGCAACTCAGGTGAGTGGTGAGAGACTGAAATCTGCTCACTCTCTTTCTGTTCTCCTTTCCTCTTTAATGCCAGCCGACTTGTGCAGGGTTCCGTTGGCAAAACATGAGGCTTGGCCGAGTTGAGCTTGTCTGAAGAGGATTTGCGTATCGGCTTCGCTGTCGCTCGCTTCGTCGATGAAGATGCGCGTGAAATTGGCCCGTCGGTTTAGCTGTTTTGGTTTCGTTATGTGCAACGTGGAGCCTAGAAGTGTGGATATTGCTGGTGGTGAAGATACCCCTTTAAATGCATAGACCCGCTTATGTACACTAGGTACTCAACGACACCCAACTTGAGGGAGGTGGAATGATGAGCAGCATGAGTGAAGAATGGGTTCAATACTATCGAGCTTGAAGGCCAAAGAGGTATTCAAGAACGATGGAGTTCTTTATAGAAGGAGAACAGAGCGACTGCCTAGGAAGAAACCTCCAACGGCCAGGTGATATGAACCACGCATCTTCTCAATCGAGTCAGATAGCTTGCCGATGAGAAAAGATGCAGATACTCCCTCCCACGTCTTGGTTGCCAAAGTGTTTTGACTGAAACACAATGTATGAGTGTGGAGAGATTTGAGTAGTGAGCCACGACTTTCGTCAAAGCACGTTGCTTCTCAACAGTGGCTTTCTGCTTGGAAACGGGACGGCAACCGGCAATGAATTATACATGCTCCTCTATCAATCTGACTGTACAGGGCCATCTTGGAGAAACAAAGGTCGAAAAGTGTCCGTATCAGAATCGAGTCAAAGGCGAGCAGTCAAAACATCAAAAACATCCGCTCATCCCCTCACAATCCCCTCCACCAACTCGACAACCCTCTCCGCACACCCATACGACCCCTGATACCCCCATCCCGCATGCCCATAATTATGCACAACAACCACCGTCTCCCCATCATCCCCCTTCATCTCCTCCGCCTCAATCCTCACCCCGTCCCTCCGATACGGCCTCAGCCCAACACCATGCCGAATCACGCTCAGCCCCTCGATCCCCTTCCCGCCCGTCAACCCAGGCGCAACATCCACGGCCCTCTTCATGATGCGCACGGCAACGTTTGGATCAGGCACAGACTCCCAGTTACCCACGTCGTACGTCCCTCCCAGGATCGTCCCTCCGCCCGCCGCGCGGGTCATGATGTATGTGATTTCCGTGGCGCCATCGTCGGTCCCAGACGTGGCTATCATGGGATGGTACTCGTTCCGTACAACGACAACCTGTCCTCGCGCAGGCATCATCGTCTCGTCCTTGACACCACCGAGTTTCAGCGACCCCAGCGCCGTGGCATTCACAATGATCTTTGCTGGCTGACCGGTGTGGCTCAGGGCCTTGGCATCGCGAATGTCGGTCAGCACGGCTCTTTTGAAGACGACGCCGTTCTTGAGACACTGGCCCACGAGCCAGGGGAGATAGATGGCCGTGTTGATGCACAGGCTCGTGAATTCACAACCGGAATCGTGGCCGGGGATGACTTCGTTGGGACCCAGTTCGCGGTAGTCCGGGAGGACGGATTGGTACCATGGGTTCGCGGAGAAGAGAGGATCTGCTACATGAACGCCTGGAGCCGATTCGTCCTTCTTTCGTCGAAACACGCGTGCTTCTGTAAAAAGATTGTCGAGTTAGTCTATCGCTTTTGGAGCAGTGGGAGGAAAGGGGGGGCAAGAGATGTTTACTTTGGAAATGGATGCCTGCTTCGGGGACGTCTTCCGTCAGGCGCTTCAGCTCCGGCCAAGTACGGCGCTCCCATCTGCTCTTCTCTTCCGTGGCCATCCTAAGGGGAAAAAAGCATTAGTAGCTGTATCAATTGATGTAGTTATGAAGATGGGACTGGGTGAAAGAAGGCCCAAGGCAACTCACGGCAGGACATTTGCTCCGGCCCAAGGCGAGGCATATTCAATGTCATAGTCACCAGGCATGTGCTTCGCGACCACGGTAATCACATTGTCCTTGTTTTTCGAAAGGAGAAGCGCTGAAGTGAGACCGCTCACGCCGGCTCTTTTGATGCCTCTGTTAGTGATGTCTGCAGTCAATCGTTGATTCTGTGATCGCTAGATATGTCTCACCCTGCAACGACAATCACATTGGCCATTGTGCAATATGAAACGTCCAAAGGGAGATTTGGTCAATATCTTGTTCGAAAGAGGACTCGCAGGAATATACAAGATTTTCCTTCGTTTATAAGTTGTCCGTGTGAAAGAGATGTGATGAAGCCTGTCGGGCTGCGGTTGCGGAGTCGGCGTGACTCCATCATTCAGATCTCCCCGCATCCAGTCAAACCATGGTCCAGCTTATTAGTCACTTGAACGCTTTAAGCACGACTATTTCAACGTCAAGAAACGGTTGAGAAACTGTCACCGAGTGTCACCATTTTCAGTTGACCATCGTCCTGGAGAGCTGATGCACTTGTCAAAGAATAAGGAGACGCTCCGCAGGACCGAATACTGTGCCGCGCGGCAGTTGTCTTGCAGTCTAACGGGGCTCCGACAGTAACAACTACCCTCTACTCCCACTTCAGCCGAGCTGAACTCAAATAAGAGAGAATCTATACCATCGGCCTCGATAAGCCAACATGGAGGCGCAACTGCCATTACATGCAGTTGTTTCTCAAGATTTTCGTTCCAGCTGTTTGAGAGCTAAAGCATCATGCCAGGATCAACTCATCGGGTCTTACTCGGAAGCTCCCTCTATACATCCGATGCGATGCTAGAACAAATGGAGAGCCGGGACATCATCCGGAGACTTAGTGAGTGGCCTACCAACCTCAGAAGCCATCCATGTTCTCTTGACTCATGAATGGTGGTGTAATGCTTTGCCAGATAGCTCAATGCTTCGTGAAATAATGTTCTCTCCAAAGGAATCCATCATATATTGATACCTCACCTAGTGATCATACAGGCAATTCTCCGTTCTTGCATTGATGCCGGTGCCACAGCGAGGCTTTTCAAATCCAATCTCACCTGGGCAACTTCTAATTTCAGAGAACCGCCCTTGGTCCGACGTGAGCTCGTGGAAGCGCGGATACGGAAAGCGAGGGAGCAAACTGTAACCCTCCAGTAGCCTTGCCGGGCACTGATCCCTCACCCTGGGCCAATCGAAGGAGCTGCATTGAGATAGAGGGGGGTAACACAGGACCCCTTCAAGAAATCAGGTCGTTTCACAAGGCAAGCATCTACCCACCAAAGAGCTGTAGAGTCAAGTGCGTCTACGAAGCACGGCATTGCGTCCAGGCAATTGGTGTGGCACCGACGTAGCTTAACATACATTCTCTGCAAGAGCCGTCTTCTCTCGAATCAAAGTCGTCATGGGGCGAAACGACTCGCAAAAAGTCAGGAAGAGGGACAAGCCTGGGTGACGAGATAGCAGTACCTCCTCACCCCTTCTCCTAATCAGTAATGCAGACGGTTCCCTTGTCCGGCTGCTGGTTGTATGTGGTGTCGTCGAGGACCATGCTGCTGTTGACACTAGCAACTCTGTCCCTAATGGAATGTCCCATCCCGTCCACGTGGTCGTCCATCATCCGTCCGGAGGGCTGCGAGACAGCAATTCTTCTTCTTCTCGCTGCAACCCGGGCAGGGAACATGCAGGTAGGATGCTCCTCGCCTGGCAGTCCCGCATTGTTTGCTCTTCACTACCCATTTGTGCCCAGGACAACCCCCCCAAAGAGGCGAGGGGCATTCTATCACCGCAGCCCGTACGACGAGCTTGGACCTGTCGTGTGCTGCGCCGAGAGCAGAGACCGACGACACGGGGCCCTATCGGGACGAGGATAGTGAGGGACTTGGGCACGACTCTTGTGTGATTGTGGGCGGCCAGAGGGCGCCATGTACCACTGCTGCCACGTCCGGTCCTGTTGGCAAATCCCTTGGGGCTAGGCAAATCTCCCGCCTGGCTGTTTACTGGTTGCACGACGTTGAGATGACGGGGCCCGTTGCATTTCACAAGTGACACTGGCCACGTCCCCGAACTGCCGCACTGGTAGCATCTCGTACTGTGAAAGCTCGGCCCGGCGGTTCAAGGATTGGCGGAGAGTATCTTGGTTAGGTTGCTTGCAGCATGATGCTTATCTAAAGCGGGCACGTACGTATGTGCTCATCGTACGGCTGCCATCTCGGTTGCCATCGTGCTGGCGAGGCTTGAAACGCCTGGAGTCCTCCTCCAAGTCCTCATAGTCGACGCTCCGCGTGAGGAAGACGGAGCGCGGTGAGAGTTGGGACCAAGAGGCATCGCGAGTTTCGTCCCGGGCTCGGCAGCAGAAACACAGCATGACAACGGGCAAGCATGTCCAACGTGTCGTGGCACAGCACGGAGCAATGCAATGGGAGGTGACAGTACCAATGCAGCGATGACTTGTCGCCTGCACACTTGGTCTTTCGGGAGAGGCTCCGAGACCGACGTTGCGTCGGGTACAGGTACATTGGCCACGAAATGAGGCAGATGCTGTCCAAGTCGCCCTGGGCAGATGCCGCCTCGAGCACCGCACGGCAGAGCGAGGCGCAACACGCTCACGAAAGCAAACACACACGAGCACAGATGCCGCTAGCATGGCCTTGTACCGGATGAAGGTTGGGACGTTGACGGTGAGAGTACATACCGCACTACATACAGGCTCACTCAGCCTGCCCCGGCGAGCTCGCCTCAGCCCTCTCTTCCAAGGCTAGGCTTGGCCACGATGACGTCTTTCTCGCGCTGGGTCAGATACCCCGTCTTGCTCGCCCAGAGATGCCGGTTGAATGAAGACGTCTTTGGGCTGCAAAAGCTTGTGAGCTTTGTCAAGTCTGGGTGGCTGATCTGCCTGGGTTGCCAAGTCATGACGCAAAGACCTCCAACAAGGGATCGAAGAGGAGCAGGGGGGGCTCGAGTGCCATCCCTGTCGGAAAAGGAAGCATGTCCTTTAACGCTGATACTAGTAACGCTGCTGCAAGTGTGAGTTGGAGGCCAATACTGTACTCGTACTGCCGCAAGTGTTCTCAACCTGGTTTTGCTTCCATGATGTTCTCGGCCAAGCTACTTTACCTTTACGGTAGATGATGAGCGGACACCTAGCGTGGGGCGGCTGTCGCGAGTAGATTCGGTCGCTGGGCAGCTCCGTTTGCTCAACCGTCCCAGCAAGCAATACCTGCAAGGTACAGAGGCAAGATGGTGGTCAGAAGGAAACGGATGAGGACTGATTTGGTGCCATCAGCACTTGCTTGGTTCCTCTTGTGTCGTCGTCGACTGTCCTCGCCTCGCCTTGGTCCAGGCATGTCCGGCTCGGCTCCAGGTAGCGGCGGGTAGCTGTCTGGGTATTGCAGGTATCAGCAGCCATCTGACGAATACGAAGTCTACTGCGGGGGCCTTCCATGGTTCCTCAGTGATACGAAGGCACGCGCATGAGGAACAGACAGACTGGGCATCTCGCAACGCTCTCCCATGCAGGTCTTGCAGCCCCATGTACATAGTCATGCTGTAGCGCAGACAGAAGCCACAAATGGGCACCGGGGCGAGAGAGATAATAAAACAAGCACCACAGGCAGATGGAGACGGAGATGGTCCGTTTGTTGCGGACAAGACCAACTACTTGTCGGCCGTGTCTGGCGGACCGCCGGCCCTGCATGGGGGATGGGGGGGCTTGGTTCAACCCAGACAAAGGCTGGGGCCTGCTCCGTTTTGCGGCGTCGAGGTTTTACTTGCACGCAATCGTTGGTCGTTGGACTCGTAGGTGTCATTAGTTCAATGCCGCATCAGTAAGTGGCAGTCGAGTTGACGCCGCCTTATCAACTGGCCTCTTCCCGGCCTTTCATCATCGACATGTAATAACGACGGTCTTTGCAGCGGTCGAAGTGACGGCGACGGTCAGCGGCACGCGATTAGTCGACTTTCCCGAATATACGCACATGCAGTGCCCGTGAGCGCGGCGATGCATCACCTTGATCACGGTACCCTGCCCGTAGCTTGGCCCGTCAGTGCAGGCTGGATCGAAAGGCGTTAGTGATCGGGATGGCGTCGAGATCGGGCTATTATTTGGTGAGGCCATGCGCATGCTTGCACTGGGCTCCACCCCGATGGCGCTCGTACCTGTTCGTCCAGACGTCAGCCATTCAAGCCACCAGAAAGAGGACGAGTAGGATGAGTAGGACGAGCAAGGAAGAGGAAGAGGCAGAGGAATGGTGGACGCTGGGCGAGAGCAAAACTTGAACCTGTCTCACCTGGGGATCGGGACAAGCAATGCCATGTCTCACAGGCCAGAGCGAATGGCGGGACGAGAACCGCAGGGTTCGTGACCAGTCTGGCTCGCTAGCTGTGGCTTCTGAATTGGACAAGATGCACAATAGAGACAACAGAGCTGCAGCGAATGACAGCGACGTGAGGGGGGCGGCTAATGTGCTCGTGCTTGTTCAGGCAGATGAAGATGGATGCCAGGCAATATGAAGCCGACGGGAAGCAGAGCAAGAGATGGAATGTCTCTGGGCCAGAACGGAGCTCGGAGGAAGGCGGCGCCGTTGCCCACCTCAGGAAGCCCATGTGCAAGTACATACATAGTACATGTACCATGATCCTCGACAGAAGAATGGCAGTCGAAGAAGTGACAGCATGAACAAGACGAGCATCAACAATAATAATGTACCTTATCATTCAACCATTTGAATCCACCCAAGTGATGGGCTATATTAGGTATTCCCTACCAATCTGATCTTCCATGACCGCCTTGGAGCTTATGGTTGAGAGCAATACCTTGGACGCGCAACAAGTGTGGCTGCGAGTGGCAACTCCAAGACTCAGCTGCCCGGCTCTCGACTGGTTGCGCAAAAGTGCACGGGACTCAACACCACACCTCTTCCTGCAGACGATGGACAAGCGATTCGTCGTGAATGGTTAGCAGAGGGCCATCTGATTCCCTCTTGTCATTTTCTCTGCATGCTAGTGGCAGAAAACGCCCATCAAATGCGTAAACCAGAACCGGTCGTCTTTTATCCAATGTACGGCCACCAACTTGGAAGTTGCTTGAGGTCAGCCCTTGTACCGGTACGAGATGAATCGGGGTGCATGTGCCTGTCGTCTCGTCATGGCCGCTGTCAGAACATGGAACTAGCAGGACGGCGCGGGTAGGGCAGAGAGTGGACGTCCTTCGCACTGTGAAAGCAGTTGAGCCCCTCGATCTTTCTTAAGAAAGCCCTGGGACATCAATAGTATTGAGGTCCTGAGGTTAAAGGGGAGCAGAGCAGAGAGGGGGGATACGGAGTCGAGGCCCTGTCGCGGTCTCACATGCAGATACCATTCAACGAGCAGCCAGGGGAGCTGTTCCAGACAGGACGTTTGATGCCTTGCTCTGCAGTTGATATGAAGGAGACCCCTGCCGCCCCGCCTGGAACTCTCCCTCTCCATTAGATATCCTCTGCAGTGTCTGCCAACTGTCTCCTGCAAGTGATTCTGCGCTCTCCTGGGGAGGAAAACGATGAGCTACGAGGTGCTTCCATGCTGCCCAAACGGTTGGCGTGGGCTCGTCACACGATGGAACCGTACCGGTACCTACTATACCTAAGGTATGCCTGTGCCTGTTCCAGTGACTTCCATCCCAGGGGCTTGGGGCATGCCGAAGCACAACCTGGAAGTCCCGCTGCCCTGTCGTGCTACTACATAGTACCACTGTCTGTCTGTACCTGTACAGGGATGGAACGGAGAACGAGGGACATGCAGATGGAGCAAACGGGCTCCAAAGCTGCTTCACCAGTACTTAGGGAGTATCGTATACGAGGAGAACGGGGCTCATTGGCGCAGGTGCTGCAAAGGGAAAGACCCAAGCAAACAAGGACAAATAAAAAAGGAACCTTGGAAGGGCAGCAAGGCAAATGCAGCTGCGGTAATATTCAATTGAGTGACCCAGAAATGCCCCAGCACGTGCGTAGGTATTGACGGCATCGAGCCAATGTTCGAGTTTACACGTACAAGAAATGAGGTACATGTACATGTCGTGCAGCGCATGCAGAGGACGGGCATGGACTTGGAGGTACAGGTGCGCCAATGGGCTCGTGGCCTCGGTGGCATCGCCTGGATGCAATCGAATCAGATTGGATGGATGCAATTGGCATTGGATCCTCGTACCGGTCTTGCAGCAATACGCTTTCGCAGTGATAGTACAATGGGGGGGTTTGAATTCTCCGCCAGTCATTGCCGACTTGGCGCGCTGCATGGCAATGAGAAGCCTGAAGACTGGTGCTGGTAGATGTATCTGTACCCGTTCTTGGTGTCGTAACAAAAGCCTCCAGCTGTGAATTGCAGCCTTGCCAGCACCGCAAACTGCCTGCCCAGCAAGCACTCTTCCAGTCCATTCTATCCGCATGTGCTGCTATTACTGTGCACTCGTCCTACACTTACCTACAGTACATGTATGTACTCCTACAAAGCAGCGCTCTGCCGAGCTGCCCAACCAGGATCAGCGGCCTCGCATTCATCACAGGCTTCAGGGTTCCAGATCAATTCCGAGTTTTCGCCCTCAGGCCCCCGTTGGCGCTAAACCTGGCCCCGGCAGCACCAGCGCACAGGGCACACAGTGGCACCCGCCGGTCGCTGGAGAGCACTGGAGGTCACTGGCACCCTCGAGACCCTGGCCGGTACCGCGCGATGTACCCCTCGATGGCCGCGGGCACCTCCCACCCGCACCTCCGCCTGGGCACTGAGCTGCCAGTGATCAAGCGGCACTGGGAGGTTGCGCCACAGGTACAGATATAGCGGCCACAGGTACCTGTACCCGTACCGGGGCCCTTCTTGGCCCTCTTGGCCCTCTAGCGGCCGGATCAGCGCCCACAGACCCCTCAAGCCTCCAGTCTGCAAGTGCCACCGGTGCTAGTCGATGCACCCTCTTTCCCTCTATCCGCCGCCCTAAATTACGTCGCTGCCTCCTCCCTGTTTTTTGCCATCCTGGACCCGACCTTACCTCGACCAGTTCACTTCTTTTCTCTCCTCCGGAGCCCTGTTTCGTGATTCTTCTACTTCTGCAGCGATGCTGGACCAGCCCAAGCGATAATCTGAACCGCTGCGAGCCTTCGTTACTGCGTCTCGACCGTGTTTTGGAATCCCGACGAATCACCAATCGTTTCCTCGACTGGCCCTCGTTTTCTTTGTCTCTTCTCTCGCCTTTAATACATGCCTCTCTAGGGCGGGACCGGGATTCATTCCAACTCACCATTTGTCGAATGCTACCTATTGACCAAACAAACGCTGGGACATCCGCTTCACTCAACTGCACGCTTGATCCTGTCAACGCGCCTCGTGGCATGTGTTTCGCACCTGAACCCCTTTGTGGCCGCTGCCTCCAGCTGTCTATCGCTTCACCAGCCTTAACCGACCATGATGCTGCTGCTTCGCGCCTCTCTTAACCCAGACATCCCGACTCAGCACAAGCACACCACGTCGACTCGCAAGTAAACCCGGCAAGGGGAGGGGGGCTTCTCACCCTCGAGGGGAAGCAAATCAGCACAATGGCCCTATGGCCTTTTCGCACACGGGGCGACAAGCGCTCTGCCGCCGCTGGAGAAGCCGCCTCTGGGCGCAAGATCGCAAGGGCGGCCTCCGTCAGGCGGAACCGCGATGCGAGGAGATACAGCTTCTCGCCTAATCGACAAGATGCAATCGATGTCGACCGACTCACCCAGAACCAGAATGAGCACTTGACGGGGGAAGATGCGCATGCGCACAACCCTGTCTGGCAGGACCGAGTGCCAACTTTACACCACAAGCGAAGCGGGAATCAGCCTTCGAGGAGGAAGAGTAGCAAACGGAAGAGGCAGGACCACAACAGAGAAGCAGAGATCAGGGCCATGAGCGCCTTCACACCCGCACGAGCCACTACAGAAACATTTGCCACTGGTCGCAGTTCCAAGCATGACCACAAGAGGGCAAAGACTCTGCCGGCCAGGGCTCCTTGGGAGGGCGCCAACTCGGATTTATCACTGCCTATTCCCATGTCCATCACGTCTCGCATGTCCTGCGATTCCAATTATTCGGCTTATCGAGTGACCGCCCTGGACGCTCTCGCCCCTAGACCGACGCTGCGGTATCAGGGAACGCGACTTCTCCCGTCTCGGGCTTCTGTGCCTACGCGATCGGGCTCTCAGAGAAACAGACTTGCCGCGCTTGACGAGGAAACGCTCAAGGCGCACAAGCGCATCGATGAGCTGGCTGACGAGTTTGACGCCGGTGAGCTGCGAGAGCTCATGGAGAGAGATGCCAGAAGGCGGGAGAGGAACAGGCAGCGTGAGCGAGAAAAGGCGGAAAGGAGACTGGCACGAAAGGCAGAGAAGCAGAAGATGGAGGAAGAGACCGCCAGAGAAAGGGGCACTCCGTCTCCGGAAAACCTTGAACGAGGCGTCATGGGCCGAGAGGTCGGTCTTGGTATCGATCCACCATCAACGGTAGTGACGTCTTCAAAACAGCGAACTTCCCCAGAGCCAATGTCTGACGTCGAGGAGTATGCTCCCAAAACGCCAACAAAGACACCGCAGCCTGAGCCCCTCGAGACGTTCCATCGAGTTGATACGGCGCCTCGCGATCCGGAACCAACGCCCGCTCCCGCGAGACTACCAGAGATTCCCGGAAAGCCAGACGAACGTGTCCCCACCGTACCACCTGCGATTCTCAAACTCGAAGGCCACTTGGTACCAAAGACGTCGACATCAGGTTCGACATTCGATTCCGACAAGGAAAAGACGTCTTCGGCTATGGACGATGACGCCACGACCAGGAAAGGATCCGAGGCGAGCAGCAAGACGAACCGCATATCATTCTCCACGCTGCTTCGATGGGGAAGAAGCCGCCGCAGCTCTGGCGGGCCATCCTCCTTTTCCAATACCTCGCGCGAAGAGATGTCAGCGGTCGTAGCCGCAGCTGCAGCGGCCCAAGCACAGTCACAAGCAAGGAGCACCGACTCACCTGTGTCATCATATTCAGGCAATTATTTGTCTTCCAAGCCAGGTTCGGGCCCGCCAAAGCGAACGCGCTCCCGCTTCCGAGAGGACCTGCCGGAACTTCCGCTGTCACCTCCCAGGTCTCGCCTTCAGTCGCCTGAAGCAGACGCCTCTCTGCCTAGCGTTGCAGAGCACAAGTCTGCCATACCTGAGCCGATACAGATTCCCACCATGCGAGACGACACCCCGACATCTGGCCATCGATCAATCGACATGCCCCAAGTCCGCGCTTCGAGAGACAAAATGTATGGCAGCCACTCAGCCGAGCCCCATCTTTCCATGTCCCTGGCATCTGTCGATTCGGAAGCATCCTGGCTCTCCGGGCGGGTTGGTAGCCAGAGGAGCCAACGATTGTCCGTACGTGACCGGATTCGATCCCGACAACAAGACCGAGACGCCAGACCAGACTCTCCGGGCAACAGCGCGCATGAGGACCTCGAGATCACGGAAGACGACTACATGTCGCGCCTGAGCCCCGGTCCGACGGACCTGACGTTCAACAATCGCCTGTCAGGCGAAGGTCGTCCGAGTAGCGACGGAGAAGAGATGGTGGATGAAGGAGAAGTTAGATGGGGAGCCGTGGGCGCTCACCCGCAATTTGTCTCGCATGCACATAACCGCGATACGGTTCGCAGCCGCGAAGGCTTGCTCAACATCGACTCCGGAGACGAAGAAGATTTTGACGTTCCCATCTCCCCTGTTTCTCCGATTACCCCCAGCATGGACGAAAAGGTCGATCTCGAGCGTGCCACAAGCGTGCGGATGGATCGGAACCATGCCCGTAACTTTAGCGCTGGAAGCGCGAAGCTCCTGGAGATTCACCCGCGAGAATCCACAGATGGCAAGAGGAGGAGTCACGAGCAATCCAACGGTGTGTGAGTTGACGCTTGAGAGATGTGCTAATGTTCCAACAGTCGAAAGAGTTTCCAAGTCCCAAAAAGCAACAAAAAAAATAGAAAAAGGAGCAAAACCAAAACAGAAAGAGGCACGTCTTGATGGCTCCAGCTCTCGAGCTGGGGCCGCAGTCGTACTCGATTGACGAATCTCCTTTGTACATATACTTATACTGACTCGAGTCACTCGTTCTATCTCATTCCTTACCTTACGGCCACCATCGCCGAACTCATTCAAAGACCGAAGAAAAAACTTGAAAAAACACCAATCGTTACGAAACAGCCAACAGAAAATAAACCAAAAAAAAGAACACCACCGATAAACGAGAAACTCTTTCGACTTTGGCACCAAGGGCATATTGAACTGCCCATCATATCACCATTGGACGTTTGCTTTCTTGGCAAATGTCTCGTTGTACATTACAACACTTTGACGATCTACGACTGGCGTTGGGCTTTTTGAAGGGTTTTCTTCTGATTTTTTTTTATCTTACCAAATTTCTTCTCTTTTCTACAGGCACATATACCAGATTTGATACCCATTCTGTTGAGAGGGGTCTGCGTTTGCCCGGGCCCTTTTCCAGCTCGTCGTGTGTTACTGGGGGGGTAGGGAAGGAGAGAGAGCTCGTTCCGGGGCCTCGGGTGTTTGGGGAGAAGGAAATGATGAGCATTCTGACCATATCAAAACAAAATGGGAGGTTATCTTCTTTCAAAAGACGGGTTGAGATTTGTCTTTCTGACTACTCTTTGGTATGGGAGTAGATGAGAGTTTTCAGCCGTCGCATCAAAAGAAGACTAGGGTTTCTAAAAAGTTGAGCACACTGGGGAAATCTGGGAAACAATTACTTATAGAGGCTTCGTTCTGCTGGTACATTTTATACTACCTGCGTTCTATCGAAAAGTCGTCTGCTTCTTTAATTGAAGATTTTCGTGTGGTATCACTACAATTGCCTGAAGACTAAGTGAAGGTAAGAACGGACAAAAAGAGAAGAATATATAGAGACTCAACCTCGGTAATATTAGTTGCAGGAGAAAGAAGGGGAGATTGAAGAGTAAAAGGTAATATTAAAACATGCTTGCGTTTTGGCAATTGAGTTCCGCGCTGCTGTATTCTGTTTCCCTGTGGTCGTGAAATTGGCATTCTGAGATATATGAGCTACATGAGGTGTTTTCAATGCAGAAGTGCTGCAATGTCATCCCCTCTTGATGTTAGAACAGATGTGTAGGTATGTGTCTTAGGCGTAGCTATCATGTACGACTCGTTGCTTGGTTCCCGTGAAAGAATCTCTGGTGCGGAATTCCGCAGACGGCCTGTTCTGGTTGCGAGTTCATGGCGACGTTGTCAGCGGATCCAGATTGGCAGACGAACAAGCATGGCGGAACTCCGATGGTTTTCATTGTCAATTTGGAGTAGAGCAAGTCCGCAGGCAAGTGATGGTGGATGCGGTTGTTTTGTATTTAAGATACCTACAAAGCGCTCAATAGTGACTTTGCTTGAGCTTTATAACAGAAATGGAGCTTGTTTCGACATAACGAGCCATTCGCCCGCCTATTACTTCAGTGTGACCGAGCATCTGATATGGCACAGAAGACGACTGATTTCGGCAACTTTGTCGACCAGGTGCTCGTCAACGTCTTCTTTCAACCAGACGATGAGTTATCCCTGAACACTGTCGCAGAGACCTTTTCGCCTGACTTTACAGCCACGTATGTCCCACCTCGCAAGATTGATCTTGGAAAATATCTAAACTATGAGACAACAGCATCAATGGCGTTTCCATACCAGGCGAGGCCTACAAGCAGGCTATTGTCGAGTCTCGTGCCAAGTCTACTTTCAAGGTCGTCAAGACGGAAGAGATCCTCGCTAGTCACGATGCGGATAGGGAGAAGGGAGGGTCGGTTGCGCATTATACGGAGTTTTTGGTGATTGATAAGGAGACGGGCGTTGAGAAGAAGGAAGCTACTTTGACGATTGTGACGTGTGTTGAGTTGGATGGGAAGGTTGTTTTAAAGTCGTTGACTGAAGTTTACCACAAGTGACGGTATAGCTGCCCTGGGATCAACTCATAATGAGAATTATGAGTAAGCTTCAATTAACGGGATGTATTGTTGGAGTTGATCTCTGCTACTAGCAATCGTAGAGATCTGAATCTATTCGCTTTCGTTGCTGGATGCTAGGTAAACTGCTACATGATCTATTGCTTCCCTATTTGCTAATATACTGAGTTGCGAAACTGTTGCCGTCTGATTTGTCTCAAAGCAACGGCATCTATGTCTCTTCTGCTCCATCATTATCCAGATCCAATACTTCCTGCGTGGCCTTGGCACACAATTCCATGAAAGCTTCGTCCTCCATCTCGTGTACGGTCGTGAACTTGAGTCGGAGAACACTTTCAATCATACGGCGCAGTCCTTCCAGTCCGTTGCGCGGTGTGATTTCCAGCTTTTGTCCATCCCGGACGTTGTAGAGCATAATGCGTGGTAGCTGGCCGGATGCGGAGGCTACCAAGTACGCATATGTAGATGCCTGTACGATATGCGAATTGGAAAGCTGCGAGACAAACTTGATCTCCCAGACGGACTCGACTATTTCCGTTTCGCTGCTTTTGGAGGGGGTAGAAACACATATGATATCAGCCTCACCAAGAAGCTGCGTCTTCTCACCGTCAACTTCAAATTCCCGTTTGAGTCTCTCCTCGAATCTCAGGTTGGGAGCGAAGCTGTCGAGCTCGCCATGAAGTCGACCTCGGGCGATGCTTAGATGCTTGGGCTCTATCCAGTCGAACGCGTGGTCCTTCATCTGAACAAGACGCGGTCGGTATCCTGACTTTTGCGCAAGATATTGGCACGCCTGTCGGCAGAGCCACGGGATTTGCTCTTCCGAAGAGATCGGAAGCTTGCCTTCATTTCCTTTACGGTTGTTCCTGACCATTGATATCTCTCCCGTGATGTCGTGTTCGAATGCTGCTACAACGACGAGGCCGTTGATGTCGCTGATCGCTTCGGAATGCCTTCTCTTCGGGTCTGAGATCACAGTCTCTCTGAATTTGATATGTTGATTCTCCGGTAGAGATGGCGAAATCTCATGAATGACCAGCTCACGCTGAATTTCTCGAGATAATCACCTCGGGCGTGCCGGGCAATATCACTGACACCAATCAGCGTGGGCAGAGACAGTCCATATTCCACTGGCCGTCCAGGATCGTCAGGAGATCTGATTTTGGAGACTTTGTCTTCCAGGTTGATGACATCTGCTGTTTTATACAGCGCATCAAGGTTAACAAAGGGCATCGGCTTCTGTTTCGCGTCATGGATCAAGACAAGCTGTTCCACAGCACGTGTAAGAGCCACAAAGACCTCATTAGGACACCGGTCGTCCGGGAGATGGCGGCCTGCATATCTGTAGAATGAAGCGTCCATACCTGATAGGATCACTAACTCCCGTTCTCTGCCTTTGAATTGGTGGATTGTAGAGATGCACAGTTTCCCCTTGATGACATCGTCGTTTAGGGGACCATCTTCGTCGATCGGTTCAGCAATCGGCACACCAAACTTCTCCACCAACACATTGGCCAAGCTTTTCAATGGCTTGTTATTGCGTATAGCCGGCGCTATGATTGCTGTGTTCTTCGCGCCATAATGTTTGATCAAGGGGAGTAATTCCTTGGCCAATGTGTATTTGTCGAACGGGTCACAGTTAAGGATGATGGGCTTTGGGCCAGACTTTGAGCTGGAGATGTATGCTTCACCACCAAGAAACGCGTCGTTGACGAACTGAACTGTTTCTTTTGAGAGGCGAAAGCTCTGATCCAAAGGCAGTTGAGCAAAAGACCATGGGCTGAGCGGACCAAGCAACTCCGGGGCTGCAGTGAGGTAGCGATAATCAGCACCACGGAATTGGTAGATGGACTGTCGCTCATCGCCAAGCACCACAATCCGGGAAGGTCGCCCAAGTCTCTTTGCTTCATTAGCCCGGATGAAGATAATGACCAGTCTGAAGATTAGGTCCGTACAGTCCTGGAACTCGTCTAACACGATGATATCAAAGGGCTCGAAGTGCCCATGAGGAAGCTTGTTGAGTGCGATGGTGTTCTGTATCTCCTGCGATAGCGTAATATCCTCGTACAGCTCAGCGTCAAACAGAAGCCTGGCCATCTTGTGAAAGGTGAAAGCCTCGACATTAGGATACTTCTTGAGTCGGCGCTGAGTATCGAGCTGAAGAGCCTTTGAGTAGCAGAGCACGGCTACACGTAAGTGTGGGTAGGCAGCAACGATGGCTTCGGCGGTAGCCGTCTTGCCTGATCCTGGGCGTGCAGAAACGACGACATTGTGCTCGGCACAGAGTTTGACGATCTTTTGTTGCCCTGGCGATGGCACAAACGGGCGTTTCTTTCGTCGTCCTCTAAAGAGGCTTTGGCTAGTGGTAAAGTGCCGAGAGGAGGTGTAGGCGGTGGGAACTCGGAACTGATGAGAAGCCAATCCTTGTGTTAGCACTGGCTGGGCCTCATCATCTTGGTTACATACCGGCAGCTTGATGGCGAATGACGATTGCCATGCTCGTGGGAATGGGCGCTGAATCAAATACGATAGAGGGTTCATCTTCGGCCAGCCTGTTGCTGTCTCATCTATCACGTAGGATAGTGTAGACACTCCTGCAGCGGAAAATCGATGAGAACATGAGGATTGACACAGTATTATAGACACCACCCTGGAGGTACTAAGCGATTGAATAGCTTTAGAGCGACAATTCAATTGATGGCTGATGTGAATAGAGACGCAGACGAAGTGAAGTGAGTAAATGAGCCCTGGTGCGTACCATGTTAGACAATCGCCGTATGAATGCGTGCAGCACTCTTTGATGAATGGCAGATCCTGTGAATAATGAATAAGAAGGTATTTGAGCACAGAGAGATGAGGGAATTCGAATGTTTTCCATATTTGATCCTCATGCTCCGTCCGCTGATGTCTACTTGTCTGTGAGTGCTCATATCTTTGGGCATATCCAGTGTCACAATGCGAAAACCCCCTTCTGACTGTGATCTTGAGACCAACAATGGGATCTCGCTTCTTCTTCTGATTGGAGTTGCATCGGGTACCGTGAATTGTTCTTATTTAGGAGGAAGAAAGATTTTGATACATATACTATGGGTACGAGAGAGATTGAAAAGAAACAATCTTGATGTATGGGACGGCAGTGTGCTGGCCAACTAGCCCTCCTTCCATCCCGGGGAGAGCGGGAAGGGGAGGCGACCACTAAAGAGTCAGAGACACCGCTGAGGACAAAGGGCAACGGTCTTGGGGTGATGTTTCAGAGACAAGTTTCATGGCTAGTGATAATGGAGATGTTCTGTGGCCGCCCTGATGCTGTGAAATAGATGGATCCAGTATCGAAAAGCGCGGAACTCCGCACTCTAAAAAAGGCATTCATCAATCGGCCCGTAAGCTGGCTGTGTTGTCGGTATCAACATCTGGACATGAGTATAGCCGCTATTACATTAAAGACATTAATGGGCTCAGTCTCTCTCTCTCTCTCTATATATATATATATATATATCTATATCTATATCTATATCTGTCTATATATATATATATTTATTTATATCTATCTATATATTTCTATTTAGATATAATCTTTAATTACGCCGCATTAATACTTTAGCCATCTATACAGAGGTCTACATTAACCTCCTCCATTTATACTCTTAAATTGCCATTCACGAGTATCTACCTACAGACTTCGGCTGGCTCAGAATGGCATCCGAAACAGAGACCATGCTGGCCGTATATGCGGAAAAGGGGGACGTGGACAACCCTCTTAAAGGCCTCACAGTTGGCCAAGTACCCATCCCCAGAATCCCCGAAGGTTGGGTCCGCGTCAAGCTTGAGGCCGCCAGCGTCAACTACCACGATGTGTTCACTCTCAAGGGCATCGGCCATCACCCCATCACTTTCCCGAGGATTCTAGGCTGCGAGGGAGTTGGAACTCTCGACGATGGATTTCGAGTTGTCATCTACCCGGTCATGATTTCTCCTGGATACATTGGCGACGAAACCAAGGATGCAAAGCGCAATGTGTTTTCAGAGCTCGTTGACGGCACCATGGCGGAACACGTTGCTGTCCCCAGAGCCAACGTCTTGCCTCTACCCAAGCAGATTGACCCTGTATCGGGCGCTGTGCTTGGAATCGCGTGGTTGACCGCATATCGGATGCTCTTTACAAAGTCTGGCCTTCGACCTGGACAGACGATGCTTGTGCAGGGCAGCTCAGGAGGAGTCAGCACCGCTCTGATCCAGCTTGGTGCGGCTGCTGGCATGCGCGTGTTCACAACAGGACGCTCTCCTGAGAAGAGGAAGCTTGCAGAATCGCTGGGTGCGGAGAGAACGTTTGAATCTGGAGAGACTCTTCTCGAGCAAGTGGACGCCGTGTTCGATACTAGCGGTGCTGTGACCTGGAAGCATTCCGTTGCCTCCGTGAAGACGGGCGGCACGATTGTCATCTGCGGCGGCCATAGCGGCTTTGAGTTGCCTACAGATTCGTTCCGCTTGATAGTTGACCAGCTCAGCATTCATGGCGTCTATGCCGGGACAATCGATGAGTTTCGGAGCCTAGTCTCGTTTGTGGCCGGGAAGAAGATCAAGCCTTGCATCGGAAAGGTTCTTCCGCTGTTGGAGGGTGCTGAGGCTATCAGGCTGGTGTCTGAGGGCAAGACTCATGGCAAGATGGTATTGACCGTCGGTGATGTGGCTGTGTAAGACTCGTCGCTGCGGGACAAGGGTTTACTCTGGAGAGGTGGAGGAAGCTGGAATAGTGCAAGCGTGCGAAGTAAGAGATATGCCATTTGAACAGGACATCAAGCAGTCACTGCCTCCCTCATTTACCCTGTATACTTGTTGACAAAAGCTTTGCGACACCGGAATCTACGAAGTATCACGAAGTATCACGAAGTATCACGAATCTCACCTAGCACCCCCTGACTTAATAAGTACATCATCGCTCTGAAGTGGCATGTTCCTCTACGTCTGGGAACTCATTATGTATCACATTCTACAGTCTATTGCCAAGTAAGCTCAATATTTTCGCCCACCTGCTTACTGTTGAACCACTCTACAATCTCAATCTTCTCCCTCACAGGCTTCGCTCCATCCAGCACACGATTTCGAACCAGAGCCTCAGCTCCCCACCACACAATAGCAGACGCAAAATTACGCGCAATGCATTGCCGTGATCCTTTGCCAAAGTAGAAGCTATCTCGCAGCATCTCGGGCGTACACTCCAGCCAGCGCTCTGGCAGAAAGTCATAAGGCGTTGGAAAGACGTCGGGGTTCAGATGCAGCGCGTATGCTCCGATACCAACGCTCGTGCCGGCGGGAATGCTGGGCAGACCGGGGACTTTGAGGCCGCCGGATGGGACGATCCGGGCAAGACGAGTGGGATTTGCCAGGGCGAGACGGGCAGCCTCTTTGACTGCTCCGGAGAGATAGGGGAGCGATCGAGCATCAGTATCAGGATACTGCAGGATCTCCTTGCGAGCACGGTCATATCTAGCAGAAGGCAGTCAGTTCAGAATCTCTCCCGTGTGTGTAGAGCAGTGAGAGACTCACTTCTCCGGGGCTCGAGCCATGTGCCAGCAAAAGACGGCCAAGACCCGCGCCATCCCGTCTGTTCCTGCAAACATAATGTCTATGACTTGCGCGATAGCCTCTTCTCGCGATATGCCAGCCTTTAGCAGTCGTCCTTGGTATGTCGCCTTTTCACCCCGAGCGATGCTGTCATCCACGACCTTGGTAGCGAAGCTCTGAACAGTATCGATGCTTGCGGTGATCAACGCTTGACTTTTATTCAATCTCGAAGCACAATACTCGAACAAAGTGAAGAGCCGGGTTGGTAGGTAGAAAAAGCGTCCGGCTGCAACGAAGCCGTCGACGAAGCCTGCTACACTGAGTCTTTTGCTGCCGACGCTGTGGAAGCACTCCCCAACGAGATACTCGGTCATCACGTCCATCGCCATGCAGCGAAACAAGTCCAATAGATCTACTGGTTTGCCGTTTGCAAGAGACTTTCTGCGTTCTAATCCAGACAGTGTAGTGTCGATGATCCTCCGCATGGCCGGTTTGCTGTTGTTGATCGCCTGCTGCGCAAATAGAGGCGCCACTGCTTTTGCCCGGACTGCTCTATGCGCATGGTCAGTGACTGAGAAGATGGTCGGAAAGCCGTTGATGTCAAAGTTTCTGTATGCCGGATGCTTGAGAAAGCCGCCGTTGTCGATGTATATAGGAGCGACGGCCGCTCCGTCGGATATGTCGATTTCGTTGGGCGCAATGCGAACGACTGGTCCGTATTTCTTGTGTAGCACTGCGATGGCTCGGCATTCGATGCCTCTCCAGACAATGTACCAGTACCAGATCGGGGTGAGACGAGCGATGAGAGGGCCTGGGATGTGGCGAAGACGGTCGGTGGTCAGTCCGTGAGCGGCTTTAAGCAGTAGGATCGAGACAACGGAGAGCCCGATCGTCAAGGGACTCAGGGACGCCAGTAGATTGGCAGTCACTGTAGCATGGGCTGCCATGACTGTTGAGTCTTGACGCTGAGGAGGCGGACAGCTGTCGATGAAGGTTGAGTGGATAATGGATTCAGGCTCTGGTCGAGCGGCACGGATTGAGGGGTTTGGCGACGCCAGGAACTCAACTGCAGCCTGAATCCTGCGCACATTGGTATGAGGCCCGTCTATAGAGCAGCGACGGATTCATGCATACTTGCCGCAGAGACAAGTCTCAGTCAACCGCGTTGCCAGCCATGCCAATGATGAACCTCTGGATCCCACCTTGTCTTCGCGAAGAGCAATGAAGGCTACGCCTTATTGAGCGCACCCGTGGAAAGGCTTGTCGAACATTATGAGGCTCGGATTGGAGGCAGGACACGCTCAGTAGAATCATTGCAGGGGCATCAACTTGTTCGATGTGCGCGTCGCAAAGAAATCGGTCCAGTCGTTGTTGTCTCGTTGTTGTGCGAAGAGCGCGGACTCACCCTAGGCATATCCGCTCGTCCAAATTTCCTAGTACTAGTAGTACTATTGAATGACCAGAATGGTGGGCCATGTCTTCTCGATGTAGCAGTACTCCGTAGTGGTTCCTCTGTTCCAGTTTCACATTGGCTTCATTGCACACTGCTGGGCATGGCAGTGCGAAAGGAGGTCCGGAGCCTTCGGTGCCGGCAGCGGCCCCAGGTCTTATTTATGTGTTCGGCATTACATGAGATGCCATTCGGCAGATTCAGATGATTGCATCATTGTGCATCTAATCCCTGGCCATCCGACCCCCTTTTGCTGCGCCGAGTCCATGGAGTTTTTGAAGATTCCTCGGCATTCCGGACGACCCCCGACCGCCGCTCCGTCAATTCCCCACCCTGTCCGGCCTCATCTAGTGATCTCCGTCTGGGATCTATACTGAGAAGCTGCTGCAATACTATCCCAATCATGGGCCATGTTTTCAACGAAGAGCCCCTTTTTTTGAAATCTTCCGTACAGCCTGATATCAAGCCAACCCCCCCCTCCCCCCTTTCTGGCATCGAGATGAGGCGATTACTCATCCTGTGAGATCAATGAATACAACTGACAGACAAAGCCATCATTCTGATATATAAACTGGGGCGGAAACCACCATCCAGCGAATCAGCGTCTGGTCCTCGGCTGACGTTGGATTCAAGTCCGAGGTTTAATATCCCGAGGCTTCCTCTCTCAATGCAAGTCGAAAGCACTTCCTCGTCTCTATTTCCCATCAGGTCAAAGAAATCCTTTTTGTTTGGGAGGCTAAGCCCTGCGAAGACGAGCATATCAAAGCCCCCTCAACAGGAACAATGTCGACTCGTCGCTATCGCTCTGCCATTGCCTGCCAGACCTGCCGGGTGCGCAAGGTGCGGTGCAGCGTGTCCATGACGGGGGTGCCGTGTATTAGTTGCGAGCAGGACCAGACGGATTGCATCTTGAAGCCGAGACAGGGCAAACGGTAAGACCACAAGCTATCTCTCTCTCTCTCACTCTTTGCATGTCATGACTCCATAGAGCTTGGTAGGAAACAGCCTTGGCATCAATCTAGTACGGATCGCTAACTGCAAGCCACACACAAATCGTCCCACCAGCTCTCGGCACAGCAGCAGCACCAACACTACCGTGTTCCCGGCTCCGCGTAATTATGTCGAAAGCTCGGCAATGCGAGACGCAGCTCGTAGTAGTAACCAGAGCAGAGGCCCCCCTCTCTCATCGCCAGAGTCTTCTACTACTAGTCCCGGGGGTGACGCTGCGCCCATCCGGGACTCCCAGCCGCCTTTGGGCACGCCGGATACCAGGGTCTCAGCTGCGTCGTCGTCGAGTAACCCCAGCACTGCCGACGAGGAGCAGCTCGGCGTCGAAATGGTGGAAGCGGCTTTGGGCCATCCGCGAAGAGAGGGCCGGGTTCCGTACTACATTGGTAAGAGTGTATCTCCCTGGGGATTTCGAGAGATCATCTATGCCTGGCTCTCATGCTTTTTTCAATCTTAAAACTGACAATTCTGGCAGGCGAACAGACAGGGGGGCCAACTTCGACCATGCACATATGCAGCACTGACCACGTCATACCAAAGCATCTCCTCATGCCGGCAGCAAAGCAGACGATCCTGACCGACGATGAAAAGGCCTTTCTCCGCAGTAAAGGTGTCTATTCGTTCCTGTCAGAAGCGTCTGCCGACAGCCTGATTCGGGCGTATTTCCACCATGTCCACCCCATTATGCCCATTCTGGAGGCCGACAAGCTGCTGGAGTATCACCGCTTGAAGAGGCTGAATGAGTATAATCTTATACTGCTATGGGGCCTTTATACCATTGCGAGCAATGTGAGTGTGATATTCTTCTATTAGTTGATTGATTGGTGTTGTAGCTACATGCTGACTGCAAATCCAGTACATGCCCGCAGAGGTATATGAAAACGAAGGCTTTGCATCCCGAAAAGCCTTTCGAGCCGAAATGTTTTCTCGTGCCGTTGTAAGTCAAGATCCCCACATTGGATGTCGTTCTTCTCCATCATTCTAACCCTTGCCATAGTGTGCATATCACAATACTGGTGAAAAGAATAATCTCATCCTCCTCCAAGGAGCCCTTCTTCTCGGCTTCTGGAACTCAGACATAGAAGACCACATGCAGCCATGGCAGTGGAGCGGCAAGGCCATCAACCTATGTCAGATCCTCGGCCTCCACCGCGACATTGACTCGGTCGGCTACAACTCATCCATCACCGAGCAGCAGCGCTCCCTATTTCGTAGGCTCTGGTGGACGTGCTTCTGGCGAGACCGCTGGCTGTCCGTTTCTCTTGGGAGGCCGCTGCGCATCAACCTCGACGAGTCTGACACGTCGGATCCTCTAGTCTCTGATATTGCCATTGACCTGGAGGGGGTTCCGGAGTCTATCACGTCAGCCTATTTGCCGAGGGATCTCCCCCGGCTGGCTGAGTACTGGATACAGCTCATACGAATGACCAAGTTGCTGGGCAAGACTCTCACCACATGCTATCAGCTTCGACGACCGAAGCCGACAATCAGCCAGATTGATGCTCTTGAGGCAGAGCTGATGCGCTTGAACATGCCAGACCACCCAGATCCGATGCTGTCTCGACTGGCAACATTCTACTACTACCACCTCCAGCTACACTATCAGTCAGTCTCAGTCCGCCCTTGCTCGAGCTAACTTTCTCGTGCAATGTTTTCACTCACTGACCGCTGCAGAGCCTTACTGGTCACATTCTATCGACCCTGTAGCGTAGAGGCTCCTTCGGATCTCCCCACCTATCGCCAGAGAGAATGGCAGCAGGAGATGCAGGGAAAAGCAATGTCCGCCGCCTCCAAGACATGCAACATTGTCTACGCTCTGGCCCAGGGCAACTTCTTTTCCTATGCCGGGCCAATGACGTGAGTTTTATTACACCCTGTTCCCCCTTGGGGAGGGAAAAAAAAAAAAAAATCATCCTCTCCATCTACCAGTCGGGTTGAGACGACAGAACAAATACTGATGTTTTTTGTACATCATCAGCCCAACGCTTCTCGTCCCTGCAATGCAAGTCTACCTCCTCAACTGCAAGTTTGGCGACGCCCTCTCGCGCCGCCTCGGCCTCAACATGCTCAACATGTGCATGATGATTCTAGAGGAGCTCCAAAAGACATACTCGGTTGCTTCTGTGTGCCGGGGCATCTTTGGCAAAGCCATACAACAGCTCTTCCCCGACGACGCCGCCAGCGTCTCGCTCACGCATTCACTTCCCGAGCAACAACAGCCACAACAACAACAGCAACAACAACTGCTACTGCAAGGGGGTACATCTTCCGCATCATCATCATCATCGTTGGCCGTGGCCGAGCAGCAGCAGCCGCTTCCACCCGTGACGGCGACGGTTACGGATCCTTCGCTCCAGTTGGAGCTGTTCAGTGTGAATGCCACAAAGGCTGATTTCATCGATGCTCTTACGGCAGAGGCGTCGATTTTCAGTTTTGTTGACATGTTGAACTTTGCATGACTGTTGCTACCTGGCTTTGCTTTCTGAATCATATCGGGATGTAAACAGGTTGGGGTTGGAAAAGATGATAATAATGAGGCATAATGACTGTTATCAAGGTCACGCTCGTGGAATCAAATAGCTAGCTAGTCCACCCAAGACTTCAGTGACCAGCAAGCATTATATGGCGAGAAAGTGCACAAGTTGGGCGCTCAATGTTTAAGCTCGCTGCAAGCAGCAAACAACCAGTTATTCTTTATTCATGATTGTACCAAACCCCAAGCCCAATAAACCAAGATCCCCTAACCCAAACCCTGCCCTTCCTTCAGTCCGTCCCGGGGCTGGAAACGTCGGCAGACTGAACACCCCAGCTATCCATTTTGGCCAGGTTCCGGCGGCTCGAGTCCCGGCTGAGAATGCCCGGGAAGATCATTGGGTCGCTCCCCGAAATGTGCGCGTCTGCGGCAACGTTGGAAGTGCTGCGGTGAGTCACCCCCGAAGTGGGCGTCGCAACGCCAGACGGCGCTTCAGTGCCGCTTGCAGAGGGGATGTTGGCGTTTTGTGCCTTCAGGGCCAAATCGGCTTTGTTGTTCTTCTTTTCGGCGTTGGGGTCGTATGTCGCGTATCGGCCAAGTCTACAGGCCATGTCAGTAATCCCTTCATGAACCAATCGATACGGGATGCACTTACACCTCCCGCTCCGTCAGCAGGGTGTGATGCCTATACTCCTCTCTCCGGTCAGGCACATTCGTCTTGGCCATGGTGTTTCCCTCTCGGCCCGGCCTGTTAAAGTTGGGCCCCAGCCACTGCTCCTTGACGGCCGCCTCGTACCCGCTCTGCTTGACCGAGTTCTTGGCCAGCTCGCACATGTCCGTCGGGCTGAGCTTGTAGATCTGGGCAGCAACCGCGTATTCCTCCATCAGCGGCTCCTTTGTAAAGGCAAACTGCAGCGGGTCGTCGGTCGAGAGCGACACGTTGAGGCCCCTCCGAAAGTATTGAGGGAACGGGTTCCGGTCGTAGGACAGGAACAGGGCGTTGTTGCTCAGGGGCGACATGGCGACTCCAATCTGCTCCAGGTAAAACACATACTGCAGCAGCGGCACCTTTCGGAGCAGCACGCCGTGGCTGATGCTGTGGCAGCAGAGCGCGGCGCTGGCCAGGTGCTCGGGGTCTCCGGCTTCGGCGCAGTGCGGCCGCAGGATCAGGGTGTTGAAGCCGCGCTGCTTGCGCCACCTGTTGAGGGAGACCATGTTGGAGAAGAGGTAGTAGATCCAGTAGTTGTACGGGGGGTTCTGCTTCGTGTTCCACTCCCTCGGGACGGGGAACTTTCTGTACAGGCGCCTCTCAATCTTGCTCTCGTCGTCCACGCTGTCGATGCCGACGACGCGCTGCAGGAAGATGTGCAGCTTCGGGTGGCTCGAGGGGTCCTGCGTGACCTCGAACAGGGGCTTGAAGATGTTGGTGACGACTTGCTCAAACGACTCCATCAGGCCATTGTCCTTGTAGACGTCATACAGCCGGGGAATCTGAATCAGCCAGCGGACGTTTTGCGAGAACAGCTTGTTGTCGACGACCCAGGCTGCGAGCTTGTCCCAGTCGTCTGGTGACTTGCCGTAGATGGAGAGCCGCCACTCGGCCATCTGGTACTTGCTGGCTTCGAGATCGGAGATGACCTCTTTGGTGAGCTCGGCTAGATACCGGCCCTTGATGAGGTTATCCGTCTTGAGGAAGATTTCTCGCAGTCGAGACTCTCCTATGGGGTTGTACTTTAAGTTGAACTTGTCAAATCTGTGAAAGGAGTCTATGTGCGCCTTGTCTTCATGTCAGCCTAAATCACCCACCAGGATGGCGACGATCAAAACGTACGTGCATATCCAGCGTATCAATGCTCAAGTCGTAGGCCGTCAGGTTGATACTGGCAAACACCTCGGCAAGCGTCAAGTGCTTCCCGTCACGGTACAGGACAATCTCGTCCGGGTTCTTCTTGAGCTTGCTCTTGATGAAGCGCAGCAGGTGCTTCTGGTTCATGGATGCCGAGTGGTGGACGTGGGTGTCGACCTTGCGGACGTTGTAAAAGTCTCGGTGCGGCACCTTTTTGCTGTCGGCGGTTTCCTGGTACTCGTTGAGCAGGGCGTACAGGTTGAATTTGCCCTCGAGGTACTGCAGGCGGCGGAAGGCGAAGCTCTTGCTCGGGCCGTCTGACGAGGCGGCCAGGATGCTGTCGAGGTCCATGTAGAACTGCCTGATGGTCGGGACCTCGAAGACGGGCGTGGTGGACTCGGCGTCCTTGAAGACCTCGTAGACGCCGGCATCCGTCAGCCTAAACGTCAGGCTGTCGTCTCGGGGGGGCAGCGGCATGAAGTGCTCCATGTCAAAGACGTCTCCCGGCTTGTCTCCAGGGGGGTAAATCTCCCAGTCGGGGCTGTCTCTGGGGTCGTCGCCGGGGCGCTGCAGCGAGAGCTCCAGGTATCTCCGTCTCAGGGCGATGATGTCCTGGATGCTCTTGGAGATGGCGCTCAGCTCTGCCGTGACCTGCGGCTGGGGATCGAGGAAGTTGATGTTGGAGACGCCCCTGGACGCCTCGGCCGCGAGCCGAGCAGTGTCATACCCAGGGTTGGAAGCCTTGCCCACGGATGCCCTGCCCACGGATGCCCTGCCCACCGAGGCTGAATCGTCCTCGTCATACTCGAGGCTGGCCACAGGGTCGTTGTAGCCCGATGCCTGCGACGGCTCTACCATGGTTGAGCCCTCGAGCTGGCTCCGCTGGTAGAACAGCTTGGCATCCGTCTGCGTCATCTGCCGCTCAACGACCGAGTCGTAGAACGTGGTGCGATGAGGAATGTCTCGAGGCAGCACGTCATCCTGGTCCTGGTCCTGGTCCTGGTTCTCCTCCTCGGGCAGCAGCGGCGGCGGCACCTCGAGCTCCCGGTCACTCTCCTCTGCTATATGGGAGCTCATCTTGGGCCCCCAATTCACGAACCACCGCTTTCTTGTTATTGAACGACTAAAAAGCGGTGATGGAGGATAATATTTTCTTCTTTTGACTTCTTCTTCTTATTTTTTTTTGCTGTAGGTGTTTGCGTCAATTAGAGTTTATTTGGGCAGAATTATGTACGACTATGGAATGCACAGCAAATCGCGATCGGGTAATCTGGCGGCGTTTCTGGGGCACATTTTCGGCTTGGCAGCAGCCAAGATGCTTGCACAAACTGGGAGGACAAGAAAAGAACGAGTGAAACAAAGAGAAAAATGGACAAGAACAAGGACGGAAATGGAAGACAGAGGTAAGCTCAACGTACCGCAGAGCCCGAATATGATTCGACGTGAAAGAAAAAAAAAAGAGTCAGATAAATCAGTTGTCTCGAGTTTTGATGCAGCAGTAGTGGCAGCTGTGAGCCGTCAGTTTGCGAAACCCTTTGTAAGAGTGAATCTCTTAATCAACATCGGCATCTCCAGGGCTATTTATATATTGATATTTACCTAGGTATATATCCACAACTGACAGTTCGGTGACAGCTCCGCAATGAGTCAAATCCACCGGCTAATGACACACATAAAAGGCTGCTTCAGTTCCACTTCGGCCGGCGGCCACCGAGAGATACGGAGGGTGCCTATAAGCGGGGATTTGCATCAACAGAGGTGATTGCCCACAACCTCAAGATAACATGGAACTCTATCTCAGCATCCCAACATCTCAACATCTCAACATCCCCTCATGTAGGTCGTCTTCAACTTCATCTCACCTCATACTATTTCAAAGAAACATCTCATAGCTTGGACGAAAAGCTACATCTTCATACGGGCGTTAGCTGTTATACCTGGCATAATGCGTAAAGATCCGGCCCACGGTACCTAGGTATGGATAGGTACCGTCTCATGCATCCCGCTCGTCGTGTTCTAACGTGCCGTGATATGTCACATGCGCTCTTCGGAGAGTGATTCCACCTACTCCAGATATCCATTCGTCTTGACCCAGTCCGCCACATCCTGCCCATCGCGCTCCACCCACGAAATCTTGGATCGGATAGAGTCCTTGCTTTGTGCGAGCGACTGATCGTAGCCGTTGGTGTTCTTGTCGCTAAAGAACTTCTCGACGCGGGCCAGCTGCTCAGGCTTGGTGAAGCCAGACGTCAGCAGCGACACCATGGCGGGGAGCATCGGCAGGTTGGGCGGGTGTCGCTTGTAGAGCTCCTCCCAGTTCTCCGTCATCCAGTTGAACAGCGCCTCGATACCCTCGGGGTGGGTGCGCAGTCCGGACGCAGGCATGTAAATGTCCTGGTCTCGGACCTCGCCGTTGAGCAGCAGAGACAGAGTCCTCTGGATGAGTTCGGGGTCCTTGGCGCGGCCAAGAGATCGGAGGCAGGTGTTGCGCTCGTCGCTGTTGGTCGACTCATGGTACAGTTTGATGATGCTCTCGTACTAAGGCGCAATGTGTTAATATAGGTCTATCGAACAAGTCTCTGATATTTCTCAAGCTTACCTCTTCCTTGCCGCCATACTTGAGGGCAATAGCAAACACACTCTTGCGAATGTTGGGGTGAATAGCCGACTTGTCGCCAGCGATAAATTTGGCAAACATTTCCTTGGAAGCAGAAATAATGGTCTCGTCGCCGCTCAAGCCGGCGCTGCCAAAGAGTGTGGCCTTGAACTGCTGCTCAACGTGGCCGTCCGAGTCGGAAAACTCCCACCCGAGCTGGTGAGCCTTGGCGCTGACGAGCTCTCTCAGGAATGCGCGGATGCCATTTCGCACGGCCTGGTCCTCAAACAGCCAGGCAGCCTGGATCGATCCGAGGCGGGAGATGATCTCGTTCCAGACGACAAACTCCGTCTCGGCATCGAAGCCCTTTAGGAGGTTGAGGAAGCCAGAGGTCTTGCCGTAACCAGAGCTGGAGAGCGCAGCAGCATCGGCAATCATGCCTGCCCTGTCCTCCGTCGTCAAGAGACCCTCCTTTGCGGCCTGGCCCAGCTTCTCCAGGCGGCTGGGGGTGTAGAGCGTTCGGTAGATTCCAGTGTGGTTGGCGTTGAGCTTGAAGAAGTCGAGGCTGGGCACGGGGAAGTCCTTCTCGCGCTCCTTCAGGGCCAGCGTCTCATCGACGCCGTCCTTGGTCCTCAGGCCCAAGAAGACGGGGTACAGGACCTTGTCTTCCTCCGGGGTTGCGTCGCCGGTGCGGAGGAAGCGGTTCTGCTTGACGTGGATCGCATTCTCGCCCTCCTTCTCGGTGACCGTAAGGACGGGATACCCGACGCTCTTGGTCCACGCAGTCATGACCTCGTGCACAGGCTTCCCGCTGACCTCGGCCAACGAGTCCCACAGGTCGCTAGTCTGGGTGTTGCCGTAGGCATACTTCTTCAGGTACTTGCGAACGCCCTCCAGGAACTTCTCCTCTCCCAAGTATGTGGAGATCATGCGGAGCACACAAGATCCCTTGGAGTAGGAGATGGCATCGAAGATTTGGTTAATCTCGTCAGCACGGCCCACGGGAACCTCAATGGGGTGGCTGCTACGGAGGGAGTCCAGCGACAGCGCGGACTGCAGGTCGTCAGTGACGTACGTCTGCCAGACACGCCATTCGGGGTAAAAGATGTTGCATGAGTACCACGAGGCCCAGGTGGCGAAACCCTCGTTGAGCCAGAGACCCTCCCACCAGTCCATCGTTACCAGGTTTCCGAACCACTGGTGGGCCAGCTCGTGCTGGACAACCTCGGCCACGCGCTGCTTGGTAGCGGCACCGCTTGCCTTTTCATCCAGCATCAGGTCCACAACTCTGTACGTGACCAGACCCCAGTTCTCCATGGCTCCCTGGGCAAAGTCGGGGATGGCAACTTGGTCCATCTTGGGCAGGGGGAAGTCGATGCCAAAAGCCTTCTCGTAGAATGCGAGCGTCTTTGCAGCAAGGTCGACGGAGAAGCGGCCGTGCTCGATATCGTGGCCCGGGGGAGCATACACTCGCACGGGGACGCGGAAGTCGCGCGACTCGATGTAGTTGAGCTCGCCGACAACGAAGGCGACGAGGTAGGTGGACATGAGGGGAGAGGGGTTGAAGGTGACGGCTTTCCTGGTTCCGCCAGTGATCTTGGACTGGACCTCGGTCTCGGAGGCAACGTCCATGTTGCTCAGGCACGTCAGGTTCTTGTCGGCAACCAGCGTGACGGTGAACTTGGCCTTGAGAGCCGGCTCGTCGAAGCAGGGGAACGCTCTGCGGGCGTCGGTGGGCTCCATCTGGGTGCTCGCCAGGATGCCCTCGGTGCCGTCCGGTCGCTTGTACTTGGAGCGGTAGAAGCCGGCCATCTTGTCGTTGAGCTGGCCGGTGAAGTCGATTGCCAGCTGCACCTTGGAGTTCTTTTCGAGGGTGTGGGAGCCGTCGAAGTCGAACTTGGTCACTTGGCTGTTCTCATCGTAGGAAATGGCAGGCGTGGCACTATTGATGAGAGCCGTTAGCACAACGCACCCGATGAAGAGCGAAAAGGACGGTGTCTTTCATGTCTCACCTAACAACCTGGCCACCAGAGGAGAGCTTTGCGCCGTGAATCTCGAGCTCGAGCGTGTTGAGGGAGATGAAGCTCGACGTCTCGGCAACATCGAGGTCAATGACGACGGAGCCGTTGTAAGTGAGCTTGTCGAAGTCGGGCTCGACGGTAACGTGGTAGTGGCGAGGCACGACGTTGGCAGGGAGCAGCTCGCGCTTCGGAGCGGCGGCCGAGCCGCCCTCGAGACCAGCCCTGGCTCGACACATGGCGGAGCAGAAGCGCGCAGGCGGACGATTTCGAAGAGAGCGAGGAGAGGCCGCGGCAGCAGGGCGTCGAGCAAGGCGGAGGCGAGGGAGCGAATGGGTCGGAAGTGTCGACGAGTAGAGAGGAGATGGTAGAAGAGAAGTAGAAGAAGTCGCAGAAGTAGAAGAAGAGGAAGAAGCAAGAGAAGCAGAGAGAGTAGAAAAGTGCCTTGACCGGAGCAAAGGCGGTGACGATGATGTGTAAGGAATCGACGGCGACAGAGCTGAAGCTGACGCTGAAGCTGATGAAGCACGACAGCAGCTCCTGCCCGCCTTGAGCCCCTCCAGCGTCAATGGCGGGGTCCCGGCCAGTACCTGTACTTTCAGGTTCCGCTGGTGGGGGGACAGCCTGGCTGCCCGGAGAGGCTGCAGCCACCCCATTTGCTCGTGCTGTGCTGGGATGTACAAAGAACGGATGCAGAGGCAAGACGGCCGAGAGCTGGAGAACTTTTGATGCTGCTGAGACGCTTATGGGTGACTTTCAGCCTTGGAGGAGCACGTCCCTTATTGACCAAGACCCGTCCAACTGGGCTTCAATACGCTGCAATTGATGTCGCGCGTTTGCATGCGCACGGCTATGCATGCGAACAGCAAGCTCGCGCGTCCCTTGATGCAATGCGCCGAAATTTTGCATGCCTCTGCGGGTTGATGCCGAGGTTTAACCACTTGGCAGAGGCTTGGAAGGCTTGCTTGGGCCTTTGTGTCTTCCATGGTTCTTTTGTTATATGGGGCCGCAGATGTTGAAGCGGGACATTAACCTGGAGAGACCAGTTCTTCCTCTGCCGAGGGAACTTTTGCCTGTGCGTTTACCAACGGCATCACGGGATGGTTTGCCGGGCGCATACGGATATGAGATCCATGGATGCCTTTGTCCTCACTTGATTGGTTAATGAATTTCATGAAGAAAGGGTTAAGAGCCTAGGAACCAGCAACATCATGTATTCGCGTGTATCTAGTCTAACAATCCAGAATATTAAGGCAGTGTAAGAGAAACATTGTCCAGCCATCCAAACCCATTGTTACAAAGGAAACGCAAAATCTAGAAACCTGAGCTTGTACCTAACTACTATCATCGTCAAGATGGCAGAAACGTGCAGCAATACCGACAAGACAAAGCTGGCCCCGCACTAACAGGTTGTCGGAGCCGGCAGCATATAATAGACTGCCATATAAAATCGCCATCAAGCTCGCGGTGACACATCTGGGTTCCCGGTATCGTTTGGAGGTGTCGTGTAGGACAATGTATCGTGAAAGGATCCGACGTCATCTTTGTTGTCGGCACTCGCGCATGGCATACCTTCCTGGGCAGTTATTGTATCCGATCGGGCTTCTGTAACACCATGGCTCTCTGGAGAAGTGTACGATTCGGGAGAGGCAAGAAAAGCGGACGTGTCAAACATGAGAGAAGCAGTACACGATGCCGGGGTATCATACACTGCCGCAGGGTTACTGTAGCCTTCAAGCGATGTATAACTTGCGGGAGAAGTGTGCGAGGCAGAAGCGTCATAACCGACGGACGAAGGATATAGCACCGAAGGTTCATATGCTGAGGAGTCGTAGAAGGATTCAGGGCTCGTGTACGGCCCAGCTTCAGTGAAATCGGTGAGGGACAGGGAGGGTGTGGAAGCGCTATAAGCCGTAGAAGTATCGGGAACAAGCAAAGGAGAAGGCGTAGAAATTGCCCCTGCGTGGATCAAATTTGGTACCGCGAGATGCTCAGCCGCCGGTATCGCGTTGTTGTATGGATATGTGGAGAGAAGCGCGGGCTCGACATACAGCGGCGTAGCTGCGGTGTGATCGGGAAACGCGCCTGCAGTATAATGCGTAGCAAAATCTATAATCTCAGTGGGAGGCGGAGCGATAGCAAAGCCTGAAGCTGCAGAGTGGCCATGATGTTCAAGTGTAGGCTCGACGTGGGGCGGCGTATCAACAGTATAAGACGATCGTGCAGTATAGTCCCAGGGTGCTACTACAGCATGAACCGGAGGTGCGAAAGAGGCCTCGTCCGATGAAACAAGCGAGGTGTGCTCCGGGAACATCGATTCGACATAAGCAGGTGTAGTGGCGAGCAGGTTCAATGGCGTGCTTGCAGCGTAATACGGAGATGTCGCCGTAGCTGCTTGCGAGGACGTAGGCGGAATGTACTCCAGAGGGACAGCATCGGCATTGTAAGAGAATGTCGGCTCGGTATAACTGACTGCCACGCTTGTTGTACCTGACGCGTCTGCAGTGTCCTGGGGTGCGACCGTCTGGCACTGAGTGTGCGTAGCCAACTCGGTGCATTCTGTACAGTGGCAAGGTGCAGTTGCTCTATGCTGAGGGCCAGATATAACAGTGCCAGCATTATGCCCAGATGCAAATTGTGAAGCAGCCACATCAACAACACCCTCAATCGGGGCCTCAACAGCCAGTTGGTCCCAGAACTCAGGAGCCACAGAAGCTTCGGGGTCAATGTTCTGGATAGTCATCAGTGCACCGTGATCGGAAGTCTGATTTGATGGTGGCAAAGCCTCCTGCGGGTCCCCACCATCGTTCCCGTCGTCCATCTTCAGAGAGGCCATGTATCCAGGAGGTGTACCGCGAAACATGCGCCTAACAAGTTTCTGGACAATCCTAAATGCCACTTTGGCCGATTCCGAGAGGAACAAGAGCTTCCTCTGAAGAACAAGGGCAAGCTTGGCAGCGCGGTAGATATCATCTCGCCGAGGAACTTCCCCAGTCTTGTCGTTTACTACCACGTTGCTGAGCACCGTGGCCGCATCGACTAGGGAGAATATGATGAAATGGAAACGTCCATCGCGAAATGTGAGGAACTTTAGCCAGTTGTCCAACACTCTCACTAGGAGCAGCGTCAAGTCGATGACCACCCGGCGAAGCTCCAGCATCTCTTCAGAAGACTGGTCTGTGTATGTCTTCTGCATGTGTGGGCGAAACGGGTTCAAGAGCATCATGTATCCCATTGTGTAATTGTAGTGGCGATGATACTCGATCCAGACCTGTTTCTTGTCGTTTGACGTGTCGGGGTTCACCAATGCAAAGATGGGGGGGAAGCTCAGCATCCACTCGTCGACCATACCCTTGTATTCCATGAGCTGCTCGTGAGTCTTCACATTCGACGGGGCAGAGAATCGCTCGGCTAGTTGGTGGACCAGCTCTGACTGCATGACCATGTGCAGCAGAGGGGAAAAGCTTCCGTCAGGTTCCAGGGTCAGCGAGGGGCGCCCGGCGCGACAGTTGCTGTGATCAACCAAGGTCTGTCGAAAGAGTCCCGAAGCAATTTGCCTAAGAATCATTAGTGGCAGCGTCTCACAGGGTGTTGACGAGAATGAAGACAGTAGAAAAAGAGAAAATGGAGGAGGAGAAAGATGAGGGAGAAAGATGAAGGATGGGAAGAAACCCCAGGGAAACTTCCGACAAAACTTACCAGTCCCACGAATCTATCACACACCATGACCTCCGCCGCATCTCCAACTCAAAATTTGGCAAAACATCAGCATCTTTTTCAGTGTCAAATCCTAACAGCAGGTTAGTAAGCTATGGATTGGGAGCTGCTTCTGCCATGATGCGACGTACCGAGCTCTTGGGCTTCCCGAACAGCTGTGTTGAAGACATGGCAGCATTCTGTAAACATGGCCTCGGCTTTGTACCAATAAACCGAGTGCAAGAGCCACAGAACATTGTTCCTGTGGTAGCGGCCGACGGGTGCCACGCCATGGAGGCATCGTGCATGATAATGATAAGTCTCAGTGCGGTCTTGGCAACTGGCGTTGAGCATTCGCTCCAGCCTCGCCTGGTAGTCGACTGGTAGATGCTGGCATGCACATGCGCACATCATCAGTACGAGGCATGTCAATGGAATGGGAAGCGCATAGTTTCTGTCCCTCCGATTCCACCAACGATCGTATTCGCGGCTAAAGTCGGATCTGTGAAGAATGCCATAGTGAGGGTTTACGTTTCGGAAAAAGCTGATGATGAGAGCATCTTTGAAAGCAACCGCAACACCCAGTCAGCTTAGGGAACATTGATTCGAGGCAAGGAATCAAGGCCATTCACATACCCACGTGTTCTCGTCTCGGGAGGGAGTCCAAGGCACTCTGCAATTCGAGACAGGTTGCGGCCGACCTCATGTACTGTTTCCCCTGTGGGCGTTCCCTGCGACGTATCTATGCGAAATACCACATGTAAGTATGTCGTCACTTTACACCACCAGGCCGTTGGTGATCAACCAATGGGGAGAGTGTGTTACCATTGTCATCTGCGTCCTCGATTGCCCAGCGGTCTGGCCATCCGGTCCATCTGGGCTCACGCCGGCGTTCTTCTGTCTGATGGATCCTTTCCCGCCGTCCATGTCCAGGTCAGACTCGGAATCACAGTCAGAGTCGGAATCATCACTGCTGTCGTAGCGTCTTTTCGAGCCAGCTCCCCGGCCTTTTGCTGTAACTTTGGCGGCTGTCTCAGATGCTGTTGCAGTCTTGACTTGGGTCTGATCGCTCGCTTTGGTAGCCGATTTCTCGATGAACCGACATTCCCGTTGCGTTGAGCGATTCTTGCAGTGCAAGCATGGATAAATCCGATTACACTTGACAGCAAGGAGTAGACGTCAGTGCTTCCGCAGCAAGCTAGGGGAGAGAAAAATAACTGAATCCCACCTACCTTCTGCTTGCGCCGTTGGCATTCGGTACACGAAGACTTGAAGCGTCGAACAGGCTGCTGCATGCTATCCATGACTCCCTCGACCTGGATGACCGTGCCGTTGTCTTTCGTCTAAGAGGCAATGATGAATGAAAAAGCACAACGTGAAAGGAAGTTTTAGCGAGCTTAAGAAGGCAAAGCCCGCATCAGAAGCGACCGTTGAGGTTGGAAATGATGTCAGCATAGGGGGGACCATGAGGAGGAGGAGGAGGGAGATGAAGAGACGCCGAACGAAAGGCAGAGAACAAGTACGAGTACAAAAAGTCAGCCCCAGCCGCCAAGACGGCGATCAAACGGTGCAGATGGCCAGACAGGGGCCACAAGCCTGAGCAATGGAGGCGACATGTGGATGGGATTCAGATGCAGGATTTCTGGAGCTGCTCGAGATTCCGATCTCGAAATAACGGCAACGGTCGGGAGTGGGGCTGAGACAGCTCCTACGGGAAGGAAGTTGCGAGGGGGGCTTGGGGTGGTGGTAGTATCCCGTAGAGCTGAGGCAGCACGAAAAGGGGATCGGGTAGTCACGTGAGCTGTTAGCCGCGATTTCTCATCTCCCGCAAGGCACTTGATTGGCTGCGGTGGCCCAAGATTGGCTTAGCGGCCGTTAGCTGTTCCGTGCGGCGGGTCCAGATGCACAGATGCTCAGATGCGTTTTAGTGGCGTGCCGTATGTGCGAGATGAAGGAGGCGCACAGTGTACGGGATCCAGGAACCGGGGAATACTTGCACGATGATGATGGCCATCTGACACGCGCGGTAGTATCACATAGTCACAGGAGAATGATGGAAGATGTACCCCAGATACCTGATCCCGAATGCCAATCTGCGTAGTGTAGTACATGGCGGAGGCTTTCTTAGAGTGAGAGGCAGAGGCCAGGGACCATCGACCACGACTCAGCTATGGATGCTTGGTACTGTTCTGAGAAGAGAGAGAGAGAGAAGGAACAGGCATATCCGGCAACGTCCTGATCCTCAAGGTATCCAAGGCATCCAGGAGACCGCTTCTTGGCATGCGGGAGGGTGATAAAGGAGTAGGCATGGTACAGTCAGTCTCGAGAGATTCCTTGCCAACCTATATTCTACTGCAAGTACTACCTTAGTATCTCGCACAAAGAACACACACACAGTACCTGTAAACGGCATGCCTCTCCCTCACCCCTGTCCTCAGCCGCAGCCACGCCGGCACCATCGGGCATCATGTTCGCTTGCCAGCATGCATTGTCTTTCCAAAGGCTCCGGTTCTCAGGCCTCCATGTCAATAACATGTCGCTGAATCCCATAGACTGCAGGATGGCTCAGCGGCTAGCACTCTAAATTGGCGACAGGGTGACGTCGTGCGTATTCTAGACCTCGGCTTGCCATAGCGTAGCCTGTCTCTTGTTCTACGTGCCACCAAGACCAGGACCAGGACCATCGTGGTCCTTGTAAACCGTTATTTGGTGGCTTGTACAATTTCGGTTGACCCAGTAAAGCGGGTGATACAACGTCCTGGAGATAGCCGCCGTTGACCTGCGGCCCCGTATATAGCACCGAGAGCCTGTCAGCTGTGGCTGTCACTCGTGCAGTCGGTGTAAAGCGAGCCAAAAAGCACGACCAGAGCATCACGAAGAAATCACCTTTGACCGTGATTCTCCCCTTGCCGCTCTTCTCACTCAGCCTCACTGCAGACTGAATACATATCCCTGCCTGGACTGCAAGAGTCCCGTTGCAGGGTTTCACATCGTAACCGGACAGATTTAGACTTACCACATGTAACGCACATGTAGGTACGCAGCCTGCACGAAAAAGAAAAGAAGGCCGAATGATACTCACGGCTTCTGATTCGCCCCTCATTTGCTCATCAAAAGCTTGTCTCATTGCTTGTACAACCTTCTTTGCCTCCGCCTCCCGGTAACATCTGGACGCTCCGGCGCTTTGCACATCGTGTTGTCTATCCCCATTGGCAAGCCGCTGTGCCTTACCTGCATATCCTCATCTCGCATCCATGTACCCAGAAGTCATCAACCATGGCCAAGACACAGTCCACGCGCACTCACCGTCTCTTTCTGAGGCCAGCCAGCCAGGCTCCATCACGGAGTATGCTCCGCCATGACCTCCAATTTGTATGCCAGAAGCACATCCTCCAGCGTCACTTGGAAGCTCTCACTGGTCGAAACGGAAGCAGGCAGTCGCTCCAATGAAACATCCCACTGCATGCTTGCATCTCTGATCCGATACTAGCCCTCAACCTGATTCTTTCCAATCCCTGGCCGGAAGGTCTTGATGTTGTCCGGGTCGATGGACAGAATTTTCGAGGTCGTTGATCATCGGGTGGCGTATTGTTTGCTTCATGCTGCTTCGCGCCCTCTTAGCCAAAAGTCTCCGGCGGCTGCACCCAACTCCACCTCTTGTGGTTCTTCATATCGCCGAGAGGGTGCCAGTACCTCCTCGTTCACGAACTCATCCATATACGCCCTCCGCTGCTGCTGCTGCTGCTGCTAGTCTATTGACTTCCGAACCTTAAAAGCCCCCTCCAGCACACAAGCCCCAGATGCTGGTCACGGTGGGCCAGTGGCGGAACGTTGCAGTGTCGAACAATACCAGCATGCCCAAAGCTGTATGGCTCGGCTGAATCAGGGGCCTGATGGCTCGGATGTAGGCCATGTCCCCAGCAGCAGCCGACAGGGTCGGCGGTTGCGCCTCTCGATGTGATGACTGTGTGTGTCGTATAGCATGCGGCGGCCAGCTCATATAACTTGATACAGTACTCAGCTAAACAGCGGACGTCGTGGGCTGCAAATCACTTGTATGGGGTAAGCCAGATAGTCATTGAACTCGTTGCTTTCACATACCATTCAGTACCAGTGAGGCAGCCAACTGCCGAGGCGACTTTAAGGGCCGAGATAAACGTGCTGATCAACAGGACTCAAAGACCCAGCTGGCGCCAAGGCGCATGAGGTCCCGATCCGCAATGTTACAATCTCCTCCCCTATCTTTTGCAATAGCACCCGGTGCGCCAATCGGTTGCCGTTGACATGCATAGTCTCCTTCTCAAAGGTGTCCAGCCCCTTTCTCCTGCCGGCGGTCCAGACCATCATGGACAAGGGCCGTTGAAAACTGATGGCTGCGCTGTAATTTTAAGTCAGCAGCTCATGCATACTCTGGAGAAGCCAACAAAAGCAAGAGTAGGGGGGGAAGAGGTGAAATGATACATTTGTTCACATTCGCATGCTCAGATAGGCAGCAAAGTTCGTCCTCCAACCAGCCGCAGTGAGAATATGCTCCATGCCCACAACTTCCTCGCTCCGAGGCCAGTGCCCTAGCTCGCGGACCATGACGCCCGCCATCTGAATCCATGTATTGAGGTCCAAGTGCGTCATGCCGCCGTCCGTGTAGTACCACTCAATCATGACTAGAATAGCCTAGACCAGCTCGAGTGACTGGTTCCCCTGTACCATGGCCTGCTCTGAATGGTCGGCTCGTAAGTAGGAGTGAAGTTTGCGGAGGGGGCTTGGGTCCGACACTCCGCATGCAGCGGTGATAACGGCAAGGAGCAGTGTCGGTTGGTGTTTCTTGTATGAGCTAAAGTTCTTCTTGCTGGTTGATAAAGAGCCTGAATAGCTTGGGAGAACATGGTAGAAGAAGTCATTAAATGGCTCAATGGCGGTGCTTATTGACAGTTGACCACAGGCAAAGAGCGTTTGATGTGGACTGTAATGGGCATTTTCTACCAGTTTTTTATTCTCGGATATCCATTTTCTCTCTTCAGTTAGCACAGGCGAATGAAAAGCCGCGTTAACTGCATGCTGAGAGGGCGATTGTACTGGAATCTGAGTATAATCTTATACTCATTTGACTTCCTTGATTTTGTGAGTTGATAGATGCCTGTAACTCTGCTAAGTGCTTTTATAAAGCAGTTACCCGCGTGTCTGTCTAATTTATTCTTTGGCGCGGCGCGCGAACGTCTGGGAAATAGAGCCCTCTATTGGTGTTGAAGCAGCGCCTGCCCCCATTGTGCTCGACAAGCGTGTCTAATGAGCTTCGAAGCTTTGAAGCCCGATACGAAGCACGTGTAGTTTTTGCATTATGAGATGGGATATGCTAAAGTTGGAGAGCATATATACCCGGTATTGTTGAAAAGGGCAAGTTGTTCTTGAGTGAACCAGTCATCTTATTGTGGTATATGGCAATCTGCAGAGCTTGGGGTTCTCGCTTGACTTGGTGACCTGAACTTCTGTCTGCTGCTTCTAATAAATTTTGTTAAGCTCCCCGTAATACCATCTCTACCTGATCATAATTAAGGGATCATTAAATTGAAGAAAAGACGAACCTGACAGAGAGAAAGTCAATTTGCGTTGGATCACTTGGTAGCAGCATTGGTTCTTGGCAGTGGCCGCAGGGAGAAACGCCTGAGATCTACCCTGTGAGACAGCTTTGGCGTCAGGGTGGCATCTCATGGCATTCGCGATTATGGAGACAGGAATAAGCACCGTAGTAACGAGTTCTTCATCCAGCTTGGGGCAGTACTGTAACTATGTGATAAGACTAGATATGTAGTGCGGTACAAGGAGAAAGTAGAAGCCACTTATAGTATCTATAAGAGTGAAATAAGCTATAGCAGAGGACATACAGATGGACTTTTAGGGACGCTAAATAGCCAAGTAGTGGTGCTGGCTAGCCACTTCTGTATTGAACGATATCAGGCCCCGTGTAAGCCGATGCTTCCCAAGCAACACACTCGCGTTTTTCAAGACCGCTTACCTTCAACACTTTCTCTGCTGACTTATTCTGCAGATATTTCTCACTTCCAGGCAAATCAGAGGGAGAGTGGTGCTATGAAAACAAGAAGGTCTAAGGATTCGGCCATTGACGCCTGTTGCGTGAACGCTCTCATACCCTGAATCATTACACCAGTATGAGCAATCAAACCATGGCGCAAGATATCTCGTTATTTCTCACAACCTATCGTCCTGAAGCACAGGTTACATTGCTCTTGGTTCTCCCCATTCTGCTCTGTTCTGTCCTGTTTCTCTTCTTTTTATTTTCTTTGTCTCCTTTGATTTCATTGAAGACTTCAATACCGTTCCTCGTTGTCCTTTTAAGAGACAAGATACCGAGCTGGCATGGCCTCCAGAAGCTCAACCTCAGCACAGCGCAAGAGGGACGGTAAAGTCCACACATCAATTTCTCACCAATCGACTCATTTCTCAACGCTTTCACGACAATTTATGCAGACATCAAGTGATAAACAACCATTTCACTATGGACGAAACATGATTAATAATAGAGAGTTGGAGAAACCCACTCCGCCCTTTGCTTGACATTGACATGTTGGGCGGGCTTAGCGTCGATACATGCACTTTGACAGCATCTTTTTAGAGCTCAAGACGCGTGTATCTTGATCGGTTATTTCGTACCATGTCTTATGAATACTACCTACTGGCTAGCAATTGTTTCTTCATATATCCCTCGTCTGACTATCACAGTCGTTACTGGTCTCTTCAACCCCGACATGACGATACATATTCGCGACGCCACTGCGGACGACCTGCCCGCCATTGCTCGCATTGCATCGGCAGCTTTTCATCCCGCAACCGATGCCATTGCAGCACGGCTCTTCCCAACTCAGCTACAGGAGCAGGACAGTACAAGGGACAATGATATCTATTCATGGAGATACGCCAAGAAGACAGCAAGTCTGTCCTCCCCGGACGCGGTCATGGTCGTAGCCATCGATGACGCTCTCCCTCTAAGCGACCAAGTTGTGGGCTTTGGCCTCTGGGATGTATACGAGGACAAGCCGAAACCCGCGCACAACACTTACACGCAGACGGATTCCGAAAAGGCGGCCAATCAGCCCCGATCTACTGTCCAAGAAGTGCCGCCACCCTCATTCGACCAAGAGGCGTATGCAGAGCTGCGCGCTATCGTTTCAGCCGACCACCAGGAGATGTTCGGAGAAAGAGGCATCAAGGACGTCTGGCGTAAGTTCTCATCTGCCGCTCTGCTCTCCCCTTGTCTGCCCTCCCATAAAGCCTCCGCTACCACCTGGCCCCCCTCCCCCCTATCCGAGACTGCCAAAATAGGTAACTAAAAGAAGCAATAAAGATCTTGATTATCTCGGAGTGGACCCGCGCCACCAGCGGAAGGGCATCGGGAGGATGCTGCTGGATTGGGGGCTGAGCCGGGCTGCGAGCGTGAACAAGGACTGCTATCTGATGGCGACACCGGCTGGCAGGCCGTTGTATACAAAGAGGGGGTTTGAAGTGGTGAGGACTGTGCCGATATTTGGTGTGCCGCACCACTCTATGGTCTTCAGACACGGCAACTGAAGATGTGCAGCTCGCAGCAGGTATAATATTGGCGAATAGTAGCGCCTGTATCACACTCTATTAACAGGAATACGGAGTTATTGATCTTCTGGTTAGTCTCCGGTCGGCATTGAGCGGACGCTAAGGGGGATGAATCTATCGGCCGAGAGCTTTAGAGCTGAGCTCGGCATATTCGCCCCCTACATCCGAATTGGCCGAGCCTCGTTCTACTACTGCGAAGATCAATCTCAACATTGCCTCCTCCATGCACTGCCTTGTCTCAGTTTGCCAGTACCTTTGCATTGATGCGTCTCTTTAGTGTACTGTACAGTCTTGTACCCGTTGAACTTACTCCAACTTGTACGGAGTAAAGCCTGAACACCCTCCATCTCTTCGCCTATCTGTCGATTTCACCGAGACAAGAACATCCGTCTCATGGATCAACAGCAGAAACAACAACAGCCATGTCGCCGCCGGAGACCCGCTCTCTCATGTATTGAGTGCCGGCGCCGCAAGCTCAAGTGCGACAGAAAGAGCCCTTGCAGCCGCTGTGTCGCGACCGAGACACAGTGCTCTTACACCACATACTACCGGGATAAGCCCCGAGCAGGGCATGGGCAAGATAGCCGGATGCACGTGTCTTCCTCTTCGATGCCAAGCCCGTCCACTGTCCATCCGGCATCTACCCCGTCACATGTCGATACCGATGGTCCAAGTATCGTTGGTACAGCTACTAGCGTTAGAGAGGGATCACTCCGTGTCGGTCGGACAATCGAGGCTCGCGCCGCAGCGAACTCGACACTCGGTTCAGCTGAGTCGTCAACCGCACCAGCGGCTGACGAGATCCAGATTCCAAATCGCCCTCGGCTTCTGAACCCTGAGCTCCAGGATCTTAGAGGTAGGGTGCCAGTGCACGATCTATCCCAGGCAGGCCGGGATATGCTCACTGGTGAGCCGGGTTTGCCGGACGCCCGTATCATTTTGAACAAGACGAGGATTATGAGATGGAGTCATTGGGTTGGCATAGCAAAAGAGGTGCGTAGAGTATTTGTGTAGATCGTCTACTCACATCTCTCGTGAATTAGACGTGCATTGATCGCTAACATTTTGGTCGTGCAGTTCGCCCCCATCATCACTTGCTACGGAGCAGCTTGCGGCTTTGGCGACATCAACGCCTTTCATAACGCCGAGACGAGAGAATCCATTCTTGAAGTCAGCGAGCTGCTCCAGAAATGCAAAAGCGTAGCCAGAAGCCTCAAAACCGGGCGGCCGAGTAGATGCCTTTCCTCGCTGAACTTTGATCTTACACCCCCTACTCGCGAGGTGGCAGACAAGATGACAACCTTGTACTTTCAGTCCTTTGAGTCAACTCATCGCATCCTCCATCAGCCGACCTTCTGGAAAGTCTACGAAAGGTTCTGGAGTAGCCCAGAGAGCGCTTCGGCCAAGTTGCGGCTCCAAGTCCTTCTCGTCATTGCAATAGGCTCCAGCCTGGCCTCGCATTCGGGAGCTAATGCCGGACTTCGCAATATGGTCCATCAATGGATATATGCAGCAGAAATCTGGCTCTCAGGCCCACTGGAAAAAGACCGCCTCGATATATCCGGGCTCCAGATACACTGTCTGGTGATGCTGGCACGACAAATCTTCTCCATTGGAGGCGACCTCGTCTGGATATCCTCGGGGTCGCTCATCCATCGGGCAATGCAGATTGGCTTGCACCGAGACCCCAGGCACCTTCCAAACATGTCTGTGCTGCAGACGCAGTTACGCAGACGATTATGGGCTACGATATTGGAGTTGGTTGTTCAGTCGTCCCTGGATTCGGCTTTACCGCCGAGGATCTCTTTTGACGAATTTGACACGGAGCCGCCCGCCAATTGCAATGACCAAGATATAGAAGAGCCAGTGCCTGAGCTGAAGCCTCACAGCCGAGAACGGTTCACTGGAACGTCTTTGCAGCTCATTCTACTCGATTCGTTACCAACGCGTTTACGTATCCTCAGCCTCCTGAACGGCCTGCACTCGGAGTTGTCCTATCTAGACGTGCTTGACTTGAGCACGGATATTCTCGAGGCATGTCGTCGTTCGAACGCCTTTTTTAGGGATAATCAAGCCTCTGGAATGACTCCGTTCCACCACAATCTGGTTGACTACCTCCTACGTCGGTTCCTGATTCCCCTTCATTGTCCGTTTGCGCACAAGGCACGGACGAACCCGCTGTTACACTATTCGCTCAAGGTCAGTCTAGATGCTGCCATGGCTATAGTCTATCCAGAGCCAGATGAAGGTTTCTCCAGTCTGATGGCAATTGGTGGAGGCCTGTTCAGGGAGGGTATTCGATATGCGACTAGTATCATCAGTCTGGAGCTTCTGACACAGATTGAAGCCCACTATAAAGATGGAACTTTACATCGAAGTTCGCACTCCATTAGCCACTTGAAGAAGGCGATGGAGGATTTGATGAGTCTTTCCCTGGAGCGCGTTCGTCAAGGGGAGACTAACGTCAAAAACCACATGTTCTTGTCCATGGTCATGGCTCAAGCGGAGGCTATGGAACGGGGTGAATCCGGTCAACTTCGCATCGCGAAGAGCGCCAGAGATAGTGTTTTGCTGAGCCTGGAACTACTACAAAGCACTCTTGGTGATTCTCCTGTGGCAACTTCTGTCCAAGAGTTCGATTCCGCAAGCTTCGGCGAAAGAGAGGACTACACATATGGACTGGGGCTTGACATGGACTTCTTCTTCCTCACCGACTCAGGCTTTCCTTGAGCGAACCATGTCACATATATGGTATACTTTGCACAGAACTATGATCTACTTAATTTAATCTTTTGACGTATATAGTTGTGGATGAACTCGAGTTTTCTATGTATAGCAAATGGTCGTTGTATATCTACCGTCGCTTAAGCATGCAGGATATAGTTGCTTCTTCAAAAGACTGTATGTCACCTTTTTCGTTTGGCTCTTTTTCGTTGCACAGGTATTCCTGCTCTATTAGTACGTACGGAGTCACTGGCTTTAACATATTTGTTCAGCCTGAGACGGAAGGGTGCTCCAGTCGCACGGTGATGGCCTCGTGGCCTCTCTCGGCCGAAACGGCAGTTACGGACATACCGCTCGGCAGTGCTTTTGCGGGCTTCGAAAATACCGGAGACAACGGGGAGAAGAAGGGAGGCAGGACACCAAGATAAGATGTATATATAGCCCTTCATCCTTCTCTTATTGTGAGTCCATCATCAAAACGGTTCTCCTCTTCGAGCTCTTCCCACTCAGCAGCAACTTACAGTCCATCCTCATCGACCCAATCTCGGCATCAGAAGGCCTTCAACGATCCATAACCTTCATCAGTCCCCCAAACTCCGAATGGCCCCAATGAAGGTCCTCATAAGCGGCGCCGGCATTACTGGCAATGCCCTCGCCTTTTGGCTCTCCAAGCTCGGCCACAACGTCACCGTCATCGAACGCTTCCCCAGCCTCCGCACGACTGGCCTGCAAGTCGATCTCCGAGGCCACGGCGTGACAGTTATGAAGCGTATGGGCCTCGAGGAAGCGTTCCGTGCCAAGTCTGTGCCCGAGCAAGGCCTTGCCATCGTCGATGGGGCGAACAGACGGCGTGCTTTTTTCGGGGTTAACAAGTCCGGAAAGGGGGTACAGAACTTCACGACCGAGTATGAGATTATGAGGGGTGATTTTTGCCGCCTGATGCACGACGTCATCAAAAACAAGGTAACTTTTCGGTTCGGAGTCTCGATTGGCAGTTTCAAGCAAGATGGCGACGGTGTCGACGTTGAGTTCACAGACGGCAAGGCGGAGCGCTTCGACTTCGTAGTCGGTGCCGATGGCATGGGCTCGAATACACGCAATCTGATGCTCGGCCATGGTGCGCAAGACGCTCTGCGCCCCATTAGAGGCTCTTACACCGCATACTTTACCATTCCTCGCCCCATTCAAAAGGGCGAAGACTACCACTCAACCATGTACTTGGCAACTGGACGACGAGGCATGATGACGCGGAGACATAGCCCTGAGGAGATCCAAGTGTATCTCTCTTGCAACAATCCGTCGGAGAGAATGGCGAAGGCTCATAAAGATGGAGTGCCGGAGCAGAAGAAGATGTTGGCGGAGATCTTCCAGGATGCGGGATGGCAGTCAAAGGACATCTTGCGGGACATGTTCGACTCGGACAACTTTTACTGCGAGCGTATGGGTCTCGTCAAGCTTGATTCTTGGTACGATGGCAAGGTCGTTCTTGTTGGTGATGCGGCCTACTGTCCGTCGGGACTTACAGGAATGGGAACGACTTGCGGCATTGTGGGAGCCTATGTCCTCGCTGGGGAGATTGCCCGTCACTGTGGCAAGGCAGAGGGCGGAAAGGCGCCTACTGATGGCCTTGACGTGGCTTTCAAGGCGTATGATGACAAGTTGAGACCGTTCATCGACCAAGTCATTGATGGCGTCGGCGATGACTCGCTTTTCTGGAAACTGATGCCTGAATCAGCGTTTGCCGTTGCGCTTGTCAACCTGCTGTTGGGGATCGCCGCGTTTCTCAGACTGAACGTTCTTGGACAGTGGATTTTGAGGGAGAATGTGAAGTGGACACTGCCCGAGTATGATGAATTGAAGTGAGGTTAACGACGTTCTGGCCTTGGCTTAGGGGCTCGTCCTGCACTGCGTACCATGGACCAATTCCTGCTTCAGCACCACTCTGTTGAACCACAAACTTTTACTGTACCATACACTTAATTTCTTCATTTTAATCAAAGTCGCAATATGCATTTTATTAACTAGAAATAACTGCCCTTACGATTCAAAACAGGAGACGACGCAAGCTACGCATTACTCCCCTTTGAATGCCTTGCCAAAGAGGGCCACCTGAAGCTGATCATAGATGGACAATGCTCCAGCACCAGCAACGCCACGAAGGATATTTGCCCCAGCACCATTGAAGAGTGCCCGTGCCCCATTCTTTGCCACGATTTGTCTGGCTGCGTCAAGCGAGCTCTTATACTTGACAGCTTCTCCCGAAGTCATCATCATGCGCCGCCGGATCGTGTCGAGAGGATATGACGCAATGCCTGCCGCTGTAGTTACGAAGTAGCCCAGACAAAATGATACAAGGAAGTTGTTCTCCAGAGACCCGATCAGAACGAGCGGCTTGAAGGAGTCGTACATGCCAAAGTATAGGCCACGATATACGACGGCTCCGAGGACAGAGGGAAAGAAGCCACGATACAGTCCGACGATGCCGTCTGATGCCAGAGTCTTCCGATAGACATCAATGAGGCCGTTGAATTGGCGTTGTCCCCCTTTCTTTGCGTCATTCGCCAGTCGAGTCCGAGCATAATCGAGAGAGTATACGAACAGCTGCCCCGTCGCTCCAGCAGCACCTCCTGAAGCCAGGTTTCCTACCATCCACATGGCATATCCATCGGTTTCCTTCTTATACCCAAACATCTTCTTGAACTTATCCCGAAAGGCAAAGTTCAGTGCTTGCGTAGGGAAATATCGAATCACGTTGGCCGTGTTTCCGCGCCACAGGCTGAGGAACCCCTCGTCCGATATTGTGCGGCTGAAGCACTCCGCTATGCCCTTGTATCGGCGGTCCAGGCGGCCGGCTTTGATCATCTCATCTTGGTTCTGGATGAGGAGCTTGACGCGCTCGATGGGGGCCGCGGCGGTCTTGGAGACGGCTGCGGAGACGCCACCCATGAGGAAGTCGGCCATGAAGGGCGTCATGCCCATGACGGCAGACTGAGACTGAGTTGGATGAGACATTGTGAGTTTGATGCAATGAAGGCTTATATTAGGAGAGTGAGCAAACGAAGCTTGGTGGTTATTGAAGCGACGAATGCTCTTTGATCCAACTACCGAAGGCGGAGGCCTTATTATACCACGCGGAAACGTTCAATAAATCACGAGAAGGTTCTAATAATTCTTGTAAGTCACATTTAGACACCAATCAAGAAGACGTCAGTGGCCTTCAAGAATCTGGTTCTACCTACTTCTATCTGGACTTGATATTGGTTGAGGCCGAATCTTCGGGACCGAATCGGCGTTCCGGCCGTCTTTATAGGCCCCGGACTCCGAATCATCCACTTATAGTATATGCTTCGAAAAGAACTTGTGACAAGATCGCAGCTTAAACCACCAATAAGTCGTCAAGATCATAGGAGAAGGTGACTGATAGCGCTTTTCCATCTATTCCACGGCCTTCGATCCAAATGTGTGGTGGTATCGTATCATTGAGGTACGCCTCCATTCGGAGCCTCTTCCCTTCATAACAGCGTCTCACCCTCCACCTCTCGCCGTCCGGTTATTTTCCGAAAATGCTTTTGCTACCCCTGCTCCATAGCGGCGTAAGCTTGAAGGCCTTGATCCTCCATACCGAGTCACTCTCTTGCACAGCAATCACTTCGTATCGGCACTTGACAATGAGGGCGGTGTCCTGAGACTCGACGTCGAATTCGTGTCCCTTCTTGACGTGCTGAGCTTCCGATAGGCAGGAGATACTGGCGCTGTCGTTTTGCTCGTTGAGTGTGACCAGAAAGTTGGTGAGCGAGTGCGTCGTCTCGAGAGTCGTGCCAACGGCCTTCATGCATTCGGCGGTGATGGCGGCGCGGCCGTGGATCGGCTCGTAGGTCATACCGAGGACGAAGAACGGGCTGAGGTCCATTGTGGCATCTTCGGCGAAGCAGGATTCGAATTGGGAGGCGTCGCCGCGGTCGAGGCCGTCAGCATAACGCACGAGGACGTCGATGGCCTCTTGTCTGGCATTGATTCGCGTAGTGCAGCCCATGGTGGTTGATAGTTGCAGTGGCCAACCGTCACTTGTTTGGTGTAAACACGTCGCAGCAAAAGTGAAGCTCGAGACAGGCAACCCTCGGTCTTTTATTTCCACGTCGGTCGTATTAGTAGAGGCGTATCTGATCACTGCCAAGTCTCTGCCGTCTCCATCCCGCGACCGGTGCACTTCTGGATCAAAGTGTAAGTCAGTTGACGTGTGAGCCAACACATCCGCCCTCTCCCCGATATTGTCTAGGCCGTCGGATGGCGTCTGACAATAGCGATGCTGGGTCCTTTACCCGAGCTAGAGTTTCTTTGTCGACTTTTGGTCTTCAGTCCGCAGAGTCTGAGAATATCTATGGCATTGTGATAGTATGTATGAAGGTAAACTCGAGGGAGAGTGACCATGACATCGGTCCTGCAGGGAGTTTGAAGCAAAGGTGAATGAATATAACAAGCTTGAAGCCTCAGCCACCACCAGTAAGACGCAGAAGCCATGTTGCCGAGCGCCGAGCCACGACGAACGCCGAGGCCGAGAGCCGATCCCGCTCTCATCTCAGATCGCAAGACGTTCGGCTCTCCCGCTCACACAACTTACACTCCCCTCGGACTCGACGAGGCCATTCAAACTGGAACAACGGCGTTGGAGGACCTGTGTAACACATTGCTTGCACAATGACCAGCCCCTCTCCTAGTTCCGCCGTCCCCTCTCAAGTCCCCCGGCGCCGCAATGGCCGTCCGCAGGCCTGCGAGCCGTGCCGCCGGCGCAAGGTTGCGTGTGACCACCGGCTCCCCATTTGCTCCAGGTGCATCCGCAAAAGCACGCCACAGAGCTGCCGGTACCTCATCCAGGGGCAGCTCGTGACACCGGCTCTGCGCCGGTCCGCCGGCAAAGGCCAATCGGCGGAAGTGCTGGGTGAGCGGCGGACGGCAGCGGCCAGAGAGCCAACGGTGTTAGTTGGCCAGAGCCAACAACTTCTTCAGCAGGGCCTGAGCCAACAATCGTCAGCGGCAGCCCAGGCCAGTGTTGGCTCGTCGACGCTCGACAATATATCACCCCAAGACGAAAACGTGGGCTATCTCGGAGCCACGAGCTTTCCAGAATTCTTTCGCGAGACCCAGAAGCGCCTCGACCATGTAGTCGGGGCCGAGCCGGTCCGTGACGGCGGCAAGCAGCCGAGCGAGACCAGCTCCGGCCCCGCCCGGATGGCCCCCGACGCCACCGCATTCGAGGTGGCCTTGTCCGTGCTGCGGACCATCCCGACCAAGGAGGCGGCGCACTTCTTGTTAAGGCGCAACGTGAATCCCAACGACGGCTGGTGCCGGCTGGCCCTGGATCGTCTTCACGCCTCGCTGTGGTCAGCCCTGGGCCACTTCCTCGACGGCCAGCGTACCAACGGGAACATGTCTCAGCTGGCACTGCTTCTGTTCCAAAACAGCTCCAAGCCGCTACGGGAAGACTTTGTCGATCCCGGCGAGTGGTTCGAGGCCTTTTCAGGGGAAAACTTTCGGTGGGAAGGCATCGGGCTTTTGTTCGCCTTTTGGACGTTTGGAGCTGCTTCCTTGTCAGACAACGGCACCGTCGAGCAGCGCAAGTGGCTCGGGCACTACAATCGTAGAAACCTCATGCAGGTCTACCAGAATGCTGTCGTAAAATGCGTCGACCTCTGCCGGCTGTCGAGCTGCAACAACACCATGATGGTGTATCTGCTGCACATGCATGGCCTCACTGCGTCTCTCATCACTGGTGATACAGGTAAGCCGTTCTACTACGTTCCGAACCTCATAATTCATGATTCTTGCCCAACGTACCAATTCTACTACAAAGCTATTTGTCTTTCACCTCCTTAGACATCTCGACCACCCCTATCCCTCGTCCAAACACTTCCATCATGTCCAAATGTTCCATCATGCCTAACAACTCCATCTAGGGGCTGAATTCTGGCGTTATCACGCAGAATCTGTCGCTCTGGCCACCTTCCTAGGCCTCCACACGCCTCAGTCATCTAGTCCAGCACCAGAAACGTCGATATCTGTCCAGGTCAAGCGAAGAGTCTTCTGCGCCATCTTCAATGTCGACATGGTCGTCTCAACCCTGACGGGCCGGCCTCCATTGCTCAGCAGCAAGCTGTGCTCGACGCCGCTGCCTCTAGACGTGAGCGATGAGTCATTGCTCAATGCCAAGGCACGACCTCACCGGTTGGATGAGAAGGGGTGGAATATGGAGGGCAAAAATCATGCGGCGACGTTTCTGCGGGCCTGCTACATCATTGCTCAGATACGGAGCGAGATCCTGGAAATTGTGCTTCAAGCACCTCATGTGACCACCACTCACAAATATGAGTAAGTCGACGTCCATCTTGCTAAAGCCGTTAGGTCTGCATCCAAAAAGGCTCATCAGTCACCAACTCAATTCGTCGAATAGTGATCTTCGGAGACGAGAACTGGAAGCTTACTCTCAGTTTCCCATCGGGCTGAAATTCAGCAGCGACGATTTCAGCAATCCTGCTGTTGACCCTCCCACTCTCTATATGAGATTGCTGACGCGTCTTGAGCATCTGAGCAATTTATTCTTCATCGAGCGACTGTCGTACAAGGGAGACAACTTCTATAGCCCTGAGATGCTCGAAATCAGTCTGGAGACAATTACCCTTACCCTCTCTTTCTGGACGCAGCAGAACCGACTTGAAGGCTTACAGGGCGATTATGAATGGCTTGTGATGCTGCACGCTGCGCCTGCGGGAGGTATACTGTGTATGGAGCTCTTGAAGCAGCCGCACGGCAACGAATCGGCGACCGTTCCGACCATCACAAAGTCCATAATCATCAAGCAGCTCAGTCTCCTTGTCGGGTTCCTCGAATGGATTGGTCCGGCAGCTCCGGGAGCGCACTTGTGCAACAGCATCAAGATGGTGGTCGAGCGAGTAATGGAACAGGCTCTAAACCCGCCTCCGAAATCTATCACGCAGGAAGAGTTTGACTCGACGTGGGATGTGCGTTTACCAGAAGACATGTACGAGTTCAACTTCGGATTGCTCGATACATTTGACTGGTTGAGGCTCCCACCTGGCTCACTCGAGCAATGAAATGAGAAAATCTAGGTTTAAACATCGTAAGACTAGAAGGAGGAAGCCATAGAAGCAGAAACTTGAAACAATTTCCAAGTCAGCCGTAATAGAGGCAGTATGGCCCTGCTAAGATGCTAGACAGCCAAACTATGGTGCTATAAAGTCACTTTCCACTGACAAGCCTCGATTCAACAAACTAAATGCTCTTCTCTTCTATATACTTCACCACGGCTCAGTCCCGTCAATATTCGTAAAGGTTCCCGTAGGCCCATCCTTGTCCAAGGTAGCCAAATATACTGCTCTAACAGCACCCTCTTCGACGTCCATAGCAACCGAAAGATGATTATTGAACGCCGTCTTTCGGAGTCCAGGACAGCAGCAGTTAATTTTCCACCCAGTCTTCTCAAAGAGGGTCGAGTAACACGCTCCAATCATGTTGGCGGCGGCTTTGCTAGACTTGTACGGTATAGAAGTGTTGTGCTGGTAATACTTCCATGACGGATTGAGCGTGTTCCCCAATGAGCCCATTTCGGAGGTAATGAAGACGACTCGCGGGACTGAGCCTTGATCTGCGGCCTTTTGTAGCAGAGGTATGGCAGCGTCTGACATTACCAGCGTGCCAAAGACATTGACATCAAACAACGCCGCCATCTTGGCCCTCAGACTCGGCAATTCCTCGACGGCGTGTCTCCCGATTCCGGCATTGTTGATCAAAACGTCGAGCTTGCCATGCTCGCGCTCAATCTGCGTCACACACGCCGCAATCGACTCATCAGAAGTAATGTCAACCTCGACAGGAGATACCGAGCCTGCGAGCTTCTCAAGCTTTGAAATGGCTTCTACGCCTTTTGAGAGGGAGCGACAGCCGAGGAGAACGTGGTATGTGGGCTGTTCCGCTACGAGCTTCTTTACGATTTCGAAGCCGATGCCCTGGTTGCCGCCAGTAACGAGGACGACTTGCTTAGTTGCGGGGGTGTCAGCCATTGGGATTGGCTGAGGACAATAGAGTGCTTATGCGTGGCTGGAGAGCGGCTTTGACGCGAAGACGGAGTGATGAATACAGAGATGGGCATCACACAAGGCAAGCAAAAGTGGTGTATGTAGCATCGAGGTATGTTCTATGCAAGTACGGGATCAGACATCAGTCCTTGACGCAACCCTCTCCACAATCATATCCCAATAGCAGGGGGGACAAAGCCTCCAGCGCCTTTCGGGCTTCTGCATAGACCTCGGGGACAAATACTCGCGCTAAACTCGCGATCCGCACTGGAGTTTTTCGGTGTCCGCGCGTGAGGAATAGGCATAGTTTGAGCCCAGAAGGTGATCTGCCGTCGCTGCAAAAGAGCCGTGAGACTTGTTAGTTGCAAATCCTGGCTGACGCCAGAACCAAGAAGCCCTTGTTGTGATCTCATAAACAGAGGCTTGCGGAGAAGTGGATGCAGATCTCGGGAGATATTTGTTAATGGGATCTGTCAACCATGGACCTATGGAGAGAAACATCAGGTGCAAGATCTGCTCATATAAGAGTGCTATGCCAGTGTTGAGAGTATGAAACATCTTCAGGCCATCGACTCGGAACAAGGCAGAGTAAAAGAAAAAGAAATTGCCTACAGACATGAATGACTTTAGCTATCTCGCCGGCCCAGAAGAATGGAAGTCATACACAACTCAACATCCCTTACCCAAGTTTGGCACCGTCTCGACGGAATTCCGCCGCCTCACCAATCTTCAGCGATATGCAGCCAGAGATGCCGCAATGAAAGCCCTCGGCGACCATCGGGTCACTTGGGAAACACGGACAATCCCTACGACAGACTGTCTCGAGATTCCAATTCGCATCTTTCGCTCGTCCATTGCTAAACGCCGCGATTCTATCTTGATCTATTATCATGGCGGCGGGTTCCTGTCAGGTTCAATCTCAACGGAAGATCCCTTCTGTATATCTCTGGCTCAGGACTCTGGGTTCGTCGTCATCAGCGTCGGCTATCGAGTGACTCCGGAGTGGAAAGCTCCAACGCAATTTAACGATGCCTGGGATGCTCGCACATGGGTGATACAAAACGCTGCAGAATTGGAATTGCCTCTCGTTTTTCATTTGTACGTCTCAGGCACCAGTGCTGGGGCATTCCTTGCAGCGAGCGTTACGCTACGAGAAAGAGAAGTATGATACTGCGACGACTTATCCATCAGCCCTGTAGCTGGCAGACCTTAGCTGACTTTAGAACACACAGTTGGGCGAGTCGCACATACAAGGCCAGTGCCTTGCCGCTCCATGGCTCTGCCTCGCAGAAAACTTTCCCTTTGACCCCAAAGTCGGCGACAAAGCTTCTCCTGTGCAGTGCCGCGACGCCGATTTTCTCCCTCAGTCACACATCGAACAGTACGGTGTCTTGTTGGGAATTCCAGAGGAACTTCGAAAGGGCTTGTTCTTGAAGACATTGCTGTTTGATGAGATTAGCAGCATCAAAGACTTGCCGCCGACACACATCATGGTCTGTGGCGATGACCCTTTGCGAGATCATGGCATGATCTTTAAGCAGAAGCTTGATCGTATGGGGTTAGACATCATGAACCCTTGATCTTGCATTGATGAAGGATAATGCTAACTCTCGCAATTTGCAGCGTTCCAACAAAGTTGGATACATACGCAGGATATCCCCACGTCTTTTGGATATTCCCAGACCTTGCCATGAGCAAGACATGGTACCGTGACCTTTTGAGGGGTCTTCAGTGGTTGACTGAGAAGCAAGGTGTCTTCGCAACTAGACAATAACAGTGACAACAGGCAAACAGCAACTGTCGTTCATTCATTTTCTCCTGCATCATTCAGATATGACATACATATCCGGGATTAAAACCCGCTCTGTCCCAGGTAAGCAGCCATAACACCGCCATGGCTCTGCCAACCTCCCGCATTCGCGGTGTCCACAACCTCTGCCACAGCCTTCCCCCTTTCCGACTCCAGGACCATCGTCCTCACATTATGCGTGCTCACGCCGTAGCTGTACAACTGCTGGTTGTCGGCATAGATGACGGCGTTCTGCTGACACTCAGCTGAGCAGCCATCGCGGTTGATGCCGTTGAAAAAGACCCAGTACCCGCCTCCGTAGACATTGACATTACTCGAGTCGTGAATATACTGAAAGATAGCCATGCGGCACTGCGCGTCATCGGCTGCGCACCAGCTAAAGTCGGGGTCGCTGGCCAGCAGGGAGTTTGTCCACGGCAGAGGCGTCAGGAGACCAGAGTTGTTGCCCTGCCAGTATGGCGTCTCGCTCTGCTGGAAGCCCAAGAAGACGTTTCTCGCCTTGTAAACATTGATTTGGTACAGAGAGTTGTGCTCGCTGCCAATGCCCAGCATCCAGGTGGCCCTTGTAGACTCGACCAAGAAGCCACCAGCAGTGGAAGGGTTAGCACCAAAGTCATCGTCAAGATCGTGGTCCGCACTCCAGCACCAGCTGTTTTCCCAGTACGAAGACGACGAGGTAGTGAGATGGGCGCACAGCCTCGCCGCTTTGCACGTCGCAGGATCGTCACAGTTGGTCTGCACCTTTGATCCTCTCGCTCCTCCGATCCGGAAGTGCGTGTTGAAGAAGCCCACATCTCCAGCCTTCAAACCGGCCATGTTGACCTCGACGAGCTTGCAGCCGGGAAGGATGTCGGCAACGGTGAAGAGCATGTCGACGAACTGGGCGACGCCGATCTGGCCCGGCTTTCCGACCTGGACCATGGCGACGGGCTTGTTGGCGTTTTTGAACTTGTCGCCGGTGGCGCTGATTTCGGACCAGACCTCGCCGTGGAATCTGAAGCTCCGTTAGCAAGGATGGCTGCTGTGCCGTCAATGTTGCCGTAAACTTACCGGCTTCCGGGGGGGACAACGAGGGTATCGCTGACGAGGTATGTTCCGTGAGGGAAGAAGAGAACAGACTTGCCAGCAGCCTTGTTGATAATCTTTTGAAGGTTCTTCGTACTGAATCGCCAATGGTTAGTCGACTTTTTATACGACATACTGACGGTTACTCACTCATCTGTAACTCCATCACCAGCAACAGGCAGTCCATGGACCGACTTGACGTTAATCACCTGGTCGACGCTGTACTCCTGGAAAGTTGGCGGAGGGACGGCATGATAAGAGCCAGTGATATCGACCAGTGCCAGAGGGCGAGAAGCAGGGAAGAATTTGCCCTCTGCGCGTTGACCTTTGACAGGGCCGTAAACGTTGCCCCAGATCCATGACTGGCCGGGCCTGACTGAGCCCTTGAGGACGCTTTTTCCTCCGGCGGTGACAGTCTAATTCTAGGTCTTAGTCCAGATGCCTTGATGGAATTCAACTAGTTCAACTTACAGATTTGACCGACCAGTCGACTTGGACGTTCTCAAGGACCATGGACCCCTGGGCTGTGGGAGAGGCTGCTGCGTTCCACAGGATGTCGACGTTCTTGGCTGTCGAATCGATGAGGGCGAAGAATCCGGTATTGTTGTTCGTCGTCTCAATGCCGACTTTGCACGACTCAAAGTGCAAGCCTTGGCCAGTGCCCTCAAAGAGCTTGTCGAGCTTCAAGCCAATGTCCTGGTCTGGAGAAGTTTGGCAATATCAGTGACAAAGTCGAATACATGGTCAAATTGCAGTAAGATGGATGCAACGCACTCTTGAAAGTGATGCCCTTGAAGTGGTACTGCTGCTCATTCATACGAATGCCAACGGATCCGCCCTGGAACACAACGTCGTTGATCATCAGAGGCGAGCCGCCCTGAGGCATCGACAATCCAGTGTGTGCCACGCCACCGTTCGGCATGTTGAACAAGACATTGGTGAGCTGCACGGCCTGGCTCACAGCCCAGTTGAGAAGCGTAATGTTGTGAGTAAGGGGCACCTTGGTCGAGTCCAAGACAACGTTCTTCAGTCCAATGTAGAAGTTGATCGTCGAGTCGTAGTTGGGATCATAGCCCAGGTAAAGGAAAGGGTCTGTAAAGTCGGGCGAGGCCTGAAGCACCGGCCTGTGGATGGGATCGCCCATGACAACGGTGTCAACGTACGACTGGAGAGGCTTGCTCAGACGGTACGTGCCAGCCGGGATGTAAACGACAGCAGGGGCCCCCGTCGTGCCCCAAGCACCAGAGCTGCGCTTTTCGGTAGCATTGGCATAGTCAAAGGCTGCTTGGATGGCAGCCCAGTCGTCCGTGATGCCGTCTCCCTTGGCTCCAAAGTCGGTCTTGACGTTGCGGAAGACTTTCCAGTTCTTGCCATCGGCGATGAATGGACTGATGCCGTTGTGCTGGATCTTTTCGTACCAGTAGCCCGAAGAGTGCCTGGCCTCGACGTCTTGAGCCGGTGGTAGAGGATCTCCGGCGACGACGGCAGCCAAGCCGAGGAACAATGACGCAAACCGCATCTTTGCAGAGAATACCGGGCGAAATGACTCCAAACCTGCTTTATTCGTCAATGGTTTCCTACACCTCAACTCGCTTGCTGGGACAGCCGGTTCCTCTGCCAGTCACCGGATTGTCCAAAGCCTTTTATACTCATGGTCAACCCCTTGCCTGATAGAACGGGCCACCGGACGGACGGACAATTCAACTCCATCAACGGTCACAAAGAAACAACAGACTCCAATCCGATCCATGTCGGCGGGTCACTCTTTGCGGAGAAGCCAGCAGAACAAGATGCCCCAGTCGAACCATCCGGCATTCCCCTCGACGTCAACCCCCCTGTCGCCGTCCGGGGAGAATCTCATCTCATCTCTCGTGGCGATGAGGCTGGTGTTCCTTGCTAGTAGTAGTAGAGCCTCACAAACGAAGGCCAGCTTATAATTACAGCGAAGAAAATCTGAAAGCTCGGCCCTTCTCCTGCTGGCGTGCGGGGAGAGCCCCGGCTAGCAATGGAACGATGCAGGGGAACGAACCGCACTCGATTCCCCTTGGTATGTATCTCTTCCCCACGCAAAGCAGCATCGTCATGGCAGGGATCAGCCATCGTTGAGGATGTTCTTTGCCGACGGCACACAACGTTGGGTCTCATATCCCGCAGCTGTTGTCCTCGACACCCGGATCACTGCCCGCAAAAAGGAGAATCTCCGGCTGCACCCAACCACTTTCTGGGGACCCCACGGAGAGAGGCAAGTTGCATGGCATGGTAGCATCGGGAGTTGATCCCCTCTGCCCATTGCGTAGAAGGTGGTTGTGTAAGGCACCCGAATGCAACACAATCAGAAAGCTCAAGCAACTGCTCTCTAAATTGATCATTGTCGAAAAGTTCGCTGTTACTTTGATTGTATTGTCTGCCAATCAACTTCACTATCGCACTCGAGGTATTGTTCATTCCTAAGTACCTATATTACTCTTGATGGTTTGATGTAGATGTTGAGTGAACGAACAACGACCCGGATCATGTGAACACACAGCTAGAGCAACATTGCTCACTTGAAAGATACAGACAAATAGAAACGGCCTGATTCTGCCTATGGATCCAACCGGTTCTCTAAACTTTTTGCCTTACAAATCCTGGTTTCAATCTGTGGATACAGCTTCAAAATCTCACTCTGCATACGTGCCCACGAAGCACCCATGCCATTCTTTTCTCCGCCTTGCCTCCCCACGCCCCGGATCTCACAAGCCGAACGCACCGGCACAAGAACAAAACAAACAGGCATACTACTGCTGGGACAATCATTATTTCCGCAAGCTCAGAAGCTCTGCACTAGCTTGACTAGCTTCTGCGACAAAAGTTCTACGTCGCCGGGGAATCTCGCCGTAACGTAGTTGTAGTTGTCGTCCTCAACAACGAAGCTAAAGAGCCACGATATTAGCCGGCAATTTTGTCAGTCGGGAACCATCAACTTACGGGGATGGCATGATGCTATTCTTGAATTGTTTAGGACTCGCCAACACTTTTCGCACCTATGAGAGTTGTCGCTCTTGTCAGCATTCAGCTATTACCTCCTCTCTTCCCAGGTCCTTTTGTCGGAACTTACCGAGTCTTCGACGTTCTCACTCCCCGCTCCATACGTCTTGTAGTAGTCTCCCAGGAACAGACGCGTGCCCCAGAACGCGACCTGCTCGAATCTCGCCGGCAACGCCGTCGTCACGCAGTCGCGGATGACGCTGCTCCCGTCAGGATGCTTCGACTCTGACAGCACCATGACGCCGTGACAAACCGCTCCGACGGCCTTGTTGCTCGGTTTCTTCGTCTTGGGGAAGTAGTCTGCGAGCAGCTTGTGGACTCTATCCGAGTCAATGATCTGTCGCACGGCCTTGTCGTGGCCCCCGGGGAGAAAGACGAGGTTAAACGCGTCGAGGGAGAATTGCTCGTCGGACCAGGACAGGGGATTCTTCCATTCTTCCGAATCAGCCATGACGCGATACTGCTTGACAATGGAAGAAGAAGCTCCCTACGAGGCCAGTCAGATAGGAATTGTAACGAATGTAAGCGCTTTCCACAGGGCGCAAGGACATACCAAGAGGCGCTGGGTGAGGCCTTCCAGCATTTTGGTGTCGCATTGAGGCGACTTGCCTGCTTCAGTCGCAAAGCTGACGTCGAAGCCGGCGGCCTTGAAGGCTGTATACGGTCCGCAGGTCTCTGTGCAGATGGTGAGCTTCATCGCTCGGTCGTGGTGCGATTGTCTGGCTGCTTACCTGTAGGATCGTGGCCATAGTCGGCCATCAGAATGACGACTTTGACCATCGTAGCTGTGATCTGAATAATACTATGGTTTATCTCTATTCAGTAGAAGCTCTCTGGGCTTGGCAGGCAGGAGAAGTGAGTGAGTCTTGAGATTGAAGCCGTGTAATGTTGGATGACGAAACTATCGCCACCTTAGAAATGAGCTGACTTCAATGCTACCCTGCAGCCATGTCAGATGAGCCGAGGCATCTCAATCACCAGGCACAGTGTTTTATTGCAATGCGAAAAGAGCATCAGAACTGAGAAAGTAGCATTAAGGCGACATATGAGATTCGTACAGTAAACTAGGGAAAGAAATTATCGTAGTCATACAAACATTACAAGTGGATTCCCAAGGTTGTTTCTCCTTTTCCTTCCACCGTGTCCAAACCATCCCAAAGGTCATTCAATCATAACGATCATCATGTTCCTAACAAGCAGAAAAGAGAACCAGACCACCACTTATTTCTTCTTCTGGTTCTTACCAGTGATTGCACTGGTCACACTGCCGAGTCCAAGGCTATCGAGCACCTTGTTCAGTCCAAGCGTTCCGAGGAGATTGTCGACCAATCCTCCGAGGCCAAGACCGCTCAACTGTTGATCGCATTAGCATGTGTCTTGTGTTAGCTATGTGACAGTAGATGTAGACACTCACCAGCTTGCCGACAAGACCAAGCACACCGTTCAACAGCAATCCCACAGCCGCAATGATCTGGAACAGGGGCTCCGCCAGCAGTCCCCAAAGAGGGTTGAGCTCCTTCTTTGCGTGCGGCATGCCCTCAATCTTGCTCTTTGCGTTGTCAATGGTCTGCGTAATAGTGCCAGTAAGCTGTAGTCACTCGTTAGCAAGACTAGTCCTTAGCATCACCATATGTGCCGTTCAAACTCACCTCCTTGAGCACATCGGCGAGATGATACTCCTCCGGCGACGCCTCCTTGGTGCCCGCCTTGTGCTTCGCATTGCGCTGGATACGACCATCGGGATCAAGACCGCGAATAGTGCCGTTGGTTTCAGTCAAGATCTTGCCTCCCTCCTCAATCAGGGGCTTCACCTCCCGCACCAACTGCTCCTCATCGAGCTCCTCCTTGGGAGTCCGCTCAGCAGTGTTGATCTTGTCAGTAATCATCTTGCAAATGGGGCGGACCTTGTCGAGTGACTGCTCGATGCAGACAGCCAGCTTCTGAGCCAGCTGGCGGTCCCTCTCGGCCTCTTCCTTCTTCTTCATCTCCTCTTCGGTCTCCTTGGGAATGTCCTCAAGCAAGGCGACATGTCCGACAGCCTGGCCCTTGTAGTTGACCACATCTCCGTCATCATCAACCTCCTTGCCAGAGCAAGCGCTGATGTCGCCGCTGACAAGCTTCGCGATGATGTTGCCGTCTTCGTCGACGACGTTGCCGTCGCGGTTCACCTTGCGGCCCGCATAGGGAGCCTTCTTCCGCTCGACCTCCTCCTCCTGCCAGCGCTCAGCCTTGCCCAGAACGTTTCCATTGCTGTCAACAACGTCTCCGTCCTCGTCGACGGATCGACCAAACAGCTTCTTGGGGTCTCCCTCGATGAGCCTTCCAACAACATCACCCGAAGGTGTAACAACCGTGCCATCCTTGGCAACGGTACAGCCGGACAGCTCGGCAAAGGGGCCTTCTTTCATGCCTTCTCGCTCGCCTTCGCTGACGAGCTCAGCCTTGCCGATGATGTCGCCAGACTCGCTCAGGACGTTTCCTTGCTTGTCGCACATACGTCCTACCAGGGCCTTGATGTTGCCCTCAACGACTCTGCCCCAAATGGCGCCTGAGCCGTCCACGACGTTGCCGGCCTTGTTGACTCGCTTTCCGGCCAGCGAAGACTTGTCGACAACGGCTTCAGGCTCGGCCTCGGGCTCGTCCCAGGCCTCGGCTTTGCCAACGACGTTGCCGCGTCGGTCCAAGATGTCGCCATCTTCGTCGACGTGGCTTCCCTTGAGACGCTTCGGATCGCCTTCAACAACGACGCCGACTTGCTGTCCGTTGTGCATGACACGACCGTCTGCTTCGACAGTAGCATCGGGGAAGTTCTCAAAGGGGGCAAACTCCTTTTCGTCGCCGCGCTCCGAGTGAGAGAGAGGCTCGGCCTTGCCAATGACGTTCCCGGAGTCGTCCCAAATTTGTCCCTTCTCGTCTGCTCTCTTACCAAGGAGCTTCTTGGCGTCGCCCTCAATCAAGCGGCCGATGATGTCGCCGTTCTTGTTGACGAGGTTGCCGGCCTTGTTGACTTTGCATCCCTTGAGCTCCGAGAAGTCAATCACCTTTTCTTCTTCCAACTTGTCCTTCTCTTCTTGCGTTAGGTCCTGTTGCTCTTCGAGAGGCTTCTCGCCCTCTTGCTCGCCAGCCGCAGCCTCGTCAGGCTTCTCTAGCACATCGCCAGGGGTCTCGCCCTCCTTCGGGGCTTCTTCTTCGATTGGCTTGGGGACTTCTTCCTGAAGTTTGTCCTCGCCTTGGTCTTTGATGTCCTGGCCCTTTTCCTGGACCTCTTCCGACTTGTCCTCCATCGAAATGGGGGCCTCCTCTTCCTCCTTTCCGGTGGTCTTTTCGAGATTCTTTGCTTGTCCTTCGGCCTCTTCCTGGGGCTGCTTGTCACCCTGACTCATCTGGATCGTCGAGTCAGTGGCCGAACTTTGCTCCTCATCGCTGGGCTTCTGCATCCTACTAACCAGGTCCAGTCCTTGAGAAACGGGCTTTTGGAGGTTGCTAGCCGTCTGGTAGGCCGACTTTCCCTTGCCCATCAAGTTCCAGCCGCCGGACTTTTGGCCCTTGGTGCCAGACTCGGTGGTGTAATCGCCTCCTTGCTCATCATCGTCATGCTCACCCTCTTCCTCGTGTTGGCTCTCGCCCTCGTCCCCTTCCTCGCCGGTGTTGAGGGTGGCCTTGGCGAGTACATTGCCCGACGAGTCAAGGATATCACCTGTGGCTGTGACGGCGTTCCCAACGAGGTCGTTGGAGTCTTCTGACTGCTGGATCTTCCCGATGGCCTTGCCGGAGCGGTCCAGGATATCGCCAGAGTCGGTCACAACGCCCGCAGCAGACCGAGGGATAGATCGGACGTCGACTTTTTGATCGGGAACTTGTCAGATATGATCCAACTACTGAAGGTACGAATGATAAAGGGGGTTCCAGATGGCCTACTTGGGTTTGCCTGCTCCGTAGCAGGGCTCTCCTTGACCTGCCAGCCCCCTTGAACAGCGACTGGCTTTGGAAACGGCATGTTGGTTCAAGTCTCAGATTCACAAATGAATTGAGTTATTCGTTCAAATGGAGGGTCATCTAAAGTAGCAAAGTGAAGTGGTGTGTGGTTGAGTCGATTGAATTCGATGCCAAACCCTTCTAGTTCTTTTCATAGCTACCTTATATATACACAAGAGAGCTCATGGAAATTAAGTTGAGACCTTTCATCATAAGACTTGGATCAAGCTGCACAAGCTTACACCAACCAAACCCACGACCTCAACTTACACTGCCCATCATGCAAACGTCCCCATCGTCCAGCGTCACCGTGTCCATCTATGATCTCGATGGAAAGCTGCATCTCTTGCCGCTCGGATCGTAGCAACGCGGCATGACGCAGATGGAACCCCATATTACGTCTACCCACCATGGATAACCCTCGATGAAGAGCACCATGGCTGGATATGGGACACGCAAGAGCACGTTTAGCAAGGGGATATCATATCACAATGATATCAGACAAGAAGCCACAGGCCATCTTGCCAGCTCTTTCACAGGCTTGTAAAGCTCCTTGGAGCTTACAGTACCGTACAGTAAGTGCGGTTGCTATAAGGATGAACAGGGATAGTCCTTATGAGAAAAGAGCCCGAGGGAGCGATATCCTCGTGAGGCAAGCCACACTCGCCACAGCTAAGCTGTATGGGTGTCGTATTCATTTATCATGTGGCGCTGTATTTTGCACGTATAAACAGGTTTCTAGTAAGGGAGTAGGGATAGGGGGTGTGGCTGTTATGCACCCCTTTCATTGTTGGGCAAGGAGGTGCCAAGGAGCTCGAGATGCTGCACAGTGCTGTAGAGCTGCCTTTGGTTGCTATGACGATAATCTTCATGGGAGCATGAGTGTAGATGTGAAATCCCTATATCATGAGCAGTGGAAATAAGTTTGAGATTTGCACTATCCTCCTTGGAGTTTTCCTCCCAAACAATGGCATCGCCAGATGAGCGACCGAGATAACTCCTTGAAGCGCCAGCCTAATATCCTGTTTCCCAGAGCAAACGCAGTCATTCCGTGTAACAGAGTCCTCTCATCGTTCACTTCTGAACACGGTGGGTATCTTGATGATTAGCTGGATGCCATCATGTGTCGACTTGACATCCAGGTACACCTCCGAGGGGCTCGGGGCTGAGGAGGCATTCGCCTTGCCCGCGTCATTCGAAGCTTTTCCTTCACCCTTACTCTGTTGCCCCGACGCCTCCCCCTGTTTCTCCCCTGATGAAGGCTTATTCATCTTGCCAACAATCTCGCCCTTCTTGTTGTAAATGTTTCCATCCCCATCAATCTTCAGCCCTCCTTCCAGATCGCGTAGAGTCGGCTTCGTGTGGTTCTCAGAAACATATCCCACCACCTCTCCCGCACTATCCCGAATCTCCCCCGTCTCCGACACAGGCCGTCCCACCATGGACGGAAGATCCCCCTCTACCGACCCCAGCACCGTCCCATCCCAGTCCAGGATGTTGCCAAACTCGTCGACAAACTTGCCCACCAGGCCCTCGGCGCGAGACGTCAGCGACTCTCCGTGCTCAATGGGCTGTATGCTCGGAATCTGAATGTCTGGATTCTTGGGTTTTGAGCTGCTGCTGCTACTCTCGTTGTTCTGATTGTTGTTTCCATTGCTGCTGTTGTTTTGAGAGTCCTTGTCGCCTTCTGGTCGGGGCAGCATGACGAGCCTGTGGCCGGATGAGCGTCGTCGTTCCTGTCGATCTCCCTGCTTTGGCGGCATATCCGGGCTCTTGGACGGAGACGGCAGATGCGGCATCATGAAAGAATGACGAGCAGCGGTTTGAAGAGTATGACTTGTAAGTCTTTTTCTGGTGTGAATGAGGTTGAGGTTCAGCTAAGCCGATGGCTTACATTGATGTAATTGCTCATCTATTTCACACACACACACAGTTATGACCGAGTTCCAGAGCCTCAGTAGGAAGAGGCCCTTCTGTCGAGCTGCTTACAGTATCAGTAGCTGTGCAAGAAAACAGGGAAAATGCGTCATCATGTGCGAAAAACGAGGCCAAGTCTAGGATGACGACATTGCTCGCATCTCGGGTGCCGATCGTTCCCAGATTCTCACGATGCTGCCGACAGGGGTTGCCCACGAGTTATAAGGGAGCATCAGCCCAGCTCACTTACATGAAGCAGCTAATCCATGCAAGTGCCTTGTTTGGTCCAACTCTCTTACACCGGCTGCATATTATGTATATATGGTCTTTTTTAACTACTCACTGCGTAGTTGATGAACTGTACGTATTATATACTGTAGAATACTGTAGCACCACAATTACAGGCCCTCGCGATACCTGTTTCTGCAGCTTCAGCTGGGCTGGCTTCTGCCGTCCAACTTCTGTCTAGCTTCTCGGAGCCCTTCCCAAATCGATCCAAGATCGGGAAAAGTCAGCAGCCACAAGTGATACCCCCATCCGAAAGGACGTGGTGGCGCAGGACAGTGTGGCTGCTGGCGCTAGATGTATGTACAAACTTGGAAGCTGTTGGACAGAGAGAATCTGCAGCAGCCCGTGGCGAGGCATGGCTACACCGAGCTTGTGGGAGGAGCACGGGCTGTCTGGTGGCCGATGAGACGCTGTAACTGCCGCTTTTCCGCAGCCGCTGGATCATCGATATCGAAATCAGAGACAGTTGGTTTAGGTATGAGTATGGAGTGGAAAAGGAGGAACGGATGAGGATTCAGTATGTAGTTTGTGGTATTAACAGCTAGAAGGGATGCTTTCGTCGCATCTCTATCAACAAGCAGCTTCCGTGTAGTAAACTCATGAATCGACCTTGAGAAACAGGGCAGTTTTCTCCCTGCCGCGTCACAATTGGTTCAACTCCAAGGCACTAGGAACAGCCAGCCCTTCACCCAGCATCCATCGTCCTTTCAAAAGAATCATACACAGGCGTCAATATTTATAAAACAAAAGTCAACATACGTAGATAAGAAAACCCGATAAATCGTTAAAAGAGAGTGCCCTCCAATCCACTGAAAGATCCCGAATCGTGCGCGGCTTCGCATCGGTATAGGAGAGCCCCTTGTCATTATAAAAAAAAGCAGAAGCGCCGTCGTCGTGGTGCAGTTGATTGTCTCAGTTCCTGGTGTTGTGAAACAAGAGCAACGCCGTTAGCCGTGTTCGTAACTTGGTTTTTCTATTGTATCTTGTGTGCGGAAGATACGGATGGTGATTCTTTTGTTCTTTGTTTTCGCCCCCATAACTAGCCAGTCCTGAAGAGAGAGATGCGGGTGCCGCATTGGTAAGATAATGTGCTACCCAGTAGGACGGATGGAGATGAGAGAGACGAGTAACAAAGAATCGACCTGTGCTTTTTTCTGTGGTGCTGTTTCGTGAAAGGGAAGGAATGGAAATAGAGAAGCAACAGAAACAGGGGAACGAGGTTGACTTACAGCAACGCCAGCTCCAAATCACCATGAATCTTGGCCTTGAGCTGAATCTCAATATCCAAGTTCAGATCCAGCCGCAACCTCAGCGTGTCGCTCTTCCCACCATCGCCCTTCGCCTGGTTATCCACGGCATTGTTCGTGACGCTGCCGAGCGTGTTCGTCACGCCGCCCAGCACCCCGTTGGCCGTCTGCCCGACCTGGCCCAGCTCGCCGCCCACGGGCAGCTGGTCCAGCGGCCCGGCGCTGGTCTGGCCGCCGCGCTGCTGCTGTCGCTGCTGCGTCTGCGTCCGCTGTCTCCGGCGAGGCTGGGGACGGGGCACTTCTTCGGCGGCAGAGTCGGAGCCGTATTCCTCGGCGGAGTCGGTGCGGTCCTTCTCGGCGGAGCGACTTGACATGTTTGCGGTTTGTGTGTTGTGTGATGCGGTGGTACAGGTACCCGGAGGTGGACGTGTACGAGACTGCCGTATAAGTGAAGTTGAGATGAGACGAGATGGGATGAGAGTCGATTAGAGGTTGAAAAGATGGGAAAATGGAATCCTTCAATGGAGATAGGGAAGCCTTTTCTTCTCTGGCTTGGTATGAGTAAGTCTTCAGCAGCTATTTACCCGTCCAAGTATATTCCAACGTCCCAATCTTCCAATTCCCCGGAGCATCATAATGATATACCCATTAATTCTCCACCACACGATCATCGACCCTGCCTATCCTCACGTTCTACTCAGTCTCTTTCTCCTTGATTCAGGTAGTTAATCTTTTTTCATCTTTACACGCCTCACCCTCAGCACCCCTATGAAGTCATCATGAAGCAATAGCTGCTGGTATTGCAGACCTGCGACCTTGATTAGAATCGACCTTCTGCATGACACGACATGGGTCAGCATCCTGCTAGCATGCTGGGACTACCCTTCGGCGTACTGTAAAGCTGCTCCCCACCATTCGGCCTGTTAACCGTTTATTCCCACAAAACGGTCACTGGTCCATTCTTTATCGTGCTCTCACTTGTCCAAGCAGCAGCCACTTCATCAATGTGAAGCCATTAGCCCCTGTTCAGCCACACACCATCTCTCTCATCCAAGGCACACTTACACGCATCGGATGAGAATATCTTGGCCTTGCATACTGTATGTACTGTAACCTAATATTTCTCTAGTCCCTCACATACTTGCTATCCATTCCCAGCAACATCCTCCTCCTCAGCCTCACAGGCTTACACTCGTCCGCCCCCAGGGCATCCAGCATCTCGTTATCCGGATCCCAGTACACCACCCACCGCGACTTGCTGCTGCCGCCTTCCTCCTCCTCTCCACGCTCCAGCTTCGCCACAAAGCACTCGCCGTTCCCCTGCAGCGTCAACAGCGTCTCGTCCTCGCTCCAGCCCCAGGGCCCAATGACGTGCCCCAGGGTGTCTTTGCGTCCGCCGTACTCCACCGCGTGCGTGTCCTTGTTGATGTAAATCCAGTTGAGCATCGGCGGGTCGTCCGAGATGGTGCTCACCAGCCCCAGGTGCTTCTCCTCGCTGGGGTACGTGAAGTAGTAGCCGCAGAAGGCGTACCCCGAGAAGTCGGTGTCGAGCGGGACGTTGACTTGCAACTGGGGGATTTCTCCATCATCAGCCCAAAGTTGTCGTCAGCTTTCGGGGAATACGCCGCCGTAGCACCTTACCTTGCCATCTTTCAGCACACAGAAATCCGTCTCGTAGTCCTCATCTTCTGAACCCTCTTCCACTATGGCTGTCAACCGGAACTTTTCCTTTTCCTTGTTCGCCGCGTTTGCCTTTTTCTGCGCGCTGACTGCCTGGCCCACGCCGGTAACGGTGGGTATCGCCGTTATGGCGAGAAGTCCAATGACCATGGTGTAAGTCGTCGGCCGGATGTATACCGTAGCCTGAGCATGAGAGCAAACAAACAAGCAAAAGCAAAAAAACAATATGGGTTCCGTGAGTCTGTGGGATGCACCGAGGCCTTCCGTACAATGACGTTATTTTATGGACGGGCCGTGTGCGTTTCTTCTCTCCATCTGTGTAGTAGTGGTATCCCGTGGTAACCCTGGAGCCTATGAGGAAGTCTTGCATGAAGCCATCGAGATCCCGCGCCCCAACTGTGGGGGCCGGCGGCATCCCAGTCCGATCCCAGCATAAGACAAAGCCATGCAGCCCCCGTCTCTTATGACTTCACCGCATATGATCTCGACGCCCATGGTGTGCACCTCTAAGAAGCTCTCCCTGCCCATCACAGGTTTCATGGCATGCAGCCTAAATCATGCCGTACGTAAACTTGGAACGTCATTTACGCCACAAACAAGCTGGGCAAGGGGGGAGTGCAAGCAAAGCTTGGCTTACACCTCAGACCCCCTGGCTACGGCTAGTATCCAGGATTCTTGTGATTTTCAGTTGCCTTAGTATTCCCTTTGTTCTGTTAAGCTGCTTTACCTGTTCTAGCTTCGTGTTGATAACTCATTGAAACACATCGCAGTTGCGTCACTCGGCATCAAGGCAATCCTCATGGTGGGCCGTGATTCGAATTGTATTCTTAGAGCCACAAAAGCCAGCCGTCGCGGACCTGCGCCTCACCTTGACATGCTGTAGCAACTCAAGACGAAGATATTCTGAAATCTCTTCGGAAGTCTATTGATTGAAAAATCTGAATCATTCTTCTTGTCTTGTTTGAATCTTCAGCTCCTTGGCGTCTCAGCACATTCTGTTTGCAACTCTCTCCTAAGCATCATCAGTCATGTCTTCAGACGAGGTTTGTCCATCACAATCAGAAGCATCCATGCAGAAAGGACCCCGTTGACTGATTCCCTATCAGAAGCCCCAGGACCAGGAGTTCAACTCCCGAGAAGAGCAGGACTACCAAGACAACCAAGACCAGAACCAGCAAGATGACGACAACAACAACAACGCCTCAGACCACCAGCAAGACTCCCAGCAGAACGGCAGAAATGGCGAGCTAAGCGAAGACAACTCCTCCGACCGCGACGAAGACAACGAGCCCACAACACCCCCCGCCCCTGAACGCCAACGCTCAAGCGGCCGTGGTGCCCGTGGTGCCCGCGGCGGCGGCGGTGACGATGACGATGCCGGCAACGACCGCGAGAGGTCGCAGACGCAAACCAAGACCCAGACCCGCCGCAGAAGAAGGGGCGCCCCCTTCCAGCGCCAAGCCCAAGACGACTACGAAGACGACTACGATGAGAGGGGACAGGGAATGGTGCCTCATCAGCAGCGGCAACAGCAGATGTACCAGCCGCAGCAACCGATGCAGATGCAGCAGCAGATGCAACAGCAGCAGCAGCAGGTGCAGCAGGGAGGCAAGAAGGACGACGGGAAGAATCCGCTCAAGCTGCGGCTGGACTTGAACCTGGATATCCAGATCGAGCTCAAGGCCAAGATTCATGGTGACTTGACGCTGGCTTTGCTGTAAGATACTCCCCTCTTCAGCCCTTGACAAGACAAGATGAGCTTTGCTAACAAAGTGACTCGCAGGGACATGGACTGATTGATTGGCATGTGTCGGTTTGATTGATATGGCGGTTTCATTTGACTTGACTTCTTTACCACGCCTGCGCTCCGGTGGTGTCTATTTATGTCGTTGCTTTCGCGTTTCCGTCTGTCACGCTTTAGGATAATGAATGAATGCTCTCAAAAGGGGGCATATTGTTTGAGCTGTATATATACATCTATATGTGTTTCCTATCATGTGCTTTGTATCTCTGTTTGTTCGTGTATCGGTTCCATGTACTAGGTATCATATATTGTCAACGTAAAAGGAAAAAGGTTCATAACAACGCCCCGTGCCGCAGCCTCTAGCCGTGAATGCGGTTCCAGACAGATTTATACCAAACATTGTGCTTCACCCCGTGCTCTATGCGCCCCGTCTCGTTGACAAGCGGCATGCATTGGAAGGCTTCGGCGAAGACATTGAGACACTTGCTACGCGCCTGCATGTGGCCCGTCTGCCTGCTGATGCCGCCTGAAGGGTCCAGGTTGATATACTGGCTGCTCCCTCGGACCAGCAAGGGGCCTGATCCGGTCAACATGGACATGACAAAGTTGAGGCCAATGTCCTCGCAGTTGAAAGCTTCGTCGACGTATTCTCGGATCTTGGTGACGGCAGGATCGTCGGAAAAGTAGTAGTCAAGAAAGGCGATGTGGGTAAACGCGAGGTTCGTCAAGACCATGGAGTAGACGTCCTGGTGCGCCTTTTGGGAGCAAAAATTATAGTCCCAGTCGCCAGACGGCAAAGCCGTAGCGCAGCGTGCCAGCGCGCCCGTCATTCTGTCCTTTCCAAACTTGCGCCACATTTGAAAGACAAACTCGAGATCGTCCGGGCGGTAGTAGACATCGTCGTCGGACAGGAGGATGGCCTGGGTCCGATACTCGGGATCGGGCCACAGCTTCTCGTTGAGACTGTCGCGAGTCGGCTTACGGTACCGGACGGGCACGCCGTGCTGGGAGACGAAGGGGTCGGGCGTCTTTTCGTCAAAGTTGTTCCAAATGATGACGATTTCGTGCAGCGACGGGATTTTGGCGGCCAGCAGCGCGGTCAAGGTGCGGTGAAGCTCCCTGGGGCGATGGAACGTCGACATGGCAATCCTATGGCATTCTCTCATCAGTACATCCAGCACAATCGCGGTAAAGAGGCGCCCTCCACGCACGTGAATTTGTCTTCCAGCAGCCCGCCATACTTGGACTCGGCTGCCGCCCGCCATGACTGGCTCGGCCAAGTCACGTTGGCACTTGTCTGATTGCTGCAAAGAGGATATCGAGGCCCGGCGCCCGTCGACTGGACCGAGAGCGAGATGCCCGCCGAGTCCGCCACGGGGCTCAATGGATTGGCAAGCAGCACGAAGGTGACGACGGATAGCGTTAGGGCCAGCAGGATGGTGGTGCTTCTCCTGAGGCGGAGCAGGGACACCATTGAAGCGAGCATCGCGGCGGCCAGGCGTCAATCCTGATCTGCCGATGGCGTCGCTGGTTCTGGACGGGCGTCGCTGCAGGAGCCGAGATACAGCCGCAGTCTCAGGCTGGATCGGTGTGTTTCGAGCGGCTCGAAACGGGCATCTTGCAGCTCTGAGGCGAGCCTTTGGGATGGCAAATTGCTTGTGATGATGGCGAACAGCCATGCCCGGGATATGGGTCACGTGCTGATGTCCGTACCTCGTGGTACAGGCGACCTTGGAGCGTCCTTGGTGTGTCTCCCGACTCCGTGCAGGCTACCTACCTATTGATACGGACTACGCGATGGTCAGACGGACGCGGTACCTTAAGGTACGCATCAGAGGCCCGGTACACACACAAATACACAGGCATGGAAGCTGGCGTGCCGTACTTGCAAGTTACGGCGATGCACGAGTGCCGCATGACGTAACGCCGGCACTTCAGCGGCTCGGACAACAGCCGTGCAAAACTGCATCTCCTCTGATGTGCTAAGCGCGAAGTAATCGGTAAGGTACATGGCGGGACTTTGCCTGACCTCCGTCGCTCACCACGCTTCTCTCCATTCGAGCCGAAGACTCCGTAATTCAGGTGCTCGATGCAAGCAAAAGGGGAAACCGTCCATGTCACCCCTTGCGGAGTGCCTGGCCGAGGCAACCTTATTTTGATCTTTCTCTCATCGAGGAGCTCTCCTTGTTTCCCACGGATTTGGGTAGATCTTGGCTTCTAGAACAGTGAGGGGGGGGTCCCTGGAATCTCTCGGATCCGCACTTGTCCGCCTCGCTGTCGTTTGTTGTTGTCATCAACTGTCCGAGTGGCTGCGATTGTGTGCAAGTAACGCCGGTTTGAGATGCTTGTTCCTTCAGCCATTTGCTTGTCAGAAAGTACTAGGTAGCCGCTTCTTACTCCTGTACCCTTTGAAGTGTAATCTGTACCTGAACGATACAGCTAGTATGCCTTCTTCCGCAGGTCATACATTATGCTGATATAAGCGGAGGTGACACACCACCACCGACATCCTCCACCAACTCAAATCCGCGGACAATGGCATTACCCCGTCTGATTCCATTTCCTCATTCTCCCAATCAACCAGCCTGCTAGTGAGCCTATCGAAAGTCCAGTTCCAGTAACTACTTGAGTAGCACCATGCAACCAGAGTCAGAAACCCGGGCTCTGCAAGCCTCCTTGCAACGCGCCATGTCTCTCTCCCTCGCACCAGCTGCTCCTCCGTCCGCATTCCTGCTCCGCGTCGGGCCAAGCATGCAGTCCGAACCCCGGCCTAGTGCCAGCAACAACCGATACTCGAGACAAGGTCGCAGGAATTGCTCCGGGACTGCTTAAGCCGCCTGTGGACAAAGAACGACGCAGCTCGGAGTGCAGCCAAGTTCCGTGCCTCGAATCCCTAACTGTCTCTGTGCTAGCCTTTGCTTCCGCCAAGCACCAGCAACTCAGCTGAGGGCCGTTCTAGCGACCTCTTGCTTTGGCTCACAGGCGCAAGACAAGACCGATAGACCAGGGCCTTGTGTCCCACGATGATCCGTCATGGATGCATGCTCCAATCACCCTCCAGCTCCGCCCGTCACCTTGCAGACATAGCGCTGCCGTGAAGCCGTTTCAGGTCATCGCGCCAGCCCTTTTCCATATGACGGACGGCGTCATCAGATTGTGAGCCCATTCGTGTGCCAAGCAACGAGCTTGCGTAAGGTAGCCTCAAGCCCGCCACTTTTCTGCTGTTGGCTTCGAAGATGGTTTTTGTTGCGCAGTATTTCCATTTCCCGCGCCTGAGGTATCGCACAGCTGAAAGGTACCGCGACGGAGTCCGCATGGTACCACACGGCCCACGCACGTCGCGTGCATGTAGACGGTACAGGCGGCAACTCGGCGCAGGTACCGACCAGGCAAGCGATACCCCTCGGGCTCAGCTGCATGTCCGCCAAGCAGACGGACAAGGGCTCAAGCTGTTCAAGGGATGCGCTGTAGTGAGTGACTGCGCAGGCGTGTTCCTCGGACAAGCAAGCCACCAGCTAAACTGGCTTGTGAAGGCGTTCCATTCAGCGCCTCTGTGGCCCTGACACGGCAGAGAAGTGGAAGAGGAAAAGGGGGCCAGGCCAAGCCAGCTCCATTTTTTATTTAGAGGTCCAGCAGGCTGTCTGGGCATATTGAAGCCCGAGATGGTGCGAGGCGTAGACTAACTTTTTTTTTTTTTTTTTTTTTTCTTCTCTGGTCCCTCTTACGTTCCTGTGTTTTCTTGAAGCCTCGGCTGGCGGAGCCTCCAGTTTCGACAGTCCGTCACTACAAAAGACGGATAGCAAGACGGAGAGAATTTGCAGAGTAAAGGATAGGAGAGCCACTATAGGGGACAGAAGATAGGAACAGTATTGAATGAAGAGAGACAAAGGAGACCATTGATTCAGTGCCTCAATTTCTTACATGCATCTCCGCTGCCGATCCCGATCCTGCTGCTATCTGCCTTACTACCTAGTAGTACCTACCTTACCTACCTGTAGCAGCACCTAACAGCGAAGAGGTCCTTGGTTAGGTACTTGGTTCTCGGTCCCTCTCCAAGCCTTGGCCGCGCTTGGACACGCACAGAGCACTAACCTGCCCAAGTACCACCCGAACCTTAATATTTGACGTCTCTGTCATTCCTCCCCCTTCTTTTCTCCTCCTCCCGCCTCTTCTCTCTCTCTCCCCTCTTCCACTCCCACCAACTGCTTCAGTTTCTGTTCTTTTCCTTATCCCTCATCCCTCCTCCTCGAGCCGCCCGCCATGCGCACCCGCAACATCGTGGCCCTGGCCGCCATCGCCCTCTTCTGGATCGTCTTCCTCTTTAGGCGGCACATCCACGAGCTGGGCGAGATTGCCCTGACATATAGCACCTTTTACCCGCTGCTGCACAGGCATCCCGACATTCTGTATCGCCACCCGGAGAACGTCACAGAGCTGTCGTCCGAGGCATCGTCGACCCTGCCGCCCGTCGTCGTGCCCAAGATTATTCACCAGATCGCCCTGGGCAACGCCAGCGTCGCCAAGTATCAGGCCGCCATCTCGAGCTGCACCGACCTGCACCCCGAGTGGGAGCACCGCCTGTGGACCGACGTCAACGCCACGGCCTTCATCGCCGAGTTCTACCCCGACATCCTGCCTCACTACACCGGCTACGCCCAGAACATCCAGCGTGCCAACATCCTCCGCTACGCGCTGCTGCACCACTCGGGCGGCATCTACGTCGACCTCGATGTCACCTGTCGCGTCGCCCTCGACTCGACACCCATCGTGCGGCTGCCCTACGTCTCGCCCGGCGCCCACCCGGCCGGCGTCAACAATGCCTTCATCGCGACCGAGCCCGGCCACCCTTTCCTGACGCAGCTGCTGGAGAACGTGCCCAGCCACGACCTGCACTGGGCGCTGCCGATGCGCATCCCCTACGTCGAGAACATGCTGAGCACGGGCTGCATGTTCTACTCGAACCAGTGGATGGCGTACGTCCGCGATGTTCTCGCGGGCCGCCAGACCAGCAAGGTGTACATCCTGTCCGACGAGCACGGCGATATGGCGCCGCACATGCTCCGCGGCAAGGTGACGACGCCCATCTTTGTGCACGGCGGCGCCAGCAGCTGGCACGGCTGGGACGCGGCGCTGTTCCTGACGATTGGCGAGCACTACACGTTCTACCTGGGCGTGCTGTTTGTCGCCCTGACGCTCATCTTCTTTGCGGCCTACTTCTTCACCACGTCGAGGCGATCGTACCGTCGACGATGCCGGCTCTTCAGCTTCGGCGGGTCATCCCGAAACAGCTGGTCGCCCACCAGGCAGCGAAAGCCCAGCATCAGCCAGTCCGTGGTATAAGGCTGGAGCCAGCGTCCTCAAGTTTATAACCGCTCGAACATGCAACAGATGACGACATCACCAAATTGCTGTTCACTTCGATAACTTCGCACACGTTATGAAAGGATGCATTCGCAATCCATTGGCTTCCTCGCACACTTTTACTCTAATCCTACTGCACCAGTAGTATTCGGCATACATTTCGAACCTTTAGAAGGAGAAGAAGATACCCGCTTGCTTTTCTCCCGGCGACTTACAACATGGGCTTACACGCGATGAGGGGGCGAACCGGAACACGCTGGCGATGTTTGGCCCGCTCCCTTCTTACTTGTCTTTACACATAAAGCGGTTCCAGGCGGATCAGTCACGATACGAAGACGGATGGCAACGACATACGGGGAGGTGGTGACATTTGGCTTTGGCTACCAGCTCGGCGTCTTTTTTTTTTTCTGGTCGGGGATTCTATAGGGATTATGAAGCATTCCGTCCTATAGCAGGGTCACAGAGTGTAATGATAGAGAGAATACCAAGAATATCCACAGGGCCTGCCTGGGTTAATGATAATCTACATGAAGCGTTCCGCTTTATTCGCTTCCAGGTCTACGATTCACTCCGAAAGTCCATGACATGGCGTTGACGTTGCACATCGGAATCCTTGAGGCCGAAAGTGAAAGGTTTGCAATCCATGCATGTTGCGTGCATCAATCAATACACAGTCGCCCATGTTAGCCGCCGCCTTCTTCGATGTGCAGCTGTTTGCCCTCTCAATCGAATTCGTATATGACATGGATTCAGTGCTATGCTACAATCCGCGTGCTCATATTTCTGTTAATTTTTTTTTTTTTTGTTTTACTGTATCTTCCTCCCCCAGTATAATGTATGCTGTTTACATTCGCTTGTTGCAATACACTTGGTCGAGATAGGTAGCGTACCTTAATGAAGTCGGTAAACAGTCGAGGGTCTAGTAGGGAGCATACATTAGTAGTGGTGGTAGGTAGATATGCACATATCTGGAAAGAAAGTCATGGGCGTCATACTTGCGTTTTTCAGCAAAACGCTACCATGCTGCGGACGTTTTTCCCCAATCAGCCATTGCCGGTTGGATTGGGAACAATGGAGCGGAGGGGGGGGCTGTGCCTGAGATGAAGGATGAGAAGCAAGACGCCACTGGATCGGATTTGCTGCTCTTATCTTTTGGGGCATTGTAGGTAAGGTAGGTATGCTTCTGCCATGGAGGATGAGTAAGATTGTGTGTACTTGGATGTTGTGCTGAGGAGATTGTGTCACGGTTCAATTGCAAGTTTGGTTGTGCGCTCTCTTGAGAAGGCATCGTCGGTAATGTGCCGGCTAAAGATGCAGCTACATAGGGCGCATCAAAACTCTGCCTCTAGAGATGAATGAGAAAACGAAGCATATAGCCCCTTTGGTGGTTGTACCCGAGTCGCCGAAAGTCAATTGAAGCTGAAACTGTCCTTCGCATGCTACTCAGACCCCAGTTGAGATGTTTGGTGACGGGAAGCGTTAAAGTATTTACCTCTACAGTAATAGGTACCTAGGTATGGATAGGTGCCTGTAAAGCTACTACAGCAGGATCAACTAGCAGCGAGCTTAAATCCTTCAAGAAACTTCAACCTCCTTGATTTAGCTGTTGGTGAACACGGCGCTTCACGAGGGTTGCTGGAAGGGGAACAACGTGATATCAAGGTGAAGTATGCTCATAGTCGCAATCATAAGTAAGCCGTACAGTTGGAGTTGCCATTACACAGCCGCAATGTGGCTTTGACTCGCTCGCTATCATCGACTCTCGTCATCCTTCAAATCTTCTATCAAACCGATATCTACCTAGCTTACAGCATGCTGAATGATCAAAAAAATTGCTTGAACCTGCTTGCTTCAATCAAGTCTACAACCCCCCAACACCCCAAGAAATAACCAACATACAGAGATATCCTTTCATATACAATCATCTCGTACAACCCCAGAAACACAACCCTACCGCTCCCACGGAACTTCAACCCCCAAGTCTCTCGCCACCCTCATCGCCGAGACCACACACCCCTCCAGCAACACCATCCCATCCCAGCACCATGATCCCACGACCCACACATCGTCCTTCCCATTCGTCCACAGACCCTCACCGTCCGAATCCTTTGTCGGGGCCAAGAGTTTCTGCACGGCAGACCTGCTCTCCGTAGTCCGCAACGTCCGCGTAAACCTCGCCGTGTCCAGCGTCCCCTTCAACTCTGGCGCATCACCCACGGGACTCGTCCGCACAACCAGCCCATCCGACAAGTAGTGCAGCGTCTCCGTCTGAACGACGCTCTCGGAAAAGGTCGTCCTAAAGGCCATGACCTGGGCGTCTCCACGGCGGTACGAGCACTCCCCGGACGGGACGTGGGTCTTTTCGGGCACGACGGACAGTCCTGATGCGAGAGGAGCCACGACGGTGCTTGTGACGGGGACCGTGGGAATGACGCTCAAGAGGGGCTTGGAAGGGTTGAAGATGGCGGCGGCGACGTTGGGCGACACGGCGAGCACGACGCGGTCAAACACCTCCTCGGAAGAAGCAGCAGCAGCAGCAGCAGCAGCAGCAGCAGCAGCATCGCCGTTGACGCTCTGAGAGCGAATCAGAACACCCTCATCAACTCTGTCTACCTTTGTCACGCGAGTCTCCAGCCGCACGTCTTCGATCCCCGCCGCCAGCGTCGCCTGGACGCGGTTGATGCCGCCGCGAGCCACATACGTTTTGCGCAGAAACGAGCCCTTGACAAACTCCGTCACGTCGCTCGCCGGGAAATCCAGCATCTCGGCGTGCGAGCAGCTGCAGATGATGCTCAGCACGGGCAGCAGATAGTACAGCGCGTACGTCTGCGGCAGCCGGATGCGATCGAGATACTGCCGAAACGACTCGCAGCTGCTGGCGCTGCTACTCTTCCCCTTGGCCGCCGACTTGACGTCCAGATACGTCTCGGCCTTGATCATCCGGGGCGCAAACAGAAAACAGGCGGCAAAGAACCAGATGTGGCAAATGGCCAGATACAGCGTCTGCAAAATTGTCTGCACCGACCCGCGCCAAAAGTGAGGCGATATCAGCAGCATCTCGTGCAGCCTTTTGCCATAGATAAAGTAGCTCCCGGGCATCGTCTGGACGTCCTCCGGACTGGGCACCTGCGTCTGGGCAGCGGCGGAGATGCGGGCAAAGACCCAGATGAGCTGGATGTGCTGAAAGGGCACGCCGAGGTGGTCGTACATGCGGCACAGGTTGGCGTAGTAGCCGCGGCAGAAGCTGCGCGGCGGGATGTCGATGCGCTCGGCGGTGCCGGTCTTGGTGTTTTTGATGGTGATTGACGCGGCATCGAGGGAGAACTTGGGGGCCTTGGGTGTGGATGTTAACAGAATGACACCTTCACTGTGAGTATCCATCGCGGATCATGGATCGATGCTGACCTGCTCAAACAGCGTCACGTCGTAGCGCTTCTGCGAGTCGCGATGCAGCAGATACGCCGTCGTCAGCCCGGCCAGTCCAGTGCCGATGATGGCGACCCGCGTCTTGCGCTCGCCATCCGCCGCTTTGCCCTGTCGAGACGGCATCTCGTCACACTGTTTGTTCGTTCGAAAGTGCAGCACGAGAGGCTACTTGGGTGGTCCAGGAAACGGCGATGAACGAACGGATAGCTAGTTCAGCTCGTCCGCCTCGTATGCATGAGCGCTCCTTTATAGGTGAACCTGCTCGTATCCCCCTTTTGCTTCCGAGACAAGCCTTGAAAGAGTGCACCGTGTTACCCGGCGTCTTCAAAGCATCATCCGACGATGAAATGTGTGTCTCACGAATTCACATGAGAATCAGAAACTTGGAATCGACCGCATGACGGGGGCCCAACAAAAGCTGCTCAATCGCCCCTTCTGATTGGACCGGCCAGGGCGATTTGAGACTCTCCGGCCGACCGCACAGGGCAGCTGTATTGCTCCGTATCTCTTCAGCTCTATTTCCTGCATTTTCATTGACACTATGAGCTGTCAAAGGCGGGCATTTAGCACGTGTCAATCCACTGTATATGCTTCTTTAACAGTCGCAGGGTCTAGAGGAGATGACAGAGTGAGACGGGTGCTGTTTGACGATGGAGAAGATGGAAAAGGGTATTACATGCAATACTGCCTCTGGTACTGTGCTAGGTATCTGATGCAGTCATGCTCATCAGCGGGTGGCTTGACTCTAGCGTCTAGTGGCCGGGGACACGGATGACAGTTAGAAGTGACGGACAATGACATGCAAAGGCTAGAAGACATCAAAGTCTAAAATCTAAATCCGAGTCCTTAGATCTACCTGGGTATTCGATGTTGTCGTGAGATATGAGATCTGATCACATAGCATTCCGTAATACAACGCCAAGGACACTATTTGTCTTTCGTGCATTTGCATCCAGTCTGCCCCGCTGACAAAATCACTATCGCAGCACTGCTTGCTTCACCACCTTCAACCTCATTTGTCAACCAACCACCAAACATCTTATAGGCCAGCAACCATCCAGTGTATGCAATGCCGCTGCCATCGCTCAGCAGCTTCTTCCTCGGGTTCGTCGCAGGATGCCTCACCATCCTCCTGCTCCTCGCCATCGCCGCCGTGTCTCTCACCCGCTCCGGCGACATCTACGGCCTCGGCCACTGGAAGCTCAACATCAGGACACCCTTCCCTTCCATGTGGATGAACCTGGGCTATTGGTAGTTCAACCCCTCCTCCTCCTCTACTTCACACGGCATCACATTATCCAGCCACTAATACATCACTAGGACCCGAGATGACGGCACCGCAATTCAGCACTTTGACGAGGCCGCGCGAAACATGCTCCGGCAGCTCTTACAAGCGGCTGGCATCCTCTCCGATTCATCATCAGCATCATCATCCCCATCCGTCGCTGTTCTAGACGTTGGCTTTGGGTGCGGCGACCAGACCGTTGCCCTGGCCGAAATCATCAATGCTTCAAGACGACCTCAATTCCGCTACGTAGGACTAACTCTCAACGCAACGCAGCTCCAAGAAGCACAACAAAGGCTCGACGCCGCTCTATCCCACTCAACTCAAGACCCCCCATCATCCTCATCATCATCATCAACAACCTCACTCAACCTCCCCAAAGCCTCCGCCTTCCAACTCTACCAAGCAGACGCCGCCCAACCCACGTCCTGGCCCCCGGCCGTCCTCTCCTCCGTCACCTCCCTCGCAGACGCATCCTTTTCCGAGCGCTGGCTCATGGGCCTCGACTGCCTCTACCACTTCTCCCCCTCCCGCAAGCCAATCTTCACCCTCGCGGCGCGGACCCTGCACGCCAACGTCATGGCGTTCGACCTCATCCTCAGCGACTCTGCGTCATTTTGGCAAACTCTGGCCGTCAGGATCCTGGGCTTCGTCTTACTCTGTCCCTGGCGGACGTTTTTGACGGAACGCGAGTATCGAGAACAGCTGGTTGAGTGTGGCTACGATAGAGAGCAGGTTGAGATTCGGGACGTCTCCGACCATGTGTTTGGCGGGCTGGCAAGCCACTTGCGGAAGCAAGATGCCGTGCTGAGACCGTATGGCATCTCGTTGACGGCGTATGCCTTGGTGGGGAGGGTGTACGAGTGGTTTGATCGCACGAGGGTGCTCAAGGGTGTGGTTGTTGTTGGGAGGGTCAAGAGGAAGAGTCAGTGAGCGAAACGCACTGGTTGACATCACATGGAGTCGAAGCATTACAATGACTAGTAAGGTAGACAGGATCAGTCAACTTACATCACATTGTGGCTTATCGTAGAATAGACTTTTTCTGCGAGAGCGGCCCCATCGCGAGCCGCATTCCTCAGACATCGCCAGCTTCAAACCACAATAAGCTTATATCAACACAAAATCCGCCACAAGCGTCAACCCATCCATTGTCCAACCTCAGCTATCAAAGTCACAATCACCTCAATGCCACAGATCAACAGCACTTGCCTAGGATCATTCAAACTGACCCTACCAATAGACATATTACTACTACCATAGCCAGCAACATGCACAGTCATCGATCGCGATCGACGACCCCCATGTCAAATCAGACACAGCCACATCACCAATCCAACAACACGTAAAAATCGCCGGCATGACCGGGACCCGGCGCGTACATAAGAGCCGTGTGTGGGGTCTCTATACTCCCTCCTAAAAAGCACCATCATCCCCCGCATCGTGAGCTGATGCTCGCGTGTCTTACCTTGACATTTCATATAAGACATCCATCGTCATCGATGTCTACCTTATGTGGTCCAAGTCCTTCGTCAACATCAAGACACATGACGACGACAACGAGCATCACGCAGCAACACACAACACAGCCTCGGTCTTCTAGATCGTTTCTATTGGTATCATGCATCTAGCTCTAGGTCTCTTCTCTTTTCTGACTGGACAACGTCTCCAAGACACTGCCGAAATGACGACCAGCGCAACGAAGTCTACTTCGCGATACGCGATCCCATCGGGCTAAGAAAAAAAGAATGAAACATCTTTTGGCAAATGACCACTCATACGCAAGACAAAATGACAAGATTCTAAAACAATTCTCTCTATTTTCCCGGTACCCAGCTTTCTTTACTCAGGCTTGGGCAGAACCATGGGCTTGGTGCCCAGGCCGTTGCGGTTGCGGAAGAACAAGACGCCCTTGCCGTGGCCCTTGGCCTCGGCGCTGGGCTCGACCCAGTGGCACATGCGGGCGCTTCGCCACAGGGCGCGGATGAAGCCGACGGCACCGTCCTTGACGTCGGCGCGGTAGTGCTGGCCCATGACGGGCTTGATGGCCTCGGTGGCCTCGTCGGCGTTGTAAAAGGGGATGGTGGCCACGTAGTGGTGCAGGACGTGCGTCTCGATGATGCCGTGCAGCAGGTGGCGGCCGATGAAGCCCATCTCGCGGTCAATGGTGGCGGCGGCGCCTCGCACAAAGTTCCACTCCTCGGCGGTGTAGTGAGGCAGCGAGGGGTCCGTGTGCTGGAGGAAGGTGATGGCAACTGAGACAGGAGGAGAGACACGGTCAGCAGGGAGGAACACAAGTCTTGTGCGTCACTTTGCGTCAGACACACGACGAAGCATGGATGAAGAACTTACCGAGCCAGTGGTTGACCCAGAGGTACGGGATAAAGTACCAGACGGCCATGTTGTACCAGCCAAAGGTGTTGCCGAGGTAGTAGAGGGTGCCAAAGGCGAGCAGCAGGCCAATGTCGCTCAGGACGATGAGCTTGGCGTCCTTGGCCTCGTACAGCGGGCTGCTGGGGTCGAAGTGGTTGACGCCGCCGCCGAGGCCGTTGTGCTTGCCCTTGCCGCGGCCCTCGCGCTGGCGCTCGTGGTGGTTGTGGCCGGTGATGTTGGTGAGCAGGTAGTTGGGCCAGCCGACCAGCTGCTGCATGACCAGCATCAGGAGCGTGTACGCGGGCGTCTCCTCGGTCAGCTCCGACAGCTCGTGCACCATCTTGCCGATGCGCGAGGCGTGCTGCTCGCGGGTGCGCGGGATGAAGACCATGTCACGCTCCATGTTGCCCGTGGCCGCGTGGTGCTTGCGGTGCGAGATCTGCCAGCTGAAGTAGGGCACCAGCAGCGCCGAGTGCAGCACCCAGCCCGTCATGTCGTTGATCAGGCGAGAGTCGGAGAAGGCGCCGTGGCCGCACTCGTGGGCAATGACCCAGAGGCCGGTGCCGAAGAGGCCCTGCAGGATGGTGTAGACGGCCCAGAGAGCGCCGCGGGCGGGCGTCGACGGCACCGTCTCGGGGGTCACGTAGTTGTGGAAGACATAGAAGGTCGTGGCCAGGCAGACGATGTCGCGGAGGATGTAGTAGTAGCCCTTGAGGGCGGAGCGCTGGAAGCAGTGCTTGGGGATGGCGTCGCGGATGTCCTTGATGGTGAAGTCGGGCACCTTGAACTCGTTGCCGTACGTGTCGACAAGGCGGCCGAACTCGGCCTCCTTGGCGTCAACGCCGTTCACATCAACCGACGACATGGACGACAGCGAGGTCGACGAAGCCGAGGGTCGGGGAGAGTCCAGGGGGGTGACGGCGGCAGACGACTCGGTCGAGTCCGTCACATGGCGCAGGAGGGGAGCCTTTTCAGGCTGATGCACCGCGGTAGAAGCCATGGCGATGCTATCTGTTGGAGATGCTCACGGTCTGTCTCTCAGAGAAGACTCGAGGCTATTATTCCCAGTGGTGGACGGGGAAGATGAAGACGAAAGAGATGAAGAAGAAGAAAAAACGGAAGAGATGAAGAGAGCACAGCTCGCTACTATTACTATCAGATAAGATAGCCGGCTGGTGAACGGGCCTCCTGGGGAAGAGGAAGGAGAAAGACGAGCCGGACGGGGAGTGGCCTGGTTTTGTCTGTCCTGGGAGGGGGGGGGCGTGTGAGAAGGAGGAGGAGGACAGGGAAAAGAGGAGGTGATGGTCAGGAGGAGAGTCTGATTGGGATGGGCAGAGACACAGGCGAAAGGGGGGGGCAACAGAGGCAAAACCGCCTGACGGACCAGACCGAGCAACGCCAGAAAAAATCGAAAACCAGGCAAAAAAGCCAGCCCGAGCTGTTAGCAACAAGTCATGGCTCAGCCCAAATCCACGCCCAGGCGAGGCCGATCCGGGCAGAATCCCCTACCAGAGTGACTTGCTTGTCTCGCCTCCCGCCCACCGGCTGTGGCTCGGGAACTTGGTACAACCACTTGGTACACGGTACATGCACATGCAGCGGCAGACGCAGTGGCAGGTGCAGAACGGCAGCTGGAGCCCAGTTTGCTGGCTGGTGGCTCGTTCTCGTACGGGACATGAAAATTTGTTGGGGCGGACAAAAGTCGCAAAAAAAAAAAAAAAACAGCGAAGAGCGGCGTGGGGCGTTTGGGCTCAGCCTGAGCAACATGACAGGTACCGAGTGCGTGCTACACCATGCTCTGAGTGCATCGACTAGTAATACTTTCTTTTCAGTTCAATTCTTACTCTCTCCGACCTTGGCTTGGTTTTCTGCCTTTCGCTGTCCAATTGACCGGATTTGCTGTGAATTCGAATAAGGACAAAGCACTTTGTCGTTTCACGATTCCTTCTGGATGCCCCTTGGAACGAAAGTCGACGAAAAGAATCTGCCAATAGGAGGCAAGCTTGACGCCAGATCTGGGTCCGAGCGATTAAATCGGACCCTGGATTGCCCTTGGCGGGGCGGTACAAGGTACAAGGCACCAAGTACTCGATGTACCCCGACCATGTGAACAGGGGGGGCCAGCTTCAAGTTCCAGGTTGATGGCCAGAACAGCTGGCACTCGGCTCAGCAATTGCTAGACACAGACTACTATACACAAGTCACTGGCTGGTTTCTTCGCATGACCGTTGAGGCGTGATGCAACCTCCCAAGTGATCTCCTTCAGACATCATTCCTGCGTACGCAGAGTCAACAGGCGGCGCCGCCGTTGCCGTCACATGAAAAGGCGAAAAAAAGAGAACAATTGAAAGGGCAAAGATGCGCCATCTCCGATACGCGGCTGCAGAATGGCGCCCCAAGCTGACTAAAAATCGTGTCAGTTTCTGCCCTCAAAACGATCAACTGTTCTAACATATCATCTCTCATCGTTGGGACTGCATTGACATTCTGCAGCCGTACTATGGAGTGCATCACAGCCTAATGGGAAAATGCCATGAACATGTCGATTATGACCACCCGTCCACGCAGCTAGGCAAGTACCGCTACAAGATACCGTAGCATTGAAACACTCCCCCCCCCAAACGACCACGTAGCCCCGAGCCTGCAGGAAGAGGGAAAACCCTGCATGAGGGGGGAACAAAGCGGGCGACCGTGACGGGGGTGGCTGGGCTGAAGGAGCCTAAAAAAGATTTCGAGATAGGCGAATCGTTCTCGAGCAAGCCGGGGCTGGCAAACCGTGAGCAGGTTCTCTCCCGCAAATCCTACGACGCAGAGTTTGCCTGCTTATACTAGGTACTGTGCTGTAGGTAAGGTACGTAGGGAGGCGGCTCGACATGTGAAGCCGAGTCTTACTTTGATGGTGTGGTGAAAGGGCGAATTGGGTGCTCTTACCAGGCTCGATGCTCTGGGGGGCTCGTCATCCAGACACAGGCTGAGTGCTTCAGGAGAGTGGCCTTTGGGACTTTTCTCCCTGCCCGATCCCAGCTTGCCCATACTGCGTACTGCACATTGCCCAGCTGGCGTCCAGTGCCTTGCATCGCATCACCGTCAAACAGCATCCAATCACCCGGCCCAAACCACCAATCTTTACGCAAATCGGTTAAACGCAGCGCCAATTTCTTGCTCTCTCTTCCCACTCCCATCCAAGCGAACTGATAGTGAGAAAGACAAGCTTGAGCCTCGGGACATGTGAATGTTTCCTCCTTCCTCCTCCACCTCCGTCTCTCCATCATTCTCCATCCATCGACCAAGGCTCTCCTCATTCTTGGTCTGTTCTCCCCTGGTCCGCTCCGGCATCTTCCACAGCCGTGCCGTGTCATGCAATGATATCAGATCATGTAGGCCAACAAATTGGAAATCACAGACGATTGGTAGGTCCATTTGGGCGAGCTGCTCATTCTCGCTGTATTATCTCGTCAAACTGTCTATTCAATGGAGATGCATACGGTGGCGAGGCAGAGCCACCACCGTACCGTTATCGTATCCAATCTTCCAGGAGTAAATCTCGACAATTCTCGCCCCTCGGAAGTCTCCCATCCGCCATTGACGTTCTGAGCCCCTCCAACTATCTTGAACATCATCTCAGCTGTCTCGCAATCAGCATGTCTTGGATCAATTCCTCTCATCCAACATACAGACAGCATCATCATCATTCGTACGAGACGAAACACTGCATCAAGTACAAATGTATGTACAAGCCCAAAGTACTGCAACCACATCTCGTCTCCCTCTGCCCCCCCCACATCTGTTGGGAATTTTGTTGAGAGGGTCCCGGCAAGGGTCTCCTCCTTCCTGCCTTGCTCTCCTTGTGTGTCCCATCCCTTGGCGGCGGCCTCGTCGATCTGGGGGGGGGCCGCACCGCAGCCGCCGATTCGCCGCAACCTGAAAAACCCACGTGCTTTTTTTTTTTTTTCTTTCTTCTACGGAGAGGGTGTGACGGCTTAGTAATTGCGGCAATTCTCATTGGTGGGCTTTTCCGATTGATAAAGACACAGTATACATGTATGAGGACTGTGTTGAAACACTGTAATACCATATGTGACTGCCTCGCCAACGCATCTACAGACAAATGCCCATTGATTGAAGTGTGGTGAAGATCACGTAAACTCATGTCCCTGTGTGCTGATTGTGTCCGGTTCTTCCTGATCCCCTGCGAACCGCTGATTCGTGCAGACGGTGCAGCATGTGCAGCATCACACAGCATGTACAACAACTTGGAAGTAAGCGATATTCTGCAAGTAAGAATGCATCCGATCCTCATACATGAACGAACATCAACTACCTGTAAGAGAGGATGCATCGATTTGTACCCAATTGGGCTCCTGGATGCTACATCGTACATTGCCCTGCCGCCCAACACACGTACCGGAGTCTCACGAGAGATTGCCGAGAAGAGAAGGTGATAAGAAGTGACATTCCCTTTGAACGTGTCTACCCAATTGACAGCATTAAAGATGACACTGGAGCTGGGAGATCTGTCCAATTGATTCAACTCGAGATGACGCTGAACTGCCATGTCCATCCAATTGATAGGATTCAAGATGACTGTAGCTGCCATCACATATCTCTTCAGGAGAATCGTTCTCCCTACTTAGGTAGGGAACAAAAGCATATACCGAGAGCCGCCGCTACTTGTCTGTAGCCTCAGCTAACACTTGGTAGGTAGGTAGTTAGAGACTAGATTTGAAGATGTCAGTTCACCACCGACAAGCATCTTACTCATCATACCTACCTACTACCTACCTACTTCGACAAAGAACAAGTAATCACACGGTCAACTCAAGTATACACAGACTTTATGCGAACTCCTCCGCATCCTCGACACGAAGTCGAGACATGAAGCAAATAAGTAATTCTTAGCAGCCGTAAATCATGTTCTCATCAACAAACAACATGCCCATCTCATAATCTACCGTTCATCTGTTTCCGTACACCATGCCATACAGTACTTCAACGTCAAGCAAAACAGCCAAACGAGCAAACAAACAAGCAACGCAAGCCAATGCATGTCCCCAAAGCTCCAAGTCACCAGTTCCATCACCACGGCACCATCCTCCCGTCCATCTCGACAACAAGCTGCAGCCGCTGCGGCATCGCATCAACCCACATGTTCACCCTCTCCTGGCTCAACCCCGCCCACGCCTCCCTCGCCGCCTTCTTCAGCGTCTCATCCTCCCACCCCCTCTCCTTGTCCTTGTCCTTGTCCTTTTCCTTCAGCAGCTCCGAAGTCCACTGCTTGTTCGGCGGCCACAGCGAATCCAGTGGGCTCAGGTCCGGGCTCTCGCCACAGCTAAACGAGCACCTCAAGCCGTGCATGTCCTTCCACTGCTGGGCGAGGTTGACCTTGCTCGCGCTCCCGTGGGCAAACACGTCCGCGTCCTCTTCCAGCACAAACGCCATGGGGCCCGACGCCGTGAGCCACGGCTTCACCACCTTTTCGAGCACCTTGTCGCAGTAATCCGGCATCGACATGGCACCGGTACCCTTGGGACTCGTCGAGCTGTCGTAAAAGACCAGCTCGCTCTTGAAGCCGTAGCCCACTGCAGCCCAGGCATGCAGCCTCCTGATATCGCGCGGCCACCCGTTGGCAGGCTCCTGCTCGCATGTGCTGCATAGCCTCTCGCCCGCCCTCGGCGTCAGGCGCATCCTGCCGTCGAGCCCAAAGGCAAAGTGCAGCTCGCCGCTGAACCGCACGCGCCGCCAGTCCTCCTTGAGGGGATACGCCTGCAGGGCCTTGCGTGCAAAGTCGCTGCGCTTCTCGCGATGCCGCTTGAGCGTGTTCGTCCGCCCACAGACCAGGCACCGCCGGTACGACAGCGTGCCCATTGCCCGATGCAGCGTCCTCCGGTTGCACTTGACCTCGAGCCCGGCCTCCTCCGCGAGCCCGCTCCAGTTGAGGCTGACGTCCTCGTACTTGGGATCCCACAGGATCTGCTCCATCTTGGCCACCTCCGCGTCGGCAATCTTGCTGGGCCGCCCGCGCGTCTCGCCCCATTCCGGGTCGTCTCGCTTCGGCACCGGCGACGCACTGAGCGCCGCGTAGCCCTGCGAGCGCGACAGGTCAAAGTGCCGGAAGATGGCCGACTTGTTCACCGGCAGGCCCTGCGACTCGAGGTAGGAGATTGTGCCGCGCACCATGGCCTTGGCCGGGGTGTCGCCATGCTTGTAGCCCGACGGCATTGGCGGGTTCCTTTTGCTGTCGGTAATGGATGCCGTGTCCGCCGTAGTCGCTGTAGCCCGGGTGTAAGTCGAAGATGCCTTGGGAAGTGTAAGAGGCTGCCCAAGTCAAGGGTGTTGGGCTATTTTTGTCCGGTTTGGCGGTCGTGACGCTGATTCCTGGCGGTTGACGGAGCGTTGACGTAAAAATTGGCCATCCCTGCCCGACACGTGACTGATGCGGTCAACCTCACCTCACCAGTTTCATCACATCAAGCATAAGATGCATTCATTTGCATGGTCATGATCATCTGCCTGTGCAAGGTGGTATTATGTAGTATTCATACTTTTGTGACATATTGATACATGCATTCTGTTTCACTTGTTCCATGTCCACCATCTCGGAATGAAGAAAGATCAAAGCCTCGACAGAAGCACGATATTGCAATTTGTAGCTCATTCATTTTGTCCGCTTCTATGAGCAAGCAGAACTGCCATCTTACAATGGTTACTAACCCAAGCATCGAGAATATCGAGTACCACTCATGCCACGCACTCAACACTTTGCTCACTTAGACTCCGACCACATATATGTAGATTCGCGCCAGTTTTCGTCAAGATTGGAAACAAGTCAAATGTAGTCGCATAGAGAAAAACGTGCTCAGCGTTTGCTCAACCAAGGCTCCAGAATGCCACTTGCTAAACCCTGAACCAACGCCCAACCTCACACAGCCAACCCTTATCCCCATGTCTATTGTCTTGATATACATTACCACCGGAAATTATCTGACCAGAAATATCGTGCGGCGTCAATACGTCTGGGGGACGGTGGAGCCCCCAAGACGCCGTCTTGATATACAAAACGGAATATGGAAGAAAGCCAAAGAAGACGACAAAGGAGCGCACAGCTTCGCTTTGTCTTGGTATCTGAAGAAGAACGGAAAAGAAAAGAAGCAGTCATTTAGTGCTTTCCGGCATCCCGAACGCTTTGCATGAATCGATCCTCGGCGCCCACCTCGCTCAGTGCTCGCGTTGACGAAGCGCCTGCGCTAGTCTTGGACAAGACGGCCATCACTTCATCGGCAGTCTTGCTTCCCAGCAAATCCATCTCTCGGCTGAGGAGAATGGCGACGGCCGCCCGAACCAGGAGAGTATCGCCTTCAAAGACGTAGACATCCCAGAGTCTTGCGGCTTCGTCAATGGCGAGGTGCGCAGTGAACAAGTTGGTGAAGATGGTGGCGAGATAGTGGTCGAGCTGGACGCCCCGTACCGTCTTGGTCAGGTGATCATACAGCGAAGGCGACTTGACCTTGAGGGATTCGAGCACGAGGTGGTATGCTGATGCTTGCGCGCCGCGGTCAAAGGTGTAGAAGGATAGGGGGAGCGGCCGGTTGAGCACGTTGGCGAGGGCGATGAAGGTTGATTCTGGATTTGGTAGATTGAGCAGCAGAAGGGCGGCTATAGTCTGTTTAGTTGTTAGCACGAGGTGTTCAAAAGACGATTCACGAGGGAAGACGGCCAAAACTCACGTTACATCCCGACACGTAGCCAATGTCGTTCCGGTACATGGCATACGCCCTCAGCACATCTACCAGGCCCTGGTGCAGCGGACCAGTCACTTCAAAGATGCGAAGCTCCCTCCACGTCTTCTCGGCGACGTCTTTGCGGATCTGCTCAAACCACTTGACCCGCCTCATGTCCTCGGCATCGCCCCTGTCCGTCTTGACTCTCTGCTCCAGCTCTTCGGATCGGGTCAGAGCCGCCTTGAAGGATGCCTCCGTTAGGCCGAGCTCATTACCGATCGCCTTGGCCCATACCACTCGCCGACTCCGGGGCGCCACTCCCTTCCACCAGAGCTCTCTTGTTGCCTTTTCGCGGATAGCCTGGTTCCACCGTGGTAGGATGTCGTCCTCCCAGATGTGCATGGCCTTGTCCGCATTGTTGTCTTTGGACTCGGCCTTGGTCTTTCGTGCTGCCTCCCGCCGCTCCTCCGCCTTGACACTGGCGGCCATCATCTTCTGATACTCGCGCAAATGACGTCGTTCCTCGGCAGGATCCTTGGGCGGCAGCCAAGACGGTCGAGTGCGGCTCAGGACGGCTTCCTTCTCCTTGGAAATCGGCAGCGGATCAATCATGATGTTGGAGCGGCGCAGGGGCGGCAGCTCCGCAAAGGACGACTTGACTCGCTCCTTTTTCTTGTCGTAGTCCACCTTTGCCGTATGGTTCGGATTCCAGGTATTCGGCCGCGGGACTACGCCGTGTTTCTTGGCCTCGATCTGCTCCAGTTCGTCGGCGTGCTCCTCCAGCTTTTCCACAAGGTCCTTGGTATCGGCATTCAACTCAGCCAGCGCCGCACTCCAGCTGCGGGCCTTGCCGCTGAGGGGACTCGGGAGCGGCCTGTCGCCGTCCGTCTTCCAGGTGGGAGACCGCAAGGAGCCGTGCGCCTGGGCAACGGGAGGCGTGCCGTTGCCGACGCTGCGGATTCGGTTCTTGCGGCGGTCGGGCGATGGCGACACGGACTTGACAGAGGGAGACCTGCTAATGGGCCGCTGGCTGGCTGGGCGCGGGGAGATGGGCACGTTGTCGAGGAACAGGCCGTCGGGGATGTCGTCGTCGTCATCGTCGTCGTCGCATTCCTGCTCCAGCTCCGAGGCAGACTTGCGGTTTTGGCTCACCTGCCAGCTGCTTCGACGGGGGCGGGAGGGGAGATTGACATCGCGAGGGTCCAGGGCCATGGCCGGGCTGATGCTGCGGTGGCGGCGCGACTGGGGGACAGAGGAGGTCGAGTATCCCTTGGTGAGGGTCGTGGGCCGGGGGTCGGAGATGGTCGAGAGATTGGTGCTGCGCGGGTTCGAGCCCGTAGAGACGCCATTGAGGCTGGAAAAGGAGCGCTTCGGGCGCGGTGCTCGTTTGGCCGAGGCGAGGTTTCGCGGCGGGCGAGAGGCGTGGGAGGCGGCCTTGGGCGTGAGGCTTTCGTCGCCCAGGCCAATGTCCTCGAAGTGGCCGACGTCTGCGAGGACGCTGGCATCGTCGCTGGTCAACGAATGGAAGGACGACGACTTGCTGCTCTTGGACGTGGTCATGCCGGGAGGGGAGTCCGGGCTCGTGCGGCCGTGGATCGTGGCGTGATTAGCGGCGGATTCCAAGCCACCGTTGATGATGCCAATTCCAACGCCATGATCGCGAATCATTGCTGCATCAACAGGGCGAACCAGCTGCCCTGACTTGTCCCAGAGGAGTCTTGGAGATGCCGAATGGCGTATGTAGAAGATGAGATTGTGCTATTTACGGCGTGGGGGTTTGCGCAAGAGATGTCTTGAAGCTTTGAAACAGCGTCTGTATCCTCGGACTGATTCGAGGAGTGACGACAGCAGGGCAAACAACGGAAGAGGGCGGATGAATGAATGAGTGTGAGAAGACAAGAAAACAATCAAGCAGAAGAGGGGGAAACGAAGGGTTAGCCGGGCAAAGCGTCGACTGAAAAGCTGTTCGCCTGAATGTTTGTTTCTAACGAGCGTGGATAAGGTCAGATGGGATACAAAAAGAAACAAGTGCGGTAATAACTTGGGGCAAGGCAATCTCAAAGGTGGGAAGAAAAGAGAGACGGACGAGACAAGATGCAGAATTGCGGAGGATCGAAGTGAGTGACGAGCCAAGGAGGCGCCAATCGACGGCTTCAAACAAGGAGGGAGGGAGGTGGTGCAGAGACTCTTAAAGTACCCGGTACTTGGGGAGCTGCCCCGGCGTCAGGTATCGGGTACTGCGATGGCCGAGGCAGTCTCTCCCAGGTAACAGCAGCATCCAGGCGTTGCAGGCGCTGTCTCTGGCCGTTGTGGGTGGTAAGTAGTGCTACGATAGTGTGGTGACGGGCTGTGCAGGTTTGTAGCCGCTACAACCGCACCTCCGCCGACAAGTTGCAGTCAGGGAGTTGCGGTACCTGGCCATCCTGCTATCAATCACCTCATGCAGCGGTCCATGGATCACCTTTTGGATCAGGCAGGGCCTTAGTAAGATTGGCCGAACCCAGGGCCTGGACAGACGGATGGATCCAGTGTGCAATTCAGGGCAGGACATGGAAGAAATCAATGACTGAATTCTCCTGTCATCTGCAGGTAGATAAGTAGAGAGGTAGAGAGTACTCCGTACCTTGTTTGCCCGACCTGACCTTACCTTAGATGCCTTACAGTCCCAAGAAAGTGCCGAGCCGAGATGGTGTGTGTCCCCCCCATGCTCGGGGCATTTGGACGCTGCTTGTATTCTCCGAGGCGTGTTTTCCCTTGCAGCAAAGAGGGCTTTACGAGCCTATCTTGTGCTGCGTTACTCCCGTTCAGGAACACATGAAAAAGAAGATACAAGTGTTCGAAAGAAGGGCTTCAGGGTTCTTTTTGCGCCTCAAGCATCGAAAAGCCAAGACTCGACTGCTGCAATGTATCTGACACACGCACAATTAAGCATCCCAGGCCTGCAAAACAGCCGGGGGGCCTCCCGCTCATCGATTTACGCACAGTATATAGGCTTGTGTTTGACGTAACAATCACAGTGTAAATGCGCAAACCCCCTGACTGAGTGGAGATGAGCTTCAATCTCGGCTGGTTCGGGGGGGGTTGCAATCTGATCCTTGCTGGTGCTATCAAGATGTGACCATGCGAACCGGGCGTGTCAAGTTTGTGCTGGTGCATTCAAGCTCATGATGCTTGTCATTCGCTTTCACGCAGGAGTCATGCAGTACGTACATGTGAAGTAGGTGTGTATCTCCTACACAGTGACGGAGCCATAAGGGTCGTGGTTCGAACAAGCTTTCAGGAACCGGAATAGCCTCACAGCCGCCACCACGAGGACAGAACCGCCATGGACCTCCGGATTCATTGCTAATCCCGTTGTCGAAACAAGATCCAAATTGCCATGGCCCGCTTTCGCTTGTCTAATAATAGCAGTGGTTGTTTCTTCTGTTCTTCTTTTGGTTCCGGCATGCCCTACAGCACCTGAATGACATGCTGCGAATTAACTGCTTCTATTATTATCTGCGTGCTCTTGTTACCGTTCTATTGCCTTCAATTGATCGCGGAATGTTCTCAGCCCCTTACTGGAAGTCTTCTGGAATAGCCTTGCCGGGTCCACAAGGACATGGCCGAGAACAAGGAGAAGCCCCTTCATCCTCAGGCGATGCAGCTTAGTACTTACATGAGCAATAGCAAGATGACACGATACATGTAAACGGAGTCGCTCCTCCTGCCCGCGAGGTCCAAGGAGAATTAGGGTGATTTGACGACTGAGATTTATTACTGCCTTCTAGTATTCAGCCTTTCACGCAAGGCTATTCCCATACTCCAAAAGGATACTGCGTCTTTGCTACCCTAAATATGCCAATACCTTACAGTGACCACCATCTATCATAACGCGTCCCAAAATAATATTACCATGTCAACCCAGAGTGCCATATCACATAGTCAGCTCTTGCTTCCTCTTTCTCCTCGCTCTCTCTCTCATGGTGTCCTCATAGGTAACCTCACGCAGCACCCTTTTCGGCCGAGTAAACAATGGCCCTGGCAGAGCGCTGAAAGCACCGACGTTGATGATGGACTCCCACATCGGACCACTTCTGATCGGGGGCAGCTGATGGCGATCTCTCTGAGCGGCTGCCCATGCGCTTATGCGATGTCGCGAACCGCCTGTCGATCTGGACGGATCATCATTTGCATGGGACTTGTGACGAGATCGACGCTTTCTTGTCAATCGAGCTCCATCTGCATTCGACTCCCCTTTCAGCATAGTTTCTAGAGATGGCGTAGGGTAGGCGTTGCTTGGCGATACAGCTCCTCCAGAGTTCCACTCCAGACAGCGTGGTGCATCATCAAACTCGATCGTATCGGATGACCCATCGAGCATGCTGAACAGTTCCTGTTTATCCCTCCCCCCATCCGTATCGTCTTCAAGTAGAGCGGCGCGCATTCTGGGAGAAAAGTCGAGAGTCGCCGTGGAGCAAGACCTCGAACGCGCACCCCTATGATCATCTCCTCCTTGATGCCGAACTTCCAGTCTGCGTTGCGAGCCTTGAGACAAGAACGGAAATGATGCGGTTGACAGGTTCGGATCGACAGAGTGCTGGTGGTTCGCTTGGGCATCTTCTCCCGTAACAGACAAGTGACCGTCCCTGAGAAGCGTCTGCTTCGTACCCTGGAGACGACCATCACAAACGGCATCCCTGCGTCTTTCCATCGAGTCCTCAGTCAACCACTTTCTGTATACCCTTGAGGTCGACTTCGTGCCAAGACGATCTTTATCATCTGCCTTGCCGCGTTGACGAGTCATCATCTCCCTGCCTCTGCGTCCCGTCATAGCCGCTTCTCTCTTCCACCTGATAACAGTGGAAGGCTTGCTCTCCCATCTCGCCGTTTTGTTCTTGCCTCGTTTACTGGGCGATGGAACGACTCTCACAATTCGGCAGTCAGAATCGGAGTCAGACGACGAAGAAATAGAGATGACGTCGTCGGTTGAGAGTCTCGCATTCATGCTTGCCGTTGTCTGTGCTTTGTGGGCAGTCGATGGTCTCTTGATGTTTCTTCTTCTCATGAATAACTATACATGACCGATCAGCCCTGGGATCTCCCTGCATTAGATACCAAGATATTCAATATTTATCTTGTTCATATCTCGAGTACAAGGTCCTTGGCAACTGCAGGAGAGCTTGTAGAAGGAAGAAAGATAGCGTTGTGAATCCGTCTTTGATGTGAGGAGGAAGTGACTCTGCGCAGGCCACCGCACGTGAAACCCGCGCCGGGTTGGCTCCTAGGATCAAGCACCGTGGATTGCTCAATCACAATCGATAAAATGATTGACTGATTGATCAAACGCAATGCTACAAGGTGTTTGTTCATGGCATTGTATTTCACGTTCATCGTCTATGGTATCGCTACATCCCATATTAAGCTTCTAACTCGTCGACATCCCAGGCGCCTGAACTTCTTTTGCTTTTACTTTCCAACCTCTCAACCCCTCACATGCGCTCTCGTCTCCGCGGGGCCGCCCTTATGATGTCGTCGACTCTCAGGAGAAGCTGTGTCGTAGATATCAATTAGCGCCATGCCATGCAGGGTACCGAGTCAAATTGGGCGGGAAATGGGCTTACCTCTGCTGCCTCGCTGGCAGATGACACAACCGCCTTCTTCAGCTTGTAGCTCTCAACCACACCGACTTCTCGCATGTCTGCGATGCCGCCACCAGGAGTCATTAGGTCAAGACCGTAAGTGGTAAGGCCATCGTAAATGGCCTTTCGCAGGCGGGCAACCAGCTCGCCAGAATCCAATCCGGCGTTGTCGGCCAGGATGGTGGGCAGCTGTCGGAGCGCGATGGCAAAGCTGGAAACGGCCACCTGCTTCTTGCCCTCGATCCGCGTGGCCGCACCTTCGACGGCCTTGGCCATGACCATCTCTGCGCATCCACCACCGAGCGTTGTCCTGGGCTCAATGACGGTCTGTGACAGGACGGCCAATGCGTCGTGCAGACTTCGCTCAGCCTCGTCGAGGAGCTGCTCTGTCGCGCCACGCAGCACAATGGTGCATGCCTCACCAGCCGCAACTCCCGAGAACTTGATGAGCGTGTCCTCACCGATGATGACCTCCTCAATCAGGTCACAGTGGCCGAGCTTGATCTGGTCGGGGTGGTCAAAGGTGGAGGCAATCTCACCTCCCGTCACCAGCGCCAGCCGCTCAATGCCGTCGAAGTCGGCGTGCTCGATAGACATGATGCCGGCATCGGTGAAGAGCTGCTCCGGCCAGTTGTAGATGAGCTGGCGGTTGATGAAGCAGTTGATGCCGTGGGCCTTGATCTTCTCCACCTTGGCCTTCATCTTGTCCTTCTCCGCCTTCTCAAGCTCCGCCAGCTTTCCGGTCGAGCCAACCTTGACACGAGCTCCGAAGATCTTGACCTTGTCTGTATCCATGGACGTGTTTGCGACCAGGATCTTGGCCTTCTCCAGCCTCTTGGGCTGGTTGACACCAATCTTCTTGTCCAGGATGAAGCCCTCATCCAAGTAAGAGTCGCTCAGCTTTCCTCCGGCCTTCTTGATAATCTGGATATGACTGAGGTCGGTCGATTTCTTCAGACGGAGGATCGCGTCGACGGCAAGCTGAGAGAAGTGGTCTCGGTCCTGGGCGAGCACCTTGGAGCTCAGGGTCGTCCGCGCGATGGCGAGGAGGTCCTTTCGGAAGGCCTCGGGGCTCTTGCTGTGGTCAACGGCGGATTCCTCAAGAGCCTTGAGGGCAGCCTGGCTAGCTATCCGGTAACCCTCAATGATGGTCTGGGGGTGGATCTTCTTGTCGACGAGCTTCTCGGCCTCTCTCAGAAGCTCGGCAGCCAGCACGGCAACGGAGGTCGTGCCGTCACCGACTTCGTCATCCTGGACCTTGGAGATGTTGACCAGCACCTTGGCGGCGGCGTTGTCGAGGGCTATTGACTTGAGGATCGTGGCACCGTCGTTTGTCACCATGATATCGCCGGTGGAACTAGATGGAAGAAGGGGACGAGTTAGGGGCTGAGGGGCTCGCTGGGCATTTGTCATGAAAGGGACAGGCACTCACGCAGACTGAAGGATCTTGTCCATGCCCTTGGGGCCGAGCGTGCTCTTCACCAGATCGCCAACGGCGATGGCGCCGACGAAGGCAGCCAGACGCGCATTCTCACCCTTCTCCTCGGTGGTGCCCTCCTCGAAAATCTGGGTTGGGAAGAAAGACTGTCATGGCGGGGAGATGGAAGTGTTAGTCCAGCAGCTGGGCGGCACAGAGACGGCTGCATAGCAGCTCCCCCGGCGTGTGACTTCGGCGAGACATACCATGATGCAATTCCAGTGACAGCAGAGCAAAATGGAAATAGTACAAGGTCAAAAGACGAAAGAGAGGCGATATCAGGCTCGAGCTGACGAGAAGCTGCAACTCCTTGGTGCCTGTTTTTCCTACCAAACGCCGAGCTCTCCTTTCCGCTACCTCAAAAGAGCCCATCCCAGAACCCCACCATGGAGACGCGCACACGTGACTTGCCCCTCTATCGGAGAATTCCCGGCTCTGGAACATCGCTTCTCCGCCGCACACTTTGGCCAAAGTTAGGACAACAAATTTGCGTGTGCTTGGGGATTCGCCGCCAAAAAAATACCCTCCAGGGCCGTAGTGCAGACACCGTAACCTGCGCAAAACACCCGCAATCCACGCATCGAACGCCCCGGCCAGACCCTGGGAAACTCTCCTGCTGCTCCTCTGCTAGAGACTCGAGAACGACGCCCGTGAGCCGCTCTCCAATCCTCAGCCTTCACCGCGCCGAAGCGGGGCAATCTCGGCACCCCTCCTCCATCCCTTCACATCATGGCGCCCTCATTCGACCAGCTGCGCGAGGCTGACCTCGACGACGACGAGTTCAACGAAGATGAGATTGACATCTCTGACCTGCGCGAGAAGTTCGAGGTTCAGCTGGAGCTGGGCTACGACGCCTTTGTGGTCATCGATGGCCTCCCCGAGGTCACCAAGGACCAGGCGCCCAAGCTGATCAAGTTCTTGCTGAAGAAGCTCAACACTGTTGGCAAGACCCGGGAGGACCTGATCTACATGCCTTTGGATGCTGAGGGAAAGTCGCAGCGGTAAGCAACCCTGTGTTTACCCTGTCATGTCGTGATAAGGTTGCTTTGTGGGACATTGTTTTTTTGACTCTTGTTGGGACGAATATTTAGCTTCGCTTTTGTCGAATACTCCTCAGCCGCCGAAGCCGCTGCCGCGACTCGCCAATTGGACGGCGTTCCCCTGGATAAGAAGCACACGCTGCGCGTCAACAAGCTCACCGACATTGAGCGATATGGCCGAGAAGGACGAGTTGACGAGACATACGTGCCCCCTGAGATCGAGGAGTTCCACGAGAAGGAGCACCTGCGATGGTGGCTTAAGGATCCCTCAGGCCGTGGCCGCGATCAGTTCGTCATGTACCGCGGCGACTCCGTCGGCGTCTTCTGGAACAACGAAAAGGACCAGCCCGAGAACATTGTCGATCGCCAGCACTGGACCGAGGCCTTCATCCAGTGGTCACCTCTGGGTACCTACCTCACCTCTGTCCACCAGCAGGGTGTTCAGCTGTGGGCTGGCCAGTCTTGGTCGCGTGCGGCCAGATTTGCGCACCCATTCGTCAACCTGGTTGCCTTCTCCCCGAACGAAAAGTACATTGTGACCTGGTCAAACCGACCCATCTCCATCCCCGAGACCGGCCACCCTGCCCTGTCCGTTGACGATGAGGGCAAGAACTATGTCATCTGGGACATCGAGACGGGTACCCCTCTGCGATCGTTCGCCAACCTGGATGCCCCCAAGGGCGAGGAGGGCAAGCCTCCCCCAAAGATGCAGTGGCCGGCGTTCAAGTGGTCTGCGGATGACAAGTACGTTGCCCGTCTGACGCCTGGCGCTTCCATCTCCGTCTACGAGCTCCCCCGAATGAACCTCCTTGACAAGACGAGCATCAAGATTGAGGGCGTGGTGGACTTTGACTGGGCCCCGGCAACTGCCCAGCGCGAGGGTGTCAAGACGTACGAGCAGCTCTTGGCCTTCTGGCAGCCTGGAACCGGCAGCAACCCCGCTAAGGTTGGCGTGATGAGCATTCCCTCCAAGGAGATTGTGCGAAGCCTCAACCTTTTCAACGTCAGCGACGCCAAGCTGCACTGGCAGTCGGATGCCACCTACCTTTGCGTCAAGGTCGACCGCCACTCCAAGTCCAAGAAGTCGCAGGCCACGACGCTGGAGATTTTCCGCGTCAGGGAGAAGGGAATTCCCGTCGAGGTTGTGGACACGATCAAGGACACTGTCATCAACTTTGCATGGGAGCCCAAGGGCGACAGGTTTGCTCTCATCACCACCACCGAGCCCGTCGGCCCTACCGCCGTCCCTCCCAAGACCTCCGTGTCATTCTTCTGCCCCGAAAAGTCCAAGGGCCCCCATGCCGGCAACTTCAAGCTGCTGCGCACGCTGGACAAGAAGAACAGCAACGCCATCTACTGGTCACCAAAGGGTCGGTTCGTCGTCATTGCCACGATTGCCAACCAGCAGAGCTCGGATCTCGACTTTTACGACGTTGACTTTGAGGGCGAGAAGGCCGAGTCGGTCAAGGACCTGACTGCCAACCTGCAGCTCATGAACACAGCCGATCACTACGGCGTCACAGATGTGGAGTGGGACCCCTCAGGCCGCTTTGTCGCCACATGGGCATCGGCATGGAAACATGCGGTACGTGCATTTCTTCGCGATTCCCCTGTCTGGACCCCTTGAGAATTAAACTCGCTAACATGTGAACTAAACTAGATGGAGAATGGATACCACATCTACGACTTCAAGGGCGAGGCTCTGCGCGAGGAGCCCGTGGAGAAGTTCAAGCAGTTCGCTTGGCGACCACGACCGCCGACGCTGCTGACCAAGGAGGAGCAGAAGCAGATCCGCAAGAATCTGCGCGAGTACAGCAGAGTATTCGAGCAAGAAGACGCCGATCGCGGTGCGTCAGCCGACCTTGCAGTGGTCGAAGCGCGCCGCCGCGTCCTGGACGAGTGGTATGCTTGGCGTGCGGAGGTGGAGGCTGAGGTGGCCGAAGAGAGAGAGATCCTGGGCCTGCCTAAGGATCCCCACGCCGCTCTCCTAGAGGCCAAGACCAAGGAGCTGGCGAGCACCGAGGGCGTTAGCACAGAGAACGACCGGGTGATTGAGGAGATTGTCGAGGATGTGCTGGAGGAGCACGAGGAGGTGGTGGGCTGAAAAGCGTCGTCTGGTCCTCTCTTTTGTCTACAATGAAGCATGGGCATACCGGGCGGGAGTGGTTTGCGTGTACGTATGGGTAGATTCCATC